GGCAAGCACTCTGCTACAGTCACGGGCATGGGAGCTACATTTAGCGCTTGCCCAACGAGACCACTACCACTGAGGTGAAAGGCAGACGCTACCGCGAACGCTCAACGAGACCACTGCCACTGAGGTGAAAGGCAGACGGTACCGCGAACACAACAGCTTTCCCCACGAGCAAAATACAGGGAAGATAGGCCACTTCACAGCTCGTTCAGTGTTACAGTGTAGAGTCACCACTGCCTCACTTCCCGAACAAGTCTCTGGGAAGAAATTCGCGGATCGCACGAGCAATCTGGTCAGGTGAGCCGTTGTTCCAAGGGCCGTCGTGACCCAGCGTTTCCAGTACGACTTGTGTGGCGATTGGCAGAAGCTGGACGAGGTCCAGGGTGGCGTCGAGGAGGAATTGAGGGCTGGCTGTGCCGTTGATCAGCAGGACAGGTACACTGACGTCGCGAAAGCGCTTCATGTCACCATCGACCTGCGCAACGTCGTGGAAGTCATAACGGATACCCGGGAGAAGCGAGGAAAAGGTTGGTCCGCTTTGCCTGATCCAAGCGTCGATGGAGATTACTGCGCGGGCGATAAGGCGTGCCAGGGGCCGTGGAATGCGATAGAGTGGTGCCGGTGCCGTTCTGGCGACGAGTAGGGCATCGAGCAGTGCTGAAGGCAGGTCGCCCTGCTCAAGCTCGGTGCCAAGTCGTGCAATTCCAGCGCGATCGATGCCGTCTCGATAGAATGGTGGCTCAAACAGCACCGCCTGCTTGACACGTGCGAGGGTTCTTGCGGCCTCTAATGTGATCACAGCGCCAGAGCTCAAGCCAAACACAATCGAGGCGTCGGTAGCCTCGAGAATGGCATCGACGTCTTCGACGTCTCTCGCGATGTCGTGGTCTGGACTGTATTGCCGAGGGCTCAGGCCTCGGCCGCGCCGATCGGCCGATAGCACTGTGAAGTCAGCAGCGAGATTGGCAGCGAGGCTGCTGTAGGCGGTGGCGTCTGCCATTGCACCTTGCACCAGGACTATGCCCGGTCCATTGCCCTGTCGGAGGTAGCCAATACGAGTGCCATCTCGAGAGGTAACGTATTCGACGACTGCTGATTGAGAAGTCATCGGACCTACCCCTGCGATATCGTGCTTACTACTCCGAATGGCGAGCTGTCAATGTCTGGTCGCTCGGCGAACTTCCTGTAATACTCGTGGAGAGCTTTAGGTTGTATGGCAGTGAGGATTGTGCTCAGCTAGTGGACACCCAGGTTCCTCGTCGGGCAGCCTGGTGTGAGAGGAAGAGCCGGCACCTGCAGTGAGATCGGAATTGCAACTTGCGTAACTTGTTCCATGCGCTTGCCGCACGACGCACCTGCCATACAGGCGGACTCGAGATGAAGTGAAGTTGAAACGACTACCAATAGGCAAAAACCAGAGCGCAAGTGACCTGTGAGGCAACGACGGGAGAGAGAAAGGGGAATGGGACAAGACACTTCGGAGACGCCGAGCGAGAATCGTCACCCTCTACGGCTGCACCCCGGTTGTGGCGTTTGCGGGGGTGGAGGTCGTGCTGTGCGCGCGCGAGAGCCCAACTACTTCTGACCCAGCCACCCATTGGGTCTGCCATGGTCACAACGATAGACGCGTTGCACAGGATGCAGACAAGAGATGCGAGAGACGAGAGGGAATCAGATCTACTGCTGCCCAGAAGGCAAGCTTGTTTGAAATTCGCAAAGCGACCGATGCTTTCATCGGAGAGAGCCTAGTAGACAAAAGAGAAGCCGATCGGTCGTTGGAGAGGGGCGTCCGCATCGTGGCTGCAGTCGTAACGGACCTGGCTTCACCTATCCCATTCTCGCCTCCTCTCTTTCCAGCCATTGTCTAGTCTCTCGTCGGTGCAACACTTCCTCCCATTGCTCCCACATCCTCTCCCTCCTATGCTCAATCATTTGCAGCCTCAGGGCGATTCCTAGTAGAGATTCATCGTTGACGAGAAACCCGAACAGCGAGCTTTGTGCGTCGGCAGTCCCGGTGACGCTAGTCTGAGTACGAGCATGCAGCCCCTGCGCAAGGGCTGAGGCGGCAGTCTTAACCACCAGATCTTGCTCGTCATCTAAGGACTGCCATTGTTGATGCCAAAGAGCTCCGAAAGGAGGATCAATGGTGTCGTGAGGTCCAGCCAAGCAATTCTCATTCTGCTGTCCATCGTCTCGTTTACCGCTGTACACAGTTCCAGCGGCATCCACAACTTGGCTTACGAGCTGCAGTGAGGACATGCTGGCAGCTGATCTTGCTTTTTCCACTTGTGAATCCCCAGAAGTATCCTGTGACCCACCGTAGAGGTCCGATGCGGCTGTGGAAAAGTATTGCGCACCTGGTCGACCTGCGTCTGCACATGGTCTGTTCTGCCGCTCTGATCCTGTGAGGGTCCACTACAGCCACCACCACCTTAGATCTCGGCCTCTGTGCGTACCGTCGCTTGCGAAAGGTCGGTGCTCATCATCGTCTGATCGCTCTCCATATCGAGGGCAACGACAGCCAGTCTCTCTGTCCAGCTGTGAGGAGGACTCGAGGAGAACTTGTGGAGCACGGACTGTGGGGCAGTCGTGGTCTGTGAAGGTTACATTGGCCATTGTCGTACTGGTGTGTGGCAGGTCGACGATGGCGGGCTAGCTATCGGGAGGGGAAGGGGGAACGGAGGGCCCGTTCAGACTACGGGGGTAGCTTGGCACAGGTGATACCAAAAGAATGATAATGTACGACATTACATCCAGGTCTTCAGGAGTACTGGCCTGTATTGTCGACCGGTTGCGCGGCTGACAAGCCACATTTGTGAAACTGCCACAGGGATGTTAGACAAGACCGATAGAGGTCCTTTGAAGTTCCCCAGGCCGTATTGAAGGGTAGTCGAGTCGTGCTCCCGGGCGCTTGAGTGAGCGCTTGAGGCTTGGTAAGACCCTTCGTGTTGAAGATGATCTGTGGCGTCAGATCAAAGCAGTCGATCTGGCAATAGTATCCGCAACGTCAAATTGCTGCAATGGTCTGCTGTCGTGGCTCTAAGACTTGCACGACATCCTCCCGTCGCCCCAGCCTGATTGAGTGCTTTGGCAGTCTATCCAGAGTATGTTCTCGAGCGCGTGAAGAAGTTGTAGGATGTCTTCGCGAATGGGTTGAAACATGGCTGCTCGCTTGTTCCCATCCATTGGCGCGAGCTTCATCAGCTATAGCCAACGATTTCAGTAAGGATAGGTCGGACGGTCAGCTGTGTGGTGCATGATTGCGCCGTTCTGATATTCCGTGTATCTCACCGAGCGTAGGGATTTGCCATCAGCATGCGGCACAATGTGGACTCGATAGACTTCCCATTGCACCAGTCGTCCGGCAGTCGCCTTCATCTACGCTATTGATCGCTGCAAAGAGCCTGGCGATTGCGTGCGGCAGAAGCCGACGCTTGTGAGGTTGGATGCACGCGCAGATGTCGATGATGGTAGGGTGAGTCAGGAGGAATCGAAGGGGCATTGCAAGGCTCCTTGACACGTGGTGGAAATGACTTGGCCGTAGCGTCTGATCACATCATCATGCCTGGCTGCAGGTACAGGTGCTTGCGGCCAGGTCCTCACGCGGCTGGTCCCTGACACGGGTTGGTCACTTTTGCTTCCGGGCCTCGGGTTGACGCCCTTGGCCTCACCGCAACGTCTGCGTAAGCTACCCATCCAATTCACGCACTCGAGCTGTCCTACCGCCCTCACGTCTCGTCTTGTCTTGTGGTACCTCAAGATACCGCCGTTCGTCATGTCGCACTCTACTAGTCCCAAAGCCGACACTTCGCTGCCTAACCCCAGGGTGAGCAGTCTGGTCTACAGGTGCTCTTCTCACCAGAGGGAGAGCAGCAGTAATTCGCCACCGCAACCACTTGCTCAAAACACGATCATCACAAGTCGCTTCACAGCACTAAACGGTGTAGAAGACGACTACTGCTGGATCACAGACACAGGACTGCCAGAGGGTGTGCACGTGGTTCCTCATGCCGAGAGTGATTGCACGCGGCTTGTGAGTAGAAAGGCAGCTTACACGCAGTCAGTGGCACCCAGCTAACATCTCGATTCACATGCTCGCTTCAGATCCTCTGGCTTCAAACGATGGAAATTGTGCCCAGGACTATTCAGTCGAGGACTACATGGAAGGTCTCTCACGAGAATCAACTGCCGCTCGCGCACTCCATCTACAGACACCTCACAACAACGGACGGCGAGAGGAGAAGAGCACTTCTTCGGCCAACGAGAGGGGACCTTGTCCTACTCGTGCGAGTGCTTGAGGAAGGCCTTCAGAGGGAGGAGGAACGGGAGCACTCCACTTCAGCATGGCGCCCTCATTGGGGTGACATAGTAGAAGCAGGCTGGCCGAGAAAGGAGAGCTTTGGAACTTTTAGTCTACCGTCACATGAATATCAGCTGGACATCTTCGACCTCAAGCGCCGTACCATCTTGACTTACAAGGGTTCTGCAGAACCTCAAGCGGCCACTCGAGTGACAGGTGACGAACGCTACCCAATCACGCTCAAACATCCGCTAGACAGCATCCGTGCGCCTCTGAACGTACTCTCTGTCGTGGCGGTAGCGGTGTCTCAGATGAGATACATCAGCCGTGCACCTGGTCGGATTTACCGCGCAGATTTCATGGACGACCTGGATATCATGTCGTACATAATCAATCTGCTGGGCTGTCCCACTCCGACATACTTCAGAAGGCTTCAGAGACCTTCCGTCCTCCCTCCTCTCCCTGACTCTGCATCGCCTGCATCCTCGGAGCGAATACGCGAGTGGCCCTCGCGCGCACGAACACGCTCCTCCGCTGCAGCACCAGGTGTCCCCCAATTCTCCTCAAGTACGCCAGAGGGATACAAAGAGAACCTAGATCCCGCTCTGTACGGAATGGAAAGGGTGCAGATCGTAGAACAAGAGGCATCAGTCTCAACAGAGGCGGGGCATGATGACAGCGAACGGGACGGTGGCCCCGGCTCCCCGAAGAGCAGGGGAACAGAAGCAGAAGGGGAAGAAGGTCGCTCCAATGGTGGACACTACTCCCATAGCACCTCGGACCTCTCCAGCATCTCGATGCACACATCTTCGGAGTTGCAGGACGCCAAAGACGCAATGACAGTCTCCAGCGTCGAGGAGCCACCACCAGAAGAGCTACGGTCATCGGTCGAGGCAGGTGATTGCTACGAGCCTAGACCATTGAGTGTGGCGCACTGGCATGAGGAGTCGCGAGCCCTGGACGACAGGCAAGATGAGCTCTTCGAAAGTGCCGCATCGGCTCTTGCACAGCGTTTGCAAGCTTGCTCAAGTCACGTCGCTAGCGCAACCGTCGCTAGCGCAACCACACCACTATTCGACTTCCTCGTCAGTACTGAGCCTCTCGACATTACACCGATGCTACAATCAATCGATGAGCGCAGGGAGGAGCTGTTGGAACAGTGGGAAGACGGGCTGAAGTGGATGGAGACCTGACCCATTAGGAGAAGTCTCTCGCACACTCTTGCTTCTGGTCCCTTCTCAACATTACCAGACAGTGTTCACCGCAATCGCAAGTACAGCTTTTATCTCCGCGCTATTCACTTCAACGGAGGATATTATCGGTCCCAGTACAGGCTCATCTGGGAGATAATGGCAACCTCAACACCATCAAGTGGCAAAAGCCGTTGGTACAGCTACCCGACAAGCTGTCAGGCTTGCGTCATACACGAAATAGTGCATTAGTCGCATTTGCCTTGTTATCCGCTTGAGCAGCGGATCCTTCCCACTATCGAACAGAGGGATTGAAGAAGGACCTGTGAGACGAATTGGGCGATGCCAGTTGCAGGAACACCATATGCCTCACAATGTCTTGATATGCAGGTCGTCATTGCAATTGAATACGTTTAGACAATGCTCGTGCTGCTGCGCTTCAGATCTCTGTACCTCCTGTGCCGTTATGTTGCCGCTTCTGCCATTCTCCCTCGCGTTGCCAGACCAAACCGTTCTGTTCTTTCTCTAGGGCCAGTACTCTCTGCAACGCTCTCCTTAAATCGTTCTTGAGATCTTCTACTTCCTCCAGCCCGACGCTGAGACGAATGGTACCCGGGTCTTCGCTAGGCTCGGCGGCGATGCGATGCTCGATGAGGCTCTCGACTCCACCCAGGGAGGTGGCCGGTAGCCAAAAGGAGGTGAGGTGGGGTAGCCAAGCAGCGCGGTTGCCGCCCTTGTTCTGAGGACCATCGAGACGAATGGCAAAAGTAGGTGTGTGGCCTCCGGGCATCTGAAGGCGTGGGTCAAAGCCGACGGCTTCAGCTGGCTTCCCCGTGATCGGGTCTTGCTGATCAGCCGAGCGTGGTTGTAGAGAAGAGTGCGAGACCCATCCTACGATGCCCGAGGAACGGATGCTGGCGTCCTCAGGTGTAAGCTTCGAAGCATCGAGGGTGGCATTGCGATGGCAGAGGGCCCACAGCCAATTGGCGAGGGCCTCGGCGCTTTCGCTCTGGCGTTTGACTCGGACGGTGAGTGTGCGCAGAGAGCGTAACATGAGGTAGCTCTCAAGGTTGCCGGGCGCTGATCCAATGTACGTGCGATCGTGCCAGAGACCTGCTGCAGCTTTTGCGTCTTTGACAGCTACGACTCCCATGAGCAGGTCAGAGTGACCCCCAAAGTATTTTGTGCCCGAGTGCATGACACAATCTGCTCCTTGGTCGAATGGATTTTGGAGAGGTGGGGGCGCAAAGGTAGAATCGATGGCCAGGGTGCCGCCAGCTTTGTGTGCGAGTTTAGCGTAGTGGGTGATGTCTCTTGCTTCTCCACTGGGATTCAGCGGCGTCTCTAGCCAGACCAGCAGAGGACTGGAGGGCGTGGAGGCAGGATACGGTGCATCAAGGTCGATGAAGTTCTACCGGAGCATCGGCACAAAGCTTTGTGAGCAAAGGAGGGGGTCGAAGCAGCTGAGTGTACTGCCACAGACTCACCACATTGCCCTTTGTGCGAGCATAGACTGCGAAGCTTTCGTGGCATCCAAAGTAACCTCTCCGCAGGGCGATGGTTGTGGGCTGATAGAGGATGGCCACGGCATAAGCGGCATTGAGGCTGGACATCGAAAGAGGTAACGGTACCAGTGAGCTGATCGGCCCTGCTGTTTGACGCTGTGCTTACTCACCCGCTGGCGTATGTGATTGCTTTGCCTCCCATGATTTCCGACAGGACCCTCTCTACCCTGCCTCTGGTATCGCTGGTATACCTGGAGTAGATGTGCCCGGGTGGATTTGCATAGTCGATGTCTCCTTCGGAGGACGCTGCGAGGCGAGAAGTGGGATGCGGGGTGCGATAGGTGGTGGAGAGTTGAAGGTCGGGAGCGATGGGATGATTGGGGTTGATGCGGACGTCGGGCTGTTGGGGGCAGTGCAGGCGAGGGGAGATGGAGTTGAGTGACTAGGTGCTGTTTCTCCTTGCTCGCAGTTCTTCTCACCTCGTCTGCGTGCATCAGCAGCGTGGCCATGCTTGCGGTGAGTGGCTCTTCATGGTCCTCAAAGGCTGCCACTGCGGCGGCGGGGTGAACAAAGGGAGCGTGGCCTGGCATGGTGTGGGTGGTGTGGGCGATGTCAGAGCGGACAAGGTGGGTGGGTATCTATGGTACCGTACACGCAGAAGCACAACCAGGAGCGGAAGCCCAACTCTGCGACGCCCAGCCATGCCATTTTTCTCCCTCGGCTTTCGCGTCCCATTGCCGATCCGGTCTAGTCGCCTCCTACGCACGGTCCACGCAATGTTACTTGTCATGCGGTTCGCTGCTATCCTCCCGTATGAAGTGGGCGATGATGGTAGCATAGCATATCATAGCATACAAGGTAGCTCAAGGAGAGTGAGTACGAGGCCACAAGTGCGGTGAGCTACCTCGACGTATCGCGGCAGAGAATGATCGAATGCAGGGCAGCGAAGCCGGCAAGAGAAAGCACTCTGCCCCCTGACGCCGGCACGGGCTTCCGGATCCGTTCGGTGGATCAGAGGATGGACGAATACATCCACGAAGGCCAAGGGAATCTCGTCCACGACGTCTCCACCCAGAGGCTGCCCACCCACGATGGTACCTCTCACCTTCATTGTACTCTTGCTCTTAGGTCTCGCCCTAGGCACTGATCTCAAGGCCACTGCGCGCTTCTCGGCTTCAACCAGCGACACCTTCGCAGTCCAGCCCATCGAGTACGTCCCCAACAGATACATCATACGGTACAGGGATGACATCGTAGAAGACGAAGGACTGCACGAGGTGAGCAAGCCAACACAAGGCGTATCCTACAAGCACTGAAAGTGGGAGCGCTGACACTTGCAACGCATTGCTTCCCTTTAGAGCGCACTAGATGCCATATGCTCTCACGTGTCTCAGCATCTGGATGCAGACACCCAGGTCACCCATCGCTATCACATTCATGGCGAATTGGCAGGTGCTACCATTCAACTCCATCCCCGCAGGGCCACACAGTACATTCAAGACGCTACACCCATCCTCCGTCAAGCCCCTGAGGTGGCACACGTTTCGAAGGACAAGTATCTCCGTGTCTCAACGGATGGGGTGATCCGGAGGGCAGGAACCGCCTTTCAAAAGACTGCACAGAAGGCTCGAAGCACAGAGGTCAAGACGAAGAGAGATGTCGTCAGCTCCCCTTCCCTTACATCTACCAGCATGACCAACGACCCTCGACATTCGCTCACCGGCATCAGCATTCAGCATAAGCGCGGCAACCTGGGCAAAGGCGTCACCGTCTGTATCATGGATCACCTCGTCGATTACTCTCACCCGCATCTCAACGGCGGTAAGGGTGATGGTGTCCCTTGCTTTGGCGAAGGATGTCCAGTCATTGGCGGCCACGACTTCATCGGCGCAAACTTCGATTCGGTACATCGTCACCCCGGCAAACCCAACTACAAGAATGTGGCAGGCAATGTTGACTGTACGCATGGCACTCGCATAGCAAGCATCATAGCTGGACGGGACCCAGACAAGAAATACATTGGAGTCGCACCAGAGGCCTCCATTCGGACCTACGGCGTCATTCCATGCACTACCTCTCCCTACAACAGCTCAAGCGGCGGCACAACGGCAGCAGACGCGTTTGGCGCCTACAATCTCGCCTACAAGGACGGATGTGATGTACTTTCGGCCTCGGTGAGCTTCTCTGTAGGCTGGCAGGAGGCAACTTCGGAAGTCGTGTGAGTGAGGACAAGGGCTCAGCAGAGGTGGCTGAGTGGTTGGCTGAACAAACAGACTGCTCCGCATAAAGCTCCGCACTATCAAGAAAGGGAGTCACCTCTGTCTTTTCCGTAGGCAACGGAGGCATGTCGGGCCCGTTCCGCGTCGTAAGTCGACGAATGCCGTGGTTGAGTCTGCACCACTCTGACTGTGACTGACCATGATCTTCTACTCTCCACAGGGGACGCCAAGCATCGCAGCAGACGCACTAGCCGTCGGCTCCGTCAACGCCGGGACGGCCCCAACCTTCCCTCTACATATCGACCCTCCTCTCGATGACGGCACATCGGTGCTGAATTTGGCTGCTGGCTGGTCTTGGACGTACAACAGAACAGCTACGGCCATGCCGATTCGGTTCACTGCCGCAAGCCTGAAGGATCCGGAGCTTCTCAACGAGTGCGTATGGCCGAGCCTTATAATGGTGAAGTAGAAGTAGCATAGGCTGCTGACGTTCGCGCCATGATCTCAACAGTGCCTGTGCCCCTCTTGGTGACGAGATACCCAAGGGCGGCGACTACATTCTGGTTCTATTTCAAGCCAATGACTGTCTCTTTGAAGACCAGACGAAGCACTTCAAAGCCAAGGGCGTCAAGTTCGTGATTCGAGTCACGGCGAAAGATGAGTGAGTCAAGGTTGATCCATTGATTCTGTGTGTATATATACCCACTCGCTTACCTGCGCGGACTTGCTTCTCTCAAGACCATTCGGTGCATATCCTGCAGAGGTGACGGCAGACAATATCCGCCACGCCATGTTGTCGCGCGAACAAGGCCTCTCACTGTATCGACACTACCTCAAACACCGCGATGTCAAGGTCACTTTCTCTCCCGAAGGCCCTTTCGCTTTTGGAGAATATTCCATGAACAACACTGGTCTGATGTCCTACTTCTCTGCCTGGGGACCAGGTGAATAGGGCCGGGCGAGGGCACAAGAAGCACTCTTACGCTCATGGCTGCTGACACTTCATCTTGACCTTACTCATCATGTCAGATGGAGAAACGAAGCTCCTCAAGCCTGATTTGGTGGCCGTTGGTAGCGACGGCGTTGCAGCAGCGTCTCTCCCTCTCCGATATGAGATAGCGCAAGGTATGGTGACTTCGCAATCACATTGAGCCCCAAGTCGTTCTGACTCTGACAGTGATCCTCTCATTTTTGTCATACAGGCACCTCCTTCTCTTGCCCTTCGGTGTCTGGAGCAGTGGCGCTCTACAAAGCAGTGCATGGCCGCAACGTTTCGACCGATACAGTCACGCGCGCACTCAAACACACTGCCACTCGCGTGAAGCGCAGCCTGAAGCCTGGTGCTCAAGACGAGACCAACTTCAGGCAGGGCGCTGGGCTCATGAACATCACTGCCGCCATTGATCTCACGACAGAAGTCAGTCCTATCCAGCTCGTTTACGGAGAAAGCGCACAAGCCATCCTTTACAATGAGATTGCTGTGACCAACACAGCCAAGCAGAAGGTACTGTACAACATCAGTCATACACCAGCGCAGTCGGTGTATCTGCTGCAGAAAGGCGCACCGCAGTATAGAAGTGACAATTCTTCGGCCATGATCAGCAAGGTGCCTGATGAGGCTGACGCAGTCGCAAAATTTGAGTTCAATTCAGCTTCTTTCGAATTGGGACCGGGAGAGAACACAAAGTTCAGCGCTCGCCTCATTCCACCTCAGGATGACCCTCGCATTATCATGTACTCTGGAGTCATCCAGATCGCCGCATCGATCAGCACCGGCACTGTCCGCGTGCCATACACCGGTCTTGCAGGCTCGCTGCGTACCATTCCTGCTCTCGTCTCGGGTCCAACGCCCTTCAATACAAGTCTGCCCGCCCTCTTTGACTCTGACACCAACGAGCAGATCCGCAACGACTCGACGCACTGGACTTTGAGCAGCCAAGAAAACGGCAGCTATCCGCAACTATACTTCATGATGCAGACGCCCACGCTGCAGCTCACATGCGATGTCGTTAAAGCAGACATCGTCTACAAGCCGACCATTCCGATCATCGACGACCCCACTTGCTGTGCAGCGAAGTTCAAGGATCTTACCGAGCGCGACGTCGGAGGGAAGACACCTCCAGTCTACACGAGATTCGACGAGGTGCCCACCGTCGGAAGGTTGCAGATCAGGGACAATGTACCCAGGGACTACTTTGGCGACAATCTAGTCCCTACTGGAACCTGGGGCACCTGTTTTGCCGACTCCGAGACTTTCCCCATTGGCACAACGACTCTCGATCCTGCCTCTGAGCCTGTCCGTCTTCCCGAGGGAAAGTATAGAGTTTTGCTGCGCGCCTTGCGTCTCCATGCTGGTGACCCACGCCTGGAGGAGAATTGGGACTCGTACCTCAGTCATGCGTACGAGTTCAGGAAACGCCAGAGGGCTCCTGGTGAAGGAGGTAAGACGCCCTAGCAGCACAAATGATTCAAGAGGCGATGACAGCACAGAATGTACGGGGCCCATTCAGCCTTTTAGCACACCCGAATCCCGATGAAGGCAATGACAAAGACAATGACAGTCTGAACCCGCAATGCTCAGCAACGATGATGAGGATGTTGATTGTGAAAAGACAGTTTCTTTACGATCGAGCAATTCTTCTGCTTACTTTGCCGCTTCCGTGCTTTGTTTCATCCGCACTCTTCTCACCCAGCGTCTCTTCATCTAGCTATGAGGGACCCACTCCCTCCAGCTCTTGACCTCAGCGGGCAGCTTGCCCTCTTCCCACCCACTCAACCCTCCGCTCTGCTTCATCTTGTGCTCGAGTGCCAGACACCACAGCTTGGCACAGGCGGCATTGTTGATCAGCGGCAATCCAAAGTCGACGGCATTCCTGCGCGCGACATAGTCCTGGTCCAGCAGGGTAGACGCACGCTGCTTGGCGAGGTTGATTACAAACTGGATGTCGTACTCGTCGAACACCTCTCGGAGCTTCCTCTTGTCCTTGAGCGGGAAGTAGATGCGCTGTGCTCGTACTCGGGGCAAGTCGTTGAGGAAGGCCTCGACGGCAGGGTCGGAGCAGTACAGCTTGAAGCCCATGTCGTAGAGACGGGTTGCCACTTCGGGAAACTCGGGCTTGGTGACATCACCGCCCATCAGGACACCCTTCTTGGGCTCGGGAACTCGGAAGCCCGTCTGGGAGCACATGGCAGCCCAGTAGGCTTCAGCCATGTCCTTACCGAACGAGGCAATCTCTCCAGTCGAGGCCATTTCTGTAAGAGGAGAGCAGCGAGGAGATGTGATCAGCATATGTACACAATGAGCGAAATCTCGACTTGTATCCATCTCCAATTTCCACGCCACGTCCCGCACCATCCTAGGCTCAGAAGTGTAAAAATAAGGTAGCGGAATATTTTCGGCATCGACAAAACGGACGGGACATAGTCCCATCCGCAAGTCATACAGCCAAATGCCTCCAAGCATCATTGCCGGTGCGGGGACTCGTCTCTCTCTCCAGCACTATTCTCTCGCTCAAAAGCCAAGCGCAAAACTCACCTACACCCAAGAAGGGATCAGCGCCGGCCAACCTAGTCCACGAGAATTGCGAGACCTTGATCGCGACGTAGTCCCTGAGCTCGCTCATCGGGTCCTGTGGCTTTGGCACGTCCTCTCCGACAATGGCAGAAGTAGCAATGTCAATGAAGTTGACACCCAGGACTTTGCTGACAAAGGGGAAGGACCTAGAGGCTCGCAAGTTGCACTCGATGACCTTCAGGACTGCTTCCTTCTCGCCAGAGTCCTTTCGGATGACTTGCATGTTGAAAGGTCCAGAAATCTCAAAGGCCTTGGCGACCTTCTGGGCAATGACCTTCAGCCTGGCCATGTCGTTGGGGTCCAAAGAGAAAGGAGGGAGCACAAGAGTGGCATCGCCAGAGTGCACACCGGCATTCTCGACGTGCTCAGAGACGGCGTGAATGAGCAGTTCACCCTTGTAGGCGACTGCGTCAATGTCGATCTCTTGAGCATTGTCGATGAACTTGGTCAAGACGACGGGGTAGTCAGTGTTGACCTCGGCAGCAGCGGTGAGGTGGTTCTCCAAGGTTGACTCGTCCCAGATGATGTTCATGGCCGCACCGGACAGTACGTATGAGGGTCGGACAAGGACAGGGTAGCCTACCTCGGCAGCAAAGTCCTTGGCCTTCTGGACTGAGGTGGCCTCGGTCCACTCAGGCTGATCGACTCCGATGGAGTCCAAGATCCCACTGAACTTGTGTCGGTCCTCGGCATTGTCGATCATGACTGGATCGGTACCGAGAACGTTGACTCCAGTGTCCTTCAGCCTGAGGGCAATGTTCTGCGGCAGCTGGCCTCCGACACTGACCACCACACCGGTAGCGCCTTCCAGCTCGTAGATGTCCATGACTCGCTCGAACGACAGCTCTTCGAAGTACAGTCGATCGGCCTCGTCGAAGTCGGTCGAGACTGTCTCAGGGTTGTAGTTGATCATGATGGTTCGATGCTTCAGATCCCTGACTTTGCGGGCACAAGTGACTGCACACCAATCGAACTCTACAGAGCTACCAATGCGGTACACTCCGGAACCCAGAACCATTGTACCGTGCTCGTCAAATTCGACGTCGTGCGAAGAGGCATTGTAGGTCGTGAAGAGGTAGTTGGTGTGAGCAGGGTACTCGCCAGCTACGGTATCAATTCGTTTGACGAATGGAGTGATGCCGAGAGCCTTTCGGGCGGTACGGACCTCGACTTCCTTGCAGCCAACGAGACCAGCGATCTGCTTGTCAGAGAATCCTCGCTGCTTGGCAAGCTGCATGAGGTCCTTGTCGACTGCCGAGAGGGAGCCGAGTTCCTTGAGCTGTCGGTGGATTTGAACGATGTTGTCCAGCTTGTAGAGGAAGAACCTGTCAATCTTGGTCAGGTCGTGGAGCTTCTCCACATCATAGCCCTTGACCAACATGGCATGCGCGATTGCGAAGAGTCGCGTGTCAGTGGGTACACTGAGGGCGTTCTCCAGATCCTCGGGGGCGACGTATGCCTCGAAGCCATCATAGTTAGGAGCCACCTGACGAATGGCCTTCTGCAGCGACTCCTCAAAAGTTCTGCCGATGGCCATGACTTCTCCCACAGATTTCATGGAAGAGCCAACCTCACGGTTGACATGCTGGAACTTAGACAAGTCCCACTTGGGAATCTTTGTGACAATGTAGTCTAGTGCTGGCTCGAAACAGGCAGTAGTGGTCTTTGTTACTGCGTTTGGCAGCTCTGGAAGGGTGTGGCCCAGAGCGAGCTTGGCCGCGGTGTAGGCCAAGGGGTATCCGGTTGCCTTGGACGCCAAAGCCGATGACCTGGAAAGTCGGGGGTTGACCTCGATGACTCGGTAGTCCCTGGAGTTGGGGTCCAGGGCGTACTGAATGTTGCACTCTCCGACGATGCCCAGGTGACGGATGACCTTGAGAGCAGCCGATCGCAGCATGTGGTAGTTGTCGTCGGACAGAGTCTGGGAAGGAGCCACGACGATGGAGTCACCGGTGTGGATACCGAGGGGGTCAAAGTTCTCCATGTTACAGCAAATGAGGGCGTTGTCCTCCTGGTCTCGGAGCACTTCGTACTCGCTTTCCTTCCAGCCCTTGAGACTCTTCTCTACCAAGATCTGAGGGCTGAGGGAAAGAGACCTGGCGCTCAGGTCTCGCAGCTCGTCTTCGTTCTCGGCAAAGCCGGATCCAAGACCGCCCAAGGCGTAAGCTGCTCGAACGATGACTGGGTAGCCAATTGCTTGGGCAGCCTTGAGAGCTGCTGGGACCGAGGAAACTGCCTCTGACTTGGCCACAGGGATGTTGATCTGGTCGAGGGCTTGGACGAAGAGCTCCCTGTCCTCGCACATTCGCAGGACGTCGACTTGGGAACCAAGGACCTTGACACCCAGTCGCTCAAAGACTCCCATCTCATCGAGCTTGACTCCGACGTTGAGAGCGGACTGACCTCCGAAAGTGAGGAGAACTCCATCTGGTCGCTCCTTTTCCAAGACGTAGGCGACATAGTCTGGGGAGATGGGTAGAAAGTAGATCTGAGAGGCCAGATGATGACTGGTCTGGATCGTGGCGATGTTTGGGTTGATCAAGATCGTCTCGATGCCCGACTCCCTGAGAGCCTTGATGGCTTGGGATCCAGAGTAGTCGAATTCACCAGCCTGGCCAATGCTGAGACCTCCGGATCCGACGAGGAGGACCTTTTTGACCTGAGCTCGCTCGACCTTGGGTAGGAACTTGCTCCACTCCTTCATACCTTCAGCGACAGCATCGACGCTCTCCTGTACGGCTGCAGCGCGGACCTGAGTGGGCTTGGGGAGTCCTTGCTGGAGTGTCTGGTGTACACCCCACTTGCTAGTTGCGTGAAAGGCACGGGTGGTGGAGGCCTTGAAGGGTCGCAAAGGTGGGATGGAGGGTATTGTGGCGCAGTTGGCGATGGAAGGGGCTATCCTGAGAGAGTGTCGAGCTGATGAAGCTAGAGAGGCTCGGAGGAGGGACGAGGTGTGGGCGTGGGACGCCATGGGTGGATACATGCTGGCGAAGCTTTGCGCTCGATGCAGCGGGAAGGTCAAGCTGGCAGTGGGAGGCAGTGTTGGTGGGCGGGGGATGTGTGTTGGAGGGGGGGAGGGAGGTTGGCTGCGGTAGTTCAAGAAGGTGGTGAGCCTCAGAGGGGTGTGCGGCGAGGGTAGATGGGTAGGTGGGTAGCTTGGTAGGCAGGCGTGACTGGCAGGAAGAAGGGGCAGTGATAGGAAGCGCCCAATGATAACGGCGAGTTGCCCCGCTGCCAAATTCTTCTTCCGAGTCACGCCCGCACACGCACGCACGCACTCGGGCCAACGAGGTTTGTGCGCGCGCCAAAAAACGCGGATCGGAACCATCGAGGCCCCATCGGCGAATTTGGTAGCAAGGACAGGCCGCACGGCACGGCAAAGACGCCGACGGCACAGACAGCATTCATTCGTGAATGGCACCCTTATCGGCTGGATCCGCCCGAGCCTACTTCAGACCACCACCGACCTGGCACGCAAACAAAGTGGTAGACGGTAGACAACAGCGGTATAATTGGAGACAATGTAGCGAATATGGCGCTGAACGCAGGCATTTGCGACTATACATGCCCTGCTCAGGGGTGATATAGTCCCCGCATCGCTTACGTGGAGTGGCTCCTACATGGACTCTCTCTTCACTTGGGGGGAGGTCCATACTTGCTTCCACCATCCGTGAACAAAGTCTCACCGGTAAGATTTGTGTCCTTGAGAAGCCCAAGGTAGGTCTGAGCCACCTCCTCTGGCTGACCCACCTTGTGGGTGAGGGACCCCTCTCCGGCAGCCTTGAGGAAGCCCTTGCGCGTATCCTCTGGCATGCCGCTCCACAGCTCCGTCTCCACAGGACCTGGAGAGACGACGTTGACTCTGATCGAGTGCTTGGAAAGGTCGTAGGCGAGCTGTCGACCGAGAGAGATCAGTCCTCCTGCGTAGCCTGCAACAACGGCCCAGTCTGGTCGTGGGTGAACAGAGATGGACCCAGTGGTAAGGATGATGGCGCCTCCCTTGTTCAGACGAGGTTGAGCAAACTTGCTCGCCAGGACCGCAGAGGTGAACCTCACCTCTCCTGCCTCGATGATCTGTTGGTAGGTGAGCTTCTCGAGGGGCACTAGAGCTAGCGAGTCTCCAGCGGTGTGGATGAAATAGTCGAGAGGACCAGAGAGACCGGCAAACAGGTCCTCGAGGGATTTCTGAGGTGGATCAAAGGTAAAGTGTGGTCAGTCAAAGGCCCAGCTGTTTGTCCAGCCTGTCACACTCCTCGGCGATGTCTACTGACCTCCATCTCCGGTCCTTTGAGGTTGCATACCTTGCCCTGCACTCGAGACTTGTCTGCATTGTACTGCATCTCTGGATCGCTTAGCCTCTTGACGGCATCGTCGACTCTAGACTGCGAGGAAGAAGAGACGATCACATGAGCTCCCTCTTCGATGAGGGCAGAAGCTACTGCAAAGCCGATGCCCGAGGTGCCGCCGATGATCAATGCGACCTTGTTGGTGAGAAGAGACGTGTACTTGGGTGTAGGCGCCATGATGTGGTATATCGATGCGAATCCAAAGGTCTGTGGAGGTTGGAAAAGTGAGATCAAATCAACAGCACTTCATATAGTATTCGATCTTGCCGTGAGGGTCCACCTTGAGGTAATATCCAAGATTCCGGCGTCTGCCCTCCACACATCCTTGCCGCTTTTGCCGAAGCGGACATAAGCGCCGATCGGGCCAGGTAATATTTTGATCCACAGAGCATACACATCGTACTCCTCCCATGGGCGTAAGCTTGTGTCATCGTTGAGGGGGGTCAGAAGGCCATCTCCTACCATCAATCACATACTACAGATAAGCTCGATGACGAGGTCCGCACGATGTAGCAGTCAAGACGGAGCGAGGGGGCGTTTGCGCCTGGGAACCCAAGCAAAGGGTGTCAGGAGCAAAGGGTGGCCTACAAGCTTTTGCTGATCGCTTCGAGGTCGTGGAGGACGATTTCTCACCATTCACTCCAGGCAGATAGACTTACCGTCGAGCAGCATGAGTGAGCTCCGTGACACAGGTGCTGACAGACGTGCGTGGCGAGGTAAGCGGTACCACCCAGATCTCGGCCGTAAGCTGACGCGTTCTTTACGCTGCATCTCATGCTGATTCTAAGAATCTCACTTCCTAGTAGAAGGTAGTGGCTCATGGCGTGCAACCTCTTGTGGCAATATCACGGTCAAGACGATAGAGGGAAAGGGACGCGGTGCCTTCTGGGAGCCTGAGAAGGGCGAAACCTGCAAAGCTGGTAAGGGCATAACGTCACCTCAATTGGGAGTCGGGACGAGACAGCTTACCCCGCTCTCTTTGGTCACACAGGGACTCTCCTCTTCGCTTCTGAGCCACTATTACAAGTTGTTGGTATCCCACATTTGGCCACACACTGCTCGCACTGCATTCTCCCCATCAGCGGTAAGCTCTTTGTATGCAAAGGCTGCAAAGTACTGAAGTATTGCTCCGCAAGGTGCCAGAGCGTTGATGCACGTTGGCATCGTGACATCGAGTGTCAAGCGCTTCGTCGGTGGACAAAGCTGGGCTCAGACATCAGAGGCAAAGGAAAGGAATGGTTCGAGACACAATGGGTAGGACCGCTCGAAGGAGATACTGCTCCCGCTCCTGAGTCCGGGCAGTCCAACGCGGGCGAGATTGTGACTGACCATGCGGCCCCCACGAGGTTGGTACGAGCAGTCGGTAGGGCCTTGTTCGCCCAGAAGAAAGGCGTCAGCGTCGAGAAAGAGGTGAGTACAGCGATGCAGCGGTCCTGTACCAGCGTGTTCACAAAGTGATCCCACTGTGATCTCGCTTCTTCGGTCATTATAGGGCATCTTGTTCGACGACCTGCACGGAGGTTAGTCCCTCTGAGTGGGGATGAGTCCTTGCTTCCTCTATACTGACACCTCTTATCGTGTACTTGCCTCACTAGAACCACCCACCGTACAGGCAACTCTCATGTCCATGGACTTACAAAAGAAGTGGTCCGCAACACTGACGCAGCTGCGGCAGTACCTGTGTGTGGCTGAGGGTCTCGGTGTCAAGCATGCAGTTGCAGGCGACAACAGATTCATGGTCATGATGGAGAGAGAGTATGGCTTGAGCGAGCCTGATAGCCTGAGTGTCACGCTGAGCAAAGTGAGCACGAACGTGTCCTCGAAAACCTGACTCCATTCTACTGAAGCAACCATGCCCATCCCTCTCAATTGTACAGGTCAAACAGAATTGCTTCAGCAATGAAGCACAGGGCATCTCGCTATATGGACTCCTCTCCCTGGTCAACAGCTCCTGTGTTCCCAATTGCACAGTCATAGAAGACCCTGTCGATGGGCGGAAAGTCATCTTTGCCAGAAGGGACATCGTGCGGGGAGAGGAGGTGGGTGACGTCGTTGCCGGGAGGCCACCTTACTCACCAAACTGACATCTTCGTGTTGGATCTCTGCTGCCAACTTCGCCCAGCTCACCTTCTCCTACTCGCACCTCTCCTCACCGCGCTGGATCCGTCAACTGCACTGCTTCATCGAGTACGGCTACACATGCTCCTGTTCAGTCTGCGTCGCAACAGAGCAAACTCTGGAGATACTCAAGAAGATCAACGAGGTGTACGATGTCGAAAAGATTGCGGAAAGTACGGAAGACATGTATGCCAAGGAGCTCCAAGTCTCAAGATCTCTGTTCGTCGATGCAAGGGACGTCTTGTGGTGTGCCCAGCCGGATTGCGAGGGACGAAGACCACTGCCGGGTAGGTCCTTCAGTCCACTACAGATGCGAGTGACCTATACTGACCAGCGTGTCTGGCCTCCACAGAACCCACTCAAGCTGGCGACGCCCCACCGGTCCTGACCTTTTGCAACACCTGCTTCCACCTCTCCGTTGTGCCCAACGACCTGACCAAGTACATCATGTGCGCCCCCTCCCTGCTGAAAGAATACCAGAGCCAACCCTCCTCCGCCGGACGAACATGGGAAGAAGCCTACCCGACTTTCAACTTCTTTGCTTCCCTCGCACACCCCTGCGTAGAAGGCATCGCCGGCCTCCTCAAGCAGGGGAGGGACCTCCTCGTGCGTCTAGGCGAGGACGACTCGCGGGACGAGGACGTCTACCCGCTCCTCGCAATCATCGAAGGGATCATCCGTATTGCTCTCCTCGAACTGCAGGGTCTGCAGGAAGGGTGCGTCTACCCGTCAGGGAGTATCGAGAGACTAATGGCTCTTGGCCGAGTGTGCGAGTATCTTGAAGAGCACCGCGCGATCAGTCTTGCGTTGGGCGTCGAGACGTACGTGGATGCCGCCAAGTCGCTCCGCTTCAGAAGACCATTCCCGCCTTTTCCTGTCAGTAAAGGAGGTAGGGAGGCGCTATACGTCTCCCTGGTCAAGGAGCTGAAGAGCGAGCTGGAAGTAGTGCAGAGCAGCGAGGGCCTGCGTCTCCTTGCAGTGGACGCCATTGAGTGGAAAGACGGGATGACACTGGACAGTGCGATTGTGTACCTGGAAGAGCGAGTAGGGGTGCTGGAGCCTGAAGGCTGGAAGAGCGAAGGGATCGTGCCCTTTGTCACTGGCGGATGACACACTAGACGATCCCTCACAGGCTCCGGTCCAAAAATGTGCAGAGCCGATACATGGTATTATATCTATACACGTCCACAGCAATGTGACCGTAGCCACGACAGCAATAGCTAGTCCTTCTTTCTTCCCATCAGAGTCCTGTACCCCCGTCCGACCCTGTTCCTCTCCCCATCTTGCGCCGCCCGCACGTATCGAAGTAAGCCGAACATGAGTCCGACCAGTACAAGCAGGCTGAGGATCCAGTGATGGCTGGCGAATCGGACCATCACATCAGTTCCCCTATCGAAGCGCGAGCGGGTGGAGCGCCTCGCCCTGCTTTGCTCTCCGCGGGAGATCGAGGTGAGGAAGGGCAGCAGACCAAGGTCGTCCACGAAGGTGGAGAGAGACTTGGGCAGGGACTTTGTGCTGTCGAGTGCAGCTCCCTGAACAGTCTTGTTACTGGATGCTCCCTCTCCGAGCCAGGTAGACACCTCTCTGCTCTGGCCAAAGTAGGTGGTCCTGCTCGTGAAGCCTGCGGGCGGGTGAGAACCGGCAGGTGGCGGGTCGAGAGCGCTGATGTCGACCAATTTGCTGGGGCTGAGAGTGGGAAGCTCCCAGTAGCTCATCTCTGCCGTATCGACTAGCAGGAGAGCAGGCAGACGATCCTGCAAGGGTGTGCTGAGCTTGTAGTACTTCTTCAGAGCAGAGCGATGCCGATCAGCGTCGATCCAGGCCCAAAGCAGACCGCCTGAAGAGGTATACCTTGGTGCGTCGGAATCGAGCCTCGACTGGCTCTTGTTGAAAATCATCCCACTCTCTCTCCAGGCGATAGCCATCCGCTTCAAAGCTGCCAGCTCACCCCTCCGCCACACTTCACCGCTCCCAGTAGCGTACGTCTGTCCATCGTGCTGTTCACCGCTGACCAGCGCTAGTGCAACTGGTGCCGAGTGAACATTGTTCATCACGTCTACCCAGGCGTCCCCGCCCACTTGCGACACGGTTGGGTATCGTGTCCAATCCAGCCACTGGGAGAGGTGAGTCCGCTGTGAAGTGGCATTGAAGCTGGCAGGAACGAGGTACGAGCTCACGGGCGAATTGGCGCTGTGGTCCTTGAAGGCCAGCAAAGCAGAGCGATAGCGGCCACCCGAAGTCCGACTGCCCTTCCACGACGACAAATTCGACTTGAATAGATCTATCAGCTCTCGAGATGTAGAGCGATAGACTCTGTATGGACTCGTGAAGAGCGTGCGAGAAGCCAATGTGACGAGGCGTCGCTCCTCTTCCAGAGCAGCTGGCATCCCTGTGTCCAGTGGTCCCTCGCGCTCAACGACCCACAGGAATCGAACCTCTTGCGTCCTGGCAATATCATCTCGCCACTGCCTGCCATCTTTGATCTCGACTAGATCCACGACCTCCTCCTGCGCCGCCTTTTCGCACCAACCCAGCATACCTTCGAAAGTCCTGCTTCCGCGATACTCGCTGACAAGCTCATTGACTGGACTGTACAATCGCAGCGTTGGGTAGCTCTTGACATGGAAGGCTCTGCAGACGTCATGGTTGGCTTCACAGTCCACCTCGAGGATGTTGAGCTTATTTTTGAGGGGCTCGGCAAGCTTCTCGAACGCTTGAGCCATTGCGCGACAATGCGGGCACCACGGTGCAAAGAATTTGACAAAGGTGCCACCTTTGGCAGGGGTGAGCTTGCGGTTTCCAGGCAAGTCGGTAGGGGGAGCAGCCATGGGTGCTGCGGCATTGGACAGATGAGCGCCTCCATTTCCTTTGGCTGCGTCCGTCGCTCCTGTTCCGAGGTGACCTTCGTTGGCATTCGCGGCTGTGATGCGCTTGGGATCGGGAGGCCTAGGGATCCGCAGAGGCCCGCCCCCCTTTCTTTGCGGGGGGAGAGGTTGGGTATCTTCCGCAGATACTCCTAGCCAATCACGCAGCTCGTCAATCGTGGTCAAGCCGGGCGAGCTGCCAAATTTGAGAAGCTTGCCGTACGGATTGGGCAGACTGAGATCGATGGGAGGTGGTGGAGGCGGGGAGGGTTTTGCAGGCGGAGGCGGCGGTGGAGGCGGCAGAGGCGGCGGCGCAGGTACTGCTTGCTGCTGTTGCTCAGGAGCTGCGGCTTGTTGTGGCGGAGGAGCAGAAGGTTGGGGTTGCAGAATGTCCCGCGCCGTCGTCGCTGCCAGTAGCTGTGCAGAGTCAGTGCCTGGCTGTGGGGCGATGGGGTAAGGTTGCGATACCACGGGCTGCGGAGGTGGAATGGGCGCCACTACTGCTGCTGGCCCTTGGAGCACATTCTGACCACCAGCTGCGCCCGTACTGCCTTTGCTCTGCCGGTAGTCTTTGACCTCTTCGTCGATCCAGGCGGCGAGCTCGGTATACTCTCTGTTGCCTTGGTACTCGCTCTGAGCCATCTTGCCATCCTTGTAAAGACTGAGCCGGGGGAAGTGAGGGACCCCTTCCTGTACGCAGAGGTCTCCCTGAGCATGACAATTGACCTGCGCTAGACGAAAGGGAGCTGCGGGATCGTCGCTGGCGAGAGTTGCCTTGTTCTTGACCAGCTCTGCCCAGAGGGGCAGGAATGCCTTGCAGGGCGTGCAGTAGGGCGAGTAGAACTCGATGAGCCACGAACCCTGTGATATCGACGAGGACCAATTGGACGATGTGAGCTGGACAAGGTCAGGCAGCGTCCCATCTGACAATTGCGTTGGAGCGCAGAGCGAGGTGGGGGGGCTGCTCAAGAAGAAGAAGAGGACCAAGGCCGTGGCTGTGGGCAGCAGCGAGGGCATCATCGTGCCGGCACGCGCCCTGTGCGACGCTCGCAGTCACAGCTGGACGTCGATGTGAGTCAGAGTGAGGCTCACTGCCGCGTCGGTGTTGCTGCGGACCAGGTACGGTGCGATGATGATACGAGGGACGTAGATGGAGGCTGGTTATCTGCGCTACACATTGGCATCACTCGACGGTACCAATCGCGGCAGGCAGCTCGGCCGGGGACATTGAGACTCCGCTCGCCTCCTCCCCGCACTTCCGCAACTTTGGTCCTTCCGTCAAGGCGAGGCGGTAAGCAGCAGCAGCACATCACCATCACCACCACGCCACCTTCAACGGTACACACCCGCAGCACGCTAGCTCAGATACAGCTACGTAGAGCACACAAGATCATAGATGACCTGAACATCCTTCGCTTGAGCCGCTACCAGCCATGGCTCCATCACCGGCACCCAGGCGCAAGCAGCGGCCCAGCGCTTCCGCCACCGCCTCCTCCTCCTCGAGTGGAGCCACTCCCACGCTCCTGTCCTTCTTCCAGCAAAAGGCAGGTGCATCGCCTGCATCGCCATCTTCCCCAAGAGCTGAGAGACAGTCGCCCACGAAGCCTTCGCCAAGGTCGGACGCTTCTCTAGCATCGGCAGCAGCATCTGCTCCAGCTAATGAGGCTGAGCAGCTGCAGTGGGCCATGAGGGAGAGCTTGAGAGAAGAGGAGGAGAGGAAGAGTAGAGGAGAAGCAGAGGTGGCAAGAGCACTGGCAGAAGCACACAGTCGTGGTGAAGGTAGTAGCAAGGATCACATGCCGCCTCCTCCTTCCCCTGCTGCTGCTGCTGCTGCTAGGTCTGCCTCCCCACGCTTACCACCACTCAAGAAGGTCAAGCTGGAAGAGCGCGAGGATGGCTTTGGTCCTATCGCTCCAGCAGAGGCTCTTACCACTATTGCAAGTACAGAGTCTGCTGCTACTGTCAACGTCAAGAGGGAGAGGAGGTCCGTCTCACCAGCCCTACCTCCTCCTCCTCCCTCTGCGGTAGCGGGCAAGGCTCGCGCCACTCTCCCGTCACCAGCTGCCGCTTCATCTTCGTCGTCCTCACGCGACGCCTTTTCACTACTCATGTCCAATACCAACGTACCCGGTGCACCGCTCGCAGGCCCTTCCGCCACATCCTTGTCGACGCAATTGATAGGACCTCGTACCTCGACGGACCTAGACCCTTTGCTGACTCCCTCGACGCTCCTCAAGCTCTGGTCTCACTGCGATGCCATCGAAGGTCGCAATCGAGCGCTCAAGGGCACCCGCAAGCCCCGAGGAGTGCCCTTTTACAAGGTACTCCACGGCATGCCTCTCTCCGTCGATGCCTTTCGCTTCGGCGCCATCCCTGGCTGCGTAGGCTATTTCCTCTCCCACGCCCATTCCGATCACTACGTTGGTCTCTCGCACAATTGGTCTGCCGGACCAGTCTACTGCACAGAGACGACTGCAAACCTCCTCGCTACTTCGTTACGAGTGCCACGGGCCTTTTTGCATCCACTGCCATTGCAAGAGGAGGTGGAGATCCCGCACAGTGGAGGTATCAAAGTGACATTGCTTCCAGCGAATCACTGTCCCGGTTCGTGTGTCTTCCTCTTCCGGGGACCACGAACTGCATACATCCTTCAGCCAGCTCCTGCCTCGTATGGCATCCCTGCCCCTCTATCACTTCCCTTTCTCGACATGACCGGCAGAGAAAAGGAGTGGATCTACTTGCACTGTGGCGACTTTCGTGCTTCGCCCTATCTCCTAGAGCACCCGCGCATCAAGGGAAAACACATCGATATCATCTACCTCGACACTACGTACCTCAATCCGCGCTACTGCTTTCCAGCACAGGAAGAAGTGGTGAGAGAGTGTGGGCAGTGCGCGTATGGTATGCTTGCCAGCGACGAGGAGCGCGCTCGAGCAGATGAGCAACGCCGCAAGTGGGAGAGCGAAGGCATCGTCGTCGAGCGGGCAGACAGCAAAACGTGGCGGGTGAACAAGCGCGAGCGCGAAGCCGAGGAGAAGCGTATACAGCTTGAGGGGGAGAGAAAAGGAATGCGGCGGTGGATGGGGATACAGGACACGGCCAAGAGAGAGGAGGGCGAGGAGGATGACAAAACCACCGGGATAGGACGAGTCATTGTCAAGCCGCCGTTAGGGACATTGGCAAAGGGTCTGTTCCGCTATGATGAAGAGCCTGACAGTGACGAGGATGTCAAAGTGTCAGTCGATGAGGACGAAGAAGCGGCATGGATGGCTGCACATCAAGTAAAGGCAGAAGAACCCGAAGCCGACGTTCGCAATCCGTCAGAGAGCCTTGCTGACCTCACCGCAGAGCAAGACGAGGAAGAAGAAGATGCCGACGATTTCGGCCTTGGCGAGCTGGCGGAGGAAGATCTAGCTTTGGACGACGGCGAGTTGGCCGAGCTGCAAGGTCCTCTCGAGGACGAGCCAAGCCAACTGGATCAAGGTGACGATGCAGACTTTGGCGATCCAGATGATGGTGACGGTGTCGATGAATCCAAGGCAGACATCCAGTCTTCCATCGACACGCGCCGCTCAACTGCTACGCAATCGACCCTCCCCTTTACTTTCTCCTTCAATGGCTCTCCCTCTTCTCGCCTGCTAGTCCTCGTCGGCACCTACTCCATCGGCAAGGAGAAAGTAGCCCTCTCTTGTGCCCTCCGTCTAGGCACGCGCATCTTCTGCTGCGATCAACGCAAGTATCGTATCTTCCAACAACTCGTCGATGAACCCCTCTTACAGTCCCTCCTCACCAAAGACCCCTTCAAGGCACAAGTGCACGTGACGAATCTTTTTGCTCTTAACTTTGAGAGTCTCACAGGCCACTTGAAGGCTCTGCACAAGCAGGCAGAGGAGAGGACTGCAGCAGGTGAAAAGGGACTGGAGCCATTCGGTCGCATCGTCGCTTTCAGACCAACAGGCTGGGCCTACAAGCCCCGCCCTGGCGAGTCGACGGAGCCTAGTCTCGCCCGCCTCCTCTCGGCCAACCTCACCTCGCAACCCTACTCGCACAGGACCTTCCAGCCAACTCGCGACTCGACTCGTCAAGTACAGATCCTCCCTATTCCTTACTCGGAGCACTCCTCCTTCCTAGAGCTCAGTGCATTCATGATTGGGCTGGACAGTTGGGGCAGATGTGTCCCTACTGTGAATGTGGGCAATGGGAAGAGTAGGGCAAAGATGGAGGCATGGATTCGAAAGTGGAAAGAGGAAGGGGTGAGGAGACGTCGCAAGGGGAAGAAGGTCGAATTGAGCGAATTGGCTAGACAGATGGAGTACTTCTGATTCGGGCTCCTAGAGGAGAGTGGGAGCCCGCATTGTGTATTTTGTACATGAAAGCAGTGGGTATGCGACATCTATTGTATTAAATTTGCTGCGTCAAGACTGCACTGCGTGTGGTGTGATGTTGTGCAACTTAAGCAGGTACCCTCCACACTCTCACCGTCCCATCATCGCCAGTACTGCAGATGAGATCATCCCACCTCTGGTCCTGCTTTGCTCCCGCTCTTGCTCCACTCTCACCCATCTCCTCATCCTCATCATCATCGACTTCCTGGAATCTGCTCTCTTCACCTTCTTGAGGAGCATCTGGGAAATCCTCTGCTTCAAGGCCGGATGCTCGTCCACTCAAGTCGGGCGGACCAAAGGAAAGGGCGTTTAGGTCTGAGACGCCGTGTGCGTCTTGGACGGTGGAGTGTAGATTGACGATGGGTGTGGCGGAAGAGGGGGAAGACGGCGGTAGCTGGGAGACGATATGGTGGATCAAAGATGTCAGCATTCTTTTCCGTCAGCTTGCTGTTCTCGTGCAGGTCCCGCCTACTCACCACTTCAAAAACGCATATCCTGCCATCACCTCCCCCCGCTGCGATCCTGCCTAGTGTCCCCTCTCTTCCCCTCGCCCAGTCGACCGAGTAGACTGTCCGAGTCCACCATCCCTTGACGATGTTTGTGCAGATCCACTTTTCTCCCTTTCTGCCAGGCATCTTCCCATCCACCTTGAGTCCTCTCCGCTCTGCCTCTTCCTCATCCAGCCGAGTCCAGATACGCAGCGTCTCATCATCGCTGGCCGACACGAGGTACTTTCCGCAGGGCGAGAACTTGAGAGACCATACGGTAGAAGTGTGGCCTGTGAGTGTGGCATAGCAGAACCAGTCCTCCCCTGGGTCATCGAGGTACAGCTTGATCGTATCGTCGTAGGAGCCGCTGGCGAGGACATCCTCTGCAGTAGACCATGCGACGCACTTGACGTCCTGTGAGTGCTCCATGAGTACGCTCAGACACTCAAAGTCTCCATCAGGCTGTACCTCCCATATCCACACGGACTTGTCTCTGGAGCAGCTCGCCAAGAGCGACCCGGTACGCGAAAATGCGACGGACTTGCACTCGGACTCGTGGCCCTCGAGTGTACCGATGCAGTCCCAGACCAGCGACGAGGATGCGCCCTGTGAAGGGTTGCCAGCCACGTCTACCGTCGATGGCTCATTGGAAAAGGACTCGAGCGGCTGCCAGATGCCTACAGTCGAATCAAACGAGGCAGTGGCCAGTGTGCGGCCAGAGGGTGACCAGGCCACCTGCCGTACGGTGCGCTTGTGGCCAGTGGGGATCGTCTCCCGCAGAGTAAAGTCGATCTGACCGGAGCCGCTGCTGGTCGACGCTGCCGCAGAGGACGAAGAAGCAGCGTAAGAGAAGAGCCGCACGTCCTTGTCAGTGGAGCAAGTCGCGAGGAGTGCCTGCCGTGGATTCCATGCAGCAGACCATGCTCGATCCGAGTGTGAGGGCAGATCAGCGACGAGGTGCAGCTGCGGGACGCTGCTCAGCTGAGTATTGGCATCAGCTGGCTTCGAGGGAGTGGAAGTGGAGGCCTGTGAGGGTTCTGACTGCGGTAGCGATGCATCTTCGGCCATGGTAGTCGACGAGTGCCGATGGAGGTGATGGCGGTATCGCGGGAAGAGGGAGTGAGGGAGTGATTCTTCTTACGGGCGGAGTCTGTCGTGGCGGTGTGGAGCCAAGCTGCATCGACTCTGTCTATTTCTCGGAGCCGCACGTGTGAGACGCTTGCTTCCGATTCCGAGAAGCAGCAGTCACTCCTTCCTCTGCTCCTTCCTCTGCCTCGCTACCAACGTCGAGCATCGCCTACCAAGTGCTTCCTCCACCACATCCCTTCCTCCCCACCATTACCGATGAAGGTAGCATCGACAGCAGGAGCCAGCGGCAGTGGATCCACCGCCGCACCCACCACGTCCTCGTCTGTATCGCGCGAGGCTCGCGTCGCTTCGCATTCGCACATCAAGGGACTCGGACTCGCAGATGATGGTACAGCCATCCAGTCTGCCCATGGCTTCGTGGGACAAAAGTCTGCCAGAGAGGTGAGAAGGGCGGGAAATGATGGACGAATGAACGTCTACGAGCCTGAGCTGACAAGATCCTCGGACTGATGCGTATCCTCCCTGCTCTCGCCAGGCGTGCGGTCTGGTCCTAGACTTGATTCGCATCAAGAAGTTCGCCGGCCGAGCTCTTCTCCTCGCAGGAGGTCCAGGCACAGGAAAGACGGCCCTCGCCCTGGGTATTTCCCACGAGCTGGGCCAGAAGGTCCCCTTTTGCCCCATGGTGGGCAGCGAAGTCTACTCTTCCGAGGTCAAGAAGACCGAGGTGCTCATGGAGAATTTTAGGAGAGCCATTGGTCTGCGGGTGCGGGAGACAAAGGAGGTGTACGAAGGAGAGATTACAGAGCTCACACCAACGGAGACGGAGAATCCCCTGAGTGGGTATGGAAAGACGATCAGCCACGTCGTCATCGCCCTCAAGACGGTAAAGGGGACCAAGCAGCTGCGATTAGACCCTTCCATCTACGAGAGCATCATGAAGGAGCGCGTGAGCGTTGGAGACGTCATCTACATCGAGGCCAACACAGGCGCGGTGAAGCGAGTGGGCCGTTCCGACGCCTATGCCACCGAATTTGACCTCGAGGCAGAGGAGTACGTGCCGCTGCCCAAGGGAGAGGTGCACAAGAGGAAAGAAGTAGTGCAGGACGTCACCTTGCACGACTTGGACATGGCCAATGCCAAGCCCCAAGGTGGACAGGACATCATGAGCGTCGTTGGTCAGTTGGTCAAGGGTCGTCGTACAGAGATCACCGACAAGCTGAGGGGAGAGATCAACAAGGTCGTCAACAAGTACATTGAGCAAGGCATCGCCGAACTCGTGCCTGGAGTTCTCTTCATCGACGAGGTGCACATGCTCGACATGGAGTGCTTCACCTACCTCAATCGCGCACTCGAGTCCACCATCTCACCACACGTCATCCTGGCCACCAACAGAGGCCAATCGACGATCAGGGGAACAGAATACGACGGACCGGCATCGTCGAGCGGCATCGTCTCTCCGCACGGTATTCCGCTGGATCTTCTGGACAGGTGCATGATCGTCAGGACATTGCCGTACCAAAGGGATGAGATTAGAGAGGTGCTCAGGCTGAGGGCAAAGACGGAGGGACTGTTGGTGAAGGAGGATGCACTGGAGAGATTGACGGAGCAGGGCGTCAAGACTTCGCTGAGGTGAGTGAAGGAATCAGGCTAACGGCTCTGCTCGATAAAGCTGAAAGTTGACACCGTCTCTTTTTCGCCCGTCCCTGTGATAGATATGCACTCCAACTCCTCACCCCCGCTTCCATTCTGGCAAAGCTCAGCGGGAGGGACGAGATTGCCGTAGAGGATGTAGAGGAGGTGTCCACCGGTCTCTTCATGGACGCTAGACAGTCTGCCCTGCTGCTCAAGTAGAGAAGAGGAGGCGGAGAGGAGCGCAAGGGAGAAGGGGCAGCGCGGTAGATTGGGAGAGCAGGGCTAGAGTGGAGTCACGACAAATGCCAAAATTGCAAATTGCACGTACATTGATCAGAGACATGTTGACGATTCGGACATGCAGTGTGACTTGTTCAGGATGGAGGCTACAGTACATTGAAATTTCCCCGTTCGAGCACGTTTACCCTCTGACCGCGAGATGCCCACCTCTGCTTGGTGGTCTTCATGTCACATCGGGCAGAGCTCCTACCTGAGGCAATTGCCCTGCATCCATCCCCAGCTGGGCAGCTAGGCTTCGCTCCGCTCCTCCCTCATCTTTCCCCTCCCCATTGACATGCGATACAGGCACAGGTAGGTGTGCAAAAGCAGAAGCAGAAGCAGGAGGAGGAGCGGCCCAAAGCAGCTCCATGAATCCACTCGCGCTCTTCCTCGCCGCCTCCAGCCCCTCTTTGTCCAGAGCGATGATCCGCTCACCTCCTGCGCCTGCCTGGGCAGCAGCGCGTGACAGGCGTGTGGATGGCCTTAGGGAGCGGGAGCCATTCCCAATGCCACCGCCCAAAAAGAGGGTAGGGTCGTCCTGGTGCTGCTGCTGCTGCTGTTGATGGGCATACTGCCTCATGACCTCTTCGAAATCCTCGATCCGCACCATTAGACGGACATACGGTGCGTAGTCTATCCAGAACTTGTCTGCCGCCAAGGGCAGCTTGCCCTCGAGGAGGACCAGTGAGAAGGGACGCGTCGAAGGATGGGGTGGAGGGAGGGGGAGACCGGGTACCAGCAACGGTTGAAGCATAGAGCGGAGGTGCTCGGCTTGCGTGTGCACGTCTTCCGCGTAGAAGTGATCCTGCTCATACGTCAGACACTGGGAGGTACGAGCACTCCCGTCGTCGCTGAAAGCGCTTCTGATGCATGCTAGAGCTCCTTCTTGCACGGCCTGCTGCAGAAGATCCTCCCTGCTCTCCAGAGGCAGCGCGACCGGGCTTGCCTTCTGGTTCACCTGCGCCCTGAGCACTCTCAGCGAAGGCGGCACGAGGACTTCGTCCGAAGAGGAGCTGGGCGCGCCGTTGCTGCCGCTGCTGACCGTACTGCCATTCAGCTGGTCTGATGATCCTGGGGCCGAGGTACTCGGCAAAGGAGGCGTCGCGGAGGACGATGGCTCGTCGCCGGCGCTCTGTCTCACGAAAGGGCGAGCCAATTCTGCGTAGGCAGAGGACAGCGAGGACAGACCGCGCGACAGCTGCTTCAGACGGGCGAGATCGGCGACCTCAGGCTGTGCCTTAGCTTCTGCACTTTGCCGCATCCCATTGACCTCTGCCACGTGCTCCGTGTTTGCAGACGCCGCCTTGAAGCTGGCAGTAGAAGCAAATTGTAGCTGATGTATAGCTTGACGCAAGTCGATAGGTCTCTTTGAGTCCGATCTGCGTCGTGAGTGATCTGAAGGATGTCCTGCATCTGCAAATTGGGCCTCGTCAGCCGTCTGCTCGATGGCCTCCCGCGTCATGGGGCGGCCCTCGGCCTCAGAGATAAAGCTAAGGTAGTGCAACGCCGCTTCGCGATCCAGCTGTTGGAAGGGTAGCACTTGCTGTATGGGGAGAAGGTCTTGCGGGATATACGACAGGTCTGTACCGATGGTGTACGACAGTCTATCAGCTCACGTGTAATCTACTTCCTACTGATGTGCCGCCAGCCTACTCACCATTGCAGGTCAGGATGACTGGCCTCTTCGACTGCTTGACGAGGTCCACGACTCCGGTCCAGAATGCTCGGTCGTCCTCAAATAGCACATCAGCTTCCTCGATCAATATCAAGGATTGTCGTGTCGAGCTCGAGGGCCTTGTGCCGCTGACAGTGGGTGTGCTCTCTTCTCCTTCCTGCACTAAAGGCTGACTGTCCTCCGTCTCGGAGCTATCAGGAATGACCATCCTGCCACGCAGGTTGGGTTTTGTCTCACGTCCAGAGTTGGGTTTTGTCTCACGTCCAGAGGGCACCTTGCCATTCGTAGAGCTCATGAGAGCCCTGAAAGCATTTCCACCGCTTGGTCCATTGCCTCGATTCGCACCGCCACCGCTTCCACCTCCAGAGACCATATGGTTGCGGCCAAGCGCGCCCACTGCCTCCTTCAACTCCTTGCTACCCCTCTTGCCTACACCTGGGAACAGCTCAAACACTTCAAAGTTCAGTTCGTCTGCGCATGCGAAGACGGCCGCTGTCTTGCCGGAGCCTGGCGGACCATACAGAAGGATGCAATTCGTGAGACGATCGCTGGCACGAAAGTCGAGGTCTGCTTCGTCTTGAGAATCCTGATTGTCTGTCTGGCTATCAAAGCCACAGCCCAGGTCATCGATGTCGGCATCCGTCTGCTGTGAGGTACGTACCCCAGCATTCTCGAAAAAGGCGTACAGCTCGTCTTCATCGTCATGGACTATGAATGAAGCATCTCCGTTGCCCTTTTTGGCACCTTTTCTCGGCAGCTTGTCCACGCTGGTCTGCACTTTGCGCCTCTTGACCGAAGGCTCTGGTGTATTTGTATCATCCCCGTAGGCTCTCTTGTCAGCCACGTTCGAGCTGCTAGAGCCGAGCGATGTATCCGAAACAAGCCTGAGCTCGGACAGCCAGTCTCGCAAATACTTGGCGCTACTTTCGCTGCCCAAGACTTCTTCGGCTGACCGCGGTCTCCAGCGATCCGACCATATTACGTTTGCGTCACCCACTGACTGACTCTTGCCTCGCTCGACAGCATTACTGAAGGCGGAGTGGTCTCGAAGTGACTCCGGCACTGCGTCTGGTAGGTGTTGTAGAGTAGAGCCGTTCGTGCTGCGAAGGGGGAGAGATGGCTTGCGACCTCGCTTCTTCCTTCTGACCTCTTCGGCGAGACCTTGCGACGGGAATATGAGGCTTTTGGCGCCATTGCTGATTGCTTTGCCCTTGCCTTTGACGTCCGATCTGGCGAAGGGAAGGCCTCGAGCAGCTGCAGCATCCGCTCCGATCCCACTCATTTGGTCTGGAGGGAGGACGTGAACGCTTTCGCGGGATGGCCAAGGAACATGCATAGTCGGCTTCTTTCTTCCCAACGACACTGCAGATCGAGTAAGCTTCTCCTTGGTGGTGGGAGCTACACTTCCGCCATGAGATGTCTCGCCGGCTGGTCTCCGGTCGAAGAACGAGTGAGCGACCTGCCCATCAGCCAATCCGGTCCCTGAAACGTTGAGCTTCAGCGGCGGTAGAGGCGATCGTTGTCTGGGCGGCGGCGGCGGCTGCTGCACTTCCTTGGCCGCCTTGCTCTTCTTCTTCGGGCGAGAAGAGGACGCAATTGAGCTGGGAGCCCATTCCTCGTCATCTTGCTCGATTGTCAGGTCGACTAGGGTCGTCTGCCGGGTCTTGGCAGCGCGAGAGCGGGCGGGACGCTTGTTCGTTGGTGCGGCTGGAAGTTCGGCAGCAGCTCCAGCTGCTACAGAGCCAGACGCCTCGGGGTCATCCTTGTTCTTCTTCTGAAAGAGGGCAAAGAGCTTCTTCCTCTTTGCTTCCACCCCATGAGCGTCATTGCTGGCCGTCTGATCCTGCGACTTTCCATCCTCTGTCTGGACAGGCACCTCTACTGGCACTGGGGACGAGGAACGAGAGCCAGAACCAGACCCAGATGCAGTGCCAGAGCTAGAGCCGGACGCTCCCTGCGCTGTACCCACGTCTCTTGAGTCAGCTGCGAGGTCCAAGTCCTGGTGGTCCATGCTGCCTGCGGTCAGCGAGCACGGTCATGTACAGGTCCAAGTGGTGTGCATATACGAGGGAGAGACCATGGACGAGGTGCGGTCAGCAGAGTAAGACGGGGGTACCTGCCAGTCAATGTAAGGCGAGACGGCAATGGTGTGTCGGAAGGCTGCACGCCTCTAAAGTGGTTGGCCTGGTCGCACTGCACTTCCTTCGCGCGCCGCGTCGACGGAAAGGGAACCACGCCTGACGGGGACACGCACTCGCACACACTGGGGCAGATGCTTCCGTTCCGATGATGTTCATACCGCCAAGGGTGGAATGATTTGCACGTCAGGATGCTTTTGCAATGGTACACATGGCTCGCGGGACCAATGGTACAGGTACAGGTGGAAGGCACAGCTATTTGACGAGAACATCAATCTCCTCTGCTCCTGCCGTGTTCTCCTCTCCTCCCCTCTCCTCATAGGCAAGCGCAACCACCTCTCCCAGTCCCATCTTCAGATTCAGCATCTTCCCAGCCGCCGCCCCCTCGGCCTTGGTCCTCAGCCTGAGCTTGATCCTGCTGGCTCCCAACCCTCCCTTTGCAAAGACTTCTGCATGCACACGATCTCTGATCGTAGAGACAGTGGCCGTGAGGGGCAAGTCGTCGTAGGTGAGGATGTGGGAGTGGGGAGCTGGTAGATGCAGCGTCAGAGTCAGCATCTGAGAGGGAGGCGCGGGCGATTGAGAACCCGGCGGTGGTGCATGTGAATACGCCTGACCTGCCAGATGAGACGGAGGAGGGTAGGCTTGACGCGGACCAGTTGGAGCGGCTGACATTGTTGAGCCATCTTGAGGAGGCGGCACAAAGGGAGCTGGTGAGCCGGTAGCGCTCTCGTGAGCAGGGCGTTGTGCAGGCGGCGGTTGCGCAAAGCTCTCGTCCACCCCTCGCTTGCCTCCAGGTCCGGTAGGGGCGCTCTCTGGCGGATAGCCGGGTATATTTGGTCGACCCTGGGGACCGATGCTCTCAGTGTCCTTGGGCTTGAATCTTCCTTGGTAGTCTTTTAGTGTACTCTCCACCAGCTCAGGCCGATTGAAGTCCTGAGTGGTCCTGATCCGGCTGGCAGCATGACCGTCCCAGACGATCTTCTCCCTCTCTTTTGCTTTTCTCCGCTCCTCCTCTTCCCTCTTTGCTTGAGACTCTTCTTGACCCTCAGAGCCAAAGATGTCTGTTCTGGCTCGAGCAAAGGTGCCCAAGAAGCGCGAAGGGTCCGCTCCGGATGTAAGCGCAGCGTGCTGAGCCCTTCTTGCCTCCAGGTCTGCTCGCTGTTCTCGATAGCGCGGGTTGAGCAACTCGATCCTCACATGCTCGTCCATCTCGGCAGTCGGTATCGATTCTTTGCAGACTGGGCAAATCGTCGTTTGAACCTGGGCTGCTTTCCGTTCCGCAAGAGTCTTGGGGAGATAGTCTTTGCGGATCTTCATAGCAGGGGGTGGTGCGCCAGCTGCACTTCGTGTGGCGGCAGAGGAAGGCGGCGGCTTTGAATTTGGAGACGTCTCCTCGTCGCTGTCGTCCATTTGCATCTCGTCGTCATCTTCTGCGCCTGCAGGAGCTGCTGAGTCCTCTTGAACCGCTCCTGCCTCGCCAGGCAAATCGACGATCCCCACACGATCGACGGCTTCCTCTTCGTCTGCGCCTTCTTCTTCCATGATCATCGCAGCCATCCTCTTCTGCGCCATTGTCATGCTCTCTACTTCCCGCACGGACATTGGTACCGGCAAGTCGATGTGAGCGTCTTGCTCTGTGATCTCGACAGTGGAGACGACGACAAAGTCTTGCCAGTCGATTTCGGCGAAAGCAGCTGTGAAAGAGGCCCAGTGAGGTGGTCAGCCAGCCACCTCTGACACAAATACCCACTACCGTCTGAATGATGCTCACCTTTCTCGACCTCCTCTTCCTCACTCCTCTTCTTTCTCCGCTCGTCCATCCACTTCTGCCATTCCATCCTCTTGCGAGCCTCCCTCAGCACACTCTGCCTTGCTCCACCCGCTCCCATGCCAAGCTTGCTATTCCTGTCCCCAGCTTCTACTTCGATCTGTTGCTCGAGTTCCACTGGCGGCTCAATGACTAGTCTGTACTGCTCCACTAAGCGGTTGAAGAAGCCAAAGAGGCTGTGCGTAGGCCTGAGGAATTCGAATTGAAAGGACCTGCCTTCTCTGGACAGGAGAGCAGTGGCAAAGGAGCGACCGCGCTGGGCGACAAAAAGGGCGGTGAGTTTGATGATGTCAAGGTCGACTGCTGTGATGTTGGGCAGCTCGGCAGAGAAGAGCATCTGGCGAGGCTCCTCGGGCTTGGAGGCCTCGTCTGCCTGTCTCTCGAGTTCCATGGCTGCTTCGCCATCGACCCGTACGAGCTGACCGTTTCCAGCACTGCCTCCCGCTGAGGGTGCAGGGCCTGCCGCTCCACTCTCTGCCAGGGGTCCTGTGCCGTCCCTGACGAACTCGATCCTTGCCTTGTAGTAAGCATTGAATACGTCTCCCTCGTTCAAGAAGCCAAATTTCACATTCGCCCGCTCATCTCCTTTGATCTTTGCCTCGAAGGAAGTGCCATTTCGAGCTACAAAGGAGGCCGTCTTGTCAACAATGGTGCGGATGTCTGGGGGCGGGTAGATGAGTCCGCCAGTGGAGAACTTTGGCTTGGACGAGGAGGAAGAGGCGGCAGTGATCTCGTCTACGTCTTCCACCGTCGGGCGGGGCCGAGAGGCAGATGGACCGCCATTGGTAGGCGGGGGTAGATCGAGGGCGGGAGCCATATCGGTCTGCCAGGCGGTTACGAGGTGAGGAAGGGCGACACAGTCAGCTTCGCCTTGAGCTCGACGTCGACGTTGGCAAGATGCGATTAATAGTTCCCGCCAGAGGCTTGCCTTGCTTCCGTTCCTTTGCGCGGGGCGTGGCGGAGTGAGAGCGTGTGTGTGCGTGTGTGCGCCTCTTGTCTGTGCGTCACTCCCGTCGCTGGCTGCTGTTGATCTTCCCAGTCGCCATACCACGCCATACCACGCCATACCACACCACACACGCCATCGCGCCCACATCGCCATGGCAGCCTCCCTCAGCACACACCAGGCATCGCTGCGGCAGGCACAGGTGTCTGCACTGGTCGCCATGCTCAACTTAAATTCTAACCCTTCAGCCTCTTCCTCCAAGAACAAGTCCCCACTGCACTCAGAAGTCAATGGCTCCTCTTCCTCCACCATCACACTGCCCAGTGGACCCCCGACGTGGAAGGTGCTGCTGATGGACAAGACCTCGCAAGACATCCTCGCCACATCGCTGCGGGTGCAGGACCTCAGGGACAATGGCGTCACACTACACATGCAGCTCTCCTCCGAGCGGCCGCCGCTGCCCGACGTGCCAGCCGTGTACTTTGTGTCGCCCGTACAGGAGTCGCTGGACAGGATAGTCAAGGACCTGCAGAGCAATCTTTACGAGAGCTACTACATCAACTTCACGTCTGCCATTCCAAGGCCTCTGCTAGAGGGCTTCGCGAGTCACATTGCCAGGGATGGCACTGGCGATTTGATTCAGCAGGTCTTCGATCAGTACCTCGACTACATCGTCCTGGAGCCCTCGCTATTCACCCTGCTACCGAAAGTTAGTGCCGCAAAAGCAGGTACCTCTGCACTGTCAGCGCCGACCTCGACTTCTTCCCAAGAAGACTACACATATACTCGTCTGAATGCATCCTCTGCAGGCCAAGAGCAAGTAGAGGCCGAGACAGACCGGATAGCCTCTTCCCTCTTTTCTGCTCTGGCTACCGTAGGCACACTACCCATAATCCGTTGTCCCAGGGGCAATGCTGCGGAACTCGTATCACGCAAGCTCGAGTCCCGTCTCAAGGACCACATGAGCACAGTCAGAGGGGTAGGCAACCTCTTCACCGCCGATGGCAGTGTCAATGTGGGCAGCTCCGCATGGGCGGCTTCTCGGCCCCTCCTGATAGTACTAGACCGCAACATCGACCTGGTCCCCATGCTAGCCCACTCGTGGACGTATCAGGCGCTAGTGCAGGACGTGTTGGACCTCAAGCTCAACCGGGTCACCGTTCCAGTCGATGCCAGCTCGGACCCCACCGCAACCTCCGCTACAGCCAATAAGCGAGCGTATGATCTCGACTCCAAAGACTTCTTCTGGACCAAAAATGCCTCGACGCCATTCCCTCAAGTGGCAGAAGACATTGATTATGAGCTCAATCGATACAAGTCCGATGCGGCTGAGATCACACGCTCCACGGGAATCTCGTCGATGGAAGACGTCTCACAGCTCGAGTCCTCTTCGAATGCCGCCCATCTCAAGGCTGCAATCACTGCTCTGCCCGAACTCACGGCAAGGAAACAGACCCTAGATGCCCACATGAACATCGCTACTGCTCTGCTCTCAGGGATCAAGTCTCGTGCCCTAGACACCCTGTTCCAGCTGGAAGAGACAATCGCCCGGCAGAGCAAGGCGACCGTCTTGGAGACGATTCGCAGTCAAGGCGAAGGGGGTGGAGGTGGTGGAACTCCGGAGGACAAGCTGAGGTTCTTTGTTATGTGGTATCTGTCCGTGGGGGAGAACATGATCGGGGCAGCGGACATGGCAGAGTACGAGAGTGCATTGAAGGAGCAGGGCGTGGATCTGAGGGCGCTCGAGTACGTCAAGAGGTAAGTCTGCGAAGCCCGCGTTGGGCAAGGAATGGGTACTGAGCTGCAGGAGACTGACCTGATGCTGTCCCTCTCTCTTGCCATCGTCCTCCTATACCTATACCCATAGAGTCCGTGCCTTGACGCGCATGTCTACCCTCTCCTCCTCCATTACTCCCTCTTCCGCCTCGGCCGTCTCCACCTCGGCCAACGGTTCCACCAACGAATCCCTCTTCCGCGGACTCACCTCCCTCTCCTCTCGTCTGACGGACCGCCTCAAGGACTCAGGCCTGGATCGCGTAGTGACAAACGTCAAGAATCTCCTCCCGGTGCAAAAGGATTTTGTCGTCACCCGCTTAGTCGCAGCACTCATGGAGGCAGCTCCCTCTGCGGGCGGACAGGGCGGTGGTAGTGGAGTAGCGCGAGAGGTGCGAGAGCAAATCGAAGACTGGCTCTGGCTCGATTGTCTACCCCGGCGTGGGGGTGGGGCAGGGGGACCTGGCAGCGGGAGGGGCACACCTTCGATGGGCGCACAACAGCAGCAGCAGCAGCAGGTCGCAAGGAGGGAAGCTATCGTATTCGTCGTTGGAGGAGGTTCCTACGTCGAATTTGCCAATCTGCAAGAATGGGCTGCTCGACAGAGCGGTGGAGCAGGAGCAGGGGCGGGTGCTGGTGGGTATGGAGGTGCGGGAGCTGGAGGGATGGGGCAAGGCCCAAACAGTAGAAAGATCACGTATGGGTGCACAGAGTTGCTCTCTCCGGGCGAGTTCATCAGGGTGCTGGGCTCGCTGGGATGAGAGTAGAGAGGCGGGCCCCTTGTAGAGTCTGCGCATGGAGCACAGTCATTGTGGCGAGGCGAGGCGAGGAGTCGCAAATCAAAGTCGTAGATTACATACCCACCATCACATGAAGTCTCATAGGAGTGAACCGTCTTCCCCAATCACATAGGCGATCTCTCGGTCTGGCGCCCTGTCCTGCCCTTCTTGCCTCTCCTACGTCTCCTCGACCTCCTTTCGCAGTCATTCCAACAGGCTGATCTTCTCCCCTGTGCGATCATTGACGACTAGGAACCTCAGGTTCTCAAAGTTGGCAAACTGTGTGGGGCGGAAAGAGGTAAAGTAGACGGTTGCAGTGTCTGTGCAAAGGGGGAGGAGCAAAGGGAGAAGTAGTCGAAGTCAGTGATTGAGCGGTGGAGATGTATAGAGGCCATTTGCAGTCTGTCCTTGCTCACCCTTTTCTCCCTTGATGCCAAAGGTAACATCGATCCTCCCCTGCATCATATTCACCGTTCCGCCCACCCATACCTTTCCACCAGCATACCACTTGACATCTCCCTTGATGGGTCTCTCTCCCTTTTCCCCACCCAAGAACTCCTGCACGCGATGATCATCCTTTAGCTGTGAGAGGACGGAGCGGAAGGCGGACGAGGAGGCTCGTTCGGCATTCATTGCGTATAGAGTGAAGGCTGACCAGGATATCACCGAGAAGAGGGCTAGGAGGAGGAGCTTGGGAGTGCGAGAGGGGAGAGTGGGAAGAGCACGACCTTGGGTTTGTTGATGGTGTTGCGAGACGGGAGATGCCGGCGGTTGGCGCGAGGGTGGAGTGGTAGTGGTGGACGTTGAAGCTGCGCGGCTTTGTGGAGATGAGCTGTTTGTGAATGGTGGTAGCCCCCTCTGAGCGGCAGAGTACCTGACCAGGTGGCTAGCACCACTTGGAGAAGAGGTAGAGGCAAAGGCGCGACTCCAGGAAGATGAGGCGGGGGTGCTCTTGCACGCCGATGGGCCAGGCAGCAGGGCGACCTCTGCAAAGCGTCTGCTCAGCGACCTGGTAGCCATCGTGGACATGCCGCGCCTAGCAGAGAATGAGGCGGCCATGATGGTACCAAGGGAGGGAGGGCGGGTAGGAGGTCGGCGAGGAGATGGTGGACAGATACCGCACTGACTCGCTCGGTACGTAGCCTGAGAATATTTCATTCGCAGGTGTGGAGACGAGGCAGCACCGGCGCCAAGCCAGGGCGTGTCAGCCGCCCTGGGGATTCGCACTCCGAACACACTTGCAGGTGATGCCAGGCGCAGCGATATAGGCCTTGAAACATTCCTGTCTCTACAACGTTCGCACGATGGACGACGCCTTGACGAGGTCAAGGCACAAGCAGACATAATGGTTCCCAATAAGACAAGCTCAATGAGGAAAGGTAGTCAGCTGCCTGTCAAATGACTGCGGTGCGGGTAGATAGGTAGGTAGGCAGGCAGGCAGGCAGGCAGGCAGGCAGGAGGAGGATCTGCAGGTGGGAGTTGAGGCCGGTCGGGTGTGTCCATCGGATGGCTCACCTCATTCACGGCGCCATGGCTACACCGATGGTCGTAGTCATACTCACTCTCCTTTCAAGCAAGTAGCCCTCCTTTAGGCCACTACCATCACACCTACGATCCCTCACTCCACGCTTGGTCTACAACCCCTCATCACAGGTACGAGGCTCTGTCTGCTACATCTGCCCTCTGCTCTGCGCATGGCCCCCCGCCAACATCCTAATGGTCGTGCCAAAGGCGAAAGTGCCTCTCTTTCTCTCCACCCCGACTCACGACGATGACCAAGACGACTCTGAAGTCGATGACTTGGCAAGTAAGTCCCCAAGTGCACAGCCAGTCACCCCTCCCTCATCGCCGCCTACCAACCGACCAAATCGCTCCAAGAAGACGCGAAGAGTGGACGAAGATGTACTTGAAGCGCAAGGTGCTCCTGCCGGGCTTGTAGTGGCTGGTGGCTCTAGACGAGCTCAACAGCCCGACCTCAATGCAGACGATCCTCCCTCGGACTCTTCTCAAGACGTCACCATCCACAGGCGAGCTGAACAGGTCGACCGCGCACTTCGATCCTCGACGAGGAGGGCAAAGACACCTCCATCACCCACCTTCCCTCCGCTGAAGCCTGTAGCCCAGCGAGCAGCAGCTCGAAAAGCTCAACAGAAGATCGCTTATACTGCAAAGGCCGAGACGGCGAGCAAGCGCAGGGACAAGAACTGGAACCAATACGACTTTGTCCAAGAGCCCTCTCAGAGCTCTGCCCCAACTAAAGCTAAGCCTATACCGCAGCGCCAGAGGAAGCCAAAGACTTCAAGTCCATCCCTCGTGGTCTTTGATGAGCGCTTGAGGGCATTGTACGAGTCCCGCCAGCAAGCTGTCGAGGTGGGCCAAGATGTCTGTCGAGATAGCGGTGGAAAGCCATTGATCTTGACCGACGAAGCAAGAAAGATCATTGTGGTGAGTGCTACACCCGTGAAGCTCGCAAGTGATACTGCCTCTGACTCTGTATCCAATCAATCTCTCGCAGATGATCTGCAGTAAATGTCGACGCAACATCAACGATCCGGTCTTCTCCCTCGAAATCAGACAATACGAGGAGTACGACGGAAAAGGTCAGGTCATTGCACCGCTATGGCGCCCTATACTCATCAACGTCATGCACTCCCACCCGCACCGCGATGGAACGACGATGAAGCACCAGAAGCGCAAGCGAAGATCGAGCGATAGCGATAGCGACAGCGACAGCGACAGTAGTCTGACCTCAGAGCCATCCGCCAATGACGCCGGACCAGAGCGTAGACTTGATGATACAGCACAGACAGCAGAGCAGGGAGGCGGAGAAGAGACGGCCACACCTTCATCTGGATATTTCGCCTTCGCCGATGACCCGCCTCGCAGTCCACGTCCCTCCGCTGCATCAACCGGAAGTCGCGTTAGCGAAGAGAGCAAGGGCAGAGACACCAATGCGCGAACAGCTTCTGTACCCAATCCTCCCTCCAGCAATACCAATCAAACACTGCTAGGTCCCGAACCCTCCCCAGAAAGGCAAACAGGGGCTGACGTGCTGCTGCGGATGTTTCGAGCTCCACAAGAAGGCCCTGTACGCACTGCTCCTCCTCGTGCAGACTTCCCTATGCCGCTTCTATTGCTGGGCGACACCTCTGTAGCTCCGCTCGGTCGTGCTACGTCGCTACGCATCGGTACGGACCCAAGGAAGCGCCCCAAGTCGGTGTGCATCATGGATGGTGTCCGGAAGAGTCAACAGTGGCTTGCCTCTACGCAGACCACGCTGCTGTCTGCGGAAGCTTCTCCTTCTGCTGCAGCTGCTGCTGAGGTTCCTTCTTCTAATACTGCTGCTCCTTCTGCTCCCTCTCCTACGGTAGCTGAGCATTCCCAAGAAGACATGTCAACGAGCGGTGAAAGACCGGTACATCATGAGACGGAGGACGATGAAGAGACGAATGCGACGACTACGCCTTGAGTCGAGTCAAGTCAACAGGCGCCGAGGCGGAAGAGGCAGCTCGGCCCGCACGGAGGGACATGGCAGCGAAGACTCGCACTGGAGGATCTTCTTGCAGTCTGCCCGCTCTCTTTCCCTGCTCTGATTCCTGTCCGCATACAAGCCCGTATCCCCTCTTGCCGCCTATCATATCGTTGTTCCTGCTACTGCTACTCGTCAATGTGATCTTTTGCATCCATTCTACAAAGAGGTCACCTGAGTGAGCACGCCTACGCCGCATCGATCTTGTGCCGCAAGCTGAGCCAATTTACTTCCGCTCCCTCCTCTGCGGTCTCAGCAACTTGCTTCCGATGCCTCTGCGGTCACAGCGCATTGCCTCAACGTCTACCTCTTCGCGAGTGAATTTTGCCTTTGCATCCCACGCCACGATTCTCACCTCTTGCCATGCTCTCCCTCATGCAAAGTCACTATCCCACATGTCGCCCTCTTCCAATCCCGAGACTTGCTTTACAACACCCACAGCCAGCACACTGGCGTATAGGTCATTTTCCAACACAACAGACACAAGAGGCGAGTACAGACTTCGCCAATCTGCAGCAAAAAGTGCCATCGCTAGACGCTTTGCAGCGATCAATGGCGTAGAAGACGGTGAATGTTGGATCACGCGGACGACAAGGACTGGAAGGGCTCGTCCCACTTGCCGAATCTAAAGGTGCGGCCGCGACTGGTGAGTGTCTTGGAGCTCAGGATCAGGAAAATGCGACTGCGCAGCTGACCCTCCCACTCATCCTGACCAGACTCTGTGGCTCAAAGTCATGCAGCTTGCACCGAGGACTCTACGAGAGAGACGCAAATGGAAGATCTCCTCTACAGACCTCATGCCTCTACAGATTCAGATACACCAACATGTGACCGACGGATATGTCAGAGCCGCGATTGTTGGGCCGACCCGGTCCGACCTTTGCGAACCCGTCAAGATCTTTGAGGCAGCCCTTCAGAAGGAGTCGCTTCAGAGCTTGCAGCAAGCATGGCAGCCTCGCTGGAATGAGATGCTCCAGCTGCCTGGCCACGAAAGGAGACAATCGGAACGATGTGCTGCCCCTAATATGAATATCAGATCGATTTCTTTGATCTCTAAACAAGGAAAGGCTTGAATGCCAAGGCTCCCCCGTCTTTTCGGATGCTCCAGCAACAGCCAGGAGATACAACGTACCCCACTTCTATGCAGCGCGGAGTTAGAAAGATTCAAGGCACCGCTGTCGATACTAACCATCATTGCTGTGGCAGTATCACAAATGTGGTACATAAGCCAACACTCCGGTCGCCGCTACAAGCCTGATTTCCTTCAAGATCTCGATGTCATGTCATACATTGTGAACGTCCTACGGTCTGCGGCGCTTGACTCCTTCGAGAATTTGAATAGGCCTTCTGTGCTTCCTGCGCTGCCCGTTCTCGACCAACTCTTGTCGACTTTCCCAAGAATCCAACAGTGGCCTAGCCTGAGCACTTCGCGCTCTATCGATCCCGCATCCGCCCTTCCAGACTTCTCGTCGAGCCCTCCCAAAGGCTACTAGGAGAAATTGGCAGTCTGGCAGTCGCTCTGTACGACATGGAGGTAGATCAGATGCAGACCGCCGAGTCAGAGCAGCTTTCCACTACCGATGGCACACACGAGGACGGAGATTACAGTGGGGGCAGTGGAGGCAGTGGGGGCGCAAGCTCATTTGGAAATCGCGGACCGGACGGCAGTCGCTCAGATCGACACCACTCCTCGATGGGCGAATCGAGCCGTTTCAGCTCTTCAGTGGACACCTCGCTTGATTCGCAGATGACGGAGGGCATATTGAACGCCGCAACTTCTTCTTTGCAGCTCGGGAGCAAGGCTGCTGCGGATGTCCCCCTCAATTCGGATAGCGCCGAGTCAGAGTAAGAAGGGCAGGACGACGAAGAGAGAGACACGCAGAATGCTGATGCACCTCTTGGAACGCTGTGGCATCTAGAATATCAGACACTTGAGGACCAGCAAGATGTTCTCCTGGACGCTGCCGCTTCTGCCCTTGCGGAGCGATTGCGAGCTTCTACCCAAATTCGCTCCACCCAAGCAAGCGGGCAGACCGTTGCAGATTGACGACTCCTCAATTTCCTTGTCAGCACTGAGTCGCCCCCGGGCGTTGCCCCAAGGTTGCAAGTGGTTGAGTAGCGGAGAGAGAAGACGGAGGAGGAGTGGGAAGAAATGGTGCACTGGCGAAATTTTAGACGACCCTTGGAGAAGCATCAAGAGAGGACGCAGTAGGAGGGGAACTCTTCTGGTATATTGTCATAGCTCAGCGCTACTCTCCACACTGTTCCCGTACTCATATGCTCCTCAATCGGCATGTTACCTGTCGCCAGCTGGCTCTACCGTGGCTCCTGCTCAGTTCCATCCTTTGCTGCTCTTTTTACTCGTGTGACTGTCCTCTGGGTGTTGCCCGAGCCTCCGCGCTCCGTTCCGATGCGAACGTGTAGTTTCATTCTCCGCTGACGCCCGGGTGTGCCATGTAGTTTTCACGCTCGTCTGGCTCGCCTGCCCTGTGCAGGAACGAATCCGGGGGGGGGGGGGAGGATGACGCGTGCGGAAGTGGGGCTACTGGGGTGAGGTGCCTGGAGCATGGTGTGTGTGGTGGTTGGGTAGGACCAGGAGAGGAAGGAGCGGAGTGGTAGCCGAGATTGGCTTGGAGATGGGCGACATCCTTGGGGTGGACCGGGTTTCAAAGGTGGACCCGCGCGCCTGAGCCTGAGCGTCGAGGCAGAGGCGGATGGCGTGTGAGAGGCTGGATGGAGCTCCACTCGCTCACCATGCGGGGCGAGGACAGGAAGACTCGGTTGGAGGAGGCCGAAGACGCTTGTCCTTGGAATTGACCCATAGCACCAATCACAAGCAACTCCTTCTTACCTTAGCCTTCCACCCCCGCAATCTACCTAACGCATTCTGCACTTCCTTCCTCTTCCTCTTCTACCCACTCATCTTCCCACATCCCGCATAGCCATCTCCCACCCTCTCACCCTCCCCTCCAGCCATGCAGTCATCCACCGACGTAGACGTCGTCATCATCGGCGCCGGACTCAGCGGAATCAATGCCGGGTACCGAGTGCAGACCGAGACCAACCTCGGATATGAGATCCTCGAGGCGAGGAATGACCTTGGTGGCACTTGGAGCATGTTCCAGTACCCGTGAGTAGAAACATGCTGCGCCAAGCTCAGTCTTCCCCCACGCCATCGCAGGATACCGTCTTACTAACACAGCGTCTCCCTCCCATCCTCACCATCGCAGCGGTCTGCGATCTGACTCGGACATGTACACACTAGGCTTCCCCTTTAAGCCCTGGTCCGCCCTACAGTCCATTGCCAATGGCGAGGACATCTACAACTACGTAAAGGAGACTGCAGAGGAGTTCTCCATTGACAAGAAGATTCGATACAATTCCGAGGTGCACTCCGCAGAGTGGTCCTCCTCGGAGCGACAGTGGACGCTGAACATCAAGGACAAGCAAACAGGTCAGGCGCGAAAGCGTACTTGCAAGTTTGTCCTCTTCTGCAGTGGTTACTACGACTACCAGGGTGGATACCAGCCCCATATCCCCGGAATGGAGGACTACCAGGGCAAGTGGATCCACCCTCAGGCTTGGCCAAAGGACTTTGACTACACTGGCAAAAAGGTCGTCGTGATTGGATCCGGAGCTACAGCCGTCACCCTCGTACCTTCGCTAGCCAAATCGGCAGAGCATGTGACGCTGCTGCAGCGCTCTCCTTCGTACTTTGTAGCTCTGCCAAACACAAAGTCCCGCAACCTCCTCAGCTACATCCTCCCCACGACTGTATTCCACGCCCTACTGCGCTTTGCCCTGGCCGTGCGATCCTACGTATTCTACTGGGCCTGCCAGGCCTTTCCCTCCATCTCCCGCTATATCCTTCGTACCCTCACCAAGCGACTCCTCCCCGATCACATCTCCATCGACCCTCACTTTTCACCCAACTACAACCCTTGGGACCAAAGAGTGTGCATCGTCCCGGATGGTGACATGTTCAAGACGCTGCGCGAAGGCAAGGCCAGCATCGCCACGGGCAAGATCGACACGATCACAAAGGAAGGAATCAAGACCACGGATGGCCAGGAGCTAAAGGCAGACGTAATCGTCTGTGCCACTGGACTCAACCTCAAGCTCTTTGGTGGTGCCCAGCTAATCGTAGATGGAGAGAAGGTAGACACGGCCAAGAGGTTCGTCTTCCGTGGTCAGATGCTCACTGGCGTGCCCAATGCTTCCCTCTGCTTTGGATACACCAACGCCTCCTGGACACTGGGAAGCGACGTGTGCGTACTGTACGCCACGAGGCTCATGCGAAAGTGTCAGGAGCAAGGCATCTCCCACGTCGTACCCCGCGCTCCCGATCTGTCTGTAGAGGATTCAGAACCCCTCTCTACGCTCCAATCGGGTTACTTTGCAAGAGCCATAGATGTACTACCCCGTAGCGCTGGTAAAGGGACAGAGTGGAGCTTGAGGAGCAATTGGTTCAAGGATATACTACAGGCGCGGTATGGTGGACTGCTCCGTCACATGGACGTCTACTATTCGGAAAAGAAGATCAAGAGCGCTTGAGATGGCTCTAGAGTTGCCCCACTTACTCTTGGGACTGGACGTAGATGCCCCCCTCCTCACTCACTCATACGCGGCGGTGCCGTGTGAGAAGACATACCAAAGACATTACACACACACACACACACAGACAGAAAGACGGTAGAGCTGCTTTCTATATTCGCAAGTTGCTTCCCATTCTCGCACTTTTGCTCCTTTTTTCGCGCTCCAGCGTAATGACTCTCAAACCCAGTAATGCTAATGTTGCCACATGCTTGAATCAGTGTGCCGCCTTGCTATCTAGATGATCCCTGCATGAAATGACCTCTGACTGTCCCTGATCCCTACAAGCCCTACACATCCAACCTTCGCAGACCTCTTCCCTATCTCTACTCTACCCCGCTCCCTCCGCGCACTACCAAGGCGTACCGCTCCCCGCCACCTCCCTGACCCGTCTACAAACCTCCATCTCACACTCGAGGAGACTGGTCACCAGTCCTAGACTCTCTCGCCACGCCGGTCCATCCTCGACTTGCTCACCAGTCGAAATCACGCTGTCGCCGTCGCTATCGCTACCGCTACCGCTGCGCAGTTCTGCCTGCAGACTGCACTTCGTGCGCTGCAGATCAACCTGTGCTGCCTCACACAGCCTCAGCAGCAGTCGTCGAGCCGCAACGTCATTCTCCTGGGAGATGGACGAGATGCGCCCCTCGACGAGGAGCTTCCACCGTTGCAGCTGCTGCTGCTGCTCCTGCTGCTCCTGCTGTGTGTCTGCATTCCCCTTTACTAGCACGAGAAGGCGGAGCGCCACTACTGTTCTCCAGCTCGCAATGGGAGTCGGGTACGGGTGGATGGTCCAGTCGCCATAATAGCCTGCTTCGATCAGGCTGTCCTGCTTCTCCTTTGCCTCGCCAGGGTCAAGGGTGCTCATGTATTCAGCAACGTACTTGTCTAGGGACAACGAGGCGTAGGGGTTGCCGATGAGCGTGGCAGGTGAAAGTGACGATGCTGCTGTGTTGGATAGATGGAAGCCGTACTCTGCCAAGAGGACGCCATCGTCTCGAGCTCCATACTGGATCCGAACTTCGCTGCCTGTTGCCAAGAGCTGCGTATCAGCACCGCTTGGAGCTCTTATCTCTAGCCCTCCTGCACCAGGAGGCAAGATGACAGGTACTTTGGCGGCACCGTGGTGGATGCCCAGGATGGCTACTTTGAAGATGCTACTCTCGTCTGAAGTATGGTTGGCCATGTCCAGCAGTGGAGCCAGTGTGAGATTGTCCGAGTGAGGCTGGAGGTTGAGAGGGTAGTAGACGGAGCGTGTGTTGATACTGAGCCAGGCATGGGCATAGGCCATCTTTGAGCATGCTATGCCAGATGGAGACGGATGGAAGAAGGGCAGGAGATCTGGGCGATGGAGCTGGCAAGAGGAGGAAAAGACGAGGCGGGCTGATTTAGCTTCATTTACGGGCATTGCACCGGTTTACGTCTTCCCACTCACGAAGATCGCATTGACGACAGTCCAGTCGCTCTGAAATTGCAACACTACCTCTTCGAGCTTAGATCGACAGGACCGCGGCAAGTGTCGCAGCAGAGCAGAGTAGTTTCTTGCAGATTGCGTATCGCCTTCTGCGAGAAGAGTCCAGATAAGGGGATGCGTGGGGAACGCAGTCGGCAGAGACGCGTAGAAGACGTTGAGATCTGTCAAGGCCTCAGTCTGAGCGGTGCTCCATGTGCTGGGCTCTGGCTCGCCAGACGCCTTGTACATCGCAAAGGAGGCGAGCAAGATTGACAGCGCCCGGACGCTGGTGAGTGGGAGAGCTGCATCAAGCTCAGAAGATGGCGATGAGATAGAGTCAGAAGGTCGCCGTGAAGTAGGAAGTACTTCGGCAGCGTTCTGGAAGAAGACGCGAATTGTTGCCGTGTTGTAGAGCATGCTGGGAGGTATCGTCAGAATCACCTCGCCTGGCTGAAAGGAGAGCGAGACATCGCAATCCGCTGCAAATGTCAGAGCTGAAGTGGAAACGGAATCTCTTCACCTTCGTCACACACCTTGACTGTCCGAGCGAGTACCAGACCTCTGCCGCTCTTGAGCTCATCGCTGATCTCGACTTGTGCCACATGCTGCACCCTCGGCTTTTTGGCGTTGCCTGCGCCTTGGGATGGAGGCCCAGCATGCTTTGCCCAGAGCGAGAGCAGAGCAGAAGCCTCCATAGAGTGACGCTGTGGCTGTGACTGTGACCGATGCGTCACCGCGAGCAAGTGCAGTCCATTGTCGTCGTCGTCGTCGTTGTGCTCACCAGGGATGTCGTACCAGTGGACAGGAGGCCTGCTTGGTGAGCCGAGGTGAGCAGTATTCCATCGGACATCAAACTCAGCCGATTCATCCAAAGTGGAGAGACGGAAGCGGAAGCGTGGCGGCTGCAGACAGAGTGAGCGAGTGACTGGCGGCATCTTGAGCGGAGCATCGGATCTTCCTTCCCCCGTGACACATCCTGGACAGATACCAGACGCAGCATCGCCCCTCCTCCGCTACCACCTCCCCGCCATATCCGCCATGACAGATACCGAAGCATCTTCCTCCGCATCCCCAGCGCCATCCCTCTCCTCCCTCGGCGAAGGATCATCACACCCAACCTCCCCCTCGGCCACGTCTGCTGACCTCCCGCCCTCGCCCACAGCAAAGACGCTCTCCTTGTCCCCATCGGAAAGGGAAGAAGAGGGCAAGCGACTCAAGGATGAGGGCAACAAGCTCTTCCTCGCAGCAGACTTTGAGTCCGCCAAGGTCAAGTACGGAGAGTCGCTAGCTGCGGACCCATCCTCCCACATCGTCTGGTCTAATAGAGCTGCATGTGAACTCAAGCTGGAGCAGCACGGTCTAGCAATTGAAGACGCCAGTGAGCATACATGAAGCAGCAATGACTCGATGAGAGCGACATGCTTACTCTTTTCGCTACATTACATCGTTCTCCCCTTCTCCTCTTCACAGCCAAGGCCATCTCACTCAACCCCGCATTCTCCAAAGCATACTACAGGCGAGCCTCGGCCTACATGTCCATCTTGCAGCCAAAGAAGGCCCTCACCGACCTGCAGCAGATCCTCAAATTAGAGCCTTCCAACCGACAGATTCTTCTTCAAGCTCAGGAGACGCAGAAGCTGATCCGAAAACTCGCCTTTGCAGAAGCCATTCGTGTCGAAGACGGTCCCAGCGTTGCTGATTCCATAGAGGAACAGCTCAAGTCCGGATCAGCGGGCACACTGGTCAGCAAAGACTACAAGGGCCCCCACTTGCCTGCAGGCCCCGAGGGCCAAGAACATTTGGGAAGCATCACAGAAGACTTCATCAATGAAATGATCGAATTCTTCAAAAAGGAGGGTAGATTACCCGTAAAGTACGTCTGGCAGATCTTGCTGGGCGCCAACAGGGCCTTCCTCGCAGAAGACAGCCTGGTGGAGCATACCGTAGAGGAAGACGCCACAATAGACGGTGAGCATACAAAAAGGGACAAGTGGGTCGAGAGCGTTCATTCTGACCCTCTTTCTCTTTACTTCCCAGTCATTGGCGATACTCATGGACAGCTATTCGACTTCCTCAACCTACTATCAAAGACTGGACGGCCCAGTGAAAAGCATGCTTTGCTGTTCAACGGAGGTGAGTATGTGAACGGCAAAAAATGGAGGCGCAGGCAGTCTTTGTACTTGACTTGCTATACACGCCTCGCTCTGTGCTCACCGATACCGCTCCTTTGAACATTCCGCCTTCGATAGATCTCGTCGACAGAGGCAGCTACGGACTTGAAATTATCCTCATCACCTTTGCATACAAGTGGCTTTATCCTAACAGGACCCGGTTGAACCGCGGCAACCATGAAGCTCGCAGCTTGAACGGGATGTACGGTGCGTAAAATAGGAGTCAGGAAGGCTGCCCCGGCGCTCTTTGCTCACCCCCTAACATCCTTTCCCGCTACCGCTTTGATCAGGCTTTGAAGCGGAAACCAAGGAGAAGTACAAGGGCGATACGACCTTCAAGCTCTTCTCTGAAGTCTTCGAGTCTATGCCTCTGGCAACGCTGATCAGTGCTACTCAGAAGCCCGCACCGACCGAGTCTCTGCCTTGGGACGCGAGCCCGGCACAGACGTCGCCGATCCTCTCCAAAGACGGTCGCAAGCGGTTCTTGGTCGTGCACGGCGGCCTGTTCTCCAAAGACGGTGTGACGCTAGACGACATCAAGGCCATTCCTCGGACAAAGCTGAAGCAGCCTGGACAGTCCGGTCTCATGATGGAGATCCTGTGGGCAGACCCATGTGCTGCGAATGGCCGAGCACCCAGCAAGCGTGGAGTAGGCACAGGTTTCGGACCAGGTGAGACGAATCTTCTGGAGATTTCAGACGACGAAAGAGACCTTCTGACCTCGCATTTGCTACACAGACGTTACGAGGGCATTCTGCGAGTTGAATGGAGTGACTGCCCTCCTGCGCTCCCACGAGATGCGACAAGAAGGCTACACAGAGGAGCACGACGGACTATGTGAGTCTACAAGTGTCTACCCAGGATGATCATTGAGGCCTCCTCCTGACTGTCGTCGTTCCCCACTTCCCCGCCATACAGGTGTTACCATCTTCTCCGCTCCTGCCTACTGTGGAGTTGGAGACAACAAGGGTGCCTTTGCAAGAATCGATGCGCAGGGCACCATGCGCTTCACCAGGTACGAGGCCGTGCCGCCCCAGGGAGTCAAGCCGATGGCATACACCAAGAACCTTGGTGGTATGCTGTGAGGTGTGCCTCGAGCGCCCCTGGCAACCTTGCCCACGTCGCCGCATTGCTCCATCATTGTATGTGTGGTCCTCCTTTTTTCATCAGCATTTTATCCCACCCTTCTCCACATTTTATCCCACACTTCTCCACATGATTTTCGTGACTGCTGTCAGTCCAATGATGATGACGACGATGATGACCCTGAAGGCGATGACGATGATGGCATCTGGCCATCATGCGAAGAGTCCCCAGTCTTCGATGCGTAACGAGGTGGCCGCTTGCTTGAACTTGTCCCTGATAGAGGCATCACCCATCGCACTAGCATCACCGTGCCCTTGCTCTGTCGCCTCCTTTCCCAGGGCTAGGGGCTCATTCCAGCTCATGACTAGGTCCACGGGCCTCTTTGGTGCCAGGCGCCAGAGGGCGAGGTGGATCAGGACCAGATCCAGAGGCGAGTCGTGCTTGTTGAACTTCCGCACCCGTTGAAGACCCGTGAGATAAGTGGGGGACGGCGTGCCCTCTGTGACCTCTTCTGACAAGCTCTGACCTCCGAGAGACTCTATCCTGAGGACCTCGGATGTCTCGGCCTCATTGTCGTGCGCTAGCGAGGAGAAGTGGAAGCTGTGGGAGTACAAGCGTCGAGTGAGCATGCCTTTTCCTACCACTTTGCTCACAGAAGAGCGGCTCGGTGCTCACCGTATGGCTTCCTCAGTATTGCTTCCCGCTTGACCCTCTGTGACCGTCTCTAGCACTTCAACAACGCAAGTGACATCTGACCCGGGGAAGAGGAGGACCTCTTGATTATCTGGGATTTGACGCAGGTCACTGTGTGAGATGGAGCAAAAGTGTGAAAGTGGGAATTGTCGTCAGCAAAGTGTTTGACAGTCACACGAGCGAATCCCTCTAGCAGCTCACGATGCATCTATCAGCCCCTGCGGTAGCTGAGAGGTGATGGCTCCTCCAAAGAGCTCTCTACTTGTGCTGGCCATGGTGATCAGCGACTGAGTGGGACCTGTGAGTGGAGCGGCAGGCGAGGAGGAAGCGGAAGCAGGAGAATTCTGGGTGCTTGGGATGTGCGCAGAAGAGGAGACCAACACGGGCGGAGCTTGAAATGCGATGCCCCCCCAGCGCCTTGAGGATGCGCATGGCGTTGCTTGTCGGCCAGGTTTCCCCTGAAGACTTAGTTGCTCATCACCAACCTTATCCTTCCTCAGACGGCCATAGACAACCAAGTCACCCGTAGGGACGCCCCTCCCCCTGACGCTACTACAACGATCACGTGGGGGTCATCCTCTCCCTGCCTCCTATACCAGACAGAATACTCCACCCCATCCTCCGCTATCTCTGCCAGACCCACTAGATGCAATCCTACCATGGACCCTAATCCACCCACCGCACGACCCGCGCCGCCAGCAAGACGTAAAGGCAGGACATCCGCACCACCGACAGATTCGGCTGACAACTCGCCAACACTAGCTGATGCCGGGCCATCCTTCAAGGCAAGTGCCTCTCAGGGGCAGGTCTCGCCCGAAGCACCTGAACCACTAAGCACCACAGTCCCTATGGTAACGGAGCGCCGGCCATCCGGCAGTAGCATGGAGGCAGACTTGCTCAGCACCCAGGAGATGGAGGCAGCCTTCGGGCAGCTGGCAAAGGAAGACCTCCTACTTGCCCTTCAACGAGCAAAGCAACAGATGGATCGCCTCGAAGAGGTCGTCTCTTCACAAACCTTGGAGATCGAGAGTCTGCAGTCGGGCTCCTCGGACTTGTCTGCTCGTCTCTTGGCCTCTGATACCGAGAGCAATAGATTGACACATCTGGTACAGCAGAGAGAGGCTCGCATCGATGAGCTGAACAACGACCAGGCCAGGCTGGAGGATGAGGTCTATAGCAAGCTTGGGATAGTAGAGCGTCTCAAGACGAGGGCCGATGAGGGGGAGCGCAAGCGAGCAGAAGCAGAACGTAAATTGGCAGATGCGGTGAGTAGCCGCGGTGTGACCAGAACACGACCACAATGACTGTCAGCTGATCAACTCTCCTGTCTCTGGACGTCACTTCATCAGCTCCAAATGGCAGACAAGGAGAGGGAGTATTTTCAGGACCAAGAAGCCCACCTCAAGGCCGCCAATGCACGATTGACGGGCGACCTCCAGACTCTGAAGCAACAAAGAGCGCATCTCAAGGAGGTCATCCGAAACGGGCGCGAGGATGCACAGTCACACCCAGAGGACGGAAGATCCACGGCAGATGGACAGGACAAGCAACCTGCTTTGGAGGATGAGGCTCTGGAGCAGCAGCAGAATAATCAGGGCAGCAGTCTTTTGGAAGAAGAACTCGAGCAGCTTCGCAAGACGTTGGCATCCCAAGACGCTGCTCTGGTGGAATTGCGAGCGAAGCTGAACGATGAACGCAACAGATCCGTCCAGCTGGAGGAAGACAAGATCGAACTGGAATCCATGCTGACCGGCAACACCCTGGAGCAATTGATGAAGAGCAAAGCCAGCGGACAGTGGCGTCCCAATTACCGGAGCGAGACCACAGGCTCAGTTAGTTCTCGCTCCCAAGATGACACTACTGATGCCACCTCTGAGAGCCTCAGACCATGGAGTGAAGAGGCCAGCGATGCGGCAGTGGTGTCCTCTGGCGAGATCACAACCACTCCAAAGCCCCGCATTATACCAGGTAGTAGCACGCGGGCAGGAGAAGGCGACAATACAGACGAAGCTAGCAGTGAGTATCTGTCGTTAGGTCCGCGTAGGGCAACATTGTGAGCATATACCTAACGGCAATCTCCTTACTCCACACGATCTTCCACCAGACGTCGAGAAGGAGTTGAACCGACTGAGACAGGAGAACAAGCGTCTGACTACGTATGTTACGAAGATTTTGAACCGCATCATGTCGATGGAAGGCTTCGAAAGGGTCTTGGCGGCAGACTCTCTCTCCGCAGACGGCACACGAACCCTACGTGGAACGCTGGACAAGCCTGCGACTCCGAGGCCTACGATTCTACCTCCTGCCACTGGAAGTACCTCTGCCAAGGTGTTGACCGTAGAGCAGAAGAAGGAGAGGCGACGAAGCTCAGGGCTACTCGGTCTGAGTCGCGCCCGGAGTCCGTTGCTGTCGGCAAGCCCGAACACGGAAGATGCCCTGACGATCTCCCCCACTCCGTCCAGCGCCGGCCTGGCAGCACAACCGTCGCAGACGGCGTCGCGCACGTCCTCTGTAGACTGGAAGAGCCTCCGACTACCTTGGTCATCCGGCGCAGAAGAGAAGACGAACCCAAACTTGAGGCCCTTTGCGCTGTCGACTTCATCTTCCAGACTCGAAGGACCTGCCATTGAGAGCAAGATTCCGAGTCCCAGGCTCCCTGACCTCGAAGAAGAGTACGGTGATGACGCTGACGAGATGGAGAGACAGCGAGCCAGAACACTACTGCAGATGGAGGGTCTGACCGTACCTCCTCATCAGCTCACGCCAGTCAATCCCACCGTGCGAACCGCCCCCCCGCCTGCACCAGGAGGCTTCACGAGCTTCCTGTCGCGCATGATGACTACAGAGCCTGCGCCAGCGGGCAGCATTTCGAAGACGACTACGACCTCTGCCACACCTGCGTCAACGAGCGCGGGTCAGAACAAGCAAGACTTGGACAGCAGCGGAAGGCTGACTGAGCCAAGCAAATCACAAAGACCGCGACGCCCCGTTCGGGGGGATTCGGCTTCTTCTTCATCTCATTCGCTTGGCAGAAGCGACTCGAGCAGTGGGCGCGTGTCTCTCATTGGTCATTCCCGCATAGACTCTGTGGCTGGAGACGAGTCCTATGCTCTCGCCGGAATTATCGACTTGGACAAGAGGGAAGCCGCGGAGGCGCCTGCGCCCGGATGGAGGACCGCGCTAAAGAGGATGAGCTTGATGAGCGGATCTGAGACGCCTGCGCAGCTGTGAGGTCTGCGCGAGAGCGGCTATGAGAGATATATACCCGGCTTCGATCTGGTAATGAACATGATGATGTCACTCTGATCCCTGAGTGTGAGTTCCGAATTGATCGACGAGATTTCGGCGAGGGGATCGTGCCCACTGCGTCAGCCCGCGCGCACCATATGCCTCGGTGCCCGGTCCGCAGAGGCCGCCGCTCGGACCCCTTTTCCAAACGAGTGGGCCTGGAACCGCCGCTTATAAGACAGTGTCGAGGTTAAGGTTTGCTGTGCCAGGTCGGATAATCCTACGCCACTGTTCCTGACACCAGAAATGTCCGAGGCACAATCAGGTACCAAGAAGAAGGTGGCTGACCATAACTTGCTTCGATGCTCCCTACGCCTTGCTCTCCCCACGCTTGCGCCCGCCGCGGAGCAACGGTGCTCCCTACGCCTTGCTCCCCCCACGCTTGCGCCCACCGCGGAGCAACTTTTGGTCGAGGGCCGCGCGCCACGCAAACAAGCATCGCAGCCCTGTCACACCTGAACCATGTCTCACCAAAGCTTGCAACAAGCGCTTTCTCGGAAGCTTGGCGGCTTCCCGAATCCAGTCGCCCGGACGCACATTGAGCTTTGGGCGTGCGAGAGCTCATCCGTCGCCTGCGCTCAGATTGCAATGAGGTCCATGCGCAAAAGCCACAAAAGCTCTAAATTGCTCACTTCTGCCTGGAGAAGCAGCATCTGTACGTCATACACTTCGCACTAAGAAGGCAGAAACACCAATGGAAGCCATCAAGCGGCCTCGGCCTTTGCTGGCCGAAGAAGGCAAGGATTGCTTTTGTATGGTCTTCCATGCCTAGACGAAGCCCGCCCTCTCACTCCCAGAGCGCATATATAAGTCGCGTCAAAATTCCCTCGTTGTAACCTCGTGTCTGTCGACCATTCGCCACCACCTAGCTCTCCCACTATGATGTCCTCACTAGCTCCTCTTGTCTCTCTAATCTTCCTAGCCCTCTCCGGAGCGGTTACTGTTGCAGCTTTCCCCACTGCCTCTGATCACACTCTGGCCAAGCGTGCGACCATCGCCGACTCTCAGACTGTCGCCACCAGCCTTGCGAACCTTGGCGCATCTGGATCAACCACCACAATCAATGCTGGTGTGACGTACTGGCTTGCTGGTTACAGTCCACACAATGTCTACGGCAACCTTGACAACTCGGGCAATCTCATCATCAGCCAGACTGCGTACACTGCCTCCACTCCTGGAGGCATGAGCAGTTACTTCCAACGGACTGGCTCTTCTGACTACACTCTGCAAAACCGCGCAGGCGCCACCATTCAGCTCAACGACGTCTACGCTGCCTCGGCACCCAGCTACTATTGGTGGTTGAACCAGATGGCCAACGCAGGTACTCTTTCCTTCTGTGGTCGAGGTGATACGGGAGGCTCGACCTACTCACTGAAGTGCTACGGTAGCTCTTGTGTCAACACAGGACTCATCGTCATGGAGCAGGTCAACAGCAACCTCGGCACTGCGGCCAGCTGGGCCGTCGGAGTCCGCACAGTGGCAGGCACGACTCCTTCACAGGTCATTACCAACGACGGAGGATTCTTGATGCGCCAGGCTCGTGTCGATCTCACTCACAACGTCGCCGGCAGTGGTTGCTGGATGATCGACGACGGTGCCACTCTTTTCTTGCAGAGCGGCGTCGGTATCTACCAGAGTGCCACCGCTAAATTCTCGCCTCTGAGTGGACAGTCGATCAGCTTTGTGGGTGCCGGTGTCCTGCACATGGACTCTGGTGTCTACGCCTACAACTCGACTTTCGGACCCACTGTCTACGGCTTCGACAGTGGCAAGGCCATCGAGTTCAGTGAGGTCATCAAGAGCTACAGCTACACCAGCTCTACCGGTGTTCTCCGAGTCGTCTTCACCTCCGGCAACAGCGTCTCTATCACACTGGCTGGCTCCTACTCTTCGTCGAGCTTCTCTACTGGTACCCAGGCCAACAAGTATGGTTCTTACAACGCCCTCTTCTCATCGACTTCGCCAGGCACTTCCGCTCCAGCACAATGCCAACTGACCACCAGCAAGTGCTCTGCACTCTCGCTGACCTCACCTTCTACATCGACGAGCTCATCGTCCACGTCCTCCACGACTTCGACATCTACCACCTCATCGTCCACGTCTTCCACGACTTCGACATCCACCACTTCTACGACGTCTTCCACCTCCTCGACTGTGACTACGACCACACGTGCGACCAGCTCCTCGACATCCTCGACCACTTCGTCTAGCACCTCAACTGCTCCTGTGCCGGCGAGCACCTTCTCCTACGGCGGTCAAGACGCTGGTTGCTATGAGGATACCGGCAGCACCGGCACCCGATCGCTCAATGCCTTGTCTTACACGAACGCTCAGATGACGAATGAGATGTGCGCCAACTACTGTGGAAAGAACAACTACCCCTTTGCGGGCACTCAGTACTCCACCGAATGCTTCTGTGGCTACAGTCTGCCTGTCACAAAGTCCAATGCCTGCAATATGCCCTGTGGAGGAAATTCGACAGAGACTTGCGGCGGAAGCTGGCTTCTCAACGTCACTCGTAACGCTGACATCGACGTTCCTGACGCTGGCGCCCTCGGCTCGAGCTACAACACTACCGGCTGCTATGCAGAGTCTACCAACGGCAGAATCTTCTCATCTTACTCCTTCACCAGCCCCACAATGACCGTCGGCCTCTGCGCTTCTACCTGCTCGGGCAAAGGCTACGCCTACAGTGGAACAGAGTACGCTACCGAATGCTACTGCAGCTCGTGGGCTCCTGTCACCAAATCGACTGCTTGCACGATGGCCTGCGGAGGCAACTCGGCACAAATCTGTGGAGGCGGCAATGCCCTCAGTGTTGTGCGTGATACCAACATTGCGACCTCCGGACCGACCTGCGGAGGTCTTCCCTCTGGCTACGTTGTCTGTGCCGAGGGTCAAACCGTCAAGGGTGGCGTCTGCGTTTGAGGGATGAAGCTGAAGACGCCTTTCTTTGCTTGTCCGTCGTCCCGCTCTTGTGTCTGGGATGACGCTGTGTCTACACTGTATGTCGCTGGTAAACTTGCCTCACTCTGTTACCCCTTCTTATTTCCGGATCGTCTAATACAAAAGCTTACCTGTCATCCTCTTTGCCATTGTGTCTGATCAAACTGGCCGAGACGCAGATGCATTTTCATTGTGACTGTGCGCACGCATCACAAGACTACGGAGTGCAATCGTCGCAGAGATGTCAAGTATTGATAGGGATGGCTGGGGCCTGTCATAGTCTCTTTCCCAGGGGACGGCTCCGATGTTCCCCTGTACAGGAGTGTATCGCAAAGTTCAAGTCGTGACGGTGACAGATTGAAGATGTATGGCGTGGTGAACTGCGACATGACATAAACACCCCAAGGCAGTCGGGATCGTCATGCTGGTCGGAAATGTACTGTACGTAAGACTCGTTCCATTGCTCCCATCTACAGTATAGTGCTATGCCTCTGTCGAAGGACATGATGTCAAAAGAGTGATCGTCTGGACACATCCAACCCTAGCTGGCGATCCAGAAACATTGCACAATCACATATCGCTTGTTCTGCTGTCACACGACCGCCAGAGGCTGGAACGCTCAGCCTGTAGAGCGAGATGGTCCACCACAAAGTGATGACAAAGCCGATCAAAAGCATGTTCGCGAGCTCTTGACTGTGGAGATTGCGCAAGATGGAAGGGCCAAATGGCTGCAGCCCTCCCATCGCTCGGATTTTGCCTCATTTGCGCCGTGAGATGGAGTCCCTGTGTCTGCTGGCAGGCGTCAGTCTGCTGCAATCGAATATCACAGAATGCAGTGGTACTGTACTGTGCAGGACAGCATCACTTACGGTACTCCGCATAGCGCTCCAGTGCGGTGGATTGTACGGTCAAATGAGTATGCGGGTGACATGAATGCGCGTGTATGATGGTACTGTACTGTACAAGAAAGCACTGATTTGTGCTCTTTGCTCCGGGAGCACAGCAGCTTTCTTTTTACGGAAAGTCAGTGGAAATATTCTCCGAAGTGCAGGACAGAGAGTCGAATTTTCGCATGCGGCACTTTCTTGCCCAGTACACACGTCCAGTCTGAGAGAGCATTGCTCACTCTGGATGCAGACCTACACACCCGCTATGTATCAATACATTTCCGACGGCTATTTTGCAGATGTGACCAAGATTGTGGTGCTGCACATCGATCTGATTGCTGTTCACAGACTGTGACCAGGGATTCGAAGAAGTTGAGTGCCGAGTGTCTAATGTATCGCTCGTGCTTGGAAGGCTACGAAGGGGCTGTAAGAGTGTTGCAAGTCGCCACAAGCATAACTCTGAAAAACCGAGTCAGAGTCTTCAGGGGCGTAGGTTCAAGACAGACAGCATCTTGATGCACGACGGACAGACAGAGTGGCACGAAGGGATTGTACTGTATGCCGGGACGGTGTACAAAGTCCACTGCAGCAGTACTTCCATGTACTGTACATCACACAACGGTACAGTGTCCGCGAGCCTGGCCCGCAACGTGTCTCCAGAGCAATCACCTGATCGATTGTGCGGAATTCTCCAGTCTGCTGTACAGAGTTTTTTGAATTTTGCCCGCCTCTGAGAGTATTCTATCTTTGTTGTCGAAGACGATTGCAACAAGCAGTCAAAACCAGAACTGGTCTGCCTCGCGCGTGAGCTTCTGCCTCTCAAATGACAGCCGCTAAAGGTTTTCACACCGGAGAGTGTGGCTACTACTCCCTTCGTCATTCAGTCCTAGCCAACTCAGATTCAAAGTAGTAATCTGATCAGAAGTCTGGAAGCTTCCCGCGTGACAGTACACAAATGAGTAAAACGACAGCGCTCTACGTTCATCTGACAGCTCTCGGGAATATCCTCTGTCGCAAGAGCATTGGAGTGATCCGCCGAAGGATACAGCGCGGATAGCTCACTTTTCGAATACTGTTCTCAAAGTGCATCGTCTACAGTACCCTGTTATCTGCCATAGATGAACTCTCATTCCTGAAAAATTGCATTGCCACTTATACGCATTGCTGCAGGAGTTCTGCACACATGCGGCGTCGTTCATTGAAGCTGCGGAAGTATACATCTAGGTGCAACGCGGAGTACAGTACTGTACTAAACATGCGCATGCGACTCTAAGTCTTCTTGAATGTCGAAAAAGCAGGCAATTGTGCGTCAAAGCGACCTCAGCCAAACCCAGTGAGACACGTTCTAGCTCCCTGTACAGTACAGCACAGTACAGTGCCAAATACAACCACCGTGAAATGCACATTGACTGCCACAAAGAACGCAGACAAACATCGCTTTTCGCCTGTATACCGTACTGTACAGTACACAAAAGCTCTTGTACTTCTGGACTGCAGGCGGGTGACAGGGCACAAGTGCTCATGCATATGCTGCATTTGACTCGATTGACTCTACTGTACTGTTGCCAGAGCTCTTGAAGCTTGGGAAGTACTCAGGATCCCAATTGGGCAGCTTGCATCGGTGCCTGAATTGCTAGAGCTGCGAGGCGGACTACGTAAGACCCCATGTCCTGCTGCTGGAAGATCAATGGGTCAACAGAGCTATTGGACAGAAAAGACGTCTTCAGAATGAGATCACAATGTTGATGTTGGACAACAAAATCAGGGCACAGAATTTGACCGGAATATTCAGCTGCTTGCGGCCCAAAGAGGTCGATTACTGTATACTGCAGATGACACTGGCGCCACCGTGATCCGCCCAGGAGGCCCTACTGAAAGACCTTTGGTGTACAATATTGTACATACTCCTCTCGTTACTCAATTCTAGCCAAAAAGCCTCCAATTTGGCAGGAAATGAAGTCTGGAGGTTTGCCTCGCTGACTGAAAGCTCAGGGGCGCTATCAAACCACAGCCTGGCAAAGGTTGGAGAGCAGAGCAGTGTCCTTTGCTCAAATTTGTGAAAGGATATGCTGCCAGATTATCTGGCTACAGTAGATTCTCATGTGTGCAGCTAGAGTCTGCTGCAATCGACTGAGCTTGAGAGACGAAAGGGGAACTCTACACGTACATATCACTGTACAGTAGTGTACTGTATACTGTAGCTTTGCCTCGATCAAAGAGAGGGCCACCGATCTGAGGCGGCAAAGACACTGCAGCTGATGTCAGATTGGGGCACTTAGTCTCACCTCTTGTAGGTGCACCGCTACTGTACTGTACAGTACCGCAGGTGCTCCCGGCCCACCGCTAAGTGATCACACCTGATGGAAGATAGGACTGTACAACACCGTACTGTGAACTCCTGCCGGCGGTGACTTTTCATCAGGATTGGTCTCACTGTTCTGTCACTCGCCCGGCGCCATATTGCTCTTGAAGATAAGCACCCGCTTTCAGGCGAAGTCAAAGAGTAGGACAGTCCTTTCGAGACAGTACGAGACGCGAAAGACTCTTTGCGCGAGCATCTGAGCGAAAGGGTGTCAACGGAACATGCAACACTGGAGCGTCCTGTAGTGTACCGTACACTTGACTTGGACAACGAGACAAAGAATTAGCACCGACGACCAGCAACGAGATGGCGAATGTGTTGATTGTGACCTAGTGTTATCATTGCTGAGAAGAGCTGAGATGTTGAGCAAGCTCATGTAATGCCTCTCGATGCAGCCTATTGTAGCCCAAACCCTGGAGAGAAAGAGGTGGCGGTAGAAGAGGGGGGAGCGACAAGCGCATCGCTGCATTGCAAGGGACATGCTGCTGTACTGTACTGTACGGAAGATCGACCACAAGATTCGGGCCAAAGTCACATGTACACAGTCAATGCTGCGCTGCAGACGTTGTGTGCAAGGCTTGACCACGATGCTTCAACCAATGGTCAGCGTTGTACCTGTCCCTTTTTCTTTGAGTAGATCCCCAATCCCAGAGCGCTCGCGCCGTCGACTGACCTGATCTTGCCCCCACAATACTGAGCCGTGGCGTTGTGACGAATCCTTGGCAATGAAGTCTTGATGATACTGCCATCGCATGCGAGTATGATAGAGATGAGGTTCGGACTTCCTTCGAACTCTCAGGCTCAGAGCCGGAATTGCACGCCCGCAATTCTCACTTTGCCACCAGCGACGACGTACAGCAGCTCTCTTCACCCGAGGCTTTGCTTACTTCAAGGGAAGTTTGTCTGCTGTGACAGGCCGGCTGTGCATGACGTTGCTGAAAAAAGGAGCGAGAGCGAGAGCTGTAGCCCCTCGTCTCCTGGTACCAGCTTCAGATCCTGCGACCGCATGAGATTGCAGGAAGATCATCGACGATCGGACGGACGCTACAAGCACGTAAAGTACAAACTCCAACTAGAACCGCCTCAGAATATTACACCGTAGTCCTCGAGAAGTCAACGCACCCCATCGTCCCTTCCTCAGCACCACTTAGTTGCTTGGTCGGCTGCCATCTGCGCTCTCAGCGTCCTTGGTGTAGCCTGTACTCTGGATGCCGTTGGTGGTGGGCAGAGTCTCGCCAGACACTTGGAGAGGGTCATGTTCGTCATCGCCATAGAGGTAGAGGAGGGGCAGGACCAGCAAGGCGGCTCCTAGAATGTTACCCAGGAAAGCAGCTAAGCACCAACAAGAACAAAGTGCGAGCAGGTCAGCGGTACTGTCGGGAGCCTACATTCTGTCATCGACGAGCTGAAGGACTCACGAATCATTGCGTTCCAGATATATCGGCCGACAGAGACGGGGCTTCCCTGCATCAGACCCTCTGGGATGAGGAACATCGAAGCCACGACGTGCTCGAAGCCAGCGGAGACGAAGACGAAGATGGGGAACCAAGAGGCTACAATCTTGGAGATGACGTCCTTCGCCAGCGACGCTTGGAAGACGGCGATGCAGACCAGCACGTTACATCCAATTCCTCGCAAGAAGTTCTCCCTGAAATTGATTGCAGGCCCGGCCTTGGAGGTGGCAGTTGCGGCTGATCCGGTGACCATTGCTTCTGTGTAGATCTCCGTGTAGTACACCAATAGGCCTGCGTAGAAGAGTGCGCCACTGAGGTTTCCAATGAAGACGATGGTCCAATCCACGGCGAACGCCCAGAAGGGAACCTTCCTCTTAAGAGTGGAGAGAATCATGATCGCCATGGCACCTGTGACTAGGTCCGCCTGCAGAAGTACGATCATAACGAGACCGACAGGGAAGCAAGCTGTGCGAGGTACATATAAGCGATTGGTCAGCATCGCGCTGGAGCCAGCAGCGGGACAGACAAAACTCACCACCCTGAATGATCTTGAGCAGGCCAGGAGCATTTGTCGAGAGCCAAGGATCGGCGGACAAGATGTTAACTAGCATACCACCCATGGACAAGAAGAGACCAGCCATGAATCCCTTGAGGAATCGCTTGCCGATGGGCGCTTTGTGCTTGATGGGACCAGTGTTGATCCAGGCCCAGGTGGCCTCTTCGAGGGTGAACATTTGCGACGACATGTTGAGTCTGGCAAGGGTGCTTAGGGCGTAGACTACAGGCGGCGGGGCGGGAGGAAGGAGGAGGCGAGGAACCGGCACAGAAAGAAGTGTAGTCTTGAAGAGATTCCCAGAAAGAATTGGATCCGTCGCTGCTACATATACCCTCTCTCACCGTCCGGTGGACCACAGCTTCCGCAATGGAGCCAATGGTCTCGCTTTGACCACTGCTATGACATCTCCACCTTTGATTGCTTCGAAGACTGCTCCAGGGTCTGTACCGACAGAGATAAGCGACGGGGAAATCGGCGTGCACTGGCCCTGTCTGGTGGTACCTTGCTAGACCCTTATCTCTCGCTTGATGAAGAGGAGTGAGGTTCTTGAGAGTATTCGTTCCGTCCCCCGGACCGAAATTGACACCCGGGCATTTTCAGGTTTAAAAGTTGCCAAGGCCTTATCTCTCGCTTAAGCGAAGCATACGCCGGGTTGCTGCTCCTGGTCGGACATTGGTCTTAGGAGCGATCACCCCGCTCGCTTGGGCCAGGTGCGAATGCGCGTGCGCCAGAGGATGCTCCCCGCCTCTGTCCTTTCCCCGCGAAGGGTCCTCGGCTTGGCAAGGTTAATTCCGGTGGAAGCACGCTCGGGCCTGCGCTAGTGGTGACGCAACACACGAGGTATCAAGCGACGTCGAACTCGTCTCGAAGTTGGAGATAAGAGCATCCGTCGCTGCCATGGCGCTGTGCATACGCCAAGACTAGACACAAGCGCCAGAAACAGCCACTTTTCCAATTCCGGCCTTGCCATAATTCCTGGTCGCCGGCGATGTGGTCGAGAGACACCCGTATAAGAGGGTGTCATCGTCTCATGGTTGGCTGCAGAGAAAGCATTCGCTTCATTCAACCGTATTCTGTCCTGTCTGACCATGTCCTTCGTACCCAACCAGAACAAGCCTGCCATTCTCTCGGAGCTGGGCTCCCCGGTCTATGCGGCCCTTCACGAGGCAAAGGGCCGAAAGGGTCTGAGCTTCGAGCAAGTCGCAAAGGCCATCGGAAGAAGTGAAATTTACACGGCCGCCATGTGAGTGTTAAGCCTCTCGAGCCCTTTCACACGTGCCCAGTTCTGATGACATGTGCAACGTGCTTCTCCAGCTTCTATGGACAGGCTAAGCCGGAACCAGAGGATTTGAGCAAGCTCGCGGAACTCCTGGATGTACCCCACGAGGGCCTTGTTGATGCACTCGGCCCGAACTTCTGGGCGCACCGCGGACTGGGAAGCATGCCACCAAAGGGTGAGGAAGCTGTCCCAGATTCCCTGTATTGCTGCATTGCATCTCGCTTACACATCTTACTCCGATGTTGCTTATGTCCGTGTCGCTCTCACGCTCCTCCCCCCACAGACCCCGTTATCTATCGGCTCTACGAGGCCATCCTGGTCTATGGTCACCCACTCAAGCACCTCATTCACGAGAAGTTCGGGGACGGAATAATGTCCGCCATCGACTTCAACGGAGACGTTGAAAGAATCCCAGACCCCAAGGGCGACCGCTGCAGGTTGACCCTGGAAGGCAAGTTCCTCGCTTACAAGCGTTGGTGAAGGAAGAAAGATGAAATGTCATACACAAATTGTCATCTCTGAGACACCGTATTGTTGCATGATAACCGTTGTTCTGGATCGCCTGATAGCGTGTCCTCCCAAACTCGTGCACGGGACGAAGAGGCACCGTGTTTTCTGGCCGTCCCGTTGCGGACAGATGGCGGGAAAGGCTGTCCACTCCCCTATCGCCGACCTGGGCCGCCTTCCACGGCAGTTGGAACGCGGCTTTAGCGCTGCCTGGTGGAATCACCTTACTTCACCGTGTCTGCCCAGGTCCGAATCGCCTCGATCAGACCTCCGAGGTGTTCTCTCGTCCTCCAAAAGTGATCTGCACCTTCGACGGTGACCATATGCAAATGATTTGTTTCAGACACCGTGGCCAGCCGACCACACCATTTCTCGTAGTTCTGATGCGGAGGCGAGGAAGGTTCAGATCATTAGAGGTGCCAAATGGCTTAATCCTCCCTTGACAGCGGGACTCACCGTGTGATTAGTGAATTGGTCCTCCGTCCCTTGGATGAGCAACGTGCGGTGATCTTTGCTTTGAGCAATCTGCTCCATTCTCCTTGTCCACTTTCGTGTACCAAAAGCTGACAACGCCCACAGCTTGTCTAGGGGATACGAGACGAACAGACAGAGCCTTGCCGAATCGAACATGGGCGACAACGTCGGCTGCAGCACAGCAGAGGCACTAGAGGCGGTCCAAGCAGTTTTAGCAGAACGAGCAGACAAAACAACGTGTTTTCGCGTCCCAGATCTGCACTCACTACATTGCACCGGCAGAGTATCCCTTCACGGGTTCAAGGGCGATGTTATAGCTCGGTCAGCATGGTGGTCTCTCTGACGTCCTCCCTATATGTGTCTCACTGCAATTAGGAGCTGACAGTCCTTCGCTGCAGGATAAGCCTGGCTGAAGTCTGCTATGCTAGTCTTCGTCACTGCCTTCGAGAATAATCGCAGGTCATGCCATATCATCGGTCAGCAGAAAGCAACAATATCGCCCAGCTTCGTCTACTCACTAGATAGTCAGCTGCCTCAGTCTCTCCAGTCCAGCTACCTTTTCCCTGACTTGCGCCGACCCCTCTCGAGTTGAAACGTACAGTCCTGAATCCCAGCTCGGACAGAAGCCGGCTCACAGATGAGATGACGTGATCGGACATCGACCCTCCTAGGGTACCATACGCTAGAAGGAGAGGGCAGAAAGAGGCGATTCCTCATGCATCAGTACCGGTAGAAAAGCCCTGCGTGGTGCTGCGTTCCGCTTCGACCGTAGACTGTTCCGCGGTAGACGACTCACGATGGGCCAGGATGGCCAGCCCTCGGGGCTGCACCCATGCCCCTTCGGGCTCCCGAATGCGAGCTTCGAGTACGACGTCGAGGCTGGAAGAGGGGAGCGTGGTGCTCATATCCCATCCGATGTGTCCTTTGTGGGGAAGAACGAGGACTGTCGTGCAGTGGCTCGATCTCCACTTCCGTGATCGGAAGAGGTGGAGGCTGGACCCTGACGGGTCATTTCGGCTTCACGTTAGTCCCATGTTACTTCCACCCTCCGTGACAATACGTTCAGTATGCTTACCCTGATCACTCGACCAGTCGTATCGGTACCTTTCCAGTTGGGAGCAACGAGTCCGTTATTGGCTCGCTCGTTCAGTACGCCTGCGAAACCGCTAGCTTACTTGGATGGCTACGCCCAGCCCACTTCCGCCGTGCAGCGCGGGTTGACCTTCCTCAAGCTCAACCGTCCAGAAGCGAGGAATGCCATCAATTCGCAGATGCTCGATGAGCTCGCCGAAGCCGTCGAAATTGTGCGCGAGGATGGCCGAACTCGTACACTCATCCTCCAGTCTACCGTCCCTGGGGCCTTCTGTGCAGGCGCGGACTTGAAGGAGCGTCTGAATATGACCTCTGCCGCTTTTCATTCATGGCACACGAAGCTGGGCAAGACTCTGCGGGCGATCGAAACTCTTCCCTTCCCCGTGATTGCAGCTTTGGACGGTTTGGCTCTCGGAGGTGGCCTCGAAGTGGCACTGTGCGCCGATCTGAGGGTCGCCGGACCTGGGGCTACGAAGCTTGGTCTGCCCGAAGTGAGGCATGCCATCATACCTGGTGCAGGGGGGACGCAAAGGTAGGTGCGACATTAAGAGACGGGCAATTATCGTAGATACTGACACAGACGGTACCTGCCGCCCTTTCAGACTAAGCAGACTGGTTGGGCCAGCGGTGAGTGACCAGCGTGACCAGCGTCTCTTATGGCATCACAGACATGGACTGACTCTTCCATTTCGGTCCTCTCCTGACAGCGTGCCAAGCATCTCATCTTGACCGGCCGCATCTTCGATCGCATGTACGCCTATGAGCAGGGGATAATAGATGAGCTAGCTCACGAGGGTGTACCGCAGGGGGAGAATGCAGGTGCCAGTGCCGGCTACGAGGCTGGTCTGAGACATAGCATAAATCTGGCAGCCGAGATGGGCAAAGGAGGTGAGTCGCAAGCCTTGCGCACCTGAAAAATGAGCAGCACTGACCAAGGCTGCCACTCGACAACCTCGCTGTCATCTGTGCAGGCCCGCTGGCATTGAGAGCCGCCAAGCAGGCGATCGACAAAGGTTATCAGATGGATATGTGAGTACGCAAGAAGTGCGCAGGCCCATGGAGCTTTTGCTGACTAGCTGTTTGCCGTCTTTATGCAGAGGCACCGCCTTCGACTGGGAGAAGGCACTGTACCAGACACTGTACAACACGAACGACCGAAAGGAGGGCCTGATGGCATTCAAAGAGAAGCGGCCAGCCGTCTACGAGGGCGAGTAAGCTGGGACAAGCTTGCCTTTATCGTTCCCTTGGCTCCGCCCTTGCATCATACCACCTGTGCGGCTCTGACTCAACCTTGAATATACGCTCTGGCATTTCCAACAATCATCCTGATAGTGAAGTGGTAGAGTAGAGTCATGCTCGTTCCCGGTAGCGGGTGTGCGTCTTGGGCCTGATGTCCGCCTTGCAGCTTTCAAACTCCGCTCCCGCTGAGAGTTGGCTTGCATCCTCCGTCCGTGGGTCTTTCAGTCCTTCCGTTCGTCTCCATCGCCTAGATTGTATTGCTGCCGTTCCCTCCCTAGACGTCTCGAGTTCGCCTGTACCAGACATGGGAAAGCACTATTGCGACTAGTGAGTATCTGTCTGGGCTCAGTCCCAAGCTCTTGCCGGACAGCTACCGAGCCAGACCTGACTTCCCTGCTGCGCCCGCTCTTCTCCCTTGTCTCCTTCCGAATTTGCGTGCATTCACAGCTGCGACGTCTACCTCACCCACGACTCTGTATCCGTCCGCAAAGCGCACAATTCCGGTCGCAACCACCTACAGAATGTCCGCGACTACTACCAGAGCTTAGACCCGGCGCAGGTGAACGCCATTGTGGAAGAGGTGGACGCAATCTACCAAGAGAGGGGAATCGAGAAGCCGGCCATTGCGGCTGGACCTGGAGGTGGCTTCGGTGGTGGAGGATACGGAGGAGGTGGTGGTGGATATGGCGGAGGTGAGTCACTGACGAATGGGGAAGGTTCAAGGAGGCCCCTACGATATTGACCAGATCCTCCCATGACACCTTCCTCCCTCTTTGCTACCTCTCCGCTAGGCTTTGGCGGCAGAGGAGGCTTCGGCGGTCCTCGCCCTCCATTCAATCAAGGCTTTCGTCCTCCTCCACCTCATCTTCAGCAGCATCAGCAAAATCCCGGTTCCGGCTACGGCTCCGGTCCTCCGCCAGGCGCATACGGTCAGCCACCGCCGAACTATAGGCAGCCACCCCCGGGCGCAGGAGGTCAATTCAGTCGGCCTCCGCCGCCTTTGGGGATGAGGCCGCCACAGGGAGTTGGAGGCTATCCGATGAACGTACCGCCGCCTGGTTACAATCCGCATGTGCCGCCGCCTGGCTTTGGAGGACAGCAAGGCGCGCCGGGACAGGGTGGGCCCCCGCCACCGCTGGGTATCAGGCAATGAGAAGCGGAAGCTGGGAAGAGAAAGAGAAGGGATGTACACTGGGGGGGCAGGAACATGCGGCTGCTTTGAGCCTCACCGTCACGACATACATGCGCCTTGAACTCATACTGCGATTCTGCACGAACCGTATTCAAGCTCTACACGAGTGACATCGATGCTATGAAGTCGAAGCAAGTCTACAGTACAATAAGGAGGCAGGTATTCGCCGCGAATATGACATTCTCACGTGCGTTCCTCGAATCCGTCCGCGCTAGTGCTCCTAGCCTCCCTCCATCCCCTCTTGATCTCTTCTTCCTCCCCCTCCAGCCCAGCATCCCCACTTCTGAGCCCATCTTCCTCTCCTGCATCCCCCAGCGGCCGCTCTCGTTCCTGCATCCGACTCTGCCCTGCATTCATACCCTCTGCGGCTCCACCAGCAGCTTGGAATGACCGCACTACCTCGCCCAGGACATCCGCACTGCGTCTGCCCATCTCGAGGAATGTGTCATTATCTGTCGGCTTGCCGCTGAACATGCCGATGTGCGCTGATATCTCGTCTGGAGAGACGTGGTTGTCCAATGGAGTAAAGAGGCGGGCGGCGTGTGAAGAGAGTGGGGGAAGAATGGTAAATGTTCGTGGTCGTGGGTCTTGCATGAAGGAGGAGGAGGAGGTTTGAGCGGGAAGACGATTGTAGTAGGCGTGGAAGAGGATAGAGGGCAAGTCGATTAGGGCGTCCAATCTGTTCGCAGCAGAGACCAATGGCAGTCAGTAATTCGCCAACTCATCGAGCCACATGACCCTCCACTTCTATCGACTCACCTTTGCCTCAGACCCTTGTCATCCCATAGATTCGAGACATACTCGAAGTGCTCCGTCAGGTAGCCGTACGCCCCTCCGATCTCCTCGCGCTTGTAGTAAGCCGCGACGCCTCCGGCAGCAGCAGCTGTAGCCAATGCTCCGGTAGCCCAAAGAGCGTTACTCCAGCCCGATGAGGAGCTCTTGGCGGGTTGAGAGCCGGAAGATGAAGGAGGCGCTCCAGATCCACCGACTAGGCCTGCCAGCTTACCCCACCCGGCGCCACCACCACCTCCTGCAGGTTGCTGATTTGCACGATTGGTACTGTTCCGATTCATGCCCCACGCTGCTGCCAGGCCAGCCGCCATGGGCGCAAAGTGAGCCCCTACACCTCTGGCTTGTTGCGCGTATGTATAGTACTTGGTGGCTTGATTCTTAAAGACATTTGGATGCACGCCATAGTACTGAGTGTAAGGAGAAAGGCTGGAGGTGATAAGCTCGAGCTCTACTGCTACTGGTAGAGCTCTGTCCGATACTCACTGGCGAGTCGTAAGCAATCACGGACACCACTCTGGGCCATAGCTCCCCGATCCTCCCCGTCGCTGCATCCTTTTCGCCCATCAGAGCATTCTCATCTGCGATCTTCAATGCCGCATCCACGGCCACCAAGCCGCCCATGGAATGTCCACACAGAGCAATCTTGACTGAACCCCTCCCTTGTCCCCTCCCTTCCTTTCCTGGCTTGGACTCGAGCTGGAGCGTCTGCATGGTGAGCCACTCTACGAAGTTGGAGACGGCGGTAGCTAAAGATCCTCGAGTGTCGTAAGTGGGGTATATGATGGGGATGACATTGAGGCCGGTATGTGTTTCGCGTAGGAGATGGGCCAGACGGGAGGGGAAGTCGAGGAAAGTTGTTTCTGCTGAGCCTTTGAAGCTGTGAAATGACGCAACGGAAAAGAGAGGCAGCGGTCAGGGAGAGGTGAGCTGAAGTAGCAGGTGGTCTGACTGAGCTGGCTCCGGCTACTCACCCATGTATGAAGACGAGGAGGAGTATCTCACCACGCGAAGAGGGCGATGCCTCACTTGTCGCGTCTATGACTCCATGACTGCTTTTGGCATCCGTCAGGTCGATGACGTCTGCCTTTCTGTCGTCGCTATCATCGTCACCATCCCCGGGAATGGCGGGAGCTACGACGTCCTCCTTGTCGTGCTCTGCAGAACTGAGCGGGGGCGAGGAGGAAGATGTAGCGGTAGAGGCAGCCTTTGCGCTTGACCGCGTCACACGAGGCATTGCCTGGTGGACGAGCAGACAGGCAGTGATGTCCAATGGGCAGCTGAGGATGCGACGAGATGGGTGAGCAGTGGTGCTGTATGAGAAGGTGATGCAGGTGCAGCAATGGGTACGTGGATCTTCGTCCGACGGAAAGAGGGGCGTGGCGTGGCCGAGGCGCGGCTGCAGTGCGAGTGGCGCGCAGATTGCCGATGGGGCGATTCCGCGGGGGCGATTGCTTCTTCGGCATCTTCGGCGGTACAAGTCCGAGAATTTGGCAATCGGGACGAGGTCTGACTCGACGACGGGGGGCTGACTCGGTCTCATCGAAGATTCTTTTGCAACCATCCAGTCTCACCACATCACCATCTTCTTCAATGGTAACACTGACTGCATACTCCTGAACCAGCTCTTCTCATCCCCCCCTTTCCTCCGGGGCTGACAAACACACACGCTCCACTGCCTCCCCCTTGCTCCTTACCCCACACCACAATGGCAGCACCCAGTCATGCGGCTCACCGGGCCCCCGAATACCTGGCACCCGCACTGGAAACGGATTCACCATACGACTCGCCCACTACGACACTGAATCACTCGGCAGGGTCACCGGCGTCTGTGGCGCCGCCGATGCGGGAGGAACGCTCGGATGACGAGGAGGAGCAAGGCGAAGCAGGCGAGCTGCCCAGCAATGCAGCCTCATCCAGCCGTCCTGGTGTTCGTCAGGGGCTCTCCACCTCCTTTCGAGAACCGCAAAAGGTTACACTCACCAAGTCTCGACCTCCGCCTCCAGCAACTCGAGGATCGGCAGCGCCAGGTCTCGCTCGTCGTTGCTCGGCTGCGTCCTCAAGGCCTCCCAGTCCACCGTTTCCGTCCATGGCACTGGCATTGTCTCGCTCAACTTCTGCCGCAGGAGCTCAATACATCGAGTGGGAGCTGGATGACCCCGAGGATCCTTTCAACTGGAGCAAACCAAAGAGATGGGGCCTGGTGATATGCTGTATGCTCTATACCGGAGTCACAGCACTCGTTGGTGAGTGACTAGGAAGAAGAAAGGTGCACTTCCACGACGCCGGCTCGTTGACGCCTCATCGTCCCTCGTGTCTCGGAACAGCCACTGCGTATTCTGCACCAATAGACCTGGTGACAGCTCAATTTGGCATCTCGAGTACTATCTACCTGTTAGGCAATACCACCTTCCTGGTCTCCGTAGCATTCGCGCCCCTCGTCCTCGCGCCCTTTTCCGAACTCGTAGGTCGCAAAAACATCTTCGTCGTCTCAGCATTCGTCTTCACGATGATGACAATACCCCAAGCTCTCGCTCCCAATATCGAAGGGATCATCATCCCGCGTATATTTCAGGGAATGGCTGGCTCCGTGGGCAATTCAATCACCGGCGGCATCGTCGCGGACCTCTTTGTCTCGCACGACAGAAGTCTACCAATGAGCTTCTATGCCCTCATCGTCTTTGTGTCTCAGGGTATCGGGCCGCTAGCTTCTGCGTGGACTGTCTACGCACACTCCTGGAGAGTGACATTCTGGTGGCAGGGTGCCGTTGCACTGACGAGCTTCTTGTCTCTGTGAGTTTGAGTGAGAGAGAGGGGAATGTAGGATCGGAAGTCAAGAGCAAGGAATTATGTGCCTCTGACTGACCTTGTCTCCTTTCACCGACTCCCCGATGCTAGATTAATCTTCTTCTCCGAAACTCGAGGTCCCGTTCTGCTCTCAAGAAGAGCAGCCAGGATGACCAAGGAGAGCGGTGGAAAGGTACAATACCGCTGCCGAGCCGACGACGAGAAGCATTCCTACACCCAGATGATCTTCACCAGCGTCAGTCGCCCCGTCCTCTACTTCTTCACCGAGCCAATTGTCACCGCCTTCAGTCTCTGGGTGGGCGTTCTATGGGGCACCGTTTTCCTCGCCATCGTTGCTGTCCCGCAGTCCTTCACATATGCGTACGGTTGGACATCCGAAGAGGGATCGTTGGTGCTGCTCATCCTTGCCGTTGGAGGTTGCTGTGGATGGTTGCTCAACCTCATTCAGGAGAGGTGGTACGAACAGGCGTGGAAGAAGCACAATGGCGAGCCGCCGCCGGAGACACGACTCTACATGTGCGCAGTGGGCGCTCTGATGGTGCCCGTTGGTCTGATCTGGTAAGTGTACTCGCGTACCCGTGACATGGTCGAGTAATGCTCACTCAGCAAGCGGCTCATCCCTCTTTTCGCCCACTAGGTTCGCATGGGGTTGCCGGACAGGCGTGCATCCTGCAGTCCCCATCCTTGGGCTGATTTTCTTTGCCACTGGAGTCTTCCCTATTGTGAGTTCACCAATAGCGTTCAAAGCAAGCAGGAGGGCGATTTGCTGACCTCTGTACCCACTCGCCGCTCTCCTTCGCAGTATATGGCTGTCTTTGTCTATCTCAGCGATCTCTACATGCGGTACGCCTCTTCCGCCCTCGCAGCGCAATCGGCCTTGCGCAACATCCTAGCGGGAACTTTTGTCCTCTTCACTCCAGCCATGTACACCCGTCTCACACCACAGTGGGCTACATCTCTTCTGGCTCTGATTGCCCTCCTCTTGGGCTCCTGCCCATTTGTCCTGCTGGCCTTTGGTGCAAAGATCCGAGCGAGGAGCAGAGTGGCGCAGGCGCTCAAGAGGGAGGATGAGGAGCTGGCAGAGTGGAGGGCGGCGGAGGCTGCCAAAGTCGAAAGGAGGAACCGAAGGAGGGAGCAAAAGGAGGAGATGATGAGGGGTTTCCAGGAGAAGAGGGACGAACAAGTTTCAGGGCCAATGCTGCAGAGCAAAGGCGAGGAGAAGGTGGGTGGGAGCGCAGCCCCTGATCTCGAAAAGGGCCTAGAGGCGGAACAGAACAAAGCATCATCGCAATAGAGGCTGCAAGCCGAGTCTGATTCAATTGATTACTATTCAACACTGTAGCGACCTTCCTCCTGAATACGTCGGATACCGGCTCTTTATCTTGATCGAAAGAGAGACTGTATCCTCCATCACACCGAGGTTCCCTATCTCCGTCTTTTCCAGCAGGAAGTCACGCACCCAAATCTGGGTGCATGTTGAGCTTCGGCATACCCTAGAGCACATTACAGCGCCGGCTCCTTTCGTTGCTGGACTTGGGAAGTCGTGTGCATGAGTGGTGCCGAGAAGTGGCAGAGGAGAGGCTCAGGTCAAGCCCGAAGCGGCAGGGTCATCTGATGGACGAGTGAGTTGCAGGAGCAGCACTACAGGCAGATTGGATAGCCGAGTAGACCAGTGCTGCATTCAGGGCCGTTTATGAACACAGGGAAACACCTCTCTGTCCCAGTCTAGTCTAGCGAACAGGGAAGGTCAGGCGGACCTTCTCTCTCTCTCTCTCTCTCTATCTTCTCCGGGCAGGGCTGCATGTGCGTCCGTGCGGAGTGAAGTGTGGGGAATCCCCGCATCGCATCGGCCTTCGGGATTCCTTCGGAAAGCACGGAAGGCGGGGCTGGGGGCAGGAAGGAGGTGGAGGGGAGCGTGCGGGGAAGGCAGACCAGGGGGGAGCATGACCAGCAAGTAGACTGGCAGGGCGACACTTAGCTGCACCCTTCATTCCCTATCCTTACTACTACATATCACCGTGTGCATCGTCTGCCTATCTCTCATCTTATTATCATCGTCGAAAAAAGAGAAATCACTGCACCAGCCATGTCCATGAAAGCCGTTGTAGTGAGTAGCAGCACCTGGAGGTGTGCATCCTTGCCGGACGTTGCTCACTCCTGCCTCGCTCCCTATGATGCGGACGCAAACAGTACAAGGGCCCCTTTGAGGTGGCCGTGGAGGAGGTTCCCCTCCCCACTATCCAGCACCCAGCGGACGTCATTGTTCGGATCACCAGCAGTGCCATTTGTGGCTCGTGAGTACATTCGAGAGGCTGTGGAAGCACTAGCTTACTGAAGAGGGCAACAGACTGGAGGAAGCAGGTAGACTGACACTTGTCTGCCTCTGTTCTGCCGTACTAGTGATCTGCACATGGTAAGCTAGACTGCAGGGGCATCGTCGAATGAAAGAGTCCTTTGCTCACTCGTCTTTCCCCGCCCCCCCCCCCCCCCTTGCGCGCCTCTTTGCGCAGTACGAAGACCGCACAGCAGCCAAGGCCGGACTCAGGTTCGGTCATGAGAACATGGGTGAGTCTCCAACACAGACGGACGAACTACAAGCATTGGTGGTACGAGCATGTCGACTCTGACAAGGTCCACAATCACCCTTCTGCTGCCTCTCCAGGTATCGTCGAGGAGCTTGGCTCGGGTGTGACTGTACTCAAGAAGGGCGACCGAGTTGTTGTGCGTATTCAATGGCTGATCCTGGTCTTGGAGGACGTTGAGGTCACAAGGCGACGAGCTGATCATTGCTGCGACTTTTTCCCCGCTACTAGATGCCCTTCAATGTGGCCTGTGGCTCTTGCTTGAACTGCCAGACGAACAAGACTGGTGAGCTGAGGAGCAGTCGAGGCACAGAATAGCAAGCTGTACGTGTGCACTGACGCTCTCCCAATTGCAATGCCATAGCGTTCTGCACAAACGTCAACGAAGGCTTCGCCGGAGGCGCATACGGCTACGTCGCGATGGGTCCTGTGAGTTCCACTGACGCGACATGTCGAAGGCTCAGAAGCTGACACTTGACCGCTGTTTCATTACCGTCCCGTTTGCACCTGACAGTACCACGGTGGCCAAGCAGAGAGGATCCGTGTCCCCTTTGCAGACTTTAACGCCCTAGTCCTGCCCCCCGGAAGCGAGCACGAGGCCGACTTCATGATGCTCGCCGACGTCTTTCCCACAGGCTACCACGGCTGCATTCTATCCGGTCTCAAGCCCGGCGAGTCTATCGCAGTATGGGGCGCTGGCCCCGTGGGCTTGATGGCAGCATACTCTGCTCGCTTGATGGGAGCAGCAGACATCTACGTCATTGACCGAGTGCCGGAGCGACTGGCCCTGTGCAAGAAGTTCGACGGGATCCCCATCGACTTCAGTAAGGGCGATGCGGTGGATGCGATTCTGAAGATGCGAGGAGGCAAGGAAGTGGATCGATGTGTAGATGCTGTTGGTTACCAGGCCGTTACCCAAGATGGAAAGACGGAGCAGGTCAACATCGTCTTGAACCAGATGGTACGGGCCGTACGCGCCTGTGGAGGTCTCGGTATCCCCGGAGTGAGTAGTCGTCGGCTGGGTCAAGCCTCAAGAAGTTTTGATATGCGTCGCGTACTCATGCTGATGGACTCCGCATTTCTTCCTCATCTAGCTTTACGTCCCCACTGACCCCGGAGCGAGCGACGAGCACGCCAAGCTTGGACAGCTCATGTTCCCCTTCGGCAAGTTCTTCGAGAAGGGCCTTTCCATGGGAACGGGTCAAGCCAATGTGAAGACCTACAATCGCCAGCTGAGAGACCTCATCGTCGCCGGCATCGCCAAGCCCTCGTTTATCGTCTCGAACGAGGTGGGCCTCTCTGCTGCACCGGATGCATATGTCAAGTTCCAGAAGCGTGTAGAGGGCTACTCAAAGGTCATCCTCAAGCCCTAAGAGTGGAGCGGGACCTGACTGTCGAAGGGAAGGGTGGGTGAAGCGCTCTTGTGAAGGGCTTTCGTGTGAACGACGTTCCGATGATCGTCTGAAGAATACTGTCGCAGATCAGCGGATATTGGAGCAGGTAAGGACAGATTGTACGTGCTCAAGAATCGTAGCTCTCAGTCTCTTGAATGTATTGCCATTTGATTAGTGTATAGAACAATCGTCGCAACAAGGAAGGAGTCGCGACAAGGAGTGGACCGTTTCTCCCAACGATCAACTCCTTGTCACGATCCCTTGCTTGTTACGATGGTGCTGTTATCATTGTGAATGACTCTCTTCTCCTCGCCTCTGCAATAGCACAGGGGGCCTTGGCGTGGAATCGCAAGCATGGGAGCCAATGTCTTGGTGTAGACGACCACTCGGTCCAGGCAGTGTTGCTCGGTACCGTATGGTCTGAAGTGAACTCGGCCTCGTCTATGAGACGATGAGGATGTGCAGAGAAATCAGCTGGTGTCTCCCGTACGGCGACAGCTTCTGACCTTTGAAGGTCCAGCGGCCCCGCCTCGCCTGAGCAAAGCAGTCCACTCACCTGATCAGCCAGAGCGGGCTAGCTATCTTGCGCAGTACAGTCCTTTGTGGCCAGCCACATCACATCATTCTATCGTATGGTGCCTTGAACAAAGTGGTGAAGGGCGGCAAAGATGGAGGATGGGGTGAAGAGAGAAGGAAGATTGAGCCTCGAGGGAGCAATCAGGAAATCGAACTCCCCGGTCTGTGCACCTCCCATCACACCACCTTCCTCGTCGGAGTTGGCAGGCGTGCATCTGCTTCCTGGGCGCGAGGCGAGGCACTGGGCCAGTGTTGCCGCCATGCATCACGAGCGAGCTTCGACCTCGGCGAATTAAGAGGCGCAACGAAGGTACACCACACCGTACCGCGCTTCCTGGCCTGTGCAGACGGCCTGCGACGCAATCTCGTGATGGCGAGGGGCTGTCACGCCACGCCACGAAGAAGCACGCAGCCAGACAAGGCAAGCAGATCCCTCGCCCTCTCTCTCTGTCCGACACACTGGGTGTCCCTTATCGGAACCAGCACACGAGGGCGAGCACGCCATGCCTCCGCTCAATGGCATCGGTACATACCACTCAAGCCAAACCAGGCCGGACCACGGCAGCGGGTCGGGTATGGATCGCTTAGACGGACGTACCGTTTTGTGAAAAGGTGCAAGATGGTCAAATGTTGGCTCGTTCCCTCGGCAGGCAAGGCAATCACGGAGGCAGGGGAGGAGACAGCAGGGGCATCGGCGAATGAGGCCATCTTCTAATGTCCAATCACGCCAGATCTTCTTCGCTCTGGGATTACAAGGGCATGTCCATATAACTTGGCGGGACGGATGGTTTTCCCCGAGGCCCATCCTCTTGGGCTTGTCAGGCGTGCCCTCTTGACTTCTTCCTTCCGGGTCTCTCCTCTCTAGACCTGCTCGAACCTTGACCACCCGAGTCCCTCACACCCACCCCTATCGCCTTTACCGCTTCCTCGTTCTCCATTGTACCCGTCAGCATGAGCGGGAGCGCGACATCCATCCCTCCCCCTCTCAGCCAAGGCGTCGGATACGGCATCACCGTCGGCGTCGGTGCCGCCTTTGCCATTGCCATGATCGGCATAACCGCCCTCCTCAAGCGTTTCACCGGTGAAAACAATGGCCACTTCGAAACTTACTCCACAGCAGGACGAAACGTCGGTGTAGGCCTGGTGTGCGTAGCCGTCATCTCCTCGTGGGGATGGCCTACAGCACTGCTCAGCTCGAGCGTGGTGACGTACGATTATGGTGTTTCGGGGGCATTTTGGTTTGCCAGTGGATGCCTAGTGCAGATTTCATTCTTCTCACTCATTGCAATCCAGTCGAAGCTTCGGGCGCCGCATGCACACACCTCCCTTGAGCTGGTCAAGGTGAGATATGGAGCAGTGGCGCATTGGTTGTACATGTTCTTGTGTCTAGCGAACAATTTGATTGCTATAGGTGAGGAGAGGTCAAGTGGGGAGCACCCTTCATTGGTCGATACGCCAATTGACTGTGTCTCTCATCCCTTTCCATTCAGTGAACATGTTCCTCGGCGCATCTGCCACCATCTCAGCGCTCACGGGGATGAACACCGTCGCCTCCATCTTCCTTCTACCCGTAGGCGTCGTCGTCTACACCGTGTACGGCGGTCTTCGCGCAACATTCATCACCGATTACCTACACACCGTCTGTCTGCTTATCATCGTCACCTACCTCTCCCTCAAGACGATCACAAATGACCAAGTTCAATCCCCTCGACATCTCTTTGACCTGGTCAATCAGGCCGCACTCGCCACGCCCGTCTCGGGCAATAAAGACGGCTCCTACTTTACCATGTCCAGCAAGAGTGGAGTCCTGTTTGGCCTCCTGCACACCTTGGGTAATTTTGGCCTAGTGATCATGGACAGCTCCTACTGGCAAAAGGGCTTCAGCGCAAACCAGGCAGCAGCGGTCAGAGGGTACATCCTCGGTGGGATCCTTTACTTTGCCATGCCATTTGTCCTGGGCACCACAATGGGACTTGCGGCGGTGGGCCTGGGCACGAACCCCATCTGGCCCACCTATGGTCGAGCATTGAGCATGACAGAGCTCAACGATGGTCTGCCTCTGGCTTACACGGCCTATGCCACTGCTGGCAAGGGCGGTGCAGTAGCTGTCGTGTTGCTAATTTTCATGGCTTGTACAAGCACCTGCAGTGCTCAAATCGTAGCAGTGTCGAGTATCGTCAGCTCTGATCTTTACCATACCTACATCAACCCAGCCGCAAGGGACAAGGCGATCATCAACGTTTCCCGCCTCGCCTGTGTCCTCTTTGCACTCGTAGGCTGCGCCGTCTCGGCAGTCTTCTGGCGCATCGGTCTCAACCTTACTTGGACGCTGTACTTTCTGGGCATCATCACTACCCCAGGTATGGTCACTCTTCCACTCACCATCCTCTGGAAGAAGCAGACGAAGCTGGCCGCCATCGTCTCGCCCATTGTGGGAATCATGGGCGGTCTAGCTACCTGGATCTCCACCTCTTACGTCTACGGCAATGGAGAAATCAGCGTCACCACCACGGGCGCTCTGTTGCCCTGTCTGTGGGGCACCGTCGTCTCCTCGTGCGTGCCAGCAATCCTGACCATCGTCATTACATATGCCAAGCCGGACGAGCACGACTGGGACTGGTCTGGCTTCAATAGGATCAAGCTGGTGCACTACGAGGATTCTTCGAGTACTCTAGGCGAGAATGGCGGCGAGAAGAAGAAGCTCGCACCTTCTGCGCCCGACGTTATACGAGCGGTGCCTGCAGAAGGCGAAGACACGGAAGCCTCTCTAGAGCAGCACGATGGTGCCGTCACGAGCTTCAGCGACGCCGAGGTTCGCCGCATGAATCGCGCCTCCAAGGTATCTGCAGGATGGGGCATCTTCCTCTTCCTGGCCGTGTGGGTGGTCTGGCCCTTTGGGATGTGGGACTACGTCTTTGACTGGCAATTCTTCACCGGATGGGTGGTGGTGTCCTTCATCTGGATCTTCATCACGCTGCTGGTCGCAGTCTTCCTTCCACCTCTGGAGGGCCTACCGTTGCTGTTGCGCATTGTACGCGGGCTTGTGACGGGGAAGAAGGGTGCAGAGGCAGGAGATGGTGCGAGGAGGGGATCAGGACAGACTGAGCTGATTGGAAAGGAGAGCTCTACTCCTTCGAGCAGCAGCGCGTGACGCGGGGTATGCTGGCTTATCTCATGTACACCATCGGAGCTTGATGTAACTTGTCGAGGCTTGTGCTGATGATAGACTGCTAAGCTTGCATCTGGTAAGGTGAACTGAGCCTCTGGTCGAGTAAGATGACCGGGGAGGAGTAGCAGCGATGCCTGGCGCTCGGAGGATTGATCGGCGGTGTCAGCCGCGGGACTGAGCATCCGCGGGTGGCTGAGTGACGGCTGTGTGGCGCCGGGTGGCTTTGGACCCTTTTCGGGTGTTGCTCAGCCAATGACCGGCCTGGGTGGAGTGGAAATATAAGGGCGGGCGACGGGAAATGGACCATGGCTGCCGAACTTCACCGTCTGATCCTCTTCTCATCTCCTACTCAGAACAAAAGGCGTCGCAGTACTGCGCCCTCACCGTTGCCCTTCCTGGCTTGCCGTGCTGCCTCCTCTTCCCTAGGCGCTGTCCTCCAACGCAACCTCACAGCAGCAGCAGCCCCGCTCCGCCTCGCAGCATCTCTTCCCTCCCTACTGACTCGCTCCCCACTTCTCCCACCATCGACCACAATGGTAGCCACTGCTACTGCCGACAATTCTTGGCAGCCGGGAGAGATTCCTTCAACCATTGGAGCATCTCTGCAGAGCTGGCTGCGACCCAATCACCAGCCTCGTGTCCATCACCATCACCACAAGGGACATGACGCCACCAATGGCAACTCTTCCACCTCTGCCTCGTCCAACACCTCTGCCTCTGCATCGTCATCTTCCCTCTCCGCCTCCCAGCAACAACAAGACAAGGAAGCCAGGGCAGCCGTAATCTCCGCAGAAGCAAGCGTAGGCAACGACCCTGCAGCAGCTCAAGCCACTCTCCCCGCTCCAGGGGTAGCCCTCACCTACCCAGGCAAATGGGATCAGCTCTCCGCCCAGGCCGAGCTATACCTCTATGCTGCCGCTACGCCCTACTTCCGTGGAGCACATCTAGGTAACGTACAGAATCCACTGCACAGCTCTGATGTGGGAGCCTTTAGTGGCATGTGGGAGCAGGCGTCCGGCAAATCTACAGGCAAGGACAGCCAGGCAGAAAGCGGGGCTCACTCTAAGCGTTTCCCGGCTGAGCACAGGGCCACGATTGGTACCGCCTTGCACAAAGATGGGAAAGTCGGGTCCATTAGATGGGTTGCGGCAGATCCCGAGTTCAAGGAGGTGAAACAGAACGAAGCAAATGGTACTGCCAGCAGCAATGGACATGCACACGGGTCTGGATGGCTGCGATGGTTGACCGGAGCATCAAGCTCGACGACGCCGGCCAAGTGCCTCAATGTCCTCGAGATTGGACGACCGGAAATCACCAGGGAGGAGGAGGAGCGTGAGGAGAAGATCGTCGTCCTTGCTGGATACGGAGCTGGTATCGCCTTCTTCTACAGAGTGAGTCAGCTACTCAAGGATGAATGCCTTTGCCTGGTCAGAACGGCAGACTGATCTCTGTGATCCCGACCTTTGCTCCGCCCACAGAACTTTGCTGCTCTCGCCGCCCGTCCCAACTCGCGCCTCTACGCTCTCGACTGGCTAGGAATGGGGTCGCTCCTCCCGTCCCACATTCCACGTTCCCTCCTCAGCCATGCACTCAGATAAGACGCGCGTGGAAGCCGCCGAAGGCTGGTTCGTTGAGAGTCTAGAAGAGTGGAGGAAGAATGCTGGTATCGAGAAGATGACGCTGGTGGGACACAGCTTAGGAGGGTATCTGAGCGTGGCGTATACGCTGCGCTACCCCTCTCGCGTCTCTCGTCTGGTGCTCGTATCTCCAGCTGGAGTAGGCTTGCCGCCCGAGGAGCACGGTCAAAATCAAGGCGACGGCCACAAGAATGAGTCTACCTTTGCGCCCAAGAATGCTACGTATGTCCCGGATGCCTCGCGAGGCAACATCGATGCAGATGCCACCTCTGTGCATTCGCAGGATGTGGAGCGCGAGGTCCTCGAGTCGCAAGAGCACGCAGGCGTACCAGCGAACAAGGTTCAAGCTGAGCAGGACGCTCGCAAGGTGGACCAGCAGGCCAATGGAGCTTCCTCAAATCAGCAGCAAAAGCAGTCCACCGACACAGGTCCCAAGAGTGCTCCTCCCCCACCGCGCTTCTCTCCACGCACACGAGCCGTCTTCTCCTGGCTTTGGGAGCAGAACTATAGTCCCTTTGGTCTACTTCGCACCTCTTCCTTCCTCGGACCCTGGCTCGCATCACGCTACACTTCTCGACGCTTCTCCGCTCTGCCCGACGGGGAGAAGAAAGCAATTGCGGCATACACGCAGGCGATTTTCCTCTCAAAGGGAAGCGGGGAGTATTGCCTTGCCCATTTGCTCCTTCCTGGTGCGTGGGCGAGATTGCCAATTGCTACGAGGGCAAAGGAGCTGAAGAGGGAGCTGCCAGTGAGCTTCATCTATGGAGAGAGCGATTGGATGGACGTTGAAGCTGGGAGGGACGTGGTGAAACGGCTGAGGGAGTGGGGCAATATGGGTGGGGGAAGGACGTTCATCGTGCCCCATGCGGGGCACAACGTGCACATCGACAATCCGAGAGCATTGGACAGACTGCTGGGGAGGATACTAGACGCAAAGGCAGATGTGAGCGCTACGAAGGCGGTCGTCTGAGGACTAGTCAGTCAGGCAATCCACCATCAAACTTCTCCCTCTCTTCTTGGACTCGTCAACCTCTTGTATTTTCTGCACGATTGTTCTCGTCATTGCTACACGTCATGGATGTAATCGACATTTTCACTGCCGCCAGAACTCTGAGGAGACTCTCGCCGTGACACGCCGTCTTTGTCGTCCTGTTCTGGAACACTCAATCGCAATCGGTGCTTGGGCTCTCGTCTACAGCAGCGCCGAGCGAGTCAGGAGCGATGGACTCTCGCGGCTGCCTGCCGCTACCAGTGGCACCAGTGGAGGCCATAGTGGCACGCGTTGAGAAGCGGGACGAGCGTCGCGTAATTGGCGCAGCTGGCGCAGGGGCTGCCAGCGGTTGTACAGAGAAGGTCTGAGAATCAGCTTAGATCCCCAGGAGCGACTTTGATCACCACTCACCAGCTGCGTGAGAGTTTGCGCTCGCCTCTTCAGTAGAAGTGCTTGCCTCACCAGGACCCGAGCGATCCGGTGAAGACCCAGCGTCGCTCAACCCAGACGACGAGGACGATTCCATGAGTACAGAAAGAGTGCGTCTGGTGCTCGTCTGGGGATTCTGAGATCGTGCTGCATGGGCTTGGAACTGCAGGGATGCGTCCGGTCAATAGTGGCGGAAGATGAGCACGGTACCACTTCTCCTCCCCCTGCTGCCACTTACGATCTTGGCTTCAAGACCTCGTCGTTCAAACTCCAGCTATGGTGGTTTGCGTGGCGAAAGCTTTCTTGAGTCCAAAGCGCTGTAAGCACACGGATCCATGATACACTCACTCTCTTGATCTCGTTATCTTTCTTGCACATCTCTCGCTGATTTTGGTCTCTCTGCAGCGCAGCAGAGTAATTGCAGAGCTCTACCTCGGCGCGAGTCTGCAGGGATAATGTAAAGGTAGTCAGTCCGGCAGCTTCGACACAGCAGCAAAATTCCGGTGTCAGCCGAAGACTCACCAGCAGCCCACGTCGAGCTCTCTCCATGACAGTGTTCTCCTTCTCCACAGACTTTGCCTGAACATCTTCCAGAGTCTTGACCTGTGTCAGCAGCTTCTCTTTCTCCTGTTTGACGCTGAGTATGTCTTTCTCCAGCCCGTTCGTCTTTTCACGCAAAGCAGTTATCTCCTCAAGACGATCCTTGCGCTCGCTCGCCAGCGTAGCCTCCAAATCCTCTTGGTTCTGAAGTGCATTCTGCAGCGTGTGTGCCGTTCCTGATTCTTGTTCTTCAATTTCGGTAATCTTGCCCTCCAAGTCAGAAATGACTCTATGAGCGTCTTCCAGATCAGCCTTGTTGTTCTCGACAATCTCAATTACCTCGGAGTACTTCTCGTTGAGGTCTGCGAGGTCCGTAGCGCCTTGTGCTACTCGTTTCTCGGCAGCCTCTAGATCATTGCGCAGACGCCTGATACTCTCAGTAGCAGTTCTATTGCCATCCTGAGCTCCTTCGTAATCGTCAGTAAGCTCTTCGCATCTTCGCTGCAGAGTCTCGAGCTGACTGCGAAGCTGTACGACAGTGGCTTCGGCAGCAGCTTTGTCAGAGCTGATCTCGCCCAGGCGTCCCTTGAGGCTGTCAATACTTTGAGCAAGAGTGCCGCTGCGAGCTTTCTCAGCAGCGAGAGCACTTTCCATTTCCTGTGAAGACGGGGACCAGCACAGGAAGGGTGAGCAGAAAATCCACCTCGCAATGAGCGTACTACTCACGTGCTGATGATTGAGCTGTTTCTTGAGTCTCTCTTCCGTCTGTCTGAGCTCTCGACATTCCGCTTTGAGTTCGTCAACGCGCACGGCTCTCTCCTCAGAGAGCTTCGTCGTCTGCTCAGCACCTTTCTGACAGATGCGCAGGCTGTCGGTAGCGTCCTGCAGGCGACTCTCGACAGCGTGCTTCTCCTTCTGCAGACGCTCGATCTCCAAGGCGATCTCGTCTCTGACTGCGATCATTTCCTGCTGACGCTGCTCGGCTGCCTTTGCTGCTTGAGCAGCTAGGTCAAGCTGAGCGTTCGCTTCAGATAGCCTGACACAGTCACGCGTACGTCAGTGAGTAAGTACACGACTCGCAGCGCTCCTGACTAGCTACTTACTTGTTGCTGATGCCAGCTGCCTCTTCCTGAGCTGCCTTCAGCTCGCTTTGCCTACGACCGAGAACATCCTGCGAGCGAAATGCTAGTCATTGTGAATGCTGCTGGCTTGTTTCCTCTTCGGATGACATACTCACCGTAGATTGCTCGAGCTGCTCTCGCAACTGAACCTCTCGCCCTTCCGCGGCACCCAAGCTAGAGGCCACCCAGAGAAAGGTTGAGTCAGCATTGTCAGGTCACCCTCGCCCATTGTTTGCATCTTCACAACGCACCACCTCTCCAAGTCCTCCTTGGCCTTCTGCAGTTCAGCGTTGGCGATCAAAAGATCTTCATATCGAACTTCTAGCGCTCGATTTGCGCCATCCTTCTCCGCCAAGCGCTTCGAGATGTTTGTCACTTCGCCGCACTTCATCTCGTACTTGGCAAGATGATCTTTGATATCTCTCTCGAGATCTTTGATTTTCTCCTGCGCCTATGAGGTGAGGCACTCGTGAGCATTGTCTGCGGAGGCGTCAACAATGAAGCTCGATACCTACTCCTGCCCGATCGAAGAGCGCTTGGTCTCTGGACTGCTTGTGGTTCTGGACCTCGACCTCGACTGCAGAGGCGGAACATAGCACAAGCGCATCATAAGGCAGGGCACACTAAGTGACTGCGCTGCAAGGTCATGAAGCTGATGATTGATGCCAACTCACGATCTTCGATCCTCTGGATTGCCACCTTGACATTAGCAACTGCTTCCGCTCGAATATGATTGATGGTGTCCTGGAGACAATGACCGTCTGTCGTTACAGTGCGCAACATTCGACAAGCCGTCGTCAGCGAGCACACCACCTGCAGCCCTGACTGGTGTGTCCGAAAACTCGCCAGCATCTTTGACGAGGCATTCTGCCTGTCCGGAAGCTGCTTTACTGCGCTCGGCTTCTACGTTCGCACGCTTGTAGGCCTCGTGGTATGCAGCTCTCTGTATGTCAAGGTTGTGCTTGACCTCAGTAACACTGGACATGGGCATGAGGAGGCGGAAGATTCAACACCTTGATGGGTAAGATAAGAGGGCTGCAGCTTTTTCTTCCACCTCCTTACGATGACATCTGAGCCTGAGCTTTCGCGGCGACAGCTGCTGCATTCCTCTTGACATCGGTCAGCTCATTCGTCTTGTCAGTCAGGTCCTTCTTCAAGTTACTGAGCTTTGTCTCCTGTGGTGGGCAGCAGTGCAGCAGATGAAGTGGGCGTTGTTCGATTTCAGGCCCAGTGCTGCGTCGCATCTGCCACCCTGCGGCACTTACCAGCTCCTTGACGGCAGTCTTGAGCCCATCTCGCTCACGCCCAACGGCTTCGACGTTACGCAGAAAGTCCCTAGAGCCGTCATTCAAGATGCTGAGGTCAGGGGCAATAGCTCGAGGTCGTTTGTTAGCGGGGGCTCGCTCCGTGGTGGTAGTGGTAGTCTTGGCAGCTGTAGGGACAGAAGGCACAGCTCGAGCACCTTCGACGGGCGAGCTTTGCTGCAGAATGGTCAGTGAGCGCTTGCGAGTCGAGTGAGTCGCATTAGAAGCCGGCTGCAAAATGGTCGTGGAGGGTGCAGCAGACTTTGTGCTCTGCTGTTCAGCAGCAAGAGAGCTGGCGACGTCCAGCAAGCTCCTAGAGGCCTGGTCTGACTCGTTTCGAGCAACGCTTGGTACCAGAGCCTGAGTCGCGTTGTGCGTTGCATCAGCGGTAGCAGTAGCAGGAAGCTTGTTGCCGCTCATAGAAAAGAGCTGGGGTCCAAATCTCGCATTGCTCGACCGACCACTCTCGCCGAGCTAATAGACAGTGCAAGGCCGGGTGCAAGGCGTCAGTAACCCCGAAGATTCCGTCACCTCGAGGACCTGCATATAGGCTCACGACTTTTCGAATAGCGCTCCCACTGCTAATGTCTCGATTGCTGTTAGTGCGCGACTTCCACAGCTGGTCCAAATCGGGCACCGAGAGCGATTTCACTGAGACTGCGGTCATGTTCTTCTGTGTTGCGCTCAGCTCAGCAGAGGTATGGGCAGTGGTTGGTGGGGACTGTCCGAGCAGGAACTTGAGGCGTGGATCGATCGAGGAAGCCGCAGAAGCGCTTGTAGCATCTACCTTGGCATCGTTGAGCTGCTTGACTTCAGCAGCACGCTGCGCAGGCTGAGCCTCTGCAGCCACTCGACCACCCTGTCTCAGAGGAGCCACGGTGCTTCTGCCAAATGTGAACTTCTGTCTTACCATTTCATCCACATCTTGCGTCTCTGCAGCGCTTGAAAAGGAAAGGCGACGAAGGAAGTCGTCATTCTGAGGCGGGTACTGAGCTGATGCTTGAGGTGGGGACTGAGCTTTGTGAAGCTGAGCGGGCTGTATGCGTGCCTGTGTGTGGGGAGATGGGGTGGAAGGAGGGGCCATTATGGCCGACAGGGAGTGCTGTGTTGGGACTGTTTAGGGTGTGCTGCGATGTGTAGCTGAAGGTGAGTAAGTCAGTCAGGGGGCATGGAAAGGAAGTGAATGGTCAAGAAGACAGGAGCGCAGCCAGAAGGAATAGACGACCGGAAGTAGGTGACGCGTCCGGACGTCCTTTGCTGCACTTGCGGTGCCAAGTCTCATTTCTGTGACTCTAGAATTGGCGCTCATATTCGCCGGCTGAAGTCTCTATAATGTTTTGAATTCCGAGGATGAAAGACACACTGATATGCAGCAACTGATGTAGCCGGAACGACCTTTACAGACCCATCTCCTTGAAGGTGAGCTTCTGAATGGTCTGCAGCTGGATGTTGCTCGTTCCCTCGTAGATGGCTGTAGAGAAAGCACAGAGAACAGGCGAAAAGGGTCAGTAATACTTTCCATCTCGGCGTGGTCTGAGCTTGCAAATGACTCACCTCCGATCTTCGAATCTCTCCAGTACTTCTCGATTCCAGTCTCCCTGGTGAATCCCAGTCCACCAGCCCAGTCAATGGCGCTCGATCCAACACTAGCGGCGACCTGACTAGCGTAGAGCTTAGCCATGGCGGCCTGCTTAGTGAAGGGCCTTCCCTCCTCCTTGAGCCTAGCAGCATTGTACACCATGAGCCTTGCTGCCTCGATCTCCGTTGCAGCTTGAGCCATTTGGAACTGCATTCCCTGGAAGCTCGCCACGGACTGGCCGAATTGCTTGCGCTCAGCGGCGTAGCGAACACTCTTGTCAAAGGCGCCTTGAGCAATTCCGACCATTTGAGCTCCAATACCGACTCGGCCCTCGTTGAGAATCTCAATGGCAATCTTGTACCCCTTTCCTTCCTCACCGATGAGGTTCTCCACGGGTACCTTGACCTCATCAAAGTTGACAGTGCAAGTCGAGGAAGCTCGGATACCCAGCTTCTTCTCCTTCTTTGCAATCTCCACACCCATGTTCTTCTCGACGGCAAAGGCGCTGATACCCTTGTAACCCTTGGAGGGGTCACCCTGAGCAAAGACGATGAAGAACTCTGCCTCGGCAGAGTTGGTGATCCACATCTTGGAACCATTGATGATCCAGTGCTTGCCGTCGTCCGACTTCTTGCAAGAGGTCTTCATAGCGAAAGCATCTGATCCCGAAGCAGGCTCAGAGAGGCAGAAGGAACCCAGCTGGTCGGTGGCAAGCTGAGGGAGGTACTTCTCCTGCAGCTCCTTGGTTGCGTACTTGCGCAGCACAGTGTTGACCAGAGTGTTGTGGACGTCACATAGCACACTGACGGAGGCGTCGACCTTGGCAAGCTCCTCAATGACGATGATAGCAGCAGTGAAGGATCCGCCAGCTCCGCCGAGCTCCGGATCAGTCTCGATGGACATGAGGCCTTGATCAAAGAGACCCTTGATGATCTCTGGGTCCATCTTCTCGGCTTCGTCCATGGCCTCGACTTTTGGGCGCACGACATCCTCAGCAAAGCGAGAGACTAAGCAGAGAAAAGGAAGATAGGGCGACGTCACAATCGCTGGTCAGTCAGAGTTTCTCCGGATCGCTATCACAGCCTTTGGCAGCTCTCACTCACCAGCCTCCTTGAGCATCTCCTCCTCCTCAGTCAACTTAGCAAGCGAGTTGATCCCAAATGGGTTCTCAAACTCCTCTGCCCTCCTCACCGAGGTAGAAAAGGAAGCAGCAGCAGCAGCGCAAGGCTGTGCGGCATTACGAGGTGAGGCCAATACTGATGGTGAAGCTCGCGAGGCAGAGGTGGCCAGTAGAGAGGAGGAGGCTGCACCGGCTCGGGCTTGGCGGGCGAGAGTCCTGCTGGCCGGGCCGGCCGAGATGGATCGGAGCAGGGATGAAGAGGTGGTAGCGCGAATCGACATTTTGAGGGAGTGCTAGTGGATGTATTGCCACTGGACAGGTTGGAGTAGAGATTTATAGGGGTGGAAAAGATCCGGAGCGTGCGGAAGAGGTGGAATTGTGTCTCTTTGAATGCGGGGCAATGCGGTCGTGTCGGTCGGGCGTCAGCTAATCGCGGGTCGGCTGTCGGTTTACCGGGTGACGCTGAAAGTCCAGGCGCCGGCGCGAGCAGCCGCATCAGGGGCGCGGGCGGATGATGGAAATATCGGAACGGAAGCTTCACAACATGTCTCCCTCCTCGATCGCTTTTAAATGCCTGGAGTGGCTTCGCTACTGTCTATCGATTACAGCGTACGGATGAGCTTCTAGAGTACATGATCGTTCAGTCTTCCCTGTCACTGACTGCACTTGCCAGCGAAGCTGCCAAGACTGCCAGACCGCCGCCCATGAGAAGAGCGTTAGGCCGCTTCATCGATGCCAACATCCGGGGCATGCCAGAGTTCAGCGAGGCCGAGGCAGCAGCTGCCTGCCTTTGTCTCCTGACTCCATGGCTGATCATACCCATTCCTATCAGACCTCCAAGAGGCATGGCATAGCTCATCGAAGACTTCTTCTTGAGCTCATGCAGTCTATCCACCACTTTGCCCTCGGCCTCGTGTGCCCTTTCATTCGCTTCAGCCCTCAACTCTTGACCCTTTCCTTCTAGCTTCTTGCCCTGCTCCTTCAATTTCGCCTCGTCTTCCTTGACGATCTGAGTAATGGGTTTGCCAGAGAAGATTCGGGCCTCGCCATAGTCGAAGATGGCATCGATGATGTGCTCCACTGGCTCATCGAAGAGGACGGGCAGAGCGGGAATGATGGCCAGACCGAGCAGTGTAGGACCGAGAGCCTTGACGCGGTGGTTCTGAACAGACTTGAAGAGCGGTTGCGAGTAGTGGACAATGGAGTGAACGGTAAAGGCGGGCAGGGCCATGGATGCTAGACTCTGGAAGACGGCTCTCCTGGCTACGACGAGGCCCACGTGGGTCGTCTCGGAGTATTGCAAGGGATCACTGACGCCCTCGTGTCCGTGCAGTGATGATTCCTGCGTGACAGCAGCGACAGTCTTGTCACCTCCTGCTACCTCTTTGCCCTTTTCAGTGGCCTTGTGCAGCTTCTCCTCTGCCTCTTGAGCCAGACGCTTTAGCTTTGCAGAGGGATCGAGTGAGCTCTCCTGGGCCAGCTGTCGGTGTAGCTCGCGAGCCTTGTAGCCAGCATAGGCCACATCCCCAATGACGTAACTCCAGGAGACTGCGTAGAGAGAGCGTACCACGGCTGGCTTTGTCAAGGGACGGAAAGCCTCGCCGAGCTCGGATGAGTAGGCGCTGTATCGAATACCGGCTGTGAAGGCTGTTCGCAGACGGTTTGCGAAGACGGCGTACCTGGCCGGGCCTTCCTCCACAGTCTCTTGCACGGCATCATTAGGGACCGTTGCGGATACTGACATGACTGTGATGATGCGAGAGGGGAGGGACGCAGAGGCACAGGAGGAGGAGGAGGAGGAGGAGGAGCAGAAACGAAGCACACGGACTAGCCAGCAAGCAAAGCGGAAAGGCGAAAAGGCCGAAACGGAAGGAGGAGCTCGCAACAGATGGAGGAGAAATACGATGCAGTCTAGAGTGGGGCCGGACCGGAGGCAGGCAAAGCGTCGATCCCTGTTGCAACTCCGCCCATCTCCACGCGTAGGGCCAGGCGCGCCGAAAGTAGCGAAATCAGGCCCGCCAGATTGCAAGGCATCCCCCGCCCCCCGTACGCTGGCTCTGCGAATGGCTCCTGGCTAAAGATGAGCCTGAAAGCTTGGCATGACTTCTAGACTGTGTTTGAAGATGGTGTGAGGCAGGGTGAGCCGGGGAGTGGACGTGCTCTACTGGGATTCTTACGCGGTGTCGAGCTCTCCGTGTTTCCCCGCACGATCAGAAGCAAAGCATGGCGAGCGGTACGATGGGTCTTGTCTTGGCAGAGTGAATGAATGGTCGCAATATTGTGTCAGATGATCGAAGAGGTGTGCGTGTTCCAGTCGCCCTGTCCCCGGAGTGTCCGACGTGCGACTCAACATAGGCGTTCTTGGCCAAGGCACGAGGTTGGGTGCGAGTGCTTCTATTCTGTACTGTGTGCAGTGTGTGTGTGTGTGGGTGGGAGGTGGTGACCTGTCTGAGCTTTTTTTGGTCGTGGTGAGTCAGGCGGTGTGCCTGTGCGCCTTGATCCCCGGCGGGAGGCGCCACGCCGGCGGCGGCGACGCAGAGCCGAGGCTTGGCCTTGGCTGGGGCTTGGCCTTGGCCTTGGCTTGGCGGCCATCTCGCTCGTGCCCTGCTTTGCCAAGGGGGGCTGAGATTGGATGCCCGCTTGCCAAGGCTCAGGACAGGCACCAACCCCGCCCCGCCAAGTGGCTCCACTCTCTCTCTCTGTGTCCAATCCTCGTCGGCGTGAAGAGCGAAGAGCGGGGAAGCAGACGAGGACATGGGAATGGGGGGGCGAAGAGGAGAGCAAGGAGAGGGAGTCAAGCAGCGCTATGCAGGCGTGGACAAGGAGTCACACTCACACCTACACCTCGCTCGCATTGCTCTCACACAAGGCCCAGCTCAGGGGCGACCAGGCACATCCCATTGCTCTGAGCAAAGCAATCTATCACCACCACCTTGCCCACCTACCACATCCATCCCATCACCATCCACGCCATGCCACCTCTACGACCCTCTTACTCCAACACAATGGCCCAGCAGCCCGTCTCTACACCCACTTATGCTCCCCCACCACATACCTGGGGATCCTACCAACATCACAGCAACTCTCCAAACGCAGCAGACTACTTCTCCTCACACGGCAGCAGCAGAGACAGTGGCTACCACGCACATACCGATCCTCGTAACGTCAGACCGAGGATCAGCGTCGACACGCCTCGATCCTACCCTCCCCACTCCCCCTCTCATCTACCACCTCATCCCAACTTCCAACACCAGTCTCACTCTTACTCTCACCCACCGCCTGACTCTTATCCGCACGCGACGGCGATGTCAGCTGCTGGACCATCGCGCAGAGCACGCTCTTCCAGCTCGCAATCACAGGACGGTGACGAAGGATCCTCGCCAACACAGGGAGGCAAGGGGCGAGGTGGTGGACAAGGACCAAAGACCATTCAGTCAAAGGCTGTGAGTAAGCTGAGCAAAGCAGCGCGAAGCAACAAGCTCTTCCTTTGAGACCGCGTGGCTGACCACTTTTCCCACCATTCCGCTCACCTTGCTCAGTGCGTCAACTGTCGGCGCTCCAAGGTCAAGTGTGTCAATGATGGAAGCGGCGGACCCTGCCGCCGCTGCGTAGACATCAAGCTGGAGTGCAAATGGAGGGTACGCATCGACGACGAGGCCTGGAGAGAATCAGTCGAAAGTCGCTTCTCCCAGCTCTGCAGCAAAGTCGATGCCATCACTGCCATGCCGCCCGCAGGAGGGCGCAAGTCAGACTGTGCCCCTTCCCCCTCTGCCTCGGGTGAGGTGTATCAGCACCCAGAATGGCGCAATCTCCACAACAGGCCGGGTGCCATGTTGCCCCCTCCGACGGTTTCTGCTGGTCGGCAGCTCGCTCCTGCCCATAGCCCCTCCTACTCATCTCTCGCAGGATCCATGCACAAGACCAGCCCACGTCCAGACATCGGCAGCAGCGCTTCTACGCCTTTCAATGCTGTTTCGCCGCAAGAGCGCCTACCGCCGCCGGCAGCGCTCATAAGCGGGGCAGACGTGACAATGTCCAACGGAGACTATAGCAGCTGGACACCAAGCGGGCGAGCTCGCTCTATCTCATCCGTGAAAATGGATGGCTCCTCGCCTAGCCGCTTCCTGGCTGGCCGTGATTCAAAGGTCACATCTCCTCTGCCCGGCATCTCACAAGGCTTCGTCTCGTCGCAAAATCGTGACTGTGCGTCGATGGCATCGGTTGGTCCGATCGCAGACCAGGAAAGCTCTCCTCAAAACCTGCCTGACGTCGTCAGGCATGCGATCACGACGAAGTCACATGGCCTTCCTGTGCAATGGGAAGCAGGGAGCTACGCATCTGCAGTCTCTCACGTGGGACGAGACGACCCTCGACTCAACTTGATCGGCACGGGTCACGTACCATGCCAGAGGGTCACACTCCTGTTCCAGTACTTTGGCAAGTATATGCAGAGCCATTCCTTTGGCTTTCCCACATTTGCGCCGAACGAAAAGGTGAGTCTGGGATGCTATGACGAGCAATACAGCCTCAACAAACTTCACATCTTGCCTGACACTGCGACACTCTTTTCTCCTCTGTGCCTTCCGTTTCCAGATGACACCTTTGATCGTAGCCTCCATCTCCCTTGCCGCTTCCCTCTTGGATCCAGCCGGGCGAAAGTACTCGCCCGTCATCGGGAAGTTGATTGCTGAGCAAGCAAATCTCGCTGGAGCCGACTCTTTGAGTGAAGAACAGCACCTCAATCGCGAGCTCGGTGTAGGTGAGTATTACAATCTCGTCCCGTCGTCAGCACAACCTTTCATCGCCTGACTCCTTACCAATCTATCGCCCTTTCCGCCGTCCAGGGGTGGAAGAGATTACTGGCCTATGCATCGCTGCCACCTGGCTGTCAGGAGAGGAGGGTAACAAGTTGGCCAAAGTCGTCAGATTTTGGGCACTTGCCTATCTCCGTCAATTCGATGCTCGTATGGATCCACAAAGCAGTCCTGCCGACAGAGAGCAGGTCTATGCCGAAAAGGTGAGCGGGCCAAGAGGCCGGCGTGGCGAGATCGTTGGCGCGAGGGCATGCTACTGACCTACGCCTGAGTCGTCGTTTAACAGATGACACTGCTGCCCGCCTATCGCGTCGTTCGCAGGTCTCTGCGACTAAGGATTTGGCTGGAGAGCTACATTGTGTGAGTCAAGGCTGGTCAGTCAATTGTCGTAAGGTCACAGTACAACGAGACTAACTCCTCTCTCGCTGCTACTGCTTGCCCCCCGCCAGTGATGCTGCTGCCTCAATCATGAACAGCCGAGACCTCTTTGCACCTGGCAAGCCAGCAAGGCCCATTTGCGAGGAGCTCCGTGAAGAGCTCTCGAAATCCCGTGAGGTGGACGACCAGCCTACCCGACCTGAGGGGCTGAGCGCGGAAGACGTCCAGTTGCTCGGACATGCCAGCATCATGGACTTTTTCGTGGCCACAACGAATGTGATCTCGGCGAGCAGAGACTCGGAGCATGCGATGAGAGAACTGCAGTATCTGTTGGAGGAGAAGCTGGAGGACTGGAGGGATAGCGTTGGCAAGGACATAGGTGAGCTGGAGCTGCGAGTCAATGCACAAGCTTGCAGTCTAATCTGACCCGCCCATCTGCTCTTCCGCATAGATCTGTCGTCGAACACTCCCCTCGCGATAGACTTGGGCCTGACCTACTATCTGGCTCGAGCCTACGTCGGCTCTCTCGCCCAATCGATCAACTCCACCTCTGGCAGCCCACGCTCCACAAAGACTTCACCTAAATCCACTCGTCCGACCCGACTGCAGCGCAACATCGTCAACCAGGGCAAGGAGTCCGCTCTCATGGCCCTGCAAATCGTTCAAGAGAGTCTGCCGGAGCGTCTGCTGCGTCTGCCGACATGGCAGCACTTCTTGCTCTCGCATGCTGGGGGCTTGCTGATTAGGGTGCTGGAGGATCCAGCAAAGTGGCACCTTACGGCGCAGAGCTATCGTGAGTAATTGACCCGGTGCGGTGTCGCCCTCCTCCTTCTGAGCGGAGTAGCAGAGGTAGTGCTCTCAGATCGAGTGCTCATCCTTTCCTTCCCCTTCACTCTTCCCCCTCCACTCGACAGACATCCTCACAACCGTCGAATCTTACGCCCGTCTTGCCCGCACCCTCCTCGATACGCATCGAGCACAGACGCCCTGCTCCTTCTCCTCTGCTTCTTCTTCCTCGGCGGCCGAAGTCGACTCTTTACCTCCTTACACCTCGACCCCCGCCAACGGCAACGGCAACGGCAACAGTCTCGCCAATGAGACTGCGACTGCCGGTGCGGCGATGATGACGGCGAGGGCCAGCTCGTCTTCTTCGTCTAGTACAGCCGTCGATGTGGGCGCTAGCTCTGGCGCCGGTGGAGGGATAGGAGCGAAGGACGAGGAGCACGGAGAGGCAGGATCGACAAGCAAGCACGTTGGTACGGCTGCGGCTGCGACGGCGACGTATGGCGGCCACGGAGCTCATCCTGCGGCGGTCATGGTTGAGGAGATGTACTGGGCTGCAGTTCAGATGCGCTGTAGGATCGTTGGGTGAGATGGCAACGGTAAGGCTTGGGCTGCACTGCTGGGCAAGGGCACGCAGAAGGAGAGAAAGAAGAAGGATGTCGCTTCCCTTGAGGCGATGCGATGCGATGCGATACGCTGCGATGAAACGTGTACATAAACGGTCAATACAGTTCCTGATCTCAGTCCCAATGCCAGTCTCAGTGCCCGTCCCTGTACTACCCTTGTCAGTCGGTTCGCTGCTGGTGATCTCATGCCTGTTGGAGCGAGCTCGTCTTCTGTCTGTCCGTCTATCCGTCCGTCTGTCTGTCATCTGAAGGGAGACTCAAGTCTGGGAGCACATCACATCAGATCACTTTTCAAGCAAGCAAGTGAGCAAGGCAAGACAAACAAGCTGGATAGAAGAAAAGGGGGGCAAGTCGAATCCCTGATATTTCGTACGATTCAGCGCCGTGCCACCCCTGCCATTTCCTGCCATTTGCTTCCTTGCTTGTACGCTGCCCGCGTCTGACAATTTTCGATCCCCTTTCCCTTTTTTCCCCTCCCCCTTCAAAGAGAAGAGACGTTCAAGAGACGCTCGACGATGCAGCCCCGGCCCCGGCCCACGCTCCCAGCAGACTACAAGCAGTCCCCTGTGAAGGAAGTGTAGATGATGGCCGAAAGGGCTTGCAGGTCCTTGTTCGCTGCGATTGTCTGTTTGCAATTTTTCGAGGGAAATGGGAAGACGAGGAGGCGGAAAGGGGGGGAAATCGAGGGGAGTCAGGAAGATGCAATGCAGTCACGTTCCCATCCTCCCATCATGAACGTGCACAACTCAACTCAACTCACCTCGACAATCTCATTCGGCATCGCATCAAAAGCCAATGTGCCCCTACTAGCCAGCAGCGGTAGGACTGCTGCGAGCTTGAGCCTCCTCCCAATGGTCCCACTTGGGTCATTGCGGATCTCCGCCTCCTGCTGAGCGGTGAGAATCTCGCTGAACCTTCCCGTAGATGCAGAGCCTGCGCGAGAGGTCGCATGAGGATCCTTATTGCCACTACCGCTGCCGCTACTGCTGCTATTACTCGGGGCTTGCAAGTCATTGGGAAAAGACGATGCAGCAGAGGGTGGAAGGGGGCTGAGTCCAAAAGGTGTACGGAGCGCGTCCAGCAACTGTGTTTCGAAGCAGGTCTCGAGACATCTTCTGCTCACGTCTTGCGCGTCGGAAGACTCCATGATGTCCCGCGTCTCGTCTAGAAGAGCACCGAGAGTGGGATCCCTCTCCTCTAGCCCTACGTCCCTGCCCTGGGAGGTGAGGTCGCTAGGAAGAAGTCCAGCATTGCGGAGTAGAGCTACATCCCCCTCTGGTGTCGCTGGGAGCAGATACGCTCGCAGCAGATCAAAGCGCGTCCGTCTCCGTCTCCTGCGCCTTCCGCTCACGCTCCCCCGCCCATTGGTAGTGACGGAAAGTGTCCCGCTTCCACTCATACTGCTGCTGCTTCCAGCCTCGCTCTTGGCTTCCTCTGGAAGGACGGAAAAGCCATTCGGCATTAAAGACTCGGCGCCGAGGGACATGCTACTGCCGGTAGAGGCATCGAGAGTGTGTCCACCTGGGAAAGTGTATGGAGGGGCGGCAGCGCTGGAGCTTGAAGGAGAGGCGAGGGCATCGGCAGCCTCCCCATCGTCTACTTCGCTCTCGTAGTCGTATTCAATTCGCCGTCTGATCCGCCGCAGGATCGAAGTGAGCTCCTCGTGACTCAATTGCGTCTTGAGGGGCACACTGCTCATCACCTTCTCCACCTTCTCCCTCACTCGCTCACTGAGATCCTTCCAACCTTGATGAAGCAGGTACCACGAGAAGGTCAGATACCGCTCTTCTGTCTCGGCCGAGATGGTCGAGGTGTTGCTGTTGCTCTTGCCTGTCTCCTTGGTTTGCGATGAGCTGTTAGAGGCTTGAGTACCATTTGCGCTCGCCCATGCGTCTTCAAAAGGATCGCTCGCCAATGCCCTCATCGTCTCCGTTCCTACCTCTGCCTCTTTTTGCTTCACCCCAGCCAAATCCCTCAGATAGGCGTACCGTCCGAGCAAGTTCAGCTGTACATGCGTCAGCACAGAGAGGAGTGAAATGGCGTAGATGGCCGTGAGGGAGCGGGTGAAAGTGACGATTTTGAGCTGCTGCCAGAGAGCCGCTTTACGCTTGCGGTCGAGAGCGAGCTGTTGTTGACGCTGTGACTCGGCGAGGACAATCGCTTTAGGGTCTTCTGTTGGCTGCGGAGGGAGGCTGGTAGAGGACGATGAGGGCGCTTGCACGTCTTCTTGCTGCTGAGCCTCTGTTGAAGCGCTCGTTCGCAAAGAGTCTGACGCCTCTGTTTCCTTTGTAGCGTCTGTTTTGTCTTCTACAGCCCCGTTGACCTGACCTTCACTGCCCTTGACATCTCCATCCATCCCCTCGGCATGACCGTTCGCTTCGACTCTGGCGTCTGTTTGCCCATTCTCATGAACTGCAACCGTACCGCCCACTCCGTGCTCGCCGTTAAGTGTCGCATGTGGAGCGATTGGGTCCGGGCGAGGTTCCGAGATGGAGTCCAGTGCAGATGGCGCCGGCTCAGAGGACTTTGATACACCTTCTGACGCCGCCTGCCAAGACTGGGCGAAGGCCAAGGGAGGCTCCGCACGGAGGGCCGCATCTTCTTGAGGAGCGTCTGGCTCGGCCGCTTCCTTCGCTTCAGGTTGAGAAATAGCAGCGGCGGCAGCTGCTTCAGTGTCCTGTTGAGCAGGCTCTGCCTTGATTTCCGGTACAACAGCAGCCTGCTGCGTCTCTTTGCCTACGCTCTTGAGCTCCCTGGTGATTGCGTCTACATCCATGACCTTGTCCATCTCCGCCTTGAGGCTTGGCAGCAGTGCGAGCACGGTGAAGTCTACATCCTGCTGGTTCCTCTCAAAGCGCTGTTTGAGCCCTTCTTTTGAAGAGGACTCTGCATTGATCCTATTGTGGATGGACAGAAGCTTGGAGAGGAGTACAGTGGTGAGGAGGTAAGACGAGGTGAGGAAGGTGAATGTGAAGAGGATCGGTCGCGGGACTCGGCTGAAAAGGGAGGAGGCGCGGCCCAAGAGAGAGGAGCCGAGGACTGGGCGATTGCGGTTGGTCACGGAGGCCATGACTGGCTGGTCCCTTTGAGAGGGAGACTCTGTGGGTTGGTATCGACGACGAGTCCTTCTTGCCTGGTGATGATTGGTGCGTCGCGTACGGCGGTCCCACCCTGAGCCGGTAGAGTGGGACTTAGCCGAGATGAGGACGTCGTCGGACCGGAAGGAAGCCAGTGGCTGGGCGCGTGAGGGGAAGCTCTATGCCGCGGGCCAATTGGGGAAGGAGGCTGCCTGGCCACGCCCCCGCCCCCCATGCGGACTGAGGCGGTTGGCTGGCTGGCGCGTGGATGGTGCGCCACGCAGGAACAACACAATTGCCTGTGCGGTACGACGACGACCCTGGGACCTTAATCACCATCCTTCCTTCCTCGTCATTAGCTTCCTTCCGCAACTTCGCATCGTCGTTGCTGTAGAACGTAGCTCATCATCGTCATTCTCCACTTCTGGTAGCTTCAACGTCTCCCTACAGCCTCCCTCAGTCTCTCTCTCTCTACCTCACAGGCATCCGCAACACACCACACGTACCGCACTCCAACAACGACGAGTATCACTCGACGATAGCCATTCTGTTCTAAAGCCTCTTCAGGCCAAACAAGTCTACACAGTCTTCCGGCGCTGGCGCTGTTGTCAATACTCACCCAGCTACCGCACCCCCAAAATGGCGCCCAGCATTCGCACCCGTAACAATGCTGCTGCCGCTGCCGCTTCCCCGCCTCTGGCACCTGCCGACAGCGCACCACGCTACTCATCCTACAGCAAGCCCACCAGCCTCTCTGGGCGCTCCGTGTCCCCCAAGCCCATCAAGAGGCTACCCAACCAGCCCTTCATAGGCAAGTCACCCACCTCCATCGCCTCTCAAATCGTGCCTCTTGCTGGCCTCACCATCCTGGCCCTCGTCGTCAGGCTATGGAAGATCGGCCAGCCTTCCAGCGTCGTCTTTGATGAAGTGCACTTTGGTGGCTTCGCTTCGAAGTACATCAACCGCAAATTCTTCATGGACGTGCACCCACCTCTGGCCAAGCTCCTCATCGCGGGCACTGCCCATCTCTTCAACTTTGATGGCAAGTTCGACTTCAAGGACATTGCCAGCGAGTTTCTCATTGGAGATCATCAGCCCGTACCTTACGTGGCCATGCGACTTCTGCCAGCCTTCCTCGGTGTAGCTCTCATCCCGCTCTGCTACCTCACTCTTCGCGCCCTCTCCATGCGTGGGACAACCGCCCTGGTCGGCTCGGTGTTGCTCCTCTTCGATAATGCCATGGCAACACAGTCGCGCCTCATCCTCCTCGACTCCTTCCTCGTCTTCTTCACTGCATCCACAGTCTTCTGCTGGATCGAATTCTGCAACACGGAGAGGCGACGCGCATTCACCATCAACTGGTGGGCCTGGCTCGCCTCGACGGGCTTCTTCCTCGGCTGTGTCGTATCCACAAAGTGGGTAGGACTCTTCACCATTGCTAGCATTGGAGTGGCCACTGTCACCCAGCTTTGGAATCACTTGGGCAACATTCATCTCCCGATGTCCGTTCTCTGGAAGCATTTCATCGCACGAGGAGCCTGCCTCCTAGGCATTCCTCTTGTCGTCTACCTCGCAACCTTTGCCGTGCACTTGGGCGTCCTCAACCACTCTGGCGATGGTGATGCATTCATGTCCTCGGCTTTCCAACATACTCTCATCGGTCACGGCATGCCAGACACTTTCGCCGACGTTGCATTGGGCTCCACCATCACGCTCCGCCATCTAAATACTCAAGGAGGGCTTCTGCACTCACATTCTCACAACTACCCTGCCGGATCGCTTCAGCAACAGATCACCCTCTACCCTCACATCGATGAGAACAACGAGTGGCTTGTCTTGGCTGCGCCAGGACCCGATGACCCGCCTACTCCCGTCGATGAGAAGGGTGTACCGCTCACCACAGATGGACCGCACGAAGTGGAGAAGTACAAGAGCAAGAAGGTGCAGGCACTCCTCGATGGAATGGAGATCAGACTGGTCCACCGAAAGACGGACAAGCGCCTTCACTCGCACGAGCCTCACCGCCCCCCGGTCACCGAGTCCGATTTCCAGAATGAAGTCACTGCTTACGGCTTCCCAGGCTTTGCCGGTGACGCCAATGACAACTGGAAGGTCGAAATCGAATATGCCACTGGAGGGGACTCGGAGGCCTCTAACAGGGTGCGATCACTGCGAACCATCTTCCGACTGAGGCACACTCTCACCGGTTGCTATCTGTTCAGCCACAAGATTGCTCTCCCAGACTGGGGCTTTGGGCAGCAAGAAGTGACTTGCAACAAGTCGCCCACAATGCCCAACTCCCTGTGGTACGTAGAGACTTCTACCCACCCTCGTCTGTCGATGCACGGAAACAAGAGTCTGGCAACGGACGAGGAAGGCGAGATCGACAACTATGCTGCCAACCCTGCGCAGACGATCAACTACATTCGCCCTACCTTTATGCACCGGTTCTGGGAGCTGCAGAAGGTCATGTGGGAAACCAATGCGGGTTTGACGGAGCGACACTCCTACGACTCGCGTCCCTCGACCTGGCCCACGATGAAGAGGGGTATCAACTTCTGGTCAAAGGACCACCGACAGGTGTACCTCCTTGGAAACCCCATTGTCTGGTGGGGCAGTACAGTCGCCGTCCTCGTCTACGTTGGCACTAGGGCTCTTCTGATGCTGCGAGCCAAGAGGGGAGCTCAGGACTTCCTCGACTCGACGATTGTCTTTTACGACAGGACTGCCTCTTTCCTCTTCATCTCCTACTCGCTTCACTTCTTCCCCTTCTTCCTCATGTCCCGCCAGCTTTTCATTCACCACTACCTCCCGGCACTCTACTTTGCGGTCCTTCTCCTGGCACTCCTCTTTGACCTGCTCACTGCTGGACTGCGACCCCGGTTCAGGCTGGCGGCCGCCACTGCCCTGATCGTCGTGGTGGTGTGGGCTTATGCTCAATTTGCACCACTGACGTACGCAGGCGAGTGGACGTCCAAGGGCTGCGAGGGAGCGCGATGGCTCAAGACTTGGGACTTCAACTGCAGAGAGGTGAGCAAAGGGCGAGCACGGCCCATCTCCATCCGATTCCACCACATGCTGACAATTTTTCTGCTTCCCTTTTTGCAGTTCCCCAACTCACTCTCGCAGTACTCTACCATGCCACCCGGCATCCAGTCCATCCCCTTCACCGCCCCAGTGGGAGCCATCGAAGCCACGGCTTCTTCCGGTCTCGACATCGGTGCTCCTCAGCCCGTTGGCCACGCTTTCGAAGAGGTGCCCAAAGTGGCCGCGGAATCGCCTCTAGGCGAAGCAGTTGCTCCCCCTTCGGATCCCATTGCGGCAGCCGCCCCCGCCCCGGTGGAAGCAGTGCATGTTGAGTCACCTGCCGACGGTGGAGCAGCGGGAGTCGTTGCTGAGCCAGCTGCCCCCAAGGAGGAAGACCTCTTTGCAACTATCCAAACCCTCTTCCAGCCTGGGGACGGAGTGGTGGAGCACCACGAGGCTACACCTTCTTCTGCTTCGGCTTCGGAGGGAGGAGAAGCCGCACATCACACCATTTCCCCCGAGGGACTGGACCAGGACCATGTAGAGGAGATGGTGCTTGGTGGAACGGCGGTTTTGGCACAGCCTTGAAAGGAGTGGGAGTGGGTAGGAAGGGGTATGGGCAGTATAGAAAGTCAAGGAAGAAGGGCTGGGTGAGGCTACTGGGAATGGGTGGAAGAAGAGGTGGGACGAAGCGCATGGCGATTCCCTGGCAAGGCCGTGTGATACTCGATGGAAAGATCTTTTCCTCCTTTGGGCTCTCCTTCTCCCCCTCTCTACCTCAAACGTGTAACTTTTTCTCTCTGGAAGTTTCGTCTCTTTCCTGGCTGTACATTTGCTTTTCGGCTGCATCGTTTCACCATGAATGGACGAATCCAATGAAGGAGCTCACCCTAGTCAAAGAGCCTCCACTCATCCCATGTGAACATTGTCGCTCATCGACTTAATCTACACACCCACCTGTCCATAGCCCGCCTCAGGCGCTCCGCATCCGATGCACACCAAACGCGGACGTGAAGCCACGCTCGCGCCACGCCGCGCCACCTCTACGGGCCAAGTCCCCGTCCCCCGCCAATTTTAGGTGCAGCCCTGAGTTGCAACTCCGCCTTCCGTGACGCGGTGTGGGACGAGGAGTGGTGGGTCCATCATACAGACCGTACTACTTTGTCGGATTGAAGCTGTCAGAGGACTTTGCACCTTGCTTCCATCTCCTTGTGTACCAACTCCCACTTCCCACTCCCACTCTCACCCACGTCAAAGCGACGAGCAGCGAGGATGTCGTCCTACTCCTCCTCGTCCTTCCTCCAGGCAGGCAACAGCTCCCCGCTTCGACAGGCTCTCAAGCCCTCCTCCCATTACCACGGCCAAGGGCAGAGTGAGCCCTCCTCCTCCTCCTCCTCTCATCTACGCAACAGCACAAGCGCAGGCGGTAGTGGTACCTCGGGCTCTGTCTCCCATTCCCTTCCCTCTACCAGCAGCAGCAGCAGCAGCAGCAGCACTTCGGATCTCCTCTCCCTACACCCCTCCACTACCCTCCCCTATAGCATCTCCTCTGTCAGCTCCTACTCTTCCTCCTATGCACCGCAGAATATACTTGTGGATCGACCAATGGATCTGGCTAGTAGATGGTCCGGAGCTAGCGTAAGCGCTGTGCCTCCCTCTGGAGGAGGAGGAGGGGGAGCTGCTGGCCTCGGAGCTGGGCCGGGTGGAAGAGGAGGGTTGAACTTGGGAGCTGGAGTGACTGGCGGAAGTGGGAGTGGAAGTGGAAAGCAGTACGTCGTTCTGAAGTTGGAGGAAATGGCCGTTGTCAGTCAGTATCATTGCCCTGAATCTCTTGGCGTCCAGCTTGTAAGGGTCACAATCACTCATCTTCGCCCTCTACCTACCTCTCCCACTTCTTATTCCACAATAACAGAGTCCATCTACTTTGGCAAGTACAAGGAACCTCACCCTTGCAATCTCAAGGACTTCAAAGTGTACGGGTACTGTGGACCTTCCTCTGATCCAGATCCCAATAGCGGATTGTGGACAAAATTGTTGAGGGCGGGATTGAGGGATAATGGTGTGCCGGAGGAGTTTGCACTCAACTGGAAGGATGGGAGTGGATTGGTGAGTGTCCGGTCGGGTAGAGATGAGATGGTCAACATGAGAAGGGGAAGGATGGGAGAGCTTAGATGCTCACTGACTCGTACAAACGCTTTGACCCTGTTTCTTCTGTCAAGCAGCCGCTTCCCCTGCGATATATCAAGGTGGTACCACTGGCAGCTCATAGACCCAACTATAACTTCTCGATCTGGCATATTGCTCTCAAGGGTGTATCGGACAAAGCACTGATCAGCCAGGTTGCGCAGGAGTACGATGAGGTGCGTATATGCAGAGACGAGCTGGGAGACTCCAAATTTGGCTTTAGAGACTGACGCCTTCCTCGTCGCCTTTCTCCCCACAGCACTGCGAGAGCAATACAATGCGGCTCATTCTCAAGCATCTTCGAGCACGAGGCCATCACTCGGCCTACCAAGCACTCCTCGCCTCTTCGAAGTTGGACGGCAAGACGAGCTACGCAGGTTCTAGCAGCTCTGGCGCTAATAGAGCGTCCAGGCGGCCATTCGAGCATCCCTTGGTGACGCAGCTCTACGAAGCTATCATGCGCGGCGATTGGGACGCTGCAGAAAGATGCTTGGACGCTGCTGCTGGGCTTACTAGCGACGGGTCGAGCGATGACGTTGGCGAGTCTTCTGGTACCAGTCTCTTTGCCGCCTTTGTCTCCAAGTGCTCTCAGCAGGCCGAGTGGACTAGGCTGCTTGGTACAGACATCAATGGCGAGGTACCAAGCGCTCGAGGTGGACATCAGCTCGTGCTAGATACTGTCAAGGGCACTGCGTATCTCTTCGGCGGCTGGGACGGTCAGGTCGATCTCAACGATCTTTGGATCTACTACATCGAGGAAAGCAGATGGAGGTGCATCAGCCGAGACACCACAGAGCAAGGCGGACCCAGCCCGAGGAGCTGTCATCGCATGGCGTTCGACAGTCGGTCTGGAATCATCTATGTCCTGGGACGATACGTCGATTATGAGAAGCAGCAGCAACAGAGGAACCTCAGGTCCGAGGTGATTGAGGCTGGCGCTCGGAGTCCACTGGCTACAGGTACTACACCACGAGCAGGGGCTGCGACGCCTGGTAGGAGCACTCGAGATGCACCAGGACTGAGCGGGTCAGATCCGTCTACTGCAAGGGCGGCGACACTCAGTCCCAACCTAGCAGCAGCGTCGCCACGGGATCAGGGCACCCGTGCTCCTTCTTCACCTCGCCTTGGGGAGACTGCTTCTGCGCCGCACACTTCGGACTTCTTCCGCTTCTCCACTCGCAATGAGCGTTGGGATCGTCTCTCCTCGAATACTGCTCTCGATGGTGGACCGAAGCTGATCTTTGACCACCAAATGGTCGTGGATGAGGAGAGCCAGATGATGTACGTCTTTGGTGGGCGCGTAGTGCATTGGGATCCTGCGCAGGTACAGCTGTCGGGCATGTGGTCTTACGATTGCATTCAGCGCACCTGGACTTTCCTCTTCGACGACGATACACGCACCGGAGGCAAGATTCTCAGCCGGGCAGGCCACTCGATGCTGCTTGACACGGGCTCGAGAGGCGGAAACGGAGACGGCAAGCGACAGCTGTGGATCCTGGCGGGTCAGCGAGCAGACTCGTACCTGGCGGATATGTACACCTACAATCTCTCCTCTGGGGCTGTGCGGCAGATTGCAAGGGACTACAGCCATGGCGGAGCAGGTCCCGAGGGAGGCTTCACTCAGAGAGCCTCCATCGACTCTGTCAAGCGGGAGATTCACCTCTACAGCGGTATCGTACGACGTACTAAGCAGTCCGAGAGCGGACCTCGTAGCTCGTTTTGGGTGTATAGCATCGAGCGCGATGAGTGGCAGCAGGTCTGGAAGGGCGGGGCTAGCACCTCGTTGCCTGTAGAGGAGGAGGAAGACGACGAAGAGAAAGACACGTATGATGCGGATCGGGGAGAAGAGGCGGAAGAGGCGACCGATCGTCTCAGCAAGGCCACCGTTACTGCCGCTCCCGGCTCGTCCTCTTTCAAGAAGCTCAGGATCCGAGAGCCTCAGCCTCGCTACGCCTCGCAGCTCATCTTTGATGCCAAGTCGGAAAGCTTTCTCCTCTTCGGTGGCAACCCAGCTGAAGCCACCCAAGACGGTCCCGGCGTGTCTGCACGTCTGGACGATCTCTGGTCCCTCCGTCTTTTGCGGCCACAAGTAGGTGAGGTGCTCCGTCGCGCCAAGTTTGCCCTCCGGCAACAGCGCTTCAAGGAGATGGCCGCGGCCGTCGTCGTTCCTCGGCGCGGTCTCTTTGCGACTTCTCTCCTTGCACCTCCTTCATCGAGTCAGGAAGAAGCGGCAGCGGATGGAGGTGGGTGGAAGGCGATGCAGGCTCTTGCTTATCTACAGACGGAGGTGGCGGCCGTAGTGGATCACGAGGCGCCTGAAGAGGCACGGGCCTTCCGCAAACTCGTCGCGGGACTTCTCGGAGGTGAATCCTCTGTCAACGGAGGTGACGATGAGGAGATTGAAATCGAGGAGAATGTGCAGGAGATTGGAGAGAGGGAAGGAGAAAAGGAAAAGCGCAAACGAGTTGGTGAAGACGACGATGATGGGGACGACAATGAATCGGACGGACTGCCTGCTGTGGATGACGATGCAGACATGCTCTCCGTCTCACAAACGCTACCACGTTTAGGCTCCCCCACCAGTCCCACCTCTGGCAACTCAATGCACCCTACGACGGTGGGATCGGGCTCGGGCCCGGGCCCTGGCCCTAGTCTAGGCGAATCCGCCACCCTCACCTCTTCTACCGCCTCGCACCCCGCTCAAGGCAACAGTGCTCTGTCTCCTTCTCTCTCTAGCTCAGCAGCAGGAGTAGCAGCAGCAGCAGGAGCAGGAGTAGGAGTAGGAGCAGACTACACTACCGGTCCAGCCCTAGACGCATCACAGCGTTCCCCCCTTCTCTTCTCGCAACGTCTCTCCCTCTTTCGGACTCTCCTCGAGTTACTCCCTGCAGAAGATGTTGAGCCGGTTGAACAGCTGGGAGTGTGCGTGAGGGCATATGGCGCTTCGCTTGGTGGTGCAAAGGGATTTGTAGAGGGGAGAGAGGAGGGAAAGTATATCGCTTCTAGCACTAGTGGTAGTGGTAGTGGTAGTGGTAGTGCTAGTGGATATGGATATGGGAGTGGTAGTAGAAGTGGACATAATCGGATGGCACTCAGCTTGTTGAGGGAGAGGAGGGCGAGGGAGGATAGAGGATGAGGAGGATGTTCAGCTGCACCTACCTACTTTTCATCTACTCCTGCACGGCGGAACAATTGTACTACCTCACACCATGCCTGAATGCTCAATGAAGAAATGAAGAGAGGGGTATGAAGATTGATCATGAAAAGGGAGTCGGGGAAAGATGATAGGTGACACTTCTACTACTGCTGATACCCCGCTGGTCCTCCCCCGCCCCTCCTTTCCATCCTGCTTGACGTCCACCACTATCCCTACTCATGTTCTCCGCACCCCATGCAAAGCAGCAATCCAGCTATCCCTCTCTGCATCATTCGGTGCCTGCAAAAAATACGAATTGGCAGCCGTGTAAAGTCCAAAGACGCCTCGTCGTTGCAGGAGCTTCTCCAGGTTCTCATCGTACTCTACACGGATCGCAGAGGTGCCCAGGTGAATGGCAAGGAGCTCCTCGGTCTCGCGCGAGTCGGCGTAGAGGAAAAGGTGGGGGCGCTTGAGGACAAAGAAGCGCTTCGTCCAGGAGTCGCTTAGTGCGTCGACAGGCATCATCAAGTGGCCCTTCTTGGCAGCCGCATCGCTTCGAGGCAGGAGGGTGACAGTTGGAACGAGCTTCACGGGAGCGGTTGGACGAGGGGAGAGGATAGAGGTGATGCTTGTGTCTGCTTTCTCACTCGATCCAGGCTCGATGGACAGGTCTGCGAGGGACTCCGTTGACGGCAGGGACACCAATGCAGCCTTGCTCGAGCGCACAGCAGACTGCCAAAGATCAAGAGCTCGTTCCATTGCCACGGATGTCGACTGCTGCGTCGACTTCAGTAGGCTCGACTTGCCATCGAGGCCTTCCAGTACGGTGCGCCAGCCCTCGTTCTGCACGAGATGCCTCTGCCGACGCATGAACCTCTCGTGCTCGTCGATGAAGTGAACGCCTAGAGGTCGCCAGTCTCCCAGACTTTCTTGTCCACGAACGTACTTGCCAGCAGTGTTCAGCCTCCAGAGCTCCTTTGACCTCATGATCTGAGGCGGCGTCAGCTTGACTGCGAAGACGCCCGAAGTAGTCTGGAGTGTGCGGACGCCCGAGGTGGCCGTCTCGATCAACGACATGATCTTGCCTTGCGACTTAGCGTCTCGTGCCTTGATTGCAATCGCCAAGTCCATCGAGAGCTTTACTGGAGATGCGCAGCTGTCCACGTCGACTTCGATTGTCAGTCGGAGGAGGACGCGCTGATCACTTGCCGTGACTCGATTCAGGAAGACGCAATCGTGCGCGGAGGTGTCCCACCAAGTCCAAGCATCGAGATGACTCGTGCCATTGGCCAAAGAATGGCGGCTTTGTTGCTTTGCGGGCACGTTCAGCCTCACTGCGCTGGCTGCTGCTGCCTCGGTAGTTCTGCCCTTGCCGTCAAGGAGGCGAAGGTAGCCGATTTGAATCTTGCTGACGCGAGTCCAGCTCAGTTGAGTACCAGAGTCATGGGTCAAATGTATGACAAGCTTGCGCTGGAGTCCCTGCCGCAAGAGGAAGACACCGGGATCGAGACCTGAGATGGAGCGCACTTGTACCGGCTGGTAGTCACCAGAAGCATCCAGCTCGCAAAGCTTAACGGTCGCCAAGATGTCATGCCTTTGCTCGCTCACTAGCTCCGTCTCAGCTAGGCGCCCTTGTGACGGCGGCGCATGCTTCAGATCAGGACGGGAGGGTGACATCGTCGAGCCCAGTGGCGAGTCAGGCTCGGCGGACGCAGTGGTCGTCCCATTCGCCACTGCGCGCTTCGCATCACATTCGACGATCCGCGTGAGGTGGCGTTTCCTCACCTTGGTATGGATCTCAACAGAAGCACACCCGGTCTTGAGATGTGAGACGACGTCTTCCGTGAGGATGATGGCGACCGTCTTACGTAGCTTGAGAGCATCTATGTCTTTGGCGTCGGCGATCTCTACAACGGAAGAGGCAAAACTATCGTCCTTTTCTAATTGGGGTCCTGCGATGCTGCTCAAGCGCAATTGTATGTGAGCGGCGGAGACAAATTCCGCAGAGAGCCCCTCTATCGAATCTACTGTCAGCTGAAGGGAAAGCTTGTGGCCCATCGCGAGATCAGTGTTGCTAAAGCGCGAGGTTGCGTGGGCACCGTGGCCGTTGCTGACACGCAAGGGCGGTGCGGTGAGCGAGACAAATTTGACCTCAGCGCTGCACTTGCCTACGATCGAGTCGCTGTGTGAGCTCAATATGGGCAGGCGATACTTGCCTGACTGTCGTTTTGTGAGAGGAAGCAGCGGTGCAAGACATGACCCGAAGAAGGTATAGATCGGCGCCGGTGACTCGTAGAAAGGGTCGGCCCAATTGAAATGCTGAGAGTATTCGGGTTTGTCTATGAAGGTATAAAGATTGCGCATCTTACTGAGCCGTTGTTGAAGTTTTGGTAACGACCATAGGTATATTGATGTGTGCTCGTAGTCAATGACTTTGATGGCAATGCATGGCTTGGGTCCGGCCGCCAACTCAGCGTCAACGACGTCATCGTAGTCAGTGAGTCCGGCAATCGACTCTATACTAGAGGTGGGATTGGAGAGAGGAGGTCCGTCGACGATGGTGAATTGATAGGTCGTCTTCTTTCCCAGCTCCTTGGCGATGACGTTGGCCTCTCTCAACAGCGCTGCGTTCGAAAGCACATCCTCAGCCATCGATACAGCAGTAGTAGCTCGCCAAGTCTTGAGAGTGCTGAGAACAAGTGCTCTCTGCCGATCAGTAAGAGGCTCGTCCTCATCATCGCGAAATTTGCCAGTGGGATCCAGCTTGGAGAATCGCTCTTCGTACCGCTTGATCTTCGCTTTGAGCAGTTCAGTCTCAACAATGCTCTGATCAGCGGTGACGTTGGACTCATCCGCGACACTAGTAACAACACTGGCGTCTGTCGAACGATCAACGGACATGTCTTCCGACGGAACGCTCCAAGGGTCAAGGTCTGTTTGCTCGGTGTATGCGCTTAGGGAGTAGGGCCGAGCTGAGGACAGTGACTCGGAATCCTCACCACTAGCGGACATAGAAGAGCTGAGCCGCGAATGGGGTCTACTCAGGCCAGGTGTGCCCTTCCGAGTTCGTACACGATTGATATCTTCGAAAAGGCGATCCAGGTCCTCGTTCGAAAGATGGTCGAGCCCAACGTCTTGGCCATTGAGGTGATTCATAATGGCTTCTCGCCGAGCATAGGTCCAATCGACATCATGGCCATCCTCAGATGCAGGCGACTCAGGCCGAGTTGATACATCTGCTGAGCTGCCAGGAGACCCGTTCGACTGTGCCATTGCCGATGCAACTCGGTCGCGAGCCTTGCGAACTTCTGTGGGATTGTTGATGCGGAAGACATGAAAGTCGCCCAGAATGACTCTGTATCCGGACCGCAATCGTTTGGGCTGGTCCGCTGAGATCCGTTTGCCATTGACCATGGTCATACTGTCGACACCAGCATGAAGGGTGACTACGCCATCCGTGTTCTCGAAAGTGCAATGCTCTGGCAAGATCTTGCTACCAGACAGCCTGATGTGAGCAGAGGAAGACGGCGAATCAACGTTGCCTACCACCGTCTTTCCTGGTTTGAGCTGGTACAACAAGCATTCGTTCATGAGAGCATCCTCATTCAGGTTGACGAGATGTGGCAGATTCTTGGGCGTCCGGACTCCTACATTGCCCTTGTCAATGGTGATACCGAGCTCCTCGAGCACCTTCTCCCGTTCGACCTGTATAGCATGAGTCTTCTGTAGCTTCTCTTCCCAGGACTCGTTGAGAGACGACATGAGCTTCTCTGACTGTTCCATCTGCTCCTGCAATTCGGCTTTCGTGACTGTCTTGATCTCTCCCGTCTTGGTCCGATAGCGCACAATCTGCTTCTCAGGTGGTATCGTAGGGTCCCAATCATCGGCAACGTTGCTGGTGCCGCCTGCAGCTCGCTGCTTGAGCATCTCTAGCTCTTCCTTGAGCTCTCGAATCAATTTGGCATTCGGATCTTCGTTCACCACTGCTTTATTCTTGATCTTCTTGGCCTGATCAGCGTAGCGAAGAGTGCTCAGCGTCTCATCGTAGTCTGCTGGCGAGATGGCTGCGATCATAGCCGTCTTTGAGTTACCACCTAGCGAGTCTTTGAGAAGCCATGTGAGGACAGAATCTCGGTACGGGACATGCTCGGCGGCAGCAGCCTTCTTTCTTGGGGCGCGAGGCGAATCTGTCATACTTGCTGTAGCAAGTGCCGCGATGACCTTGCCCAGAGACGTGAGGGATCTATTGATATTCGCTCCTTCTTTCAGGCGTGAGCCGGTTGCCCCCGTCGAGTTGGCTCGTTCTGACCCAGCTAGATCTACGAGAGATATGCGAGAGACCTTTTCAGCTTCGAGATTGGTCTGAGTATCTTTGCGGCGTTGGGTCAGAACGAGAGTAAAGACGGCGTGAGATCGAGATGACGTCTCATTCATGTTCGTGGCAGCCACGGTCCGAGCCTGTTCAAGGGAGGCGAAAGTTGCAAATGGTGTGAGCGACGACTGATCGTTCGTTGTGAAGTCAAACATCTTACCTTGTTGCCCTCGTCCATGAGATTCTCTACGTCCTTGAACGTCGAGACTACCAGCTTGCTGAGATCCTCCACGTAAGGGCCCATACTGGGATGCTCTCGCACTTTCAGATTCCCCTTGTTGGCCGGATTGAGCAAGTCTCGCACTTTCTCGTTGTAGATCTCGATGTAGGACACTTCGACTCGTATCCGTAGCTCAGGGTCTTCGGCCATCATACGATCTGCATCGTCGAAGAGCTTGGAGCAAGTGAGAGGAATGAGACCTTTGGCTTCGGCATAGCCGACCATGGAGTGAGATTTCCCAGACCCTGTTTGGCCGCTAGAAGAGGCAGGGCAGTATCTGGATCAGCAAGAGTGACCGAGAAGTAGCATGTTCTCTACAAGGCTACTCACTAAGCAAAGACACACTGAAAGACGATCGTCCCCGTCGCAGCAAAGCGTCAGCGTTCTGCCTGCCCCAGTACAGATCCTGCATTCCGGCTCGCCATTTTCACTTGCTGTCTTCCCTTCGCTGTCAATCCCTCGTCGCACCCACTCACAGTATTGAACCCATTGAAGGCATGCTCCAGCAGCTCCAGCCCCACGTATTCGAAGAGGGTCCTCTGCTCCGTATTCTCGTCGTACGCCCGATCAAAGCTAAAGGGCATCGACTTCTTCTTGGTGGCCTTGGTACTCTCGCGGCTGTCACCGTCAGAGGGAGGATTGAGGACGAGCTGATGCTGGTCTTGCACTTCGATGAGGTTCGAGGCGCCGCGGGTGCGCTCTGCAAAGGAGGGTGTGGGGACAGTGGTGAGGTGGGGTGAGTGGTCCCATTGCAAAGACGGCTAGGCAGCAATCGCGAGCCGGACTGACGGTCGAGCTAGCGGGATCTCGTCTGCTCTGAGTGCTTACCTCTCGAATTCATCGGCCTACATCGCACCACGACCTTGATATTGCCCGAGTCCGCCATCCTCGCCGTAGCCTACCAAGCGATGTGGGAAGATAGGCTGCGCCCCGTGCGAGTAGGGCGAAAGACAGGGGCTAAGGTCAGGTGCAAGACTGTACAGAGTGCAACTTGTAGAAAAGAAGGACGGGCATCAGAGCCGAATTGACATGAGCTGAGCTGAGCTGAGCGGTCGCAAGCTCTGGCTAGGCGATGATGATGTGCTGCGACTCGGGGATCAGGAGGTGTGAGCAGCCAGTGACAGACACCATCCAGACATCAGCCAGCCTGGCTGGACCCACATGCGACACGGAAGTAGGCAAGTCGGATCGGAGTACCAAAAGCATACCTACCTCTAGACGACCAGGACAAAAGGAAAAATGTCCCTGCTCCAGCCAGGGTTCGAACCTGGGATCCCCGCTGTGTGATAGCGATGCCCTAACCGCTGGGCCACTGGAGCGCTTCAAACGGCGAGGGCAAAATTTGACGCCGAGGCGTCCAAGTACGTCCAGGGGGATTCTCTGGCCTGATCGCGGCGGAGAAGCGCGCTCCGCGGACCCGGATGCTTCTGCGATCACTTGCTCCTTCCAGGCCCGCGGAGCAACCGGTGCCGCCGCCGCGCGTTGCTGCTGGGCGTGGGCAAGGGGGCGAGGCTCTGGCGAACTGCTTGGCACATTCATCTCACCACTGTGCTCCTCTTCCTCCCACACCCCCCCCCCTGTTTTCGCACCTTGGCCTCCCGTCGACACACGCCGCCCCGCCGCCGCCGCTGCCCCTCGTGCCAAAGAGCAAACCCAAGAACGCTCAGCCCTCACGCCGACAGCCTCAGCCGATCACCTCGCCCTGCTCCCTAGCCTGCCTGCCTGCGAGCGCAAGCCTCTGCTGCTGCCACTCACAGCCACCCCAAGCAGCACAAGCACCAGAAGCCGATCAAGCATCCGCACCCGCACCCGCCCGCACTCTCGTCCCCCCCCTCTTCTCCCTTTTCCCCCTCCCCCCCGCCCCCTTCGAGGCACCCAGAGCACATCAACCTTGGAACCCTCCCCAGCACAAGCACCAAGACGGCCACTTCCTCTCTCATTGTCCTCCTCGCTCCCCTCGTCCTGCCTCCTTGCCCGTCTCCGCGCCCCCTCTGCTCCTCTCCTCGTCTCTGCAACTTGCATCCACCTCCGCCGCCACCACCGCATCCTGCAAACCCCCCTGGCTGGCCCTTTCCTCCTTCGGTGAGTATCTTTGTTGCTGCTGCAGGGCCCACAGAAGTTCTATCTGTGTCCGAACAGATTGCCTCAGCGGGCCACTTGGCCTCGCCTAGACAACGAGAGCACAACACTCTCCATGGCAGCCGAGGGGCCGACGACACCGATGCCGAGTACCATTGCCTGTCTGTCCCCTTCCCCGCGCTGCCTGTCTGTCTGCCTGCCTTGCGACACCGTCATAGTCCGCCCAGGGCACTTCCATGCTCGGCGTCAGACAGAGAGAGAGAGACAGATAGGCATGTCAAAAAAGAGTTTGCCGGTGTATAGGCTCACAGCTCTACAGCCAAATTGCACATCGCCGTGTCGGTGGCTCGTGGGGAATGGCATGCAACCCGATGCCGCCACTGCATGGTACCATGGGCACATTGCCTCGGCCGCCGCCTTGATAGAGACGACCGAGCTCCGTCCAGTGCCCTCTCCTTGTGCTCCGTGGTCTCATCACTGACCGATCGCCTTTTTGTCCTTGTGTCAGTTCTCCCTCCTTGCTCCTGGCCTGTCTATCCTCTATCCAGGCACCACGTCCCTGCTCGTCGCACAGCTTCACATCTGCACCCCACAACGGGAAGAAAAATCAAGACGGCCCGTGGGATCAAAGGTGAGTGTTGGTCTCAACATTGTCCGTGCCCAATGCTGTACCGAAAGGAGGGCCAGGTGGATGGATTTCCTCGTATAGGCCGCCCGCCTCTCATCGGTGCAGCATCCCCAGGTGCGATGCGATGCTCCAAGCGTGAGGGGGGCGGAAAGCGCTCCGCGCACTCAGCCACTCGAGGTTCGGGTCCGGACCGATTGTTGTCCGCCGCTTTCGGTGGACACAACCCCACTCGCGCTTCCTCCATCCGATCCGCTCTCTTCCTCCCGCATCCACACACACACTCACGCGTCCGCCTCTCCCTTACTCCTTCTCCTGGTAGCACGCAACTCGGATACCGGCTTGCCCGCTCCACTTACCTCGTCTCACCTCATCTATCTCATCACCGATAGGTCCGCTCGCGACGCGCTCCTAGGAAGACCTCCTGGATCGTTCCCTTACTTCACGCGTCTCGGAGCATCTCTTGACGCGTAATAAGCCGTAACGCAGTGTCTCCCTTTCTCTTCAAGCACACACTCCTTCCTTCAACAATGCAGCCATCTGCCTTCTCCCACGAGCAAGGTGGCGGTGCCGGTCAACACGGCGGCTTCTACGGTCAGCAAGCCGGCGCGTATGGTACCGGCGGTGCACCTCACCACAATGCACACACTGGTGTACACGGCGGATACGGAGGTTACGCTGCCCACCCCTCGCACGGTGATCAGTCGCCCTCAATGTCCTATCTCCAGCCTGGCAGTGGCCATTCGACTCACATGGGCATGTATGGTGGCTACTCTGGACACTACCCTACCCACCACGCGAACCCCCAACAGCAGCAGCACTACTCCCATGTCAATGCAGCAGCCTTTGGCGGCCAACCCGGAGGAGGTCAATCCATCCTTGGCGGCAACAATGTCGACTACCAGGGTGGCGTGCATCCCTCGTCATACTCACACATGGCTCCTCAACACGGCATGTACTACCAGGATGCAGGCGGTATGATGCACCCCGCACATGCTCACAACATGATGGGCTCTGCCGGTACGATGCCCGGCTCCGGCTACTCTCACCCTAGCGCCATCGCTGCTCCTCTGCAGACGCCTGCTGGTGCAAAGGGATCTGGAAAGGCATCTCGAGCTCCTGCCTCGGGTCGTAAGGGCTCCGTTGGCGGTGTCGGAAACGGCGCAGGTGCACCTTCCAAGAAGGCAGGTGGCGGTGCCAAGGGCGCCAAAGCGCAGGCACAATCCGATGCCATCGCTGCTGCTGCAGCAGCGGGTGTCGATCCCAATGACCCTGTCGCATTGGCTGCCATGGGCATTGTCTTGGATACTCCCGCCTCTGGCAAGGCCAAAAGCAGCAAGGCCAACACCGGTGGCGACAGGCACCATCCATACGGTGGTGCGGCCCCTGGCGGTCTAGCTCCCGACGCCGGCGAGAAGAAGGACAAAGTCAGCAAGAAGAAGGAGAAGGAACGTGAGTCTACGCGCTTAAGGGATACGATGCTGCGCTTTAGGGTAAGCTTACTGACGTGACTTGTCCCTCGTCCGATGTTACACCAGCTGGCAAGCCTCCCGTCCTCAAGTCCCACTTGAAGCCCCCCAAGCAGGCCCCATCGGCATGGCAGGTCTACTTCACTGAGGAGCTGCAGAAGATCAAAGCCGAGCAGCCCGGAGCCCGTCTCAACGTCGCCCATGTGGCCAAGGATGCCGGCCAACGGTACGCCGCTCTTCCCGACGAGAAGAAGCAAGAGTTCCAAAGGCGCTCGCAAGAAGCCAAGCAGCAGTGGGAGCAAGACATGCTGGATTGGAAGTCACATCTCACTCCGGAAGACATCAAGCAGGAGAACATGTTCAGGACGGCTCAGCGCAAGGCTGGAAAGAGTCGCAAGGGCAATCTCAAGGACCCTAACGCTCCCAAGAAGCCTCTCTCTGCTTACTTCCTGTTCCTGCGAGCGATCAGGGCAGACCCAAAGATGACCGAAGATGTCTTCCATGGCGAGCAAGAGACTACCAAGCAGTCGGTGCTAGCCGCTGCAAAGTGGCGCAGCCTCGAGGAACCAGAGAAGCAGCCATTCTTGGAGAAGGCCGAAGCCGACAAGGTCGAATACGAGCGTCTGAGAAAGGACTACGAGGCTTCTCACGGCGTCGGAGGCGATGGTCTGCGCGATGACAGCGAGGAAGGTGGCTCTGCTGTGGGTGGTACTGGAGACTATGGAGGCTACGACGAAGGCGAAGGAGGTGTGCCCCCAAGCTTGGCTGCAGGAGCCGGTGGTGACGAGGCCTTCAAACTTGACAGCCACTTTGGACTGGGTGAGGACGCCGTGCTGGGCTTCTCGAGCAAGGACGAAGGTGGCTTTGGCTTGGAGGGATGATCAGAGCAAGCAGGTAAGGTGACGCTTTCGCCGAGCGATGCCTGTCCTTGAGTGATCTTTATCCTATCCCTGAACCCGCCGCCAGAATCTTCTCCTGGGCTCTCATCATGGACTAGCAGTCTCTATCAGTCTGTCGTGTGGCACTTCTACCTCGCCGCGGTCGTCACCACTTGTACCAACAGCTTGGATTCTCCATGTCCGCCGGCTTCTCTCTTCTACCCCTGCATCGCTGCCCAGACTTTCTCGGTCCCCCCTTCTTCTCTTGTTGCGTCTTTGGCCCCATGTTTCCCCGTTTGTTGTCTCCCTATAGTGTCTGTACGGTTCAAGTCAAGCGACTCGTCCGCTGAGCTGCCTCCATACCCTCTTTGCTAGTGGCCCTCTGCTCCTTCGCGCCGACGCTCTTGGCTCGTGGCTCTTCGAGTTCTGAGCTCTGCTCTGGGGGGAATCTCTCCTTTTGCTCTTCTATGTAACCCCCTTTCTTCTTGCTTGCTACCACTACTTAAGCATCTACATTGCAGTCTACGCTCGTCGTTTGGAAATCGAATGTGGTAAAATTCTCCCTGGCGTGCTGAAGTCGGAAGGTGTGTGATCCATCATGGCCGCTTCAAGGTGTGGGATCTGCAAGATGGGATATGCGGGAGCGGGAGAGGCAGCGTCTTGCCCTCGCTGTCCACGCGGGACGGACGTGTGTGAGGGAGCGTGTAGACAAGGTCAAGGCTCAAGGCGCCTGTGCCTTGTGTCTCTGTGCCCTTTGCTGCCTGGCCCGCCGCCCGGAAGTGGGAGCGGGCAACAGGGAAATTTGTGGCCGGGGGGCGGAGGCTGGTTGAAATTCTTGAGGCACTGGGCCAGTGTCGGTGCGTCGCCCTCCGCTCAGCCAGTTGAGAATTCACAAATCCACCTGGAGGCGGGGGGATGGTCCTGTCCTTCTCGTCGTACCATCGCAGCTACACAAGCGCATACACAGCTACACGCACACCTCACTACCACTCTCCAGCTCACCCATCCCACGCACGCTAGCTCTTTACCAGTTGCTATCACTCGATTGCCAAGCGCATACACACACACACACACACACATACATACACACATACGTACTCACTGCAGCACATCACCTTCCCACGCTGCTGCTGCTCGACAGCAAACACTCGGAACCACAGAGCATCACCTCGCATCATCTCGCATCCTCGTGCTGCTTCGTCATCGAATCTCATTGGACTGTCAACGCAGCTCTCTCCGAGTTCGTGCTCATACGTCTCGTCCCACCTCCCTTGCGCTCCATAGCACAAGTGAACAACTGACAAGGGCCGCCTCTGGGTGGTGAGTCGCACGACACGGCAACAGCAGCCGCTAGTACAGCAGCTCTGCTTGCTCTCCTTCTGGTCTCTCACCGATCGCAAACACTGACTGTCTCACCCCTCACGCCCTCTCCCCGACGTTCAGACTCTCCTCTGTCTCCGTTGCCTCGAAATATGCAGACAAGCCTCGCACCTTGCCATTCTCCCATCTTTCGACCTGCACATCGCACCACGCCTCAGCGCAATACAGAAGAATCTACAGCTTATCAAGTGCGTCCGCGCCAACATCATCACTGGATACACAGGCACTTCCATTGGATAGCCAAGTAGTCGTCCATGCCCCGAAGTAGTCGGCCGCATAACCCCCGTGAGTTGAGATTGCGCTGAGTCGCACGTCGCCTCTGCCCGCCAGCAGCATTTCGACCTGGACCTGTTATTCACACAATGTATTCTACTTCACAGCAAGACCCGTTTCGTCCCATAGACTTGATAGACAAGACAGAGGAACTTCCTCGTCTCCACTAACACCTCCCGCCCACGTCCAAGCACGGAAGCGGGAGTCACAGAAGCAGCATACCCTTTCCAGCACCGAATTCTCGGCAACGCAAGACCACATCGACACTAGCAGCTCCCCTCAGGCAACAGAAACGATGGCAGCGACCCGCACAAGGTCACAATTTCAATCTCCACCCTTATCTGCACCCCGGCACCCTCGCAGCAACAACCGTCGCAAAGATGATGTACGACCAGAGCGCAAAGCCTCCGTGAGGAAGGAGCAGTATGATCTCGACGAAGACGATGATGATGACGAAGATGATGAAGACGATGGCGAAGAGCGGCGACAAGCCATTGGTCTTTACGAAGATGACGACGAGTCGGACCTTTCCGACGCTCCACCCGTTCCTGGAGAAGAAGGGTCTAGCGCCGGAGGACAACTCGATCAATCAGATTTCTCCGACGATGACATGGCTGCAAAGCTGCAAGCAGCCGGCGATGGAGAATCGCTGTTGGGTTCTGGCGACTCTGATGATGGACAGGAAGACGACGAAGAGCGGTACATCATCGCCGATGCTGCAAAGGCGGAATCCAAGGCAAACGCCCGCTTGGAGCGCTTAAAGCTGCTCGAAGCAAAACGTGCGGAGCAACGACGTCGTCGAGCTACCAACAGCAATGGCAATCGCAGTCAATTCGAAGAAGACGCACAGGACGGCGACATAGAAGACCTTCAAATGGGCGACGCAGAGGAAGACTTCGGCTCATTGTCACCAGAAACGATGCGCTTGTTGGGTCTCCCAGTTCTCGAAGATGAACTCTTCCATGAGCAGGAAGGCTTCCATTCCGACTCTGAACCTTCTTTCAGCGACTTTTTCGGTTCCGACGGGGAGGGCATACAGCCGGACGATGACGACGAGCTCACAAGCTTCGATACCTCGGACGAAGACGATGATATCAGTGACCTTGAGGATGCTCTTGTTGGAGAGCCCTTCCTGGCCCACGTTGGTGCAGTAGACCCTGCAGGTGGCACATCTGCTGTAGATCTAGCTGCCGCAATGCAAGCTGGCGTAGACATAGCTAGGCAGGACATACCTCTGCTTGTCATCGAAGATCTAGACGGTCGACTCATCTATGCAAGAGCTGGAGACGGAGAAGCGGTGTTCGGATCCGATGGCGAGTTCGAATTCGTCGACTCTGATGAGGATGACGATTCGGACGATGATGACATTGGCCACGCTCTAGACGCTCGTGACCCGCGCTGGGCCACTCCAGGTTGGAGGGCAGCAGGCAGAGGCCGCGAAGACGATGCACAAGTATTCGAAGACGATGGAGACACCACTGACGAGCTCCCCGACGAGGATATGCCGTTCCCGAGACTGCTGGTCGGATCCGTTGATCCACGCGGCGGACGCACATCCAGGAGAGCTCGGGCAATGGCTGCACAGCTCCGCCGATTGTCTCCCAACGGAACTTCTGCTGGTGGCAAGAGGGGTCAAGATTCTGCTGCCGTTCCCGCCGACGATGCAACATCCTCGGTCGGATCTTCCACTACTCCGGCTACCGAAGTTGATGTACCTTTCCCGCCTGTTGCTGAAAGCTCCAAGCAAGGACAAGCAAAGGCGAACGTCGATGGTGCAGAAGCAAGTGGCAGTACGGCGACGGCGGTGCCACTACCGCCCGCCACTCCCTCGGCCAAGGATCGCTCAGCAACATCACATGCGTCGCTCGCGAAGAGTGCGCAGGGCAGCCGACCGGAGATGGGCAGCTTCATGCCTTCCTCGTCCAAGTCGGTACACCGCGCAGTTATCGATGGCTCATCGCAAGCCGCATCACCCTTTACCAGCAAGTATTCTTTGCAACGAAAGGGCCTAGCTGGGAAGAGGCGACCTCGACGATCCTCGTTCTCGTCTCACGACACGAAGCGTATGCGTAGAAGCTCACTTCCGATCGGCAGCGGAGATCATTTTAGTGAGGCAGTCTTGTCTTCACCAGAGACGATCAAGACGCCTGCACCCTTGCCGATGGACCTTGATGATGTCGTCGACGCATCGATGCTCTGGCGTAGCGGTGACTCGTCGGATACCGGCACGGGCGATGGCCTAGATGAAGACAGCAATGCTTCAGACGATACAACGATGCCATCTGCAAGCAAGAGAACGAGATCTCATACCGAGCAATCGAGCGGCGGCTTCGGTCTGAATTCGAATGCATTCTCGAGGTGGCGCAAGATTCCGATGGGAGCCTTCCGAGACCAGCAGCAGAGTCTGTCAAGAGGGAGAGGAGCATCTCCTGTCAACGGCAACAGCAATTCTTCAGCAGGACCATCAAGGGGTCGTGGTAGGACTGCGACGCACCAGCCACTGGGCAACCTCTTGCTCCAACGTGTGAACAGCCCGGCCGATCGCCGATTTGACCATTCTCCCTTCAGGAGGACGGGCAGTCATGGAGGCAGTCTCCACATGGTCGTGCCTTCGGTCTCTGCGGCTGCGCAGGACAATGCCGGCAGTCATCAGCACCAGCAGTCCTTTATCGTCTCACCCGTTCTGTGGCCAGTACGTGGTACTCGTCGAGGCAGCATCGAAGAGTCAGACTCGACTTCCATCACTAAGAGGCTGGATGAGCGAGATGGTGGATTGAACCTACGTGGCGCATCGCCCTTTGCTCAGAGCAGCACCGTATCGGACACGGGCTCCAGGAAGATGACCAAGCGAGAAAAGAGGGAAAGGAAAGCGCAGAGGGCCACGGCTAGGGCAGCTGCGAGGGCGGAAAAGCAGCGTCTGCGGGAGGAAGGGCTGGCGAGTGCCAGCGTACTAGGCGCTGGAGGGGAAGGCGATGATGCAACAAAAGGTACGGGAGATGCTGCAACCCTCCAGGCACCGCCTCCTCTCCCACGCACACCGAACTTGGGCGATGCGAGCGGAAGTGGACCGCGCCGAGCCCTCACGCCTCAAGACGCCCTGTCGCCTGCGACTGCTATGCCTCGATTGAGGATCACAGAGCCTTCCCCACGCTCGTCACCTGCCCCGCCCACACTGCAGCAGAATGGTACAGCGGCATCAGCAGCGGCAGCTGAGCACGACTCGTCTGTGGCGACCTGGCAACGGAACCAGCAGCAGCAACCTAGTGGAGCTCAGTCCGACACCGCTAGCGCGTACCTTCCAGGTGACACACCACCCACCAAAGCCGTAGCAGTCGGAAGCAGCACCGGTCTGGGCGGCAGCAGCAGTGCGAATATCGCTCCTCGGAACACCCACCCTACCTCTTCTAGCGGTGCGGCTCCCTCTTCTTCCTCCCCCTCCTCCGCAACACCTTCCATGGCGCCCAGCATGTCGATGTTCGGCCCACCACTGGCTTCACCACTCTTTGGAGGCATGTTTGCTCCGCTGAACATGGAAACCAGCGAGGAGGGGGATTTGGAGCTGGACTTGGAGGCGGAGGGGGGCAAGGCGCTGCTCATCTGAGATAGCTGGCCTGAAGAGCCGTTAAGGAGATTACGAGGGGAGGATAGCGGAGCAGGCATTGCAATAGCCAACGAGTGAGCAGGGGAGCATCGTGTGCACTCCTGAGGCTATGCACACCAAGTTGGAAACTCCAGAATACGAATCAGAATCAGATCCAGATCCAGACCCGAAGCCCTTTGACCCCTCCTTCGATTCACTCTCTGTGTCTTTCCGAGCTTTCATCAATGTCACTTTCAATTTCATATGAATTCCACGTTCTGTTAGTGGGATTGGGAGATCTGAGACGGGAGGATCAACGTGAGCAGTGACAGGACAAAGGAAGGTGGGAGACAGAAGGGAAGTCGTACAATGGAGGGGCGAGTGGATGAGACAAGACGGGCGCGGCAGGCCGGGCCAGGTCAGACCAAGACATCACGGAGAGACGTGCGGCAGCTTGGCCACTCTTCGATGGAGGCAACTCCTTCGCATTGGCTACTCCGTCCCCGTCTCCGGTTCCCTCCGCGAATATCGTTGCTGGAAAAGTCTCGTCACCCGCTTCGAAGCGCAGAGCTCTGGCCGGGACCCGCCGAGAATCCTGTGCCGCCGGGACCCCCCCGATGCTAGCAACCGGCGGTAGGTGCAGGTGGTCCCGCCCCGGTAATTGTCCGAATCAGGCACACAAAGTGCATCTGTGCGTGGCTGACCGCACGAGCGAGGTTCGCATCACCGCAAAGTTTGGTCAATCATGTCGTGCACGGTATGGGTACCGGGTAATCCCCTCGCTGCTGATCTGAGGACTCTAGCTGTAAACTTGCCGACACAAACCTCATCCCTGTACGATTGTTCTGCAGGAACCGGACTTGATGCTGTTCCTCACGCCCGCCAGGAATGTGCTTGGGGCAATCTCTGGTAAACAAAGGGGAGAACTCCTGCACCTGCTGGTCTCTGTACCGGACTAAAACTTGCTGGTGTGCCCTGTGGCGCAGCCGTGTATCGAGATCCAGTATAAGGGACCTGCAAGTCCGCAGGCCCTCTGCTCTGTCTCGGATGTTCCGAAGAGCAAGAAGTGGTCGAAATCTGTGCTCGAGGCAGGCATGGTGACGTGCGGGGCACCTCCGGGCCCTTTTCATCTGTCAGGCACCCGAGAGCATGTCTCGGACGCTCGCGACTCTTATTTGTTGTCCCTCGCGTGGCTTACTGCCGTCGCACGTCCGCGTGATGCAAGGACCGACCCATCTCATAGATCTAGAGCAAGCATAGAGTAGAGAACAAAGCCGAGACAGAGACAAAGATTAACCGCAGGGTCTTGTGATGTTCTTCATCGGGAGGCTTTTCTTCATTCCCAACGAGCTTGACACAGGTCAACGAGGACGCGATTCGCTGCCCTGCTTCGCTCCTCAAGGTATGGGCTTGCGAACCTAGAATGTCTCAGTCGGCTTTCTTAGGCAATGGACCAGTAGCGCTCGAAAGCATCGGCCATCTGACTCATTGCGATTTGACGTTGCTCAAGGAAAGTCCAGACGGGTCAAGACATCATTGACGTGTATATAAGAGCCCTAGTCTGTGTGTTCCCTGATCGGTTTTCTCATCCTCTCATCTTCTCCTTCCACTTCCACCTCACCATGAAGTTCTCTATCGCAGCCTTCGGCATTGCCATCTCTGTCCTCGCCTGTGGCGCTCATGCTGCGGACACAAGCGCCAATGATCTCCTTTTGCTGGCCGTAGCATCGACTAATCAGACAATGGGACCTTCAGCCTGGGAATGGCCCAACCAAGAACCTGCCAAGGCAGAAATTGCGAGCAACACGTCTGCGTCGACGATTGATATCGCCACCGTCCAGTCAGAAGTCTCAAGCAGCAAGCGATCTTCTATTTCTCGACAGACGTACAACCTCGGAAACATTGTGGCCAAGAGGACCGACTACACTGTCCTCACCGATGGTTCTGACCCACTCTACAGCAATGCCGCTCTCCAGGCCACTTCGTACCTTACCTACAAGGTCATCAGCAACACTACCACCTACGCTGTTGCCAAGGCAGCTTGCCTGGCTTACTGTGACTCGGTTAAGAAGTGTGTGACTGCCAACATGTACAACGAGATTGGCAACCCTCTGCTGGACCATGTGTGAGTAGTACGAGTAGTAATAAAGAATGAGCTATCCAATCAGACGACTTACCATTTGAGTCCACTCCAAATCCTCGACTTCGCTCTCGACAGATTCTCCGAGAAGTCCAACCGAAAGTGCGCCTTGTACGGAGATGTCCCATCTCTGTCGCAGATGACAAACAAGGGTGGTCAACAGCTCTACGGCAACAACAGTCCCGCCAACTACATTGAGAACTCTGCCGTCTTCTTCACCTCTACCGTTTCCGGCCCTGCTACACCCGCTGGCTACTCTGCCACCTTCGGCCCCCTGACCACCGCCGTCAGCCTCGACGCCCCAGGCTACCTGAAGAAGACATTCCTCACTCAGAACGACCCTGCGACCTGCGCCAGCCTTTGCACCAGCTATACTTCTAACACCTGCGTCTTCTTCGACGTCTTTACCGCCATGATGGGCGACACCGTCGCTACGTACGTCTGCGTACTGTACTCCGCAAAGAAGACTGCTTCTGATGCAACCATGGCGAGCATTAGCTCGATGTCTGTCGCTGCTTCTCGCGGCTACACTCGAAACTAGCTGGGGGCAATTCAAACCTGGCCCTCGAGCCGCATTGTGCCATTGTCAAGATTGGAGGAGGACATCTTGAATATTAGTAGCCAAAGTCCGTCAGCCGAAGTCTTGTCAGCTATTCTTTAATTGCAATCGTCTTCTTCATTCGCACTCGTTCTTCTAGTGTGACAGGGTCGCCGGATCCGACTTGACTTGCCCGTGAAGCTTCAATGACGAGAAGGGGCGTTGCAAGACGATCTCCAGCTCACGTGACCGACAGAGCCCGATGCATGTGTAGGACCAGCTTTACGGGGCGATAGGATCTTGGGCAAGCTGTGTGTGGTGTAGGCCTTTTCCGCGTCGGTGGACCCCTGCCTTCCCTTCTGAGCGCATCGGCTTGTTTCCTTTACGCGTGGCTTGATCTGCACAGATCGGGGGTGAAGGCGTGGAGGTTGTCCAGGGAGAATTCCGCGACGAGGCACCTGAGCAGCAGCCTGACAGAACACAGTGGCGTTTTCTTGCATGCAGCTGAAGCCACCCGTACCCTTATGGCAATTTAAGCGTGAGCTCCGCACACTCGACATCCTTACTTCGTCGTCAGGTGCCTCGCTTCACCTTTGTCAGCTGTCCTTGGCGCTGGCCCCAATCAGATCTCAGCTCCTGCTCTCCACCATCGAGATCTACCCGGAGAGGCCTTGACATTCGGATGCGGTCGTCTGTCAACGTATGGACATCCTTTCCACCCTACGAATCCTATGACCCAGATTGTACCATCCTTCCAATGGGCGTACAGTGGCGTGTGCTACCTCAATGCGGAGCAATCGAGACCACAAGCAGTGACCAGAATAGCACCATGCGATGGCACGCGCTGGACCTCCTGGGCCGGCTCCAGGAAGGCTCCAGATGCTTAAAAGGGTGACGCTCACTACGTTCAGAGGTGAGACCCTCCCATCATCCACTCAAACGCCTGCACTACTCTCCTGAAGACCCTCAAGACTCTCAGCATGAAGCTCTCTCTACTCTGTCTCGGCCTGGTAGCCGCTGTCTGCAGTCTCAGTGCAAAGGCCGATACGTCGACGAGGGCATTGTCCTCCGTTGAGGCCGCACTGGTAGCGGCTGTCCTTAATCTTCAGTCAAACACTACCTTGCTCGCTACGGCGGCAAGCACCACATCAGCCTCTACACCGACAAGCGCCAGCTCGACTGCTTCGCTCAGCAGACGTGAACGATACAATCTGGGTAACATCCTGGCCAAACGTAGCGACTATGTCACACTTACCAATGGCACGAACCCTATCGATGGCAGTGCAGCGCTCAAGGCTCCCGGATACCTGACGTACAAAGTCATCTCCAATACCACAACCTATTCAGCTGCGAAGGCTGCATGCCTCAACTACTGCGACTCGACAAAGGGCTGCATTGCTGCGAACATGTATCAGGAGATCAACAACCCCCTCCTAGACCTAGTGTGAGTTCCTGCTGATCATTGCCCCGGAGTCCCGTGCTGCATTACTGAGGGCCGATGCACACAATTGTCCCTTCTCACAGATTTAGCGAGAAATCCAACCGAAAGTGTGCATTGTTCTCGACGGTGCCTTGCCTTTCGGGACTGACAAATAGGGGTGGACAAAGACTGTACGGCAACAATAGCCCAGCAAATTACATCATCAATTCTGCCGTCTTCTACAAGGACAATGGTCCAGCCACCCCTCCTGGCTACGCTGCAAGCTATGGTCCCAGCACTGAGGCTGTCAGTCTTTTCGACTCTAGCTTCCTCGACTGGCAGCTCGTACCCTCGTACGACCCGGCACTGTGTGCGAATATCTGCAACGACTCCAACCATACCAGTTGCGTCTTCTTTGACATCTGGACTGCAGACATCCAGTCCAGAAATACTGCCACCGTATGCACCCTCTACTCCGCTGCCAAGACCGCATCAGATGCCACTATGTCCAATGTGGACGTGCTCATAGTCACGAACTCTAGGGGCTACTCTCGCTCGACCTAAGCTGTCGCGCACGCACCGCTCTCAACTTTCCCGTACCGGTTGCCCGCAACTACCTCTTAATCTTCGTCAATTGCCAAGGCGCCAAGCATGGCCGCTGGCGGGCCTGCTTCTCTGCGCTTTGGTCAACTTGAATAATAGATCTCCTACAAGCTTCTCTTCTGTCACCGCATAATCACCTACACGTCACTTGATAATTTCTCTGCATGTCACCATAGACTCATTATCTTTCTTCTCGTCCAATGTACAAGTACCCACGGTTCGCTTTCAGAAATCCATGATCTCCTTCCATTCTCGCTTACCTTACCGAAGTCGTCAGGGGTAAAGAAGCACCCGGGGAAATTTCTCCGATTCGCAGGGGCCACGTCTGTCAGCCCTTGGTGGTCAGTCAGCTCGTGGGGACGTGTGCACCCTGGTGCGGACTTGACAAGGATGCCCTTGGCCCTTTGACCTCCTATCATCTCCGTCGCCGATTTGTGTCTGGACCGTCCGACCGTATCTGCAGAAGGAACAAGAGTACCGCCATCTGGGCCGGAGAATTGTGTATTTGTCGTCGCGGACCAGCAGCGGAGATCCGACGCGACAAAGTTTGTTTGGCGCACCTGGCTGCACAACGCGTCTGTGGCCTCGCGTCAGACACTGCTCAAGTCAAGCGGAGAAAACCCACCTCTACACGCGAGACGTGGGCAGGAAGCACCTTCGCGTCACAAAGGCCCGGCCCCACCTAGCCACGCTCGAACCCCTTGCCTGGTTCCTTGCGCCTTCTTTGTACAATGTCTCAGAAGGACAAGCAAACGCAATGGCCGCTCGCTCGCACCCTGACACTACCCCTTGTGGGGAGCAGAGATGACCGAGGTCTCGCCTTCGGCACAGTGTAGGCCACGGCATTCGGGAGTCGCTGCAGCGGCCGGCTTGGATTCTCTGAAGACGACGGTGGCTCCCGGATCCTTATGTATCGTCCCATTGAGGGGCAGCGCCTCGCTGCCCTCCAGATCACCTCTCGTGTGTTCTTCTTTCTCCTTCGTCCACCATGCGATCTGGCCGCTCCACCTACGTACTGTCTGCCCTCCTTTTGCTGATCGCCTCCTGCACATCCGCGGTCGCACAGCAGTATGCCGGCTCGGCCTTCAACAACTCGCTACCGGCTGTTGCCGGTGCGGAGCAGACGTTCTGGAACATCCTCGATACCTCAGGCAAGTCTACCTCCCTTATAACGTACAATAATCTTGGAACGAACGGCAAGCGTTTGAGCCCTTCGAAAGTGCAAAAGGCCCTCATTGTTATCCATGGCCTGAATCAAGACGCCAATGCTTACATGGCCAGTGCGTTGACTGCTCTGAGCCAAGCGACGGCCAGTAATTCGGCCATCAACCGTGATACTGTCGCCATTGTCGCTCCGCTATTTGCAAATGGGGATCAAAAGAGTGAGTAACAAGACTCCATCAGCCGACCTGACTTCACGGCCGGAAGACTCACTCTCGCCTCTGTTCCTACGCTGTCAGACTACGCATACCCCTGGACGGATGGTCTTGCCAATGGCGCAGGCTCCACATCACAAGCGCTAGTCTGGTCAGGCTCCACATGGGCTTCCGGAGCCGTCAATCAATACCCGTACCAGCAGACGACCGTATCGTCCTACGCCGTCCTGGACCAGATGCTGCAGTACTATGGTAATTCGGCGCTGTTCCCGAACCTCAAGTCGATTGTAATTGTTGGTCACTCGCTAGGAGGTCAGATGACAAATCGATACGCCGCCGTTGGGAATGACCTGGGGCTGAGTGTCCCTATTCGGTGAGTGGTATAGTGAAGGTATGCTTGCCTTCGCAATCCTGTCTGACCCATTGCTGGCTCCACCCTCCATGCAGCTTCTGGATGGGCAACCCAGATTCTTGGCTCTGGTTCGATCCGAGCCGACCCGTGTATCGGAATCCCTCATCCTACTGCGCAACCTACGATGCGTGGAGGAATGGTGTCGCTTCCGGCCTGCCCAGCAACTACAATACTGGCTTGACAAGCTCCGGTGGAGCCGCCATCCTTGCACATTACCAGTCCAGGTCTAAGATCTACGCTAGAGGCACGCTGGATTTGGGTGACGATAGTTCTACATGTGGGCCCTTTACCACAGGACAGACGCGAGACGAGCGCTTCTTCGCACAGATTGCCGCCTACCCACTTTCCTCCTCGAACAACATTGACTACATTGCTGCCGGACACGATCAGACCGCCATGTTCTCTAGCACAGCGGGACTGACTCGTCTATTCTATGATAATTTCAGTGGCGACGGTTCGAGGGCGGCCGACATGGGCAACCGCTTAGCAGCTGGCGACTCTCCGGACCCAAGTAGCAGCAATGCTGCACCTCCTGCAATCGTTGGCAATGGGGCTTCCGGTATGAAATTTCAAGGCTGTTGGACTGACGTCACTGCGACTGGTGCTGCGCATTCTTTGCGATACAATGGCACCACATCCGGCAGCCTCAGCGTCGAGAGCTGTACAGCTGCTTGCTCCAAGGCCGGCTACTCCATTGCGGGCATGCTGGCGGGCTCGACGTGTCTCTGTGACAGTGCACTCCAGTATGAAAGCTTGCGAGTCGTCAACAGAGCTTGTCTGACCGCCTGTCCTGGAAATTCGGCCGAGTACTGTGGTGACACTGCGAGAATCTCGGTCTGGTCGAGCAGCACACCCGCGCAATTTGGGGTCGATGCAACGGCTGCTACATCTACGACCAAGACGTCGACTATTACCACCTCTACGTCCAAGACGTCGACTACTACCACCTCTACGTCCAAGACGTCGAGTACCCTTACCTCAAACACTAGGACGTCGACTACTACTACGACGTCTTCGGGGCCTACCAGCACAGGAGGATCCAAGCTTGTTCAGAAGAGTGGCACGTACACATTCAACGGGTGCTATAGTGACTCTATCTCCAACCGAGTATTGACTACTGTCAAGACGGGAGGATCGGTTGAACTTTGTGCTGCCGCTTGTGCAGGCTATGCTTACTTTGGGGTCGAATACGGCGACGTGAGTGTAAGACGAGGAAGTGAATCCAGCAGCCTGTGCCTGGTGTACTGATCATCTTTCCCCGCGCCTTTCTGCAGGAATGCTACTGTGGCCAGACGCTTGGCAGCACTGCTGTACTCAAAACGAGCACAGACTGCAACATGGTCTGCGCACACGACTCTACTGAGCTATGCGGGGGTGGCAACAGGATAGCTGTGTACAAGTCGAGCTCCACCAGCTCCACTTCTACTTCCACTAAGATTACGGCAACTACGACTTCCTCTTCCAAGACTACCAGTACTTCGTCCGTTAAGTCCAGCACGACTAAACCTACCTCTTCTACCGCCGCTGCCGCGACGCTGAGCTCTCAGTACACGTCGCTCGGCTGTTACAAGGACACGAGCAGCGTCCGTACGCTGAATGCTGCCTCGTACACGAGCAGCACCAACACTCCAGCCGTGTGTGCATCGTTCTGCTCCGGCAAAGGATTCCGCTACTCTGGTACTGAGAACGGAAACGAGTGTTTCTGCTCAAATTACATTCTCAACCCTGGCGCTGCAGCTGGTAGCGGCCAGACGGGATGCACCACAGCGTGCCCGGGTAGTGCGGGCCAGACGTGCGGAGGAAGCAACAGAATCTCCATCGTCCAAGACAAGAAGTGGCAACAAAAACTCTTCACCGTCCAATCGCAAGGCAAGTGGGTCTTCCAGGATTGTGTAGTCGATACGGTCAGCCCACGTACGCTCGGCACTACTCTCCAGGGAGGCTCTGCCAACACAGTAGCCACTTGTATGGCATACTGCCGAGCGAAGAGTCTTACGTACTGTGGTGTGGAGTATTCGGGCGAGTGTTTCGGAGCAGCTTCCCTGCCTAAATCACTCACCTCCGCGACCAATGCCGGCTCTAGCGACCCGATCGCTCGAGGATGCAACATGCCCTGCAGTGGTAACAGCACGCTCGCATGCGGAGGCTCGGGTCTGCTCAATTTGTACAAGTACGATGCTTCTCGCGCCTCAACGGGCACAGTCTTGCTTAGCAGCTGAAGAGGCACGTCTGGCGGGAGAGAGAGGGAGTGCCGTTTTCTGATTGTGAAGCTTGTAGTCACCAGTACCCCGTACGCTCTTGTAACATCACCCACTAATTGTATCATCTCCAGATTCTGTCACCGTCAGCTCTTACTCAATTGGACATCTGCACGTTGTCACTAATCTCCGTGCATGTGAAAAGAAGCGTGAACGTGGCTGACTTGCCGGCATTGAGCCAATTACTGTCAGGGGGAAGGGGGGAACGGCAGACAGAGATACAAATGGCGACCTTTATGGAATCGTGTGGCTGCACGGGTAAGTCCTTAGGCTGCCGGCTCTCTCTTTCTTCCCGCGCACGCTAGGGCAACCGGCGAATCAGCTACGAGCCCGAGGTTGAGAGGGGCCACGGACAGCACCTCTGTGTGTCTTTCTCCCACGCTTGAGACTCTTGTGCCTGCCGAGAGAAGCTGGAGACGGAAGAGCGGCAGGGTGGGGAGTCAAACAAGGCAGCCGCAGATGCTTCTTGCAGATGTATTTAAAGTCCCCCTCACACACTATATGTACAAGGTGTGTCGCCTACCCTCTGATGGCGCAAGAAGGGAGGACGGAGAAATCCTGCCTCGCTGTCCGATCAAAGCGCTAGAAGACGGCCCTTCTATCGCTTGCCAGTCGCCCTTCTTCTACTGACGCGTCCGAGTGGGACAGGCACCCCCATCAGGGAGGAGCGGCCATCTCCGCCAATGCAGGAGAGCAGCTCATTTGTGTCACCCTCGCTTGTTGTGTCTCAGGCAGATGGACGCGCAGCAGAAGCGCGTGGCGTGGCCTCTGAGGCGGCGGAGCATCAATCCAGCTGCCTCGGCTCGCTGCCCTATCAATCCTGGTCGTCACCCAATCTCCCCGCTGACGGTGCTGACGGTGGCGTTGCTCCTCGTTGCTATCGAGACAGGCAAGCCCCTTCTCCCACCCTCGACAGCAGCCATGCCCTGGCAGGCGACAGGCGACACATCTCGTAAACGCCACGGCCTCACTCCGTAGCTCCGTGTCTGGTACGTGCACAAATAGGTGAAGCTACCCAAATCGCCTTCGACCCCTCTAATAGGGGGACCCTCACAAACATCGAGTGTGCGCATTAATTGATGACTATTTTCACTTGGCCAAAAAGAGCAGTAGCGAAAATGGGTAGCGGGCTCCGAGTCTCTCCGTCAGGAGGGAGGAAGAGGATTGGTATATATTTCACGACTGATGCCAGTCATCATTCCAGGGTGTCCTGTTTGTCCACCTATCCTCACTCGCTCGCCCCTCCTTACCCGTCCACCTCTCTCTTGTTCGCCCATCATGACGTTCCGACTCCTCCTCTCCACTGTGACCACCCTCTTCCTGCTTCTCCTTTCAACGTCTTCGACTGCTCATGCTCAGCAATTCCAGGGCGCGACTTACAACAACTCTATGCCCAATGTGCCAGGAGCTGAAGTTGCTTTCTGGAACATCCTTGACACCAAGGGAGCCAACACGTCTTTGCTGACCTACAACAACCTTGGAACCAACAACAAGAGGCAAAGTACTTCAAAGGTACAGAAGGCAGTCATCTTCATCCACGGTCTGAACCAGGACCCGCAGACGTACATGTCGAACATGCTCAGCGCCCTCGCAGTCGCCAAGGGAACTAATTCTGCCGTGAACAGTGATACCATCTCCATCGTCTGTCCAAGCTTCTCGAATGGAGACGGAAAGAGTGAGCTCCTGGACTTAGAAGAGAATTCACCTGTGCCTTGTTGCTGATCTAACGCCTGACGCCCCGGTGCTTCATAGACACCGCCTACCCTTGGACGAGCGGTCTGGCCGCTGGTGCAGGCTCCACCTCCTCGGCGCTGGTCTGGCAGGGATCTCAATGGGCATCTGGCCAAGTAAACCAGTACCCTTACAAGCAGACTACTGTCTCTTCGTATGCTGTTCTTGACCAGATGCTGCAATACTACGACAACGCAGCGCTGTTCCCCAACCTCAAGTCGATTGTCGTCGCAGGACACTCCCTCGGTGGTCAGACCGTCACCCGCTACGCAGCGCTCGGCAAGAGTCTTGGACTACGCACACCAGTCCGGTGAGTGTATGCGATGTGACGAGTACCCGTGCTGAGTATTGCCTCACTGACTCGTCCTACGCTCTTACTGTAGCTACTGGATGGGAAACCCCAACTCGTACTTGTGGTTTGACACAACGCGTCCTGTCTACCGTAACCCAGCATCGGTCTGCTCCACATACGACGCCTGGAGAGACGGTCTCGGTTCGGGTCTGCCCACTTACAATTCGGCACTGACCGGCTCTGGCCGTGCAGCTATCCTCGCCAACTGGCAGTCCAAGTCAAAGATCTACGCCAAGGGTACTCAGGACCTGGGTGATGACAGCTCCACTTGCAACCCTGGCACCGTCGGTCAAAATCGAGACGAGCGCTTCTATGCTGAGATTGCCACTTACCCTCCCAACTCGGGCGACAACGTCGACTACAGTAACTGTGGTCACGACGCGTCCTGCATGATGCAAAGCTCTGGTGGACAAGCTCGTCTCTTCTTCGACAACTTCTCTGGTGACGGCTCGCGACAGCTGGACCTTGGTAACCGCATGCAGGCCGGTGACTCCCCCAACCCAAGCAGCAGCAATGCGGCAGTCCCCGCCATCGTTGGAACAGGTGCTGGAGGCATGACATACCAGGGCTGCTACACAGATGCTAGCGCTAGCTCCCAGCACTCGCTGAGCAACGTCGTGAGCGTTTCGGGCAGTCTCTCAGTTGAGTCTTGCACAGCTGCTTGTTCGTCTGCAGGCTACACCATTGCCGGACTGCTCGGCGCATCCCAGTGCCTTTGTGGCAACTCCCTGGCGTACGATGCCCTCAAGGTGGTCGACAATGCTTGCAGCACTGCTTGCCCCGGCAATTCAGCCGAGTTTTGCGGAACTGGTGCGCGACTCGCTGTGTGGTCTGGCGGCACACCCACCCAGGCCGGGGCTTACGGCAACGTCAACACTTTGACCGGATACTCCTACGCCTCCTGCTACGTCGACAATGCCAACAACACTCGAGCTCTGAATGCAAAGTCGACCTCCACTTCTTCGATGACAGTCGAGTCCTGCGCTGCCTTCTGTTCCGGCTACCAGTACTTTGGTCTTGAGTACTCTTCGGAATGCTACTGTGGCCAGACCCTCACAGCGGCTACTGGTACCGGATGCACCATGCTGTGTGCTGGAAACAATACGGAGCTCTGCGGAGGTTCCAACGCCCTGAGTGTGTACAACAGCACAACCTTGATCTCTTCCACGACTACCACGACTACCTCGACCACCTCGACCTCGACCACAACCACTTCGTCTGCCCCGACTTCTTCCGCTGCTTCAACGGCAACTTCGACCGCAACTTCGACCAGCACCACCACCACCAGCTCGGCCGCAGCAAGCGCTTCAAGCAACCCAGCTTACAAAGGCTGCTGGACCGACAGCAACTCGCGAACTCTGACGACACAGGCTTACTCCAACGCTCAGAACACCGTCGCCAACTGTCGCGCCGCTTGCAGCTCGCTTGGTTTCGCCATCGCGGGTGTTGAGTACGGAGCTGAATGCTGGTGTGGCTCGCAGATGGCCGCTGCAGCAACGCTGGCTGCCGACAGCGATTGCAACATGCCTTGCTCGGGAGACAGCACCTCCACCTGTGGTGCCGGAAACCGTCTGGCCGTCTATTCTGACCTGGCGACTCTACCAGTAGCCACAACACCCAAGGTGGTACAAAGCACCGGCTCCTACAACTTTGTGGGCTGCTGGAGCGACTCTGTCTCCGCCCGCACACTGCCTCAGTCCGCTAGTGGTGGTTCAGTGGAGACGTGTGCTACCTCTTGCGCTGGCTCACAGTACTTTGGTGTCGAATACGGAGGTGTGAGTATGGGATTCGTATGCTCATTTTCTTCACAAAGGCCAATGTACTTATGCTGACAGCGTTTCTCCTCTACCTTTGATTTCAGGAATGCTACTGTGGCTCGACACTGGCTAGCGGAAGCAGTGTTCAGGCAACCGCTGATTGTAACATGGTGTGCAGCGGTGCATCTGGAGAGCTCTGTGGTGGTCCCAACAGGCTCCAGCTCTACCAGCTGAGTGCTGGAAGCGCAAGCTCGTCCACTACCACGACCACCACGACCACGCCAACGTCTACGACGACCTCCAGCACCCCCACCAACACCCCCACCAGCACCCCCACCAGCACCGCCACGAGCACTACCACCAGCACCGACACCTCAACCCCCACTTCGACAACCACCACCAGCGCCACTTCGACCGCCACCTCGAGTCCCACTTCTACCACGTCTTCGACCCCAACCTCGAGCCCGACTTCTACCGCCACCTCGACTACCACCTCGACTACCACCTCCACTAGCACCACAACCAGCACTTCCACCACCACCTCATCCTCAGCCGCCGCTTCTGCCACGTTGAGCTCCAACTACCAATCCCTGGGATGCTACGCAGACAGCAACTCTCGTACCCTGAACGCAGCATCCACCACGAGCAAGTCGAACACTCCCGCTTCTTGCGCTGCTTACTGCTCCAACAAGGGCTACCGATACTCTGGTACCGAGTACTCCAACGAGTGCTACTGCTCCAACTACATTGTCAATGCTGGCGCCACTTCGGGCAGTGGTCAAAGCGGTTGCACCATGGCTTGCACTGGAGATTCCAGCCAGTCGTGTGGTGGTCCCAACAGGCTGAATGTTGTTCAGGACAACAACTGGCAGCAGTCCCTGTTCACAGTGCAGTCTAGGGGCAAGTGGCGCTACCAGGACTGTGTAACGGACACGGTCTCTCCTCGAACCCTCAACGTCACCCTCTCCGGTGGGTCGAGCAACACCGTCTCCTCGTGTCTAGCCAACTGTGAGGCCAAGAACCTGACATACTGTGGTATGGAGTACTCCGGAGAGTGCTACGGTGCTTTCACTCTGCCCTCTACTGTGACGTCTGCCGCTAGCGCTGGTTCCAACGACCCCATTGCCCGAGGATGCAACATGCCTTGCAGCGGAAACTCGACTGTCGCTTGTGGTGGATCGGCTCTCCTCACCCTCTACAACTTCGACTCGTCGCGAGACAGCACCGTCACCATCTTGCAGACCAGCTAGATGGCTGGCTTCAAGGACTCGAACCTCAAAAACTCCTACACCTGGGTTCTTTGCTCTATCTTTATCACCTCTCCTATTCTTGTCGAATGATACTTTAGATCGGCTTCGTACTATGTCACTCGCGTAACGTCACCGGCCCTCCGCTCCCTGTAATATCACCTCAGATCCGCTTGTAATTGGCCCATACTTATGATACATCACCATTGCCTGCACAGACTCGTGATAAGTCTGATAGTTTGAGAAAGGTTTCCATTGGCAAGCAAAGTGGTACATCGTCACTTCGCTCTACGAAGGGCTCATCGCGGAGTCTGAAGTGCGCCCCTTTCCGTCCGGACGCGATCGAGAAGGTCGAGGGGGCCACCTTGGTAGCAACGATGACCTTGTGACCATTGCCCCCCTTTGCCTCGCTGATACCGCCTCGCCTCCCTCACTTCTCTCGGCCAAGATGAGGATCGGTCTCGACTCTGCCTCCGAGGCTTCCGAGGATGAAGGTCCGGCCATGGGCACCCGATCACGGACCCGGCCTCTGAAGGATCTCCGTACTCCCGCCGGTAAAGCAGGGGTCGCTGGGGGCAAGACCCAGCCAGCTCTGGCTACGCCGTCCAATGGCGCCATTACAACCCGGCTGATGGCCTCTTTGAGCCTATCGCATCAGAGTCAAGGTTCTAGCAGAGGTCAGCAAAGAGAGGCGAAGGAGAAAGGACCCCGACCAAAGGCGGAGGCAGCGGCCATGCTTCCCCCCTGGATCAAGAGCAAGACCAAGGCTGACCGAGCCAAGGCTGACCGAGCCAAGGCCGCAGACCAGCAGAATGGCGAGGCCTCTTCTAGTGCTGTCTCATCCACACCTGTACGGAGATCAGCAAGGATCGCTGCTATCGCTCGAGGACACATCCCGACTCCTCCAGGGTACAGGAGCTACCAGCCCTCTTCACCTTCCGAGTCGGATGTCAGCTCCTCGTCTGGCTCGTCAGCCTCCAGTGACGACGAAGACGATGTCCCCCAAACGGCACAGTCGGAAGATTCGGACTCGGACGTGCAAGTGGTCATCTCGCCTATAGATTTGAGGCGGGCTGGGAGACGATCGAGTCGAGGTCCTCGAGTATCGGGAAGCTCCCCTTCCAAGGGAAAAGATCGCGATACCCTCCAGAGCATCAGGCTGGCGGCTCAGGAGGATGAGTACTCAGGCGAATGGACTGACGCTATAAGGCGAAGCGGGAAGAGCTGGGCCTCCCTCGCCGCCCGACGATCTGAAAGCCCCTTCACTGGCCCCACAAGTCCATCGAACGGAAGAGGGCAACCCCTGAAACCTCCGCGGGGAGAAGAAGCAGAGGACTTACAGAGCGTGCAGTCTACCCTCAGCCGGCTGAAGCGCGAGAAGGAGGAGCTGGAGAAAAAGGAGCGACGAGAGTCTGAAGCACAGGACAAGAAGCTATGGACCTCTATAGAGGGAGCCATCACAGCTGCTGAAGAAAGCGCTCGAAAGCGGGCAAAGGAAGAGGCAGACCGGATCGCTGCTGCTCGCAAGACACAAGAAGAAGCAGAGAAGAAAGCAAAGGCTGCTCGAGAGGATCAGGAGAAGAAAGCTCTTGAGGAGAAGGAAGCAAATGAACAGCGGACAAAGAAGGAGCAAGAGAAGAAGAAGGCAGAGGAGGAGAAGACCAAGGCTGCTCAGCAAGCAAAGGAAGAGGCGGCGAAGAACAAGGAGGCTATGAAGAGCTTCGGAGTGGGTGATACGCTCCATGATCAGGGCAGGGAAGAATACCAACGCTGGAGCGAGAAGATGAAGGTCAGTAGCTTTTTAGGTGGTAGCGGAGTACCGGTCTGGCTCACACTTACACACGCCCTTGCTTCTGCCCTCGTAGCATGTCAAGGAAAAGGTCCTACCTGTCATTGCAGACAACTCCGAATGGAGAAAGCAGTGCTTTGCCGCCAAGCGACAGATCACGCCCAAAATTGGACAATTGACCAATTCAAAAGCAGAAATTTGGCGTATTGTGAGTCTTCTGACGATGCAAAAGCCGTGCATGTGAATCTGTAGCTGAACCCGACTTGCTGTTTTCACAGACTTCGACCATCTCGAGCCTACTCAAAGAAGCTCAGGCAGCCCCTAGTCCCAACCAGGAGATCTATCAATGGGTACTGAACCACCTGAGCAAATGTCTCATTCGACAAGCAGAGCAGGAAGTGGCCGTAAAGGTGGATACTGCCTTCCCGCTTGCTCGCGTGGTCGTCTGGCTGCTTCTTGACGGGCACGAGAAGCTTGGAGAGATACTCATGGCGAGATTGGTCAAGAAGAGCTGCTGGTGTCTTGGCTACTTTCCTGAGAAGAGACCGGTAAGTTGCTCTGTGTAGCTCGGCTGACGCGGGCTGATCTGCAATGAAGTCTCACGCAATCTACGTCTTCCTTCCACCTGCAGGATCAGGACAATGTTGCCTACTCCAAATCCGTTGGTCGAGCCTCGCCCGAAGAGACATCCGTACAATTCGCCTCTCGTCAATCGGGCATTGCAGCCTTCTACTTTGCCATCTGCCAAACTCCCCCTACTCCTCCACCCTCCCAGCCCGCTTCGGCCTCAGTGGACGTCTCCCTCGTCCCCGCCCACTTCCGTCCTTCAGCGCTATGGAAATGGCAAGCGCGTTGCGTCACCCCACCCATGACCTCGCACGCAATCGTACCCGCCCTCTGGTCCACCTTGCTAGAAGTGGCCGGCCCTCGACTATTGGAGTACTACGGTCGACAGACGGGCAAGGTCTGGGAACTCCTCTACACTCAGGGGATCATGGCTGGTAGGGCTGGATTTGTTAAGCTGGATGAGGGCAAGGCGGCTAGTGGGAGATTGCAATTGATGCTTGAAGATTGGAAGAAGAGCGGAAAGGTGGAGATCCTCAAGGGAAGGGAGATGCAGGCTTAAAGTGCTACTGCCAATGCGAGTGGCGGCTACTCCTCTCATATGTCACGAACCTTATGTCAATCCATTATGTGTGTCAGTCACTCTGGCTCAGCGCTCCTCATCAAGGCTGTTGCATGTCAGGCTGAACATGTTGCAGACTAGCGTAAGATATCCCACATGTTTAGATTGCAAAGTCTCTCCCACCCACTGTAAGATATCGTCGGAAGATCCACAACCAACGCTCCTCACTCACCTGCAAGGATGTACTCGAGGCCCCTCATATCAGCTCAGCTCTTGAACTTGGTAGTCGTACTTTGCTCGCTTCCCTCCTTGATGGTCTTTCCCTTTGCTTTGATCTCGCTCGGTCAGTCAGTCGTCTTCTTGTCCTCATTTTTGAGCGTCACATGAGATTGAGGAATGTAGAAGTTTGTGCACACTTGACCTACCACGAATGCATCTTGTGGTTTGGAGCTGCCTACGCTTGCCGTCGTCTTCTTCCTTTCAATGCTCACTTGGATTTTTCAGTTGGACGGGGGAGGAAATGGTCATCTTGCAAACTTGGTCTTGTATTGATGGACGGGTGTTGGAGCGCAGAGACACGGGACAGGGACATTGCGAGGCTTGGGTGGATGGACGGGAACGGTAGAGAACGCTTTTGCACATCTGATTCGACTTCTGACTCCTCATTGCGACTTGCCACGCCAACTCTTGAGCCCGATGAGATGAAATGACCGACCGAACACATGCTCTTGGCAAGCCTTGCATCGAGTTTGTGCGGTTGATCTTCTAATCGTCGACTCTCTTGCACTTGCATCTGCAATTGCAACTCTTCTCTACCTGACCATGCAAAGGGAATGAGAGATATGGGGAGAACAATCAAAGTGACTCACTTCCGGCGCTTCACCACTAGTAGTCATCATCGCGTCGCCTGGGCAGAGGGCTTCGGCTGTCTCTCTTCCTAGGAGGAGGGCTGGGACTATCACGGTGTCTGCGAGAGCGAGGAGGGCTGTACTCCCTCGGGGCACGCTCTCGGTCACGGCCGCCGTAGCTGCCGCGGTCTCCTGGAGGAGGGCCGTATCCACCTCGGCCTCCAGGAGGTCGCCTCCAGTCGTCTGCAACATCGGCTGGCGGGCCGTAGCCGCCTCGACCTCCATAGTCTCCACCATAGCCACCTCGTCCGCCTCGAGGGGGAGGGGGTCCGTATCGGTCAGGAGGTGGGCCGTAGCGGCCATAGCCTCCACCAGGGGGTCCGTAAGGTCCATCAAAGGGAGGAGGCGCTCCATAACCGCCTCCGGGAGCATAGCGCGAACCCGAAGGGGGTCCGTAACCAGGTGGACCGCGGGGAGGGGGGCCGCCGCCACCAGGGCCACGGTACCGGTCGTCTGGACGAAGATTGCCTCTGTACTCTCCAGGGGTAGGTGAGTGAGGGCGCCTGGTAGCAGAGTAGTCGACTCGGATCCTTCGTCCGTGCAGGTCCTGCATGATGCGTGAAATAGCCAGTGGAGAAAAATCAGTATATGCAGGCTTCCCACTGTACGGCGGACGTGCTCACGATTCCATTGAGGGCCTTGATGACTGCCTCAGAGCCTTCCAAGTCCTTCATGGTCACAAAGCCGAAGCCTCGAGATCGGTCAGACTGCCAAGCAGAAAAGGGCAATCGCTCTGTCAGTCTACCTGAATGACCTCGATCAGGCTGAGGAGGCTTACTCACGCGGGCATCGTAGACAATGGTGACCTTCTCAACCGGTGCAATCCTGCCGAACTCCTCGTCGAGGTCCCTCTCTGTGGTTCGAATGCTGAGACCAAAGACTCCTACGACGTTGCTAGGGCTGGCCGGGGGTGCGTTGGATGGCTTGGGTGGTGGGCCTTGAGCGCGAGCAGCCCTGTTGTTTGCAATAGGGAAGGCTGAATCAATGGCTGCTACCAATACACCTTTACTCCTGACGCACGTCTCAACTCACTTGCGGGGACCATCTTCTCCGTTCCTAGGAGGAGGTCCATCACCATTGCGGGGGGGAGGGCTCCTGCTTCGCTTGGGAGGGGGACTGCCACCGTCGCGTGCGTCCCTTCGGTCTCGGCCATCGTCTGCCTCATCATCATCGTATCTTCGAGGAGGAGGAGTTCGAGAATAGGACTGTCCTCGGGCGTCACCAGCGGGAGGTGCTTCGAGATCCGCGTAGCTCTCCATGGTTGTCAATGAGGGTTGATGGGAGGAGATACGAGGTGGTGTGGAGTTGGTGGCAGGGAAGATCCCAGGATGGACGACGTTCTCCATCGCACCGTCCGTCGCCTGTGGGCCGTTGCGCGCTTTCCACGTTCAAACTCCGACCCCCACCTCGGTGGGAAGCTCATGCGCCGGACCGACGGACCGACGACCTTGGCGGCGGTACGCACTGTTCAGCCCTAAGGCATCGCTTGCTTCCACGTCCACTCCATCCTACCGGCCCTACTTGCAGCCCTCGTAGCCACTCCGGAGACGTGGCGGAGTCTCCTCAGTGCTGGCAATGTCCTCGTCACCGCCCTCATCCTCGGATCCCCTTTCTTCACTGCGCTCGTTGCTCGAGGCCTCTTCGGTACCAATTCCTGACGATGGCACTCTCGCAGCTGTGCTAGCAGTGGCCGGGGACGACGTGGGGAGGGCCGCAAGACTTATCATAGATGATCACAAGGTATCAAATCCATCAGCAGCCAGAACGACGTCGACCACTTCATCGTTAGCCCGCGACACTGGAGGACTCCGGAGGCGCCCGGGAGCATATCAGCCGCTTGACTTCGCCGAGAACGAGGAGGAGTACGAAGCTGCTGTGAGGGGCAACAGCGCTAGAGGCAGCTCTGGCAACCACAATGGGAGTGGAGGCATCGCTTCTATGCTCTACTCGGCTCTCACGTTGCCATTCTCGGCTCTGCAATCGTTGCTCCTAGGCATCCTTCGGCTGTTGCGTTTGCCCAGCCTCTTTGCCAGCCTATTCTCGGGAGGCGGCCCAGCTGTCTTTGACGATGGCAGCTTGTCTGCAGCTCAACAATTCGAACAGGATCTTGCAGCAGCAGCAGCAGCTAGTGGGACCGATCGCTCCACCCTTCCGCCTTTCCTCACGGGTCCGTACAACGATGCTCTGAAACAAGCCAAGAGAGAGCTGAAGATGCTCGTCGTCGTACTCACGAACAGCTCGCAAAACGAGAGCGACAAGGCATTCTTGAGGTGAATTAGATCGGTCTGTAGATGCGACCGACGGCCGATGCTGACTCTTTACCCTTCCTTCTGTGGAGCAGCAATCTTACTTCCTCTGAGGTTGCGACAGCGCTGTCCCGTTCCGAGTATCTCGTGTGGGGAGCCTCAACAAAGCGTCACGAGGGCCGTCTTGTCGCCCGGCAATTGTCTGCTCATTCCTTCCCGTTCATAGGATGCGTTGCAATGAGGGCTGCACCCTCCTCGGCAGCCTCCTTTGGGATGGGCCCGACGCCACATCTGTCTCTGGTCTCGCGAGCATCAGGTACCGCTCTCTTGTCCTCAACGACGCTGTCCCAACACCTTCGCGACTCATACTCCCGCTGCTCTTCTTACCTGGAAGGTCTGCAAGCCGAGCGCATCGCTCAGGAGACAGAGAGGCGCTTGATGGCAGAGCAAGACAGAGCTTTTGAAGAGGCTTCCAAGAGGGATGCGGAGCGAGTTGCAAAGAAGCGGGAAGAAGCCAAGCAGGCTGAAGCGGCTAGAGAAGCCCAGAGAGAGCTGGAGAGAAAGGGTGAAGAGCTTTTGCATCGCAAGGCTGCGTGGCGAAGGTGGGCGAAACATTGTCTCATCTCCCCTGCTGAGGCGACTGCGGGTCCTGGAACGACGAGTATCGTCGCAGTGCTTCCCGATGGACGTAGACTGGCACGTATCTTCCCCGTCGAAGCACCTCTGGAGCACATCTATGCCTGGATCGAATCCTCTTCTGTCCCCGAGTTAGACGATGGCGAGGACGCCAGCAATATCGCCCAGCCCGAAGACTACAAGCACTCGTATGAGTTTGCTCTCTTCCTCGGATATCCGAGAAGGAGAGTAGGCGTCGAGGAAGTTGAAAAGGGAGTGAAGATCTGCGAAGTGGAAGGGCTTTGTCCTCGCGCCAACATCATCGTTGAGGGCAAGGTCGAGGGAGTGGCAGGGACAACGGGAGAAAGTAGCGGTGATGAGAGCAGTGACGGGGAGTGAGCGAGCATTGCTGGAGATACAGGAGGGGCTCCCATCACCATGTTCATGTCTGTGACTTCTACATGCCAAACATCAACAAGCAACCAAGTTACACCATTCCCTATATTAGCCTTCCGGTCCCGATTTTGCCGCGTCTGTGCACTCCTCCACCCGCATTCCAGGGTCCGCACTCCCGACTGATTGCGAGGAGATGCCTTCCTATCAACGTTGCCAAGGCCTCGTACGTAGCAACCCCCCTCGTCTCCAGCACGAGATGTCGTCCTCCTCTCCGTCTTCCTCTTCGAGCGCTCAGAAAGATGCGGACCCGATCCTGCTCAGCGTCTTCTCGAATCGCTTCAGCTCCATTGCTGATGCCATGGGAAGAACGCTAGAGCAGACGAGTATCTCGGTCAATGTCAAGCTGCGACTGGACTTTAGCTGTGCGCTCTTCGGACCTGATGGTTCGCTGGTGAGTACGACGCTTAGAGGAGTCCTTAAGTGCTGCAGTGGGATTACGAAGACTCGGATAGTAGGCTTGGACGTGTCTGACACGCTCTTCTGCTCTCCCCTAGGTCGCCAATGCGCCCAATCTGCCCGTCCACCTGGGCTCGATGAGCTTCGCAGTAGCTTATCAGATCGACTATCTGGGCATAGCTGGGATTAAGAAGGGAGATGTCATCATGGCCAATCATCCTGCTGCAGGAGTGAGTACTTCGTGAGCCCAGCATACCCAAGATGATCCTTCGCTCACCTGACATCGAGATCCCCTCCTTTCTCCCCTAGGGCTCTCACTTGCCTGATATCACCATCATCAGCCCTTGCTTCTCAGAAAAAGGAGAGATCATCTTCTTTGTAGCCAGTCGAGCACATCACGCTGGTGAGTCTTCGCAAAGAGGCAGCAGCCTTGCCTAGCTTAGCTCACTCGCCGCTAATGGCTACCTCTTCCGCTCTGCAGATATCGGAGGAGTATCCCCAGGTTCGATGCCTCCACACTCGAAGACTCTACACGAAGAAGGCGCCCAAATCAAGTCCTTCAAGATTGTAGAGGGTGGCAAGTACAACCGCGATGGTGTTGTAAAGCATCTCCTCGAAGACCCTGCCCAGTATCCCGGTTGCTCAGGCACGCGCTGTCTTCGCGATGTGGAGAGTGATCTGCAAGCTCAGATCGCAGCTAACCAGAAGGGGATCAATCTGCTCAACGTGCTGATCGACGAATGGGGTCTACAGATGGTGCAAGACTACATGATGTACATCCGCTCTAATGCCGAGCTGTCCGTAAGAAACTTGCTCAAGGAGGTAGCCAAGCGGCAAGAGACGACTTACCTCTACGCCAAGGACTACATGGACGACGGCTCTCCCATTGAGCTGAAGATCACCATCGATGAGAAGGATGGCTCGGCCTTCTTTGACTTCGAAGGGACTGGGCCAGAAGTGCTGGGCAATTGGAATTGCCCGAAGAGCGTATGCTACTCGGCCATTATTTACTGCCTGCGATGCATGGTCGCCGTAGATATCCCGCTAAATCAGGGCTGTCTAGCGCCAGTGACGGTCAAGATTCCCGAAGGGTCTCTCCTCGACCCAAGCGACAATGCAGCTGTAGTAGGCGGGAACGTCTTGACCAGCCAAAGGTATGTTCGTCCCGCGAACGTTGCAGTCATTCCAGGAGACTGATCCCCTTGCCTTTACCGCCACGCTGTCAGAATCACCGACATTGTCTTGAAAGCCTTCAAGGCAGCAGCAGCCAGCCAGGGTGACTGCAACAATCTCACCTTCGGAATGGGAGGCTCAGACAAGGATGGCAAGCACGTCGACGGCTTCGGTTACTACGAGACTATTGCCGGTGGGAGTGGAGCCGGACCGGACTGGCAGGGCACAGATGGAGTGCACGTAGCAATGACCAACACCCGTGCAACAGACGTCGAGACCCTCGAGCGCAACTACCCCGTCGTCCTTCGCCGCTTTGAGATCCGCGACGGCTCGGGTGGGGTAGGCCGCAATCGTGGGGGTAACGGTGTGACTAAGGAGCTCCAGTTCCTCACACCGCAGATGCAGGTCTCGATCCTCTCCGAGAGGCGCGTTTACCACCCCTTTGGACTCGAGGGAGGGGGCGATGCGGAGTGTGGGCGCAATACTTGGATCAAGCATGAGATGGACAAGGATGGGAAGACGCAAGTACAGAAGAGGATCAATCTGGGCGGGAAGGTGAGTAATGACGTATGCGCTTGAGATACGCTACGACCGCCTTTGGACTGACGTTCCCCATACTGCGTCCCCTCTTTCCTCTAAGGCATCAACAATGATGTCCCGCGGCGACCGGATCATCATCGAGACACCGGGAGGAGGCGGGTGGGGCGCTCCTGATAGCTCAAAGGCCGGATCGGACAGGAATACAGGGGACGAACCTGCTGGCATTCTCCACAGTGGTCTGCTCAAGGGAAGTCTGGTGGAACGGGTAGCTAATCAGCTGGGCGTGTGAGCGGGGAGGGACTAGACGAGGAAAAGTGTCAAGGGATGCTCTCGCCTTACAATTGCGTGCGGGTCTGTGTAAATGATCACAAGGGCCTGATGTTTTTCAATGCGTATTGCTATTGACATACCACTTTGTAGAGACGACAATTGTATGTAGTGACGGTACAATCACAGAGGCTGACCAGGAAGTGGAGCCATGTAGAGAGAGAGATCTCCAGTATCAGGCTGCTCTCGTTCTCCTCCCAATCCCTTCCATCGCCCCTCGCCTAGCTCAGCACTCGAAGATCCTCGCCGTCGAGACATTGATCCTACTCCAGGCTCTCCTGCGTACAAAGACCTGCCTTAGCATAAGGTATGGCCACATGAGGTGATAGAGGGCAAAGAAGGGCAGCGGATCCTCTGCATCCCACGCTGCATCGCGCGAACCGGGTGCATCTAAGTCAAAGCCCCCAGCGCTAGCGCCAGCACCAGCGCCAGCGGTGGGAGAGTGGACATCAGAGGTGCGCAGCCAGAGGGGATGGACGAGACGGCGCAGCAGGCGGGGTACTACGAGGGGGAGAAGCCGGGCAGGGAGGTCGTGGGCGAGCCAGCTCATGGGAGATGAAGAAGGCAGGGGCACGACGGGCGCGGACAGATTTGCGTCTTCGTCTTCCTTCTTCTTGTCTTGCTCGGCGTATGCTTCTCCAAATGCTGGAACTTGGGAGAGGAGACCGACGGCAGTGTGCACTCGTGGGTTGCACTCGATTGCGACGATGCGGCCTTTTTCGTAGAAGCCGGGAAGACGGGGGTTCGTCTTGGCTGCGGGTTGGTGTATGAAATCGAAGGAGTAATGTCCGTCTAGACATTTGCCTTGCCACTTTTCGTCCTGCAGTAATGCCGTCATGAATTGTCGAGTCCACTCGAGCGTTCTGACGCCGATGGGGTGGTCTTGAGCTGGGTAGTAGGTCATGAGCATGTCGTTGCTGGGGCAGCAGACGAAGGCTCGGACTTGACCGTCGATGACAGTCGAGTGTGTGCACCACTCAGACGTGTACTTGCCGTCGATGAACTCTTGGACGATATACGGAGTGGAAGAAGCGATGGGGATGGGCAGGGAGCGAATTCGCTTCTCCGTCGCTGGCCAGTCAGGAGCGCCTGATGGTGAAAGGAATGGGTAGGTAGTCAAGTCGGACCTGCCAACATCGTCGAGCTCAGCAGCGCACTTCAGGATGCGAGGAGCCAAAGCCGGCTGTTGAAGCAGAGACAAGAGCTCTTCTGGCGAAGATACGACGTCTGAATTCGGCGCTTCAAGGCCCATCGAGTGGACTAGCGAGATGAACTTGTCCTTTTCGTGCAGCTGCTCAACGAGGTCGGGATCCTGAATCACAGCTCGCAGGTCTGACCGCCTTTGTCGAAGAAGGTCTGCAGCTTTGGCATCTTCTCCAGTAGTACCGGCTCCAGAGCATGGCACGAAGAGAGTGACATCCTCGGCAATGGCCACGTCGATCAGAGCAGAGATGTACTTCTGTCCTCCCCCAGCAGGGACGAGAACGAACTTGTCCACTGAGGATGAGAAGCGTGCGGGGGATAAAAGTCCCCAGCTGTGGTGGTAGAGAGGGGAAAGATACGGTCAATCTCACTATCAAGCGCCTGTCACTCAATGCGCTGCGACTCACCCTTGTTCCTCCACTACCACCACCCTCCAGCCCTGCTTTGCGAGGGCTCGGGCGATGAACAGGCACTTTTGCATGCGACCGCCATTGACCAGAGCTGTGCGCTGCCGTCCTGCAGCTCTTGTTCGCGGGGACCTCTTCCGAGTGTAGAGGGCATATAGGGTGAAGAGCGCAGTCAGAGGAGCGAGGGAAAAGGAGAGAGCCACGAGGAGGAAGGAGGCTAGAGCGGACTGAGCCCGTGAGGGGAGGTTGCGGCTGCCAGACATGGCGTCAGAGGCGCTAGCGCCGAGCTTGTACCAGCTCAACGAAGGGAAGGAAGGTAGAGAGCGTCAAGATAGGTACCACCGCAGCCAGGCAGAATGAAGATGCTGGGAAGAGTGGGGCGAGCAGGGTACGCCTGAGCTGCAGTGCAAGGAAGAAGTGGTGTCTTCTTCTTCTTCTGACCGCTGCTTCCGTCATGCTGCCTCCACCCGCCTCGCCTGCAGCAGCCTGCAGGGTCTCGCAGCTGCTGACAAAGACGCGTCTGAGCCGGGCACTTGCGGGAACAATGGCAGCAACGGTAGCAATGGCGCACAAGGGAGGGAGGCATCACCATTGCAACAGAGCATCGAGCAGCAGAGCCGTACCAACTTTGGTTGCGAGGCAAAACGCCGCGGCACGTAAGGAATTTCGAGGGGTCGGCGGAGAGAGCCGGGGTGACTGCTGCACCGGCAGGCGGGCAGCCTCGAGAAGCATGAGCTGCACGGCAATCACGCCTCAAGCCCTACTAACATTGGCTGAGCGGCCCCTCTACCAGGGACGACGATGCCCTTCCCATGACTCCTCGTGACGCCCGTCCTGACCTCACACCGAGGACCCTACCAGTGATCGAGACTGGCCGCGTAGCGGTTCTGAGGTAGCACCCTCCGCCTCCCTAGCAACTAGGAACATAATCGTTCATGGTGCCCTGAGGAGGGAGGTTCCTGATATGGACTGCACCGGCAGCGTGTGGCCAGTACGTCCTTGTGTCTCGCTAGCAATGAGGCACAGATCTGTTCCTCACGCCCTGATGCTTTGGGTTCCTGGCGCGGTCTGGCCTTTTTTCACTAGCAAAGAGCAAAGGTGACCGTCGCGCAAAGGACTTGTCAGCACATAAAGGTCCAGCACTCCTCCTTGTCCCCCTGCCTTTCTTCCTTTCCCCACCATAACCAGCTCAACTTCATACAGATACACATACAAGAACTTCCTCATTTCAAGCGTTATTCCAGATACAACTGTTCGAAAGTTACTCGTCGTCGACTGTAATTTATCTATAGGTGGAAGGGTCGCAGGCAGAGGGTGATCGAACACACAGCAGTTTTGTGAGTATCGAGAGCCCCGGCTCAGAATTAAGATACGCGTGGCTGACCGTTTTACTCTTCCCTCCGATGTGACAGCCCTTTGCAATCATGTCGTCGAAGGATACCATCATCAGGACACCTGAGGGCATGCGCACTATTGCATCCCAAAGGGATGTTGATTTTGTCTACGATGCCCACAACCACATTGTGCAAGAGTCTCTGATACGGGGAATATGCTCCAAGCATACGCAAATCCACTACCATCCCTACCGTCGGGGACATGGCAGGCTTGCTGTGCCCGTCCCAAACGAACACCTACATGTTGGGATCGTCCGATGGACCGGTCTCGGCACCCAGCACATCAGGTCAATGGCAACATCGCTTCACTATTGGCTTCACTATGAGCGCTGCTGAAGCCTTTCATCGTCTGGCTCACTCCGCCTTTGGCATCAATCTGTCAAACCTCATGAACAGAGAACGTCAGAGATCATGGCTCCCAACATCAACCGGCTTTGTCCAGAAATGTGAAGCGAGAGACGTCCCCTTACAAGCCATCCAAGAAGCGCCTGCATAGACTACTGCTTTCGCTTGATAACATCTAGCGCTTTCCTATCATTGTCTCGGACATGCCCAACTTGTTCAATCGAGAGTAAGACAGACACACTACATTGTAGGACAGGATGCATGGATTCTGCGAAGTGGTCGCGCAATGGGAATCATGGGGATCCGTCGATTGCAACCGCAGACCTTGACGAAATGCAGCGCAAAATCCAAGACTACGTTGCACGCCTCAACGCCATCCGTACGGTAGACCGTGATCCTCTTCGCACAGTCGTGACACCGGTCTTGGTGTCCGACAGAGCCCGAGTGCGAACAATGAGGACGTGCTGGGCGATTCGGATCTCCGGAACGAGGCAAGGGCGAAGGGCGGTGCACCACTGGCATCCGGTGGTCGACGCTCTGAGAGAGCTAGACATCTATAATAATCACAAGCGCAACGGCATTCCTGCCAGCTTCAAGAATGCCTCCGAGCAAGCCCAGACGGCCTTGTTGGCCGGACTCATCGACACCGATGGGTGGGCGAACGACAACGGCACATCGTTCGGTTTCGCCCAATCTGTGCGCCATGAGCAGATCCTAGATCACGCTCGTGAGCTCGCGGGAGGTTTAGGAATCAAAGCGGGGGAACGTCGTCTTGTTCGGGTGCCGAATCCGGCCAATCCAGAGGAGCTCGTAGAAAGCCTCAATTTTCAGCTGCACGGCCCAAACCTCGCGAAGCTGCAGCGTTACTTGGCGCTGGAGCGCAAGAGGCTTCGCCCAAGCTGGGTTGATGCCGAACTACGTAGCATTGGGGTCGAGCAGCTGACTCGTGCTCCAAGAGGTCGTCAGATTCGGGTCAGGGGCCGCGAGAGCAGCCGTGTCCAGCTGGCGGCGGGTTATGGTGTGACAGAGCCGCGAGAGGAGAGAGAGTAGCACACCCTCTGTATTAAGCGAGACACATAGTCTCATACACAGATATGTTGGCGGTCGGCCCCATCCACCTAGATATATAGAATGTACCAGCAGCCAACGATCAGCCCTCCATACTTTCCCAAAACACGATTGGATTCTTCAGTCGAAGTTCAGCAGCCAATGATACAGAACCAGTCTTGAAAGCCTTCTCGTGATCGTTCCCAGCGTGATTGAGCTGTAGCATTGCGCATGAATATCGGGTCGGACAAGTATACATGATCAGGCGCCGTCGCTTGAGGCTCGCGGAAAATACATGCTTCGACGTCCACCGCTATGCAAGCCCGAGCAGTCTGGCCTTGAGATTCAGTGCCAATCGCTTCGACATGTCCCTGTTCAATGCCAAATTGCCCGCCTGCACCCAAAGGCCAGGGTGTCCCGATTCCCTCCACACCGTGTTCAGCTCTCCCTCTTCATCCAATCCCCACACAGGCTTAATCTTTTCTCCCTCTGCACCAAAGATGGCAACAGCCGACGTTTTCATATTCTGATAGCCCGTCGCAAGCACCACCAAGTCTGCCTTGATCTCCTGACCGTCAGCAAAGACGATTCCGTCTTCTGTGAAGTGGTCGACAGCCTGGCCTTGCTTCATCTTGATGCGACCGTCGATGATAAAGTCCTCTGCGGCCGTTCCAAGGTAATAGCCGCCGCCTCTCTTGAAGTAACTCATGAGGAACCTGACGAAATTTGAGGTTGAGGGAGGTTAAACGTGAAGTAATGGACGAAGAATGAGGTGTCAGTATCGGTCCTGAGCGCGTCGCACCACGCGCACGCGTCCCGCAGCGCGTAAATCACACTCACCCGGCATCATCGACTCCCATTCCGCACTTGAAGCCGGCCTTGGTGAGTCCATCGAGCGTCTTTCGATCAAAGTCTGCAATCTTCTTCGCTACGACGATCTGGCTCGGAATGTGAAGAGGGTTGGGCATACTGTTGAAGATCAGGTCTGCGTCTTCCGTCTTTGGTCCCGGATCGGAGAAGAGACCCTTCATGAGGATGCCAGTGACACTGTCTGTGCTCATGAAGTAGGTCTCGGAGCGCTGCACCTGCGTCACATCCCAGCCGTGCTCTACGAGATTGACGGAGAGGTCCTGGCCGGAATTGTTGGAGCCGACGACGATGGCCTTGGAGCCCTTGTAGAGGTCACCAGAGGTGTACTGAGAAGAGTGGACGACGGGGCCTTGGAACTTCTCCTCTCCCTTGAAGGTGGGCCTGTTCATCTGTCCGCTGTGGCCAGTAGCCAAGACACAGTGCTTGGGGTGGATTGTCCTCTCCTTGCCATCGCCTCGGCGGACCTTGAGCGTCCATGTACGAGAAGCCTCGTCATACTTGGTAGAGGTGAGCTCAGAGGACATCCAGCAGTTGAGCTCCATGACTTCCGAGTACATCTCCATCCAATTGGCCAGCTTGTCCTTGGGAGTGTACACGGGCCAGTGAGGTGGGAAGGGCAAGCCGGGGAAGTGGTCATACTGCACAGGGTCGTGGAGCACAAGGGATGCGTATCGCTTTCGCCAATTGTCTCCGACACGCTCATTCTTGTCGATGATGACAGTAGGGACATCCAAGAGGCCAAGCCTGTACGCCAGCATCAGTCCAGCTTGACCGGCGCCAATGATCACAACTTGTGGCTCCTCGTCGAGGAACTCCTTCTTCCGCTCACGTCGCTGGGCCCAATTGAGACCTCCTCGGTGCTCGCCATGCTCTACACCTTGAGGACGCTTGTCCAGCTCCTTGGGCTCGTAGCCTTTGAGTGTCTCGAGGCCGAGGAAAAGCGCATGCAGCTGTTAAGTCGCAATGGATGGGCAGTTCAGTTATCACATTTGTAGCTGCTGCTGCTCACAATCGCTCTCTTTGTACTCACCTTCCACTCCCCGTTGCTCTCTTCTGCCAATCGCAGCACTCCCCTTCCACTCCCCACCTTGGTCTCGAACCTGATGAAAGCCATGACCCAAGGAATGTCAGGGAATGCGTCCGGCAGGAGAGCGGCGCTTCCAGGCTCGAGGGTGATGTTCTTGATTGTATGATCCCGCGAAAGCTTAATCTCGTCTTTAAAGAAGCTCGCAATGGCCTGTGGGCCCTGCTTGGCTCGGTGATCCCACTGGAGAGCAAGGAACTCCTTGTACCACCCATCGTGTCGGAAGAGGGCAGCTACCTGATTGGCATCGCCGCTGGAGAAGGCAGTGTTGAGCTGGGTGACGGCGGCCTGAGCAATCTGGTCGGCTTTGCCCTCATCTTCGGGCTCAGTGAGAGGGTCTACATCGAGTGTGCCTGTCGAGACGGGCGCCTCTTCCTTTGTAGCGTGGGTGGCGTGGTGAGGCTGATGAGCAACAGCTGCAGAGGGTGCCATGGTGGAAAGTACAGAGTGTAGCTATGGACACGTAGCGTGAGGAAGCACACGTACCCGATCACTTCAGTCCTCCTTCTTATACGATCGTCTTGCCACTCTCGGCGTCATGCCACCCTCCACTGGCGCCCTGTTCCCCAGGTCTCCCAGTCAAGTCGGGTCAGCTGAATTCAGTCGCCAAGGCACTCAACCAGACTCCGCCCGCTTCCCCACATTCGCATTTCGCACGGTCCCTCCACGAGCAGAGGCCGAGCAGCCAGAGTGCGGGGGGAGGAACGGCAAGGCACTGCAACTGGCACAAGGGACCGGACGCGTGTGACCCTCGCTTGCTACTCTATCCAACGCCGATAGCCAACAGCCTCGTCGGCGGATTAACCGCTGCTCGATACCAGGACGGCAATACATCAGAAGAGTGGAAAAGTTGCCGACCCCTTCGGCCTTAGTGTCGGGGTAGCTGTAAAGGCCGGGAATGAGCTTGCCGACTCGCCGGACCATACGCCAAAGTGCAACAGTGCCTCCTACTCTTCACGTTCGACCCCACACCAGATAGGGGGACAGTCGCAGAGGATGCAAGGAGACGACGGCGTTTGAGCTCGAGCGTGCCCTTTGCTCCGGTGTGCGGCCAGCCATTCGGAGCTCATTCTACAACATCTTCCTAAAGCCGTCGCTGGAATGCGTAACACTGAGAGGACACTCATACTGCTCTTATTGCCAGGAGACGAGATGCGGTGATGTCTCTATCGGTCGACTGGTATGTCATAGACTACAGTGTACCACGTTTGGTTGCGCACGCGCAGCTGCTTCACAAGGCATTCGAGGGGGCACCCTCGACGCATACATCGCCACTCAGTTCACCACGATAGCGCTTTCATAGCCATCAATCAGTGGCATTCTGGGTCGGCGTTCCTGTGTACTGATCCAGCTATGGGGAAAACCCGTGCCAATGATTGAGCACGAGCCTCTCCCACTGCGCCGACATCGCACTTGCTACAGACCGCACGTGTAGATGCGAGAGGTTCTTTGCAACTGAGAAGTGTATCCTATCTCAACGCTCTGTTCGCGCTCAAAGAGTATGGGCCAAGGATGACGTGCACTACGAGGAATGTGCTGTAGGCAGGTGTGGCCTTGCTACTTGTTGAGCCAAGTCAAGGCGTGTGTGTGGGCGTAGGCGTGGGCGTGGGCGTCTGGCTGTGGGACAGACCGTCATTCCGTCCGTCGGATGCGCCACGCGACAGTGTCCCGCGGCCCGCTCCGTCATTGTCTCCACTGTTTTCGCGCCCGTCAGTCGCCCCTCTTGGCTGCCGGATCTGTCACCCCCCCATCATCCATCCCTCATCTTCCCGTACAGACCCCTTCCTCTATCCCTCACCCCACTGCACTGCAACGCCATACCGACTCGTCTTATATAGAAAGCACTCACGCCCGTCAGAAACCCCTCTGCAACGTCGTCCCTCATCAGCAAATTTGCCCCATCAAAGACACGCGCCCCAGCTCAGACCAGCAACGAATTTAGAGACTCCTCTACCTCCTCTTCTTACCTCCCCTAGTCCTCTCGATTCTACAGCGCCCATCTCGACTGTAGGCTTGTGAAACCTTCTGTCGACCAATACGGCAATGTTCAAAAAGGGATCTGCATCCTCCACTGGTACATCGTCATCCAAGGTGTCAAAGAAGGATTTGAAGATGCAGGCAAAGGATAAGAGTAGTGGTAGGCCGGGCAACCTGGACACGGCACAGGAGCATACGTTGGACAAGTTCCGATCGCAGGTGAGTGGATCAGTGGAGTCTAGCTTGAGACTACAAGGGATTGAGGCGAGGCAGAGTCTCGGGATTCAGAGAACGGGGAGCTTGTTGCGATAAGGGGGCATCATGGTGTGGAGGCGCCGTAAGAAATCTCTGGACGCAAAGTCTTGGGGTGGAGTGTCAAATCAAGATCATACGCACCGCAAGATGTTGCTCGAATTAGAGACGCTCGCAAGATATTCGGCAAATACGAAAGTCCAAGCCTACATCTTGAGCTGTCTCCGAAAGAGAAGAGATGCTGCAGAAGAAGCGTACCTCCCCCGGGCATTAGTGGAGCCGTTAGACTGACCTACAAACTCCTTTGTACCCAGATTGAGGAGAAGGGCATCTATATTCCGGAGCGACATGATGATGCTTGCTGTGAGTAGATCGCGACACAGGCCGGATTGCTCAGCCAGGAGGCCGCACAGCAGATTGCCTGAACCGCCTGGTCCCCTCTCCCCCCTTGCATCCGCGGTTACTGCCATCAGTGTGCCGGTTCCTGCGAGCGCGCAAATGGGATTTGACTGCCACTATGGCGATGTTCGAAGAGTCGGAGAAGTGGCGAAAGGACTTCAAGGTGGATGAGCTGTATCACAACTTTGAGTACCCAGAGAAGGAGGCGGTCAATGAGGTGTACCCACAATACTATCACAAGCAGGACAAGGTGAGGGATAGCGAGACCGCAGACGTTCCAGGCTGCAGCATTGCATACTCACTCGTTCTCCTTTCACCATCATTCGTTCAGGATGGCCGCCCGATTTACATCGAGCAGCTGGGCAAGCTAGATCTCAAGAAGCTGTACGAAGTGTGAGCGGTCTCGGAGCTTGGAGACTCTCCGTCCTGGCGTGCAGAAGCTGACCGCGAAGTCTTTCCTCCTTGCCCTTCTTTCCGCTCACAGGACCACGGCCGAACGTCAGATTCAGAAGCTCGTAGTGGAGTACGAGAAGTTCCAAAGAGAGCGTCTGCCCGTCTGCAGCGCCGAGCGGGGCGAGCGTATCGAGACCTCTTGCACCATTATGGACCTCAAGGGCGTTGGTCTGGGCCAGTTCTGGAAGGTGTCTGGCTACGTTCAGCAGGCCTCGAACATTGGCCAACATTACTACCCTGAGACTATGGGTCGGTTCTTTGTGATCAACGCACCTTACCTCTTCACCACAGTCTGGCACGTCATCAAGGGCTGGCTCGACCCAGTGACGGTGGAGAAGATCCAAATCTTGGGAAGCGGCGCTGACAAGACTCTGCTAGAGTACATCCCAGCAGAGAACCTGCCGACAACGCTGGGTGGCAAGTGCCAATGCCACGAGCGAGGCGGATGCTCGCTTTCGGACGCTGGACCGTGGAACACACCGGAGGGGCAGGAGATCATTGAGCAGGTGCGGGCAGAGGAGCATCAGAAGGCAGAGGAGCACGCAAAGGGCGCCTCGAATGGAGCATGAGTAGTCGCGTGCAGCGGATCACTATCAGACGGCCGAAGGGTGTGGGGTTAGTGGCTCGGCGACGATATGCGAGCTCTATTGTAGATTCATAACTCTTTCTCATCGTGTCTCCTTGCTCATCAAGACTTGCGTTGCGTCAAAGTCGGCTGTGACTTCAGGGATGTGGCATGCAGAGGCTGAGTAGAGCGGGAGATGCTGAGCCTTAAATCCGAAGGGGCTGCTGCTTCTCGCGAGTTCCGTGCGCCCGCCCGTCCGGAAAGGGGTCGAGGCCGGACATTGGTGTTCCGGTGAGCTGACCCTGCTCATGTCACTCGACGACCTACTTCCACGTCTACACTCATATCACTTTCTTCAGATCTCTCGCTGATACATTCTTGTTTACACTCATCCGTCATAGGGAAGCGGACAGACATCCACTCCGCGCGGTAGGATCGCCCCGCCATGGACCAAGACGACCACCCTCCTGCGCCTCCGGCTGCAGGTGGCGCCGAGTCCAGCACTAACGCCGATGAGGTCCCCACTACTGCTCCTCAGGACAGTGAGCCAACAGCAACTCAGCAATCCACACCACAGCACGACGAGAGTGGTCCGTCCTCTGGTACCCAGACACAGGCCGATGAGCCAGCTTCACCTACCACACGATCTCGTCTGGGTCAGGCTATGACTGCCTTGCTGCAGTCCTTTGCCAGCTTGCCACCTGGAGCAGGGAGCAACACTCCGAATGCTTCGGCAACACCAGCAGAAGCTTCTGCCTCCGCTCCTGGCGCAGCAGAGTCAGGTAACAATGCCTCACCTCACACCAATCAGGCGGGAACGAGTGGCACCTCGCCACTCTTCAGTCCCTCGAGTGGCCTGAGACTTCTAGTCTTTACTCCACCCGCAGATCCAGCAGATGCTCCTCGAGTATTTGCTGAGATGCTTCGCTCTGCAGGACAGGATACAGCGACTTTGCACCACCGCCTTCAGCAACACCAAGAGGAGAATGCTACACCCAGTTTCCACCCTGTAGCTGGACCTCCACCGATGGGACATGCTTTTATCGAGCAACCTGAGCCTGGAGCGGCAGCTGGAGCCTCCGAGGGAGGCGAGCCTTCAGGACCTCGAGAGATGCCAGCTCCTCCCAATCTCTACTATAGACTACCATTCTATGCCCTCGATGGTGAGCAAGCTCTGTTGGCTCTCCCCACTCAATTCCTGCCTAGGCAGATGTCATCGCCCACGCGTGCCACGGTCATGGCGCCAGGCACTCCAGTTTACCTACCCAGGTCCTCTGCAAATCTACCCTTCCCGGTGCTACTGGATTGGAACGGCATGGCTTGGCCTATCCTCAATATTCAGAATCCACCACCAGGAACGCCAGAGACTTACCTCAATGACCCCCGCCATCCGCACTTTATTGCTGGCCCTCCCTTCATGGTTGCTTGGCAGCCCTTTACCATTAGGGGAACACAGACGGCAGAGGAGCAGCCCAGTCCGGAAAAGGCCAAGGCGTTTGTCGACACTCTCGAGACGGCAGATGCTGAGCTGCGAGAGAGGATGGCGAGACTGAGCATCGGAGACATTGGCGTCTTTGGCGGTGCAGGTGGGGCAGGGGGTCCGAATAGCAGTGAAGAGGGCGAGCTGGGCTGTCCGGTCTGTCTAGATCCATATGATGAGACTTCAGATCGACCAGAGTGGATTGGAGGGGAAGCTGCTAGAGAGAACCAGGTCGTGGTGATTCCCTGTCCGGGTTTCCACAGTATGCATCGCAAGTGCCTGGTGGAGTGGCTCAGCAGCCAGGCGCCCTCGAAGTGGAGTTGTCCGATGTGTAGGACATCGATCACGCCCAGTGATGTGGTCAAGGGTGCTCGAAGGGCCGGACAACAGGCACGACAGCCTCAACAGCAACAGCAACAGCAGCAGCAAGCGGCAACGCCTACACAAGCCAATCTCGCCAAGGAGATCGAAGCTCGAGCCCACTCCTTGCGTGAGGAGATTCATCGACGAGAGCGACAGCGGGGCTTCACCTGTGACTATCAGGCTTGCTTCCCAGACTATGAGCTACCCTCTGCGACGGATGAGTGTGCGCTGGATCGACATATGATCAAGCTGCAACCCTGTGGACATGAGCTTCATCTGGATTGCCTCACCACTTCGCTGCGTATCAAGGACGATCTTCGCTTGGAGGGAGGTGTCAAGGACGAGGATGAAGATGAGGAAGACGAAGAGGAGGAAAAGGGAGAGGGAGGAGAAGCTCGAGGGGGAGCAAGTGCGATCAAGACGGTGGGCAAATGGGTGGAGTGTCCAGTGGACCGACGTGAAGTCTGGGCTCAGATTCCCGTACCGAGGAGACGCAAGAGACAGCCAGCGGCAGACGATGAGCTAGCAGCAGCTGGAGCTGGCTCTGGCGATACTGCTGCTGCTGCTGCTGCTGCCGCTGAGAGCGAAGACCTCAGTCGCGGACAGGTCCATCGTCTCTCCCTTTCGCCAGGGGAGATGCCCAATGCGAAGCGACAGGTACGCGAAGGACCGTCCAGCCGTCGTCCATCCGGAGAGGCAGAAAGAGCAGACGAATCGGCAGAGGAGGAGGCGGTGACCTTGAAGCAGGAAGTGAAAGTTGCTGGTGGAGAGCACTTGGAGGATTGACTTGGTGAAGCTACAGCATGATTATACCCCTACACGCCACGACAAGACGCACGCGATCACATCCAGTTTATAGCACCCCCTCCCTCCTTGAGAAGTTCTCATCTATACATCCTTGGGCTAGCTACTAGCTGCTAAGGATTCCTAATCGATACAAGTTTCTACACACTATGTGAGGTGAGGTGAATGTAGGATGTGTGTGGTACACTAGGGAATGAATGACGTCTTGCCGCCCCTCGGCTGGCTGCCCTCTCTCTGTTGCTGCAAGCCACGGCAATTTGCCCATGAAAGTGTTGGACCCCCACTGCCCCGCTCTGCCGAGGCCGAGGATTGCAGGAAGGCGCGAGCCACACGCGCGTGGCACAGGGAAGGGCGTGAGTGAGTGAGTGTGCTTGTGTGCGTGCGTGTGAGGGCGCGTGTGTGTGTTGCTTCATCTTGGCTCAAACTGGCCAGAAGCAGAGGAAGGCGATTGATGCATGGAAGGGCCAGACACAGCAAAGTCACACGGCATACCACTCACGGCATACCATAGCATAGCATAGCATACCAGCGACGATTCCACAACAGAAGCTTCCATTTCCCTATCAGCGCAAAAGCAGACTTCTTCTTCTTCTTCTAGGGGCGGAACACCCACTCACGCGCCCTGCTATTATTACCCTCCCTTGGCTCCCTCCTTTGCAATCGGCCGCTTTGCCCTTGCGTCCCGATCCTCTACTTCCGCCCCTCCTTGACACCTCCTCTCTCCTCTCCTCTCCTACGCCGCTACCACACCTCGGATCTCCTCGCTGAAAGTCCTCATCCGATCTACCGCTATACCCACCACGACACTCCACCCGGACCACGAACTGTCACGACTGTCACGCTCACGACATCTAGCGCACTGCTACGACCAATGCCTTCCTAAGTCGGACCTCACCTCACCCCTTCCTATCTCCAGGGTAGACCAGGCAGCAACCAATAGAGCGAGCAGATTCCCTCGCCGCTAGCCAACCCAGACGCCTGGCTCGCCCTCACACATCCTTCCAAGATGTGTTGTGGCTCAGCCGATTGGAAGAGAGAGGAGGTACCTGACCACAAGTTCGACTTCATCGACGTACGCGACTACCACAATACTGGCCTATGGACCCGAACCCGCTACGGCTTCCTCTTTGTACTGGTCATAAAGTCCATTGCCGTCTACATTGCCGACATCTACACTGCCGTTACCCTCCTCGCTTTCAACAAGTTCAATGGAAGCATCTACACCGAGGTAGAGAATAACCCGGACAATACAGTCGCTGTGCCCATCAAGTACGGCAAATGGATCTTCTTTGGATGTATCCTCTTCTCCTTTCTCCTCTTGGCCTACGAAGCGCACAAGAGTCGAGCCATTATTCGTAGTAGAGATATCAGCTATGCCTATACCAATGTCATGGCCAACAACTATTACTCTTTACGATCCTATGATCACTTTTGCTTCTTTTCACAAATCAACAATTCTACAAAGAAAAAGGATGAAATTGCATTCTTCATCTTCTTTACCTTCAAGGGTTGGAAGAGACTCGTCGTTGCTGATGGTCCTCGTCAGGTGATCAATGGTCTCACCCTCTATGGTCTCATCTTGGTCTCGGGCTATAGTACGAATGTGGAAGACTATTACGGAGGCAACATCATTACGGGAATCATGTTACTCACCATGATCTTCACCCTAGTCGTCTTCACCGGTTCGGCCATTCTGCTAGCCATTGCAAGCATCATGTACCTACCCTTGCTATGCTACATGAAGGGCAACCTCAAGGAATTCTGCTGTCACAAGATTGACAAGCGTGTTACAGAGTTGATCCAACTCAAGAAGAAGGAGAGGGTGGCCAAGCAAGCCGCAATTGCCCGAGCTGAGGCAAAAGGAGACTTTTCCCATCTGATGAACAAGAAGGGAATCATCGTTGGACAAAAGATGATGCAGCCTACCTTGCCTAATGTAGATGTGGATTTGCTGCTCAACGAGAAGAGTGTACCGCCCTCTTCCGCTAGGAGACAGAAGAGTCACGGAAGAATGGGAAGAGGAGGAGGAGGAGGAGGATATCGTCCCTATGCCAATGGTGAAGGGGACGAATATGGAAGTCAAGCCAATCTCGTACTCAACCAGGGTCCGGCCGGAGGAGGAGGACACTCTGTCCATCCTTCTACGGACGAATATGGAGGAGCAGCCCCTAGCTTACCACCCACGGTGCATGGCAGTCCTGACGTCTACCCATTCCAGTACAGGGGTGGTATACCAGGAAGCGCAAGTGCAGTAGGCATGTCGAGTGAGGCGAGCGCTACTGGCTTGACGGCGCAATTGGGTCCAATTGGAACCAGTCCACAACTCTTTGCACAAAGGGCAGTAGGAGGAGGAGGAGGAGGAAGTGGCAATGGGGGATACTTTCCGGGCGCCGGCGCCAGCGCCAGTGGAGGGGGAGCAGTACAAGGGTACAACAGACCACCGTATAGCGCTGGAGCGACATCTACATTCAATAATCAGATGCATAGCGCCTCTTCTATGTCGATCTCCAATAACGGAACGGGGAGACAGAGGAGTCAGTTGCAACATCAACAGAGTCAAAGTCAGAAACAACAGAGTCAGCAACAACAATTGGAACGACAGTATACATTGCTATCACAACAACAGCAACAGCAACAACAACAACAACAACAACAACAACGACGACGGCGTCAAGATCAAGAGCAAGATCATCATCAGCAGCAGCAGCAGCAGCAGCAGCAAGAGCAGCAGCAGAGACAAGAACGCAGTAATGATTCTGAACTTGGATATGGATACGCTTTTGCAGAAGAAGCGGATGTGGATGGGCACAACAACAACGGTGGTGGCGGTGGCAGTGGTGGTGCTGCTGGTGGCGAAGGCGGTGGGAACCCCTTCAGTAGGGCAGTAGAGACACACCCTTCCTCTGGATCAGCTACCGCCACGGCAGGAGCGACAGCCGGGGTGTACACGGGCGACCTTTCAAGTTACGCGCCTTATCGCTCCCATTCTCCTCTCGAGCTCCAGAGAGGTTCGGGTGCCGGATACCACTATTCTATGCACGAAGAAGATGTGGCGGCCATTGAAGACGTGTATGAGAGTTATCATCACCAGAGTTGGATGAGTGCTGGTGCGGGTGCGGGTGCGGGTGCGGGTGCAAGTGCAAGTGCGGGTGTTTCTCCTGCACTTGGAACTGGAACTGGAACTGGAAGTGGGGCTGGGACTGGGACTGGGCAAGGTTTCCAGCGTCCCTCTGGGTATAGCCATGGGTATGGGTATGGTAGCAATGGAGCGTACGAGCGGGAGGTCCCTTTACGGAAACACACTCAAGGAGGAGGTGGTGGTGGAGGAGGAGCATTCGAGTATGATGATCCTCCGCACAATAGCGATGTCCCAAATGGAAATGGGGATGGGAATGGGAACGGGGATGGGGAAGCAGGTTGGGATGGAGGAGATGAAGGACCTTATGCCTATGCTCCTGCTTACCAGGTTGAGCAGAGGCACGGCTACGGATATCGACAAGAAGGCGGCGGTGGTGGTAGTTCGTATCAGCAGCACCAAGGCCAAGGCTATGGGCAGCAGGGGCAACAGAGACAGTGGGATGTACGAGAGTATCTACAACGGTAGCAGTCGTACTAGGAGCACTAGCACTAGCACTGGGCGTGTTGAGCGGGAAACGACTTCCTCTCGAGACTTGTATTTAGACGATTGATTGAAGTTCTTCGCAATACTGTAATGACACTACTACACCACACCGGTGGGCCTACCTCGCATACGAGTTTTAGAGTTCAGGAGAGGGTGATATTGAGGATCTACAAGTCATGGATCGCGAGCGGGATAGAGCGGTTCTAATCAGCTTCTCCCTCTCTCTCTCTTTCCCTCTGCCCGCCTCTCCTCTCCTCTGACATCTCTCTCCATACTCACTCGAACCTCCTCTCGGGGCTTATCATTCGAATCCACCTTTACGTTCTCTATACGGTGTACCACGTCCATCCCTGCAGTGGCGCGTCCGAAGATGGTGTGCTTGTTGTCTAGCCAGGGGGTAGGGACAGTGGTTATGAAGAATTGAGAGCCTGAGAGGGGCGCGGAGAGAGAGGAAGGAGGAGAAGAAGGCGGGGGGATTGAGGTGAGCTCGGCTAGCTGCTAAGGCGCTGGCTGCTATTCACGACCATGGCTAATCTACTCACCATTCGTATTCGGTCCAGCATTGGCCATACTGAGCGTGTAAGGTCTATCATGCTTCAAATCATCCCTAAATTCATCCTCAAAGTTCCTACCCCACAGACTCTCCCCACCTGTGCCATCTCCCAGTGGATCTCCAGTCTGAAGCATAAACTTCTTGATAACGCGGTGAAAGGTGACATCATTGTAGTATCCTTTACGCGCTAGTCCGACGAAATTCTCAACAGTCTTGTGTACCTTTTCGGGAAAGAGACGCAGTTGAATATCTCCCAGCGTCGTGTGCAAGATGGCCGTCGAGGCGACATTGGACTTTGAGCGGGAACCATATGCTCCTCCTGCAGCGCCGCCTGCAGAGGAAGAGGAGGCGGCAATGGTCTGTTCCTCGCGCGAGGGCTTCTCATTGAATACGTCCCTCTCTCCTCCATCCTTGGACTTGGGATTGTGATCTGGCTCGAGGCGCGTAAACAGGTAGAAGCGCTCCCGCTTGTGTCCTGAGCAGAAGAGCGTTGGGTCTTGAACCTCGCCATCACCACTTTGCGCTGCGGCTGGATTTTCAGAGGCCATGAGAGCGAGAGACTTGGTGCCCTTCTTCTTGTCGCCCCCAATACCTTGGAAGAGGGAGATATTCAGGAAGCGCACCGTCTCGTCTCGGCCTAGGATCGTCGACAGCTCATTGGTATATGTGTTGATCACTGTGGAGGACAGTCAAAGGAGAGCGTCAGATGTGGCACTGAGACAAGCCTTCCGAGAAGGCAGTGCAACTCACCTTTGATGCCTAGCATCGTCGGGTAGATGAGGAAGTGACCTGTCTCATCGAAGACGGCGTTCATAGTCCTCAGCCCCTGCGCAGCATTCACTGCTCCTCCCAACTCCTGCGCTTCCTTCTCCAGCGTCTTCTCTGCAGCTAATCTTCGTCCGAATTCCATATCATCGAGCTTCACCCCGCTAGTACCCGCAGTCTGCATCTCTTGAATGATGGCCAAGGTATCGTCAAACTTTTGAATGACCTTGCCCGTGTACGCATCGAAGACACGAATCACCCGGTCCGGCAGCGAATGTGTGACGAAGCGCTTGTAGCTGGGTGAGAAGACGAGTGAGCTAGGTATCGACTTTGACTGGTGGAACAGGGACGGGAAGGACAGTCAGATACCCTCCAGGTAACAAGAAGGCGATTCGCTCATGCCCACTCACCTTTTTGAACTCAAAGAGATCCGTCGACGCCTTGTATTCCCACAGTCCACCTCTCGAGTCAGGCTTCTCGTAGGGCTCTTCTGGCGACCAATACTCTACCATGCCTCCTTCATCTGCCGACACGACACAATGGAGCGGCTCGTGATAGGTGAGCAAGTGAACGGGCTTCCGATGCACCGAGTCGATCACTGCCGACGGCGACCCATCTCCTCTGCCGTCATATAGCCGTATCACATTCGAATCCTCGGCTGAGCTGTGAGGGGATAAGGATGAACACAGCCGGGGTCAGCGTACGTCAAAGGACCAGCAGCGCCATTTCCACTCACACCGCCAGTACCACCTCTGCTCTACCCTTGCGATGAATCCAGCAAATGGCTCTCGGGACGTAGTCGACCTTGATCATATTGATCAGATCTGCAGAGAAGATCTTTGTCAGTACTTGGGGTAGGCCTATGCGCCCATTCAGTCCCTCCGACTCACCAAAATTGACAACATCGAAAATCTTGAGAGACTTGTCGCTCCCCGCCGTTGCGAACATGGCTCCATCTGCAGACACGCTCACTGCCGTCACCACGCCCAGGTGGGCCCTGTAATGCTTGACAAATTCGATTCCCACCTCTTGCTTCTTCCAGAATTTGATATGACCATCCACGCTCGTGGTGATGAGAAAGTTGGTATGCGGCGTCACGGTACTGAAGTTGATGGGGGCGCGATGCATAAAGGATTGATGGTAGCGTGAGGCCGAGGGAAGAGCTGCGAGGTAAAGGGACTCGTGCGGAAGAGTACGAGACGCAGGTGGTGGTGGTGGCTGCTGCTGAGTCTTCTTGGCTGCTTTGAGCCTCTTTGAGCTAGGAGCTTGTGCTGAAGAAGTGGATGCTGATGGAGGAGGTGGTGGCATCGGCCCTACATCGTCGTCTTCATCGCTGTCGTCCTCGGTAGCACCTGTAGTAGGCTGCTGATCCGCGACTGGAGGCGGTGGAAGTGGTCCTTCGTCTGCGCTTTCCGAAGGCGATGCTGACCTGGATCGCTTTGCTCCGAGCTTGGGAGATGCGTCTGCGGATGGAGACATGCCGCTCGGAGTGAGTGATAGCAGGGCAAATGCAGCTCGTCTACTTGGTCCCTGGTAAGATGATGATGAGTGGAGTGGATCTATGCTGCTCGACAGTATCGCTTCGGCGGGAAGGACTGGCGGCGAAGCGGAAAGGGCAAGACGAGCCGAGGCAAATCTTTTTGCGCCAGGCAGGAGTGGAGAAGAACGGTACCATACCCAGCATTGCACCTCGACTCCAACCACTGACATCGACCAGCGCAGTCCTATACTCGCCCAGGCTGAGCTGCAGTCGTACAGCGCACCACTATGCTCTCACCTTTACGGGGTGGCAGCAGAGGTCTGACCTCGTACCTGGCCGCTGTGGCAGCTTCATCTTCGGCCTCATCCTCCGCCTGGCGATCTTCCACTGCCACTACCTCTTCCCTGTCTCCCCCATCCTCCAGCCGTACGCTGGCCAGCGCTGCTCCCTCAAGAGTCAAGAACAACCAGCAGGAATGGGCCATACGTACAAAGGCGATGGGGAAGCGTAGGGCGAAGCGAGTAGAGAACGTATACCGAGCCAAGGGCCCTGAGGGAGATAGAGCCAGCCCCGCACCGCCTGCCCGTCAGCGCTCATTCGAAGCACCATCTCGTCGTTCGCGACCCTCTGCAGGCTCTGCCCATTCGCAAAGAGAGAAACGTTTCGGCTTGTCGACGAAGTTGAAGCAACTACGTGAGAGCATAAAGCACCGAGATCCAGCTGCAGTGGTACTGGAAGCTCAGAAGTTGTTTGACAATGAGAAGAACTACGTCAAGTGGAATGTCGTAACCTGCAATCAGTACATGGACCTTTTGTGCTACGCGGGCAAGCTACAGATGGCCACTCAGGTGTACATCGACGTGAGTGATATCATCGTAGAGGTCAGCGCACTTGCGTGAGTACTCACCCCACTTTCTCAATCCTCTCCGCCTATCTCACCCTGCACAGATGAAACGATTTGGTCAATATCCCAATGCCCGCACATGGGTAACCCTTTTCCGAGGCGCATTGGGCAAGGGCTTGAGTCAAAAGGACAATACTCTGATCCTCTCCAGATTGGAAAGCGCATACGCCGACCTCGAAAATGTTCGCATGGCAGCCTTCGGTCCGGAAGAGGACATCAAGACTCGCATTGGCGCTCTTGCACAGAAGCAGGAATGGATCGAAATGGTGAAAGAATTGAGGGTTGATGCCCAAGCACTGCGCTTAGCTTATGGTCGCTGGTGTCTTATCCTCGTCATGCTGGGTCGCCATGATGACGCATGGGACATCGTCTCCCGCTTCAGCGGTAGCTGGGAGGCCAACAAGAACGCCTTTCCCAGACTGAGCTGGGAAGTCGTCGACCTGTGGATGCAACCTTACTCTTCAAATCGTGTGGAGGTGACAAAAAGCGATCTGGACAGATTTGCAGAGACTTGGCAAAAGTATACGAAGCTCATCTATACTTCTGCAGATGGCGTCTTGGCGCGCTACAACACGGCTCGGAATCAGGAAAAGAGAGATGCCGTGGTCGAAGAGTGGAAAGCGCTCATTCCTCCTCTAGACCTTCTCCAGTCATTTGCAAGGATAGCAATGGAAGTGAGTCAGAGCTGCCAGTGCGTGTCGCCAAGATGGCCACTGATGAGATTCTAATTCCCATCTGATCCTCTGCACGATAGAGTAAAGACAGCCGCCTTTGCGGGGCTGCCTTTGAAGCGCTCTGTGATCATACGGACGTCTTCGACGCTACCAATATCAAGAGCAAGCGATCCGAGCTACTGCCTAGCGAGATGTACGATGAGAAGCACCCCCTGTGCATGAAGATTCGCACTGGATCATCCACCTTCAGGGTGTTGCTCTCAGCGGTGGCTCTGAATGACCACAGCCCGGAAGCCATCACGAGCACTCCCTTCTTCTACGATCTACTTGTGAGCGACGCAAAGCAGGCGTTGAGCACATTCGACGTTGCGAGACCCACGACGCTTCCGCGGAAATCATCCAGTACTGATGATACCCCCATCTACGCTGTCGAGTTCATGCTTCGACGAGCAATTATCGAAGCCGGTACCAAAGTGGGCGGCGACGTAGGCAAAAATCTTTTGGAGCTCTTCTCCATGATCAGGCAATTACACCAGATCGGCCTACGCGAAAATCTTCCCGATGAAGGTCACTATGCCAGTGCGGCCAGATACCTACTTCGGGCGGCTGTGCGCAACCCTCAATTTCCTCTATGGTGGCTGCAAGACCGGGCTATGAGCAAGGAGCAGCGAAGGAGCCCTTGGACTCCTCACACCGTCTCCTGCGCACTGCTATATGGACGCATGATCCTGGAGCTCGCCAATCGTGCCAAGCCTCGCAAGTACGGCGCTGCTTCACAGGGACAAGCGCCGCGCGAGGAAGACTCTGCTAGCTCTCTCTTCCCGAGCGAGGAAGAGGACCTGATGGAAGACCAGGAGTATGATCTAGAAGGAGATGATCTTCCGGCCTCCTCCTCTCCCTCTTCGGCTTCAGCCAAAGGAGACATTCAAGATGCCGCTGCGCGTCTGTATGCACGCGACGAAGAGAAATCCACATCCACGTCTGCACCGCTGCAACAACGTGCCACACTCGAGGAGCGCGCTCTCGTCCTTGACTTTCTCCGTAAATGGAAGGCCTCATTCGCCCCAGGCGAGGACGGTGCCGTTACTGGCTCATCGTCCGTCGTCAAGCTCTTCCCTGCGCCCGCAGACCTGGTGAAAGGCCAAGCAGGTCCCACTTTCGGCTCCAGCTCCAGCGCAGCCCGAGAGAGGGATCGTGATCGTGATCGGGAGCCCCGCACGGGAAAGCTGAATGAGCTAGACAGTGTTCTCCTCCTACGCACAACGATTGTTTTTGCTCGCTTGCTCAATCTTGCTCTGGACTCGGGAGCGCAAGGGGCAGATTTGCTGGCGAGGGAGGAGGTGGTCTGGTTGAAGGAGTTCAAGAGGCGGGTGAGCGCGGTTAGGATGCAGCTTGTTGAGGAGGGGGTGACGCTTGATCCGAAGGGATCGAGGGGCGGGAGGAGTAGAGGTGCGAGGAGAGCAGGAGCAGGAGCGGGGGCGGGAGCGGGGCCGTGAGATGTGAGATGTGAAGGTGGTGGTGCCAAGGCATCAGTGGACGATGTAGGATGCGAGCGTGCAGGCGGCCCGAAGATCACACTGCACTTCACTTCCAACGGTGTACTTCAAATCATTGTCAGACCTTTACTCTTTCCTTCTTTTGACTAGAGCTTACCACCCTCCCTTTTTTTGGACGGACGTTGCGTCCTGCCTCCAACGCCATCTTATTTTCTCATCACTGGAAGTACAAACCAGCTCCAGACTGTTCCTCGCTCTCGCCCACATTGTCGTCCACCTTCTCATGTGCCCCACTCTCACTCTCGTTGCCGTGGAGAGAAGCAGAGCTGCTGCTGCCCCTAACCTCTTGCGGACCACTGCCAGTGTATTTTTCCACCCAGGCGAAAATCTCCTGGTGCCACTTGAGGGAGTTGCGTGGGTCGTTGACCCACTGTGAGAGAGACGTGCAGGGGAGCAGAATCAGTCAGTCAGTCAATCAGTGTGACCCAATCACAAGAGTGATCTCGTCGGCTCTTCGCTCCTCCCGTACGCCGAAACTCACATGTCCCTCCTTTTCAAAGTACAGCAATCTCGTGTCTACCCCCCGTCTCCTCAGAGTATTGAAAGCAGCCACTCCTTCACTCTCCACAAGTCTAAAGTCCTTTGCCCCATGCACAATCAATTGTGGTGTATTCCACTTTGCTGTATGTGCCTCGGGGGAGAATTGCTGGTAAACAGCTCGTGCAGAGAGATCCCAAGGTAGTCCTGGTCCGTTTTCGGATTCGGGGAAATAGAGCTCGTCGGCGGGATAGAAGGCGCCAGTCATGATGTTGAAGATGCCGTCGTGGCAGACGAGGGCCTTGAAGAGACCGTCATCGTTGTGACCTTGGATCCAGTTGACCATGTACTGTGAGAAGAAAGGCCGAGTGAAGCTCTGTTAGCACGTTCTTCTCTGAGAGCGCTCGCTTTGAGGTGGTACTTACCCCTCCGTAAGAAGCGCCGGCTGCTGCTACGCGCTCTGCATCTACCCCAGCCTCTTCCCTCTTGAGCACGTGCTTCACACCAGCAATGATGTCCCGGTAGGGGAATGATCCCCAGTTGTTCAAGATGCGATCCTGGTAGCGCTGTCCAAAGCCTGTGCTGCCGGTCGGGTTGAGGGTGACGACCACGTGACCCGCCGCGGCAAAGACTTCCGGGTGCCATCGGAAGGACCAGGAGTCAGTCCAGGCTCCTTCTGGCCCACCGTGAATGAGCACGAGCAGAGGCCACTTCTTCTTGCCGTGACCCTTGGAGGAATACCCACGTGGGTAGTGGATCCAGCCATGGCGGTCTTCATGCTCGAAGTCGGGGGAGGGATAGTGGAACATTTCGGGCTCCCGTCCCCACTCTACAGACTTCAGACTCGATTCCTCACTGCCTGTAAACCAGGTCAGCGGGTAAAGAGACTTGTTGTAGTCTTGGTATAAGTAGATCTCCGTCAAGGACCTGTGGGAAGAAGACGCGACCAAGGCAACATCCTTTGAGAGCGGCACGAAGCTCGACACAGATCCGCGAGGGAGCTCAACAGCGCTGGTCACATCCTTGCCACCCTGCAAAAGATCAGTGACAAACACTTTCACTTGCTGGTAGTCTTCCGTGATCAGATAGATCTTGTTGCCATCGGCTGAGAAGATGACGTCAGAAGGCGAGCGGTCCCAATCCTGGCAAAGCGATTTATGCTTCCTAGTCTTGAGGTCATAGATCTGCAGAACTCTTCGGTCAGACTCGAAGCCGTCCTTAGCCATCTGAAGCCAAGCCACCATCTCGCCGTCGGGAGAGAAACGTGGAGCGGCAACAGCGCCGTGTTGACCTTCGGATAGGAGCTCGAGGTGGCCAGACTTGAAGGAGACGTAGTACACGTCGGACTTGGTATGCCATGCCTGAGGCAAGTCCAAGGCCTTGGTGATGAAGATCACGCCCTCTTCACTGACATCCCAGTCTCCATTACCGCCAAATGTCGGAATAGGAGTGTTGACCTCCGTCCTTTTGAGCAGATTGGTGAAACTGTCGTGAGCCAGCGTCCACGAGTCTCCAGCCTTCTTCGGCGCGCTCAGGATAGTAGTGAAGATCTGGGAACGCTTGCCCGGTCTCACCCACTGATCCCAGTGTCTGAAGAAGGCACCGTTATCACCTCCGTACACCTTTGCTCGACCCCACTCTTCCTCGTGAGCGGCCGTCTCGACTTTACCAACGCCCTCGAGAGTGCCGTCCGGGTAGACCTCTGCTGTGAACAGAAGCCTCTTCTCGCCCTTGGAGGATGTAGAAACGATTTTCAGCGAGTCTTCGGCGATCGGAGCTGGGAGAGAAGCCAGCTTCTGCGTCTCAGAGGGTGACTTGAGTGGAGCCGAGTAGATGTGCGAGCCGTTGACGAAGACGATGTGCTCATCATCGAGCCACGTTGCGAAAGAGATGCCCGGGAGGACGATCGCCTTGTCTTGAGAGCGTAGGTGTGACTGGCTACTTTGATCCAGGACGGTGTTCTGAGGGACCTGGTACACGTACAACTCATGAGTAGAGGGGCTGCCATCGAGGTGGGAGTGAGATACGGGGAGGAGGAAGTGTGTCTTGTCTGGCGAGACCTGGAAGTCGGAAGATGGCCGAGGGGCGGTGATGAGACGCTCGGGCGTGAAGTCCTTGGCGAGTGTTGTGGCAGTCAAGGCTGCCGCAGCAGCTAGCATTGTGACCAGCTTCATCACGAGGGATGCGGGTGAGGAGAAGGAGGAGGAGGAGGAGTGGCAGTGGTGATGGTGTGCACAGTCAGGAGGCTGACCACTGCCGCGTACGAATTACCGCACGGCAATCTGCGCTTTGGCCATGTGTCTGAGTTCTGTCTGTGCCTGACCGGATCGGATCGGAAGGAGGCGACGCCCAGCTCAACGCCTTGTTGCTCCACACGCGGAAGCCGTCGGAATCCCCCGCTTTCCCCGCAATCACGTCGTCCTTCAGCCGTCCGACGTCGAGTCTTGTCTTCCTCTCCTTGCTTCAAACACATCATCAACTGATCTACTTTTGATATACACAACGAGCATACCCACCCTCATCAGAAAATGTCTGCAGCTACCACCTCCACCGCTCCCGTTGAGCAGCCCAAAGCCCAGCTCTACTCCTTCCCAGGCTCAGTCTGGGCTTCAAGCCCCCGTCTAGCCCTGATCGAAAAGGGCTACTCCCCCTCCGATGTAGAGATCCGCACCGTCGACCTCCTCAAGGGTGAGAACTTTGCTCCCTCCTATCTACGTCTCAACTCCAAGGCAACCCTCCCCACCCTGGTAGTCCCGCTGGCATCGACCATCTCGGGCGAGGTGGACACAAAGTACCGCGCTATCACCACATCGGATGAGGTGCTCCGCTTCCTCGACCAGTCTCGCAGTGCGCAGAGTCTCGAAGCAAAGGGCGAAGCAGGCGGAAAGTCCAACCCGGCACCTATGCTCTCTCCGGCGACCATAGATGACAAGGCTGCCGGCGATGCACTTGTGGCTCTCGTTGCAGGACCTTCAGCAGACCCCAACTTTCTACTGCTGGCTGCACGCACCAGTGCCGAGCTGGCCAAGCAGCAGCAGGGCTTCCAAGCCACTTTCTGCAAGAACCGCTACGAGGCAATCCAGAAGTACCGGAGTGAAATCTCCACGACGATTACTTCGACGGAGAATCCAAGGACACAGCAGCAGAGTGCTGCTCTGATCAAATGGTACGATGACAAGCTCGCAGAAATCTCTCTACTCACCGAAGTGTACGTCAATGATGATGCTACTGCCAAGACGAAGCTCATCGAGGCTGGTGTGGCGACTTGGAAGGGTGTAGGGGCCGCCTTGACCCAGATTGAGGCAGGACTCAAGGGCCCCTTCCTCCTTGGTGGACAGGTCTCTCTGGCCGATCTGCAGGTGGGCGTTTGGCTAGCTAGAGTACTCTCGGTGGCTCAGGGGCTCTACCCTGGTGAGAGCGATGCTGTCTCTGCTCTGTCACAGGCCCTGAGCTGGGAAGGACTGGGAGAGGGAGCCACTACTGTGGGACCAAAGGTGAGAGTGTGACGAGTAAAGTATGACTCGAAGAGGCGGATGGCGCTAACCTTTTCCTCTACATGATGTCCCTCCTTCTATCAGATTGGAGCGTATTGGAAGCTACTCATGGAGAGGCCATCGTTCCAGGAGGTATACAAGGATGGGCTGCATTGATTGCATTTGACTTGTCGTCAGCGGTATAGCGACTTTCGCAACAACAACAGGGAAGAAGGAATGTCACAAGAAAGCAATGTCATCATCATGACCCACCCTGTCCTGGGCTCGCGTGTGAAGGTGCTGCTCCGACAAAGTCTGTGGCCGCATTGCGAGGAACCTGTGACGGAGGCGACATAGAGCTTCCCGACAGGTCCACAGATCGAATATCGGCAGTATTGAAGTTCCCTTCCACGTCATTCCCATCTCGCATGAGCACATCTTCCTCTAGCATCTCACGCTTCGCCATCCCCTCCATCTCTTCGTCGTCCTTGATGATGACCAGACTCCTGTAGTCTTCTGGTCGTCCTGAGTGGGATGGTGTGAGCTTGGGGACCTTGCCTCGAGACCTGTAGGGCGTGCTTGCCACTTGACTGCCCTCTCGCCCTGCACCAGGTGGGAGCGGCCCACTTGTCTGACTTGCCTCCCCTGAGGCCGTTTGACCCACTGCTCCTCTTACGAGCTCAGCAGTGGTTCCATCGGGCTTCTCATCCTTTGGCTTTGTCCACATGAATCGTCGACAATTTGCCGCACCACAGTGGCACTTCTTGAGGTACAACTTGCCCTTGCCGTCCTGATCCGTCAGAGTAACAACGTCGCTTTGTTCTCGATCCATGATGTCTTTAGCCGCCTCTGCCTCTTCCGCAGAGGGACCGTCCTCGGCGTCGTACTCAAAGGTGAGCTCCTCGCCCTCTGCTACATCTCTTCTGGTGAAGAAGCAGATGACGGGTCGACGTACATCGAATACCTCATCGGTCCAAACGTAGTATGTCCCGCAATTTGGATCACACGAGTGGTTCAGAAAACGGGAGACGTTGCCCCAGGGTCCGGCATCGATGCTGTAATAATTGTCGAGCCTCTCAAAGCGGGCTTGCCACTCGGTCATGTAATGCTCAATCTCTTCATCGGTGAGAGTAGAAAGATCCAAGCCCATGTCTCTTGCCATGTCCGGTCGATTGGCAAACTTGTCGGCCATATGCGGCTCAATGTCGTAGATGTACGATGTCTCAAGGTGTCGTTCGTAAACCTTTGCGCGCTTCTCCGTCTCTGCCTCTGTGATCAGCTCTCCTGCATAGGTAGTAATGAAAGTTCCAGCCTTGAGTGCCTTTCTTGTCCTCAATCCCCAACCGCACATTTTCGTCTTGAAGACTTCGAGGGGGACAGTCCTTCCTTTTTGCACAACTCTGTTGGGACAATCATCACTGCAGCCACAAGCTTTTGTGCATTCAAAGATGCACATATGCACGAAGACGTGAGCCATTCGTAGCCTACCATCTGGAGTATAGTGGAAGACGTTGCGACAGTCTTTGCCATCGCCATCCTCAGAGTACCAGATGTCGACCTCTTCCAGTCGCTTCTGACATGCACAGGTAGCAGGATTGCACTCTTCTACGCCATCGTCCCCGTCACCGCAGGAGCAGCCACGGATAGCGCCTTGCTTCAGCTCGCCATCGACTTGCTTGAAAGGCCAGCCTTTCGACTTGCGCTGCTCGTCGATGTACTGCGTCTCCTCGGATGGCACAGGCGTATTTGTGTAGGCAAAGTCCCAAGGCGGGCAAGGCTCATAGTCCACATTATTGCACAGCGTGAGCTCAACGCTAGACTCGTCCTGTTCCTGGAGGTACGACAGGAAGAGGGATGCATGTCGAGACTCAGCGACGTACTTCTGCTCGCCATTGGAGCTCCTGCTTGATCGCCCAGGGACATTGACGACGTGCTTGAGCGAGTCGATGTGTGCGAGGTCTGGAAGATGCACTTGGGCAGAACGCGTCTTGGATAGGTGACGGATCTCTTCTGAGTTGAAGGTGACCTTTTGACGACGAGGTGATTTGGTGATGGCTGCAGAGGAAGGACCTGCCTCTGCTACTGCAATCTCCATCGCAGTGGCAAGATCTGAAGAAGTGCAGGAAACTGCTTGGTAGCAAAAGAGGTGGAAGAAGTACTTCGACATGCGGGGTTCAGCCAGACGGAAAGAGAGAGGCACAGGCCAGGCAACACGCGCTCCCTGCCGAGCTTTCGGGTGGAAGGAAGGTATAGAGGAAACGAGTAATGAGGACGTAGATGTTATTGACATGGTGGCAGTGTCTAGGCTGTAGCAACGCTGGTCGCCACTCAGTACCGTCCACGCTTGGCTGCAGGGCCGTCTGCGTATCCTCCTGCCCCGCCTCCATAGCCGCCGCTACTGCCTCCATAGCCACCGCTGCTTCCGCCATAGCCGCCGCTGCTGCCACCGTACCCACCCCTGGGCGCACCATAGCTGTGAACAGAGGAGGAGAAACATGAGAAAAAACGTTCGTCAGCTCAGAGTCAGAAAGAAGGCGCGGTCCACAAGCGCACTCACCCGCCCGACGGAGGACCACTTTGTTGATACCTGAGAAGGCGAATGAAGAGTCACGCATAATTAGCTTGCAGGACACAAATCTCTGCCCTACCTATGCTTGTGACTCACCCTCCTGAAGGCGGCCCACCATACCCTCCTCGACCACCTGGCGGACCGAAGCCACCTCTGGGCGCGAAACCTCCTCGAGGTGCACCAAAGCCGCCTCCTCTCGGAGCACCTCGGAAACCTCCCCTTGGAGCAAAGCCGCCCCGACCTCCAAAGCCACCTCGGCCACCTCTCACTGGAAGGAGAAATGGGGGAAGAACAGTGCGGATATTCACGTAAGCAAGCAGTACCTCGTTGTCTTTCGCTTGGACACCCAATACTCACTACCGAAGCCCATTGGTTGCTGCGCTGCTAGCTCTTCTGCCTCCTTCTTCTTCTTTGCCTCTTGGCTCACACCCAGCCCACCTCCCAGCCTCACTGGCTTCCAGTCCTTGACTGTCCTCCCCCGCTCCACATCGACCAATATCCTCTTGCCGTGAATTTTGAGCCCATCTGCATCCTTGTATGCCGTCCTCATATCCTTTTCCCTCTCGTACACAATGAAGGCATATCTCCTCGACTTGCCATCCTGCCCTCTGATGAGCCTCAGATGCTCTATCGGTCCATAGACGCCAAAGTCCTTTTGTAGATCTGATTCGGTCGTCTCTTCCGCTAATCTAGAGATGAAGAGCGTCTTGAATGGGTCGCCTTCTGCCTTCGGATCTTTCTGTGGATCATCTGTAAGGGACGGTGTGGCAGTAAAAGAGAAGTGAGCGTCAGCCTCTCTAGCCTTTATTTGCCTTCTCTTCCTCCATCCCGCCTATGACCCTCACATTCTGCCTGCGCCCGCTTATAGTACTCTTCAAAGGCCTTCTTCTTTTCCTCTCTCCTCTTTTCCACTCTGACATATTCCGCATCGGTGAACTGCTCTCCCTCAGCTCCTTCTGTAGCTTCTCCCTTGTCTGCCGCTTCCTGCTTCACCCTCTCTAATGTGGGCGCGACTCCATCGAGTGGTCTCCGGCTCCTCTGTTGCCGGGATGTACGGTTGACAATGTCCCTGTCGGCAGGTAGCGAGGGGGCATGCTCGAATGTTGGGCGTGGCACAAAGAGCTTGAGAAGATTTGGGGGTAGCAGGTGGGTCATCGTAAGCGATGGAAGAGGGAGGAGGTAGGAGGAAGGGAGCCCGAGGAGAGCTACGAGCGAGGGTTGCCCTGCTACAGGGATAGGATGCAGGGAAGGTAGGCTGCTTCTTCTGGGAGACCCTCGAAATGTCTCTGCGGTCAGAGGACAAGGTCGACTCAGACGTGACGAGCCTCGCGGGCAGGCAGATTGTGCGGCAGTGTGGGTGTGAGCTGTGCGTCGTGGGTACGAGCAAGTCAGAGGGAAGAAGAAGCGGCGCGGAGGCGGAAGTGCGGAGGGAGCGGCGTCCAGTCGGTCAGTCCCTCTGCCATTTGCGGTACCGAGCCGAGTGATCAGTGCATCGCTTCCACTCCACTCCCTCCGCGACGGTAACATCCACACCAGCCCACACACGGGTGATCAAATCAGCCTCGTCGTATTTCTCAGCCATCGTACGGTCATCGTACCAGCATGGCGCAGAGAGGTGCTCTGAAGACAGTCTGGCGTGCTCGCCCTGCCCACCTTCCACGCTCACCTCATACCAACTCACTCACGGGTTGCTCCGCCGAGCTCTCACATTCACGGACCGCGGCAGAAGCATTCGCTTGTGGCAGTCAGCTGCGGCCCGCTCGGACTCACTCATCAGAGACGTGAGTAGACACACTGCTGCGATTATCAGAGGCGCATCTCGACTGATCTTGCTGACCCTGATAGCCACCCTCGCTCTTCCTCTATTCGATACCTCCAGCTTACGCTATGCTTCAATTCAGAAATTCTTTACTCTGGAGGCGTCAAGATCAGTCAGAGCGAGTGGCTTGATCAGAAGCAGCGCATATGCTCCAGTTTGGCAACAGCGGGCCACCTTCTCACTTTCTGCTCGACTCTGTGACCAACGCAAAGATCATGATCGCGGGTTGCGTAATGGCGAGCAGAGCACCTCGCCTAATGACCCAGAGGGCAGCACCGACACCGACCGATCGACGGAGTCCTTTCGGGACCCGCGGTCTGCATTCGCAAACTACCCACGGTCACTCAGAGATCTTGCCCTCCGAGCTCGCTCTTCAGCTTCTGCCTCACTCAATGAAGACGCCTCAGAGTCCTCGTCCAATCGTCATGATCAGTCGTCCCTTGGCCAGCAATTGGGCTCACACAGCTATCGTCGGCCGAGCAAGGAAGATCTCTTGCGGTATGCTCGTGGCTTCTGGACTAGGCTCAGGATTCGCTTCAAGTGGTTCACTATTCGTGGGTTTAGGAGATTCAATGCAGACGATTTCTCGGCCTTCTTTACCCTAGGCGGGTTGGGGACCCTCGTTCTCATCGTCATCGGAACAACGACGGCGTTTAGCGTGGTGCTGTGGGGTCTTGATATGCTCAACATGCAGCGTGAGTGAGGGGAGAAGGAGAGCCTTCGCGGTAGTACACTCTACTGACCCATTTAATTTCATCTGCCTGCTCAGACTGGATTGCTCGAAAGATTGCAGACCATCTGACTGCCCAGACTGGCGTCACCGTCGTCTTCGAATCAGCGATCGTGCCCAAGTGGAAAGACTCTCGCATCTGCTTTCAGAACGTGTTCATCACCCGGAGAGCCAATGCAAAGGATCCAGAGTCTCTGCGGTTAGAACGGGAGAAGAAAAAGCGCCTACGTCTGAAGCAGGAGAGGGACAGCAGGCGAAAGCGGAGAGGAACAGCATCGACTGCAGGTCAAGGGATGGCCTGGGAGGGAGTAAGTATGGATGACCACCACTCGGACAATGAAGGTGTAGCGCCGCCTCTGAGCTCAAGCGCGACCGGCGAGGACCTCAGTGACGAGGAGAGGACCTTGGTGGAGACGAACTTCACGATGTTTGATCTCAACTTCGATTCGATCGATGTCACGCTGAGCATCAGCAGGTGGTTCGACGGCAAGGGCCTCATCGAGGACGCGGTCGTAAAGGGCGTGCGAGGTATCATTGGTGAGTGTAGCCTTCTGTCCAGCGAGTGCAGTAGCAAATCGGCTGACCAAAGCTCTATGTCCTCGACAGACCGTCGAAATGTCTACTGGGACCCAGATCGTGTCTATGATCCTCGAGCCGCCCGACGGACCAGCAGACCCGGCGATTTTGAGCTCGAGTCGTTAGAAGTGCAAGATCTACTCGTGACCATCTACCAGCCATATCAATTCCGCCCTTTCAACTTGTCCATCTTCAATGCCGCCGTGCCGAAGCTGCGAAAGCAGTGGCTCTTCTACGATTTGCTCAGCGCAGAGAGCATCACAGGTCAAGTGGACGGATGCTTGTTCAGCCTGCACAAGCCTCAAAGCATCGGTCGGACGACGGAGAAGGAGCGAGAGCTCAGCAGAGAGGGTGGTCGATGGCGGACCATCTCACGACTTCGAGTCGATGGAGTAAACGTCGACCACATTCAGAATCAGTCAAATCTGGGTGGACCACTATCTTGGATCATGTCCGGACGGTTCGACGTTGTGGCTGATATCCGCTTCCCACGGGACTCGGCTGCAGATGTGGACATTAACACGATCATCGCCGAGATTGTCGACAATCTCGCCAATGCGGTTGCTGGCAACGCTCCCTCCTCTGCGCAGCCCGATAGCAGTAGCAGAGCCGAGGATCACAACGAGCCGATTCCGGGTCAGCATAAACTGAACGAACCCGCCATTCAGGCTCCCTTGACGGCCGTTGGACCAGCGGCAGAGAAGGCCTGGAGAGAGTCTAAGAAGGCCACTGGGCTGACGGATGGAGTTCTGGTCGATGCTGAGAGAGAGGCAGAGCAAGCCAGGGCGATCCGCAGGCAAAGGAGGCGCGAGCGTCTCAGGGCACTTTTTGGCATCGATTCAGATGCGCCGATTCTGAACATCGAGGATGGAGAGCGCAACGAAGAGGAATCGGCCGCGTCCGGCGAGAAGGACGAGGAGGAAGCCAGGAAACCGCCTGCACCAGTCGCGCCGGTGACGCCGGCTCCCCTGTCCGTGGTCATCGACTTGGATGTGCGATTCAAGGACATCAAGGCTGCGGTGCCCCTCTTTGATTCGGAGCTGACGTACAGCAAGCAGGCCTTTGTGAGGCCCATTGTAGCCTTTATGAATGCAAATAGGGTGAGTGAAGGGTCTCACATCGAACTATAGACCCACTGGATGACAGTGCGCTCACTATACTGCCTCTCTCTTCTCTACCACAGACGCTCATCCCAGTGCACTGTCGAGTCGTAATGGACCTCTCAGAATTCGATGGGTCCATGGACCTAACTCAAACCGGTCTCCTACCCCTCATCAGCGAAAAGCTCCACGAAGCCCTAGCACACCACGTCACTTCCTCCAATGCCAACTCCCAGCGGTTGCGGAGTGTGAGTATCTGGAGCTTGCAGCAGACGTTGCAGGCTGTACTTGGATTGGCGACACAGTTGAGGGATAGTATGAGTGGAGTCAAGACGGCTAGAGCGGTGGGCGTGGCGGCGAGGGCGGTTGAAGTGGGAGGAGGCTATAGGGGTACGGATACGGATGCTGGTACTGATGGCAGTGGTGCTGGTGCTGGTGCTGGTGCTGGTGCTGGAAGTGGAGGTGGGACGGGAGAGCTGAGCGTAGAGGGCGGAGCAGAGGCAGAGGATGAGGACGAGGACGATGATGAGGCGATTGAGGACTGAAGGTCTTGAAGCTCGGCGGCGTAAGGGGAGCCTCCTCCTCTATGCTGGCTAGCGCCCTCCTCTCACGGTAGACATGCAGGACGCAACGACACGACACGACGACGACGACGACGAAGAAGACGAGAAAAGGTGACTCTTTGCTTGCTTCTTGTTAGAGAGAAAAAAAGGAGAAAGCAGAAAGCAAAAGCAAAAAGGAAAAAAGGAAGGAAGGATGATGATGATACCTGTACACTACCACTACCACTACCACTACCACTGCCGTACCACTACTACCACCATTGATACTACCACTACCACTGGCATCGCCATCACCACTACCACTACCACGTTTCAATCGCATTACCTGTATCTGTACAATTACATAACTCGTCGTCATCATCACACGCTAGCGTTCGATTCGAGTGGAGTGTCCATTGAGTGAGGAGGGGAGGGAAAAAAAAGGGTCTGGAAAATCCAGTCCTGCCCCTTCCCTTGCCTGTTCTTGCCTTTCCCTGCCGGGCCCAGGCTCGGAGTACGGAGCAGCAGAGAAGAGGCCGGGTCTGGTCTGGTCTGGTCGGGTCTGGTCGGGTCTGGTCTGGTCTGGCGGTGGTACGTGTGCCTCAGAAGAGTGCAACTTGCGCTTCGACGCAAAGTGTGGAGCGCAAAGAAAAGACGTAGACGTGCGCGTGCGGACTAGGGACTTGAGTGCCTGTGCTGGTACTGGTGGTGCTGGTGCTGGTGCTAGTACTGCTAGTGCTGGGAATGCGGGTGGCGATGTTGCAGCGTGTGCGAGTGGATTTGCATCGGCGCATGCTGGTGCTGCGGGTGTGGATGCCCCACAAAGTGATTATGTGCTTGCTGGTGCTGGTGCTGGTGCTGTTGTTGCTGGTGCTGTTGTTGCGGTTGATGTTGCAGGTGCTGTAGAGTCTGCTGCTGGTGGGGAAGCTGCTGCCTCGCCTCCTGCGGGTATGAAGGTGCAGACATGTGCGAGACATAAGGGCCCTGCTGATTAGAATGCACGGGGTCCATAGAAGGAGAGTGATCTTGGTGATGGCTCTGATGCTGTTGCTGCTGTTGCTGTTGCAGCTGATAGTGGACATGATAGAGGCTATGCTGCTGCGGGTATTTTTCTCCAAACTCCCTCCACCCAAAGGGCTCCACTCCTCCAGCCGCCGTTACTACGCTCCGTGGCGATCGCGGCCCGCTACTGGCAGACGTCGGAGCCTGGTCATCGTTCGCACTCGCCCCACTCGAGGTGAAACTCTCGCCTCTACTGCCATTGACACCACCACTGACCTCTCCTGCCCCGCCAGGGGTGGTATACGAAGAGTTGAACTTGCCAGAGGCGCTGGGTGAGAATCCTTCCTGAGGCGAAGAGAGCGACAGGCGACTCGGAGGCAAGGCTCCACGGGAAGCCGCCTCTGCGGATCCATTCAGATAGGCCGGGGAGTACACTGAGGCTGCATTGTTCGTGTTGATGTGAGCTAGACTCATGCGTGGTGGCTCGTCGTTGACGTTGCTGCCTCGCAATTGCAGCAGATCGATGCCTCCATTTTCATGCGGCTCAAAGCCAAAATCACTGGTGAGACCCAGCTCAAACGCGACCTTCTGCCAGTCGTCCACTCGGACAGCTTCGCATTGATCGTTGGCCAAGGTATTGGTAGCTAGCGCAGGCATGACCGAATCGTGCGCTCGGTCAGGGAATGTGAAGTCGGTGAGCTTCCACAGGGGCTCTGTCGACTTCGATGCGGCGATACGGATTAGATCGAGGGTCAGAGCCGAAAAGTCGATCGGATCCACGGCTTGACCGCTCTGTATTCGCTGATGACGCTCCTCCTCCGTGTACAGCAACGCTTCGAGGAGGAAAGCTCCCCTGTGCGAGCCCGAAGTGCCGTTGATGGCGTCCATAGCTGTCTGGATCTTCTGCCTGGCGGCTGCTCGGGCTGTAGGCTCTTTCTGCTTCCCCTCTTCGGCTTCCAGCAAGTCGAAGCCCACTATGATGGCTGCATTCATCAGATGCATCCAATTGACCCACATGTTCTTCAGTACAGGACAGATGGCCTTGACTTTCCGGTGAGTGACGAGAATCGAATCCGCGAGGTCGAGGATAGAAGCTCTGACACTGTGCTTTGACAGATCACCTCTGCAAAGCTTGAGGAGCTGATGAAACGCTTGCTGGTGGAGCATCCATCTCTGTGTAGCCGTGGTACGCGGAGAGATAATGTCGCTTCCGATCTGTAGCGGCAACGGCAATGCCCACAGCCAGCGAAGGAGGCGCTTGTGGAATTGATCGCTCGTGGCGGGACTCAACAATGGCTGGCCGCTCGCTTGTCGGATGTCATGCGCCTCTCTGATGATCTTGGACAACGCCAACATCTGCAGCGGATATGTCATCTGAGTCAGCTCCGTCATTGGCTTTGATTTTGTCATACCGCCCAGCAGATCACTCTCGGAAAAGTGAAGGGGAGCGCGGGTAGTGCACTGGTTCGGCTGTATCGCGTACGTCCCGTCCTTCTCTGCTGCGCACCAGTCTCTGCAGCAGAGGTACGCCCACAGGCGTGTGATTCCCTCCTTTCTGATCCGCGTCTCGATTTCGTCATCGTCTTGGAGAGGTAGCTTTCCCAATTGATGATATCCGAGAGCTTGAGCAGAGGCGATGGACAATCGCAGCAGCTGTCGAGTGTATGCGTCCGGTTCCCTCGCGCGGAAAGTCAGGAGGGTGGCTGCCTGCAAGGCTGGTAGACTGCAGAGAGACAGAGACCCGTGCAACCCCAGAGCCCTTCTGGAAAGGTCGTGAGCATTTCTGGTCCACACTTCGCCTTCTTCTGCGCGAAACTTGTTGACACCGTGGAAGCGACTGCTTGCAGCGTCCGATTCGTAGGGGTAGAAGCACAAGGCAATGGACAAGACCATGAACATGATGCTCCAGGAGGAAGGGTCGATGTATGCCGGACTGATCAAGATCTCTTCAGTTGTGAGATTCGACTTCCGCCCAATGACGGCGAGACGCCGAAATCGGGTCTCTGAGAGTATGCCTCCGCAGAGATGGTTGCATCTGACGAAGTAGACGTCGACGAGCTCCTCGATGACCTCTGGTTCGGGTAAGAGGGCAAAGGCTTCACGAGATAGCTCTATTCTGGCCTGGAAATTGACAGGGTCGGCCCAGTAGGGATTGACGCTGTCGTTACGCCAGAGCTCTGACCTGACCTTGCTGACGAGGGCTGCACTTGTCGAGATGTCCTTACTACTTGTAGACGGGCCTTCACCATCGGCCCACTTTTCCAGTGCTCGAACAGATTGGTCTGTATCGCGAGGATATGGAGCGTGATCCAGTTCGTCTGCCGACGAGGAAGAAGGCGACTCATGATAGGACGTCTGCATCGAAGAGGATGCATGCTTGAGCTTGGGCCGCTGATGCTTTGAATGGGTTCCATTGGCTGGGACAGTGGGGGACGATGGTCCGGGCGAGAGGTGGGGTAACAGTTCCCCAAGCTCGTCCATCCTTTGTCTGAGCTGTCTCATTTCCTCCTGTACCGAGACCGCGTCGAGTCTGTGTAGGGCAATTGTCGAAGCACGATGCCTTCTGTCAGCGAGAGAAGCGCATCAAAGAGAGCGCTCGTGGATGGGTAGAAATGGCCGTCACTCACTTCACCCTCTTCCTCCCTCTGGGTATCCTCTCATCTTTCCTACACTCTGCGTCCAAATGCCTTGCGATGCAATTGGAGCAGGGCTGCCGTGTGTCGCACTTGAGCTTCTTGGCCCTGCATCGTGAGCACGAAGGTGTGAGCTTCTTGAGGTCAGGACCCTCCAAGGGAATGGGAGATAGAGGCGAGGTTTGCTTGCTCGACTTGGAAGAGGATGGGACGGGGGCTGGTGGCCCCATTGCCATGGGGGAGGGCCTACGAGGGCCTTGGGTGGTGCAGCAGACGCCTTGGGTGGAGACAGTGCGTGTGGCAGTGGTGGCAGGGATCGGGTATGGAATCTAGCAATGGTATATAGAAGACGAAGGCGCGGGCAGGCGAGACTAAGGTTGGGTTTTGATGACAATGGTAAAAGGGGGGCTGCGTCTTGCGTCCGGAGCAATCTGATGTACAGGAGTGAGAGCAAAGGGGATGTGATGCTGGAAAGTAATGGGCGAGGGAGGCTGCAGGGCGTGCGAGGGCAAATGCCAAATGGCTGGAGGCACAGAGTGATGGTGGGAGCCTCCCTCGGCCTTTGCCCTTTGCCGCTTGCTGAATGCTCCGGCGGTCCAGAGGCTGGGCGTGTGGGCAGTGGGCGGAGGTGGTGTCCAGGGAGACGCCGTGGGAGGAATGAGCCGAGGCAAGTCCTCGCAGGGCCAATCGGCACCACGCCGATCCAAAAGGGAGATGCGGGGCAACCAGGGCGGGGTTGCCCTTGCGGGCCTGTGCCTGTGCCTTTGTTCGTCGTCGTGCGCCGTGTGCAGGGCAGTGCATGGCCCTGGGTGCTGTGGCGCACTCTTCTCACCCACACCTCCTCCTCGCCGCCGGCCGCCTTATCGCCCTGAGCTTCCACGTCTGCCCTCTCTCTGCCTTCCGCTCCGCTCGCCCATCTTCTTTCCGCTCACTTCTTCTCCGCTTTCGCTCGCACTGTCAATTTTGGGTGCGTATCCAGAACATCTCGACGACGCGCAGAGCACACTGCCCGCTCTACTACGCTACCCGGCGTTCCTTCTTCGGCATCGTAGAAGTACGAAATATCCCCACAACCATCACGCTCTGGCCCAGATTGGCAGTATATCGCAAAGATGCAGTAGGATCTCGAGCCACCTTACCCCTCACACCCCACCAGCAGATAAGGAAGCCACGCCTTATCTCCGCCTGTACCACTACAGGCGCAGCACATCCTAGTGGTACGCACGACCATGAGCAATGGCGATGCTGGACACCATCACGCCTTCTCAGACACACAGCTACAAGTCGAGGACAGCCAAGATCTCTCGCAGTCACCTCACGATCATTCCACTGATCAAGACGCCGAGCGGGAGCGCTCCCATTTCCAGTCCGTACTAGCCTCCTTTGAAGCCTACCTCCCCTACTCTCTAGCATCGAACAACCTACGGAGAAGGTCCTACTATGCTCTCACCAGGAGTCAACGGGCCCTTCTCAGCTCGCTCGGCGGGAAACTTCTACGACCCCTACTGGACGATGAAGAGCTGCAGGAGTCCTCGAGCATGAACTCCAGCGGAGAGAGGGGAGACAGGAGCGGTCTCAAGGGCAGGTTGGATGAGATCGACGATAGGATACGCAGAAACGCTTCATTCCTCGACGAGATTGTCAAGGAGGCTCGAGACTTCATCGGCGAGACAGACCAAGAAGCAGCAGGGGAGAGCTCAAATAGCAGCAAGAAGCGCAAAGACTCTCCTGGCCATTCTACTGAGCTCGCTGCTGAGAGTGAGCATTCACACAATCACGGACATAGCCACACTTCCTCTTCATCCCCTTCGCCGCACATTCAGGACGTCGACAAGGTCCGCTCAACTCTCAAGCAGTTCGCTCGTGACTGGTCCTCCCTTGGCGCAGAAGAGCGCGCCCATGCCTATGATCCCATTCTGCAAGCCCTCGATAGACTCTTCATCTCCACTCCCCTCTCTGAACGTCACTCTCTCCGTCTTCTCTTCCCAGGTTGTGGCCTAGGTCGACTACCCTGGGAAGCAGCCATGCGAGGTTTCTCCTCGCAGGGCAATGAGTTTTCCTTTTTCATGCTACTGGCTTCACACTTTGTACTCAACAAGACGACGAGGGTTCAGGAGCATGTCATCTACCCCTGGGTGCACACGATGTCCAATTGGCGTACCTCTGACGATCTACTACAAGCAGTGCGTATCCCAGATGTGGATCCCAATGCCCTCACGCACCTAGCAGAGGCAGAAGCACCGCAGGGGGCGAGTCAGCACCCGCCCGACTTCTCCATGGTCGCAGGCGATTTCCTCAGCGTCTACTCCTCGTCCGCGGAAAAGGCAGCTTGGTCAGCGGTATGCACTGCGTTCTTTCTGGACACGGCGCGCAACCCAATATCGTACCTTGAGACCATCAGCCATGTACTCCCTATAGGAGGCTATTGGATCAACCTAGGCCCGCTGCTGTGGCACTTTGAGGGTACAGGGCCTGATGGGAGCAATTCCCTCAATCCTCCTACTTCCACCAGCACCAGTCGGACAAATGGACTCAGCGGCACTGCTAATGGGCCAAACGGCAGCGTCCCTCCCGTCTCCAATTCCCCACCTCCCTCAGCCCCGCGCGAAGGGAGCATCGAGCTCACCCTCGAGGAAGTCCTAGACCTAATCGAGAAGCTCGGCTTTACAATCCAAGAGCGTCGTACCCTACCACGCCAGTCCTATACGGGCCATGCAAATTCGATGCTCACGTATGAGTATCAGTGTGAGTTTTGGGTTGCGAGAAAAGTGAGAGAGGTGCAGAGGACGGGATTTGGTGTGACTGGCTGAGCAGGGCGGGTGTTTAGAGCGAGATGGGCGGGGGATAAGGTGAGGCGGGAAGAACTGGCGGTGACAAAGGAAACAAAGTATCTGGATGGGAGGGAATTTGATGGGTATTGTACATTGAAGAAAAAAGCGAACGCAAAGTCTATAAAGAATCACCTCTACACATCTATCCGGAAGTCTCCTTGAAGAATTTCGCCTGGTAAGCCACCTCGGGGTTCTCAATCTCCCTCTTGCTCTGAATGATCTTGAGCTCCCGTCCACGCATCCTATCCACCCTCGCCTGGGCATCGTCCCCACTACTACCCTCTGTCACTTCCTGCTCCAAGGCGTCCATGCTCTTCTGCGTCTTGGCGAGAACGGCTTGCACGACGGCCACTGCCAGCTCGGCAGCTCGAGCGATGGGGGTGACGCTCGTTTCTGCTTCCACGTCCTGCGCTGTGAGGTTTTGGAACCGGCCCAAAGTCATCGCAGCAAAGAGGTCCCCCACGCCGCTGAAGTAGCCTCGCACTTCTGGGAATTGGATGAACCACGGCTTGAGGGGCGTGTCTGTTGAGGGGCGGGACGAGCCCACGAGAACCATGCTTGGCTCGGAGGAAGGTGTGGCACCGATCTTGAGGATGTCGGTGTCGGAGAGGGAGACGGAGGTGATCAGGACGTGGTTCGCTCCTTGGGTGTGGAGAGATTGCAGGACGGACAGGAGCGAAGGGATGGAGGTGATCTCTTCGTCTGCAAGAATTCTAGAGGTGAATTATGGAGATGCAATTGTCAGTAAGGGCTGTTGAGCCGCTCTATGTCACTGATCAATTCCGTTACTCACTGAGCTTCGAATTGATTCGGCGTGATAATGGTAGTATACCTCAGCATGCTCCTATACACCGGCAGTACCTCCTTATCCACATACATCCCCCTTCCCATATCGCCCATCACAGGATCGCAAAGGTAGATGAGCTCAGGATTCACCTCTCTTATCCTCTCTACTGCCTCCAGTACGGCCTGAACGACAGAAGGCGATGGCATGTAGCCAGACAGCATTCGACTTTGCTTCAGCAGACCATTCTCCTCTAGACCTTGGAAGAGTGAGGAGATGTGCGAGTCGTCAAAGCGGAGACCCTTCCAGCGACCGTAACCCGTGTGGTTGGAGAATTGGACAGTGTTAATAACGTCTACGTCCCAGCCTAGAAGCTGTAGAGGAAATGTCGCCGAGCGATTGCCTGATGAACATAGATGGGAGACAAGAGTCATGTAGAAAGTCAATACACGCTGAATAGCAGCTTGCGAAGGGACTCGACCAGAACTCACCCACATAGCCGCTGACGACATGGCTTTGCACAGACAGGAGCCGCGAGGGCTCAGGGACGTTGGCTGCCATGAGCAGTGATGGCTAGCCAGATGGAATGCTATCACGAGGAGTATGGAAAGTGGTATCTGGTGGAACAAGGAAGGGCGAGTCAAGAGCAATTTTGAGCCAAGTTCCTCTTTCCGGTGCAGGAAACTCCGCCTGCAATCTTCCTGGACTGGACAAGCCAGGGACAGCCGTGCCGCCCAGTTTCACAGTCAGTAGCATGAAAACCAAGACGATCAATGCATTTGGCATGTGGTAGTGGTACAGATGATTGTATGGGTGGGAAAACGTGATTCAGAGGTCAGACCGCTGCCTCTGCCTCTGCCTCTGCCTCTGCCTCTGCCTCTGCCTCTGCCTTTGTTGTTTTGGCTGTCTTCTTGCTGCCTCCTCTACTGGCGTCTCTTTCCTCATCTTCCAGCAGCTCATCCAAAGCTCTCTTGCTAGAGAGTGCGACATGCCCATTGCTAGACTGTGGTGATGCAGCTCCCTTTCCCACGTCATTTGCATCGTCTGATCTTTCGGCTCTCTTTTGCGTCGCACTTTGCTCTGCCAGCTTGCCCATCCACCGCAAGCCATCCCTCTCTTTGCCTCTCTTCTCGATCGCTTCCCATGTAGCCCAATCCTCCTCGAGCTTCTTAGCGATAGCTCCATGCCTAGCTAGCCAGTCCTTCCAAAAGTCGTCCACTCGGGTGCGGGTACCGTGAGGCGTTTCCCCATTTCGGTCCCACGTGACCTTTGCACTCGCCTCTCTGGCGTCGTCTTGCTCACGTTCGGTCTGTAAGAGGAAGGGCAGGTTTTCCTCGCTGGGCATCGCAGAAGCTTCGGAAGCAACGCAGCTGGAGCTCTGCTCGCTCCTAGCTAGCGACGGGAGGTACCTGTACACCGCAGACGTGCCAAGCATCTCCATCCCATGCGCTGCAGCTGCGACCAAGATCTGCTCGTTCTTTTCCCTAGTCAGTCCCTTTCGAAATACGCATCTTTTGATCCCGGCAGCGAGGATGATCCTGCTACATTCGTTGCAAGGTGGGAAGGTGACGTACAGCGTACACCCTTCGATACTTTCCCCCCTTCGGGCTGCAAGCGCTATGCAGTGTGTCTCGGCGTGGATCTCGCTGACTGCCTTTTGGTTCTGCACGTAGTTGATTGGATAGTTGTTGGCGTACACTACCACCCGGGACCTTGGCGTTGCAGTCGAGAGGACGCCAGATGAGGTCGAAGGTGCAGAAGAGGTGCGAGGGTCGTAGCTGCCGGGTGTGGGTGGACGGACGATCATGGCTGCCATGTGGCCCTTGCGGGAGAAGGACTGGCGAGCCAGGACTGTCACCCATGTGAGAAAGTTGTCATCCTCCGAGTGAGAGCCGTCGAAGACGTACTCTGGCAAGGGCGCAGGTTCCGGGAACGGCATGCCTCTCTCACTCTTCCCCTCTCAGTCTGCTAGGTCTTAGGGAGGTGTAGCGAAGCGAGAAGCGCAACGAGGCTGTTGGTGTAAAGGCGCAGAGGGCTGCCCGGGTGAGGCGAAGCGGACCCGCGCAGGAAATGGGTGCAATCGGAGAGACGCCCAGGAAGCAGCACCCGCGTAGAGAGGTGCACTCATACACACACACGAGTAACTCTAGCCGCATCATCTCCTCCTCGACCACAGATCTATCTAGTCAACTAAGACTTCCGCCAAGGTCACTTACCTTACTTGCGAGGTCATCGTCCCTTCCCTCCGTACATCGCCGCTTGTATCCGCCTCATACTGGCCGGTCACTTCTGCCAACCACCATCGTGCTCTCTCGCACGTCCCACCCTCTCTGCCGCTGTGAGGTCCCTCCGACTCTCCTCTTCAGTCCAACATGGCCAACTTTATGCCTCCTTCAATACGAACTCTCATCTTTGACCTCCTCGCCAAGGCAGATCTGGCAGCTGTCACTCCAGGCGGCATCCGTGGGGACCTCGAATCCATCCAGACGGCACAGAAGTTTGCACCTCCGGCCGACTCAACTAGACATATCCCCGCCGATTTCGACTTTGCAGCCAACAAGAAGGAGATTAAGAACCTCATCAAGGAATGCTATGAAGAGGTAGCAGCTCGCAAGGACATCGCAAGGCCAGCACCAGCTCCTGCTTCTGCTCCTCTCACAAATGGTGTGAAAGTCAAGTCAGAGGAGGGATCAGCCCCGCCTTCAGGCCCTTCGACGGCCAGCTCTCCTCCTCGTCCCGCAGCTCCAAGTACCTCAATGGGTCTGGCTTTGCCTGGTCTAGGAGGCGTCAGAGGCTCCCATGCTCCGGCCCCTTCATCACAAGCAGTCGACCCGCCCGTGCGGCCGCCGCCTTCCACTGATGCCCAATCCAAGTCAGATGCAGCCCTCGCGGCAAAGTTAGCTCAGGAGTGGGCTCGGCCATCCAGAGATACCAGGGCGGGCTCGTCTACCTCTTCCAGTCGTGGAGGAGCATCCAAGAAGCGGAAGCAGAGCGTCAAGAGCGATCCAGATGACATCGATACCGAAGAGGACTCAGATGTGGAGAGTAATGCTAGAAAGAGCAAGAGTAGCGCCAGCAAGAAAGCCAAGAAGGTCAAGAGTGACAAGCCTAGGGCCGCAAACCCGAATAATCCTTTCAACAAGCCTATGCTTCTAGATGCTGCCATGGCAGAGATCTGCGGGGCAGAAGAGGTAAGTTTGCGAGCGAGGGAACAGAGAAGCCGTGCGCGTAAGAGTGTGTTCTACAGCAGAGCTGACGTGTAAATCCTTGTGTATCGGCTTTGCACTCTTCAGCTGCCTCGGCATGGCGTGGTGAAGCAGCTGTGGGCCTACATCAAAGAGCGTGATCTACAGAATGCAAATAACAAGAGGCAGGTGAGAAGATGCCAGAACCGTCCATTCCGATCGAAGCAAAATCTGACACAGCTGCTATTACCCGCCAGATCATGTGCGACGAGAAGCTACAGAAGCTGTTTGGCAAGGCTACTGTTGAGTGAGTCATATGACAATCAGAGGGACCCCAACTGAGTGTCGAGGATCGCGCTGATGACTCTCTCTCTCACCTCCTCTACAATTTGATAGCTCCTTCGAAATGGCAAAGGTGAGCTCCTGCAACTGCCTTCTACTTGGTCATAGACCTTTGATTGACCACTTTTGCCCCCATGCCATGGCTATCTACAGCTCATCGGAGCACACATTCGCAAGAAGGAAGACGTGGTGGGGATGTCAGACGACTGAGGGTGAGGCAGTAGAGTGATCCGCTTGTGCATCTCTTCGTCCACTGCCTCGCTTTCAATACATGTCATGCATTCATCCCTGACAATCACGAGTGAGAAGTGTCAGGGTTGAGCTCGATTGCTGGGCTTGCTCAAGGGTCCATATCTACGGTGGTAGGTCCCCCCGGGCTTGCGTCGGGTCTTCGGAACCGGTGGAGCGGGCCGGGGAAATGATGTGGCCCCGGCGCGGGGTGCTGTGTGCTCAGTCAAGCGGGCGCTGAGGGGTCTGTTGTGTGTGAGACCCTTATCCGTCATCACCGTCCCACTTTCCTCGTCATCGTCTCTTCTCCACCACTCCCCCATTACCCCTTATATCTCCCATCTCTCTTGCCTCAACACTCTCTCTTGCCAGTCAGGACGAAGTGCAGATATCTGCTCCACCTTCAGCCATGGCTCCTGTGGCCAACACCGGCAGTGTCGCTCTCCGGCCTGCCATCGTGAGCTCCACCTATCTCAACCTGGAGGCGACTGAGCAAGTGCCTTCTCCCACATCCTCTTCCAACATCAGCAGCACTACATCTAGCACTACATCGCCTGCAAAGTACAACAAAGTCGTCGAGATCCGCACGGATCACGATATTCGTCAGTTCAGGAGGAATCTCCCAAAGCTCATTGCTGCCATGGTCAAGCCAGATGCCCGCACTCCACCTCAGGTGGACATCTTCTTCAAGAGAACACCCGTTCCCTCCTCGAGCTCAGTGTCAACCACTGTCGTCGCAGGTGATAAGAGCAGCAAGTCTGGATTTGAGGCAAAGGTCAAGGAGTGCCTTGCCAGCGGCCAGCCACTCAAGGTCACTTATACGCTTCGAGATGCAGAGCCAACGGTCAAGAAGCAGGCATCTAAGACTCCGTCGAACGATGTTGCCGCTCCCGTGGCATCTACTCCTCCTGCCACCACCACCACTACCAAGGACGTCGCTGTCGCCGTCGCCACTGACGATGTCCCTGCAGCCGAGACGAAAGTCGCAACGCCCTCTACGCCAGAGGAATGGGGTGACGCCCTCCGGGGCATCCTTGACGAGTCAAGAAGTCTTCACTTCGACATGCGTGCTGTGATGAATAAGCATGTAGACGAGGCGAACAAGAATCGGGCAGAAGCTGAGGCCCGAATTTGCCTTCTCAGAGAGGAACTCAACGCAAGCAAGAGTGCTCAGCGCGCTACAGCTGCTTTGCTCAAGGCCTCACAGACTCATGTGGACCAGCTTGTCGGGTCTCTGGCCAATTTGGAGAGACTCCCTGCCCCGAAGGATTCTCTCCACAAGACTGAGGACGTTGTCGCCGACAGAGCTCACCTGCAGGGTAAAGCTTCGTCTATTGTGGGTGGGATGAAGGATTTTCTCGCTGCTTACGCAAAGGTGAGTCGGGATAGGGCTACGTGCAACAGAGAGAACACAAGTACTGACCCGTACCCTCTCAATGACTCATCGCAGTTGATGGGTCCAGACGAACAGGAATTGTCATCTTCAACTGGCGACAACCTGGGGCAGCAGCAGCAATCGACGACCAAGCCTACCGCGGAGGCATCTCAAAAGGATGGAGTGTTGCACCCGGACATCTTCTGCGACGGTGCCTGCGATGCAGCCGTTCGGGGCCTCCGCTGGAAATGCATCTCTTGCCCAGACTTCGACTTCTGCGATTCTTGCTATCAGTCAGAACGTGAGACGCATGTCAAGAAGCTTGGCGTCAAGCACCTCTTCCTCGCCATCCACCATCCCATGAGATTTTCGGACATCAGGATCCCTTCGGATCGAATGGCGAGGTTGGCAGCATCTTCGTCGTGCCGGACAAGGGAGGCCGCGGGCGCACAGCAAAGATGGGTGTCGAAGGGCGGGCCCTGGCGCAAGCCATCGGCAGTCGTCAATGCATCTGTTCCACCACAGACTGCCCAGACTTCGGCCACAAAGAAATGCAACGTCTCTGTACAGCTGCTGCCAGAGCCCATCCCGGCCTCATCCGAGCTCTCAGCGCAGGAGAAGAGCAACATCACGCAGAAGATTGTCGGTGCTGGTGCAGACATCGGGCAGAAGCTCAAAGACCTATTGCATAATCACCAGCAGATTCCCGAAAACGTCCAGCGCGCCGATGAATATGTCGTGGACGTCGACTATCTGACTCGGGCGCAGTACGATCAGATTCTGGCTCTGTGCGACCAGCAGAAGCCGACTCCCTCTCGTTCCTCTGAGGATATTAGTACTACACCGCACACACAGGCAAGGCTCCCGGCTCAGGCGGAACACGATGCCGAAGATGAAAAGTTGGGGTACGATGCTGTCCTTACTTCGGAGGGAGAAGGTCGACTTATTGTCGCAAAGAATACAGGCTCCTTGGCGTGGCACAGAGATTCACTGTCCCTCCGGGAGTGTCGTGCTGGCGGCGCATGGTCGAACGCCGGCGCAATGATGATGCGAAGAGCGACTCGCACCCAATGCAGGAACCTCATTCGGCCTGGAGAGTGCGTAAAGTGGGTACCAGGCTGGGCCAGTACGATGGGGACGTCACTCAACTTCCGAAACAAAGAGGCCGGCCAAGACGCATTCTTCAGAATGGCCATTACGCACCCCAATGGCACCTCTCAACGCTTTGGCGAGCAGCTCATGCTACCTGCCTCTCCTCCTGCAAGCGCTGTCCCTACATCTGGCAGCAACGCAGAGACCAGTTCGCCAGTCCCCAGCTCTCAGGAAAGCAAGGAAGCTAATGCGCCAGTCGAAGAGACTTTAAATGCCCCTAGCAAGTCTCTCTCAGGATCCTCCGTCTTGACGATTCCAGCCGCTCCGGAGGTCACTCATACCGACGAAGAAGCCGCTTTGGCTGTGTCCATCCCATCTCGCCCTGTATCGCGTGAGCGCGAAGACGAGGAGAACCGCTCTGTCGTTCATTCAGCCGAGGCCAAGGAGCTCAGCAGCCAACACACTGGACGAACCGAGGAGTCTATCGGAGATGCACTCCGCTCCCCTTCGTACGAAGGTGGAAGCACCAACTCTGAGAGAGACCCCTTCGACAGTCTCGCCGATGAGGAAGAGGTGTTTCTCGACGAGCAGGATGAGGACGAGGACACCTTCATTGTCATCGATGCAGGTACCGACGAAGAGAGCGTCGTCGGCGCCTAATGGACGGGAGCTCGTGCCGCGATGCCAAGGCGGGCCGGGCGGTGCCTGAACCATGAAGGTTGTCCTGCGGAGCTCCGATACGTTGCCGCTGCCGTCCCTGATTGGCGGCGACTGACTCGAGTCGAATGCCGTTCTTCCGAGATGTATGCACCCCTCGTAATGTCTGTTCATCTTCCTCTTGCTGTGTGCTTCGTGTCTGTGTCAATCTGTCGGAAAATATCTTTGCCATACTCATCCTGATCATTAGTGTCACTGGCTCCCCAGACGGTCCACTACGGTACGATTTTTGCTCTAGTCGGCATCTCCCCTCCCCGACCCACTGCAATGGCGTGAGTGGTGGGGTGACTCCGACGCCCGAGGTTTCAAGGCGCCTCGAGTCTAGTCTAGTAGGCCGCGTTGCGCCGAGGCGTGAGTCTTGGTGGATTCCTCGTCAGCGGATGCCCGCGCGGCCACTCCCGGTCGGCGGCGTTCCATTCAGACTAGACAGCAAAGGGCGGGAAGGAAGTCAACCAAGGCAACCTCGCCGGGCGCACGCCGTCCGTCCGCCTGTCGCTCGCGCTTGGCTCTGAGGGGCGGGCGAGCGGCCAGGCGTCTAATATTATCAATCCCGTTCGTGCTTCTTCTTTCCAACACATCCCCTCGTATCATTTCCCCCCACGCGACCCCTCTACACACCACTACCTCACCTCTTCCCAGCTCCAGCACACGACAGATACATTCATCATGGCTGCCGCCGCTTCCCTCCGCATGAGCTCATCCAGGATGATGACCATGGCTCCTAAGCCCTCCTTTGCTGGCATTGCTCAGCGAGGCGTTGCACCCCGACGCACCATTGGAGGCCAGCGCTGGTACACTGAGAGCCCCAAGGCTAACACTACTGGACCCACCGCAGGCTCGGTAAGTCTGAGAGATACTCTACGATGCCCCTTTCAGTATGTGGCACCTGCTGTCAAGGACGATTACTGACCATCTACCTCGCTACCAATTTCCGCTCCACCTATAAATCTCCTCCCGCACCTTCTGTCATGCTTTTGATGACCCTACAGCCCCCTCCTCCTCTCAGCTCCCGAGCTACCGGCACTCGTACCATGCTCATGTGGTCTGCCCCAGCTCTAGCTATCGCAGCAGGTGCCTTCCTTTACCTCAGCAGGGAGGACAAGAAGGAGACCCTTGGCGTTGGCTCTGGTGGAGTCAGCAAGCTCAAGGGCTCCAAGCACAACTCTGGACCCACTCTCAGCTCCGGTCCAGGTGGCATTGGAGGCCCGCCCATGAAGGGGACTGCTGGCTCGAAGGCCGATGGAACAAAGGCGGGAAGCAAGGCCGATTACCAGGTGAGTTCGCGGACATGGGAGTTACTTGAGGCAGGCAAACCGGTCGTGGAACTTCATGGGCTGACTTGTCCATGTCTCTCCGCGCTTTTCGTTTCACAGGAGGTGTACAATGCGATCGCATCCAAGCTTGACAAGGTACGACTTTGAACACAGAGGAATGAGAGAAACGGTAAAGCAAAGGGTAGGAATTGCAGTATAGGAAAGCAACATAGCATTCATAGGTTTCGTAGCACACAAAGGCACATTACATGCTTCTCGCTAGACTCTCTTTGCCTTTGCTCGGCTTGATGAGATTGACGCAGTTGTACGGATGGAGCGCGATGGTGGAGCACAGGCAGTTCGCGCCCTCACTTCCGAAGCTCCTCATTCACACTTCCTTCCCAATTTCGCTGCTTCACGCTGATAGGATGAGAACTATGACGATGGTTCTTACGGCCCCGGTACGTCCCATTCGCATTCGCTACCAAACGTCAGAGTAGGAACTGACCTACGAACCTCTCCTCCACCCTTTATATACTCTTCGCTGGCCTCGCTTACATCACCATTCCCACGCTCCGCCTCCGCCCCGCTCAACGCGTCCTCCACACTGCAATTCGCAACATCGTGACCCTCCGCTCCCGCCAAACGCCCACACGTCACAATGCTGGCCCCCGAACATCTGCCCTTCCGCAAATCTCCCATCGGCTAAAATGGAATTTGACCACTCGCAGTACTCGTGAGGCTTGCTTGGCATGCCAGTGGAACCTATGACAAGAAGTCCGGCACTGGTGGATCCAACGGAGGTGAGTAGGGAGACGCTGGGGATCAAGCGCGTTGGCGGCTCATCGCTGATCAACTATTTCTATTATGCTGCACTGTTTCAGCTACCATGCGCTTCGCTCCCGAGGCCAACCACGGAGCCAACGCTGGTCTGATCCACGCCCGCAACTTCATGGACGAGATTCACCAGCAATTCCCATGGTGTGTACCAGCGCGCTGTCGTGCAATGTAGAGGACTGCTTACTCATAAAAAGGGCGCCTTTCTTTCCCTCTTTAGGATCACATACAGTGACCTGTGGACGTTGGGAGGAGTTGTAGCTGTGCAGGAGCTTGGTGGACCCAAGGTGCCCTGGAGGCCCGGCAGGTCTGACCGAGAGGAGGAGCACTGCGCTCCCGATGGACGTCTGCCGGATGGTGACAAGGGCCATGACCACCTGCGTGACATCTTCTACCGCATGGGCTTCAATGACCAGGAGATCGTCGCCCTCTCTGGTGCTCACGCTCTGGGTCGATGCCACAAGGACCGATCTGGATTCGAGGGACCATGGCAGCACTCTCCCACTTCATTCAACAACGAGTACTTCAACCTCTTGCTCACTGAGCCATGGGAATTCAAGAAGTGGGACGGACCCAAGCAGTACGTGGACAAGGCCACAAAGGGCTTGATGATGGTGAGTGTGGTGAAAGCTTAGCAAGTCGAGCTTCATAGGTAGCCCTGGAGACGTACTCACGACCTCTTCACTCCCCCTCCTCCCCACAGCTGACGACGGACATGGCCCTGGTGCAGGACAAGTCCTTCAAGAAGCACGTGGATCGTTACGCCAAGGACGAGAGCGTCTTCTTCAAGGAGTTCTCCTCTGCCTTCTCGACTCTTCTCGAGCTAGGTGTGCCCCAGGAGAACTTCAAGAACTTTGAGGCAGACCACTCTGGTCAGCAGTACGTCCTGAAGACTACTGCCGAGCAGGAAAACTCGTCGTAGATTGCTTCAGAGTTGTCTAGAGCTTTAGACTAGATGGTGACTAGAAAAAGGTGGGGGACTAGACAGGCATAGAGCTTCGCAGTAGAAGATTAGATGCTCCCACGCTCTTCCGCCTAGTAGACACGTCATCGATAGATGCCTCACTTACCCTAGAGGTTCCTTTTGTAGAGACTGCCGTAGAAAACCTTTAGAAGCCATACACCTTTCCTTGGGCATTTGCATCGTTGTACCCATCAAGCGCTAGCCTCTTCCCTGCAGTTGTGCATTGTGTGTGTTGCTCTCTGTGATCTCTGTGTGTTGCTCTCCTTGCACCCCGCATTTTGCTGCGACTCCGCCGGCCCTGCATCTGAAGCCGCTTTGAGTTGCATTGCGTTGCATCGTGTGTTGCATTCCCTGCCGCTCTCTTCCTTCCCCCCTGATCTACTCTTCTTGTCTTGGATTCACTTGCTGCTTCGCCTCTCTGTCCTCCTCTTGGGCCCCCCACCAGCAAATTGCTCGTGCCTCTTCGCTCAGCATGGACCTCCAAAAGAGCGGGCATGGGGATGCGCATAGCGTCCATGGAGCAGAGCCCTCTCCCTCTCGCTCTCCACTACGGAAGCGCTCCCTCTCGCTACGTCGGTTGCGCTCGCCCCCCTTCCAGGCCAACGGAGCTTCCAGTGTGAAAGGTACTCCTGTATCATCACGTGAGGTGCAGAGTGAGCCTGTGCCTCCCCTTCCTGCTTCTACGAGCGCGTATGGACGCTTAGAGGGAGGAGGACTGGGAGGAGGAGGAGCGATGAGCCATGCGGCACCGAGAAGATCGCTTGCTGCGCTCCGTCAGACTGCTACTGCTCCGAGTAGCACAAAACAGCCCTTCCCGGACCGGGACCGGGACCTGGACTCGGACCCCGCGCTACCGCCCGTTTGGCCCGAGGAGATCAAGTATCAGCGATGCTATTGCGAGGAAGGCTCTTACCTGCTCGCGGCGCAGCTTGAGGAGGAACTCGAGGCACGCCGCTTGGAAGGAGGAGGTCAAGGCGAAGGTGAGACTCGGCAATGGGAATGGGAGGTGTGGGTCGTGGTGGTCAGCAATAGAGATAGGACGGTGAGTACAGTCGGACGTAAGACAAGATGTACTAAGAAGCCAGACAACCTGACGTGGCAACCCAATTGCTTATGTACGAATGAACAGGTCTTACTTTGGCATCAGAAAGCGTCCAAGTCTCCTGAGCTCAATCATGCTGTCCTGTGGGACTATCACGTCTTCGTGGTCGTATCAAGGCGGAGGGTCACGGATCAGGGGAGAGACTCTGCACATACTACAGCCCCGGAACATGTCACAGGTGCACAATATGCGTCATCACCTCCCCATCCAAGCAGCCACAGCCTCGCAGCACCACTGCCGCCTAGACAAGCTCGCTCGCTCTTTGGGCGCAGCAAAGAGACCGGAACAAATGGAGCTCAGAGCGGCTTACAGCACACCCGGCTACAGGATTTGATACCTGACTGGTCCGCCTGGGTGTACGATATCGATTCCTGCCTATGCTCCGAGCCAGACGTACCCTTTACCTCCTCCACTCTACGTCCTGTACCCTTTGAGGCGTATACTTCCAAGACATTTGCCTATTCTCCTGGAGTTTACCCTGCCGAATATCTTCCCATGTTCCGCCTTGCCAGGGCTGGCGCATTCCTGGACAATTTCGCCTCGGATCGCTCCCACATGCTCAGCCCTGGCAGCAGCAGCGGCATCGGCGGTGGCGCAAAGGAGGCACAAGGGTTAGCGTACAGCGCTCCTGTCCCTCCTTGGCCAGTCATCATAGGGCCTCGGGCTAGACGGAGAGGTTGGACGAATAATCTAATGGAGAAGTGGGTCAATATGGACGATGCGCAACAGAGAGCACTCAAGGAGGGAGGTGTCGAGTGGCAGAACCAGTCGGAGGAGCTCAAGGTCCAATTTGGCAAAGTCATGCTCCGTGAGGAATTCTTTGCAGGGAGGTGGAAGATGGCCATGTGGAGACGGCGTACAGGCGAGGAGCGAGCAGAGGTGTATCTTCCTCATGCTTCACCATCGAAGGCTGGCATAAGGTCGTCGAATGAGTTGAGCAAGAGTCCTCCCATCGAGGCAAGAAGGGGAGGAAGGGTGAGCAGTCCCCTCTTTCCGGCATACATGGCTGCGAGTCTGCAGGCGAGGGCTGCACGTCCTAGGGAGAGCTATCTTGCACTGAGAGCGACTGATGGGAAGGTCACACAGTTATGGCCTGATGTTGATGGGAGACAGCAGACTGAAGGTGGCGGGCTCTAGACTACTCGTACCTGCCTTCATTATGTGTTCCTGTGCTTCGTCTGTGTTGCGAAGGGAGGCGAGCTCACCACCCGATGGTCCCTTGTCTTTTCATTTCCACCTCTCTCACCCTCCACTCATGAATATCTCCCTGTGTGTGCGTCTCGATTTAAAAAAGATGTCCGACCTGCAGGTCTCGTCTTTCACGTCGTTGGCTTCCCTGAGCAGCTTCTCCCCACGCAGTCCAATAGACGCCGCGATCGCTGCACCCGAGGAGCAAAAAGGAAGGTCCACGCAGCACAGGCAGGAGACTGCAGTCAAAGTGTAGAGCTCCGACGTGGATGGGCCCAGTGGTGGGTAAGGGGCCCCGCCACGCCCTCTTCTCCACACAAGGAGAGCAGAGCATAGCACAAGCACAAGGGAGGCAAGAGTGGGCTACCTGCAGTGTCTTCGTCATGCTTTCGTCTTCCCGCTGAGAAGTCTCGCCTAATCTCCTTCCTTGCGACATCGTCAACTCCCGTGTCCCTCTTCTCTCTCTCTCTCTCTCTCTCTACTCTTCACCTCCTTGTCCTCTTCCTTGTTCATCTCCTTCTCCATCCTCATCCCCTCGTTCCTGTAGAGTGACCCGCCACAAGAAGTCTTGCATATACCCAATCACCTTTACCCTAGTCTCCCTCCCCTACTTTACTTTGCCATCATGGAGTCTTTTAAGCATTTAGAAGGGACCAAGAATCATTGGCGTGCCCTCTCGCAGGAGCCAACAATGATCATTGCCTTTGCCCTCGGCACTACCATTAGCGCCTTTATCCTCCTCTACATCAATTGGTCTAAAGCTCGTCCTGTACTAGACCCAACACGCTTTCAAGAATTCCCCCTCATCGACAAGAAGGTGCTTAGCTCGAATACTGCTCGGTACAGATTTGCCTTGCCAAAGAAGGATTCGATGCTGGGACTGCCCATTGGACAACATTTGCAGGTGCAGGTGGATGTAAATGGGAAGATGGTGCAGCGGAGCTATACGCCCACTACTTCGGACGACGAGCTGGGTTTCTTTGAACTGGTGATCAAGGTGAGTAGAGCGGAGCGGAGCAAAGACGTGGCATGACCTCAGACTGTAGAGGCAAAGGTTCGTGTGGGTAAGCTCCTCTGACAGAACACACTCTTCCCGCCTCCTTCTCCCCCGTGCTGCTCACAGACCTACCCACAAGGCAACGTCTCTGCCCACGTCGGCAGTCTCAAGATCGGCGATCACCTCTCCGTCAAGGGTCCTCGTGGACAAATGCGCTACCACAATGGCATTGCCAAGCACATTGGTCTCGTTGCTGGTGGCACAGGTCTCACTCCCATTCTACAAATCGTCCAACAGGTTCTCAAAGACCCGGAAGACGATACGCAGCTAGACTTCCTCTATGGAAATGTCGGAGTGGGAGATATTCTACTCAAGGATGAGCTTGATGCACTTGCTGCTAAGCACGAGCAATTTAGGGTTCATTACTTTTTGAATGATCCGCCTGAGGGATGGGAGGGAGGAGAAGGACATATCTCAAAGGAGGCCATTGCTGAGCATTTCCCCAAGCCAAGTAGGACAAGCAAGGTACTCATGTGTGGTGAGTTCCGCGCAAAAGGAGCCAATGCTATTTTCAGACTCAAGCAGGAGGGAAGTGGACTGACCCATTGCTATCGCACACCTCTGTCCTCCCTTCGCCCAGGCCCTCCACCGATGATCAATGCCTGCAAGAAGCACCTCGAGGAGCTGGGCTTTGATGAGGCGCGGGCGGTCAGCAAAATGGAAGACCAAGTCTTCTGCTTCTGAGCACCTTCCAGTACGGACCTGGTTCTCCGGATAGTCCTCGGACTGAGATAGCTCAAAGCGAGACAACAGACGAATAAATGCAATTGTATTGCGATCAATGGTAGATTGATCTGGTACGCGCCGATCGCCCCCTTCTTTCTGTTCCCTCCCCGATGATTTGGCCCCCTTGTATATGCATGTTCAGGTGCCTGTACCCTCTAAAAAGAGTCATGACCCTCCGGTCTTTCTCAGACATCGCACGTCGGGGTGGGGAAGCAATGCACCTTTATCTGTACCCGGCCCGCGAGAAAGCGCAGACCCTGTGCTAGCGTGGACGTGTGAGAGACAGTGGCTGGGTAGATTTCCAACGTGCGCTCTCTGACTGTGCCTTGGCGCGAAGATCGTGGTACGTAGGTCAGGTATTCTTGATAGGTCGGGTCCCACTCTATATCAATGCGCCATGCGAGGTGGAGGCAAGGGGGGCCGCCCGATGCCGCGTGACTTGGCATGAGGTGTCCTTACGACTACCTTCGTTGCTCTTGTGCAATGAAGAGGAGGCTCGGCTATCCTACATGACGAGAGTCTGTGGTGCTTGCTGGGCGCTCTGCTGGCCCCCCGGTGGAGCTGAAAGGATGACTGCGAGTACTGCACAGAGGAGTGTGCCTACGAGGAAGGTGATTGTGATTGCTGGTGGCGGAACGAGGAGTATGGATAAAGTAGTGTCAGCAGAAGCAGGACAGGACAACGAACACAAGAGAAGCCGAACTTTCTGCAGGAACACTCACCCTCCAGTCTACTGGGCACATAGCTCGTCCTCATCAGTTGACTCTGCACTGCAAAGTATCTCCAAGTGCCAAAGAGGAGCGTGAGGATTCCAATGATAATAAAGCTCGATCCCATCGGTGTAGCCAGATCCCTCACCGTCTCCCCTCCCAGCCAGTACGAAGGACCCCGCAAGTGGGAGCTACCCCCGTTACGCCCGGCGGAACCAAAATCCTCATCATCTTCCCATCCTTTTGGCAGTCGAAAGAATTGGGACAGGGCGATCCCTACTGAGGTTAGTGTGAGGCTGGTTCGGAGCCAGGCTAGATAGGTGCGCTCGAGAGCTAGATGGTCTCGAGCTACCGAGCCGGTGTTCTCTAGTACGGGAGGGTGGAGGATAGAGGAGAGGAAGGACATGGTTGCTCACTCGGGGTAGAAGAGAGAGGAAGGGTGAGAAAGGAAGGAATCTGATACTGAGTGCATCACCATGAGGGGGAGAGTCTCCTTATCTCTGTATCATACCCCCGCAGCAGTACTACTCTGGCGATCTGGGATGGGCCCGGGTGCGGATGAGACAAGGCGGGGTGGGAGTGGCGTGCTTGGTCTCTCGCTTGGCTGCAATGCTGCATCTTCTCCACCCCTGCTTCCGTTCCTGCTTCGACTCCACTCCCTCTCCTCCACACGGACCATCTGGATTGGTCAAGGAGAAGAAGGAAATCTAGTCGATGAGAGTCTTTCCGCTTCTTGCCTTGCCTTGAAGCAGAGGGGAATCCACACCATGACCATTCACTCTACAACCCAAAGATTATCCCGCGCCTCGAGCTCATCGTCGTCTCGTCCTAGCAGACCCACTCGCAAGTCCATCCTGTCCCTCCTCACAGACGCCCACTGCCACCCAACCGATGACCCCACCCTCTCCTCCGGCGATCCAAATGGTGCCCAGAAGCTCGCACAGCGTCTGCAACAGATTCCATTGGAGGGAGCGTGTGCTATGGGTAGCTGTACTGAGGATCAAGTTCTGGTGAGGAGGCTGGCGGAAGAGATGCACAAGAGTGGAAGGGCGAAGGGTAAAGCCAGAGAAGAGGTGGAACAGGTGGACCAGGAGGAGAGGACACGAGTGCAGCTCAGACCTTGCTTTGGTGAGTGCATGTGGAGTACCACTGCAGATCAGAAGTGCTCAGTGTGTCCTGTGTCAGCTAAAGAGAGCTACCATCGATCTCCCACAGGCTACCATCCCTGGTATTCGCATTCCCTCTCCCTCGAGCACCCACCACCTCCCCGCGAAGAGCACTATCGCTCCCTCCTCCTCACCAATGACTCATCACAACAAGCCAGAGACGAGTTAGGAGCTCTCCTCCCTCATCTTCCCACGCCTAGATCCCTAAAAGATATCTTAGAGGAGATACGCAATAATTTGAGGGCTTTCCCGAATGCACTCCTTGGCGAGGTGGGGCTGGATAGGGCGTTTAGGATACCGACGAGCAAAGAGGCTGTGAAGGACCAGCCGTCAGAGCGATCCTTGCTAGTCAGCGATCCCGCTTCCTCTTCTACGAGCACAAGTACGAGCTCCCCTATCTCGCCCGAGAAAGAGGAAGAGCAAGAGCAAGAGCAAGAGCACGGCCACAATGAGCACACCCTCGCCCTTCGAGGCAAACGTCTCACCTCTCTTGGCGTACCCATTGGGCATCAGTGTAAAGTGCTGCTGGCCCAAATCGGCGTAGCGGTGGAAGAAGGACGCAGTATAAGCTGTCATAGCGTACGGGCTGGTGAAGCGACGGTAGAGCTAATCAGGGAGTGTTGTAGAGTGTACAATGGCGCTAGTGGGAGGGGGTTCAGGGATGTTAGTGAGTACACAGAGAAGCGAGGAAGGGTTGAATAGCTTGATGGAACAGTACTGACTTCATTTGAACGTTCGCATCGTAGATCTGGATCTTCACTCATGCACCATGAGCGCCGAGCAGCTCAAGGAGATTCTCGTGAGTGAAAGCCCTGCATGAAGCGACTAGCAACGTCATGCTCTCCTCAGTAGCGTCCTGCCAATCTTCCTCACACTCTCCTTTCCTTTCACAGCGCCACCACCCCAACATCTTCGTCTCCTTCTCCACGACCATCAATGCACGTCAAAAAGGTCTCATCTCCCAGCTAGCAATCGTTCCTCCTACACGACTCCTCGTAGAATCCGATTGGCATTCCGCCGAGCAGCTAGCAGGAAGGAATTGGGACGTGCTCAAATTGGTAGCCCCATTCGTCCTGAGGGGAAAGGCAGGGCCTGCTTTAGATCTTGACTTCAAGGAGGGTAAAGTGGACTTGGAAGACGAGAAAAGAGAGGAGGAAGAGTTGGGAGAGGAAGAAGCTCATCTACTCTTCAAGGCGGCCCTCCTCCTCAAGGCCAATTGGCAACGCTTTGAGCTGAATAATGCCAAGCGCGTCGAGCTCAGGCAGAGAAAGGGAGGGCGGCGGCGCAAGAGCAGCAGCCAGCCTGGAGGCGAGCAGGGAACGAATGGAGCTGAAGTGAGGAGCGACGAAGGGTACGATGAGGGAGAGGTGATGGATGGAGAGGACGACGACGAGGAGGATGAGGAGGAGGAGGAAGAAGCAGAGTGGGAACGTCGTATGGACTTTGAAGACCAGTGGTGGAAAGATGTGCGTGCTGGTGCGCTCAAGAAGGAGTGAGCTTTGCCGGTAGGAGCCAAGTAGGTTCCTATTTCTGTCGACCAGGGAAGTCGTCATACGAATGCTCGACTCGGCTGCACTCAAGATCCATCATCTACTGAGGACTAGCGTTTGCTTCTATCCATGTCAGGTCATAATGACACTCCCTCCGCCGCCATTCATACCTTGCACCTCTGCCACGCCACCGACCCCTCCTCCCGCCGCTGCCGTCGAATCCATTCCGTCAGCACCAGTGGGCAGCAGAGCCAGCTTCCCTTCTACAAAGTCAATCACGTCCAGCAGACAGCTCCTGAGTACCTGTATTGCTCTCCTCTCGGGCACCTTGATCACTTTACCCGCCCGCTTGAGTTTCCTCCTCACCTCTTCCTCTTGACTCCACCAGCTGTGCGTCTCTGGTAGGAACACCCTCGCATTACGCAAGTACCACTTGCGGAGTTCAGCCTCGTCCCGCCCGACCATTGGGACGCTTTCGTGTCCCATTGTCGACGCGAGGGCTCTTACGCGCGGGTCCTTGTCCAATCTGCGGGAGTGCAGGAGGGAGAGGACGGGAGAGACGGCTCCTGCGTGGGATAGAATGACGATGCGTGGACATTCGCTCAGCTCGATGTAATTGTCCCAGATGAATTCGAGGAACTCCAAAGAAGTGGCTTTCCCCCGCTGTCCTGCCGTTGTGAAGAGGTTGACGTCTACGACTGCGAAGCCCCTCTTGCTGGCCCATTCTAGGACAAGCGAGGAAGAGTCGACTAGATAGGCCGATTCTGCTTCGGGAACCAGGGCTAAATTGGGTCGCTCGTTGCCTGCGCGGAGAGAACCCATGTCGTGCACGAAGAGGACGATGGCCTCGTGGGCGGGCTTGCGCTCCATGAGATCCCCACTGCAGAGGGCATGAGCGCCCCACTCCTCTGCGAGGTTGCCGATGACGGGAAGCTCGGAAAGCTGGAATTTCTTGGCAATTTGATACTGGCGGTGCGCTTGGAGAAGCTCAGAGATGGACACTTTTGGCAGGCCTTCCTCGTGTGTCGGAATTGGGTCCAGAGGAGAGGAGTCGATGCACTTCCAGTACTCAGAGACGTCCCTCTTGACCAGACGCATGGTGTTGACTGCGACTGCAGAAGCAGAGGGAAGCGACTCGTGCGAAGGCACAGAATCTCCCAGGATGGTCCGCGTCACTGCGAGAGCCGAATTGGCTAGCGCATCCACATTGTAGCCACCCTCTAGTGCCACGACGAGCTTGCCATCAGCAAGCCCCATGAGCATGTACGTCATCTGAGCATACCCGATCGGTGTGACTAGACAGCCACCCAGGGGGTCGTTCTTGGCAGCGTCAAATCCGGCAGAGATCATGACCAGGTCCGGGCCGAATTCGGCGGCGATGGGCATGACGATGTGGTGGAAGGCGTATAGGTACTCTCCGTCTCCCATGCCGGCAGTAGGCCAGGGGATGTTGATGCTGAAGCCTTTGCCTGGGCCGGAGCCCACTGAGGCCGAAGCGCCGTAGGTGGAGCCGGGGTAAAATTCACCGTTCTCGTAGCGATGTAAGGAGATGAACAGGACGTCTGCATCCTCCTCGAATGCCTTTTGTGTACCATTGCCATGATGCACGTCCCAATCTAGGATGAGGATTTTCTTGATACGCTTTTCCTTCGGCACTTCCTCTCCGCCGTACTTTTCCTTGATCCATCTCACAGCCACTGCGACGTTGTTGAACATGCAGAAGCCCATTGAGCGGTCTGGCTCAGCGTGATGCCCTGGAGGTCGGACGATAGCAAAGCCGTTGCGGATCTTTCCGGAGCAGACGGCATCGCAGAGTTCGATGACGCCTCCGCAGGAGAGACGTGCGCAGCGAAAGGTATGCTCGTTGATGTACAGGGAGGATTGCTCGCCGAAGAGCTTTGTGACCTCGAAGAGCGCAGACCGGGTATAGACTGGCAAGCAGACATGCACCAGAGTAAGTCTCCAAAGCTGACAGAGTGAGGCCCCTAATGCTGAGGGAGCGACGACTCACATTGACTTCTCCAAACTCCTTCCCACACTCCGAGATCATGTACCAATGCGACCTCGTCCCTCTCCACTTCTCTAGGCTGTATCCTCTTCATCCTCTTGACACATCCATTGTCCTTGAGTACCTGAAATGCCCTTGATATCCTCTCTGGAGCTTCTGGATGGCCCTCGTGAGCCTCTCTGGTGACCAAGACGGGTTCGGCGTGGAGCATCATGATGGACGAGTAGACGAGGCCGGTGTGAAGAGGGACGACGAGGGTATCTGAGCTGCCTTGAGCCTGCGGGACGTCTGCCATCTTCTCACTGCCTTGAATTTGTCGGGTGTCTGCCATCTCCTCATCTGCCCGGGGCTGATCGTCCTCGATACGCTTGCCGGCGACGTAGAGGGAGACTGTATGAGGAAGAGGGCCAGAAGAGGTGCTGGCGGATGCCGTGGGCCCTTCTGCTGTAGCTGCTGCCGAAAGTGACGCCGAGGACAAGCCAGCTTGCGACGGAGCAGCCATGATCGAAGACGTCTGCCTCTCCCAGAGGTCGGCAGGGGATGCTTGGTGATGGCAGTCTACCTCTGACGGAAGCAATGGCGACGTCTTGGTTGTCCCTGCACCTCTACGGAAAGGGAGAGGCGTAGAGTGGCCTACGCGCGCCCGCCTCGCGTGTCTGAGCGGTAGAGCGGAGTATGAATCACCAGGTACGAAGTTGCCCTGAGCGCAAAGCTTCCCCCTCTACTCCACTTTTGGCGTCAAGTGCACCGCCCGCCTTGAACAGATCCGCACACAGCGTCTTTGGGAACATGCTTCCTTCCTCTTCTGGTCACTCTACGCCTCCATTGTCTCAATAGCTTCTCTTCTCATCCTTCTCATTTCCTCCTCGTATACAACATGAAGAAGGTGAGTGAACGTTGTAGGGCAAGCACCTTCCTGCGCTTGACCTCATACCAATGCTCTGCGGCGCTCCTCCTCGCAGTTCCTCAGCAAGCTAGAATCAAAGCTCGACGGGGGTTCAGGCGGCGGCAGCGGCGGCGGATCTTCCACCTCCTCGGCCCCTGCCCCGGATCTCGGCTCTCAGCCATCACAGCGTCACATGTATTACCATCGCAAGCAGTATGGTGTCAATCTCGGCTCCTGGTTCACACTGGAGAGCTGGCTCACCGGTAGTCTGTTCCAGGGCGCAAAAGATCCAAAGGGAAGTGAGATGGACCTATTGCATGGATTGGGACCCGAGAAAGCCAAGCAGGTGTTGGAGAGTCACTGGGATAATTTCATCAATGATGGAGACTGGAAGGTGAGTGTGAGAGCCAGGCGCACTAGACATATACATGGACACGAGCTCTAATGTGACTCCATTACACTTCGCAGTGGATGACCTCCCAAGGCATCAACACAGTTCGACTACCCATCTCCTACTATCACTTCCTCCCCGGTAGCTCCTCGTCCAAGCTCATGGACGGGACCGAGTACGAAAAGTATGCTTCTGTCTACTCAGGTGCTTGGCCACGAATTCAGCGAGCAATCGAGACTGCTGCATCGCATGGCATCGGTGTACTAGTCGACTTGCATTCGGCGCCCGGGTCGCAGAACACAGACGGACACTCCGGTCTGTCCACGGGCAAGGCTGGGCTCTGGGACTCCAGCAAGCATCAAAAGAACACTATTGCCATCCTGCAAGCATTGGCCAACGAGGTAGCTCGATACGACAATGTCGTGGGACTCGAGTTGCTCAATGAGCCCAAGAACAACAACGGTCTGCAGGGCTTCTACGAAGACGCTATCAAGGCGATTCGCAAGCAAGGAGGGCCTGCTGCTGAGCTGCCACTCTATCTCGGTGACGCTTGGGACCTCAATCACTACGCAGGATGGGTAGCGAAGCAGGCCGGCCCGGGGAACTTCCTAGTGGTAGATCACCAGTGAGTTCAAAGAAGTCGTTCGGAGCGTTCCTGGCAAAGACTACGCATTGACGTATCTTCTCTTCCTTTTACACAGCCTGTACCGCTGCTTCACCAAGGAGGACCACTCGACCCAAGCCATGGAACATGCCAAGCGTCTTCAAAACGGCGGCCAGACTCAAAAGATGCTCGCAGGTGCAGCAAACACTCTAGGGGGCAGTCTGATCATCGGAGAATGGTCATCTGCGCTCAACCCCGGTTCCTTGCAGGGCCAGTCGCAAGACGAGGCTCAGAGGGCATGGGGCCAAGCGCAGACTGGCTCCTACGCTTCGCTACTTGGCGGTAGCTTCTTCTGGACCTTGAAGAAAGAGGGAGCTCCCGATGGAGGCTGGAACTTGTACTCTGCCATTGAAAAGGGCGTCATCCCCTCGGGTCTCGGCCGCCCGCGTCAGGCACCCGGCGACCTCGACCAAAGGGGCAACCATGCCGGCTCGCAAGCCTTAGAATCGCACTCCAACTATTGGAATTCCCACGGCGCCAAGGGCGACCACCGGCCCTTCTCCGATGGGTTCCAGCAAGGTTGGCAGGATGCGAACCTCTTTTGGCAGCAGGGCGGTCAGAACCAGATTGGCTTCTCGGGACAGTGGGCCATGACGAGGGCGGAAGGATGGAAGAGGCAGGGAGGTGATGGTGGAATTGCTTGGGAGTACGAGCATGGCTGTCGTCAGGCCATTGAGGCGTTCAACCAGATGCTGAGAGGGTAGCTTTGCGGTGTATTATAGCTCTGGAATTGCCATGCAGAATCAAAAGTTGTCTGTGTTGTTGTTGTTTGACAATCTATTGTAGGGGTATGATGAACGAGTCGCAGGGTCTTCTCTGACCATCATTAGAAGGAGGACTCGGGAGGAATAGGATCTTTAGGATGTTTGCTCTCCCAATGCAGGATCAATGACTTGTAAGACTGCCACAGAAGGGAACCATAAGTCTCCAAATCAGCACTAGCAGTACTTGCACCTCTTTCTCTCTCTACTTCTCACTTCTCTCCATCTCCCTGTTCACGGCTACTCACAGGTATCCCAATCATGCACTTCTGGCACTTGAATTGCCTCAAGGCCGTCTCCCTCGCCTCTCCCAATTGACTCTTACCAGAACCCTTTCCACCTGCAGCTCGCTTCGCAGCAGCTTCCTTGGCTTCGGCCTTGGCGTGTCCGCGCACCATACAAGTCGAAGGGGGGATATGAGACCTCAAGAAGTGGAGAAGGAGAGTGTTGAATGGTGTGGATCTTTGAGTAGGAGTGGACTAAGGTGCTGGTGTTGCGCGAATATGAGTGAATGGGTGAGTGAGCAGTGTGAGCGAGTGTCCCGCGCAAAGTCCGCCGAGTTGCCTTTGACTTTTCCCAAGGAGAGGCACCCGCTGCCTCTCCTTCCGTCAGCTCCTTCCCGACAGACAAAAGGTCAAATCCTCACCATCATCCCATCCTCACACCTCGTCCTGCTGAACCGACCGAAGTCATGCTCTCACCCGCACTCGCATCGTCATTGCGAGCAGCTGCAAGAGCTAGAGCCGTAGCTGTAGGAGGAGCTGCAGTCGCTCCTGCTGCTCCTGCCGCCACTTGCGCCTGCGTACCTGCTCTTTCCAGATCCTATGCAAAGGTGCGAAGCTCACCTCGCGATGAAGCCGACAAGCCTCAACCAAACGCAGCCACAGAGGAGTCTCCTGCTGCCTCTTCTTCATCATCCCCACAGAGCGCTCGACCTGCCGAGGATCCAGCTGCCTCTGCCCCTGCAGAAGAGGCAGCAACTTCCACCCCTCCTCCACCACGCCAGGGTCCATCAGCCTTTGACATCGACTCGAGTCTGATGGCCATTGCAGACCAAGCAGCAGAAGGAGGCTCAGGTGGTGATGGTGGAAGAGGAGGTAGGACAGGCGCTCGAGCTAGAAGTGACGCTCAGCAGTCTTCCATTGATAGGCAGAGGAAGAATACACGGAGGGTACTGGGAATCCTCTTCCTTGGCGGGTCGGGAGTTTTGCTGGGAAATATGGCGAGGGATTGGGATACAGTCAAGGAGCGAGAGAGGTTTGCAGGGGTGAGTTGATGAGCGGAAGGTTGCGAGACTGCTCAGGTGACCGTCCACTGACACTTCCGTACGATTTACCCCTCAATAGAACCCACTCTCAGACTCTGCATTCGGCAGGATGAGGCTGCGTATCAATGCCATGTGGGAGGACTTCCAAGCGCCCGTCTGGGAGAAGCTCTTGCCAGATCCGCTACCCTTCCCCTATCAACGCCCCTACACTCTCGTCGTTGATCTTGACGAGCTACTGGTGCACTCTCACTGGACTAGAGAGCACGGCTGGCGTACAGCAAAACGACCCGGTCTGGACTACTTCCTGGCTTACCTCTCGCAATTTTGGGAGATTGTCCTCTTCACCACACAGCCATACTACATCGTCGCGCCCGTCATTGAGAAACTCGATCCAGACAGGCGGTACATTGCCTACACCCTCTTCAGGGAGAGCTGTCGAACCCACAAGGGAAAAGTGGTCAAGGATCTCAGCGCCCTCAACCGTGACTTGAGCAAGGTAGTTGTGCTGGACACTGATGCGGATCGATACTCGATGCAGCCGGAGAATGGGATCCTAATGAAAAAGTGGGACGGGAATCGAAATGATGCTGAGCTGGTTGGGATGATTCCCTTCTTGGAAGGTGAGTCGAGATTGGACAGGGGCGGTCCTTTGATAGACCTGGCGGCGTGCATACTAACGAGAGCCTCTCCTCCCCTGTGCTGTACTTCGTCTTCGCTATAGCAATCGGCATCTACCAAATTCCTGACGTTCGCTCTCCCATCAAAGCCTACGAAGGACAGCACATTCCCACCGAGTACAACAAGCGTCAGCGTGAAGTCAAAGAAGCCGAAGATGCCGCCTGGCTCGCCAAGCACGGTCCCAACAAATCCTCTTCAGGAGCAAGCAGTACCCTCTCCTCTCTCCTTGGCAGTCTCAAATCCTCCTCTTCTACCAAACCACCCCCTGTAGCAGGTAGTGTCACTTCTTCCGGTCGACCAAAGACCTTTTATGAACTAGAGAGGGATAGGTATCAAGCTGGATATCTCGAAGATCAAAAGTATTGGAAGGAAAATGGTGAAGCATTGAGGAAACAGGCAAAGGAGGAACAGGAGAGACAGATGAGGGAGATGAAGATGAGTGCTTGGGGGATGCTTACGGGACAGGGGATGAGACCGCCTGAGCAGGGTGAGGCACAGCAGCAGCAGCAGCAGCAGCAGCAGCAGCAGGCAGGGAAGTAATGACAGCAGATGTACAATCGGGGAAGAGCTGCAACACACCACACCACACCACACCACTTGCTATCCATCGTCTTTGTTTGCATGGACGATCTCATGATCTCGTCTGAGCCGTCCTTGTTGTGTCACGTACTTTTGCCAAAGAGCCTAGAGAAGTACTGATGTGCTGTACTTGCAGTGCTGTGCTGTACTTGCAGTGTTGTGCTGTATGTCGTGCTGTACTTTTCAACAATCGATTTCCATATCCTACACACCTCTACCTCTACCTCTCTCTCTCTCTCTCTCTCTCTCTTCTCCACGCTTTGCCCGTACACCACTTCTGCTTGCTTGAAGTGTTCCAAGCATCTGTGTCTTTACGACGAGGAACGAAGGACGAGGGATGAGGGATGAGGGATGAGGGAAGGAATGCAGCACATATACGCACACGCTCACTTTGCTCGTCCAAGACGGGAGGGAGAGGCAGAAGCAGAAAGAGAAGCAGAAGCAGAATCAGTAGCAGTAGCACTATCGCTGGCAGGCTAGGTGAGAGGGTAAAGGATCATTGACAGGCCACGCCAGAGGGGGGCAAAGAAGAGTAACAGCACACGGCCCCTCGACCAGAATTTTCCCCCCACCTTTGCTCAGCCTCGCCTGACCTTTTCCCCTTCGCAATTCGTCTGATTCACTGCACCCTTTGCATTTTCACGCACACACACACACCCTCTATGACTCCAGCTCCCGCTCCACCATTGTCGTCCTTCTTCCCACTAGACGAGGACCGGTTGAACGAGCCTACCGCCGCCACGCCGCGGTGGGAGATGAGAAGCGAAAAGAGGCAGTTTAGAAGCACTTTCGGTGCACGAGCGAAGGTCCAGACTCGTCGTACTCCTGCTTTGAGATCCACATCTGCTGGAAGGTCGACAGCGAGGCCAGGATAGATCCACCGATCCAGACCGAGTACTTTCGCTCGGGGGGTGCGACGATCTTGACCTTCATCGAGGAAGGTGCAAGGGCGGTAATCTCCTTCTGCATACGGTCAGAGATACCGGCGTACATGGTTGTACCACCGGACATGACAATGTTGCCGTACAGGTCCTTTCGGATGTCCAGGTCACACTTCATGATCGAGTTGTAAGTGGTCTCGTGGATACCGCTGGCTTCCAGACCCAGGAAGGAAGGCTGGAAGAGAGCCTCAGGAGCACGGAATCTGAGAGAGGGATGAATGCAGAAGTCAGCGACCAGTCCCACATGACTGCAGAGCCCCTGATCATTCCGTCCGCTCCTCTATTTTGCGTACTCACCGCTCGTTACCAATGGTGATGACCTGTCCGTCTGGCAGCTCGTAGCTCTTCTCGAGAGCAGACGACTGGCTGGCAGTCTGCATCTCCTGCTCAAAGTCCAGGGCAACGTAACACAGCTTCTCCTTGATGTCACGGACGATTTCGCGCTCGGCAGTGGTGGTGAAGGGGTATCCACGCTCCATCAGAATCTTGACCAGGTGCTCAGTCAGATCACGACCAGCCAAGTCCAATCGCAGAATGGCGTGAGGCAGAGAGTAACCCTCGTAGATGGGCACGGTGTGGGTGACACCGTCTCCCGAGTCCAGTACGATACCAGTGGTACGTCCGGAAGCGTACAGCGAGAGGACGGCCTGAATGGCGACGTAGAAAGCGGGGGTGTTGAAGGTCTCGAACATGATCTGTGTCATCTTCTCACGGTTGGCCTTGGGGTTCAGGGGGGCCTCGGTGAGCAGGACTGGGTGCTCCTCGGGGGCAACACGCAGCTCGTTGTAGAAGGTGTGGTGCCAGATCTTCTCCATGTCGTCCCAGTTGGTCACGATACCGTGCTCAATGGGGTACTTGAGGGTGAGGATACCACGCTTAGACTGGGCCTCGTCACCGACGTAGGAGTCCTGGAAAGTACAAAGAGCAATGTGGGTGCTTCATCAGCGCTTATCCAACAAGACAATCCTCCCCTCTACACGCTGCGAGCTCACCTTCTGACCCATTCCAACCATGACACCCTGGTGACGAGGTCGTCCGACGATCGATCTGTGCGAGGTGGGGAATAGGGGCACTAGGTAAATAGTCTGTCCGAAATCGCTGAGCTCAAGCCGTAGCTGCTGCTGCTGCTCACGGGAAGACGGCTCGGGGAGCGTCATCACCGGCAAATCCGGCTGAGGAGCGCAAGAGGGAGGGGAAGGGAACACTGGGTCAGTATAGTGATCCAAGAGGCAATGCAGCTCGGTTGCCCGCCACTGTAGATTTCGCCACGGTCTGCAACTCACCCTTGCACATTCCGGATCCATTGTCAATGACGAGCTGTAGTGGGTAAGAAGACAATGTTGAGGATCAAGTCAGGCGGTTGCTCTAGAGGATCTTCGGGACATTGGTTGGGTGACAAGCCACTCACAGCAGCGACTTCGTCTGTGGGAGTAAGTTCGGGGTGCAGGCAGAATCGACGAGGTCAGCTCCTGTCTTCTGGCGCGAGCAACAGCACTGCTCCTCCATTTGTGCTATGCCTGTGCCTCGCAAAGCTAGATGGCGAGACTGGCAATGGCTTGCCCACCTTCCTATCTGGGAACCTGGGGCACTGGCAAGCGTGGTACTCACCCTCCATTGTTGATTAAGTAGTGAGGTGTGTGTGGGATAAGGGGAAAAGACAAAAGATGTTCGTGAATGCAGGGATTGGCTCGTGAAGAGATCGTACAGGGGAAGCACAAGGGTGACGATGTCGTGAGGATGAGAGGATGGCGAGGGAAGGGGGGGAGGCGGCGACGACGGTAGGAAGGAGCGCTCGCTGCTGTGATGGCCGAGGCAGCGCGTGGGCCAAGGCGGGCGGGCGAGCGGGCGCAAGCCACTCCTCTGTCACACTGGCCACCTGCTGCCAGCTCAGCCTCACTCAGCCAGCCTGGGCCTCGCACAGCCAACCACCCACCCGCGCGCGCATCCATCTATCCATCCATCCATCCGCCCGCCTTGGCCCGACCCCCGCCAGCCAAGCCGGGCGCTAGACTAGAGTGATCAGACCTACTCTTCCTTGTCCCTCCTTTTGTCCTCCAGCAATGTCACATCTGAATGCATACATCGACGCAAACGCTGCCACAAAGACAACCAAAAGGTCATCTGCACCCTACACATCCTCTCATTTTCGTCTGAATTGCCACTCCAGGCCCGCGAGGCCGTGTTTCTTTGGAGCCCTAACGCCTGTCCTCAGCACAAGCAGCGTACACTAGACTGACCTTGTACGGCACATCATCGACTTGTGGCGTAACGACACTATGTCTCCAGGTCCCTCGCATATCCTCTGAACATACTGGTGAGAGCAAGGGACGGTTTGCGCAGACGCAGGCAGCCGCTTGACTCGCGATGGTAAGTCGGCCGGTCACCCTATATGCGGGGGGCCGTGCACAGGGGACGTCTTTCAATTCGCGAGGCTCGTCTGCCCTGCATGTCGCTTTGCTTTAGCCCCACATCGTCCCCTGTCTGTTGCTCCTGTCCCTTTCGCACCATCACCGCCGTGCTCTAAAGATCCTCCTTCCATCCCGTCTTTACTTCTCTGGCTCAATGGTCACTGAGCGTGGACTACTATCGCTGACGTTCGATCCACAACAGTGGCTCTGACCCTCGACGAGCATTCTCTCTTGCTCAGAGGTCTTTCCTTGCCGAGGTCTCAGCAACATCGATGTCGGTTGCGGTACTGCCGGACAGTACCACGAACAGCGAAATCATCACGGAACATGCTGCATATACTCAAGAAGATCGACTGGCAGCCAGGCCTCTACAAGATCGCTCAGTAGAAGCATGGTGGCCGGAGCAACTGAGAGAGGTGCCGATCGTGGGGCCTGTGGAAGCGCAGGGATCGCAGTCCCCCCACTTGCTAGACCAAGTCTCCCAAGCACACCTGCAAGCTTTTCTGTATCACGCTCTCCCAGACAAGTATGCGGCGTATCGTTCGAGCGTCTTCACCGCCGTCATCGATGCCCTTGCTGTGATTGGCGAAGTCGAGACACTCTCGTCCTTGCGGCGGACAGCTGCGATGATGTCTAGGGCACAAGAACATGTCAGGACTGGCACTAACTCACAGCATCAGGATGCGATGATTCACAATCCTACTTGGAGTCGTCTTGGGTGGGCGACTTCTATGGCAGGTAGTAAGGAGCCCGAAAGGACGGGCAGGGTACGGAAGAGGGACATAGCCCTCGCCATGCTCACCAACGCAGTCTGGCTGGTTGCCTCGAATGCGCCGGCAGAAGAGGAGACACTGCGCAAACAGGAAGAGGCCTCTCACAGCCCAGCATCGACCACACAGTCGGCAATGTCCGTCAGACGTGAGGGGCTTCCGAGAGGCGTGGGGATGCCACCTATGTTCCTTGCTCCTTCGACTCCTACTACTGCCATCAGCATCAACATGTCTGGATCTCCTGCTCCTGAGCATGGGTTGGCAGATCCCTTCTCGTCTCAAGTCCCTGAGGTCAACTCCGAGGACGTCTGCGGCGCTCTTACGACATCCGACACTTCGACAATAAGTACCTCTCAGACGTCCAGTCGTGCCGTAGAGAAGCTTTCATCGCTGAAGGTGCTTCCTCGTGCTACAGACAGAGAGGATGGTACAGCACGGTCGCAAGAAACATCACGCTCTTCCTCCGTCTCTTCGCGCATCTCAGTGGAGACCCTCGGAGAAGAGCTGGGACAGAGGAACTCCGAGGCACAAGTCGACACGGACTGCCAAGGGGATGCCAAGATGGTCATCGCTGCTGTCTTTGCAGAGATCACGGCGCCTTCAGACGGTGCGCCACCAGCAGCAAGTAGATCCTCGACGTTCGCGGGCTCGCAAACATCACGCATGTCCGTCATGTCCGACAAGACAGTGGCCGGTCCGTCTCGTCCTGAAGACATAACGCCGACGCCGAGTGCTATTGGCAGTCAGAGCCGAAAAGTGTACTGGAAGGCTGATGTTCTTCGCGGAGAAAGCCTCTTTCCCAGCAGTCATCCACATGTCGATATGGATGAGGATGCGGCATCAAAAAGGGTTGCGCAGAAAGGAGGCACCTTTGTCATCACCGCTGACTCAAATGAAGACGCTCGACTGGTCAAGGAGGCCATCGCCGTGGCATTCTATACTGCAGCCTCAATGCTATTAGAAACGGCATTGTTGCACGATCTTGGCCATCGGAGAGTCGTTGTACCAGAATTGGCAGAACTGACAGAACCGCCTCGAGCGGCATCTCCAGATGATGCCCCGCCGATAGCAACACCTCCCGTGAGCCAGCCTATAGCTGCTCACGAGAAGCACCCTGAGCGACATAAGCGGACCGGAAGCCGATGGCCCAAAGGGCTGTGGGGTGCTGTGCAGAGTGGTAGCGCAGCTCTGACAGCAGCTCTGTCGAGCAGGGCCTCGACTCCTGAGCAGCCATCCGATGAGCACCTCGAAGACCTCATCAGGGATCGCGTTAAGCTTGCAAGGAGCCGCACCTTTGACAAAAGCCAGCGTACGTCGGATGGTACAACTGGAAGAACTCGGACGATCTCGAGGAGCAGTATCCCAGCGTCGCTCAGCTCACGCTTGCCGGCTAAGCTCGGGCGTCTCTTTCGAGAGCAGGACAGTCCTCGATCGTCAGTAGACGGCCTCCCAGAGGAAGGCGAGGTCAGCTCGGTACACTCCTTCGGTCGAGCTTTTGAAGACGCGGAACCGCAGGCAGACCATCAGAAGGAGAGCGGCTCTGTTTCGAGAACGCAGCCGGCCGGACAAGGCAACAGCGCCGTCAATGCAGAGGCTGCGCCCCCAATGCCCCTTTCGAGCTCGCCCGAGCTTTCTCAGCGCAGGCAAGAGTCAGCGCATCGACGCATTGCCATGTCGGGCGAAGCATTTCTGCGGAGGTTTGCGGAAGCAGAGAGCATCGCGGTGTTAGTCGGTACTGCTGACTACGCTGTCCAGACAACTCCGTCGTCAGCTTCGCAAACTCCCTTCGCGCGTGCACCCACCCCACAATCGGCAGGCTACTTTGCATCTCTCTCTTCAGCAAAGTCAGCTGTCCGCAAGTTCTCAGGTGTGCCCCAAGGCGAAGGTGCCGAGCCGCCGTCGAGGCCCACTGACCTCGTAGATGATCATGTGGCCACTGCGGGGCTTCTCTTACCGCCGCGTTGGAAGCACCTGAGACGAGAAGCGGTTGGCTTTTACGCGAAAGAAGCTCCAGGCAGGGATATCGCTCTGGGCCAAGCACTGGAGAACGTGTTTGGGCGAGCTGAAAGAACGTTTGAGCAGCAGAATGGGATCGGTGAGGCCGATGCTGAGCGCGATGCAGGCGTTCATTACATACACGGCCGACATCGGGTCAGCATCTCTACCAAGATCTATCAGCAATCTTGTAGTACCGACGCAGGCCCATGCAAGGAAGTCACGCCTACGGCGAGCTCACTCATTGCACGTGCTGCCAATGATGCTCCTGACGCTGCACGAGACGTGTCAGAGACGACGATGTCAACATCCACAGGCGCCCCCGCCTCTTTACTGGACTCGAGGGCGATCTATCTCTGGTCGGCCAATGTACAGACAGGGGAGGAGACCAATCTAAGCAAGATGGCACCCGCAACGTGGCTATCCTCCTTTGCAAGATTTCTCGAGACTATCATATACCATCCTCAAGGGGAGCGCGACAACGAACCCTACGATACAGTCAGACTCTTCCAGAGGGGTGCAACGGTTGCCAAAGTTTGTGTTGCTCCGCTGACAGTCTATCGGTTTGAGATCGAGGGCCCGGTGGTGTGCAAGATTGGCAGTAGCAGGCTCGATGGGGTCACTTTGGGCGCAGAGGTGCGAGACACTCTTGACGCAGAGATTCGGACCTTCTTTGCGTCCTTGGAAGAGGCTATCGTCGCAGTGGAAGCGAGCTGCATCTCTGAGCCATCCAAAGATCAGCAGGACAGCCTTCAGGAATCGAACCCGGTTCCAATTGCCGAGGGCGACACTGGATCAGAGCCGCTGGAAGCGCTGCGGACACTTAGAAGGCATATGAAAGAAGATGAGTCCGAGCTACTGGCCACCGTACAGACGATAGTATGTGAGTGAAACGTGTAATGCGCCTGGACGAGGTGAGGTCTGACAAGGATTTTATTTTGTATCGACGCAGTCGAGGAGGTCAATGATCTCCGTAGGAAATTCGCAATCCTCTTGCAAAAGACTCTCGAGCGCTTCGAGGTATTGCGGCAGGGGTATCGATCCTACGGCAAGCCGCTTGGCAGCGAAGGGGAGCAACTGCGGAAGCCGCTGTGGGTGACGTCGGGCCACTACACCTTCCCAGGCTCGGGCTACCTGGTCCGCGAGGATGAGCCACTGTCGGTCATTGCCTTTTCTCTCAGGTAAGTCCGCAGACTGGCGGTTGGCCCATGCGACTGTTGCTGACCAGATTTCTCCATCCTTGTGTGTAGCTCGCGCGAATACAAGAACGAGCTCCACATGCCACAGCAGTCCCCCTCTGACGGCAATGCTTACGGTCTTGATTCGCAGAGAGGCACCGACTCTCCTAGTGGCGGCAGCTCCCGCTTCAGCACCATCAGCATTGCCTCACTAGCCTCGTCTACGTCGCACCGTCAGGAAGAGGACGAGCCTGCGGAGAAGATATCTGCACCGAAAGACTCTCCCAGTGAGGGGGAAACGTTCCGCGTTGCCATCAAGAGGAAGAAGAGGGCAAAAGAAGGCTCCATCCTAGCCTTGACACTGCGAAGAGTCGGCTCCAACGTTTCTGCAGCCGCTAGTCAGCTTCACAGTATCCGAGCCGACGTTGCGGCGCACAGGTCAGAAGGGAGAAGCTACGATGTCCTGTCTATGTCGGGACTTGACCCCGCGTTGCTGGGTAATACAGACACGCTACACGCGCCTCGCGGCCGCAAGAAATTCGTCTCGGACACCATCAGCTCGTCGGAGTCTAGCAGCACCTTCCGAGCTCAGGTGACGCCTGTACCGAACCGCGTGTCCACACTGAGCTCGATGTTCGCCAAGGGTAGCACACAAGATGACGCCCTTCGAGTGCCTCCGGGAGGGACCAGCCTGGACACTACTGCTTCTCCAGCCTTGTGGGCACCTCGACTACGCCCCCAACACAGTACCTCCTCTCTACGCGATGAGTCTGGGCAACCTTCGGGCAGCGCTCAAAAAGAGTCTCCACACATCAAGCACAATGTGATCCAAGGCAATGTCAAAGTCTCCTGCACCTCCTGGTTCGCAGAGGACTTTGCAGCCCTTCGAGCAAAGTGGGGAATCGAAGAAGACTTCGTCGCGAGCCTCAGCAAGAGCTCCCCTTGGGTCGCTATGGGTGGTAAGAGCCGGAGTACCTTTTTCAAGACTCTGGACGAGAAGTGGATCAGCAAGCAGCTGCTCACGGTCTGGAATGTGGATGAGAAGGACGCCTTGCTCGAATTTACCCCGGCATATATTCGGTACATGATGAACTCTCATATCAATGACTGTCCTTCCCTCCTGGTCAAGATCGCAGGATCTTACAGTCTGAAAATCAAGGATATGAAGACGGGCGAGGTCAGGTTGAAGATGAGTCTAATGATTCTCGAGAACGTCTTTGCTGACGGCGACGAAAAGACGATCAAGTTCGACCTCAAGGGGATCAAGGAAAGAAGGGCCACTAGGGCTACGCCGACGGATGGTGTGTCATCTGCACCGCCGTCTGTCTTGTGGGATGCAGAGTGGATCGAGAGCTATCAGGCAAAGGCATTCGTACCCGAGGAGGAGCGGAATCTCTTCACAAAGGCTCTGAGAAATGACTTGGCCTTTCTGACTGGTGAGTGACAGAGTCCCCAGGCTGCGGGAAATCTCAAGGCGAGTCTAATCCGCCCTCTGCTCCTCTTTTGCTGCTTCGACAACAGAATCAAAAGTCATGGATTTCTCACTACTAGTAGGCGTCAATGAATCTTCCTCTCTCTCTCACTCCAGCAAAAAAGACGACGGCCACACGAGCGTCTCAGCTCATCCCAGTCCCTCGATTCGTGTGCGCATAGTAGACTACATCAGTGCCTTTACCCTAGCCAAGCAGCTCGAATCCTCTTCAAAAAAGGCTCTCAAGAGCACAGAAGCTAAAGGCAGCGTCACCGTCCTTCCCCCAAGCGAGTACGCGGCGAGATTCGAAGCTGCGATGCTTTCCTACTTTATTGGAGTGCCGGGACAAGATTGGGAGAAGGGTGGCAAGGCGGGCGAGGGGACGACGGATGCACACTTTGCAGGTCTGCCGAGCGTCTTTTGATCCAGGCAGATTAGGTATAGGAGAGGGAGGGAGAATGCACAATGGGCTTCTAGTCACCTTGAACACTGTCTCTTTTGTCACCCAGTCACGATCTTTTACGAGCGCTTCGATACAGTACTACCCTACCACTTAATACCCCATGGATCTAGTAGATAATGGAATGACGATTGCGTAGAATGACGATTGCATGTAGATGTACCTATGTCTGGAAGGGCTTTGCCCCCTGAGATCTTCTGTCCGCCACTCGCAGTCTCCTGCAGCTCCAGCTCCAGCTCCAGTTCCCTCTCTCCTCTTCTTTAATTCCATTCCTACTTCTGTTCCTTTCTAGCTTTACTAGCTCCCAAATTCTCCTTAGAAGGAGGTGGGTTAGTTCCATTGGCAGACTTGGTCGTCTCCTTGTTACCTTCACTGGCAGTTCGGTCTGCATTATCATTAGAGGCGGCAGAGGAGTCCATTTCCACACCGGGCTTCTCGCGACTGATGGATTTGCCGCTGTTTGAGGACGGGAAATGGAGCTCGGGGTTAGTTTCTCGGAGAAATATGGAGAGGGGAGGTGGGCATGAGGGAAACACTCACGCTTCGTCAGGACGGGTTTCGCTGGCTGAAAAGGCGCCTTCTGAATCTGCAATCTCCTCAGTCTGGTGAAGCGAGGTAGGTAAGACCAGGCGTTATAGGTCCAGCATCTCTTAGTCAGCCTCAATCGTCTATTCCCTACCAAATCCTGAACGGGACCATGTCATGTCACACCACTCACCGATCCCGAGCCGGGCATAGTTCCTTCACTGTTCTTCCTGTTCTCTGCCGGATCTGCCTGGCGTCTCACACTAGTTGAGAAAGCCGGGGAGGACGAGCTGACGGTTGCGCATGCACGGGCCGAGGAGGTGCTTGGGAGCACTCGAAAGGTGGAGAGGGAGGAGCGAAGGAGAGACATGCTTGATGGTAGTGGGAGATGTGGAATGTCTAATGCTGAGGAAGGAGGGGTTGATAGTCGAGATGCAAAGAAGGAAGATATCGCAGTGGCAGTGGCAGTGGCAGAGCCGATTACAACGACACAAGAAATCCGGTGACAGGTGACGGCGGGAGCTGTTCCTGTTGTGGAGGCGCGACTTGCAGCCGAGTCGACTTCACCTCGCCACGCGACCCGCCTTGGGGCCGAGACCCTGACTCGACTCTAGAGATCCCACGTCTACTGAGGCCGGCCCCTCCCGTGTTTCCCGCGCCGGCTAGGCACTCACGCCAAGGTGTAGACCACTGCGGAAGAACAGGCAGTACGTGGGCTGAGGTGAGATTGCGCCATTGTATATTCACGAGAGAGGCGTCTCTGCTGTTGGCAGAGATGTACAACATGGGACGAGAGCGGGGGACGAATCGCACGAATCCTGAGGGTAATGACAACGTGAGAAGGAGGGTACGGGTACGGACGGGTGAGACATACGACAAGAAGGTCCTACTGCTGAGTGCAGGCATACCAAACGTGGAAAGCGAATGATCCGGCCAAGGAACCTTGCGAGGAGACGAGGACGAGAGGTGAAGCTGAGTGGACCAGCAGAGAGGAGTGGCAGTGTTTGCCAGAAGAAAACCTGAGCAGAGCTCCGTCATTGAGCTCGTGCCATTGCTTGTACCCCAGCAAGGCGCACATCCCTCTTGGCCCGAAAAACACAGACGACTACTTCGAGCCTCCCTCCCGGTCGCCTTCTGTTGATGCGCTCGGCACGGTAGGCAGAGTGTAGGGTGGCAGACCGAGCTGAGCTCGGTGGCTCTGCACTTCATTGAGGAGCGCGGCTTGCGTGAAGTTCATGCCATTGATATGCTCAATCGCTGCGAGTCGAACGAAGTGGAAAATTGTCAGCAACGGGACCTACTTCTCTCTGTACTGCGCTGATCTGCACATCACGACTCACCTTTGCTCAATACCTCCCACTTGCTCAATTTGCCCAGATCCTTGTTCTTGCTAGGGCCACCGTTGCCTTGTGCATCGGCACCCTCGGCGCCCATTGGCAGCAGATTCTTCAGATCATCAAAGAGGTCCTTCATCTCCTTTCTCCTCTTCCTTTCTGCCAGCTTGTGGGATACCCTCAACTCTGGCGATCGAGCGTAGGGTAGAGCCGACTTGAGACCTGCGCTGCTGGAGTCCTCTGCATCGGGCGACGATGGAGATCCAGCCGGCTGGGATGGATGCTGCGCATAGGCATGCGAGGCACTTGCGGAGGGTGCGCCGCTGCCCATCATGTTCATGCCGCTATGTTTATGATCGCCATTGGCGGGAGTAGTAGGAAGGGTGGCAAAGAAGTTACCAGGGTCGTGGTTGGCGGCATTGGCCGGCCCAGTAGGAAAAGAGTCCGGCCAAGTGCCAAAGGGATTGTATGCATTCAGAGCGGACAAGGAGGGACGGCGTTCGGCTATCGCAGGCAAACAGTGAGAAGATTAGCTAGACGTCTTGCAAGCCAACACACCTTCAGTCGGCGCAGTGTGTACTTACCTTGCCCATGCGTCATACCAGGAGGGCCTTGCCCATCGTTGTCCAACATCGCGGATGATGCATTGCGTTTCCTGCCAGCGCCGTCACCCGCACCTGCTCCTCCTACAGACGAAGTGAAAGGCGAGTCATTGGAGCTGGGCCCTAGGTGTTGCTGCTGCTGCTGTTGCTGTTGTTGATGATGGTGATGTTGGGCGGCCATATTGGCACTTGCACTCGCAGCCATCGAGGCATGAAGCAAGGGATCGGTGGAACCTCTGCGTCCGCCCAAGTTCTGCGAATACGAGTAAGCCTGCTGACGCGAGTCAGATGGCTCGATCGGGAGTGCGGGCGTGGGCGAGGAGCCCGATCCACCAGAGGAAGCCGCCCCACTCCCTTGACCTCCCGAGGCCAGGTGAGGGGGGAGGTGTGGGTGTTGTCGATTCGACGACGGTGTTGAAGGCATCTTGGGTTCGGCAACGAGAGAATTCCGAGTAGCCAGTAGCTGATGGACCACCCTTGCCTATTGCGCCCAAAGGTACCGTCCGCGGATAGCCTCCGAGGGTACGCAGAGACGATTTGACGCGTCTGCTTCGCGCTGCTCTACGTCTCGGCGTTGAGGAAGAAAGGTTGACAGGCTGAGGTGCCGCGTGCCCGTCGAAGTTGCGAAAAGGAAGTGGTATCTGGATGTTCACAAAGATTGGTGGGTGGACAAACGGAAGGACGATAGGCTGGGGACGGGCGGAAAGGAGCACGTCGTGGTGCAACGTCCACGTGGTGACTTTATCGGCGAGCGACTTTGACTTTGCTGCCGGGTCTTCCGCTCCGAGCCCCCACACCTCCACAACGCCAGCCAGGAACGGGCAGTTTCCCGAATTTGAGAAGGTCAGAAAATCACACTACTGCGAGTCCTACCTCCTACTCAGCGGCCTCACAACCAAACATGACAGGCAGAGCATCTTCATCAGGCCAGCCCTGCTACATTGGTATCGATGTCGGCACAGGCTCAGCGCGAGCCATCCTCCTTGACGCAGCGGGAGAGACGCTCTCCTCGTATGCTCAGGCCACCAAAACTTTCCGCACTCCCGCCGATTCCCGCATCTTCCAGCAGTCAACGCAGGACATTTGGTCTGCCATCTGTTTGTGCGTGAAGAAGTGCCTGAGTGAGGCGCAGGTGGACAAGAGTAGAGTCAAGGGTGTAGGCTTCGACGCGACGTGCAGTTTGGCAGTGGTAGATACGGAGGGGAAAGAGATCGATGTCACCCCTAATGGCATGACATTAGCCGGAGCGGGCGGCGAAGTGGTGCCCAACATCATCCTGTGGGCGGATCACCGCGCCGAGGAGGAGGCCAGCGCAATCAACAAAACTGGCCATAAAGTTCTCGAGTACGTCGGCGGAACCATGTCGGTGAGTATGCGCAGCCGCAAGCTCTCACAGGGTCAGTTCGCTCACTTACCATCTCACCCTTCTCATTTCACTTGACAGCTCGAGATGGAGATTCCCAAGACGCTCTGGCTCAAGAAGCATCTCGAGCCCTCCCTCTTCTCCCGCTGTCAATTCTTCGACCTCCCCGACTACCTCACATACAAGGCTACCGCCTCCCCTGCGCGCTCAACCTGCTCCTTAGTCTGCAAGACCTCTTACCTTCCACCTGGAGTCGCTGGCTCGACTATCGGATGGTCGGAGGACTTTCTCTCCACCATTGGTCTGGGTTCGCTAGCCGAGACTGACTATGCGCAGCTTGGCGGCATTCCTGGGAAGAATGGCCTCATTCTCACTGCAGGCCAGCCAGTCGGTGCTGGCCTCACCGATCAGGCAGCGGAGGAGCTTGGGCTTCTACCTGGCACAGCAGTCGGTTCAGGTTTGATCGACGCGTATGCCGGCTGGGTCGGCACGGTAGCGGCGCCGGCCAGTAACGAGCCCGAAAGTCAAAAGGTCAGCGTCGGTGGTTCAAAGCATCGCTTGGCTGCGATCGCTGGTACCTCGACCTGCTACTGCGTTCAGAGCGAAGGAGAGCAAGGCGTCTTCGTCGAGGGAGTCTGGGGTCCTTACAAAGACGTCGTCTTCCCCGGCTTCTGGCAGAATGAGGGCGGCCAGTCCTCGACTGGACAGCTGATCGACTTTACCATCGAGACGCATCCAGCTACACCTCAGCTCAAGCTGCAGGCAGAAAAGGAAGGGACCAACCTATTCTCGCTCCTGGACGAGATCCTCGTCTCCCTGCAAAAGCGTCTCGGCGTGCCTACACTGATACATCTGACCAAGCACCTCCATCTGTACCCGGACCTGCACGGCAATCGCTCTCCCTTGGCAGACTCGTCAATGAAGGGTCTCATCTCCGGCCTGACGCTCTCGTCTGGCCCGGAAGACTTAGCGCTGAAGTATCTCGCGACACTAGAAGCGATTGCTCTTCAGACGCGACAGATCGTCGAGAAGATGAACAAGAGCGGTCACGAAATTGACAGTATCTTTATGAGCGGCAGTCAAGCCAAGAATGCAACCCTCATGCAACTGCTAGCGGACGGTTGCAATGTTAAAGTGCTGATTCCCGAAGGTGGTGGAAGCACTGCCGTTGTCAAGGGAGCTGCTATCCTGGGCAGGTTCGCGTCCGAAGTGGCCGAAGAGGTCAAAAGTCTCACGTCGCAGGAGCAGGCCAATGAGCTTGGGTGGAGCAAGAGGGATAGGCTATGGCAGATGATGGTTGAGATGACAAAGGAGGGCTACTTCCTATACCCTCGAGCAACGGGCAGCGAGAAGAAGCTTCTCGATGCCAAATACCAGGTGAGTCTGAAGATGAGCAGCAGGTGTCTGCGTGCCGTTTCGGTCACTGACGCTTTGTGTGGTTGTATTGGTATTGCGCTCTACCACAGATCTTCCTTGAGTCGATAGATGTCCAGAGGCGTTGGAAAAAGTTGACCGAAGAAGCCATTGTCTCATAGAGCTGGCCGAAGTTGCATCCACCACTGCCATCCCATGTACGCAATAAAACTCGCTCTGCGAGTCATAGACTTTCACACAATGATGTTGTCTCTTCGTGAGAGCGTGCTGCAAGCAGGTCAATCTGAGGGTGCTTTCCCGAGCCACTGGCAATGCTGCCGGAGATTGAAGTGCCAGATCCTTGGGCCATGTGCGGAAGTGTAGCCCCGCGTCCTCCACCTTACCCGACCGATGGTCGCCATTCCCGTGCTCAGCACTAAGCTGAGCACTGAGCTGAGCACTGTCATGAACCCGAGCTTCAAAGTGTAAGATTATGCACCATATAAAAAAGGCAGAAATCATGGTATAAATGTGCACCGCTTCGCTAGGGAATGCGCAATTGTCTTGTCCCTGAGAAAAGTAAATCGCTTCCACGAAATCAGCTCCACGACCTCATCCTGCACACCTAGTCCCTACCAAAGATGATCATCTTCGTCACTGGCGCATCTGGCTTCGTTGGTCGAGCCTTGGTCCCCAAGCTCATCCAGAATGGTCACAAGGTACTCGGTCTGGCGCGTTCCACCGCTTCGGCAGACCTTCTCACATCTCTAGGTGTAGAGCCCATCCATGGAGGCATTGAAGACCACTCCGTCTTGCAGGAAGGCTGCAAAAGAGCAGACGCCGTCATCCACTTGGCTTTTATCCACGATTTTGCCAACTTCCAGGCATCTTGTGAGGCAGATCTAGAGTCGATCAAGGCGATGGGGAGTGCTTTGGAGGGAACCGGCAAGGTCTTTCTTGGTACATCAGGGCTGTTGGCACTCGGAGGCGTCGGCACTCAGGACAATCTAGCTGACGAGGAAACCGCCATTCCGGCGAGCAATCAGAGGGCCCGGTATGCGGCCGAACAGTACGTAAGCAATCAGATGAGGGCTATGGGAATCAAGAGCAGTGTCATCAGACTTTCACCGACGACTCATGACGAAGGGGACAAGGCCTTCATACATTTGATCATTGGATCCTGTGAAAAGGCAGGCTACGTCTGCTACCCTGGCGACGGCACGAACGTCTGGGCAGCTGTACATCGCCAAGACGCTGCAGAACTGTATCTCCTCGCTGTAGAAGCAGCACACAGCTCCAAGCCAGTGCCTGCCGTTCTTCACGCAGCGGGAGAAATCGTTGCATGGAAAGACATTGCCGAGACGATTGGCAAGGCCAAGAACCTTCCTGTCAAAGGGGGCGTATCGCAGGAGGAGCTGGGGAAAGTTCTGTCCTTCATAGCGCACTTTGTCGTCCTCGATACCCATGTCTCAGCAAAGAAGACGGCAGCGGCATTAGGATGGGAAGTGAAGAATATCGGCTTGCTGGCTGATATCGAAGCTCATTACTAAGTTGCACATGCGGCTAGCAGATGTGCAGCAGTATGTCGGCTAGCATACTGTACTTCCTCGTCGGGTCCACGTGCCCTTGTAGCGTCTCGCGTGTGGAATTCTACTGCTTTCCTCACACTTTAGTTGCCGTAGTCTGACAGTCTCTTTGTGTGTGCGAACCTCGATGTGTAACCTGTTGGCAGATAACCCTAAGGACAATCAGCTTCTTCTTCCAATTATGGACAAGCCCGGACTTATGCATTATCGCCGGCACCACCGACGAGGATATCGCGGGCGCTCCATGGCGCTGTGTGGAGGCAGGCACCTCGTGGCGCGGCCCGACTGATTGATTGCAGGCTCACACACGACACTCGGCGCTTGTGACAAGTCCAATCGTTCTTACTTCCCACTCGGATCTTGTCAACTGTCCCATCATACAAAGTCAGATTTCTTCGCAGACCACTTTATAGGTACGCAACACCATCATCATGTCTTCTACCGCTGGAAAGCCAATCACTTGCAAGGCCGCCGTGGCCTGGGAGGCTGCAAAGCCACTCACCCTGGAGACCATCGAAGTGGCCCCACCTCGCGCTGGAGAGGTGCGAGTCAAGGTCGAGTACACTGGACTCTGTCATACCGTAAGTGATGAAAAGGCCGTATGAGATACGGAATGCTCGCCACTTGCTGACGCACTTCGCCGCTTCTAATATTGCCTCTGTCGCGTTCAGGACTACTACACCCTATCTGGAAATGACCCGGAGGGAGCTTTCCCTTCGGTTCTTGGTCACGAGGGCGCAGGCTACGTCGAGTCTGTAGGCGAGGGCGTGACCAATGTCAAGGAGGGTGATTCCGTGAGTAGGCATAGCGTTACGGACAGCACATCGGTACGAGAAGCCGATGGCTCATAGCTTTCATACACCCTCCCGCCTCCCCTGCGCAGGTCATCCTCTTGTACACGGCCGAGTGCAAGGAGTGCAAGTTCTGCAAGTCAGGAAAGACCAACCTTTGCCAGCGAGTGCGTGCCACTCAGGGTCAAGGTGTGATGCCAGACGGTACCAAGCGATTCACCTGCAAGGGCAAGGAGCTGGGCCACTTTATGGGCACATCCTGCTTCTCGCAGTACACCGTCGTCTCCCAGTACTCCCTCGTCGCAGTCGACCCCAAGGCTGCCCAGGACAAGACCTGTCTCTTGGGATGCGGTGTCACCACTGGATACGGTGCCGCGACCAAGACGGCAAAGATCACCGAAGGGTCTACTGTTGCCGTCTTTGGAGTCGGCTGTGTGGGTCTGGCCGTCATCGACGGAGCCGTGGCATCCAAGGCAGGCAAGATCATTGCCGTGGATACCAACGACGGCAAGGAGTCCTGGGCCAAGAAGTTCGGCGCTACCGACTTTGTCAACCCATCGAAGCTGGGCGAGCAGAGCATCGTTGACAAGCTCGTAGAGATGACGGATGGAGGACTAGACTACACCTTTGACTGCACGGGCAATGTCAAGGTGATGCGCTCTGCCCTCGAGGCATGCCACAAGGGTTGGGGTATCTCTACGGTCATCGGTGTTGCTGCTGCTGGTCAGGAAATCTCCACTCGTCCCTTCCAGCTGGTCACCGGTAGGAAATGGCAAGGATCCGCCTTTGGAGGAGTCAAAGGTCGCTCGGAATTGCCTGGATTGGTGGACAAGTACCTCAACAAGCAGTTCAGGGTCGATGACTACATTACCCACTCTCAGGACCTGGATCACATCAACCAGGGCTTTGATGATATGAAGAAGGGAGAGTGCATCAGGTGTGTCGTCAAGATGCAGTAGGCGGTCTTAGCGCACGAGGCGTAAGACCGGTTATACCTGTCTCACATCGTGTCAATGCATAAAAAATATTCTGCTTGCATTCGGTCTTGAGTATAGTACAATGATAGTGGACAACGAGCGCTGCTCTCCCTCCTCCTGTCATCTCTCATCTTTCGTCTCTCACTTTCTCTTCCCACCACCACCCTCGCTCCCAGCACCCTTTTTCCTAGCACTCTTGAGCAAAGCCGCCCGTGCTCCCTTCCCCACTTTGAGCTTTCCCTCTCGGATCAACCAGCGCTTATGCTCCTCCCTAGCCCTCCTCAATCGACCTTCGACGGAGTTGAGCGATGCTTTTCGATCCAAGAGGACACCCTTTTCGCGAAGTCGATCTCGTTGCTGCTTCAAGGCTTGCGTCTTGGCCGTCTTGCGGGTTTGATTCGTGGAGACCTCCTCGCCGCGCGAGGGAGGGGAGACGGAGGAGGATCTGGCGGCTGTCCTGGTATTGCGGGCTTCGGAAGATGAGCGGACCGACCGGTCCTCCGTAGCGACCGTCACGCCCTCTGCATCCATCACTTCTTCCTCTTCAGGCGGAGGCCGTGTCGGGATCATCTCCTCTTCCTCGACACCTCTTCTACGTCTAGCTGCAAAGTACTCGCCGACGACCCTTCGCACTCGCTGGCGTATTGTTTCCTCTTCCTCCCCAGGGGTCAGACCCTCGGCGGCTTCCTCGACGCCTAGGTCCAGCTCGCCTGCTCGATCGCCTAGCTTACCCTCCCTCCACCGTGTGAGGACAAATTCGGCACAGCCGTCGAGATCTCGCTCACCTCCTTTGAGGAGGGTCCCCGGAGCTTTGATGGAGGCCCAGCGCAGCAGCGATAGGATCGAATTGGTAGGCCGAGGAACGTCTTCCTCACTCAAGGAGACATTCGAGGTAGATGGCATAGGTAGATGGGTGAGATAGATGGGCTGGGGCGGAAGCGAGGTGCCGTCTGCATCACGCTGTTCGCGCAGCCAGCGGTCCCTCTGCCAGGTGTACTTGAGATTCAACCTGTACAAGAGGTAGTCTGCCAGCCCCTGTGTGTCGAAGAGTGAAGACTTCATCCCGGCAGCAACGGCAAGCTTCACTCCCTTCTCTGCACCCTCTCTCCCTCGGCCGAGATAAGGGACCATGACCCCTGGGGTATCGTAGACGTAGATTGGTGGATACTTGGCTCCAGTCCTACCGCCCTCTTCGTCTCCTTCTTCGCCCTTGTCGAGCTGAAAGTAATTCGACTTGTTGGCAACATCTTTGGTGATGCGGACAGTACCTGTAAGCTTGCGGGTGTGGCCCGGCTGTGGAGCTGTCGAGGCAGCTTTGCCTGAGAGTAGAAGGAACAATCAAGGGGTTCAGTATTTGCAGATTGCCTACCCACTTAACGGCAATCAGCCCAGACTTACCTTTGCCAGCGCCGACCCTTCTAAGCGCATTGAGCAGACTGCTCTTCCCAACATTCGGCATACCCAGGATGACTAGCCTCACCCCCACTTCTGGCGTTGGTGTATGCCTGAAAGCCCCGCTCAGCGTGCGCTGCGTCTTGGCCAGGTCCCTCGTCATTGTGACCTTGGGAGGTGGATGGTTGGCTAGCTCTGCTGCCTGCCGGTGAACCCACTTGAGCACTTGTCGTATATCTCCATCCGCCCTGGTGTCAACGAAGAGGACCTCGTCCTGCTCTGCGCCTCGCGGCGTCTCCTCGGCGAAAGCTTCCTTGAGAGGCTCCTCAAGCCGGCGATCAATCAGATCCCGCTTGGTGTACACGACGAGACGTCTCTTCTGCCACTCATATCCCGGAGTGTCGCCAAAGGTGTCCCGCATGATGTTCTCAAAAGCCGGGTTGATGCTGCTGAGCGGTAGACGTGCATCCCGAGCTTCAATGACTAGCGGAGGAGGATGGCGGGCCAAGAGGGCTGGCAAGGAGCGCAGAGCGCGGTGCATATGACCAACGTACCATGACGGCACAGTCGATGGGAGCGGAAATGACTTCCGAGGCTCGAATGGCGGCAGTGAAGCTGGCTGGATAGGAAGCTGCACTCCTGTGACCGGCGTAGATGACACCACCGCGTTTGATGACAGGCGGTATTGAAGCCGCCGCGCAGCCGGGCCCAGCTTCAGTCCTGACGAGGTCGGACCCTCACCTGTCCATCGAGCCCACAGAAGGAGCCGCATGCATGTTGGCTGAGGCATGCAACGGCGAAGGAGATCGACAATCTCTTGTGCGTGGAAATATTGGCCTGGTAGAGCAACGATACTGATGTGAGAAGCTTTGCTTGTGCTTCTTTCCGAAGCTGCATGTCCTCTCTCTTCCCGTCGAGTGTCGGAAGCGGAACATTTGCGGTTCCGAAATCTGGAGATCTCGTCTGAGTAAGGTTTCCTCGATAGGCGCCTCGGATTTTAGGCCGATTAGGAGCGGAATAGTGCGGGAAGGTGGCGGGGCAGCCAAAGGCCGCCTTTGCCAAGCAATCTGGACATCTCTGGGTGCCCAGGCCAGTGGCGACGTGCAATGACCAACCTCGTGCGCTGCTGATATGGACTTCTGGTAGCTTTCGTATCCACTGTTCCTGCCTCCCAACACGATCCTTCCTCATCCTATACCGTCGATGAGTGGCTCACAGAGATATCACCCGGACAGTCGGCGGCCTGGCTATCGCGCTCCTGCTTACGATGAGAAATATGGCAGTGGCGTGAACACGCCTTCCGAGTATGAGCCTATGCACAAAGCGGCCGCACAAAGAGCACCTCACTTGTATGCTCAGCCCTTGCGGACTCCGATCAGACAACAACGAAGCAGACCGTGGTACAAGAGACCGAAGGTAAGCTGCACCGAGGACCTACGAGGGTTCAAGCGCCCCACAAAGCATCGAAGACCTGTCCCGATCTGATCTACCTCCCCACACGTTCCCCACGACTGCATTACAGCCCGTCTTTTGGACCTTTATCTTACTAGCGGTGCTGGGTTTGGGTGTGAGTATAGTGATGCCGACTTTAGGAGAAAACGCTTTCATCAACCGCTCGGTCCATTCTAACCGAAATCTCACATCTCCTTCCGTCCTCTGCTTTCCAGGTTGGTTTGGGGGTCCATTTCGGCCTACGGTCAAGAGGTTCCGACAATGGTGACCTCGACTTCCCGTCGATGAATCTCGCATCTGATCAAGCTGGTATGGAGACTGTTGGCTCCTTTGTCACCGGATCCGGTACAAGCTATGGCAGTGGCAAGCTGTCCACCGTCTTCTCATGGTCTTCTGGAGGCTTCGATCTCGGCGCAACAGGCGCTGGCACGGATGGTGTCGACCTACTCATCGACACTACAGCCGTTCAACAGCCCATGGACGGCTTTGGTGCGAGCTTCACCGACTCGTCTTGCTCGCTGCTCCACACTCTGAAACTCAAGAATGAGACGCACTACAATCAGACCATGGACTACTTCACCAGTGCCCGAACCGGCATGTCCGTCTTCCGAGTGCCCATTGCCGCAAGTGATTATTCTGCTCAAGGCGAATACTCGTACGCAGATACCAATGCAACAAAGGCCGCAATCAATGCCGGCAACACTACCTCACTGCCGTCTCCCCTAGCCGATTTCAACGTCGACAAGGCAGAGGCATACGTCTTTCCTGTCCTCCGAGATGCGCTGGCACGCAGACCTGATGCCAAGATCTGGCTCTCGCCATGGTCTCCTCCGGCTTGGATGAAGACTACCAATTCCTTCAATGGTGGTCAGCTGATCTATGGATCGGAAGAGTTGTATGCTCAATACCTCTTCCTTACAGTACAGGCCTATACAGCCCAAGGCATCCGGCCGTATGGTTTGACGATGCAAAACGAGCCCACGGACGGCACAACAAGCTACCCGACCAATTGGATGAGCCCAGCATCCTCTGCACTCGTTGCACGCGCTCTACGCACCTCTCTTGATGAGCACGGATTCGACGACGTGAAACTCTTTGCCAATGACGACAACTACATCGACTGGGCTTCGGCGGCTGAGGCTGTCCAGGCCGACCCAACGGCCTGGTCAGGCGTAGCGTGGCACGGCTATAATGGCAATTACACGAGCATTGGCGACTTCAACACCTCCATTGCCAATGTCACAACGCCTATGGAGCAACACCTAACGGAGATCACTACAACTGACAACAGTAGGGATCAATGGTACTCGGCTCGATTCTGGCTGACAAACTTCTACTTTGGACCCATCAATATGGGCGTGCGCAGCGTCATCACTTGGAACATCGCGCTGGACAAGAATGACTCCCCCCACATCAGCTCTGCACCGTGCGAGGACTGCCTCGGTACCTTCACAATCGACTCTCCCTCTGCGAACCTCAATCCGCCCGTCCAAGCGAGCAATGCACAATTCATCACAACGTACCACTTCTCTTCAGCCGTCGCCAACCTCACCAATTTTGGTGGTGGACCAGCATACAGAGTCTCGGCGGCTCCGACGGCCTCGGCATCAAACTCGCTTCGGGGTTGCATCGACTCTGTGAGCGCTTTCGCAGCTCCATGGAATGGTACGAGCTTGAGTGGCTCGAACATGAAGCGTGTTGGATTGGTTGCGGTCAATGATTGCTCGAGTGGGGTCAAAGTGAGACTTGGCATCGATGACAGGCAGGGAACCTTTTCTTTCTCTCCTGGCATCACCACGTTGATCTTCAATGTCTAATCTCCTATTGATTTGTTGATGGACCTGCACGCGCGCCTTGTAACTTGATCTCCTTGTATATATCGAAATCTGTAGCATTGGGAATCGCATCATTGTAGTCACTTGAGCCCGATTCCAGTGTGTGAGCATTTACACAGCTCTTGGGCGAAGACAGGCACGGCCCCTTGCAGGTGGCCACACGTTCCTGCTCGTACCAACTTGCAACACAAGGGTCGGACGAGATGTCCCATAGCGCAAAAGAAGAAGACAAAGAATGGTGAGAGTCGTGATGAGGCGATGATATTGCTTCTTTAATGACGTGACTCGACTGTCTACTTCTTACGGAAGGCCCGAGGGGGTATCATCAAGGCCACCCACTGCGTTCCTCTCCTTGATCTGCTCATGACCTTCCAAACACCTTCGCTACAACTCCGTCCTACGCTGCAGCACACCCAGCCACTTTATTCATCTCCCTTCTCCGAGTTGATTTCCCTGCTGATCCTGTGAATGGCCTTGAGATAAGCTTTGAGGTTCTCAGGGTCCACTCCCGGTGTGATGCCGTGTCCCAGATTGGCAATGTACGCTCCCTCGCCACCGAATCCACCCTTCTTGCTCCGCAGCATCCTCTCCACTTCCTTCTCAATGGCCTCCTTGCTTGCGTAGAGGACACTGGGATCCATGTTACCCTGCAGAGCGATTCTGTGAGCCGCCTCGTTGTCGGCTGCTCCCTTCGAGATCTTGGCGGCACTTCCTGGGGTAGCGAGGTCCACAACCCGGCGAGCCACAGCTGGCTCAACGGTCCAGTCGAGTGCCACGACGTCGTATCCTGCCCTTGAGATCTCAGGTAGCGAGTGACCCAGCGCTCCCTTTGCAAAGATGATCATGGGCACACAGGCAGTGGAAGAGCAGGCGAGCCTCTCATTGACGGTACTGGCGATGCTCCTCAGGTAAGGCAGAGAGAAAGTCCTGAAGTTGGCTGGCGACAGCTCTCCCGCCCAAGAGTCAAAGACCTGAACCATTTGAGCTCCAGCCTTGACTTGACCTACAAGGAAGTCGGCGCAGACGTCTGCGATCTTTTGCAGGAGCACCTTGGACTCTTCGGGGTAGTCGAAGAGCCACCTCTTTGCCTTTTCGAAGCCCTTGGATCCACCGCCTTCGATCATGTATGCCATCAGGGTCCAAGGAGCACCGCAGAAACCGATGAGTGGCACCTCTCCTGCCAACTCCTTCCTGGTCATAGTGATGGCCTCGTAGACATATCCCAGCTCCTTGTTGACGTCAATCTTCTTGTGGAGGCGGTCCATGTCCTTGGGTGTCTCCAAGGGGTCGGGGAAGTGAGGTCCCTTCTGTGGGAGCATCTCAACTTCGAGACCCATAGCCTGAGGTACGACGAGAATATCAGAGAAGATGATTGCTGCATCCAGCAGACCAGAGTAGCGTCGGATGGGCTGCAATGTAATCTCACATGCCAGGGAGGGAGTACGGCAGCAAGTGAAGAAGTCATGTGACTCTCGCAGCTTGCGGAATTCTGTCAAACAGAGAGTGACAGCAAGACGAGGAGATTAGTCACTGAACAAGGCTGAAGTATGGCTTCTTCCGATGTACTAACCTGGCAGATACCTCCCCGCCTGTCTCATGATCCATACTGGTGCCCTCTCCGTGTGCTGTCCCCTGGCTGCCCTCAAGATGAGATCGTTCCTGAGACCAGGGAATTGTCCAGTTTTGCACATCTCATCCTGCTTCCTGGCGGTGAAAGAGTTCAAATGGGTCAAGATTGGGTTGACCATGGTGGAATATGGGCCTTTAGATGTGTGCAGATGAGTATGGCTGAGGTGAGCTGGTCAGGAGGCGAGGCGATCAGCAGCCGGCAGGGTTGGAAGAATAGGCGAGGGCGAGCTGAGACGAGACCGAGTGGAGCCGTGGCGTCTTTTTCGGTTCCGTTCCGGTCACCCCGAGGAAGGCCCATCTCAAAGCCTTCCGGCGAGGCTTTACCCAACTTGACCTTCCTCATCGCAGCATAGCAACGATGCCAGTCAGACCAAATGTCAGGATCCTGTGAGTACATCAACATCTCGGATTCGAAATGCGTCCATGATTGGCCACTGACTCGTCCTGTTCGCCTCTTACCTCCTTGCTTGACACCAGTCGGGACATGGCCAAGCGCCAATCGGTCACTTCGAATGAGCTCCTCCGAAGGGCCTACAAGTACATTGCCCGCAATACCACTCTGCCCATGAAAACAAGACATCAGGCTCAACTACAGTTGAATCAATTCCCAAACAAGAGCAGGGCAGAGACGGTGAAGGAGAGATGTCATGAGACGGGCAGGGGGAGGGGTATCATTACAGAATTCGGACTATGCAGAGTGAGTGGCAGCTAAGTAGAGGATGGCAAGGCAGGAACGAAGCTACAATCACAGCCTCGGACTTTCCAGTCCCGGAGGTGAAGGAGTTCGCCTGTGCTTGTGACACCGGACATCGCTGACCAACGCCGTCCTCCCTTCTTCCCAACCATTTGCAGTATCAGTTCCGTCTGAAAGCACTCAAGGGAGAGCTACCCGGTGTCAGCAAAGCCTCTTGGTAATGTCCGCATCTAAAGAAACTGCTCACTGCGACAGCAGCAAGCCAGAGCCAAGACTACCCGAGCCAGTACGGACTCCTGTAGAGCTCAAGTAGACCATTGTACTATATTACCCCTCACCAATCGATTTGCGTACATCACATAGTCTCCTGTGCTGAATGCGACGGGAAGCGGTCTGTCTGCTCTCACGCCTCATGAAGCTTGCGACAAGTCGCTGCACGCAGATGTGTTTGATTCTCTCAGGCTACGCAACAATCACGCAGAACCCTGGCCCGCCGGAGACACACGAGTCAAGTACGTGTATATGCGTATATATTATGCAGGCATGTGATATGCGTGTATGCATTATGCGTCTGATTCAGAGTGACTTTCCTCCTTCATTCACGCTCTAGCCCCTTCCAAGGTAGACCGCCTTGGTAGCAATGTACGCCCTCCTCCACTTGCTCATCCTCGCCCTCTTACCCGCCCTGATCTCCTCTTCACTCTGCTCCAGAATAGACTGGGAAATGGCAAAGTACACTGCGCAAGCTGCCCGAAGTCCGGACTGGGTTGGCTTCGAGGAGAGAGCCTGGATGGAAGGAAACGATGCGGTGTAGAGCGAAGAAGCTATCTTGAGAAGTTGCAGGCAGTATGGCCGTAACGATGCTGGAGAGATGGTGTCCTTGCTCCCCTTGGCATCACTCGAGACCTTGCCGGCGAAGAGAGCTTCCAGTACTGGTTGCGCGGGCTCGTTGCGCTCGATGAGCTCGCGTGGGAGGTAGCATCTTCGCAGCTTGATAGAGTCGTCAACTACATCCCGAGCTATGTTGACCAATTGTAGCGAGACGCCCATCCGTCGAGCATGGTGAATCAGGTAGCGAGCTGTAGCCCTCGAGGCGGAGCTCGTGCTCCCCTCCGGTCTCTGCAGCAAGCTCACGTCGTCCTCCGCCAATGGCTCCAACGTCTCTTTGTCCAAGTCGATCGTCCGCTTCAAGTTCAGGTCCTCGAGCGAAGGGACGATCACGCCGCACCTACCCAGGACCACTCTCACACACATCTCTCCGATGCAGCCAGCGACACACTGAGCGTACTCAACGACGTCCTCCATGCTTTCCAGCGCTGTGCCAATGCCCTTCATGTCTAGATGCATGTCCTTCTCGTAGCCACGAAGTAGCTCTTTCCATAAGGAGCGAGGGACAAGATTGCGCAAGGGGACGACCGAGCTAGCTGATGCTCGTAGCTGCTCCTGCGACTGACATTTGAGGTCGTTAGTGCCCTTGCCCTTGCTTTCTTGGTCTGTGAAGCGCCTGAGCGTATCCCTGATGGCAGCTCTGGCCTGGCTTTCTGTCGAATTCGGCTTATAGATGGCAGCAATCAAATCCTTCAGCAGGGCGATCCTTCTGATCTTGGCATTGCCATGATCACTCTCACTCTCAGGGACAGATTCCTCGTCGTCGATGCAGTCGTCTGCCGCCCGGCAGAAGGCATATAGTACGCTCAAGTCGGAGCGCAGATCCCAAGGCAGTAGAAGGGATGCCATACTGAAGCTCTTTGAGGCATTGCTGAGAATGTCCAGAGATGTTGCTAAGTCTCGACACTGTGCAGATAGCCCGTCGTAGCCGCCCGTCGTATCTTCGGCTGGCGGGTCCATGACGACAAAGGTACCCCACAGAGCTTTGATAGTCTCCAGATTCAGCGGTAGGTAGCTTGGGGAAAAGGGCGGAGTCGAAGAGTCTGCCCGCTCTCTCCTAGATACGCCAACACCGAGACGAGCTAGCGTTATGCAGCGGTCGAATGTGAATGAGGCAACGACCAGGAGAAGATTCGTCACGAAGAAGAAGATCATTTCTTCGATCGGCAGATCTGGTATTGGAAAGATGTTGAGTGATGTAGCTTCCTGTGCGTGCGATGGGTGAGACATCAAACGCGTCAATTATGTACGCGAACGCATAGAGGTTGGCCGAGCCGAAATCTCGACTCACATTGATATGCCAGGTACCCCTTCGCAGAGCGAAGATGTCTGTAGCCCACAGGTAGGCTGTCGGCAGCAGTAGTGTGATGAGGAACGCGCCTTTACCAGCCCTCCAGGGCATCCGAGCTACGAAATTCGAGCTGCCCCAGCCTAGCAGGGCGAGAGGCAGTGAACACCACCACAGGATCATGCCCAGATAGTATGTGTGCTGTCCTGGCCGCGTCATTGCTAGGCCTGCTAACAACGCCGTGAAGCAGCAGGACACTGCTACGAACGACCACCTGGCGAAGAGGCTGCTCTGCTTCTCAGCTCTGGTCTCGAAGACGTAGAAGGTCGGCAGCAGCCACCGGGTCATGAAAGACGCGAAGAGCGTAGTCTTGACAGATTGGATGATGAACTGCAGAAGAGTCAAAAGCAGGGCAAAGTGAGTCCCAGTGAAGCATGAGCTGCTGGCTGCAGGCTACTTTACTCACAAAGAAGTACTCTTCGATGGGAACATAGCCGACTGTACCCATCACGCAACTCCTTGGGTACCTCCAAGCTCTTTGCCGCACCAGCTCATTGTCCCATGGCGTTGTCCATACAAAGGCTATTACAGGTAGAAAGATGAGCTTAGCTCGATCTAGGCGGGTCAGAAATGGCCGGTTGAGCAGATAGAGAAAGACCGTGGGGGGTATGGTGAGATAGAGGTGAAAGCGTGCATACGAGAATTGGCAGAGCTCTGACGTCCATGATCCACGATTGTGACCGTCAGCAGTCTCTCCCGAGGGAGCATCCATGGAGGAGGAGAAAGAAGAGGCTGCGATGCCTAATGCTGCAAGAGCCAGGAGTGAGAGGCTAGCCGGAATGGCCGCTCTCCGCAAGAGGCTGCCCATACTGCCCGCTCGAGACGAGATTCACGCCAATCTTCTGCTGTTGGTGGAGTCTGACTTGCAAGCTATTGTACAATGGAGTCCATAATGAGAGAGGCCAAGGGTCGGATATAAGAAAGGGAGTACAGGGTCTGCTGAGTGAGTGAAACATGAAAGGCGCATGGCGGAGGCGGAGCTCATGACGCATCTGGTCGATGCCGGATGCTCCTTCCGTCCGGCACAACTCCACCTCCGTCCCCACTCGGCAGTATTGCAGGCATGTCTTCCTCAGCGCACCTCTCCAACTCCATTGGCGTGTCACTCGTCTTGGTAGATGTACAGAATGACTTTCTACCAGAAGGGTCGCTTGCAGTCCCGTCCTCTTCCAAGATCATTCCACCCATTCTGTCCCTGCTGAGCAAGAAGAAGTACTGGGCGAGCATAGTCGTGACACAAGACTACCATCCGCCAGACCACATCTCCTTCGCAGACAATCACGAGGGAGCTGAAGCCTTCAAGGCTATACAAGTCGATCATCCCCTGCTCGGTCGCAATGGAGAAGGAGAAAAAATCGAGCAGATGATGTGGCCAAGGCATTGCGTCCAGGGTACGAAGGGATCCGAGATCCAGCAGGACGTCTGGGCGATGTTGGCAAACGTGCGGCAGCAGGGTGAGGACGTAGTCGTCGTTCGCAAGGTAAGCGAGACGGACGGTGATGCAGCTGGAAACGTCAATCGCTCCTTCTGACAGCGCTTTGCTCTGCCAGGGAGATGATCCGAAAGTCGACGGATACTCGGGCTTGTCAGATAATGCATACTCGAGGTTTACTCCCTTCATCAGGTATATTTCAGCCAATCACTCCACTGCCGGTGTACAAAGGCCTTCAACAGACATTGCTGTTGTGGCAGGTCTAGCCACTGACTATTGCGTCGTATCCACAGCGTGAGTACGAGCTCAGCATAGCGCTAACCTCAGACTCGTACCTGAAAGCTAAGCTTCCTCTCCGTCTACTCGCAGCCTTGACCTGCTCAAGTACTCCATCGCAGTGTACATGCCTCTGAATTGCATCGCAGGCGTGTCCGAAGAGACGACCGCATCTGCTATCACCAAGCTTCGCTCGGCTGGAGCTCACATCTTCGATACACACGAGGAGGTCATGGTTGCCGTACATGCAGAAGTCGAGAGGAGGCGTGGTCAGGAGGGGAATTGGATGAGCAGCTTCACAAAAAGACAGAATGTAATCTGGAAGGCTAGCTGAGGCAGCGGTATGCTCAAAGATATGTATGTAATGGCATTTCTCATCGATATGACATTTTGAATGATCTCCGCCTTAGCGGACGTCACCTCTTCTGACAAAGGGCACACCTAGTCCGCTCAGTAGCTGTCTCGCCTTCTCTGTCGCTCGCGGTCCTCGTTGATTTGTGATGCAGTCCACCTGACAAGAGAGGAGACAACGCGAATGCCATGTATCAGTGTCTAACATATTGTATCACCAGTGTCAAGGCCGAACTTGACTCACCTGGAAGCCCATTGCCCTGTTCGGATACGCATCCCAATTGATCTCCGTCTGAGGGAAATTACCCATCGCATCCGGTCCCAGTCCCAGTGACACCACGCCGCTCATTGCCGCCGGACTTCCAGGAGGCTGACTGGCAGGTGGCAGGAGGAAGCCTTGGAAGGTCCTCAGCCTTGGCAGAACAAAGGTGATGAGCACCTCGAGGAAATTCATAGCAAGTGGCCTTGGCAACACAGCCTGTACACCAACCGGCATACCAGGTCTCAGCTTGAAGCTTGCCGCTCCGGACCTGGCTCGAATGATCTGAATGTATCCACTGCCCTTTGCTGAGCCCTGCGCAGCTCCCCTGGCATCTTGGCCCATCGCGGGATTGGCAAAGGATCCCTTGGGCGACACTCCGGTGATAGCTCGGAGTTGTGCCACGAGCGGAAGCAGAGCGTGCTTGCTGACAATGGCTTCCTTGCAGAAAGCTGAGATGACAATACGATCCAAAGCCACCAGGTCTTTTGTAGGGTCTTCAAAGTCGGGGACCATTGGCCCAGGCTGCAGACTTCGTAGACCCTTTGGGGGCCTCTGCGGCCTATTCTTCGAATAAGGCGAGGCAGGGTCCCATTCCCGCTTGGTATGGCTCGTCGACTCGACCGCAAGCTTCTCGCTAGCATTCAGCTTGGACCATTCCGGATCGTATGTCATGTACAGCAAAGAGGGGGCGAGCGTCTGCCGATAGTGCTCGTCATATCTATTGAGCTGATATTGACCTAGGGAGAGATGGGTCTCTGCTCCGGGTGGGTGCAGGATGTTGCGAGGTGGGACGGAAGATGAGCTCGCTGCCGAGCCCGAAAAGGAGCGGCAAGCGTGCGCGACAGCAGACGAGGAGGAGGAAGAGGATGACGACGATGTCGCCTGCTGCCTCAGGAGCGAGGCGGAGGCATTACGGAGAGCCATTGCCGATGCTGATGGTGGTGATGATGGTGACTACTGGTGATGGGCGCTGAGACAGGGTAAGCGGGGATGTGGAAGAAATAGGCTAGACGCAGGTCCGAGGCAATTTTTTCGGGTCCGCCTCCCTCCCTGCACCCAGTCACGATACGGCGCGACTTTCAGTCGACGACGGACATCGCCTCCTAGCTATGAGAAGCTCGGACATACATAAAGGCTTGTAAGGTTGCCCTGTGATCACTTGCCGGAAGATGGAGTTTGGAGATGCAATACGAGCTGTTTAGCGACATCTTTGGTGCTCAAGAGTGTCTCGCAAGCGTCCAAGCGCGAACAGCGGCCCTTCAGCCTTTCAATTCAGCAAAGCTCGCTCAAGGACACGGAGCATGCGTCTAGCTTCGTAGAGGGTCCCTACGATGGTGTGAGATCGCTTCGGTGTGATTCTTCTTCGCCATTTGACCAACAGAGATTCTCAACGTGCCCGTCGAGCTCTGAAACAATCGTCTGCCAGGTCGAGAGACTCGTGGGGCTGAGTCTGGCTGCGTGTGGGCGGACTGCGAAGAGGGCGACGGAGATTTGCCGAGGTGTGATGGACTCGCCTCGACTCCCGCCCCGGTTGCGTCCCGTCTCTTGCGCGAGCCCAAGGAAAGAAAGGAAGGGAGGTACAGGACAAAATGCGAGCGAGATAGCACCTGGCAGGTTTCCTCGCAGAAGGATATAAACCTTGGCATAGAGTCACCAACAACTTTCCTTTTCCCCACATCCTACTGTCCCTTCAACCTTCCGCGTCGCCCGATCTTTCTTCCGCCCGTTCCGTAGCATTTCACCACCCCACCAACACCACCTCACCACTTCAACATGGCCAGCGTAGCTCAGCACGGTCACCCCAACATCCCCCCCATCAACAATGAGCCTATGGTGAGCGCAGCTACGGGCTGACTCGCTTCTGGAGCCTAGCAATTGACACAAACTTCCCTTTCCCTCGCTTACAGCGCAACTACGAGCCTGGGTCCAAGGACCGGGCCGGACTGCAAAAGGCCGTAGACGAGATGATCAAGGCTGGACCCGTCGAGGTTCCCTGTGTCATCAACGGCAAGGCTGTTACCACTGGCAGGACCAACAAGCAGCTTAACCCTTCTAACCACGCCAGCGCAGTTGCAGTGTACCAGGAGGCTGACGCCGCTCTGATCGGTGAGGCAATCGAAGGAGCTCTGGCCGCCAAGGTCACCTGGGAGGACATGCCCTGGGTGGACCGAGCTGCCATCTTCCTGCGAGCCGCCGACCTTATCGCTGGCAAGTACCGCTACAAGATCATGGCTGCAACCATGCTCGGTCAGGGAAAGAACGTCTGGCAGGCCGAGATTGACGCTGCCGCCGAGATCTGTGACTTCTTCCGATTCGGCGTAGCCCAGGTCGCTGAGCTGTACAGCCAGCAGCCCGCCAAGCACGCCCCGGGAGTGTGGAACAAGATGGAATACCGACCCCTCGAAGGATTTGTGCTCGCTGTGAGCCCCTTTAACTTCACCGCCATTGGTGGAAACCTCCCTGGTGCCCCTGCTCTTGTCGGCAACGTTGTCATCTGGAAGCCCTCGCCGATGGCCGTCCTCTCCAACTACATCGTCTACCAGATCCTTGAAGAGGCTGGTCTTCCTGCCGGTGTGATTCAATTCACTCCCGGACCCGCTGAGGAGATCGTCAAGACATGTACCGACCACCGCAAGTTCGCTTCCCTGCACTTCACAGGCAGCACCTACGTCTTCCGACAGCTCTGGAAGCAAATTGTCAGCAACATTGACAACTACGTCAGCTACCCCCGAATCGTTGGTGAGACTGGTGGAAAGAACTTCCATTTGGTTCATCCCTCTGCCAACGTCACCATGGCCGTCCACGAGTCGATCAGGGCCGCGTTCGAGTACCAGGGACAGAAATGCTCTGCCCTGTCTCGCTTGTACGTGCCTGCCAGCCTGTGGAACAACGGTTTCAAGGACGAGCTCGTCAAGGAGATCAAGTCCATCACCCTCGGTCCCGTCGAGGACTTCAAGCACTTCATGGGTCCCGTCATCTCCAAGGGCTCCTTTGACAAGAGCGTGGGCTTCGCCGAGGCTGCCAAGAAGGAGGGCGGTATCATCCTGGCTGGTGGCAAGGGAGACGACTCCAAGGGTTACTATGTTGAGCCCACTCTGATCCAGACCGAGAACCCTCGATCCACCACCATGGTCAACGAGATCTTCGGCCCCGTCCTGACCGCCTACGTCTACGACGACTCGAAGCCCGACTTCTGGAAGAGCATCTGCGCCGAGGTCGATGGCTGCACCGAGTACGCCCTGACTGGTGCCGTCTTTGCCAAGGACCGCCAAGCCGTCGTGGAGGCCAACTCGTACCTTCGCAACGCCAGTGGCATGTTCTACGTCCAGTGCAAGTGCACTGGTGCCGTCGTGGGCCAGCAGCCCTTCGGTGGAGGCCGAGCCAGTGGAACCAACGACAAGGCTGGTTCCATCTCGATCTTCTACCGCTTCGTCAACCAGAGGACCACCAAGGAGAACATGATCGACATCGACCACTTCTCTTACCCTCACAACGCCTAGAAGCCGAGGTTCTTCGTGCGTGCGCCCTCATTCCCTTTACCTCCGATTTCCGTCACTTTGTATAACAAGCATCCCGTCACTCGTCTTCTCATTAGGGTGAGAGCCTCCCTATTAACACTAGCGCTCTTTTTACGACTCATGACTCTCGCGAAACTGTATTATCTCTTCGGGTGTGGAGCCCCCGATTAACACTGGCCCCTTTCTCGCATTTGTCAGTATCAATGATATCCCTCCTAGCTCAGTTTCCACTTGCCCGACGTTGCACCTCTCGCCCACTTTGTAGTCAGTGTACCAGATGGTGTTGGGCTGTGCGCTCCGCGTTCAGGGGTAAAGGCAGCCAGGGAGACGACGCGCACGCAGGCACGTACTCAGGAACCTCATGCAGCATGCGCTTCAAGCTCCGCTACATCTCAACACGGCTTCCGACTCGGGCCCCGAATTGGGGCGGCGCAGACGTTGCTCCGTCCGTCGCCGTCGGCCCCCTTGACAACCATCGCCCTTGACAACTCCCTCGTCTGCCACTGCTTCTGCTCTCCTTACCATTGCCCCCCTTATCCTCTCTGCTGTGCTGCTCAGACTTAGACCGGCAACCGCATATCCACCCCTAGCTTGCCCCTCCATCGCTCTAATATCGGCCAATCTACACCTGCTAGACATTCCCGACAGGCGTACCGGATATACCCCTGTCACACGTCTCGAGAGCAACTGTGTGAGCCCAGGCGTCGGCCAGTTGCACGGCAATCTCCTAGAAGCACAAAAGAGGGCGTCTGAAATACTACGAGACCGAGCACGACCCACAAACCTCTCTTATCAGGCCCGGGCGTCAATATTGATAAGGAGGTCCAAGCGAACACCTCGAAAGCTACCGGTACTGCATACTGGCCGAGTCGATCTAATCTGGCTGCGTCAATTCGCGGCAGAGTCCAGATCAGCGACGATCGACCATGACCACGGCAGGCGTCAATTTCGCGCCTCGCTCGCTCCCCGCTGCACAGTCTTCGGGCTCATCACTGCCCCGCCCTCCTTACCCCGAAGACCCCCTCGACAGGCGTAGCCCGGGAGTCACATTCTCTACTCCACCTATTGCAGACAGGCCCTCACCACCTCTTCCTGACACGCCCCCCGCTGATGGACCGGAGCGGGTACCCGTGCATCGTACCACCTCTGGGGGCACAGGCGACCGGCGTGGGCTTGCCAATCAGGCCTCCAGTCCCTGCCTCGGCAGATCACAATCAATCACAGCATCGTCAGGCATGGCTTCTTCACCGCCGTCCAACAACAAGGATAACAACATGTTCGGGCGTGTGGTTCGTAAACTCTCTAAGCGCGTCAAACCTCCCAGCCAACGCTTCGCAGCAGGAGGTGAAGCAGAAGCTAATGCGCCGGCTAGAGGGAGGGTCGATTCGCATGGACGTTCGGCAGACCTAGACGCACGTCGGAGGGCCAGAAGTAGGGAGCAGATGAGGATGGAAGAGTCTGGGCAGGTGCGAGGCCGCAGACCGTCTCTCGAATGGGGTCCTCCGCCGTTGCAAGCTAGCGACTGGGTACCCGCTTCAGAGACGAGACCTGCTCCACCAGCCGAGCCCCTCAGCAGTACCAACAAATATGCTCTTGCATCGAGATCGTTCGATTCGCTGGTGTCCCTGGGTGGCAATGACGGCGTGACACCAGTGCTGAAGAGCAATGCGGCATCTTCAAACAATCCATTCAGATCGGACTTCTCCCAGGATGCGCAGCCTGCATCGACGAATCGATGGATGACTTCAAGCATCACAACCCCCTCTCTGATCGCCTTGAATGACCCCCCGCAATACTCAAGCAAGACGCCTATCTCACCCTCTCTGGACCCAAAGAAGGTCAAGATCTCGTCAACAGCTCGGGGAAAGCCAGCTTCGGACCTGCCTCTTGCATCCGCTCACTCGTCACACCTACGTGCTCCTTCGAAGCCCGACCTTCGCAGTGTGGTGGGGGCACCTGTCAATGGCTCGGCTGACCCAAGTGGAGCCGATCTCGGTGCGCTCCCAAAGCAGGAACAGTCGGAGAGAGGAGAGCTCGTAGGCAAGGGACCTTATTGGGCTGTGCAACGTGGTTGGACCAAGGGTGTCGTCACGAGCAAAGAGGAAGCAGATCGGAGAACGAAGAATTTCCCAGGACCAGTGATACGGTATTTTGAGGCAGATCAAGTCGACGAAGCCATTGCATTCGTCAAGGCGGGAGCCCTCGCCAGTCGTCCGCGCTCGAGAACCGGCAATGGCGGGAGCGAAGATGATCTTCTAGGCGGCACCTTGCCATCCTCCTCAAGTGGATCAAGCGGTCTGGGAAGAAGCGTGTCACTGATGGAGAAGAGCTCACAGTCAGCTTATCGACCCCTTCAATCGAGGCATCGTCACAATGCCAAAGGAGGTGCGCAGGGACAATCTCTTGGAGGCGAAGCACCTTCGGGAAGCGCTGTCGCGTTTGGTGCAGGCGCTGCGCCGGCGACTAACGGCAGCTACAGCGGTTCAACGACAAGAGCAGTCCCCAAACGGCCCAGTCTCGCTTGGAACCGGGTCAACTCGTATACACCAGAGCTGTCACCGGTCATGGGTACAGCGATCGAACCCGAGGGCGATTTCTCCTTTGGTCATCGGCTGGAGCGGTCTGCATTGTCGAAGCTCTTTGCTGCTACTGCTCAAGGAGCTCAAGACGACCTTCAAGGTTCATCTGCAGCCGGTCGCAGAGCGCCCACTGCAATGAGCGTTCTCTTCGTCGAAGATTTACGTGCCTCCATCACCTTCTATACCGAGACCCTTGGACTCATCCAAGTAGATCGAATGGGCGGCGAGCAGGCCTTGATTGCCCTTCCTACTCATCAGCAGTCGCCCACGATCTGCCTGCGAGCTCGAGGCTCTGCTCCCACCTCGTTTGGTGCTTCGGCATCCTCGTCTTCGCTGAGCGGCAGTACAATTCTACTGCCTTTTCATCTGCCGTCAGACTCTTCATCTACACCTTACTCGCTTCTTCAAGCGGTCAAGAGTCGGTTTGAGAGCCTCATTCAGGGGGCCGGTGATTCCGACTTGCTGTCTTCCACCCTTGCTGCCGGCAATGCAGTCTCTGCATCTTCGGCAGGAGGCCCACGGCAATCTGCTAATTCGAAAGCTAGGGTGTTGAGCTCTGGCGCTAGTGCAGATAGCATCGAGCACAAGGCTTGGGGAGCCACAGAACTTTCCCTCGTCGACGCAGATGGACACCTGCTGATCATCAGCGTCACCTCTGCGTCTAATTCTAGCTTCAGTGCCTCACCCATAAGCACCTCACCCGATCGCTTGGAACTGCTGTCTTCGACGACAACGGCGCAAGCAGCCCCGTCGTTAGATAATTCGGCACCTTACAGGCCCACTCGACCCTTCCTCAAGACTTATTCCTCCACTGGCACCACGGGCAGCAGTAGCGCCTCGAGAGGCTCCAACGTGGGCGCTGCCTTCGACCCGTCGCCCCTGTCCAGTAAGCCTGACTTCTCGCAGGGGAGACCACAGTGGACTTTGATCAAAGATGATGATGATGATCTCTGATACCTGGCTTTGTTCAGCGCGATGAGCGCCTTGAGATGCTGCCGCTGTTCAAGCAATAGACCAAAGACCCAGATGAATCACCCGCGAGCTCGTCTTGCTACCGCGCCCTCTCTCCATATAAAGTCAGCTGCTTTGTTCCTTTCTAGCTCTTTCTCGTCACTTTTACTGTATCATGTCCTGGTTGCTCTCTCATTTACCTCGTCGTCGTCTTCGTCCTCATACTCGTCTTGCATGGTACCCCTGCCGCTCAACCCCTTCTCGTGTAGAATGTTGCCTACGGCTCAGCCTAATGACACCCTCACTCATCTGATCGTGTCACTCGAGAGGTCTACTGGTCGGAAGCTGACCTTGCTGCTGTGCTGCTGTTTCGACTGTGCTATGAGCTGCAAAAGATGTACCTGGCTACAGGCGGTCCGCGAATGGCTGCTAGCCAATTTGAAACCCCGACGCTGATCCGCTTCCTGATGCTTCCTGTCCTTCGTTGAATCCTGCTCACCTCCATCGATCCCGTCCACCCAATCGCCAATCATGTGTGAGTACAGGCCAGGCCCAGTCAGTGTCAGACAGTATAGCTGACACTTAGCTTTGCTGCTCTATATCGCCTCTCACAGCCTTTGGAGGTGGCTTCAGCGGCTTCGGCGCGGCCAACAACACCAATAAACCCGCGACGCCTACACAACCAGCTGCTGGTGGTTTCAGCTTTGGCAACAACGCCTCTACCCCAGCAGCCTCCGGCAGCGCTGCTCCATCTACTACACCAGCCTTCTCCTTTGGTGGCACGGCAGGCGCTGCTGCACCTAAGCCTGCTGGAGGATTCTCTTTTGGCAACACAGCCTCGACACCTGCTGCTCAGAGCTCACCAGCGCCAGCCCCAGCGGCTGGAGGCTTCTCGTTCGGATCTACACCTGCTAACGCAAGTAGCACTGCGCCAAAGACGGGTGGCTTCTCATTCGGTGCAGCTCCATCGTCTTCAGCTGCCCCATCTTTCGGCGGCGGCAGCACTACGCCAGCTCATCCACCACCTACCAACCTCTTTGGAGGCGGAGGAGCAGCGGCAGGGACAAGCAGTAGTGGTACCAGCTCGGGCTTCAGTTTCGGAAAGCCTGCTGATAGCAAGCCAGCCGCTGCTCCTGCCGCGCCTGCTGGTGGCAGTCTTTTTGGAGGTGCGAGCAAGCCTGCTGCTGGAGGCTTCTCCTTTGGACAGCCAGCTGGTACATCCGCTGCTTCCGGTACAGCGACAACGTCAGCTCCTGCTCCTGCTGCCCCAAGCACCAGCCTCTTTGGCAAGCCTGCAGCTACTGCGACTCCCCCTGCATCATCCACCTCGGCAGCAAGCGGCGGGTTCAGCCTTGGCGGTTTCAAGCCTCCCGGTCAGACAGGCAACGACGCTAGCAAAACCGCTTCAGCTCCCACAGGCGACGCTGCTCCATCACAACCAGCCGCCGCACCTGCCGCTAGTGGCTTCTCATTTGGAAAGCCGGCAGAGAAGAAAGACGAAGCTGCAAAGCCTCCAGCAGCCGGAGGCTTCTCGTTCGGGGGCCCACCAGCAGAGAAGAAGGAAGAGGCTGCAAAGGCTCCTGCGACCGGGGGCTTCTCTTTTGGCAAGCCAGCTGAGAAGAAGGATGAGCCAGCAAAGCCTGCTGCTCCCAGTGGATTCTCTCTAGGAGCAGCGCAGGGCTCCTCAAGTGCAGCCGGCGAGAAAAAGGATGCTACTGCAACACCTCAGGCTCCCCTCTTCGGCGCTAAGCCTGCTGCTTCCACTTCCACCAGCACGACGACTGCTCCTGCTGCAGCTCCCGCTACTTCCTCCGCGACGCAGACGCAGCCTGGTAGCAACAGTACTGCCGCAAATGCCAGTACCTCCGTCCAGCCCCTTCCTGCCCCCTCCCTTCTACGCGGTCGCACAATGGACGAGATCATCTCCACATGGACAAGTTCCCTCAACACCTCTGTCGCCTCGTTCTCCAAGCTGGCCGGCGAAATCGTCGTCTGGGACAACCTATTGCGGCAATCTGGGTCTGAGATCTCTTTACTGCTCGCCAGTCTGGCTCGGGCAGAGGAGAATCAGAGTAAAGTCAGTCAGCTGCTAGACTATATCGAGCGTCAGCAGGATGATTTGGAAAGCTTGTTGGAGGGGTACGAGAAGCAAGTGGATGAACTCAGGGAGGCGGCCCTTGGTGGTGGAGAGAGTGGGATGGGCGGATATTTGGGTGGTGCGAGGAAAGGTCTCAAGGGGGGTGAAGTGGAGCGCGAGAGAATGTGAGTACTAAAGAGGTATTGCAGAACCTGCTCCAGGTGGATGAGACGTACTGACGCACTGCCTCGCCTTGCCTTGCCTTTCCACTCACCTTCCCTCAGGTACTCCCTCGCCGAGTCTCTCGATTCCCAGCTCTCCTCCCTCTCAACGAACCTCACCTCTATGATCATCGAGATCAACACTTCTCTCTCCTCCACACAACAATCTAGCAAATCCTCCACCGCAGGAGGAGGAGCTGCAACTGCTTTTCCTTCACTTCCAGGATCTGGAGCCGGAGGAGGAGGAGGGGGAAGTGATGAAGATCCCGTGCAGCAGATCTTGGTCATTCTCAATGCGCACCTCAACTCATTGAGATGGATCGACTCGGCGGTAAAGAGCTTGAGGGGACGGATTGCTGCTTTGCGGAGGGGAAAATTGGAGTAGCGAATAAGAGGAGCAGTACGAGGATGTGGGGAGGGCAGTGAGCAAGCAGGGGGAAAACATAGCGCAAGATATACGCAAGCCGAGGAGAAGCCAGTATACACAACTTGACGGGGATCCATGGAGCAAGTCCGCCTCTGGTACTCCTCCACCGCTGCAATATCCATGCTCTCAGTCACAATCGTTCATTCTTCTGCGCACTGAGACGTCCCAGGCAGAGAGAGGCACGAGAAAGGGCGGACGTATGAGCCTGAGTCGGAGCCGATGCCGAAGCTGAGTCCGAAGCCGGACCCAGCGGAGGGAGAAGAACGAGACGAATGACATTAGGATGAGGTGGGCATGAACTGAGCACTGAACAGCGAGCAAACAAGCTCGTGGAGTGGGGGAGCGCACATGTGTGCTTCTTCTTTGCGCAAAGAAATGAGTGAACAACGGCAGACAGAGAGACAGAGAAGCGTACGTGTGCTCTATGGTGTGAAGCGGATGGATTCGTCGTGTGCGCGGATTGACCTGCAATCGCAATGTGTGCTCTGGTATGGATGATGAATATGCGCAACGAGTTGAGGCAACAAGGGACGAAAAAAAGGAAAGAGTGAGCATGATTGTGGATACGAATGTGGAAGGGCAAGGGGAGGGAGAAATGCATTGCTTGTGCGTGCGTGCCGGTGTGATGATATGAGAGGAGGTGTGACGGTATTGATGATGCTGGCGTTGACGATGTCGATGGTAATGACCCGACTTGGGGCAGGAGACTGGAGCAGTACGTACCGGGGCCTGACTCGTGATACGAGGCAGTTGTTGAGGGATGGCAGTAGGCGCCAGAACGATGAGATTTAGCGCCGAGCGCTACCGCGCTTGGGTCTCGACAAGATGTTACTCAGTCGTTGGGCAGATCGAGCTATTACTGCCCATCAAGCGCCTTCTCTGCCTTGACGAGAGGCGAGAAAGGCGAAAAGCCCGAAGCCCCCGTACCGATCACACTATCGGGGGTGGCATCGCTTCGGAAGCTGGAGCCACTGATGGACTGGTCCTGCCAGGCGGATGAGCCCGAGCCAGAACGGCCAAAGTAGCCTCCTTTCTGGTCCTCAGGCGACAGCTGGTAGGCGTCTCCGCACTGGAAGGAAGACAGGGGGTACTCCTGCCAAGGCGACTTGTACAGGTAGGGCGAGGTCCTTGCAGTGGCAGCAGTGGGGAGAGGAGATTGTCCATTGACTTGACCACTATACACCGAGCGAGTGTCGCTAGAACTCAAGCCAGCTTGGTAGCTCCTCTGACCGGCACCGGAGGAAGGTCGCCACATGTCTGAAGATGCGGCGCCCTGGGAGACGGAACGTCCGGAGAGACCCATGCGGTCAAACAAAGCAGTCATGACGTCCTCTCCAGACCCTCGGCGCTCCCCAGAAGCACGGGCGTATGCACCATTTCCGGCAGACGGAACAGAGAGGGAGCTGTCATGGGCTGATGGATATGCGGGACGTCGCTGGTGATATGCTTCGGCAGCGAGACTGTGGGCATCAGTCTCTCTTTCGCGGCCGTTGGCATAGCCATGATATCGTCTCAAGAAGTCTTGAGTGGCAGGGTCGCTGCTTGCATACTCGCTCGTACGGCCATCGTGGCTGGCCATGCCATCCGTGCGAGTGTTCGAGAAGGGCTCGGAGCTGCGAGGGAACGACCTCTGCTGAGGAGTCAGATTGTCTTGGGAGTAGTTGTTGTCAAGAGTCACCCAATTTGCCAATTGACTGATCTGCATCTGAGCCAACTGCTGATTTTTCTCGCCTTGACTTCGCCCCCAGCTCAGTCTGATGCGGCTGCCGCCGATCGGGAATCCTTGCATTCTCTCGATGGCTCGCTCAGCGTCGACCTTTCTGAGGAATGAAACGAAGCCACAGCCTTTGCCGGGGGGTATCTTGACGTATGCAATGGCACCAAAGGGTGAGAAGAACGTCTTCAGAGTCTCTTCAGAAATGAGGGAGCTGAGTCCTCCAACGAAGACGGTGGTGTTATTGGGGTCCAAAGCGGACGATGGTGACGGGAGCGTTGCTGGTCCAAGGGTGAAGTGGGTGTATCCGAGAGAAGCGGGGCCCCCGTAGCTGGATCCTAGCGCCACTCCGGACCGGAGGCCTACATCTACAGGGCCGGAAGCTCCAGTTGCAGGGATGGTCGGAAATCCTGGCAGCGTGGCGATGCCCCATGTTGACGGCAGAGGCGTTTGAGCAGATTGCATCGCGATCTCCATGGGCGAAGGTGTAGTGTACCGTCCAGCGGCTTGCGACAGGTGGGCTGCTGAAGATGAGGAAGAGAGGTCTCTTCGAACATAGGAAGCGGGCTTGCTCTCCCTGTGGCCGCTCTGCTCGTAATTACGACTGGCGTGTTCGCCCTCGAAGGAAAACGAAGCCAAAGTTTTATCGTCCGCGGCGGCCACACCCAAGATTGGGCTCGCTGTCTTGGCGTCCATCACGCTGACCCGCAGTGGTCTGCCTGGGGATGTACCATTAGATGGCGTCAGGATAATGCCCTGCATCTCGACAAGGGCTCGATTGCGATCTGCCTCGGCAGAGAATCGAGCGATCCCCCACCCGCGAGAGGCACCGGTGTCCGCACTAGTCGCAACTCGAGCAGACTTGATACTAGGAAAAGGACTGGGTCCGACGCGTTCGTAGCCCGAGCCAAGACCGTCCTTGACGGACATGGAGCGTGAGAGTGCAAGGGGATGACTTGCTGGCCAGGGAGGTGGATGCAGGAAGTGAGTCACGATGTCGACTTCATGCAAATCTGGTGATAGGTCCTCAAGCAAGAGCGCATAGCCTTCTTCACCGGCGCGTTTCTGCACTGACGGGGGCGACGACTGCTGACTTCCGTACGTCCAGGAAGCCAGTCTTGATGGCATTGCTGTGCGGCATTGCCTGCGAGAATAGATATGATCAGAACATTCTCGCGGCGCGGATGCGATTGTTCTCCGACAGGTCTTACTCACATGTCGTCCCACCTTTCGGACGCCAGACCTCTCTGACTGCCATCGAGGGTAGAAGTGCTGTACATTTCTCCATTGTGTTGGCGAGTCAATTGATCTCTAGAGTCTTCCCAGGCTGCATGGGCGATATCGATAGGTCCCGAAGCTCTTTGATGCACATCTTGCAGAGAGCTGGCGAAACGCGAGTTTGCTTCTTTCTTCGAATGATGGGATGAGTCCGATGACGCCAGAAATCGACGCTCGAAGTGTTCCTGATTCTCAGAGGAAGAGACAGACGATCGCGAGGCTCGTGAGGTTCGTCCGTTGAAGCCTGCAGCTGCTTCACCAGGCAAAGAATTAGATGGGTGATTGAGAGCAGTCTTGCTGTCCCTGGAGCGGTAGGGATCTTCAACCGTCTTCTCCATCATTTCGAAATGTCTAATATGCTAAGAGCTGGAGGAAAGACGAGGGCTAAGAGATGATGGAGTCTGATGTGAGTAATGGATGTGAAGATGGTGTCAGAGATTGAGAATACCAAATTAAGGTGTGAGCACACGCTGATGTATGAGAAGATCCGGCCAGCATCGCCAGACATCACCCAAAGCTTTGAGCTTGGCTGTGTATAGCATGCCATCATCGCAGTGATCATATGGGTCCGAGCGTGGAAGAGGCAAGGCCCCTCATCTGGTTCAAGTAGGGGCTCGAGCGCGAGAATATTCTTCCGACCCCCCGCCTCCTACCGCGCGTGCAGCAGCAAGTCCCTGTCATGGACACGTCTTGCATCCTTCGCTCCAATCAGAGCCTCGTCATCGCGCTGCGATGAGATTGCCGTCCCTCTTCGGACTGACATGAGGCATCCGTCGTCGCCTATCGTAGCTTCACTCACCGTATGCACTTCTTCACAAGGTCAGAATAGGGCCAGAGAGGCGAGCAGCTCGTTTGTGCCTTCCGAGGTTGGCACAACAAGCTTTGTAAAGAGCTGAATGTGAAATGGGTTGATGATGTAGATGGCGTGGATATCTTGGTGGAGGTTGGACGAGGTTTGCTAGTTGCTATGCAGTACGGTTGGAACGCTGACGAGACCTGGCCTTGCTCTCGTGTATGCTGAGCGTGTATGACAGAATCCTAGCACTTTGCTAAAGCGTTGCTAGTAGGTGTAGGTGTACAAGAGGAACGCAGAATCGAGGTAGGTAGTGGGGTATGGATTGGGTATTGGGATGAAGTAGATTGCCGGGTAAAGGATAGAAAGGTTGGTTCAGGCGAGGCTGTGCTCAGTCCTTTGCTTATGGTCTCTGTCTTTGTGAGTCTTGAGGGCAGACGGATCACAAGTGCCTTTGCTACCACGACTCTAGTCACGCTGTCGCCGCGATCGGCAATTCCGGGCCGTTGCGGCGGCAGCAGCGGCCACGGCACCGGAAGATGGGGACAGTACCAGATCTCAAAGGGGCCGAAGCCGGTTCGGACTCCCAAGGAGATCTTGCTGAGTCGTGGTACCAAAGGGACAAGGTCTTGCTAGTCTAGTGTGGGGAGTCGTGAGATGCCCCTTGGAATGTCTTATCTTGTCTGCCGAGTGCCGGTCTGCTGAAAGGGCCCTGAAAGAAGACGGGCGCCTGCTAGAGGATGAAGACTGGACGAGAATAACACTGCTACACCACAGCAAGACCACTTCTTGCTATCAGATCCGCACAGAGCACGTCAATGGTGGTGGAAGTCAGGACAGCCAGCCCATTGTGTACGCCTGTGAGATGTCTCTATTGTCACGAGTGGCTGCATCAGTGGCGAGGCTGAGCTGATGGCCCCTGTTGTTGTCTCACCCTCTGTTCCTTCCTTCCTTCTTCCCTTTGGTCTTTCCCTTTGGTCCTTCCCCCCTCGCCCACCGACATTGAGCTGCACCATGAGGCACCCGCGTAGGAAGTCCCCCCTCTCTCGCGCGTGTGATTGCCCCGACGTGCAGCACCTGTCAAAGGGCTTTGTCCACCTCGCTTCGCCCTTCCCGAGCGGGACTACAAAGGGATGTACGGACCTGTTTGGCTGCAGGGCAGGCAGCGCAGGGCAGGGCGGGGTGGGCAGGCACAAGTTTTTGTCTGCCCGCCTGCCTGCAGTCCACTCTCGCGGCGATCAGGCCTACCGCCTACAGCGGAGGTGGGGCCGGCCGGGCGGGCGCCAACAGTCAGGAGGGCCCGAATGAAATCGATCAGCTAGTCTAGACTAGTCTATTTCCCCCCCACCCCCCCACCAGACAAGGAGAAGAGGGGGGTGACAAGCCCGATCAGCTTCTGCTGTCGTCATTAGTACAAAGGAGGAAAGAGGCCGATGAAATCTTCGCAGCTCCCTGCACCTCCCCGCGATCTCGCCGAGGTTGACCAGCGGCTACCAACTCACCTGCCGGGGGTGCCACAATAGTCACACGCTTGCTGGCTCACGATGATGAAACATGATGTATTGTACATTGGAGACGCCTGGCGGGTCAGATGCCTGCCACCGGTCGTGTCTCCCATCGCCTCTTGCTCACCCCTCGCCACAGGTCTTGGTCACTGTCAACGTCACATTGCTGGACCTCTGGCAGGAGTATGGCTGTCACGCGTCTGAACCTGCAGACACACCGTCTCCTCCTCGTGCTCTCTCCTCCCCGCCTTCAGCCCCTCTACTTGAGGCATTTGTCTTCCAGAATGCCCATTTGAACCCACGCCTCGATCAGGTCGCACACACCAGGGTATCCGCCTCCGGTAGAATTACCAGAGTTCTTGAACTGGAAGGAGAAGCGAGGCAAGAGAGCTAGGTTGAGCTCACATGTACGGGACGGGCGAATGATGGCGGAGAATGTTACTTACCTCCTGGAAGCTGAAGAGCTCGAACTCGGCACCAAAGGCGATGAAGTGCGCAAAGAGGGAATTGAAGTGACCTTCGCAGCAGAGGTGGATGAGGTAGGGAAACTGCGCATGGTAAATGTGCGCAAAGACCCTGAGAAGTTGCTTGTAAACGTGCTTGGCCGTCGTGAGGAACGTCGGCGGGAAGTCTCGCGCTGCGTCCAGATGAATTTCGGGAGATGGGTCAGCGAAAGACCCCTGATCCGTTTGGTGCCCTGTACTCACAAGCTTTGGTCGGGAAGGTGGCCTCGTCGGTCAGCAGTCCACCGACCCATGTCATGACATAGTCAATGTATTGAGGCGCGGGTAGCTTGACCTGCTTTCGATTCTGATCGATCCATGTGTAGTCCAGTCCGACTCCTGCTGACATTGTTGGGTTGTTCTGAATTGTACAGAATTCCGTCAGCACACCGTAGAATTGATTGAGGTTATTGAAGAAGTCGAAGACTACCAACATGAGAATGACAACCAGCAGCATGGGCAGGAGGCAGTATCAGCGTGACGGTCTTGGGTCACTCGATTTCCGTCATCCCGATACTACTCACGGTTGACGGCCACCCATTCCCTTGGCTCGACATACTTCGGCAGCGTCACAATCGTCTTGAAGCTTCCCTTCACGAGGGCTGACCTGAGGAAAGGGTTGCAGAGGTACAAGGGCTTGCCAGTGGGGCTGAGTGCTTGTTGCTGGGAATGCTGTTGCTGGTAATTCTGAGGAAAGACGCCAAAGTCGGCGCCCGGTAGCGTGGGAGACTTCTTTGGCCGCCCAGACCGTCCCATTGATTTGAAGAAGGACATGACGAAGGTGTACTCAATCTATGTAAGGGCGGACAGGACAGCGCTAGGGCAGTACGAAGACTCTGAGCAAGATGGCAGTGATATCGAGGTAAAGGAGAAGAGAGCCGGGCGTACTGGCTTGACGTTTGAGTACGAAGTAGCGCACTCCGGTGTTGAGGAGTTGCTATGGGGCAAGGTGAGGACTACGACGAGGTGAGTCTGATTGTCCAGGGGCTGTTGGGTGCAGCTCGGAGTGATGGTGTGTGTGTGTATGTGTGTGTGCTTCTCTCGCTTTGACCAGCCGCCAGGACGCGGGGCAGGAGAGGAGCGCGCACCACGTCCGCCTGTGTCTCGACTCCTTCCGATGCAGCCACTCCAGTCCGCCTTCCGCTTCCACACAAAATTTCAGACTCGCACGCCCACCGCCTTGGCCCTGACCACCACCATTTCCTCCCCTGGTATCCCTCGAATCCATCCCCTTTCCCGCAGCCTCATCCAGGATGGCAAAGGCGCTCGACTTCCTCGCTGATGACAGCGCAGCTGCATCAACATCGAGGAGACCAGCCAAAGCGCCTCGTACGGCCGCCACACCAGCATCTTCTTCATCTTCTTCAGCCCTCGTGGCTCCTGCCAGGAATCGTCGAGCAGCCCTACCTCAGGCTCAAGAAGCTGCAGCCGACGACGATGATGACGATGATGACGAGGCTGTGATCGCTTCAGCTCTGCACAAGCACAATGTCAAGGCTGGAGTTGAAGTCGCCAAGGCTGCCAGTAAAGTCAAGGGCAAAGGCAAGGCAAAGAGCGGCGAAACAGTAGGAGGTGGCAGCTTCCAGAGCATGGGTGAGTACAATGAGCTGCACAGCATACAGTCTGCCAGCTGGTACTGAACACAGACAATACCACTCCGACCTTGCAGGACTGATGCCATCACTGCTCAAGTCACTCCTTGTCCGAGGCTACACCACCCCAACACCAATTCAGCGCGCCTCTATCCCTTCCATTCTGGCACAGCCATCTCGTGATCTCGTAGGAATGGCTAGGACTGGATCTGGAAAGACTCTGTCATACGTCGTGCCCCTGATTCACAAGCTCAATGGCTCTCACTCCACATCTTTCGGCATCAAGGCGCTGATTCTCTGTCCAGGACGAGAGCTGGCGCTGCAGATCTTGAAGGTCGGCAAGGACATTGCCAGGGGATGCAAGCAGCAGGACGCGGAAGCTATTAGGTGGGCAATGATCGTCGGTGGAGAATCGCTAGACGAGCAATTTGCTCTGATGGCGAGCAATCCCGATGTCGTCATTGGTACACCTGGTCGTCTGCTACATCTAGCAGTCGAGATGAACATGGATCTGTCTGCTGTCAAGTATGCCGTCTTTGACGAGGCCGATCGACTGTTCGAAATGGGTTTTGCTGCTCAACTGGAAGAGCTTCTCAAGAGGCTGCCAGTGAACAGACAGACACTACTCTTTTCGGCTACGCTGCCAAAGTCCCTTGTCGAATTTGCAAGAGCTGGTCTTGGAGCCAACCCAAAGCTGGTACGTTTGGATGGTGAGAGCAAGATCTCCAGCGAGCTGCGAATGGGATTCATCAGTCTCAAGCCTGCCGACAAGGAAGCTGCACTACTGATACTGCTACGGGACGTCATTGGCGTACCATTCGGCGAGCAAGCCTCTCAGGACGAGGTGTTGTCAGGCTGGGACAGGAAACGCAAATTCGGCCAAAGGAAGGCAGGAAACATGCCAGGCGGCATCAGAGGTACAGATCATCTCCTTCCTCATCAGACCATCATCTTCTGCGCCACCAAGCATCACGTCGAGTACCTGCTCGCGCTGCTCACCCACATTGGGTATGCCTGCTCGCACATTTACTCATCGCTAGACCAGACGGCTCGTTCATTGGAGATGAAACGGTTCAGAGAGGGTCGTACCAGCTTGCTTGTCGTCACTGACGTCGCCGCTCGAGGTATCGACTTGCCTGTCCTCGAGCATGTGGTCAATTACGACTTCACTCCCTCTGCGCGAGTCTTTGTGCACAGAGTCGGTCGAACAGCTCGAGCCGGTAAGAGCGGGTGGGCGTGGAGTCTGGTGACGAACAAGGAGCTGCCTGCTCTATGTGACCTCCAGCTGTTCTTGAACCGACCACTGGCGCCTTCGCCTACTCCCACCGGCGATGGAGGCGACGAGACCCCACTGCTCGATGCTCACACCTCACTGCATCTGGGTACGCTTCCTCGCGAGGCACTAGACGTAGAGAACGAGTACCTCACCTCTACGCTGCAATCTGTCGACTCGAGCACATCCGATCAATTGGAGGCCTTGAAGAAAGTCCTTCTTCGCGCTCACAAAATGTACGAGCGGTCGAACGGGAGCGGCAAGCCAGGAGCTCAGAGCTTGAAACGCGTCAAGAAGATGCTCGACCGACCTGAAGACGGGGGCGAGGGCGATGTCTGGAAGCTGGCCGGTAGTGGCAAGGAGGAGAGCGGAATCATCGACTTTTACCGACGCCCATCTGCATACGGTCTCTCTGGCGCTGGCGGCACCGGTGCCGGTTCGAAGCAGACTGCTCGGAAGCACAACCCGCTCGTCGAGCAAGCGCGGTCCGATCTTCTGGCGAAGATTTCGAGCTTCAGACCCTCGGAGACTGTATTCGAGATTGGTGCGCGAGGTGAGACGACCCCTTTGGCAAAGTTGATGAAGGACAGGAGGAAGACATTGGAGGTCAACATTGAGAGGCGAAGAATTGCAAAAGCCCAAGAAGAAGGCGAGAGGGACAGCGACGATGATGACGAGCAAGATGATGTAGATGCCGCCCCACTCGAGGAGCAAGAGGGAGCAGATGAAGAAGAGATCAAGGCCGTCTTCGACACGACTCCTAGCGCAGAGACTTCCAGCGGGGTCAAGGGCAAATCCGCCAAGAAGGACTACAAAGACCCAGACTTCTACATGGGCTATCAACAAAAGGACTCTCACGACGAAAAAGGCTATTCCCTCTCTACTGGCTCCGACTTTGTTTCACAAGCTCGCATGGCCTCCTTTGGTCTTACCAGCGACGACGGTACGAGGTTCGGCGTGACGTCCCAAGCGCCCAATGCCTCGCGCTGGGATGTCAAGAAGAAGAAGTTCGTAAAGGGCGATGGAGAGGGCGCAGACAACCAGAAGATGATCCGCACAGAAGCCGGTACCAAGCTTCCCGCTTCCTTCAAGAGTGGCCGTTTTGATGAGTGGAAGAAGAAGAATCGAGTCGACTTTGCAAAAGTGGGGGAGAGGGAAGAGGATAATAAGAGCATCAAGCGCTTTGGCAACATGGGCGACGGAAACAAGCGCTTTAGGCATACGGGCACGCCCCAAGCTAAGCGTCTTGATCCGCTAGCTAGGGATTACGATTCGAAGATGCGGGCTCGCCAGGCAAAGGCTGGCGAAGGATCCCGCATCGGTCGAGACGGACGAGATGCCTCACAGCGTGCTCCGTCTCGACGAGGAGGTCCACCAGGGGGCAGAGGTGGTGGTAAAATGGGAGGGGGAGGAGGTCGAGGAGGAAGTGCTGCAGGTGGACGTAAAGGTGGTGCATACACTGGCGCCGGGGCGAGGGATGAACTCAAGACGAGTCAACAGATCGCAAAGGAGCGTATGGCAAAGGATCGTAGGAGGGAGAAGAATGCTAGAGCACCGCGCAAGAAGAAGGGCAAGAAGTAAATTGGTATCAAAGAGGATGCAATTGCCGCATCCCCGTCGGTCCTGCTCTACAAACCTCATCATTGTCCATTCCATACCCCATCCTTGTGTGTATGCTGAAAGATGACCAGCACGTCAGCTGACCGTGTGCAACAACATTTTGGTCGCTTCACCTATCCCATATACTGGTCAAAACTCACCTCTAGCGGTATCTCCAGACTAGCCAAGCTTTCGCAGACTGCCTTGCCCGCCCAATCCTCGAGCAGGTGGACCTCCTCGGGGGTGATGAAGGCAGAGGTGTGACGATTCGCGAAGCTGGGTCGGTAGGTCGGGGTTGAGTATTCGGTCAGGAGGCCGATCGATCAGGCTCCGTCTCGCATCGTTTCTCCCACCCCTCTTCAAGCCGCCCGACTCACATCATCTGTACAGCGCCCGTCCTGATCCTTCGAGAATCATTCGTCGTCAGCGCCTCGTCTGCTACTACCGCCCCGGACTCGCTTGCTCTATTGGCAGAGGCGAGGTTGGCTGAGAGGGCGAGATGATTGAGGACAAAAGTCTCCATCTCTAAGGTACTGATGGAGTGTCGCTGCCGTAGTACGTCGATGAGATTGGCGTTGGCGTCAAGAAAGTCGATGGAGGTGCGACCTTGTGAGGAGTAGAAGCTGGAGAATGAGGTTTTCGGTAAGCACATCAGACCTTGTGAGGAGGATGCGAGTACTTGCCCACTCCTATATTCTCACCTGTCCGTAGAGCCATTGACCACCTCACCAACACTTCTTGGCGCTACTCCTCCAAAGTGTGCTTTGGCAGCCTCTGGGGTCGACTCTTCAAGAGCGCGAAGCAGCGAGTCATGAATCTCCCGATCGCAGTCTAGGGGCTTGGTCACCTTGTACGGCTCCATGGCTCCCGTTGCACGCTCTTCGGCTGTGGTCAGCGGGTGGAAGTAGTCGTACTCGCGGGTAATGCCGTATGATGTGAGGGGGACGACGACGCTGCCAATTGGAATGGAAGGGTCTATTGAGCCGCACTGTGCTCTCGCATGGGAGAGGGGGACTGGTAAGCGAGGAGCTTTCACGATAAGGCCTCGAGCATAACTGCCTACCTGCTGATGCTCACCGATCCTAGACGAACTATGATCATCTCTCCTTCGACTACTGCTCTGCATTCCCGTAGGAAGAAGTCGATTACGGAGAATCCCATGCCTACCGAGACGACTGTCAAGGGCACTCCCTTGAATGTGCCCGTGAGTGTGAGCTGGAAACAAGCGGGTGAACCGTCATTGTCAGATTCCCTGCTCAAAAGCTGGTCAGTATTCGTGGGGCTTTGCGACTCACGAAGGACCTTTGACTCTGAAACTCAAAGCTGGCCGCCCCGCCATCAAAGTGGGCTGCTATCCTGCGTGCGCGAAGCTGGTCGCCTACAGTGATGATGCGATTGGCCACCTGTCCAGGGCGAGTGCCAACGTGGTAAGTGGCTCCAGTGGCATCTCTTGGGAAGTTTGCGTCGAGGAGTACCTCTTTCATGACTCCTATCGTTGGAGACTGTGAAGGCAGCCAAGGTGCTTCGGTGGCAGGCTGGGCTGTCTAATCTAGTCTATCTCTAGTCTCCTGTACGCGCCTACGGAAGTGGGGAGAAGTGCGTTGCCCTGTGCGGCCACTTCTTCTTCTTCCGAGGCGCATTGGGAGATGCAGCAGCCGCTCCCCTTTGCCCCCCGCCTTTGTCCCAACCCCACGTTCCAAAGGTACATCGGAGCCGATCCTTCCCTCTTGTCCCTTCCTCCCTTCTCTGTTGACATGGCCAGCGCAATGGCAGGTGAGTAAGATCATGTAGCATCTCCCTCCATCGAGGAACTTCGTGACCGACCAAGGCCAGCCCGCGTTCCTTCCTCCTTCTCCCGCCAGGCCCCTCCCGTAATCAGTCCTTCAAGGGCAGTGGCCTAGCCATCCTTCGCAGTCATCCCGGTCCCGCCAATACCCTCGGCTGCACTTTCACTCACCTCCGCTTCTCCTTTCCCCTCAAGCTTATCCACCCGCGCACTTCAGGAAAAGATGCAGCTCTGCTCCTGGCAAAGGCAGCCAAATCTCGGATAGCCAATGGCAATGGCGGGGGTGAGGCGACAGAGGTCAAGGCAATCGCTGCCCTTTACATCGTCGGCTATGGCGGCGGATTGGTCAGTGGAGACGATGTGGAGCTGGACGTGGACGTGGGGGAGCAGTGTACCCTGCTTCTCTTGACACAGGGTAGCACAAAAGTCTTCAAGATGAGGTCCATTTCCTCGCCAAATGGGCTATCTCCCTCCTCACCGCATCCCAACACCTCGTCATCATCGTCAATCAGGGGGACCAACGAGACCTATAGTCGTCCCATCACTCGGCAATATACCCGCTTCCTCATTCGGCCACATTCCACCCTGGTTCTCCTTCCAGATCCAGTAACCTGCTACGCCTCATCCCGCTACGCTCAAGCACAGCGTTTCGACGTTCAATGCGCCCGTACCTGTTCCCTCGTCCTACTAGACTGGTTCACACCAGGTCGACAACATCTCTTGCGTAGCAGCGGTGATTCCACTAGTGGCTCACAAAGCGAGGCTTGGCGCTTTCAGTCGTACCGGTCGCGCAATGAGGTGCGCTTAGAGGGTAAAGTAGTCATACGGGACGTGCTACTCCTAGAGCAGGACGAGGCGCAATGCTCTCTTGCGGGTGAAGGGATCACGACGGATCTGGGCAGACGCAACCATCCTTACTCGTGCTATGCGAACCTCTTCCTCCTGGGACCCGATGTGCAGCCCCTCGTGGCAAGGCTAAATGATGAGTTCCAGTCGATACAACAGAGAGTGGTCCCATCGAGCCACCGGGGTGGGGGAGCTGTTAGGAACAACAGCGCCGGTAACGGCAACAGCAATAGCAGCGCCAATGGCGCAAGCGCCTCATCCCCACAGGGCATCCTCTGGAGTCTGACAATCCTCAACGAGGACAGCGGGAGTAGGGATCAGGCCCAGATTCCTTCTTCCGCTGCTAGTGGTGGTGGTGGTGGCGGCGGCGTCAGCAGCAGCAGTGGTGGAGGAAGACAAGCCGTGGTAAGGATTGCCGGTCTGGATACAGAAGGGGTACGCAACTGGCTCAAGCAGAGATTGACTCCGCTTGAGAAAGTGGTGGGTCAGGACTTGTACAAGCAGGCAATGTGGTAGCAGAAAGTTCTGCCAATCGAAGAGATCAGCCAGCAAGCAAGACTACACACAAGGCAAGGGGATGCAGTGATGCCCATTCAGGGTTGCGTCGATTCTGGTACAAATACAGCTAGTGTGGCATCGGCATACGGAGAGAAGACAAGCCGAGGATCGCTCCGCACATCCTTCTCTTTGAGGAGTGAAACGTTCCAAGGCGGCTGCCCCAACCCGCAACCGGAGACTTGTGGAATGGTATCTTGGAGGAGAAAGGGTGGGGGGGAGGAGGGTATGAGTCGAGAGGCTGCTACAGGAAGTACTCCGGTGCTCTGCAATGCCGATGAGAAAAGGGGGAAAGGAGGCAAGTGATCAGCAAGGACTGTCTGGCGTCCACCCTCACCTACTGCGACACCTCGCTTCTGCAAGGCCATGCTACTCACGGTCTCTTGGCCGGCACGCCATTCACCTCCTGCGGAGCCGCCTCAAATACACCAAAGCTCCTATTCCCCGCCTCGTCCACCTTCATCACCGACGCCACATTCCCACACCGATAGCAGTAATTGGGAGCAGACCAAACCGTCACAATGGTATCTTCAAACATGACCTTGTAACCCTCCAAGACCAATTGATGAGCTCGAGCTATTAGGTCTAGATCATTGTTGTGGGTGAAGGTTTGGGTGACGTCCTTTCCGAAGAGGAAACCGGCGCCTCGAGGGGACATGCCCCAGCCGGTAATGTCGTCTGGATCACTCCAGAGGAGGTCGCACATGGCTCCGTCGTGCGGCACTTCTTGTTTCCTGTCAATGGCTCGGATCTAGACGGGCAGGAGAAGAAGGAGGGATTATAAAGAATGGAAGAGGTGGGGAGCGAGGGTCAGCAATTTGCAGTAGTGGATGGTCTAATCCTGGAGCCAAGGAGCTCTGATGAACTCACCTGATCCACGCTCGATACCCCCGGACTCAGCCCACCATGTACGGCCAATATCCTCCCATCCACCACGGCCGCCAATGCCAGGTAATCGAATACCTCGCAGCAGTATCTCCACACGTTTCCATTACCATATTTGCGCATACACTCGTCGTAGAATCCATACACTTGAGTGATCTGCCGCGATTCGTGATTGCCGCGGATCAAGGTGATGCGGTCTGGGTAGCGGACCTTGAGGAGGAGGAGGAGCAGGAAGGTCTCGACGCTGTAGAAGCCGCGGTCCACGAAGTCGCCTGGGAATGGGTAGGTGGGAGGGGCGGGGGCAGAGAATCAGTACCTTGCTCGCCAGGAGCTATGATTGAGCAGGCCGGAGGGTTTACTTGAAGCTCCATGCAGTCTACATGACCCGGTTTGTATGCATAGCCCGACTGTATGCTCCCTTCACCTATCGTCATCGCCATCACCTTTGGGACCAGCACCAATGCTACTCACCCATGAATAGGTAATTCGTCTCCGGACACCTTCCCCCTACCTCAAACAATTGCAAGAGGTCCCAAAATTGTCCATGAATATCTCCACAAATGGTCACTGGCGCATCCACATGTTGTACATTGGACTCCTCTACGAGTATCTCCCTCGCCTTGAGACAGAGAGAGCGCACTTGTGATTCGGAGAGGGGCTCACAGCGCTGTAATTGTGCGAGTTGGAGATCTAGAGGGGAAGGCATGGATGAGGAGGAGGAGGGGGCAAGGGGAAAGGGAGAGAGAGGTCTGAGAGGCTAGTGGTAGATGGAGGCTCTGGAGATCCAGGCCGTGGGCCGAAGGGAGCGCTTGCCAGAAGACGGTTGCTGTTCCTGACTAGCCGCGGATTGATTGGGAGGGACCGTCAGCAGAGGAGAGCCTGGGCGATGATGTTGGGGATGGTGGTAGTTGCCGTGGAGGGCGGGTGGGTATTGCGGGAAGAGGCGCTGAAGTGTATGCTCTAGGGATGCTCGAGCAGCAGAGTAGTATGGCGATGCTCAGAGGTGATAGCCCAAGGATACTGTGTTGGTCTCTGCGATGAATTTGTCCAAGTGGTGAAGAGTAGGAATGAGGGCTTCTAATCGTTTGGGGTTTGGTAGTGTGAGGCAGGATTCGTCGGCGTATTCTCAGTCTGGTGGTGCGTCAGTGAGTTTCGTCGGAAAGAGGAACTCTGATCAGGAAATTTCGGAATCGCAGGCGTGCCAGGCCAAGGGCGAGGGCGAATGGCGCATCTCCGGAACGGAACCAGGCCGACCCACACCCACACGGAAGAACGACCAAAGTCAGGAGGCCCAAGCATGCAATGCACTCCAACTCCATTCTACTCAGGCTCAACCTCCAGCAGCATCGCTCTCACATAGGCTGAGACCCATGACTGCCTTGGCTACTCAGGCATACAACACAGCTCGGCCGCCGTCTCCAGGCGACGATGCCTCGCCCTTTCTTCTACGAGTCTATGTGACTGTGAGTAGGCTTCAGCAGCAGTAGCAGCGCACCCATCTTCTGACGACCTTTGACACCTTTGCATCTTCTCACAGCGACGACCTCATTGGCGGCACCTCTCCGATTTTGAACATCCTCGCAGAACAAACCACGATGAATACAAACTCTACGTCTGGTGAGTGCCAACTCTGCCATTCCCAGTCTGTCTCTTCCAATCTTGCACTAACTCCTCTTCCTCTCCTCCCAACCCACCTTCTCACAGGCGCTCAACAACTCTCCGCACTCTAACCCACCTCCTACATTCTGCCCAACCCTCCCTCTCCCACCCCCACACCCCGCACGCCTTCCGTCTGGTGTACTACAACTCACATCGCTCCCTCTGGTGTGCTCGCGACCTAGGTCGAGATGTAAGGCGGGTGGGCCCACAGGATTTGGCTGAGAAGATGGGCAGTGAGGAAGCGAGGGAGATGCTAGGTCTAAGTACAGGTCTTGGCCTTGGCGAGGGACAAGGGGAGCAAGAGGGAGAGAAGGGAAGGAAGGGGCCGGTGCCAGGACAGGATGGGAGTATCAAGTTGGGAGAGTGCGGATTGGTGGATGGAGACGTGCTGGAGTGTCTCATCCCACCTGGCACCGCTGGATCGGCAGGATACAATGCTGGAAGTGGATACGCACATGCGCCACCGCGGCTTCCCACTGGACCTGCGACTCGAGCTGGGCCGGGATATCAGGGCTTTGCAGACCGAGGAGGAGGGGGACCTCGTAGGAGAGACTTGAGCGGGGGTGGAGACGCTTATGCGCATGCAAGAGATAGAAGGGGCAGCGATTCCCACTCTCACTCCAGGGACTTTGGAAGGAACGGCGACATGCGAAGGAGGCATGGCTGGTGAAGGAAGGCCCGCTAAAGCAAGGCTCCTTCCTGCTCGCTGCCGTTTCTCAATTGTGTTTTGTTTCTAGATACCCAAACCTCAGGCCAACGTCAGGTCCTTCTACACTTGTAATCTAGCACATTGTCACCACATCACAACATTGAGCACAGCTCTCGCCATCTGGACATTGTCTATATATGTGCTTGTAGTATTGCCAGACGCCGGTCAAAGTGGGAAGCAGCAGGGGAGCAGTGGTCCGATACACTCTTCTTTTCCTCTCTCGCCCTGCCTCGTCTCCCCATTCCCCTGGATTACTCCTTGACGCAAAAGAAAAGATCCTATTCTCTCACTGGCTCGGCTCATGCGTCTCGGAAGCGCAAAATGAAGTTGACGAGGACGGCAATGAGAAGCATAATGGACAGGAGCGTGGGACCTGTAGCAGTGAAGATGAAACAGGAATAGATTCAGCAGCGGTCCTCGAGCTCTTGAATTGCGATGTCGCCTTTGCCCGGCTCTTGCACGCCCTTATCCGATACTCACCCAGGCGATCGTCGTATGGTCCCGAGCCACGATTCCTGATGGCAGATGCACGCCAGTGGTAGGTTGCCAGAGCGTAGACCATGACGGCCATGGCTGCGTGGGAGGAGACGGAGAAAGAAGTACAACAAAGAAGTCAGAACATTATTCGCGGCCTTCCCAGCCAATGTTCATACAATGCTAGCAGAAGCAAAAGCTCAAGGAGAGAGAGGCTCCTCGCTGCTCGCTTCCCTCTCCTCTCTGTAAGCCTTGATCGCTTTCCACACTCACCTACAAAGCTGAACATGGCAGCGCTGATCCTTCCTACATTGTCACCAAAGTTGAGCAGTCCAGCAGCCAGAGCCGAGAGGGTGACTGTGAAGTTGAGCCATGACAGGACTGGGCAAGGAATAATGTAAGGTGGACGGAAGGGCAAAGGAGGAGTCAGCTTGTGAATTCGCTGACTGGTCTGGGAGTTGCTGGAGTCCAGTCGTGGATCCTTGGTACGATTTGATCGATGAGCCAATCGAGCTCGTCTCGGCGAGGCTGCTTGGTATAAGGAGCCTGCTGACGCTCCTGACTTTCTGCACATGCTATCACTTCAACCTATACGCCAACCTCTCTAGACTCCCAAATGGTGCATGACGCCGGTCAATCGCACTGCAAGTCGAGTCCATCGCATGCCCTGATACTCTCTTCCCATTCTCCCTATCCTTCATGCTCGGTAACAGCGCTCTCACCATCCCAACATGACGATGATCCCTCTGATCCACTCACATGTCCTCTCATTAGCAAAGAAGACCTTTGGCTCCACCCTCACAGGGAGTGCAATCCTCTTGCCCGCGGTTCGTTGCAGCAGCGGTTGAGTCGACATTGTATGGTCTTGTGAAATGGAAGGAGCGGAGGCCAAAGGGGTGTAGGGTCGTAGAGGCCTATCCGGTCGAAGAGGAGGAAGGACTCTGGGTGCAAGCGATGTATGCTAGGCTAGATAGGAAGACTAGGTGACGAGGATGAGCGAGTAGCAAGTAGCGAGTAAGGAGCAAGTCGATGAGAGTGAGTGAGGGAGCGAGTGAGCGAGCAAGTAAAGTGAATGACTGAACGAATGAACGAATCTATGGGCGGAGATGAACGCAGACGATCGAGTGAATGGAAGTGAGTGAGTGAGTGAGGCAGCCAGCCTTGCACCTCGGCCCCTGGTCACTCACTCCTTGGTAGCCTCCCACAGACAGGCAGGCAGGCAGGGGCAGGGCGGGGCGGCAGGCAGCAGGCGGCGGCGGATGCAGATTCATTCATTCAGCCCACAGGCGAGGCAAATGCATGGCAAAGTCAGGCGGACAAGGACAAGAATTGCAGCGGGGTCTGAATTCAGCCCTCCCTCGTGCAGCCTAGCGAACGTGCCACCTCCCCCTGCCCCCACCTCCGCTCCCCCACCCGAGCTGCCCGACGCTCGCCTTGCTCCGCTCCGCTACAGTACAGTGCAGCGCTGTGCGGCTTTGGCTCATCTCTCCCCCATTCGGTCCACAGTCAGTCAGTCAGCCAGACAATCCGTCGACATTCGAGGGTGAGCAAATTCATACCTTCGGTGGTGCGAGGGGGGAGACAGTAACAAGAAATGACAATAAAAATATGGTACAGGGATATAGGTGGCTCTTTGGAGGCGTTGGAGGTACTCGAAAAACGATGAGAAGAAGGCAGGAACAGAGAGAGAGCGAGTCGAAGATCAGGTGTCTGCTGGTCTGCTGGCGACAAGGGAGATCAAACCTAAGTGGACGAGTCAAAGGGGAATGGGAACAATGGAGTCAATGGTGAGGTCTGTCTCCCAATCGTCTTGACGACGAGGCCGAGTGAGACATCCCATGACCACATGCTTGTGATCTCTACAGATGCATCACAGTAGCGGCAATTTGCAACACCGGAGCGAGGCTCACATCGGCCATTGCTGAGCTTGCCAATGACCATACTGGCTCTCTGTTGAAGTCTGGTACGATGGAGAAGGGCCATATTGCTGTCGCTGATCAAAAGTCTTAGAGCGCCTTTGTCGATGGTCTCCCGGCTGGGCCCGCACAGCATTGTGGCCAGAGTGTGGTAGATGGGCAGGTACACCGAAAGCGGATTCTCGCGCTCCTTGCTGAGTGAAAGGGAAATCGTTGCCGCTTCTACCATACTCCTGACGGCCGTCAAAGTGAGAGAGTTTGGCAGTCTGCTCGTAGGACATCGGAACAGGAATTGGCAATCGTGAGGCGGGCGTGGGTGGAGGCGATGGTCTGCCATGATGCGAAGAGGAAAGGTAGGAAGACCCATGACGGCCTTGCGAACTTGCTGCTTCGAAACCCGTCTGATGCTGTGGCAGTCGCCCGGGCAACGTCACTTGTGTATTCGACGGAGGTTGGGCGGTATTGAAAGAATAGGCGGGACGCCAAGTATTCCTCGTCGTCTCCTGGAGTGCAGGAACTATTGGGGACGTGTTGCTCTTCTTGGCGGCCAGCATTTGTGTGGTCAAGTGTTCTAGGGCTCTCAAAGTCTCGACCTTGTTGAGGGCTTCTTGTGGCGCAGCCAGCGGCACAACATGTCCAGGTGCGCCACAAGAGAGCGGCGCCGACCGAGGAGAGTAAAGACGCATGCCCGAGCTGGTGTCTGTGATCGGGGTATGAGGAGGTCCGGTGGAGGCAGAGCTTGTACTGCCTGCCCTCTGCACGCCATTGCTGTAGACAGTGGGCCCACCATCGCTGTCGGCACGATCTCCGTATGAACTCGAGCTCGAACTGTCTCCGGCGCTATCGCCACGGCCAGTAGCCGTCGAGCGAGGAGCAGGCATTGCCTCTCTCCTGTGAGTTGCTTGCCAGTTTGTGGCCCTAGGAAGAGAGGAGCTAAGTCTGATTCGTGGAGTGTCGCCAGGTAAGCTTCGTGAAGGTGACCACGATTGTGAAGGGTCCGCGAGGTGATGGAACTCTTGCTGGGCGGCCGCCATTGCTTCTCTTTCCTTGCGTCTTGCCAAGCGACGACGCTTCTCTTGGCTCATCCTCGCCTTGCCTCTCTTCTTTGGAGAGTCAGATTCTGATTCCTTGTCCTGATTCTGGACATCACCTCCTTGGCATGCCGTCGAGGCGTCACTAGCGGAGACACGCAACTCATGGAAAGAAGCCAGGAAGCTGGCTGACCTAGGGGATGGCAGAGATGGTGTGTTGTAGCCCCAGACATCGTATGAATCAGCCGACAATGGCGTTGTGAGAGACATGGGGGCGGAGTCGTCGCTTCCCTCTTCCAGTTGCGGCGAAGAACAGGCATCATTGAAGTCGTCAGACTGGAGGACCTGCAGAGCCATTTCGGTAGCAACGGATGCTGCTTCGGAGTCCGGGTCCCAAGATGGATACATATCAAGTCTAAGAGGCGTCGATGTGGTGAAGATCGAGCCGTTTGGGATGGGGGTTTTCTCACAGAGAAGCGACCATGGGCCTGCTTCTGGCGTCCAGAATTGAGCATCACGTGTAGAACGGGACCACATATCCTGAGTGAAGGCGTCGATATTGAACCCCTTCTCTTGATAGGTCTGTTCAGCGCGAATATTGAGAGAGACTCTTGCTGACCCTTGTTTGGGCTGATCGGCTAGAAGGGCGGTACGATGTCCAGTGGATGGGAGGTCTGCACTTCGGACGTCGGACTTGAATGGTTTCTGTAGAGTGGCCCGACTTGATTTCGGACCAATCACGGCCCAGGGAGGGCGCTGGTGGCCTGAGGTTCGATCGTAAGCCAGGTAGGTACGTGATGAAGCAGCATCGGCACTGGCGCTCGTATGCTCGGAGAATCTGTGAGCGGGTGCGTTCAACATCGAGAGAAAGTGGCCGTCAAAGAGTGCGATGGAGCAGAGACGGGGTCCCAAAGCGAAGGTCGTGTGGTGTATGGACTCGTCGGAGTGCCCTCAGACCGAAGTCAGGGTAGCTGGCCGTGTCGAAAGCGGTGAGCCTATGGCCAATGGTCGAGCGCCGAGAGCGTGAGTGGGAAGGTTGAGTATGCAGATGTGGTAGGCTAGTCGGCGATGTTGCTGCTACCAGATTCGTCCGATCGGCAGGGAAGAGCAGAGGGTCGATGGAGTCCAGTGAGACCTGGCCGGTGGAAAGGAGGGGGAAAAGTAACTTTTGGGAGGCAGGAAAGTGTAAAGTGGTGAAGGAGGGGGGGGAAATAAGAGTCTCTTGGGAAGCAAGCAATGTTATCAGGGGAGGCAGGAGAAGGGAGAGATTGGCAAGCCCCGCGAAGGCGGGGAGATGTCGGTGGAGATGGTGCCCGAGGTTCAAATCCCTTCGACCGGGACGTTACCATGGCCTGCTCGCAATGCGTGCCTGTGGTCGGGCCACTTGGCTACGCGCCGACGCCTGAGCGTAAGGGGCCGAGTAGGAAGATCTGCACACTCGCTCAAGGAGCTGTCCCACTGAGCCAACGAGCCGCCTTCGAAGTAGCTTCGGGCAGCCGAAGACCGCGGCGTAGTCTTAATCGGCCCAATCTTGGGGGGCTGCAGGAGGACAATGGGGAGCAAAATCGCCCTCGGGATCTAACTTTTGTGCGCGAGATTTAGGCTTGACCGACCATGGCCAGCGCATAGAGTCGACATGGCAGGCACAGCAACGGCGCAGAAGCGAGTGAGGGCGATCAGTTATCCGATAGGGCAGACCTGAAGGGAGAGGGAGAAGGACAGCAACAACGGAAGCTAGCGCGGAAGCGGCCGCTGCCTGAGTTCTCCGCCCGCACGCTCATCAATGGTACCCAAGGATTGCTGTGTAGCTGACTTGCGCTGAAAGTTGACGTGACTGCGCTCCACGCTCTCTGGTGCTGGCAAATCGTACTGTAGATCCGTCCATGGTTTGCAGGTCTAGGCGAGGCGCAGATGGACAGCGAAACAGTCGGTCCCCTTGCCGGCTGGGACGGGCCAAGGGCGCGAGCGAGCGAGGCATTAAGGTTCGCACAGGGACCATATTCGCGTGGCTGGCTTGGCTCGCCCTCCGTGTCGCGCGGCATCAACTCCGCCCCGCCTGCTCCAGCCTCCAGCTCCTGCCTGACAGCTCCGTACAGACAGACACACCACAACCAGCCGAGGGGCCTCGCTCTCTTTCCCGTATCGACATCCTCACCGTCCCCCTACACTCATATACCCCGTCTTGCCTTGATCTGGCACCAGTGTACGGTCGGAACGCTCCGAGACGGTCTACAAGGCCACTCGGAACCACAGGCAAAGTCGCCCAGAAGCGGCACGTCTCGTCTCGTCTCGTCTCAGCATCGATACCTGACTTCCTCATCATCATCATCATCATCGCCGTCGCTCGCCCTCGCCCTTCACGTCTTCCTCATCTGTGACATAGCAGCAACAACCGCTCACCCGGCAGCACGCTCGGGCTCAAAAGCCGCGACAGGTAGCCCCTGATCCACATACATCTGCTGCAAGCTCTGATCTAAATCGAAGTCGCGACGTTAGCGTTCTGATTCTTCGGCACCCTGTAGTCGCTGCCAGGCTGACAAGGCTCTCGACTGCAGGGCAGGCATACAACACGTCATATGCCTGCCTCATCATTCGCGGCGCTCGAAGGCGGCTTCAGTGCGATGTCCGTCGGCGGTGTTGCAGGTGGGGGCATCGCCGGTATCGGAGGCATAGGAGGCTCCCCCGCTTCTACTCTGAAACAGCACAAAAGTTCGGCATCGACCCACTCGGTACCGCATACACATGGGGCCCATAGCTCCATTTCACAGTCTGTGACAGGGCGAGGTACTCCTGCTATGAAGGAGAGTACCACATCGTTGTCACTCGCGACTGGGACGGGTAGCAACCAGGGCCAAGGCACACTGGCGCAACAACAGCAGCCATACCAGGAACCTCAAGCGCTGGCGCCTGCCTCTCTTGACACTACCGCGGCTTACATCTCCAGCATCGTTGCAAGGCTCGTCAAGATAGTGAGTATACCATGAAGGGAAGTAGCGCCAAGAGTAGTCACTGACCGCGACTGTTCCCATCCGCCAGCTCCCCTCCAATTCAGGGACAACCTTACTGACCCTCGAGGACAATGTTCTCGTGCGACATTGCGTATCTAGTCTGGTTGCGTTGAGCCAGAAGCAACTGCCCATGGTGCTCAAAGAGCTTATAGGAGCCCTGGAGGCGCTCAACAAAAGCGCTACCGAAGTACACGAAGAGCAGATCACAGTCGGCCGACTTCAATCACGGCTGCTCGTCCTACGCATCTTGAGTGCATGTATGATGTTCCACTGGAGGTGTTGCGACGAGGTTTCGGATGGTCCTTCAATTCCAGAAGGCTGTCCGATGGGAGACGCAGCAGACCCGCCTCTGCCTCTACCTCGCATTGATCCCACTCCTCTAGATGACTTCCTCGCAAAGAGTGTGTTGTCGGTGATGACGGTTACCCTGCGCCAAACAGTGGCTCGAGAGGATCGCCAGATGCTTCTATGGTCAGGTCTAGCTACTGCCCAATCGTCGAGCTCAAGCAAGCAGCCCAAAGCAGACGTTTCGCACGGTGCCAGGAACGGGCTACCTGATCGACCGGAACAGACAAGTACTTCGAGCAAGAACACCTTCTGGTGGGATGAGTCGAAAGACGACGAATTCGATGGCGTTCCCATTCATGCTCTGTCTTTGTACAACGGCTACAGTCTCTTTGTACTCGGTCCAGACTGTTCATCCCCAGCGAGAGGTGCATTTGAGGTACCCTCTCCCCTTGATCCTAGTCTCGGCGGAGCCGAACGACCGCAACGATTCAGACCTCTGGAAATCATTGGTGCCTCCGACCGGCCAGAGAAGGGTCCTACTGAGTCCATCGGCTCACTTACCAGGGCCATCTACCGCTACAGTAGTCAGATCATCAGTTATCTCAGCTCGAGCAACTTCGCAGTAGTTCAGGCAAGGATACGAAATAGGCTGCTTTACCTGTCCAAGACCGCCGAGGAGGTGCCAGACTCAAGCGAACTTCGCCTCATAGAGGGCAGTAATTTGACAACTGCTCGCCTGAGTGCAGTGTTGACCGAGCTGCATTCTTCCTTCCACCACCTCAAAAGAACAGTGCAACTTAACGTCGCGCTAGTCGTACGGAGGATGGTCTGGTCTTTCGTTCACTACCATCCTGCCGAATTCGCAACAATCTATGCGAACAAAAGACAAGTGGATGGCAACCCTGAGCTCTTCTTTGATTATGCCTACAGCCTGGCGGAAACGCATCGGAAGAAACAGATCTTTTGGCCGATGATGACGGCACTGTTCATTCTATGTCCAGACGTCATTAACAGGTCAGCAGTGAATGATGGCAGTGGGCCCGCTGGAAGCGGACGGAAGGGGGCGAGTTCAGCATCAGCCGGGAAGAGAATGGCCTTCTTTGAGACACTGAAGAAGGCGATGAAGTCGGGGAAGCTCAGTGAGGTAGCAACGCTCTGCTGCGTCGACATTTGCAGAGCAGCCTCCTTTACACCGCCAGGGGTGGACAGCGGGCTACGTCTCTTCGCGTCCGAGATCGAGGGCGAACTGCGAGACAAACTTTTCGACCCACAACGCCCAATGATCAACCAGCAGACGAAGCAAGTCGAAATCTCTCTCATTGTCGAAAGCTTCATCGCCTTCTATCGACTTGATCCCCGCAAGACCGTGGCCTCTTTGGTGCCCATTTGTGTCTCGGAGACGAGCTCAATGGCTTTCAAAATTGGCTTTGTCCGCGCTGTCATCCGCATGGTCGAGGAGGAGTCGCCCATCTTTTGGAATCCTCGGATCGAGAGCATATACCCTGTCATCAGCGCTTGGACCCGCCGGACGTTCAAGACCATGCTCAACAAGGTCCTCACAGATGCGGACAGCGGCGGCAGCGTTGGCGGTGCGGGTCGGGCCACGGACAGGCAAAGATTGCTGAAAGGAGTCGCAAGCGTCGCTACTGGAAGAGGGGTAGGCAAAGACAGCAAAGGAGCGACTGATGAAGTTGAGGATCGACTGCAGCTCCTCAGGGCTATCCTGCAGTTGTGGAAGAGTGACCTTCAAGTGGCTTCGGGTGATATCGCGTTCAGCCATTCAACACAAGTCAGCTCGTTGGGTTGCTTCGATGCAAAAGGCAAATTGATCGACCACGACGATCTACTGCCCGCTGCTATGCAGAACGATTCGGTGATGGGCTGGGTCTACTGCGTGGGTCGCGCTACGTACGCTCCAGGTTGCTGGGAGCTTCACGAACCTGCGCTAGGCGTCCTGTCTCGCGTCGTTCCCGGAGCCATACAGAGCGCCTCTGCCAGGATCGACCCCCAACATTTAACCTTCACGCTGCATGCTCAAAGAGCTCTCGTATCTGTGGGTGCTCAGAAACGTCGAAAGTACACCACTATGGTCTACCAGTCTCCAGATGTCCGTAGCCAACAGCACTGGCTTACTATCGTCAGACTGTCTCTCGAGCTGGAGTTGACTTCGGTCAGGGCTTGGGCACGCATGTCGCCAGAAGAAAGGCAAGAGACCCCTAGGCCTTCATATCAAGAGTACTGTTTGGAGAGGATCACTCTTGTGCAGACTTACCTTCTGTCCATCTTGTCAGCTGACAATGAGGTGAGCACCATGGCACTCAGCTGCACTCCGATCATCATACAACTTTCGATAGAGGGCCGCAAACGAGGCGATGCAGCAATTATACTGGGCAGCGACTGGCGAGAGGTTATGATGGCTCTGGGTGATCCCGCCTTGCTCACGGCGGGTCGAGTCGCTAGACAGAGGCGCATTCGAGCTCTTTTGCGCAAGACAACCGGCCCTACGCTCCCGGTCGTGATCACCTGGGACACTATGTACAAACGTTGGCAAGCCTTGACTGTCGTGGTCGCTACGAACAAAGTCCGAAGTGGTTCTGACGCCGTCGAGGAAGCTCTTGCTTTGCAATGGCTGCACTATGCAGGTGGCCTCTGTGCCATGAGTGGCGGCTGCATCAGTGAATTGAGCGAAAGCGACGACACGGTCGAAGTCTCCGTCGACATTCTGGACGGTAACTTCACAGTACCTAAGCTGCCAGCAACTCATGCTGTTGGGACTTTCGTGAAACAAATGGTCGAATTCCTCATTCACGACTCGTACTGGGTACGTGAGAAGGTCAAGGATCTTCTGGCTCTAGATCTTGACGTCCGAGCCAACGGTGCACTGCTGCGACAAGTACATACGGTCTTGGGCGACTTTTTTGATTCCAAGACTGGTCTGCCTACTCCCACCCCCACGTACACTATGTTCGTAGAGCACTCCATTGCTGTGGCGTCAGCGGTCCTCGCTCGTCAGGACGAAGGCTCGATCTGGACCGGCAGCGTCGACATTGGCTCCCTCATGGTGCTCTACGTAGACTACATCAATGCTTTGGGCAACAAGGAGCAGGCAGTACGCATCAAGACATCTGTTTGTCAGCTCTGCGTCACTCTCATGGCCAAGAAAGCTTTCTTTGCCTTTCCCCATGAGCTGAGAATTCGGAACCGCCTGTTTCAGGTCCTGATCACCTGGACCTCGGATGACACTAGCATGGCAAAGCTTGATCGCGTGCAGAGAGACTTGGACATTGCCTGCTTGCAGCTGACTTCTGTGCTTCTCGATGCTCTTCCACTTCTGTTGGCGGACGATGCTCTGATGCTGGATGATCGCGTCGAATGGGCAAAGTCTAGACAATTTGCTCTTTACCTCGATTACTTCACCAAGGTCCTTCATCGCACAAGGCACGTTGAACTCGCCCCGGCTCCCGGAGGCGAGCTAGCCAAAGCTCAAGGTCCACAGTGGATCAGCTACAGCAAGGGCCGTGATCAGGCTACTAAAGAGACTGCGCCCTTGAGAGAGTATGCCATTCTGTCGTTGACACATCTGCTCGCGTCGAACATTGACAGTGGACTACAACATTCCCTCGTCTTGGGCTACTCGGAGGATCCCGAGCTGCGATCTTGCTTCATCCAGATCATGACAAACGTTCTCAATCAGGGAGCTGCTTTTGATGATCTTGAGCGCTCCAAACGAAGCCAAAAGGAGACGCGGTTGGTCGAGCTTATCGGCGACAGTGACCTTTCTTTGGCAATGGCAATCTGCGAAGGAACTCGCTTCCTCGACCCTGGAAGTGGCATGGACAAGATTCTGCTCAGCATCTTCGATTCTCAAGGTGGTATTCTGCGCTTCCTCAAGAAGGCCATCGAAGTCGAGATCGGCAAAACGAACACGGAGGAAATGGTCTTCCGAAGCAATTCCAATCGTACCCACCTCATTTCCCTGTTCGCCAGGACCCATGGCTACGAGTATCTGCGGAGTATTCTCACCCCCCTGATTGCCGACATGGCCGACAAGCCTGACGGATATTCTTTCGAGATTGAGCCAGACAAGCTTCGCCCTGGTGAATCGGCGGCTGTCAACCAAGCTCACTTGGAAGAAGCTGCTCAAAAGTTCATCGACACCATCTGTGATTCGGCTCCTCAAGTGCCTGCCGTTATGCGTGAGCTCTCTCGTCACATCCGTTTGACAATGGACGCAAAGTTTCCAAACTCGAAGTATCAGGGAGTAGGTGGTTTCATCTTCTTGCGCTTGATTGGACCTGCCATCGTAGCGCCGGAGAACATTGACATGAAGCTCAACGGTCCCAACCACAAGAAGGACCTCCGTCGAGGTCTCCTCCTGGTCAGCAAGATCTTGCAGACTCTCGCGTCCAATAACAAGGCGTCGAACCAGAGCTCGACTCAGAAGAATCCTTTCATGACAGCTCTGAACGAATTTCTCCAAAAGAATAGTTGGAAGGTCGGAAGCTTCCTCGATGGAGTTTCGGACGCTCGCACTGATCCGGACCGTCTGCTTGCCGCTGATCAACCTTTGGGGTACGGGATCCAGCCTGGCGGCTACGGACTTGACGAGACCGAGCAGAGGACTTTGCACAAGTACATCTACGAGAACGTTGATAAGATTGGCGCACACCTGATGAGTCAGTCTGACACCCTCAGCTCCAGTCCAACTGGTGTACCACAGACCGATTCCACAGGCGGGGAACAATTCCAAGGCGTTACGAGTGTTCCTCTTCATGGAACAAATCGTACAACTGGGCGGCAGGTCTATGATCAGCTTTGCTCCGCGTTAGCAGATCTGGGCCCCCCTTGCAGCGATCCGATGGTAGACATCGCCTTGATGGCGTCGAATGGCCTCTTGGGCCCTGAGACAGCAAGTAACAAAGGAAGCGGCGCAAGGGGGCGCTTCACTCCTGCGACTCAATCCCAATTGCTTCAAAATTTCTTGCGACGAGCAGGACCTCGGAGCACAAAGGACGGAGAGTATAGAGAGGTGTTCTTTGCCGGTCCTCCGTCGAGGGCGGGTCGAACCGTCTTTTACTACAACCCCAACAAAATCGATCTTGAACACATAGATCTGGAGGGACTGATTGCTTACATGATCAAGACCTTGGAAAGCTTCAGAGGGCCTGAATACGATGTCGTGATCGATGCCACAGGAGTCAGGAACTCCAATCTCTTCTCTGCACCCTGGGTATTGTATTGTGGGTCCTTGGTGACCGCAGAGACAGCCCTCAAGATGCGCCATGTCATGTTCTACAACTTCAACACCGTCGTCGGAATCTGGGCAGACGGGATGCTTCAGGTCCCCCTGGCCGATTGGCCGCCAGCATGGCAAGCTGTGATGACCGCAGGCCCGCAACTCAGTCAGTTCACAGCGCTTTCAGAATTCGACCCTTTCATCGAGCGACGCAACCTCGCACTGCCTTCCGAGACTATCGCCATCACTACCGCCGTCTCTGAGCACCGCTTCAATGCGGTCACAATGGTCTGGTATTATCGTAACATGGTGCCTGTCACCTTCAAGATCGGGGGCGACCATCTTCAGATCACCTCGCTCAAGCCATTCGAGCGGGGCAGCCTGACAGGATACGTGAATGATGTCTTCCACCTAGCGGACATTGACGATGTCCGGTCTGTCTCCACTCGCGGTGATGATAGTACCTTCTTCATCACATGTCGAGGTGGCGAAGTCTCTTTCATTTTCAATAGTCGCGATCGAATGTTCATCGTGCAGGCCTTGCGAGAGGCGCGAGCCAGAACGTCGCGCATCAGATCCACAAAGAGTATGGAGCGGACATTGTTGCCATCGGACGTTCCTGGTCGGCTGCTCAACATCGCCATGCTCAACATGACCAGTGAGCAGTCAACTCTGCGCCTGAGTGCTTACAACCTTCTCTGCGCCTTGTCTACTTCCTTCAATTTCGGTGCAAGCTCAGCACGCAAGAGGCTGGTCAGTACGTCCTGTCTGGCCCTGCCCGCAAACACTATTGCCTTTGTCGCAGACTTGAGCAAAGAGTTCGCTGCAGCGGCCCCTGGCGTCACGCTAGAATTCTTTACTTCCTTCTTTGAGGGGTACGGAAGTGCATCGCTGGTGCAACAGACAAAGAGCTTGTGCTATATGTCACCCTGGCTAGCTAACCTTGTCATGTTCCTTCACACGAGCAGGGAGCAGCAACCCGAGTGCGCCAAACGCATCAAGGAGATCTTCGCCAACTTGCTTTCCATGACGGTCAGGGAGCCGGCGATATTTGCTTGTATGCAAAGGACTGTCTGGACTCATCTCGGAAAACTCGATGACCTGATACCAATTCTCCTTGATGTCTTCACGGAAGCGGCAATCGACTCCGGTATTTACACAGAGAGATTTGATTGCGTCATAGACACAATGGTGTCATTTTCCTCCATCAACTTGCGAGGGAAACTGCTCGCCCGACTACGTCGCACCATCGTCAAGACCGCTCATACTCCCGACGTGACGACGCTGCACGAGAACCCACTCTGGAAGGAGATCGTCACGTTGGCACGGATGAACATGGCTATCGCGTTCACCTCGGGCCGCGCGGAAGCTTTGCTGTACTTACCGGATACTCTGCACGTCGTTCTCCTTCTTGCAGGAGTAGGAGCCGACGCCACGAGGTACACAGTCCGTGGCACCGCCGTGAACTTCCTCCACTCTCTTTGCACTGAAGATCCTCAGGATGGTGGCAGTCACGATGCTGGGAAGCGCAGCAAAGACGGTGCCAATGCCGGCGGCAGCGCTGAAGTTATACCCAACAAGGCTGCTCTTGAGCGACTACTTGCCCGCTTGTCCAGTCCCGAATGTAACGAGCTCTTTGGTTTGCCTCCAGATGACGAAGGCATCTCTTCCCAACTTGCTTCGGCCAGGACCATGCGGCCGCCTCCGGACAACGAACAGATCGTCAAGCTTGCCAAATTGATCTACGAGATTGAAGAGCTGGCGGCCCCTTCCATCGACACGGTGAACAGCTGGCGCGCGCGTGTGGCCAGCCTCACCACGAGCAAAGCATTCCAGTACAACCCTATCATCCAGTCCCGAGCTTTCCTCTTGCTCGGATGCATGGCACGCGGAGAGATCGACGACGATCTTCTGTACCAGATTCTCGTTTCCCTGCGAGGAGCCGTGCACGAGTGGGCGAACAAGGGGAATTCGGCAACAGTCATCAGTATCGTCATCTGCCTTAGCAAGGTCGTCAAGATCTTGCCTGAGCATTCGCGGTACATTGCCCAATTGTTCTGGCTCGGTACGGCCGTCGTTCAATTTGGCAGCGTGAATCTATTCTCCGCGGGTATCGAGCTCATCTTTGCCGCAATCCAGACGATTCAGGAGCGACACCTTCCCGAAGCCATGGGCACCGATCTTATCAACTTCTTGATGGATTCGCGTAGTGGCTCGGAATATGCAGCTTGCCAGATTGAAGATGAGACAGGGCTGAATTTCGACGTCAGCTTCTCCTTCTCGTTGGCGGCGCTGATCGTCAAGGGTCTGCGTCATCCTTCCACCAAGGAAAAGACAAATGCCCTGTTGCGCTGCGTCCTCGAGGCCTCTTCAATCGGTCCCGACGGCCCCAGTCTGTCCAGCAGGGTGCATGCGGAGCAACTGGGCGTCTACCTCGCCTTGCTGCCATCTGTCAACCGCGCGGAAGCTTTCGGAGATGTCTTGGCGCTTGCTGGTCTGCCACGGGACCTCTGCGATGAAGCCGTCCAATCCCGCAAGCGTGGGCATGTCAAAGATGGCAGCCTGATGAAGTACTTTGACGTCTTCGACAACCGCACTGCTCTTCTCAGCTTCGCCCTTGTAGCCGCTCTGCTGCGCACAGCCGACGACGATATGGAGCGCTTGACCCTCTTCACCTTCCTGGCGGAATCGGGTCCGTGCTACCCAGCCATCCTCTCGATTGTGTATGATCAAATCACCCCGAGCCTACACGTGGCGCTGGCCAATGCTCAAAGCCCCCTGGTGCTCGAGGCGGTTCAAACGATTGCTCAGACTACCATCTTTGAGCCCGTCTTTGCGGCACAAGTGGCAGAGACTGTGAATCGGGGCGGACCAGGAGCCTTCATCGAGGAAGCCGGCTTCCCTATGCTTCTGGACTGTGCCTCTTTTGATCCCAATGCCTTGACCAAGGAGAGGCGGCTGATCATGGCTACCTTGGCGACTGGCTTGCTGGGAAGCTTCATCGAAGGGAGCAGCAGCTACCAGTGATAAATTAGAGTATCCTGCGCACACGTCACCTTGAATGGTGTAAATCAGTATGTTTTCGTGGCTTCGTAGCGATTCCCCCACTAGGATCGGCGTTCCGCTTGCCTCACACGCCCTCCAGCCCTTGTCACTATTCCAAATGGCTCCTTTTACCTCCTCTTCCTCCTGCTCTCGTCTAACAAGCCGTGTCTTCATTACCTCTTTTACCTTGGCATCAATTTTTCCTTCTTTTGTTTGTAATAATCGTCATTTTCTTCATTTCTGCGACGTCAATGAATCCCCTTTACGCTCTCAGTCTGAGGAAGCTCTTGGCGGAGTGACGTTTACCTTTGGGGAGGGTGCGGGAGATGCAGCATGTCACTGACTTGCTTTCTGAATATGCCTTTGGTATGAGATCTGGCGTCTGTCCTGCCTGCACTGCCATGCGACGTTGATGCTGACACAGGTCTGCTCCCACACACACACGACTTGTACACGCGATGAGGTCGTTGGTGCCCCTTGGCCGCCCACGCACTTTGGCCCCTCGCGTTGGTCGCCGGGTCTGAGATGACGTTGGCGTAGGATGTGCCTTTGCAGCTCCGCAAGACCTCGAGGGCCCTGCAGGCGCAGACCAACACCCCCTTTACCGAAGGCGGGCGGCAGTGGCGAGGTGCCTGGGATGCGCGGCTGAGCTGTCCGCCTGTGTTTCTGCAGGCGTGTCTGAGTCGCTGCCTGTCGCCTCTTCTCTGCGTCTGTGCCGTGCCATTGGATTATTGCCTGGGCTGCCCTTCCTTCTGTGTGCAGCCTCGTCCTTTGCCCCCCCGCCCGCCCGCCGCCTGGCCCGACTCTTTCTCTGTTTCCCTGTACCCAACTGGCCCTCTTCTCACCTTCCTCGTCATCCTCCTCTTCATCGTTCCTCTTTGGTCTCCTCGTATCCTCATCCTCGCTTCTTGCTCCCCTTCGCTCCCGTTGCAGTTCGCGGCTAGCGCATTCCAAGTCAGGCCAGGGCCGCAAGTGCGCCGGCCATGGCCTCTTCCTCGCTCGGTCCCCCTCTGCACGCCGAGCCCAACACCACCACTTCCAATCCGCTTCCGCAAAGTCGCGACGCAGACCAACACTACGCCCCTACCAAGCAACCTCTCGCCTCGCCATCCCCCTCACGACAAGCTGCACCAACAAGCCACTCCTCCTCCAGCCATCGCGCTACACCATCATCATCGTCATCCACTACCATGGCTACTGCCTCGCAGCCTCTTCAACGGTCATCTTCGCCTTCCTCTTCTCACCTCAGCTCCGCACGCCCACTCTCACCTCCCACTTCCATTGCCCAGACACCATCCATGCCTCCTCCTTCCTCGTCTCGTCCATCCTCTCCCTCTGCTTCTTCCTCTAAACTCCCATCTGAACAGGCAGGCCCTCACAGCGATCGCAAGATGAGCGTGGATAGGGCAGAGTCTCTGCCACAACCCTCCAGTCCTCCCGACGATGACCAGACCATGAGGAGTCCGACCATTGTCCTCACTGATAGAAGGGCAAAGCGGGCTAGCAGCGGGGCTTACGCTCCTCTCGAAGGTGCCGAGTATGGCAGGGACATGAACGTCCTCACGTCTAGTAGTAGCAGCAGCAAGCAGATGAGATTGTCTAGAGCTCAAGCAAGCGACGCTCCGCTCTCGGGAGCCGACTTTGAGGACCATGCAAGTCAGAGGCGGTCCACGGAGAGGGCCGCGGTGTTACAGGACGTACAGAGCTCTCGTAATGAGCGATCTATAAGGAGAAGACCAAGCATGTCTAGCCATTCCAGTCGGGAGGGTCAACGCTCTCGCACGCCTTCGCCAATCCTTGGAGATGCCTACCCCTACGCGGGAGCATCGACGCGGCCTGGCCATACAGGCGCTCCAATGATTGGGCCCTCCGCCGCAGATTTGCAAGCCTTGCTCTACGACAAGAGCGAGAGATCGAATCGTTCCAGCAGCCATCGACCTCCTGGACTGCCCGACTCGAGCGAGATTGCAGCCATCATCGCAAAAGTCGAAGGTATGGGGGTGAAGGATGAGGTGCATGCTTCTGACGCTGGTGGATCGTCTTCATCCCCGTCCAAGGAGATGGAACTGGTGCAAATTGTCAAGAAGCTAGGTCAGCACGCGCTTGAACAGGAGACCTATATCCAAAGCATGGAAGAGTCTCTCCACAACACTAGGGTGACAGCTGTATCGGTAGTCTCCTCCCTCACTGCCCAGCATGCATATGAGCTCAGCCAGGAGAAACAGCTCAGAGATCGTCTCGAAGTCGAGTTGGACGGAGTACAGACATCGGCAAAGAAGCTGAGCTCATTGTTGGCAAGGGCACAAATCAGAAACGAAGGCAGTAACCGCGAGAGGGCCGCTAGTGTGGAGGAAGAGATGAAGTGGGTGGCTTCGTTGCCAGGTGGGAGCGGAAAGAGGCCCAGCTCGGCAGCTACAGCCGCTGCAAATGCTGCTATGTCTCCCAGGCAACCGGCAGTCAGTGGGTATTCCGATCCTTTTGCTAGTGAGGAAGCCAGGAAGACTGGCGAATTGGCTGGACTGGGCATTTCCGAGACGCCCTTGTTGCCTCAGAGTGAATACGTGAGTTTTACCGAGATGGCAGGTAGGCCCGCCTCCTGACAGATGGAGATACTAATGCTACTCTCCGACACCTCTTCTTGCTTTTCCCCTCAGACGGATGTCTTTGACTCGCCGATGTCAGCAATGATATCGGAACGCAACAAGCTGGTCGCAGACAAGAGACACTTGAAGAACCGGGTACGAGATGCAGAAGCTCAGCTCCATCGATTGGAGAATGAGCTGAAAGCATTACGACCGCTCCTACTTCAAGGTAGTGCGAAGGCGTGGGCCACATCCTCTACGGTCGCTTCCGTTCCTGCTACACCATCCTCCAGCCAACGTACACCCGGTAGAGTTCGCAAGGATCCTGGCTCGGCTCGGCGACGTCGACACAACGTCATGGGCGATGCTGAAGCCGAACACCTCCTGCTAGCCGCTAGACGATTGAATCACGCCCGTGCGCAGGCCGAGGCCAGCATGCCACCATTTTCGGAGACTTCCCCTCTCAAGCCGACTACCGCACGCTTTGCAACTGTGGGGGAGCATCCGAGCACGCCACCGGGTCGACTGAATGTACCGCCACGTACCCCCGGAACAGCCAACACGATCACCGCCAGGACCCCACGCTCTACGGGCAAGAGCAGAGTCTCGCTCATGGACTCAGTCTTTGCCAATGGTGGACCTGCGCTTCCCGGATCGCCCCAGTCAAGAAGCAAACCGTCGTTCCGCAGTCATGAGCGCCTCAATTCTGCAACGTCTGGCATCGATGAGCTACTGCAGGCTGCTCAGACAGTGTCGACTCCTCGTGACCAGAGGATAAATAGCCTGGTCGGCGACGGGTCGTCGGACCAGCTACGCGCCCTGGCGGACAGTGCTGAAGCGAGCGACACGTACTTCCCCAAGATGCCTCCGGTGGGATCGAAGTCGATGACCACCGCTCCTAGCGGTGCGGCTCCTGCTCTTGCATCAGCCATTGCACTCGAGCGACCTCAGATGCATGATAGTCCAAAGAGGAGACGAATGTCTGCCACAGCCGTTGATCAGGACCGTCTGGCTTTCCTGAGCTCCTCACCTCAGGCCCGTTACTTGAACAGCTTGCGCACTACCGACGGTGGTGTCGTGAACGGCAGTAGCAGCAGGAGGCTGCGCACGAGGACAGAAGGTTCCAACCATCCTTCTTCAGATTCGCATAGGACAGGTCGGGGCGGCAGCGGGGATCATGAAGGAGAAGGTGGAGGAATCTCCGCTTTGGATCTCTTGGCAGACCAAGCTACTGCTTCCCAGAATCCTTCCTCGAGCTCAGAACCCTCGACTTCCGATGGCGAGAAGAGAGCCGATAGCTACTCTGGCCACGGGGAGAATGGCCGAAAGAAAAGTCTGGCTGACGAAGACACTCGGGAAAGCTATCATATCAGCAGCGGCCCCAAGCAAGTCGCCTCGACCCTCATGGCAGCCCGTGCTCGGGTCGCTGGAGGCGGTGCACCCATCGCATACGCTCACAGTCCTCACTCCGAGTACTCAGAGAGGGGCGCGAATGGAGCTCTGCCGAGATATTCCAGTGGCTATCCACCACAGTCCCCTCACGGCACAAGCGGCAGTCATCATTCGCAACTGTCGTCCCCCAACACTGCCTCTCACTCTGGAGGCCCCATGCTTCCTCCACCGCCTTCGTCCCTTGGCGGCTCGGATGCCTTTCATCTACGGAGCAATTCCTCTGGCCACCACCCAACGGCATATGGGGGCCATGCCAATCTGCCTCACTTGAACACGAGTGTCGGTCATCATGGGCATCCGCATCAGCCGTCGTACTCCCATCAGTACAATCAGCAGATGCACGGCCACATGCCAATGTCACCGCACTCTCACTCGATGCCTCCTCATCTCAATCTCCAACACAGTCATCATCATCCCACTACTACTGCCAATGGTAGTCCCTTGCCTCCGCCGCTCCCAATGCCGAATGGTTACATGTCTTCAGCCTCGCCCTCGCCAATCTCGGCGACGACGCCTCATCATCCATACGGCTACCACCCACAGCAGCAACAGCAGCAGCAGCCCCTGCACTCTCCTCATTCAACCAGCGGCCATCGTCCGTCCCTCTCCCTCGACTCGAGCAAGACGCCCAAGCCGAAGGGAGGCAACACGTCTCCGGACAAGCGACTGCCGTATGTGCGCTGGACCTCTGAAGAGGACGCTAAGTTGCGCCAGGCCATTATGCAGCATGGGCAGCGATGGGAAGCTGTAGCCAAGGCCGTGGGGACTAGGAGCTACCATCAGTGTCGCCAGCGAGCTTTGCTGATGAGACGTAAAGGCCTAGATCCTGTCGTTGCTGGAGCAGGTGGTAGTGGTGGAGGAGGTGGCTCAGGTGGGGGTGATAGAGGCGGTAGTGGAAGTAGTGCGGGTGGTGGTAGAAGTCGGAATGGAGGAGATGGCGGAAGTGCTACACCTGATGCTGATGGTGATGAAGCGGACGAATTGGCTGAAGGTGAGGGGGAGGGTGAAGAAGGGGAGGGAGAGGAGGGAGAAGAGTACGGTGGTGCAGAGGGAAATGGCGCGCATGACTCTGATCAGCAACAGCAGCAGCAGTACGCTGGTGAACGTCATTCGCAGCACGTCGACCCTCGCCTTTCTTGAAGGCCACCAAGGGATTCAGCTGCATTGGGGGTTTTAGTGAGATTGGCGAAGCCCAATTTGCAAGTTGCAGAGATGCCTCTCTCTCATGGTACAAGTGCCATCATTTGTTCACAACATGTATTGTATCGTTCTTTCTCGCCCAGCTCAAGCTCGCTATGGAAATGGGATTCGTCCTTTACTTGCACGCACTTGCAGTATCGTTTTGCGATTTGGAGAGCTCTCCTGTGGATGGTATGGTGACACTGCCTAGCTAGCTAAGCAAGATCAGAATGGTACTCTTGACTAGCATGGCGCGACCTACCCCCTTACGTCTTCTCTCCACAACGTCGCCTACGGTCGCCGACCCTTCCTTCCGCTGCCAAAGCGTGGGCGGAGCGGAACGAGAAGGATTGCAGGAAAGGGAGAACAAGTGCACCTGTATTTCTCTTTTGAATTGTGACTCGTTACTTTCCTTTGCTTTCCTTCAGTACAGCTCCTTCTTTCATTTGCCTCTTCCTTTCGAATACTTTACCAGTTTGTTCTACAGGTAGAGCGATTTTGGAATTTGGCGGCAAGGAGTCAAGGCTTTGAGGAGCAGGAGGCAAGACGAGGCACGCTCTTAGTAGCTTTACTCTTCCGCCACTTCCTCGTCTCCCCTCTCTCTCTCTCTCTCTCTCTCTCTCTCTCTCTCTCTCTCTCTCTCTCTCTCTCTCTCTCTCTCTCTCTCTCTCTCTCTCTCTCTCTTGCGTAGGACTGGACGCTTCTCCTCTACCTCTTTCTCGTCACTTTTTGCGACTCGGCTTTGGCTGATTTCAGCAGAGCGAATAGCTCCTTCATGCCTGCCAGCAGTAGAGGTGACTCGTCGGAACAGGTGCAGGCAGTAATGGCCAATAATGCCGAGGCAGGTCCTTCTCGCCTACGCCTCTCGAGTCTAGTGGGCGCAAGTAGCTCCCACTCTTCCTCCTCTTCAGCACCAACAGCAGCAGCAGCATCACCAACAACAGCAGCAGTCGTAGATGCAGATGCGGAACCTTTGCGAAACCCAAGCCCCGCCTCCTTTTTCCCCACGCCGGCGCTCGATCATGCCTTTGCGGGGATTACTGCCGGAGCTATCGCGACGGTTTGTATGAATCCGCTGGACTTGATCAAGACGCAATTTCAAGTGGATACTGGAACTTCCTTCAACGTAAAGGGAAAGGGGAAAGATGTAGGTTCTGGTTCTGCTTTAGAAGGGGCAGGGGTAGGGGCTCGGAGAGAGGGGATGTTGGCGGCGATTCGAAGGGGAAAGGTGGTGACGGACATTTATGGTGCCTTGAGGGAGATCGTCAAGCGTGATGGTTTCGCGGGCCTCTATAGAGGCTTGAGCCCGAACGTCGTAGGCAATTCGGCCAGTTGGGGACTGTACTTCCTCTGGTGAGTCGGCCTGGGGCTACTAACGTCCAAACTTACTTGCTAGATCTCTCCTCTGACAAGTTCCTGTCCGACCCACTCTCAGGTACACCATGATCAAGGAGCACATGTCCCTCTCCTCCTCTGCCGACGGTACAGATCGCAATCGCAAGCTCAGCGCAACACAGCATCTTCTCGCCGCCTCTGAGTCGGGCGCAGTAACGGCGCTGATGACGAATCCGATCTGGGTAGTCAAGACACGCATGTTCACTGCGCCTGTCCCTTCCAAAGTGCCCACGCCGGGGGAACCGCCAAATCCGTATCGCTCGCTGCGGAGCTCATTGGCGCATATTTATACCACGGAGGGAGTGAGAGGTCTGTGGAAGGGGGCGGGCTTGGCACTCTTTGGTGTCAGTAATGGGGCGATTCAATTCATGGCGTATGAGCAGCTGAAGCGCTACAGGAGTGATGCCATCCTCCTCAAGCGGGGAGGAGATGTGCAGCCCGAGGAGCTGGGCTCAGAGGGTCAAGTGAAGCTGGTGAGTAGCCTCAGAGCAAGATGCAGGGAAAGGAAAGGCATCGATGATCGGCATTCTGAATGGGCCTATCTGCCTGTCTCCCTCCCCCTTTTTCCCCCTCTGTCCAGAGCAACACCGAATACGTCATCATCTCCGGTGCCGCCAAGCTCCTCGCCATCCTCGCCACCTACCCTTACCAAGTAGTCCGCTCCCGCGTTCAAAACCACTCCACCTTACAACGATATCCAACTGTGCGATCCTGTATTGCTCAGACTTGGAATGGAGAAGGAACTAGAGGATTCTACAAGGGCTTGGGAACCAACCTGGTCAGAATCCTTCCAGCGACGTGCGTCACATTCGTCGTTTATGAGAATGTCAGTTGGGCATTGGGGACCGCGGCTAGTCGTAAGAGGAAGCTGTTACAATTGGAGAGCCAGGATGGGAAAGAGACGCAGGTGGGGAGCTAGAGGAGGGGGGCAATGGAGGCTACATTAGACGGGGTTTTGAATATCATACCGCACTCGAGTGCTCAAAGATCAGAGACCAGCCGATAGACGAGGGTCAGAAACGAAGACGACCTCTCATATTGTAACATCAGTAATTGCAATTGAGTTTCCGGAACTGTTCGTGATGATGATGATGACGACGATGATGACGATGACTGCGAGAGCGCATCTACTGATCACCCATTCCTTCCCACCTAGCCAAGCCTAGTCACTGCTCTAGAACTCCAGAGCCTTCTGCGTCATCTTCAGCGCTCCCTCCCTCGTCTGATGACCACCAATGAATCCACTAGCGTGAACAAAGATGCCTCCAGGAATCCCCGTCAGCTCATCCAGCTGAGCATCCCGAACCCCACGCCAAGCTTCCGGCAATGCCTTTCTGCTAACAAAGGAGTCGGCCGTCTCGGGTACGGCTTGAATGCGCCATTTGCCCGCCTCGTCTGGGTAGACGACGTAGAGGATCCTCTCTGCGGGTGTGTGACCCTTGCCAGAAGCATCGGCAGCCTGCTCTGCTTCAAGAGTGAAAAGGTGGTCCTTCCAACTGGCAAATTCGTCAAACACCAAGACCCGACCTTGTGCATCCCCACTCAGCTCGGCACGGCGGGACATTGCCCTTTCGACGATTTCGCGAGCGGGCAGCCAGGCGGAAAAGGTGTAGTCTACCCGATCGAAAAATTCTCCTCCGGCCATGGATGAGGCACGCTCGAAGCGGACATCCATCTCCTGGGAGGTAGCAGTCTGGTTCCAAGAAGGGTTGAGGTAACCCACACGCGAGGAGAGGTCCGTCTTGTTCTTGTAGGCCGAAGTGGCCGAAGAGGGGTATTGGGGGATGCCATTGTCGATGCCATCGATGGCTTCGATGAAGTCGTCGTAGAGCTTATTCCACAGAAGCGTCACTCGGGCGTCTTCCAAGGGAAGGGACAGGTGCTGTGAGAGGATGGCTTGACCATAGTGCCTGCAAAGTGGCCATTTGCAGTCGAATCGTCAGCATGGGGCGTAACCAAGTAAGAGGAACAAGGGGCTTACTTACTTCCACACCAGTCCAGCGCTAGACAGCTTCGTCTTGTGCTTCTGATCAAAGACCTCCTCAAACCCCCTCTGGTGATGATCGAATCTGTTCCTGCTCTGATCATACTCTGCGCCAACGTCTACTACAATGGCTCCTTGTGAGATGAGCTCTGGGTCTCTGGTCCTTGTGAGAGAGAGAGGCTTGAATTGAGGCAGAGTTCGTAGGAGGTTGACTGCAAGAGCCTCGTCTGCGTGGAACGTGCCAGAGTGGGTGACGATGCCTGCGCTTGAAGAAGAGGCAGCGGCGCCCTCGTTGTCCAGCTTGGGACGCTTGGCGTCGAGGGTGGAGGCGGACATTCTACGTGAGGTCAAGGTGAGGCGGGGTAGAAGTGACGAGGAAGGGGGGAGTGGTCGAAGTGCTGGTAAGAGATGTCGACGCAGCTTGGAGTATCTTCTGTGGTGATGATCCAGGAGAAGTAGTACTTTGAATGTTGTATTCTTACAATTGGAAGAAGTGTTGGCCGTGGCTGGGTGGAGCTGCAGTGTCCTTGCCTTTTGCTTGGCTCTGAGTCGTTGCCGCGCGCAAGATTTGTCCGAGTGGACATCTTCGCGGAGAGGCAGAGACCATGACACCCTTTGCTCATATCAAAGGTACCATCACCCACTCACTCCCTCGACCAGAGCATCACACCAGCCATGTCGCTGCCTCTGCTCAACAGGGGAGCCTCCCACCTCAGCCGCAGCAGCCCGATCGCATCGACTTCCCGCCTCACCCTCACCTCTCCTTGCTCTTCGCCGAATCAGCAACAATGTCGCAACTCCCACATCGGATCCGCACCCATCTACCTCTCCCCCAACACCACTCTCACCGTACAACCCTATCCTCCTCACCCAAATCCAGCTAGGCCACTTAGCCCAGCACTACAGACGGCTCGATCTGTGCTAGTCAAGGGACCCTTGGGAGAGTGTCTCGTGCCGCTGCACAAGGGCGTAGACGTCTCCCGCGTCGCTCCCGTAGCGCAAGGCAGCACACCATCATCATCAGCAGCTACCCCTTCCGAGTCTGAGCCCGCACGGTACGATGTGGTGATCCAGTCCAGTTCCTCTGTGCGTGCCAAGAAGCTCGTCTCCTTTTGGGGTATGACCCGCGCCCTATTGCAAAACGCCGTAGAGGGCGTCTCTGAGGGTCACTCCCTCGCTCTACGCCTCGTCGGTGTCGGTTACCGAGCCGCGGTAGAGGCCGATCCTACACCACGGTTGAGCAAATTGCAAGCTGCGCTCCAGGTCCCCGGAGCAAGGACTTTCTTCACATCAAAGGAGCAGGAGACAGCTTATAGGCTCTTGGCACAGAGGGAAGATGCGATGCAGGGAGGGGCAGGAGGGACGGACAAGCAGCAGAGATTGGTCTTGAGGTTGGGCTACTCGCACCCTATTAGCATGCCAGTGCCAAAGGGACTTACCGTGGCCACGCCTCAGCCGACGAGAATCGTGGTAAAGGGAGTGGACAAGGAGGCTGTAGGACTGTTTGCTAGTCAGATTAGGGCTTGGAGACCACCTGAGCCTTACAAGGTGAGTTGCGCAGCGATGCTCGGTGTCGAAGTGTACGAGCTGACAACGAGCCGGTCTGCCTTCCTTTGCACCTTTCCTCTCCACAGGGTAAGGGTGTCTTCGTCGGAGGAGAGACGATCAAGCTCAAGAGCCCAAGGAAGAAGTAAGGGGCAATGCGCACAAAATTATGGAGCCAATCAGCATCATCAGAAGACGCACTTGTCGTAGGAAAGCACACAAGAGGCTCTGTTGCAATTTCTGTCGGTCTCCTGTAATGCAACGCACTCCTCTGCTGCAATCCAAAATTATTCAAACAAACATCAATAGCGCAAATACAGATCTGCATCTCCTCACTTTAATCTCCTCGAAGCAACTCCTACTCCCATCCCTTCTCCAGCGCGTCGCGAGCCCGTCACTCTTCTCCTCTTCTTCTTGACCGCCTCACGATGACGACGCTTATAGTCCTGTGTGAGCTCCACTTTACGCGAGGCCCAGAGCGCCTCGAGGTCTGCGGGGGATTCGGTGCGCCAAAAGGGTTGCAGAGGGGCATTGCTGCTGTTTGAGGAGTGGGAGTGGGAGTGGGAGTGGGAGGGTGGACGCTGCAATAGCGTCACGGGGTCGCGAGGATCATTATCGAAGCGCGGAAAGAAGAAGGGGGGAGGACCGCTCGAGGGAAGTTGGCTATTGGTGGAGCCAGCTTGACCTGCCCCCTCAGCGGAAGTGCGTTGTCCCCACATTCGAGCCCTCACTCCCTCGCCCGATACACTGCTCTGTGCTTGCCCACCACTAGCGTTTGAAGCGGCTCCTTGCTCCTCCTCCCCGTCATCGAACCCGAAGTCGAAGTCCTCGTCTAGCTCATCCTCACCAATTCCCCAGCCGGTAGCTGTGCCTGCAGCACCGGAGCCAAAGAGCGAGAAGGAGGAGGCGCCGCCCCCCGCCTGCGGCTTGAACATGTCCTTGAGGCTTCCCATCTTGACTTCTGAAGGTCCGGCGGCGGCGATGATCGCGGAGGCTGGTGCGGTAGCGGTCGTGGCCGATGTCGGCACTGCAGAAGAACTGGCAGAAGCAATCGACGCAATACTAGACTGCTGTGGGGCTTCAGTGTCATCGCCTGTCGACGGGACAGGCACGCTGGCCGGCTCGTACCTCTGAACGGGCTGGAATGGCTTCACAGCAGCTGGAGTGGAGGTGCTCGCAGAGGTGGCTTTCATCTGAGCGAGTAGAGCAGCTCGCTTGGATAGGACTGGAGGTGCAGAGGTAGGCAAGTCTTTACCTTTCTGTTGGGCAGGCGGAGGAGGTGAAGGAGGCGATGGGCTGCTTGTTTGGGCAGCCGACTCGGGCTCGTCGACTTGCACGGCCGATGTCTGCTGCTGGTCTCCTGCCTCGTCTGAGTCGGTTTGCGAGACTACTTCGACTACGTCGGTGTCACCGTCGCCTTTGAGCTGTTTCCACCACTCTCCCTCCTCCTCCTCATCATCATCTTCATCCACCGGTTGCTGCATCGCGGCTTTCTTTTGAGCTTTTGCTTTCTTACTCTCTGCCTTTGCTCCGTCGACTTTCACGAGCCCACTGCTGCCGAACATCTCTTTGAGCAGCTTGAGTTCTCTCTCCTTTTCTTGCGGCGTCTTCTCCGCCAGAGGGATCGTCTGACGTACCGCAGCAGTGGCCGGAAGGGCATCTTCGTTGTACCCTTCTGAGAAGGCATCGTCTTCTTGCGGGTCATAGTGAGAGAGCTGAAAGGTGCCGTCGGCAACGTCTTCATCATTGTTGTCGTCGTCGCCGCCATCATCATCATCATCATCATCATCATCATCGGAGCTGTCCGCATCTTCGGTGACGTCGTTGCCAACTGCTACAGGCTGAGCAGAGAACAGCGGCTCAGCGATAGAAGGTTGAGCTGCGCTGACAGCTTTGATAGGCTTGCTCATATCGACATGGGAGTCCGAGTCTGAATTTGACTCCGAGCTCGAGTCCGAGTCCGAGTCCGAAGTCGACTCTGAGCTGGTAGAAGCAGACGAAGAGCTCGAGCTCGAGCTCGAGCTGACCTCCGATCTCTGCTCCACTTCTTGCTGAAGAGGGGCGAGAGACTCTTGAGGCACTGCCTTGTAGCCTGCAGTCCGTACCTCTTCCACCTGTTCACCACCGCTTCTGACCCATCGTACCTTGCCTTCCTCTCCTTCCACCTCCTCACAGACCCATAGCTCGCCTGTGCCTGCCATTGTGTCTTGGCCATTAGCCGCTTCCTCTAGTGTCTCGCCAGAGAGATGGATGGCCCCATACCTCGCAGGGTCTATCAGCTGATTCTTTGCTCGACTGATTGTGGCTGATTTGGGTGCGGCCGGCTCCTTGGCCTTTTTCCGGCGCTTCGTCTTGGAAGCTGAGGCGGACGCAGAGGGCGTTGGGGCGGTAGCAATAGGGAGGGGGTGGGTGGGTCTCATCTGAAGGGGCCGGATGAGGTGACCAGCTGGAGTAATGCGCCAGCCCTAGAGAATGGATAAGATCGGAAGGACATCAGCACAAAGATTGTTTAAAGTCTGGATCTGGCATCACCTGTACCCGTACTCACCCAGACTTTACCCGCCTTTACGTCCTCTTCGGTAATGATCTGTCCTCTGCTAACTCTTTGTTCCTCCCTGCCATTGGCAATTCTCCTCTTCCTCTTCTTTTTCTTCTTCTCTTCTCCTTCACCATCTTCACAACCGTCTTGTCCCTCAGCTGGAGCTTTGATCTTATCTTCATTAAGTCTCGCCCAGCCCTCTACCTGCTCACTCCCCTCCCCAAAGCCTCCCTTAAAGTCCTTCTTCGCTTCCCCAATCCGGACTTTGCTGCCCTTCCAGACGGTGCCGCTCAGTGTGTTGACGCATTTCCTAATTTTGTCCCTGCTACCATTGAGAGTGACGAATGCCCAGTTGTGAGGCTGTCCGAGTGCGTCATTGGTGGGTGGCCAGTGTGAAATGGAAAGGACGGATGCGTAGGGTGTGAAGCGATTGGTGAGGTCCTGAAGGGAGCAGAGTGTGGGTGAGAGTCCAGAGATGTGAAGGCGAGTGGTGATGGTCTGTTGTGAGGACGACGAGGAAGCAGGTGGCAGTGTCGCTGCCATCTTCTCTACCGACAGCTCCAGGGACGATGAGAGTGGGAGTTGTAGGTCCAGCCATGCGTAGCCCACTACTGGCCATGAGAGCATTCCACCCTCGGAAAGGAAAAATGAATGAAACTCCGACACAGGAAGAAGTCAAGAGTGCGGCCAAGGCGCCAACCAAATTTCAGCGGAAAGCGACACCACAGCGAGATATCCTTTGACACAGTCACTACCATCATCGACGTCCACCATGCCACCTCAGACAAGAACAAGGAGCGCGGCTAGAGCAGCATCGATCACAGAGAAGCCCTCTGCGACTGCGGCTTCTAAAAGTAAGGGCAATGGTAGTGGAAAGACGAAAGGCAAGGGCAAAGCAACAGCTCAACCGGTAGAGGAGCCTGAGGTCGATGAAGGCGAAGACGAGAGCGAGGATGACAATGACGATGACGGTGAAGTCGAAGGCAGCGATGAAGACAACGAACGCGATGGCGAATCAGACGAAAATGATGAGGAAGAAGACGTCGACGACGAGCATCTGGAGCAAGACGATAGCGAGAGCGACGTAGACGAAGCCTCCGACAAGGCAGCCAGCGAACCCAGCGCATCTCGTCCTCCTCCCCCTCTTCCCACCTCCCAAGGGCCCACTGCGTCCTCCTCATCTTCGTCATCAGCCCGTCTCGACCCTGCCCTCTTCAAAGCCTACTTCTCTTCAAATGCTGCCTCGACTTCCAATCTCAAGTCCTCACTCAAGAAGACGGCACCCCTCGCTCCGCCCACGCAGGCCGAGCTACGCGAAGCACGCGAGCAGCGCAAGGCGATCAAAGTGGCAAAGCGAAGGCGAGAGGAGCGCAGAGGCGGTGTAGTCAAGGGGAGGGATGGGCTGCCGATGAGGCGCTTAGGGGACGGGAGGACCGTGGTGCGCTCATTGGACCCAGCGGGGCGTAGAGCCGGGGCCGGGGCTGGAGCCCATCACGAGGCAGCAGCAAAAGGTCTGCAAGAGCTGCCCAAGGAGCTCTACCTCCCCATCTCCTCTGCACGGGGAGGCGCAGAAGAAGGAGACTTGACCAATGCCCTCGCTGCACAAAAGTCGAAGCGCTTCCTCAAGCGCAAGCTCGGAACAGGCTCTTCCCCTCTCACACCCACCTCCTCTTCCTCTTCCGCTACAACGCTGGAGAAGCAGAAGAAGGCCGCGACGAGTGCAGATGATCCACTGGGACTGGAGGATCCGGCTTTCCTTCCTGGGGGCGAGTTTGCGCATCTGGCCAGCCTCACGGGTAAGAAGAAGAAGCGGGGACGCGGTGGCAGTGGAGGAGGAGGTGGGGCAGTGAAGAAGCCAGCGTCGAAGAGCGACCTTAGGGGAGATGCAGTGAGGGGCCTGCCGGGAAGGATGGGAGGAGCAGCTATGGTCTTCAACCGAAGCGCTCGCTGATGGCGTGAGCTTCACAGCAAGGGAAGGTTGGACATGTGGACTGCGTCTCGCATTGTCAAGCTCTGCCACTCTATCATGCCCTTGGCTGCAAAGCTTCTGTATTGTAACCTTTTCTGATGGATGTGCCCTTTCGCGCGCGCGTATTGGTACAAAGGTGCCAGGCCAAACCTGACGTAGTGGTATCCGCGTGCGACCCTCTTCACTTCTTCTTTCCTCCTCCCCCTCCTCTGGTCTCTCCCCCTGTTGGCGTCTCGTCTCCCGCTCCTCCACCAGCGGAAGCAGCCGCCTTCCTCGCTGCCTCTGGCCCCAGGTTTCTCCACCTCCAGGTCGTCTTTTCTCCAGATCCCCTCCCAATCCCACTGCGCCTCTCCGTCTCCACAGCATGGTACACATCCTGGAGATTGACTCGCTTACGGCGCTTCTTTTCCTCTTCCTCCTTGGCGAGGGCGCGCTGTGCAAGGTCGCCCCAGCCTTGAGGATTGATCTTTCCATCGGTTCCAGAAGGACTTTCTGCTCCTCCAGGTCGGGACAAGGGTGTGCCTGCTAGACCAGAAGGGGCGAGGGAGCGACCCCATGGACCGCCTGCACCCGAAGCAGTCGAGGCGCCCGCGGCAGGTCCGAAGCGAGGCTTTGGGAGGGAGCTAAGCCCGCCCGCCGGTGCTGGCCCTCCGCCGAATGCTGGAGTCTGAGCTTCGCCATTCGTCTCGCCTTTGACTTCGCCTTTGATCCGAGTAGGGGTTGAGAAAGCGCCGGTAGAAGAGGCGGAGCCTGTACCCATTATCATCCACTTTGGAGTAGTGGCTCCACCGAGGGCTCGGGCAGCTGTATTGTTGGCCAGTCGTCTCCGCACATCCTCGCTGACATTCTTGGCCGAAAGTGCCTTGCCTTTCTTCTTCCCTCCAGAGCCATCACCACCGGGAGTGGCCGGCCCACCTTCGCCCATGGTCTCATCGCCTTCCCCATCCAGCCCTGCGACGCCTCCGGAGCCAGACGCACCGCCCTGGCCAGCGGAGTCGGTGGCAGCAGCAGCCAGCATAGCCTCCCTTTGCCTTTGAGCGCGCTTCCTCCTCGCCTTGACTTCTTCGCCCCGATCTGCCTTTTCGATAGCTGTGAGCCATTTCGAAGGATCGGAAATTAGCTCTTGATGGTACATAGCTTTCCGTTTCTTTCTCGAAGTTCCCTCTACATCATCGTCCCCTGACTCGTACAGCGGTGGGGGACGCTCGTGAGTTGTCCAGCATCTTTGACGACTTGAAGCGATCATGTTCTCCAGCAGATTGCGAAAGCGTATCCGAGCCGCTGTGGATAATGTTGAGAGTACCTCTGGTTCCACACCTATTTCGTGAGTGGAGGAAATGGCATGTACGAAAGATGCCAGCGGATAGAGTTGAAGGAAAGGCAAAGAGGATATAGGAGGCTGCGTACTCTGTCCCTGACTGCCAGATGGGTAAGCAGACGTAAGACTCGAGCCGGAAGGCATTGACCGTTGTGTGTTGTATTCGCCAGGCCCTAAGCCAGGTGGATGGTGGGGGTCTCGCCCTCTCATAGCTTCTTCCTCGGCTCGCAGGTCAATGCCGCTTCCACCCAATACGTCCATCACCTGCTTGGCGTCCTGCGGATCATCACGGCCACTGCTGGTGTGTTGCTGTTGCTGTTGTTGTTGTTGTGGCTGCTGCTGCTGTTGACCGCCCCATGGTGACGGCGGTGCTGACGTCTCGGGAGGAGCTCCACTTACAGCCCTACTTGCCGCAGGACTAGGAGCAACTTGTCTATTAGGGTTTGATGGCGCCGCGTTGGATTGAGAAGGTCGATGGACGGGAGAGGGGGCGGCGGCAGGACCATTGCTAGACTGATGAGGCGGCCCGCTTTGTGGTTGATAAGTATACCCGGGGTAGGGCATGGCTGTTGGCCCGCCCCATAGAGCGGAAGAGGGGGCGGGGGAAGGAGATGCTGCGTTGCTAGTCCACTGCTGCTGCTGATTGTTGTAAGATCCTGCAGGGGGGTATTGGTAACCTCCATCTGCCCCGCTTCCTACCCCTCCTCCTGTTTGTTGCCCTGCAGGCGGCATGCCGCCATAAGGGAAGGACATGGGCTTTTGCTGAGGAGACATACCACCAGCGCTATGTCCTCCCATGCTCGGTCTCCGAGTGCCCGGCTGAGGCGGTCCCATGCTGGTCTGGTAGGGGTATCCGCCTGGCAGAGGCATCCCGGGTCGATTGAGATTGGGATGGTTCCCATTCTGCCCTGATGAGCCCGTTGGGTGAGATGGGCCCGGTGACGGCGACGGGGCTGAGAACGAACCGGCCCTGCTGTTGGCATGGCTACCTGGCAGCTGAGCCATGCTTGTCTCCAGTCGAGCAGAGGAAGAGGCAGGAGGGCGGGATGCGGGAGCGGAGCCCCTTCCTTTCCTTGCCGCGGGGCCGTCTCACGACCCTTTTCTGCTCAGTGGCAGCCCTATACCACGCACAAAGTACTTTGTGAAGATCCTCTGGCTATATGAAGCGGTTGATGAGGTCGCCTAGAGCGCCAGGCGTATCTCGTTGGACAGGATACCGGCGCCGGTGACTGAAGCAGCGTGCGACGGAAGCGCCACGTTACTCTGGCGAGGAAGTTGGGCGTGATCAGGAGGGCAGAGGAGAAAGTGAGGTTTGTCAAGTCTCAGTCCTCTGGAGTATACGTGTTTACGCTACTGATGAGCGAGTCTGGTCACAAAGGGAGGAGCGAGATAGGAGGAGAGCCGGTCAAGGAGAGGCAGAGGTCTGGGTATCCTGGTGCGATGACCGGCAGTGGGAGATGAAAAGGCAGGCGGGGCGAGCGCGGTGCGTCCGTGTGCGGGTGAAGCTCCTTCCGCCCGAGACGCACACCAGGAGCTTCCTGGCCCACCATCGACGTCTGCCTTTGCCCGCTAAGCATCGCCTCTGATCATCCTCGGCTTCGATACTCGACGACGTCACATGTGAGCTCAGACGGTGTATGCTGCAATCAGGCCGCAGCTCACAGTCGACTCTCTAATCCCCGCCTCTTCTCTCACAGGTCTCAGAGTCAAGAGGTGGCTCCCTCGCTTATTCAGCGGTACTCTCAGCACAGTGCAGAGCTTCCCACAGACAGCACCAGCTCCACCAACGAGGCGAGTACCACAGAGATGCCCCAGAAGCACCTATACTCTCTACGCCATCTCACATGTCCTCACCTCGCTACTCTCAGACCCCAGCCTCGGCCGTAGAACGTCTCGCCGCTAGCCTACCGACTGAGCCCACTTCTTCCCAAGCAGACAAGAACGCCTTTATCCTCTCTGCCACCGCCTCTCTCACCTCTCTCCGCACTTCGTCCCACCAACTCTCCGAAGAGCTCAAAGCAGAGAAGCAAAGAGTCAGTGAGGCAAAGGCTAAAGTCGATCAAGCTCGATTGGAATTAGAGAATAGGAGGCTAGAGGAGATGGAATTGCAAGAGGAGATTAGGAGAGAATCTTCAGAGTAAATCCATCCTCTGAACCATACCGGGCGATACATCGGCCATTCGCATCTAATACGGCCTTTACAGCTGCATCTTGCTCCATTCTACACCTCGCCAGCTACAGCATGGCACATCCAACATCATCTAGCTCCGCCTCAGGTCCTTCCTCTTCTATAAGTATCACGTCTGGCTGGTTGGACTCTGTCGATGCAGTTTACCATCTCTTCGAGCAGCCTGAGTTGCGCAGTCGGTACCCATCTCTAGCAACCAAAGTCAAGGAGGGGGTGCAGCTCTGCGAAGAAGTTATCAAGGAGCTCGGACTCGAACACTGTGCCCTCAGCTTCAACGGTGGGAAGGACTGCACGGTCATTGTACACATGCTAGCAGCGGTGTTACGAAGGCTCACGGGTCTGTCCCGACCCTCTGGCTCATCTTCTGCCAGCACAACGTCGACCGAAGGCCCATTGGTCTCCCTACCGTCAGTGTACATCACCTGCCCCTCACCCTTCCCCATCCTCGAGTCCTTTATCCGAGCATCTCAAGTGCGGTATAACCTCGATTTGGTCACAGTGCCAGGTGACATGAAAGATGGGCTAGTAGAGTACTTTGATGGTGGGGGAGAAGCTGGCGTGCCCCCGCTGGAGTCGAGGCGAGAAGAGCAAGGGCAGGACAGGCGGAGAGAGGTCGAAGGGAGGCATAAGAGGGGCACCAAAGCCATCTTCATTGGGACTAGGCGGACGGATCCTATGGGTGGTGAGTTGAGCGAGGCAGCTGGGGACAAGCCCTGACACCGACTGATGCTGACAAGATCATGCATCATGCCTCGTCCGCCTCTTTTCAGACACTCTCACTCCGCGGAAATGGACTGACCCATCATGGCCAAAGGTGGAGCGGATTCACCCAATTCTGGATTGGGACTATGCCGATGTCTGGGAGTTTCTGCGGTGTCCTGCCTTGGGCCACTCTCCAGCCGATGCGTCCGACAAGACCATGAACTCACGGCAGTCGGTAGAGCGGAATCGGCGGACGACAGCAAAGGATGAAGAGGATGGGTACGGAACGGCTGGTGGTGGACAGGAGGGCGTGCCGTACTGTCGTCTCTACGACGAAGGGTGAGTACCGAAACGACAAGACGCGCATGGACTTCCCATTCTGCCGCGGGGAGCTGACCGAGCTGAGCTCTTTGTACTACAATCAGGTTCACTTCTCTCGGCAGCACATTCAATACGTTCCCAAATCCTCTGCTCCAAATCGAGGAGGGGGAGCAAAATGTCCCGAATGGCCATGACCATAGCAGTAGCAGCGGCAGCGGCAGTGGCAGTGGCGGCAGTACATTCAGGCCCGCCTGGCAACTAAAGGATGGCAGCTCCGAGAGGGCTGGCAGAGGGGACAAGAGCAAGAAGTAAAGCGAGGGCACTCTGCAGGGGCGGATGAGCCCCCGATGCTGCCTCAGCAGAACGCAACACAATCATCATAGAAGTTTTTGGCAAGTCGTTTGCAGGCAGTCCATTGGTCGTGTGGCCCCATGTTGTGTAGAAAATACAAATTTGTCCGACTCGCAATCGCAAAGCATAATCGTAACCCTTTCCCCCGTCATTACGCTCCCCCGCACCTTACTGCGCCTTCTTGACTTTCCCTCCCCTCCCCTCTCCCACCCTCTTTCCAGACTCCCTCTCCCTCTTTCTCCCCTTCTCCTTGTTCCTCCTCTCCTTTTCTCCAAATCCACCATCCGCCATCTCCATACTAGCCACCCTCTTTGCGCTCCCTACACTTCCAAGCATCCGGAGTACCCTCTCCTCAGGAAATTCGAGTTCCCTCAACTGCAGTCCAATCTTGGCCTCGGTTCCCTGAAGAACAGTCACGTCCCTCTCGCCGACAAAGCTGAGAGCCCAACCCACTTTTCCCGCTCGGGCTGTACGGCCGACACGGTGTAGGTAGTCCTCCCAGGCTAAAGGCAAGTCGAAGTTGATGACCATTTCCACTTGTGGAATGTCCAGACCTCGCGAGGCTACGTCTGTAGCGACGAGGATATGTCTTGCTGGATCTCTCCGGAACTTTTGCAAATTGGCCAAGCGTGTGGGTTGTGAGAGGTGGGAGTGGAGAGAAATGGCTGGTAGGGAGAGTTCGCGGAGGGTACGGGTGAGGAGCTCGGCGGATTGACAGCGCGAGACGAAGATGATCGTGGGGGGCACACGCTTAAAGGAGGTGCCTTCCGAGGAGATGAATTCGGATTCGCTGTCCGAGGCTGACGAGTAGTCTAGGTCCAGCGATTCTTCCCCTGCAGAGGACGAAGAAGCGACAGAGGAGGCATCATCTTCGTCGTCCACCTCTTCCTCGTCTTCGTCCTCCTCTTCGCCCACTTGGGTACCAAAGTCCTCTTCGTCGCCTTGCTCTCCTTCGATCAGACTTTCGACTGCTCCGCTCAATGCTTTCCTCTTGCTCCCACCAACTCTATGCGATCTCCGATCACTTGGAGGATGCGTGAGGAGATGGTAGAGGTAGACTTCCCGGACATGCGTAGGCACGAAGATGTACCTCTGCCTCAAATTCTTGGGCGTCTTTGCGTCAAATTCAATCTTCTCCACCTTGATTCCCCTGCCCTTGCCCTCCTTGGCCTCCGCTAACCTCTTCTCGGCCAGAACCTCAATCTCCTTTGTCAGAGTGGCGGAGAAGAGGAGTGTCTGCCTCTTCTCGGAGCTGGGCAGGACACCCATGATGTAATTCAATGCCTCAGCAAAGGTTTGCGTGAGGAGCCGATCTGCCTCGTCCAGCACTAGGAATTTGCACCTGTCGAGCCCCCACTCCTGCTGACCACCACTCCGCAAGAGGTCCCACAACCTGCCGGGAGTAGCAACGACGATGTGCGGTCTGCCGTGTGCGAGCTCGGTGGCCTGTTTCATCATGTCCATTCCTCCTAGCACAAGGGAGATCTTGATTCCCATTCTGGCTCCTTGAGCCAGTGCAAGAAATTGCTCGTACAGCTGTAGAGCCAGCTCTCGTGTGGGCGTGAGGATGAGGGAGTGGCCCCCTACTGGGTCTTGCACGAGGGAATGGAGGATGGGAAGGGCAAAGCAGAGCGTCTTTCCAGTTCCTGTGGGAGAGCCACCAATGAGATCCGAGCCAGAGAGGATGGTGGGTATGGTGAGGGACTGGATGGGCGTTGGTACAGTGAGGGCCAGATGGGAGAGGGCACGTAGGAGTGCTGGAGACAGGTGGAGAGAGGCAAAGTTGCGGTGGACTGGAGGAGCTGCCGCTGACGGCGCGGACGAGGGAGAGGCTGCGCCCATCTTTGACGTCGAAGCCTTTGACGACGAGGCCTGAGATGAAGACCCAGTCGCTGTCGGCGCCATGGTTCAGCTTGAGGAAGAGGGATGATGTTCGACTGTTGGTATGGTCAAGAAGGTGCTTCCGCCCCGAGGTCCACTGCTGTGTCCCACTTCCGTCTCGGCGGGGAAAATCAAAAATTTCAAAGGCGCCCGCTGATGTGTGTGGTGCTTCTCCGCCCGATCACTCACTCCCTCCTACCAATCAGTCCTTCTTGCCAGAGAGCCTACCCACAATGGCTCGGACCAAGACGCAGCAGAGCCCAGCCTCGGCTTCAAAGGCTTCCACATCGAAGCTACCAGCTGCAGCACCGCAGCAGCCGCGGACCATTGCCGGCTTCCACATCCTCCCGCTTTCCATTCCCACCTCCTCTGTCGCCTCCTCCTCTTCGTCTTCCTCTTCCTCACCCACACAGCATTACCTATACCTCCGTCCACATGAAGTGACGTCTTCCAAGGACACTCTTCCCAAAGGCCGGACTCTGTTCCTTGTGAATCTGCCTGTAGATACAACAGAGGGTCATCTGCGTTCCCTGTTCGAAAAGGCAGGTCGGGTGGAGGAGGTCCGCTTCAGGAGAAGGAGAGGCGGGAGCAGTACGCGGGAGCAAGAGCTGGACGCCCTGACGGCAGGAGAAGGAAGTGAAGACGATGACAATGAAGAAGGCGCAGACGGCATGGCATTGGACGGGGCTGCCGCCGCGTCAAAGACTGCTATGACGGCGGCGGAAGAGAAGAAGGCCAAGTACAAGAACACGAAAAAGCCTACTGGTCCTCAAGCGCCTGCTCTGCACTCCCTTCCCCTCCTCGACCCACGTAAGGATGCTGTCTTTCTCGAGACGGGCTCTAGCGCTCATGTCGTCTTCCTCGAAGAGACGAGTGTCAAGCGCGCTCTGGCCCTCTCGGCAGAAGGAAAGCCTCGCAAGTGGGTGGATCCACAGGTACAGCTGCTGCGCTCGGCGCAGAAGGAGGCTCAAGGGAATGATGATGAGGGCGGTGAAGAGGACGGCTATGGAGCACGCAGAAAGTCTCGTCCTTCCACTGCGCGAGAAGCAAAGTTGGCATCTGTAGTGCAAAAGCCGCCCGCACCTACAGGCCTGGCCTACTTCCTCCAGTCGTACGACTCCCACCATCCATCCCTGGCAGAGGTGAAGCGACATGCAGACTCCGTCGTGAAGCGGTACACCTTCTTCCGCTCCCATCCTCAGCTGGATCCAGAGCGTCAATCTTCCAGTGGCGGGCTAGGAGCTAGAGTGGGCGAAGGAGGTATCAAGATTGCCAGCTATGGACCAGGTGGAGAGCCATTGGATGAAGACGGCTTCACCATTGTTCTCCCCGGCGGAAAGTACGGAAAATCCCTTGGAGCGCCTGGTACAGCAGGCGAAGGTGGTGTGGATCAACCCTCTTCTTCTTCAGTCCGTTTCGCCCGTCAGTCCCAAATGGACATGGCCGCTCTGGCACTAAAAGCTCGTAAGCAGGAGCAAGCTTCAGAAGGACTCGAGGACTTCTATCGCTTCCAAAATCGTGAGAGACGTAAAGAGAAATTGGCAGAGATGAGGAGACAATTTGAAGAGGATAGGGAAAAGGTAGAGGAAATGAAGAAGAAGGGTGGCGCGGGATCAAGAAGGTTCAAGCCTTACTAGAGCCTAGAGTGTCGTGCGCAGCTTAGAGAGGGAAATGCTATCATCATCGCATAGTCAGAACTGCCGAGAAGAGGGTATATGATTTGTGTCGACACGGACAACACAGCGTCAATGGGAAGTGAGAGCTGGTGTCGCAAGAAGGACTGGACCCGGTCATCGCCTTCCCGCTCCCAGTGGGCTCTGGTCATGACAATCCTGGCCCCTGAGTGTCCCCATTTGCATCGTGAATCTCCGCTGCTACTGTATCTCGTCTGTCCTCTTCCTCTCCCTCTCGATCCTCCTCATCATCGATGTCATCTTCGCTCTCCTCTTCTTCCTCAGTGGCCACGCCTCTCCTCCTACGTCTCCTACTCCTCATCCGACTCCTCCCCGCCGCTCTTCCAAGGGCAGTAAACTCCTCGAAAGAGGTGGGCGTGAGTGCACGTAGCTCCTCGGGTGGCATAGCCCAACTCCAGGAGCTAGGATCGTCCGGAATCGTCGAGGAGGAGGCGGCAGCGGCGGCGGCAGTAGTGGGTAGGGCGGCGCTGGCGAGCTCGGCAAAGGAAGGCAGGATGGCGCTGGACCTGCTTGCTGCTGACGAGGAAGCGAGAGCGGGAATGTTAACATCGGCAGGGGTAGGAGCCACTTGAGAAGGGCCACTCAGCCTACTTGCTGTCCTCCTGTTGTCTCTTCCTCCGGCCGCGACTTGTGATTGTGCTCCTGCGCCATAATGCAGCCAATGTCGCCTGAGCCTCCTCAGCCCGTCCATCTCCTCGACCAGGGCCGTCATCCTGGGCATGATTCGCTCCACGCCTCTGCCGAAAGCACGATCTTGCCACCTGAACGAGTTTTCCAGCTCTAGCATGTTGTACTTGTAACACTCCAGAGCACCATAGAGTACTTCGACCTTTTCTCCGAGATCATCATCCACCAGAGCACCAAAGTCCATCTCTGGTGGCCAATCTTCCGGTTCGTCAAAGTAATTTGCTGGTCCGTAATCAGATCGAACCACTTCGCCAGTCGACTGATCGACCCTGCGAGGCGACATGAGACCCGCTGCGAATGCCGATGTGGGGCCAAATGGCTCCTCCACTCTGCCATTGCCGAGAGCGTCGGGGAACGAGGAGCTTGTAGCTCTTGTAGTCGCACCGAGCCAAGGCAACAGAGGTGGCACTTCGACTCCTTGTAGCTCTGCACCATCGTGGACTAGCCTGTTTCGAGAGGTAGACGCGGATAGGTCACCTGCTGCAGTGCGCTGGAATCGGCCGACTCTGCGTAGCGAGCGAGTGCGGCGAAGGGATGTTCCGGAGTCGGTCCTGACATTAATTGTGGGGAGAGCATCGTCACTGTCGGAAGAGTCTGCGGCTAAGTAGCGGGAAGGACGAGGCATGGGCGCCCATGATGAAGTTGATGCACGGGCAGCTTGATCGTGGGCGCTCTCTAGGTATCGCACAGGAGTGCTTGTCCTATCACAGACAAAGGACTGAGAAGGGCAGTAGCGGGCAGAAGAGCAGAAGGGCATTTGAGAAATGTGATCGTCGTCATAGCTCTGTCCCTTTGGCGCGAAGGAGCACTCACGTCTACGATGATATCATGCAGTCTCTGCCAGTACTCGTCCTTGAAGTCAACCTTGTCCACCCACTGCTCGAAAGTGAGACGACGGAGCTCTTCGCTCTCTGCAGCTCTCCCTCTGGATGGTGAACCAAGTAGTCTACTGTATGCATCGTCTGACTTGGACGCCTTGATGTCCCGAAGCGTCTGCTCCACAAAGGGGCGAAATTTGTCCAAGAGGACCTGCTCGTAAACGCGTGGGGTCTTGAGGCCCATGGTTGTGCAGAGGCGATGGGTTGACGCAGGAAGAGGTGGGACAGAGGCGTCGTGAGCACAGTGTGTAGGAGATTGTGAGATCGTATAGGCTGCGAGTGTGAGGTAGAAGAGGAAGAGTGGGCACCGAGGATCTGGACAGGGACCAATGGTAGTGGTGAGTGGTGCAGAAGCGAAGTGCGTTGCACTGCTGCTGCTGCTGCTGCACGACGCCCAATTGCCTGCAGGCGCGGCGAAATCCAATTGGCCGAGGCACAAGTCGGACCACGGCAGCGGGGAAATTGCATCGGAAGGGTCAAGGCAGGCAAAGGGAAGCCCAGGAAGATCCTCATACGCATGGCTGTACATAGTCAGTCAGACCACCTCGTATGCTGCCATTGAGACTCACTACCACGACCATTCACTCCCTCAGAAGCAGTCTGTCCCTCCTGCGCAAATCCGCAATCCTGACCGCCCACCCTCACCCAATCCCATTCAGGATGTCCTCCTCCACCTCTCTCTCCCTCTCCCCTTCCATCGAGGCCAATCAGACCCTCGCGACCTTGATGCGCTCCATGCACCGCATTGCCCCCCTCTCCCTCGCCGATTCATCTTGGGACAATGTCGGCTTGCTTCTAGAAGCACCCTTTCCCCGTTCAGCATCCTCAGACAAGAGTGGCAGGGCAAGCGACATCGGCAAGGGCGTGCACCTCTGCATCGACCTCACCACCTCTGTCCTCTCCGAAGTCCTCCAACACCCACACATCTCCACAATCCTCTGCTACCACCCTATCATCTTTCGCGGACTTAAAACTCTTACCCTCTCCGACCCTCAGCAAGCAACATTACTCCGTTGTGCAGCCGAGGGGATCAGCGTGTACTGCCCTCATACTTCCCTCGATGCTGCCCGCGGAGGAATAAACGACTGGCTCGCCGAGGGATGCAAATCCTCCCCCTCCGAAGCGTTCAGCGCTGCTCCTGCTCCCTGTCAGAAGAGTAAAGCCACTTCGATCCCCGAAGGACACGAAGGCGCAGGTATGGGTCGACATTTCTCACTTGCGGAGCCTGTGGAATTGATCACTTTGGTGCAGCGGTTGAAGAAGCATTTGGGATTAGAGCATGTACAGGTGGCTACACCTGCTGGAAAGGAGAGCCCAATGGTGCAGAGCATAGCAGTCTGTGCTGGATCGGGTGGATCAGTGTTAGCGGGTGATGAAAGTGATTGTTGGTTGACGGGGGAGATGAGCCATGTAAGTCCTGAGCGGATCACTCTGCATGCCTATGGCCCCCCATTCCCATTTTGCTAACCTCTTACTGCATGTCCTTCTTTCTAACCTTGCTTCTGACTCGTAGCACGAGCTTCTAGCAGCCACAGCAGCAGGTCGCAGCGTCATCCTCACCAACCATTCCAATACCGAACGGGGCTACCTCTCTGCCGTCCTCAAACCACGATTGGAGGAGCTAGCAGGCGGGGATCTGCAGGTGTCGGTCAGTGAGGTGGATCGAGATCCGCTGAGGGTGGTTTGAGGGGCGTGTGAAGAATGGTTGAAGAATCGAGCAGAACTACGGGGCAAAGAGCAAAGGAACGTCTATATATTGAGGCAAGGGCGCAAATACGCAAGTAAGAAGAAAGAGGCAGCCGCAACGCAACGTAGGGGCCACGGATGAAGGTCGCTGAGCGGGAGCATAGCATAGACCAGAAGGAGGCAAGAGCCAAAGGATGCTCTGCGGTTGCCTCTACTCTCGGGTGATGTCTCGTCCAAAGAGCTTCACCTTGGACCAGTCCACTGCAACGTGGAATCGGTTGCGCAGCGAGAAGAGTTTCTGCGGAGGAGAGGGAGAGCCAAGGGACAAGGGACGAGGAGTAAAGTTAGTGAAGCTGGATTCTCAAGACCCATCGCTACCCTGTCTTCTCTCTCTAGTCACTCACTGTAAAGTAGACACCCCTCCAAGCGAGATAAGTAGCCACACCACCCACCGACACGCCTCCGTTCATAAACGGCAGGTCGGCAATTGCCTTGTCGTGTCCAATGTAGGCAAGTGCTCCACTGTGCGAATAATGGAAGGGCTTGATCCTCTCTGCCTTTTCCACCATCCTCTCCAGTGTCTTGACCTGATCCGTCTGTCCATTCTTTTGCGCTCCCTCCAATTGCGCCTTGAGGTCATCTACCCGGGCCATCTGGTTGAAGCGCTTGCCCAGCCATTTACCCTGCTGAGCGGCAGACTGAGCAGTTGCAGCATAGGGGGTGGCGGTACAGTCGCCAAGGGCAAAGATGACGTCTTCGGCTCCCTTGAGACGCATGTGCTCGTCGACGGAGAGACCACGACGCTCAGTCTGCACCGAGGGGAATTGACCCATGAGGTCACGGGTGATACTGAAGGGTCGGGCGAGGGCGGAAGTCATCGTCAGAAGCTATCAAGAGTATCGCTCGCCGCTTACACGGTCTCTCCACTACTCACGGCCTCTGTCCGTTACCAGCAGCCATGACAAAGACACCATAGGGGATCTTCATGTCCTGTCCATCTGGCTTCTTGACTGTGACATGTGTCTCATCCAGATCCCTCAGCATGTGCTTGGTGAGGAGAGTGATTTCCTGCTGCTCAAACTCGTGCTCAGTGTACTCGATGAGCTTCTTGCTGAACATGGGCAGGATGTTGGGAAGTCCCTCTACCAGAGTCACCTTTACACGGTTGGCAATCTCGGGGTACCACTTGGCCAGGTCATCCTTGACAAAGTCCCTCAGCTCAGCTGCGAACTCTACACCAGTGGGTCCACCACCCACAACGACGGTGTGCAGGAGTCGGTCCACCTCCTCCTCGGACTGACCGGTGATGCAGGCGGACTCGACACAGTCCATCAGGCGATTCCTGATCTTCTCTGCATCACCCAGCTCCTTGAGGAAGCAGCCGTGCTTGGCAACACCTTCAATTCCGAAGGTCTGAGGAGCAGAACCGACCGAGTAGACGAGGTAGTCGTAAGGGATCGTAACGGTTCCCAAGGCTCCGTGGATCTCAGACTTGTCCTCGAAAGTGACTGTCTTCTTGGCAGCATCGACCTTGGTCGCCTCTGCCTCGAGCACCTGAACCTCCCTAGCCTTGTACCTAGTCAGCTGTCGGGTAGGCTGAGCGATAGATCGTCCATTGATAGTTCCTACAGTGACCGAGGGCAGGAGTGGGGTAAAGAGGAAGTAGTCGGCGGGGGAGATGACAATGACATTGTAATTCGTCGTGTCAATGTGCTCCAGCATCGATGTGGCAGCCCATCCTGAGCCGAGGACTACGATGGTCTTCTTGCTAGGATCTTGAGGGAGCTGATCGGGTGGGTTGTTGGCTTCGTGAACATCTGCAGGTGGGCAATGTGAACGATTAGGAGTGAGTCTAGAGCGCTTATCTCCGAGAAGCAGCGATGTCCCTCTTCCATCTGCATCGCTTCGGGAGTACTCACAGTAGGCAAAGGTAGCCAGAGACAGGACAGTAGTACCGTAGATTCCCCTCTTGACCTTTGTGAAGAAGCCAGCCTTGCGCTTCCCACCGCCATTACCACCACTTCCCGAGCTGCCTCCATTGTTCTGAACAGAGGCGAGACCTTGTGCGCCGGCTGTAGCGCCTGCGCTGATTTCGCTCGGGGTGGCTGCTGCTGGTGCTACTGGTGCTACAGCTGCTCTCCTCCTAGCGGAGAGGAAGAGGGAGCGGGAGAGGTTGGCGGTGGGGGTAGAGGTGAGGCCTTGTGTCGGGAGGGCGATGCGCCTGGCCGAACGCGATACGACCGAGGCGGCGATCATGTTGGAAGGCGGGCGAGGAGGAAAGGGGAGAGGATGGAGGAGCGGTAAGTGATGAGTGGTGGTTGGACGATGGTGGTGATAAGAAAGGACGCTGTGTCTCTTCGACGATGATTAATTCTTCTGCGTCGGCTTTCTCTTTACCCTGGTATTTGGAATGCAAAGCTTCTTGCGGGAGAAGTCCGCCCCGTTGCTGTTGCTGTGGCCGAGGCGCAGAAAATTGAAGATCGACGAGAGACGCAGCCGAGTAAATTTGGGGCGCACCAGGGCTAAAGGGCCTCCCTCATCTCACACTCCGCCCTTGGGCCCTGCCTGCCTGGTCCCACTACGCCTCTACTGCCCTCTCTCACTCTCACCCTCTCTGGCCCACAGCCCAAGCAGGCACTCAGGCAGCACCACACCACATCTCCCAAAGGACGTCCGTGCGACTGAGATCCACCACTCGCGTCACGCTGCCCAGTCACTCCTTCGTGTCCGAGGTCACGCACGCACCTCTTCCGTCAGAATGGTTGAATGGATGAAAGAGGATCGATTGCGAAGCAAGACCCTCAACCACGGCCCCCGGTTTCATCCGTCCTCCTTGGCCACCTTGACCAGCCCTGTAGCTCCAGCAGCAATCGCAAGGTATGCCTGCCACCCTTCCGTATCCCCGCTCCCAGGCGCAACGCCCTCCAGCATCGCCGAGCCAAGCTCACAACACGTCGTCGTCAGCTCCCAGCCCAGCACGGACATCGAGTGCCGCACTGATTGAAATTGAGACTCGCAAGAGGACATCGACTGACGGATGCGGGAAAGTCGCGAAGGGCTGTCCTTTGACGAGACCAGGGGAGATTGTTGAGGAGCCTTCGAGGGGATCTCGGGTGATGTCGTAGGGCTCGAAGGTGTCACATGCAGCCTCGGAAGAGACACTGGGGCAGAGCGAACCTGCGAATCCTCCTCATCCTCTTCTTCTTGAGCATCAGCCAGGTCGTCTGTCAGGAGTAGCATGCGTCGGTTCAGATGGCCCAGAGCCCTGCGCGATCGACGTCGCAGTGCCGACAAGGTGTACGCATGGATGAGAAGCGTGACAATGCCAACACTGTAGACATTCAGGAGAGAGAAAAGCGTCAGCTATCGTTAGCAAGAGTCAGCGGGAGGTGGCTAGCTGTCGCTAAAGGAACAGTCTCACCTCAGGGCTATCCGATCCAATATGTGCCGCTGCCGTCGTCTCAGAGCCTTCTTGCCCGGCTCTCCATAACCTCCGCGTATCGTCTTCCACGCAATCGTCGACCCACCCAGGAAAGCCGCAATGTCTGCCGCTTCTCCCACCGAAGCTAGAACTTCGCCAAGATGGGCCAATCTTTGCTGCCAGTATGTAAGCTCTTCAGGGTTGATCTTTGTTGATTGAGTTTCATGGGTATCGCTGTTGTTTCGTCGTCTTTGTTCTAGTGTATGTTGTGTACTCCGCGCTTCTGTCATTCTTTTGTCGTGAGCACGAGAGCTCTCCCTCTCCTGCCTTGCTGTCCACAGCAGACCCCGCAACCATCTCAGCAGCAGCAGCAACTTCCTGGACTTCTCCGCCGCCTGCCCTGTATATCGCATCCCTGTCAGAGCCTCACGCCTGACGGAGCGGGAAAAGAAGAAAAAGAAGATGTGGGGTATAGGGTACATGCCGTATGAGCGAGGGTGTCGGACAGAGCCAAAGGAATGATGAGTGAGGAGAGCCAGGCCTAGGCAGAGTTGCTGTCGAAGGGCGCAGATGATGATGCTCAGCAAGACGACCTTGGCTCCACTGAACCAAATTCCGCCTTGAACTCACCAGTATGCGATCTCTGCCTTCGTCCGAGCGCATTACCCTGCTCAAGGAGACTTTGAACTCCCTGGCTCTGCGCTGCCTGCCGGATTCGCAGCTGCTCTCCCCCTCTTGCGCTCGTACATAGGTAGTTACTGGACTCACCATGGCGTAGGCTGGTGGCTCATCATCGTCCATTGCTTGGCCTGCTTGCTGGGCTTGACTTGCAGCGATCACCTGAGTCTCTTCCATGCCGGGTGCTGCAGCGCCAGCTTCTGCCCTCTGGCGAATAGCTTCGCGTTCCGCCTCCTCCTCGCGGTGAGCGACGCGGGCAGCATCAAGGTCCTGCGCTGACAATTGGGATGCACGAGAAGAGGGCCTTCCGGAAGTGTACGAGGGACCTGCCACGGAGGATCGTTCCGAGTAGTCGCCGGCGACCGTTCGACTTTCTAGGGAAGAGTTGGCAGTAGCCGCAATGCTGGGCGCTGCAGAGCCACTGGGAGCAGAGGGCGGCTGGTAAAGCGCTGCACGTTTAGATGTGAGAAGGTAGTTTGAGTTCAGCTTTGACGAACTCGGCCAGCAGTCCTCTGCTCAGGAACCATGGTACTCACGAAGTTGCTCCCCATGTTGGCCGCCCCTTGCTAGATTGCGGACCTCCTCGACGGCGTCTCTGAAGGCGGCGCCTCCACCTTCATTGAACCAGATCTTGCACAGACCCTTCGAAGCGGCCCCGCCAGAGCAAGCCTCTGGAAGGTTGCCTCCTGGGACAGGTAGCACTGAAGCCTCGTAGTAGGGAGCACCAAAGATGGGGATCAGGTACCGAGAGTCGACCAGATGGGTCAGAGGCACATTGAGAGAGCGTAGATGCTGCGAGGCTTCCGACTGTTCCGCAGGCTGAGGTAGAGGCGGGATTCGGAGGAATACGACGCGTTGGTTGGTGACGTAGACCGTCCCTTTGGCCTCCCACTTGGCTTTCGCCTCTTTGAACTCCAGACTGACACAGAGGTAACAAGAACACGGTTGAGCTGGATGTGCCTCGTGCTGTTGCGTGGATGCGCTGAGGTAGCAGCGACTCACCTCATCTGGCACTTTTCCACTGCGAGCCAGATCTTCTCTTCGGGGAGAGGCACTGGCCGCTGATTAGCATCGATCATAGCCCAATTGAGAGCCATGTTGCAGAGATTTTAAGGGTGGTAGTCAGTGATACGAAGAAACAGAAGAGCAAGACGAGGTTGCCAGATTAGGGCGTGAGAGTGGGGGTAGAGCTAGGGCCACCTTAAGCGGACTTTCAAACCAGGGGTTCAACCTCGGCTCCGCTGTGCCTCCACCTAGCCCAACCCCTCCCTTCCGGTCATGGGTACTAATTGCGCCTCTTGGCATCCGAGGAGGATGTTGCCCCTGTCGCGTCGTGTCCTGAAAGCTGTGTCCCTCAACGTTGCTGTGTTCACCTTGTGTTTGCCGAGAGAAGATATATATGCGAGTCGGAACTTCGTCTATCCTATGCTACAATTTGACTCACACTCACGCCCTTGCAAGACATGAGGCTACCCATCGCACCCACCTTGGCCTCGGCCGCCGTCTTTGTCGCACGTCAACAGACTGCACCCACTGAAGCTACTGCCGGTGTCAACAATACAATCATCCCCTTTGAACCAGCACCTCTTCCTCAGGCTCACTGCACATCTCCCATCTACTGTCCGGGCCCATTACTTCAGGCCGTTCAACTATCGGGCTTGTTCAACGACTCGAAAGAGTTTGTCGATCGGGCGACACTCAAGCCAGTCGAGCAAGTGGTCGCTGCATTTGCCGCCCTCGGCGATGGTAGCGGCAGGAATGTCACCTATAGCGAGCTGCAGACATTTGTCGATGAGAATTTCGCTGAAGTGGGAGGCGAACTTGTCGCGGCTGACCTGGGGGAGGAATTCGTCCCGGACCCAAAGTTTCTGAACAACGTCACTGACGAGGTCGTCAGACTGTGGATCACACAAGTACACAGCTACTGGCCTCTCTTGGCCAGGACCACCAACACCAGTGCCTTGATTGATGCCAGCCCAAGCACTAGTACCGATGATTCCCCAAGCCCAACTGCATCGGATGCCACCCCGACCAGCACTGACTCCAACATCGCTTCGACTGGGAGTGCAAGTGTCTCAGGAAGGGCTCTCAATGATACGGCTGCGAGCCTTCAGGCCTCGCAGCAAGTCGCTGCAGAGACTCCGCAGAGCAACGACAGCGATGCTCTGATGATGGCCACTTCCTCTTTCATACCATTCAAGTCGCCGCGCACCTTCGTCGTCCCGGGTCAACGCTTTCGCGAGCTTTACTACTGGGACACTTACTTTGTCATCCTCGGGCTGCTGCGCTCCCAGCTCTCCTCGGTAGCGCTAGGCATGCTCGAGAACTTCGCCGACCTCGTCGAACAGTTTGGATTTATTCCCAATGGCAACCGCCTCTACTATCTGAATCGCTCCCAGCCTCCAATGCTGACACAGATGGTGGACGTGTACTTGAACTACACAGGAGACGCTACTATCTTGTCGCGCTTACTGCCTCTACTCGAGCGGGAATGGGAGTGGTGGAACATCAATCGAACTATCGAGATTACCTCACCTTACTCAAACCGGACCTACAACGTCTCGCACTACGACGTTGATACATCGGCACCTCGACCCGAGTCGTACTTCGTAGACTGGCAGACTGTGGAGCTCGCAGGCAAAGAGCAAGGACTTCAATTCACTGACGAGGAGAAGGCGAGGCTGTATGCTGATATTGCAAGCGCTGCAGAGAGCGGACACGACTTCAGTCTGCAGAGGTGGTCGAGGCAGCCTTCCTTCATCGGCGATTTGGCAGAGCCGGTCTCGGATGTGAGCGGCACTCCCACTCGACGTCAAGATGACTCTGCTGATACTGAGGCCACCTCGACAGCGGACACTCCCACCACGGCGACGATTCCTGCCGCTGTGTCTACCTCACGAGCTTTGCGATACCTTAACACTGCCAAGCAGATCCCTGTGGACCTGAACGCCATTCTCTACAAAAACGAGATGGCGCTGGCTCGTTTCCATAACATCACTTACCTTCCAGCCCAGTCCGGTAATTCCTCATCCGCTGACGCTGGCAACAGCACAAGTCCATCACCTCTCGCTGCAAACGCCACCCTCGTCGAGCTGTGGTCCAGTCGCGCTGCCGCGCGTCGGGAAGCCATTCTCGACCTGCACTGGAACGCTGAGCTTCTCTCTTTTGCCGACTACAACCTGACCTCTTCATTGCGATCGACTCGCTGGTCAGCGTCGAGCCTCTGGCCATTCTGGGCGGGTATCTTGCCCAATGAATTCACTGCAGATAATCAGACGAAGGAGGAGCGGGGTGCTCTGCTGCAAAGTGCCTTCGCTGGAGTGCGATACCTTATCGACAGGTACAATGGCTCCCTCTCCACTACTCTGGCAGCTACGAACCAGCAGTGGGACTTTCCAAACGTCTGGGCTCCCCACACTCAAATTGCCATCGACGCCCTGCGAGCACTCCCTCAGGACCTTGTTCGAGCAGGTGGAGTAGCCAAGCCCGCTCCCAATGGTACCTTCGAGCTCATACCCGCTGCCAGCGTACGAGAAGATAACGTCACGGATGCAGAGCCTACGCGTCTCACTCAGCTCGGCGTCTCGTCGGCTGACCAGCTTCCACTGCAGCCTCTCGCCTCGAATCTCAACGCTTCTTCCCACTCAGACGAAGCCTTAATCGGTCAGACTTCCCCTGATTCGGGTCTGCAGTACGTCGGCGTTGCACCCTCAAACGTCGGCAACGCCTCGAGCGACACAGAGCTATGGACCGACACGCTCATCCGCTCTCTTGCCAACCGGTTCGTGGCTTCATCGCTCTGCTCCTGGTATGCAACGGGTGGACAGCTCAACCTGAGCACCCAGGCGGGTCGCGATCGCTGGCCTCCTCAGCCTGTCCCCGCAGGCACATCAGACACTGGTACGACGGCAGCTGCCTCCCCTGGACAAATGTTCGAAAAGTACTCGCAGACGAGTATTGCGGCTGCAGGTGCCGGAGGCGAGTATCAGGTGCAGGTGGGCTTTGGATGGACGAATGGAGTATCGATTTATTTGAGTGCAGAGTACGGCGATATCCTGCAGGAGCCAGTCTGCGCATAGTAAATCGTCCCCGGCACCTCTTTCAAAATTCCTTCGTGCGAGCTTGTGGGTATCATACAAAACTTCTCTTATGACTGTAATGAATAATACGACCATATCACTAGCTCGCTCGGTCTGCCATCATATCAACTGCAGCGTACCGCCATTCTAGCGGATCAAATCTCGCTATTCCTCCTCGTCTCTGTTTTGTCGTGCTTGGTAGGAATCCTCTGGTGATGTATGACCCACGTTGCGTTCGAAGGCACAGATTACAGAAAGGTAACATCAATCCCATTCTCTCTGTCCCTCCCCGTGCAAAGTCCTCACTCATCAGCCTTGCGGTAACCAAACGAGACTCTCCTGCCCAGTGCAGTCACCCCACCTCCACCGCCAGGAGCAGCACCAGCACCAATGCTAGGACGCGCAATCATGCTCATGGGTCTTGGTCGCCTCACTCCCTCTCCAGGAGCCGACGATGTCGAAGTCACTGGGCCGGGAGCATCACTGCCTCCTCCAGGTCGGATGAGGCCAAGTGTCCCGACAGGAGCAGCGCCGACGCTTCCGATCAGGCTGGCGCGGGGTAGCCTGCTCAATACTTGGGGCTGTTGTTGAACCTTGGCTACTCCGGTCATCATCGAGGATGAGGCAGATGCAGGTTGGGAAGAAGAAGAGCTAGGCATAGGGATGTGTGACTTCCTTGGGCTACTACCCGCTGTTCGAGCGGCAGATGTGGTCGGTCCACTCGAAGAAGAGGACGAAGTGGAGGCGGAGCTTTGATTTGTTCCTGCTCCGAGCAAAAAGGGTCGAGGAGGTTTACGGACCGAGCTTGAACCAGCAGAGGCTGTGCCGGTGCTCGCGGAGCTGGAGGACACGACACTGCCACTGTTGCTGCTTCTTGCACCGCCTGCTGAGGACGGTCGACGGGTGAGCTGACCTGTAAGCGCCTCTGACGGTCGGGGAACGACTTTCCTGGGGCTTGACGATGATGAGGGGAAAGGACGCGAAGATGTCGCTGTGGAGCTGGGAAGGTCACGGACGCGGGCTGTGGTTGAGGAAGAGGAGCTTGGTGCGCCAGCTCCCAGAGAGGGCCGGCCAATCATGCTGTGTGGCCGCTCCCTTGGTCTGGCTGAAGAACTCAAAGAGGAGGAAGAGGAAGAAGTGGAGGAAGCAGGCGCTGCGCCGCTTCCAACCAGAGTCACTTTAGCTCTGATAGCCTGAGGCGGTTTCATGCTACCGTCTTCGGCTACGAGCTGAGGCAGGCCGGATAACCTCCTCATACGGGCAGCACTTGCATTAAGAGGTGGCCGAGAGCGTGGTGTGGTTCCCACCTGAGTCGCTGTGCGGGGAGTCTCGCTGCTTGCACCGGCGCCAACTCTTTGTCGCGGCGTGGCAGGGACGCCATGTACAGCCGAATTTGCAGGCACCATAACGCGAGCTGCGCTTGAAGTCGTCGCTCGAGCGAGGCCCTCACTGCTGGCAGAAGGTCTGCTGGTGGTCCTCGCTCTCACGCCTTCGGTCACGCTTGCTCTCAAGGGGGCCGTGAGTGGGACTTGAGGCGTGTCAGAGATCTTAGATGAAGAGCCTACGATCATAGAATGAGGTCTGGCTCTCGCCGAGACTTCACCTCTGTACTCTGCTAGTGCTTCCAGCATCTTGACCTTATCGCTTGACTTTCCACCAGGCATGGCTCGGTCTAGAAGAGCGGATGCGTACAAGAGGCTCTCCTCGCCTTGCTCATCGAATATGTTCGACGTTTCTGAGGTGTTGGACAAGGAGCGCAGCCCCAGGGAGATGGTAGAGTCCGCTGCATCCTTGCTCGAAGGGCGCCCGAGTCCTAGAGTACTTCCGCTGGTGCCAATTCTCGAGGGTCCTGCCGACTTGCGTACAGACGCAGCTCTTTTGATACCTCGTTTCGGGCTTGCCTCGAGCAGCTTCTTGTCAAAGGTCTCGTCGCCGAGGTGCCTGGCTTCCGCCAGAAAGGAGTCTTCGGCGGAACCCATCAAGTCGAACTCTGCCATTGATGTGTTGGGGCCTCGAGAGAGATGCAGGGTCATGGAGACATCTTCGTTGGCTATAGTGGACAGTGGATGGGAAGTCAGTACCGTCTACCTTGACAAAGAGCTAGGAGCTTAGCCCTCTGCCACTCACATGACTGATTGAGTATAACCTTGGCTTTGAGTGGAGCGGTCTCTTCCTCCCGTCTGTTGCCTCTGGATGTGTTGAGCAGCGGCTTCTTGAATGGCGAGGTGGGCCGCCCGCTTGTGCCGATGGTGCGCTTGCTGGGCGAGTGAGCGCTTAGCTCTGCGAACTTGTCTGCGATTGCCTTGCGCGAGGGGGACAGCTGGAGGCTGGGTGACCCAGCAGAAGGCCGAGCAGAGGGGAACTGAACCGCAGAAGCCATGTTGGATGATAGAATGGTGGTATGTGTTGATTGAGTAGGGTCCCGGATGCAAGATACGAATGAGATCCTCACTCAGCTCCTGCTTCCGACGTGTGTGTACGTCTGTGTGTTACTTTCGGTTGGGGCTCCGTCCAAGCAGCATCTACCAAGTAACACATCGGAATGGGCCATCGGAACGGAACCTGCATCTCAATCTCGGAAGCGGAAGCGGCCCATGTCTGTTTGCGCTTTCAGCTGTCTGCGCCCTGCCTGCGTGTCTCGCCTGAGGTGGACAGGATTGGAAATCTGTGCCTCCGCCTTGGCTCAGGCGCCTGGGCTGCGTCGTCGACCCCACAGTTGCTGCTGCCTTCGCATCCGACTCAATCACACTCGTCCCGACGTCGCTCATCACCTCACCTCGCCTTACCAACTCGTCGACCACCCTCACCTTCCTTCATAAATCCCGGAGCTACCACAGGTTGTCCCTTTCGCGCCACCACCACATTAGATCCATCAACATGTCGGAGCAAGAGAAGTCATCCTCCTCGGGAGAGGGAGGTCAGGCAAAGAAGATCACCATGGAGCAGCTCCAGGAGCATGACAAGACAGGCGACCTCTGGCTCCTCATGGATGGCAAGGGTGGGTATCTTTTGCAGGGTATGAGAACGTAGACCCATCCCTGAGCGATCTGCAAAGGTCATTCCGATCAGTCAGCAGGGCAGTGAGGGGAAAGGGGAGAAGCCTCACCCACGACGACCTTCGGATCGCCTCAATTGCTGACGCACAAGTGACTAACCAATCAATCCTACTCTTCAATCCTGACAGTCTACGATGTTTCCAACTTCATGGACGAGCACCCAGGAGGTGACGAGGTCTTGGTAAGTCGCAACGACAGATGACTCTCGTTCTCTTGTATACTTACGCTACCGATCCCTCCATCTCTGACAGACCTCCGAGGCTGGAAAGGACTGCACAGAGGCATTTGAAGACGTCGGACACTCCGATGACGCCAGGAGTTTGTTGCCGCCTATGCTCGTTGGCGAGCTCGAGGGAGCTGTGAGTATCTGCCAGTCCAGCAATTGGTGGCGGTCGAGACGGCGAATACCGCCTAAGCAGCTAGCTCATCATATTTCTCCCCATCGCTTCTGTGTGTCCACAGGTCCAGAAGGCCAAGCAGACTGCTAGTTCGGTCAACCAGTCAGCACAGAAGAGTGGAAAGTGAGTTGCAACGAAAGCACGAGCCAAGGCATGATGGACGAGGTGGCACGGATGCACTCGGCTGACCTTGTGCTCTCAATGCCAACCCTCATTGTTCCACCCCCTCACAGCCCTCTCCTGATGTTCATCGTGAGTATTACAATGGCAGACTGCTTGTCGAAGCTTGAATATGTTGCTGATCACACTGCCCCGCACTGCTTCACCCTCTTAGCCTCTCCTCTTCCTCGGAGCATACTTCGCCTACAGGCACATGCAGTAGATGGATTTTATTCATTCGCGATTCGTGGCACGCATGGGAAGCAAGGAGATACGTAAGGGGAGCGAAAGGACTCTGTTAGATCTGTCGAATTTGGCTCAAGGCGGGCTTCGGAGTGGCAGGCTGTCCACCTTCGATGGTTTCACCATCCGCTATCCCCTCGCCCGGCCCAGTCGTTGTGTTCTCCTATTCCTTCCTTGTCTTTCGCATATCTCTCCGTAGCAGTAGAGCCATCGACGCATATTCCCTGTTTTCCAGTGCATCAAACGACTGAATCGCCGGACAGTGATGAGCTTGCTCCTCCCCATGGCTCTGCTCTGCCCCGCCCGCCTGTCCCGGGCCATTGCCTCTCACGACCCGTCCACGGAAGGCCCCTTCTCACCGACTGCCACCTGCCAGAAGTCGCTACACCCAACGTTGGACAGCCACAGGCCCTTGAAAGACGGATTGGGATGCTAGCTGGGGGGACAGGAAAGGTGTGCGATGAGTGAGCTCAGACGGAAATGACGGTGATGCGCCCCGTCCCTGTCCCTGTACCTACATGACAGATCGCAGGACTTGTCATACGGGCGGCGAAGGTCCGCGGCTCGCAGCGGGAGACACGGAGATGCTTAGCTGGCTTCGGAGGGAGTGAGGTAGTGAGATTGAAGCTCTTCTGCTTCGTCTACGTCGCTCGCGAGATGTTCAGACGTGCGGACAAAGGCGACATGCATGGAAGCAGACTACATGGCTGGCTGAGATGTTTTGTATTTCCTCTACCCGTCTGTGCAGTGCAATGAGTATCGCAAGGCTGCAACCTACTGACGGAAGCGAAATGATGTGGTGTGATGTGTGAAGAAGTACATGGGTCGAAAAGGTGAGACAAGGACAAAGACGCGACTGACAGGCCGAGAGTGGACCTTTAGACCTTGAAACCCCTGGACTTCCTTCGTCCACGACCCTCCTCGAACTTCCTTCCGGTGCTGCGAACGTAAGGCTTCTTGTTCTTGTGGGGACCGAAGCCAAAGTGCCTGACGGACTCCCTGGCGTTCTTGGGACCACGGAGCAGGACAGTGTTGGATCCCTTGGGCGATCGGAGGGCCAGCTGGTCGAGCAGCAGAGCCTCACCACCGGCGGCCTCGATCCTCTCCTTGGCAGTCTGGGTGAATCGGAGGGCAGCAACGGAGAGCTTGGGCAGCGAGGTCAATCGGTTGTCATCGGTGATGGTACCGACGACGACGATGGTCTTGGGTGCCTCGGAGCCCTTGGCAACACCACCGCTGTTCTTGGAGAGGTAGACCAATCGAGAGACCGAGACGGGAGGTCGGTTGATCTTGCTCATAAACAGTCGGCGGAGGACGACCTTGTTGAAGCGAGAGTCAGTTCGTCGAGCCAAGAATCGGTAGAGCTATTGAGACAAAGATGGAGAGGTGACTGTCAGCATGTGTGCTTGAGACAGGAAGATCGGATGGCCGCCTTGACGACCGCATCTCGCAGATTCCACGTCCTGCATTGGCCTCTGTTTGAGAACTGCCGCAATCGTCCACCCGCTGATCCTCTTCCCATCCGGCAGCCATCTTGACACCCTCTGCTGTCGCTCCATGTTCTGTCACCATCGCGGCGGGCTTCCATCATGTGTCCCCCCTCAAAGTCTTCCTCCAACTCAATGCCGTCTCGTCTGCAATTGCTTCCACAACAATCGCCTTAAATCTTCCCGCTCCTGAAGTTTGCCCATATGCTAGCAGGTCCGGGGGCGATGCTCACCTTGACGAGCAGGAGGAGGTAAGGGTCCTCGCTCTTGGGGGCCGTACGGCGTCCGTTCTTGACGTGGTGCTTCTTGATGTCGATACCCCTGTGAGGATGAAGAGAATAGCAGGAGGGATGCCGCTTGTTCAGCGACTACTTCTCACCATATGACCAATGTTGTCCTATCCAAGCTTTCTCCCTCCTTGGCCTGCCCATTGTCTATCCTGCCTGCGATCTCCGATGCTCACATCTTCTTCTATTGATTGGCAGCGATGAGGATGAAGCGGTGGGGGGAAACAAAGCAAGGCGGTGAGCAGCGAGTCCTGTATATGCGATGCCTCGGCTGACAGCAACGTCGAAGTGATGCTCACGAAGGTTGTAGGAGGTGGTGTGAGGGGTGACAGGTGTGAAGCGAGAGCCGTGGGCAAAATTCGAGGTTGGAGCGTCCAGCGCTGGGCGGCGGCGGGCAGCGGGGGCGAGGGCTTGGGCGGTGGCTGGAACAGTGCGCGCCAGAGCGGAACCGCAGAAGGGAAGGCGCCCCGCCCAGCCAGAGCGGCGCTTGGCCCTGCTTGGCCCGCATCACGAGCGCAGCGCCGCGAAGGAAAGGGACCCACGCAGAGGCAGAGAGGCAGGGGCAGCAGAACAGCCCACCAGCCCGCACTCGCAGCACTGGCTCACAAATTTCAACTTGGCCCTGGACTCGCCCCTCTCCCCTTCCCTTCCATCACCACCTCCTCCTCCCACAAAACAAGACAAGATGTCGTCGAAGATCCAAGTGTCTAGCGTGCGACAAAACATCCAGAGCCTGCTCAAGGCTTCTGAGGAGAAGCACCGAAACTTCAACGAGACCGTAGAGCTCCAGATCGGTCTCAAGAACTACGACCCTCAGCGTGACAAGCGTTTCTCGGGTACCGTCAAGCTCCCCCACATCCCCCGCCCTCGCATGTCCCTCTGCATTCTTGCCGATGCCGCCGACGTTGACCGAGCCAAGCTCATCGAGCTCGAGTTCATGACCGTCGAGGACTTGAAGAAGCTCAACAAGAACAAGAAGCTCGTCAAGAAGCTCGCCAAGAAGTACGATGCTTTCCTCGCTTCCGAGGCCCTCATCAAGCAGATTCCTCGTCTCCTTGGCCCCGGTCTCTCCAAGGCTGGAAAGTTCCCTTCGCCCGTCTCCCACGCCGATGACCTCGAGAAGAAGGTCAACGAGGTCAAGAGCACCCTCAAGTTCCAGCTGAAGAAGGTCCTGTGTCTCGGTGTCGCCATCGGCCACGTCCAGATGACCGACGATGCCCTGCTCGCCAACACCATGCTGGCCATCAACTTCCTCATCTCCCTGCTGAAGAAGAACTGGCAGAACGTCAAGTCGCTCCACATCAAGAGCACCATGGGCAAGCCAGTCCGAGTCTACTAAGCTACTCGCTTGGTTTCTCTACCTTTGTGTCCGTTGAAGGCATCGACAGTATTCTCGATCAAAACATGGCCGTCGCACGCTATACCCAGCCACTTCTTTGCTGAAGGTTCGGTGAGGGGAGCTCGATCATCTGTCGCCTCCAAAACCGCCCCCTCGTTCCTCATGTCACTTGGTTGTATGCATTCAATTCAAATGATATGATGAGGGCCAACATTCGTCTGTGTGTGGAACGTCTGTACTGACTGGGTGTAGAGTGGTGTAGAGAATCGGTTTGTCCAGCGACCGACTTGAGGTACGTCGGGATGCGATGAGCTTAATCACCTGTCAATGCCCTCGAGGTGTCGTTAAATGCTGTGCTTCCTAGCGTGACAGTCCGTTTCACCTCGTTGCCTACTATCAGCTACTTGTCCGCTCATTGGCTTCTTCGAAAGTTCGCTAGAAAGGCTTGGTACACTCTTGTACATTGCAGAAGATGTGATGCCTCTATGGAGAATGTCATTCGAGGCCGCCACGCCGCTTTGACCCCCTTCCGTCACCCTTTCACAAGAGCCCGTAATGCTTCTCTCCCGCATCCCGTCGCCTGCTTGCGGGCCGCGCTGCAGCTATAGAGTAGCGAAGACTGCGTTTCAAGATGAGCGCAGAGTCTTGAGCGCAAGTGACACTCCAACCATCACTTGCTCAAATGAGTGGTGCCTGACCGGCACGAGTCTGAAGGGCGGAGAAGCCAGATGCTTTTGCACCCCACGTTGTGCAACACGGACCTCCTTCTGCTGATCAGAGCTTCTCAAGACGTATAATTGCGAGCCGTGGGTCTTGGCTGTACCTTGAGTGACATCTCTGGGGAAGTTTCTTTCCCCGCAGGTCGATTCTGACGACTGTCCATGATTGCTGCTTCTCATAAGGAGCGAATGCTCGACGTACCCTGACCTACTTATTTCTCCATCAGCAGCACTCAATATTTGTCGTACAACATCATGGCTACAGTCCGGAGCGTGCCTCATCTCCCTTCTCCCCTCTTCCAGCGCAGATCCGAGAACCGCGCCAAGCCGCTCCAGCTTCCTCATCGAGTATCGGGACCCAGCGACTCGGGTGGCTCAGCTAGCAGTAGCGATCGATTCATACCTCCGAGCACCAACGATAGAGCGAATGACCACAGCTCTACTCTTCCTTCGGAAGACGCCGCAGACGGAGTGAGTAGCTCATGAAGTATGTTGCGGTACGCACCAGACACCATCTTACTGACCACGTCTATGACCAAAACAGGCGGCACACGACTTCCGTCCGCAGCCCTGTGTCGAACCTCTCTGCATCGATGATCTCTTCCTCAAATTGTCGATTGCTCCACCACGTTGTGAGGACGCAGCACATGTTTCCACTGCTCCAAACAAAGAACGTCGAATCTCTCCTACTGCTTCAGCAAGCTCCAGCACAGACTCGCTGTGGGGCACACCTATCGATGCGACGGCCATCAGACTGGGCCTCGTTAGTCCTTCGGGCGGTCGAACTCCTGTTGTATCTCCTCACCCTGGCCCTAGCGGCGACGCCTGCCCTTCGCCAACTGAGCGGTGCAGCACTCCCACCATCTCTTCAAGCCGCAAAGACCCTGCTTCCCTCTCTACCGCAACGCCTTCACTGCTCGCGGTGGAAACGTCTAGAGCTGTGATGCTCCACACGGCAGAGTCGTGTCTTACTTCGGCCAGTAGTGCTCTGGAGAACGATTGCAGGTCTAGACAGCTGGACTCACCCTCTCGGGAGCCTGCACAGGTCTGCAGCGGGAGACGCTCCTCGATGTGACCCTGAAGTAGGGGAGCTGATGGGACAATGACGCTCGTGAATCAGCAACAAGTGCTATTCTAGCAGACGACCACGACCTGATCTCTGGGACAGAGGCCGTCAATATCTCGTATGTCGGACGTACACTCCCACTTGCAATGCAGCTCTTTTCGATAAATGGCACGAGCAGGACTCGCACCCGAAGAGGAGCAAAAGCGGTGGATGGAAAGCTTCCAGCTAGCTCGTGCGGCCTACCTTCTTGCTGAGCCAAGTAGATGACCCGTCGCTGTCAGCTTCCCTTCTAGAACGAAACATGCCCATTCAGGGTCTTGGCGGCGCAGCAATCCCGGGCTTTGATGCGAGAAGAGAGGCGTCAGCATTACCTTGAGGAGTATCAAGGAGGGTTGAGGGTCCTACTTGATGTTGATGAATGCTGTGAAGGCTTCGTTGATCTCCGCCAGGTTTCATTCGGCGATTGTCCCTTTGACCGTTGCTTCCTCGTCCTTCGCCCCATGCGATTTGGATCCTTCCTCGCCTGCGTGACCTATGTATTGCTTACGCGAAGTGAACCTACAGATGATGTTTCTCGCTCCTCCCTTTGTACCACATGCAAGACCTGTTTCCGCTTCCACGCCACAGCGGTACCGCCTTGGAGAAGCCACCTGCATACTTGGGGTAAAGGGTCCGACATCTCGAACCCTGTTTGGCCGCTGCGAGTGATCAGACGAGGCTTGAAGCTAAGAGGGTTCAGGGAATACCGAGGGCACCCTAGTGCACTGGCCCAGTCGTCGGGCATGTCGCAGCACGTTGAGACGGGGTAAAATGTTCGGACCTTTGTTCACAGAAGCTGCATGAGGGGAAAGGGGAAGGCGGGGAACGAGGGGTGATACAAGGTTCCCTGCAGTGGCACGGCGACCCCTGGCCCAGTGGTGCAGAAGGACCCTTGCCTATCCTTTCCGCGGTGCGGCCGGCATTTGATCGGGACAGCCACGCATGCGCCACGCCACGTCAAGAGGGGGAAGCGTGGGAAGACTCCTTGGCCCAGACTCCAGACTCAGGTAAAGGTGAGGATGACAGCAAGAAAGGTCACCAACTTCTCAGACAGAAGAGCAATATAGCGGTCGTGACCTTCTCACATGCAATAGGGTCCTGCCCATTGCTATGCACGTTTTGTGTAAAGGTGTGCGTGCGTGATCGGGAGGGTGGTGGTGCCTGTGCTCGGGAGATGACCCTGACTGGCGAATTAAAGCTCACCCGGAAGTGAGGCGTGTGGCGGGGCGGTCTTCTGCAAGGGCCTCGATCGTCCAGGCGCATCGGCGGTCGGGGTGCTTGCGCGTCTGAAGGGTGTCATGGCTCTAGACCGGCTCTAAATAGAATTGCTGCCAGCCCTCTCCAGGCATCTCGCCAGAGTGCGCTCAAAGAAAGTGCCCGGCCCAAGGCAAGGCGCGGGAAGCCAAAAAAGGGGCCGACCAGACTCTTCCAGTGCCGGAACTACCGCGGCAGCGGTCATGGATGACAGTGGCCCTTCTGTCCCACTGGAAGCAAAAGGGTCCCACCAGCACCCAGCTCCGTGTAGACCCTGATGCCCAGCTGACCCCTCTCCTTAATCTCCTTCTCTTCCCACGACCATTACCTCCATACTCTGGACCCTGAAACTCTCCCTTTCCATACCATACTAGCCACTGCTCAGAGCACCCACTTTGGCCACGTTCTCGTCCTTTGCACGTCTCCCATCGCATACACCCATCGACTCACCCTTCGGAGTCGATAACTTCCGGCTCGCACGACACATGCACCGAGAAAGTCTTCGGAAGCAAATCACGTCCTTCACACCAAGTACTTCGCTGCTCCGCGTTCACCTTCAAGAAGCACACGTCTCTTCGTTCCTACGGAAGTCATGAGCTTTCACCTTCCTTCTGCCGCTTCGCGCGGCATGGTCTCCATCCTCAATGATGGACAGGAAAGCAAGGCTCGACACACTCTGCCCGCGATCAGTACCGTGCCGTGCGACTCTCCCACGGAGCAGAGTCCAGCCTCTCGCCCCGCAATGCTACCCGCACCCAAAGTCAACGATGTCATGAACAACAGCTACTCTTCGGTGTCGTCCTCTGCGACGCAGAGCAGCAGCATCTCAGGCAACTCCACCGATGCTACATCCCCCGAGCCCTCCCCTCAGCCCTCGGCACATAGGAGCAAGGAACTCGACGCTGCACAAGACCCCGCAGACCAAGAGCAATCGCCCAATCCACCGGACTTCGCAGCTGCGCGCCTGCCGATGTCCAAGGCCACAGCACCGGCAGTCGGGGACATGGACATGGACACTACGCCTGACCATCTATCGTACCCAAGCGTCGAAGGATCAGATATTGCCTCGTCTTCCTCTTTGACCCGGCAACAATCCATGGCAGACAGCAGCGGAAGCAATAGTCCCAGTGGCACCAAGAAGCGCTACCCATGCACTCATCCCGGCTGCGACAAGACCTTCTCCACTAGTGGCCACGCAGCGCGTCACAACCGCATCCATACAGGTCAGAAGCCTTACCGATGCATGTTTCCCGGATGCAAAGCGACTTTCTCTCGTCAAGACAATGCACTGGCTCACTTCAGAACTGGCCACGCCCTGACCAAACAGCGCGTCATCGGAGACTCTGAAGATTCTCAAGCCGATGCGACAGGTGCCCTCGCCGGAGGGACTCTAGCCGACCCTGATCAGCAGGCTGCCGTTGAGCTGGGACGAAAGGCCCTTGAAGAAGGGACCGCCATTGCTGTCGTCCGTGAAGGCAAGGTGGAGAGGACAGTGGGACTTCCTCATGCGCCGAAGCGAATGGGTTCAAGCCTGCGTGAGAGAAAGTCTTCCGAGGCCTTGGTTCAACACGCTGAAGTGGCGGATCCCTTGTCGAACAGTTTTCATGAGCACACAGGTCCACGTCTGGGCCACACGCCCGCCTCCGAGTACGCACAAAGCCGGACTGCATTCGCCAACGTTGATGCCCGTCAGCGTGCTCACGGCCCGCAGGACATGCGCAGCTACCACGGAGGCCCCGCCAGCGCCAGCAGCAGTAGCACTGCCTCCTCTTCCCGCATGCACCCTTACCACTCTGCCGCTCCCATTAGCCACCGAACCTCATATCCCAATATGAGTGAGCAAGGGCTCGATGTGCCCACGAAGAGGCCTACGTCCTCAACAGAGAGGAGCTTTGGCTCGGGTGGCTACTTTCCTCTGCAGCCTGCCCGCTCTGGCGTACGAAACGACGATGCAGCCAAGCGGAGTGCGTCGCAGTCCGGTTATACGATGGGCGCTCCGTCAAGCACCTCAAGCGGTCTCAGAAGAGGCTCGGGAGCGCTCCTCAGCATGGGAGGTGCAATCTCTCCGCCCATTGCCTCCTTCTACCATCATTACCCTCCCGCACCTTCCTCACCCGGCGCATCATCGGTCTCTTCCACGTCATCACTACGCGGCCACTTGCCCAGCCTACGTCTAGACAGTGTCGGTTCAAACGTGCGTGCCCAGCGAGCTCTCCCAGCCTGGAATAGCAGCAGCCAGCAACAGCAACCGCGACAGCAACGCAATTCCTTGACAGACTGCCTGCGCGGCACCAGTACTGGTAATAGGCCGGGTGAGGTCGAGGGCGGACCCTCCATCTCGCCACCCTCTACGCGTCCCCAGTCGGCCTCGTCATCGTCTCACAGTCCCTTCGCCGCCTCCGGGCTCCTTCACCTACCTGAGCTTGGGCAGTCATCGGCACGCAAATTTCAGTTGCCCCTCTCTTCAGACCGAACTGGGGCGGTCGGTGGTGGCTACAGCGTATCTTCGATGCGTCACAGCCCTGACGGCAGCGACGCGTTGAAGCTGCCCCCTCTCAAGTTCTCTGCTTAGGTGCGGTCGAAAGCGCGTGTGTCCTGTCTTTCCATGTAACCCCTCTTGTCATGTCATTTGCTAGAACCCTTCATGATGCCCTCGTGTAAACGACTACCCTATATCGTATTGCTTCTGCCATGCTCTTGCCATGCAACCTCATACCATAGCGTTTAGGAATACAACTATGATATCCATGATGATTGTGTGTCCTTGTCGCGCAGAGCCGAACGAATGCTTTTCGGTTGTCAACGAGTCCATCCTCTGGTGTCTACTGAGCGCACTGGATCGGTAATCACGACCCGCTTTGCTCTTTGCTCCGTGTTTGAGAAGCTGATGCGCCCCCTCATTCCAAAGTGACAACACACAAGGTGCTTGGCGGCTTCTCACCACTCACGCCTTCTCCTCGGAGCCACTCCCTCATGTGATAACACTTCCAAGGATGGCATCTTCACTCCCGCCAGAGACGCCAACCCGCGCTCTCCTCAAACGTCTCCACAGGCGCTCCTCCGTCCTCCCGACCTCCTCTTCGAGCAACTGTCTCGACCAGTCGCCCTCCTTGCTAGGTCCACCCACAGAGCATTCTGCTCCACCTGCCGATCGGGTTGGCGACAGCACAGAACAGGATGACAGCGACGACACGCACTGCGCTGACGATGTACCAGCAGGGAACCGCTCAATCATCACAATCGAAGAGTCGACTCTGAGTCAGCAAGACTCTCGAATTCGTCAGCTACAATGGCAGGTAGAAGAGCTGCAGATGCAGAAGCAAGAGGTGGAAGCGGAATTGAGGAAGAGCAAGAAGAAGGCTAGAGAGGGGGTGACTTGGGATACTGCACGGAAGCTGGAGCGTGAATTCGAGGCTCAGGAGATGGTCAGTGAGAAGTGTGATCCATTGTCCGACATGACTCGAGGCAGGCTGACTCCTCGCTCGTTCTCGCTTCCAGATACTCAAAGGTCTACAGCGAGACAACGAGCGTCGCACAATCGAGTCGGAGCGCCTCCATCGCAAGCTACGTACCATGTCAGACTTTCTGCAGCAACATCACGGCGATGGTTGGCATGGGCTCGTCTTCGGCGGTCGAATCGACAAGACCTCCCTGGAATGTGGTCCTTCACCCCTTTCGCAGAGAGCACAGGGCTCTCGCTTGACCGAAGTCTCGTCTAGCGACCAAGCATCGGCCTCCGCAAACATGTCCACCGCTTCGTTGTCATCAGGCCCTTTGCCTGGGCAATGGCTGTCACCGGCTCAGACTCAGAGTAAGACTGAGCTCAGCAGGGACTCGCTCAGTGTAATGGGCACCCCAGAAGCTCCTCAACCGAGATCCACGCTCCAGAGTGCCTCGACCGAAGAAGGCAACATGACGGCGATAGATGCGAGTCGCTGGGCGGATGCGGAGGCCAGCTTCGATACTACCTATGCTGATTGCAGTCATACCACCAGCGGCAATACGAACACCGGCGATGCGTCCGAAGAGGCGAGCCACAACGACTCTACGCAGTGCCTCTTAGCCAGCGAACGCGAGCGGCCCACCATTGAGGAATCCGTCGACGAAATAGAAGCATTGCAACGGCCTACAAAAGCAGCTGTACCGGCCAAAGATCAAGAGATCCAGGACATTAGCCAGATCTTGGCAGCAGCATCATTGCAAGAGCCTTCACAGCCGAGCATTCAGCAATCCCATGAGACACCGTCGCGCAGGGCCTCTCTGCATCAGCACCAAGCGCTCCGAGCACAGCTGGAAGAGACGAGACTGCTCCTCGAAGGCTTTGCAAGAAGAAGCGCCCGGCGCGAGATGGAGCTTATAGAGATGCAAGAGCGAGCAAGGAATGACCTAGAAAGGGGCCGGGAGGCACTAGAGGGGGTAGCGGAGCGAATATTGTGCGTAGGACCTCCGTGAGCCGGGGCAGTCTTCGTTTGCGGCCATGAACACGGATGAGCTGGCAGAATTTCGCATACCACGGGCGCGCTCTACCCATCCCATAGATCCGACGAGACAGTACAAAGCACGGAGCTGGTTGGACCAGGTCACCCATCTTGCCGGTCTGCTCCGTCCAGGATATATTTTCACGCTATTTGCGGAGTGGTTCTGAGTGACATTGCCGAGGCCCTCGGAGCAACGCGGCGCGAAATTGCGTGGCTCACCTGTCTGTGCCTTGCCCCGCACCCGCACTTTGCTCATTCACCCCCTTCCGCCTGGATTCCGTCCGGTAGTCGGCCCAGATTCTCAGAGCCGTGGCGCTGATCCACCCCCGCAATACTCCCTCAACCAACCAACCAACCCGAAATCACAATCACCAGCCCCTATTCACTCTCCTTGTTACCCTTCCGCACACGGCCACCATACGCACTCCCCTCCTTGGTCATACTTCCTTCGCGGCGGGCTCGGCCGTGAAGCACTCATCACCCCTTGAGCAACGTACCCCCACCGGCACTCCCGAGCCTGGTCACGATTGCGCATCGGCAATCTCCAAACTCCAGTAGCCATCCAAAGAAGTGCCGGGAGTAGGCTCCTACACACCGTTGCTGTCTCCATAGAAAGGCCAGCCGATTCAGACACAAGTGGTGTCGCCTTGCCAACGCGCTAGACCCACCTCTGGCAAGGCCCAATCCGGACACCACCATCGCACGCTCCCTACATCATACTCTATCTGGGCCTCCCACCGGAATCATCCACCACATCCTCGTCACGGCCCGACCGTATACACTACTCCGTGATGGCTCTTAACCTCGATGATCTCATAGGCTCCATGCAGTCCGTCCATGCAGGCGATCGCGGACAAGGTATCGAGGAGATCCGAGAGAACCTCCGGCTGACACTTGGTCAGTCGGCCATGGGACCTCTTCAAGTCGAGGGCTACTCGTCGGCATCGGGAAGTGGCGCCATGAGAATCAATGGGAGATACGGAAGATACGACACTGGTGCTTCGGGCAGTGGTAGCAGTGCAGCGGGCACCGCCAAGAAGAGGCGCATGCTCAATCGCAACGGCTATCCTCAGCCACATCACCATGCTCACCCTCCAGCTTTGCATATGAGGCAGCGTCCGCACTACAGCTCCCCTTCCCACTCTCGTAGCAGGGAAAGGGCGCGAGGAGGATCAGGTCTCGCCTTCAAAGACTCGATTGAAGGCCAGCATTCTGATTTGATAGACGGAGGAGAGGATGCAGTTGGAGACTCAACGATGACTGGCGAGGACGGCGCCGGCACATCCTACTTCAGTGGCAGCATCAACAGAAACTCAAATTACCACTTGAGCAACAGCGGTGGAGACTATAGCATACCTTATCCATCGCCTGTCAACGGACTCACCTCAACACACACGCAACGCCTTCCATCGGGTGCGGCGTCTGCAGCAGACATGGCACTGTCGCCCGCCACATCATCGTACCCGAGGAGCTACACCTCCAACACGTCCTCTAGTGGCGCTGGCCCTTCTTCCTTTGCATCCACATCCGCATCATCGCATTCAGCAGCTGGCTCCTCGGGCTTCTATGGGATTGGCAACGGAGCAGCGCCACCTGCAAATACACCACAGCAGACGCCGAGTGACAGAGATGACACTGCTCTGCTCCACCGAGTCGCCAGACCAGACGGTCGTGGAGAGGATCTGATTTGGGAGGGAAGTGAAGATGTCGAGGGTGAGGCTGCAGTGGGCGCATCAGCCGTCTCGGACATCGATGTCCTTGACGAAGAGGAGCCAGGACCTGTGTCGAAGTACCTGGCATCTCCCCCGAATGAGGCAAGGGGCAGTGGAGGTAGCTCATCAGGAGGGTATGATCTCTCGCGACCTGCTTCCAGTAGTCCCAAGAAGCTAGTCAATGGCTTCACGCCTACGCTTCTGTCTTAGGCGTACCCCCATCTGCCTGTCTCCCTGAAGTCCGCTTACGTGATGCGTCCCGCTCTCTTACCAGCGACATCCCTTAGAATCAGCGCCTTCACTGCCTTCACCTCGATATTGTACTATTGTCCCAGCCATGTCAATTTCACTCATACTAGCCCTTGCCTTGGCCTATTGCGATGCACTTGCTTTGCCAGGCTCGCAACAGGCATCGCGTGTAGTGTAGCGTAGCATCCGGCTTCCGGTAGAGAGAGGCACAGGCCGGTCCCGTAGCGGGGGCCGTGCACTTCCGATCTCCAGATTCCCATGCTCTGTTCTCGCCTCATCTCTTCTGCTTCTCCGTACCAAGTTTGTTTCTACCTGCCCGAACACAGACAATCATGACTGCCTCCTCCTCTTCTTCTTCCTCATACCCACGGCCATACCCGACGCTCAATCCTCCGCCGTCAGACTTTGCCGTCAAGCTAGAAGCGCCTGGCGTGCTGCACGTCTCCCTCTCGCGGGGCAAGCTGAACCCATGGAGCCACACCATGACTTTGGAGATGCGTCGTATCTTTGACACACTTGCCACCGACCCACTGGTAGACGTAGTAGTGCTCAGTGGAGAGGGACGCGCATTCTGTGCTGGGCTCGATGTGGGGAGCTCTCAATTGGCCGATCTGGCTTCAGGTGGGGGTTCGTCCTCTACAGCTGGCGTAGATGAGGGGGAGGAGCCCGCCCAGCCTGATCCAGCAAGGATTGCTTTTGGCCTAAAGCAGCACATTGATGAGTTTCAAGCCAGCTTGACCAGTATGGAGAAGTGCATGAAGCCCGTCATTAGCGCCGTGCATGGAATCGTCTTTGGTCTGGGCGTGGACCTCATGTGTGCCACTGACATCCGGTATGCGGACGAAGAGAGTCGCTTCTGTATCAAAGTGAGTGGAGCAATGGCAAGAAACGGAAGGTCAACAAGCCTAATTCGTATACGAACAGGTCTGACGCATCCACTGGTCTCTCTGTTCCACGACTCGCCCCTGGCTATTAGGAGGTCGACATCGGCCTCTGCGCCGACATTGGCTCTCTGCAGCGTTTCCCCAAGATCGTAGGTAACGATTCCATCGCCCGCGAGCTAGCCATGACTGCCCGTGAGTTTGGAAGTGAAGAAGCTCTACGCATCGGCTTCTTGAGCAAGGTCACAAAGGGAGGGAGAGAAGGAGCCGTCGGTAAGTCTATACAGCGCAAAGAAGGGCGACGGTGAGTAAGGCATCTGACACCTTTCCCTTTCCCTTTCTCCGTCCCCTTTGTGAACATCTAGCCGCTGCGCTAGCCACAGCTGCCCTTCTGGTGACCAAATCTCCCGTCGCTCTCCGCTCTACCAAGCAGGTCATGCTCCACGCCCGAGACCACTCCGTGGCCGAAGGACTGGACTATGTCTCCACGTGGAATTCGGCCATGCTCCAAAGTCGCGATATTCCAAAGGCTATGGCGGGCGCGCTGAGCAAGCAGAAGATTAGGTTTTCCAGACTGTGAATGCAGGATCTCCTCTGTGTTGAGTACGGTCAGCTGATTAGGCGCAGGAGGGATGGAGAAGGGGAGAAAGAACCTTTCTATACTTTGGCTGTGTGGGTCTTGCATGCAGGCAACGTTGTGTATGATATGAGATGCTATGTGCGATCCCTATGCTTGCTTTGCTTCGGGTGAACGCTATGCAACAAGTGGTTCCATCCTTGAGGACCTGACTTCGACCTATGGTATGCCTCTGCGAAGTCCGACTCCCGTTGCTCCTCACACAGGGGTGCGCCTGTCCGTCCCACTACCCTTCCGTCCCTCGCCCACCGCTCCTCCCTTTCCTATCGCTTCTGATCAACGCTGGATGGCCTTGTAGATTGGGTTCTTCTTCTCATGCACCTGTGGTTGACCCTCTGGCGCGCCGGGAATCTCCTTCTTGAGACCCTATAATGTGGAAAGAAGCAGCAATGGAGCAAAGCAGGAAGATTCGAGGTCAGCCCATTGCACTCACAGACGGAGAGAAGCAGTCCGTAGATATATGACAACTCACCAGCTTGCTGAAGACGCAGTCGTTGAAAGTCTTTTCGGGTTTACGGCAGAGGTACAGCTCCTGTGGCAGGTATGGTTCATAGGGTATTGAGCAGGCTAGTTACGAAGAGGCTACCACCCACGCCGGAATGCGGCTTTCCTTGCCTTGCACGAGGTCACTCACTTGGTTGTTCCTCTCCAGACATTGCCAGTGGGCCTCCCACTCCTTTCCACAGCTCTCGTTAAGCTTGCGGATCCTGGCAAGGAGACGAGGTAGGGGAAGACGTTCGCGTTCAGTCAGTCACTGGTCGAAAGATGCGACGAGCTCTTCGCCTGCCGCTGCTAGCTTATCATCTCCGAGAGATCCCTTTCTCGCAGCTAGTCAAGCTCCTCGTACGATTGTCTGTCCCTTGAGCTCGCTTCTGCCCTTCCCCCTTCCAAGGCACAAAAGCCCTCGCTGCTGTCCGCGTCTGGCTTTCTGGACTCACATCTCCTGTGCACATCGCGTCACCCTCCTTCCCTCCTTCAAGCAATGTTCCGGATCCCTGCTCTCTGCCTTGCACAGCATAAAGTCTTCATTGTACTTTTTGCAGTCTCCACCACCGATGAAGAAGGCAGCAGACTTGAGAGGTGCCGATGTGGTACCAATCTCCTCTACTTTTGGCTGCGAAGAGGGGGCGGGGGCTGGGTCGATGTAGAGCGTCGAGGGGAGGCGGGCGTCTCTGTGTGTTGCCATGACGGGCGTGTGGGTCGAGAGCGGTACAAGGGAGAGGGGCAAGGCGGGCGTAGCGAATACGAGGTGACGAGGTGGTGGGACCAGGAAGATCAGATCGGTCGTTGGCCTGGATTGCCAATCCCCGTCGCTGCCTTGGCTCGGATCAAGGCCCTGCCCCGCCCGCCCGCCCGCCTCGGGGCGCGGAGCCGACGGGCACCCGCACTCACAAAAAGTCAAGGCCTCACTCACTCCCGCCAAAGGGAACAGCTAATTGGACATCTTCGCAGCGGATCACCATCGTCATCATCATCATCAGCAGCAGCAGCAGCATCGCCTTTTCTTACCGCCGCTGAATCACCCCGAACCTCACGCACACGCAGCAGTCTCACCATGTTCCCGTCTTCACTCCGCCAAGCCAAGGCCCTCCGCTTACCCCTCAACTCAAAGAAGGCCAACAAGGACTTCTACAAGGGCACTGGCACCGGCAACATTCTTCGTCGCAAGAGGATTGCCTCCATTGACAAGTTTGGGAACAGGCTAAAGGATGAGCATGGAAGACCTAGGGAGTGGACGTTGATGCAGAAACATATGGATGAGAGGAGATTGCCGAGCTATGTGGTACCACCGGGTTTGGCAGATACGACTGTGAGTGGCAGAAAGGAGTACAGAGGACAAACATCCGTGGTGTGCAGCAATGAATTGATTTTGACGCCCATCTACTTCACTATCTCTTCTCTCCCCTCATCCCCCTTCCCTCTCTCTGGTCCCGATGTCGTCCCACTCTCGCAGCTCAAACCCTATGTCCTAACAGCCTTCACAAATGCCGCCGCCTCGACCACCCGCTCCACGCCAGCAACAGAGCGAGTCCCTGCGCCTCCATCAGGCTACTCGGCACCGGCTCTAGCCTCAGCTTCAGCAGACGGTCAAGATACAGGGAACTTCAAGTTCCCGCCGGGTGGAATGACGGGAGAGACGTATACCAGGTTGCAGAGGGCTATTTGGGAGAGGAGGGTAATCGAGGCACCTGCTGGCGCTGAGGAGGTGGAGAAGAAGAAATAGTCCGGGCAGGAAAATAGAAGAAAGAGAGGTTGAGGACGGAGAAGGATTCACACTGATCCGCTGTATCATAGCTATCCAATCAGCAAGATCATGACATTGACGCAGTACGCGTGCTCACACCATAGAGCGAAGGGACATGGGAAACGCTTTCCCTGGTATTGACATTGCCCTTTACACCCACTCGAAATTCGGCTTCAAAATCGCCCCGCAAGACTCCTAGCCGCCTCGCTAGCGCTGATCCTCCCTCTGCCCCTCATGGCAGCACCGCCTCCTCTAGACGATCCAAAGCCTGCATCGGATCGGGAGAGGAAACCGCTTCCGCCCATGGGACCACCCTCTGCACCTCCTGCTGGTTGCTGCTGCTGCTGCTGCTGGTGCTGATGTTGACTGGGTGAAGGCTGATAGAGGCTCTGCGTCATATTCGAGCCTGCCCCAGGCTGAGACCAGACCGGGGCAGCATTTGGTAGAGGACTCGGGCTAGCGCCGTTCCCCTGACTGAATCGCTGCGACGACTCGAAGCTCCCTTTTGTCCACGGGTTGCTCACCGGAGGTCTTGCAAGGGGTGGAGGAGCAGATGTGGGAGGTGGACTTTGCACTGGCAGACGAGATTCAGACTGCCTCGTCTGTGAGGGCTCTCTCGACACGCTCGAGCCAGCTCCTCTGCTTGCTGATGCTGTCCTGTCTGCATCTTCACCTGACCTGGCTCTGCCATGCAAGACTTCCTTGGTCTCTGGCAGTACCTTTGTCGGCAATCCAGCCTCTGGCTCGTCTCTTTCGCTTGGAATACCAGACTGTGCCAGTGCCTCGAAGGTTGTGTCTCCCACTTCGGTTTGAGCCTCTCTATCAGACTCGACAATTCCGTCACCTGTAGACTTGAGCGACGCAACGCTCTGCGAAGGTCCAGCCTCTTCTCCCACCTCCGTCTTCTTCGAGGCCTTCTGATCTCGTCGGAGATCGGCTCTCAGACCTTTCAGAGCCTGGATGTCCTTCTTCAGGTGGAAGACGGTCCCTCTTGCGTGGTCGACCAGGGCTGCTTGCAAGTCAGCATGAGCATTCCTGCTGTGATTCTTCAGACTGCCGTGCATGTTCTTGCTCAAGCGAGCTAGGTCCATCCGAAGGGCATTTGCATACCTTGATGCCTCTCCGTACTCTTCAATCGCAATCTCTATACGATCGCGAGAGATCCCTCCGGTACCCATTCGGGCCTTCAGACCCTCAATCTCGCGCTTCTTCAGCATGGTCCGTTTTGAGGCTTCATGATGTTCCTCTACAAGGGCGTTGCGAGCTAGCAGGGCCTCCTTGGCTGCACGAGCATTCGAAGACTGATACGTGAGTTGGTAGAGCAGCGTCATCGTCTCCGTGTGAGAGGTAGCTTGCTGAGTCAGATCAACAGCTGGAAGTCCATCTGCCAGCTTGCGAAGGTCATTCGGCAGGCCCAGCTCCGAGCTCAGCTGCCTAGTGTCCTCTACACCTGCCAAAGTGTGGAGTCTGTTGGACAAAGCCGATAGCTGGTCTGTGACTTTTCCTCTTGCTTCCACCACCTTGAATCCTTTACTGGCAGCTTCGCTGAATTGTAGCTCCAGCCTTGTCACCTCCATCCTAGCAGCCACAAGGTCTTCGTCTTCGTCGTGGACGTTGCGACTGAGACTCATGCCTTTGCCTCCGGCTACTGTGGAAGACGAGCTCTTGCTCCCTCCGAAGCCCAGGAATCCTCCGCCTCCAGTCCGGGTGGGCGCAGCGGGTGTGGACAAGACCCCACTAGGCAGGCCCAATCCTGCCCCAAGGTCAATGCTGATCCCACGCTCTACTGTTGCAGCATGGTCCATGACTGCCCTCCACCTCTTCTGCACCAGAATCGGGGCATAGTCGACGTGAGGCGGGATGGGATGGTAAGAGTAGTCCGCTTCGATGAAATTCCTAGTCTCTGGATGATCCCGATGGGCCGGCTCGGCTGCGAGCCGTGCGAACCATCTTGCGAGGGCCTGACAGAGTATGCGAGCTTCCGCTTGAGGCGGCGAGGGGAGAGCAGAGAAGGTTGGTGGTGGCAGAGGCAGTGAGGCGAGGATTTGAGAAGGTACGTGTACAGCAAGGGACAGGGCAAAGAAGGTCAATTCGCGATACGAGCGCAGGAAGGGTGGGTAGTGTGAATGGCGGAAGGGTGCGAGATTCGTCTGGGAGGATGATAGAGAAGGAAGAGGATCAGTCAGAGTCGTCGTCCGCCTCGAGATAAAGGGCTTGCGTTGGCGCTCCTGATACTCACTGCAGCATCCAGGCGTACATTGAGCTCCTTGCCCCTCTTTTCTACAGCCAGGACGCGTATCCTGAGCAGAGGCTCCCGCTGCGTTGGCTGTGCCTGTGATTGTGGAGGTGGCCGAGGCTGCTGTACTCCTACGCTTGGAGCTGAAGAAGAAGACGAAGAGGCGGCGGCGGCATTGGGCTGCTGTGGAACCTTGTCCTTGGCCTGAGCGGGCGGAGGCTGTGGTTGTTGCTTCTGATCATCGTCGTTACGAGGTGGTGAAGCAGAGGCGGCGGGAGGAGGCGACGTGGGCGCAGATTGGGCGCTAGACCCCGCAGCAGGTTGTCCCTCTTGCTCCTGCTGACCCTCCATGACAAGGTGAACGGATACGGCGAGGTGAGGTCCTGTATTAGCAGACAGTGGGTAGGACAAGGGGCGTGCAGTCAGTGCTTGCGTCCACGCGGGGGCGCGCGGAAAGAGAGTCACTCCGCTTCCTTCGATCGTGTTGGTCTCATCGTCATCGCCTGTTCTCACTCGCTACCATCCTACTACTTTCAGTCTGCTACCCTCGTCAGGCAGACAGTATTGTCCAGGATGGCCATCAGTCCCTCCTTCCACCGCTACAGCCTCTTCTCGTCTTTCCTCTTCCTCCTCGACCTCAAGGCGGGATGTACTATCCTGACCCTCTTCAATCTCTTCAATAAGAGTGCAGGCGTATTCGGTCTTCTGGCCATCTTCCAGGGAGGAACGCTGGCTCAGCTCACGCTGTATGCTTACAGCTTGGGTACAATCTTCATCAGTCTGTGGGGTCTACGAGGGATCAGTGAGGTCAGTATGGAGCATGCGTCCTCCCGGACTAGGCCTGCAGAACAGAGGACAGCTCCACTGATCAGCCCGAATACCTCATCACCTTGTCGCTGCAGGAGTCAGCCCCTACTGTCCTCTTGTATGCCCATATGTACTTGGCCGACCATCTCGTCTCATCTCTGTGGTCATTCTACTTCTTCCAGGTCGTCTACCACTACACCGAGCACAATGGCCAGCCGCCTGTGAGTAGATGTACTTTCCTGCCTCAATCTTGCAGGTCCCTTCTGATAGTCCCTCCTCGTTCGTTACCGACAGCCGCTCTCGAAATATCAAGAAGGACTCATGTCTCTGATTGAGTCGATTGAGTCCCAATACGAGACCAAGGGTGTTCATCATGTTCCGCTAGTAGGTGACGCGAGGGTGGAAGCAGCTCAGCAAGTATGGAGGGGCGAGAGCAATTTCTCGGGTACAGTCCTCATCATTGGCTGGTTCATCAAGGTGAGCACGGAGCAGTCTGAGTAACAACGCCCGCCCTTCACACCGCTGATCTCTAGTCCTTTCCATATGCCTTTGCAGATCTACTTTGCGCTCCTTCTATACTCTTACGCTCTCCATCTGCGTCACGGTACCTATCAATCACTACCCCTCTCCAAGCCTTCTGGCTCCACCACAGCAGAGAACCGCAATGGCTATCTGCCAGTACGGGCATCGATCACAATAGAGCGCGGCGAGGGCCGTACTACTGTTCCTTCGGGAGAGAGGACAGGACCAGCGAGGACCCTCGAAGACGAAGTGTTACCAGGCTGGAGCGATGATGAGCTATCCGATGACGAAGCCGGTGCTGGTGTTGGCAAGCCTGGCCGGAAATCTGGGGGAGGACAAGAGGGGAGAAGGACCGACAATAGCCAGTCTGCACGGAGCTAACGCTCACCGCTCGCGTTGCATCGAACGGGCTCTCGCCCCTGCAGGATCTGCCCCAGCGTTCGAGCCTGTCTTTGGGCTGTTCAAATTGGTCACGGTGGATCTCTCCGCGCTGTCCCGTCTGGCAAGCTTCGAGGTTGTCACGGTACCATCGCACGAATTGCTTCGATCTGAGAGGGTTTGCTGCGCCTTGCTTCGATCTGAGAGAGTTTGCCATGACAGACGATGCAAGCTCTCTCAGGCTCTACCGAATGAGATCGGCCACACAAGCAAGGAAATGACCATGGTATATTTCAGGAGCAAGGACAAGCAAGGACGCGCTCCGAGCTTCAAAGTGGGCAAGATACAAGAGGGGGCGACACGAGAGATGATGACAAGAGGATGCGGCCCTCGAATGCGAAGTGTCCTTTGTGATTCGAATCGAGAAGACCTGCAACCACTTTTGATGCCCTTTTTGCAGTGCAGGCCATCGAGGCACCGCGCTTGCTAGAGGAGGGAGGAGCGAGTCCGCACCGCGAGTGGAGTGCGGCTCACTATGTGCTGTTACGAGTGTATCCTCGAGAGAATGTCACGGTGACTTTGTTGACCGCGTCGCCCGTGTTGGTAGCAGTGGAAGCATCGGTAGCCTGGTAGAAGTAAGAGCAAGTGTAGGTAGTGGGCTTACCGCTCACCACTCCCCTCCAGATGTTGAAGAACTTGCACTTGCCACCAACAGGGTCTGCCTTGCGAGCATCGCACAGCTTGGCGCATTGGTTAGGGTCGTACTGAGTAATAAAGTCATATCCCATGTAGCCGACTGCCAACGAAGCGCTCGTGGCGGCGTCGAGGGGGCCAAATGTAAATGTGTAACCGGAAGGAGTGGTAGGAGCTGCAGCAGCACCTAGATAGAAGACGGCAGAGTTCTCAATGCAGTTGGCGGGGCTGTTGGGTCCATACAGCTGTTGGCCGCCTTTGTTGGTCATTTGAGACAGGGTGGGAACATCACCGTACAGAGCGCACTTTCGGTTAGACTTTTCTGAGAAGGTATGATCGAGGAGAGGGTTGCCGATCTCATTGTACATATTGGCAGCAACGCACTTCGAGACTGAAGAGCAGTAGGCCAAGCAGGCCTTCTTGGCAGTTGCGTAGGAAGTGGTGTTGGAGATGACCTTGTAAGTCAAGTAAGAAGGAGCTTGCAGAGCTGCGTTCTGATAGCGAGGATCGGTACCGTCGGTGAGGGTGACGTAGTCGTGTCGCTTTGTGATGATGTTGCCCAGATTGTATGCTGACTTGTAGGAGCGCTTGCTGCTCTCGCCCTCTGATCTGGAACTCACAACGTCGACGGTAGTGTCGGAGGTGTTGGTGGCGACTTCGGGAGTAGCGGGGGCTGCGTCAGGCCAGTCGTAAGGTGAAGGACCACCAGTCTGGTTGGTGGAAGCGACGGCGAGCATGATACGCTCATCGGCGGTGAGTATGCTAGTGCTGTCGTCAGCCTTGACGCCAGCAAGGCAGGCCATGGCAAGGCCGAGGAGAGTGAGAGAAAGCTTCATGATGTGAAAGAATGACGGTATAAAAGAGTGTGTAGTGTCAGAAGATGTTCAGGAACGAGGAGGGAAGAAGTGATGCGTGTCTCAGAAAAGAGGGGACTATGGTCTCGACTGGACGCTCTTATATGCCCTCACGGCTGCCGCCTCCAGCTAGCACAAATCAGATTCTCCTTGTTCTGCCCAGGTCATGTCTTGTCTGGATTGGAGCGCCCATAAAGGTGGCGCAGGCGGTCTCGGCAGTCTACAGCACATCTGTTTGTTTGTAGTCTTCTCTCGAGCCCTGATGCTTGGCTTGACATCGCCTTCTCTGCAAAGGCGTCTCCGTAAGCTGCCGGCCCTAGCGGCATACCTACGTCACTCTTGCTTGTTTGTAGTGCTCACGCCCATCCTGCCGCTCGCTTTGTCCCTTCTCTCTGCTAGACAAGGATGGCCACCGCGACCTTGGGGTACTGGCGTACATCTGCTTGTTTGTTATGCTCGCCCGGACCCCTCAATATTTGTCCTGCTTGGCATTGTCCCCGTAGGCGTCAAGGTGAGACAGGCAGATTGTGCCTTGTCCGCTGAATCTGACCGGTGTTGATGTCTCAGACCCTGACCAGGTCTATAGGAATGACCCGTTGTATACAGGTAGGCGAAGACGAAGCCGGCTGCAGTGACTGAGACATCGCCTTGCATCTGTTGATTGTACTGAGACTCTCTCTCTCGGCTGCGCTTACTAGCATGACCTCAGTCTGCAAGCTGGCTTGCTGATGAAGCGTTGCTCAGAACGCAGATCGATCGTCGCTGCTTACCATATTCTTCCGTCGGATACGATGCGAGCTGGGCTCCCTCGATGCCGGACTTATGCTGTTTTTGCAATTATTCTTACGCGAAACCATCCTCGCCGATCCAAGACGTTGCTGCATGGTGGCCCCAAGAGGCGGGGGTGGGAGGCTTCGCTGCAAGTCATGCAGGAGAAACATAGGGGCTGCGTCGGAGTTTGAGCGTCAGCATGGAAGGCTGTCCAGTCTCGTCTACGCGAAGCCACGCGAGGCAATCGATGCAGCAAACAAATGAATCGTCCAACTTGGCGCCTGTCTCACTTTGCTCTGCAGTCGGAGTCGGACTATGCACGACGCGTCGCCTGGTCCTTCCTTGCCTTGCTTGACTGTTCGCCCGCTGCAGGCCAAGGCTGCTCCTTTGTGCCTTTGCTTGCCCTTCGCTCACACCGCCCCGAGAGGGGCGAGGATCGCTTTCGTTGGGCAAGGACCGAGGACTTGCTGTGCTGGTAGCAGCGCCTGGTCCTTGCGTACAATGAGCGGTGATTTGAAGGGACTTACCATTCTGAATGCTTTCTTGCCGGTACGACCGGAAGATTGGAAACAGAGATGAGCCCATCAGCGTCTTCGAATTAGTGAAACACTACTTCGATTCAGAAGGGAAAGACACAGACAATCTGATTAAGAGAAAACGATGCAGCAAGGGTTGTGCAGATGAAGACACAGAAGAGGTACAGGTGACTTGGGAGAGATGGAAGACTACTGGACAATGACAAAGATGACCGGGGAAGAAGAGGCGGGAGCAGTACCAGCAATGGTCCGATGGTAAGCGCTCACACCGCCTACAGTGTTTTAGGTGACTGGCACATGCGAGTTGCGTCTCGAGGAACATGGTCGTTCCTTAGTTGAGAGAGTAACCGCGAGAGTAAGTGACAGTGACCTTGTTGACCGCGTCTCCGTAGTTGGTGGCAGTGGAGGCGTCGGTGGTGGCGTAGAAGTAGGAGCAAGTGTAGGTGGTGGGCTTGCCACCGACAACACCTCGCCAGATGTTGAAGAACTTGCACCTGCCGCCGACGGGGTCAGCTCCTCGAGCATCGCAGAGGTCAGCACACTGCTGGGGGCTGTACTGGGTGATGAAGTCGTAACCCATGTAACCCTTGGCGGGTCCAGCACTGGTGGCGCCCTTGAGGGGACCGAAGACGTTGGTGTAGCCTGATGGGGTAGCGGGCGTGTCGGCGGCGTAGAGGGAGAAGAGGGCCGAGTTCGTAATGTAGTTGGCAGGGCTGTTCTTGCCGTACAGCTGCTGACCACCCTTGTTGGTCATCTGCGACAGGGTGGGGATGTCTCCGTAGACGGCGCACTTCCTGTTGGACTTCTCGGAGAAGCTGTGCACGGGAGAACAATGAAGTTTGCAAAAGGGGAGGAGCTGTGTGAGTTGCGCTAAACGAATTATCGGACTGATCAATTGTACTTACACGTGGTCGAGGAGGGGGTTGCCGATCTCGTTGTACATGTTGGCCGAGACACAGCCCTTGACCGAGTCACAGTAAGCAAGGCAAGAGGCCTTGGCGGTGTCGTAGGAGGTGGTGTTGGAGATGACAGTGTAGGTCAGGTACGAGGGGGCCTGGAGAGCGGCGTTGGAGTACGCAGGGTCGGTGCCGTCAGTGAGAGTCCTGAACTCGTCTCGCTTGCTGATGACGTTGCCGAGGTTGTACAGCTCGGTCTTGACGGAGCGCTTCGACGCTTCATCGTCGGCGTCGGGGACGATGACGTTGACGGTCGAGTCAGAGGTGTTGGTAGCGATCTCGGCCTCGGCGGCCTCCATGTTGGGCCAGTCCCAAGGAGAGGGTCCGTCAGTCTGGTTAGTGGAGGCAACAGCCAGCATGACGAGCTCGTCGTCGCTGAGTCCGCTGAGGTCATCGGCCTTGACGCTGGAAGCGGCGGCGGCGGCCATGGCAAGGCCGAGGAAAGCAAGAGTGAGCTTCATAGTGATGTGGGTGAGGTTGGAAGTGGAGAGGAGGTTGAGAGAGAAGGAGAGGAGAGAGGTGTGATGATGGGAAGAGATATGGTTCGATGGTACAAGAATCGTTGTCTTATATACCTGTCTGGTCGACCCTGGAACCCCTGAGATGTTGGTATGGCGACGGAGAAGACTTGCTTGGCATGTCCCGTGCTGGTGGTTGCACCTCTTCCTCCGCCAATAGAAGCACTGCTGAGCTAACTACAACAATTTCAGCCGCGGATGCCTCGTAAAGGTCATTACTGTGACTACCTGACCACCACTACCCGTCGAAGGCGATGGGGCAGTCAGCTGTCCTTGTTTGCCAGGAGTGGTAAGCCACTGTCCCAAGGTGGCTTGCGACATATTAATGTGTACGAGGGAGCGAGAACGGACCAGTGGGAAGGCGGATGGCTTGCAGGTGCCGTGCCTGAGACCTCTGGAGCCCCGGGCACCACAGCAAGGGGGAGGGTTCACTTTATGCCTTCGGCTAATCCGGGAGGAGCTGCCGTACACTGGGTCCACACAAGTCGCCAGTGTAATGCAGGCAGCGGGAGTCTGCGCTCTTTCTCTGCATGGTCACTTGGCAAGAGACGGACCAATACTTTTCCTTCCCTGCAGATGCTTGGGGGCGCCACGATGGGTCCATGCGTGAGCAAAGTGCACGGCACGGTAGCCCATGGCTTTGGCTATGCCTTGCTCAGCAGCACTGTATGGAAGCGTCCGAGGTCCGAGGTGACTGGAAAAGAGGGTTGTAGCGCCGTCTTCTCTCCATAGGTGCGCAGCATCGCTTCCTCCTTGCCTTAATTGGCCATTGTTTGTCTTAAGTGCTTTGGGCACAAGCCACATGTCTTCCTCTTTGGCGGGGTTGTCTCATGCAGGGCGAGAATAGATTGGCGCCACTGATACGCCTCGCTTGTCTCAGATCGCGGGCGGAGTTGGCTGCCAGCTCCACAGCGGGCCCACGCGACGCCTCCGATGGCCACCGCCTCGGACATCTCTGCAGACAAGTCCGATCTGCGCGCACCCGAGCTCATCTTCGAGCGCGAGAGAAGACTTGGCGTGGAGACACCTCACTGGTTGGTAAGATCGGGCTCCGCGTATAGTGCTATGGACGGGGCTGGAGTCCATCGGGCGACGCATGGTAATTTTTGGGCTTCTGGTCCCAGGCATCAGGCATATTTTGCCAAAGGGGCCGAGAGTCTTCACGGTTCCTGCATAACAGTGCAAGAAGACCAAGGTGGAGGAGCAATGTGTCTATACGTCTGACAAGCCACCGCGCCACACGAGTAGGTTCATCGTCTTGGCGATGGGCAGGTATGAACCCAAATAGGTGCCAGGGTGCGGCCCATCGACGTCTAGCACCGGTCATGTGGTACTAATTTCGTGAGTCCGCTCTGAGCACCGCTCCCGCGGGCGTACTCGTATGGAAGCATCGGGTCCCAAAACACCTCCCGGCACGGCTTCGAAAGATTGAGGTGCCGTATCGGGACATGAAATTTGACCATGCCAGAAGCCACGACTTAGTCAACAAACAAGGGAGGTAAAGCTGAATGGCATCGGGAACTCAAGGAAAAGACGAGCACTCCGAGTACCGGAGCGTATCGGAGCAGCATTACCGTTGTCTGCTTCTTGCCTACCTCGCTGGGTACAATGGTCCAAATGAAAGGCTTCCTACGATATTGTAATGAATACAACACTGTATCGAACCAAGCTGTTGGCTCTACACTTTCCGACCTGAAAGTGGACCGCGATATACACTCCCTTTTCTTCTGCGTACCGGCTTTACGGTACATGGCTTCCGCCGCCGACCGTTACCTACCCGCAAGCGTGCAGCAAGCTTCTTTCTCCGCCCGCTCTCATACCCTTCTTCAATCAAAGCCAGCCAGGGAATCCACACAAATACACGCATGGAGAGGCTTGGCAGGTATGCATGATTCTCGGCTTATTGTGAGACACGGTGCAGACGGCGGGACTGCGTTCAAGCTTGCGCAAGGGGAAGCGGCATGGTTCCGAGGGATATCTCGACGCCCTTACGAGTCAAGTATGATCCTCTGGCTCATTCATGCTAGAGACCAGAAGACCTGCCGGCTGCACACCTTTACGCTTGTACCTGTGATGCAAGACTTCTGGCAAGCCTCTTGCCGCCAGGAGGGCATACATGATCATGCCCTGCAAGGCGAGCTTCTTACCCTTACGCTTAAGTCTACGATATAGTCATCCATCCGATGCCGGCTTCTGATAAATTGACAGGCCACCTCCGCTGTATCAGAGTCACACAGTCAGGTTCAGAGGGGAAAAAGTTGACCAAACCCCCTCACACAAATACATTGATCGGCCCCTCGACGGGAGTGCAGCGCAGCGATGCCGTGTGTGAATCTTTCTACACGCTCAAACAAACAAGACGAGCCGATTCCCTCTACCGAGACCGAAACCGAATCACACTGCTCGATGAATGTGGATGAACCTGCTCTCATATTGTGATATGGCGAGCAAGCAGATAGCTAAGACATACAAGCGTGCATGAATGAGCATGAATGGATGGATGTACTAACAAGCAAGAAGAATTGTAAAGGGCATGGATATAGCGGAGCGGAGCAGAGCATTCACCGTCGGCATGGATGAACGGGAGAAGCGCCGAAAGAGAGTCGGCAGCAAGGCCGAGGTCCTTCTGTGACAGTCGGCAGCTGAACCGCAATTCGAGACCTCGCGCTGCCCGACTCTACTGAAACCGAAAGCCCCGCAATGTCATGATTCAGAGTTGCTCTCCGAGCATTCGCAACCTCTGCTCCCGCACGTGGGCCAATCGGTCAGGCGTAGAACGATCTGCGTCTGCCTCGGCTTGCTCCTGGCCAGTCTCAAATCCCCGGGGCTGTACCCCATTACTGGCTCCGGCCCCAATGGGTTGAGAAGACGAAGAAACATTGCCGCTCATGGACGCATCTCCGACTGCATCGACGAATTTGTCGTCCGACTCATCACCGGCTTCTTCCTCATCAAGCCTCATCGGCGATGTGTTCCTGACCGATCCCCCCACTGGCGCTGAGCTTGATGTAGCAGGTTGCGTGGCGTCACTTCCCGAGCCGGCAGGGGCTCCCTGCTGTCCTCGTGCTGCTTCGTGCACTCGTCGTTGGAAATCTCGAGCCACAGCGTCCCTCTCTCGATTCATGTTCGCCATGGCCCTGCGTTGGTCCACGAACATGGAGCGCACCTGCGACGGCTCCCGGACGCTGCCTACACCACTGCCTGCTTGGCCTTGTCTGCCTGCAGCGTTCACGATCTCGACACCGGTGAGTGGGGCGCCTGATGCAGCCGCGCTCCTGGCCATAGCAGCAGGATGCGGCGGAGGGAAGTTGGCAATGCTGCTGTCGCTGATTGGTACTCCGTAAGGCTGAGTCGAAGAAGAGGGCGATCTGCTGGAGGGGCCGACGGCGGCTGTTCCGCCTCCACCTCGAGAATGCACCGGCTCCTGGAATTGGCCATAGATTGGTGACGTGGAGTTGGCGAGACGGGGCTGGGAAGCCATGAGGGTCTCGCTAGGATCGGTCAGCAGGGCGCTTCCCCAGCGCGGCTCCAGGCTACCGGAAGGTCCAGGGCCCATGAGCGACGGGGTCAAAGTCGCCGAGACGTTCGGAGCATGTCGGGAGAGACGTACGTCGGGTAGACCTGTGTGAGGATAAGGTGCGCCAGCCATTGGCGAGGCGAACGAAGCTTGCCCACGCGGCCTTGCTGAAGCATGGGAACCTGCTCTGGCGCCGACGTAGGGTCCGAGCATCGCTGTGTTGCTTGAAGGCCCACTTGCGCCAGGTCCATCGCTGCGCGAGGGCTCTAGAGGATGTCTCATCACTGATTGCGGAACTCCAGCATTGGTCCCGATCGAGGGAACGCTCTGCCCTTGTTCTGTCCCGCGGGCTGGCATTGCGGGCGCCGACCAGACTCTGGGGTCCATCTGGGCGAAGTCCGGACTGCTGACACCTGCCGGCCAGCCTTGTCCGGTCTGATTGACATGTTCATCTCTCCAATCTTCGGGAGCCAGTGGGAAGTCCTCTTCGTCTCGTCGGTCGGCGTTTCCCATTGTCGGAATGCCACCTGCGTTGTTGAAGTGCTCGTTGAGCTCGGGTGGATAGCGGAGTGTGGATGAGGTGGTGACGTGAGCAAGGGGAAAGGTGGATGAGGCCGTCCAGGGGTTGGGGTGAGGAAGGTAACGACATTGTTGCAGACGGGCTTGTAATTGGGACGCCCCGGTAGCCGCGATCATCCCCTGCAAGTGACTAGCCGCTTCACTACGCTGATACCTCCATCTTCTCTCGTCACGAGTGCGCTCCGCCACTTGCCTCATCAGATGCACGGCTCTGTAGTCCTCTGCTGTCAGATCGCTCGTCTGACCCATGAATTGTCTTGCAGCAGCCTCACTGGCGTAGACGGTTCTCAAGAAGCGATGCAGCTCGACTACGCCGTGCCCACTGTATACGCAGAAGCTTTCACGTTGCGTGGCGCTGAACTCTTCAGGTGGTGGCCGACACATCGACTGCAACTCAGGTCGCTGGAAGGCCGTCACGCCCGTGAGCGAGATATGAGTAACTTTTGGCAGGCGCTCCAGAAGCCAGAAGACTGCCGCTACGCTGATCTTGGTGCAGTAGGACAAGTGGACCCGTTGCAGGTTCAGATGACGCTCAACGAGGGCGTACAAGGCATTGTCGGTGATGTGGTGGACCCTCACAAGTCCGATCCTCTTGAGCTTAGGCAGCTTGCTGGCCAGCTCCATGACACTCAGGTCTGTGAGCTGGGTGCAATTTGCAAGATCTAAATACCTGATCCTGGTGCAGTGATCAACCAGATGCCTAACGCCCCTGTCGGTGATGTTGCTCACATGCCCCAAGTGTAGGTACTGCAGATTCTTGCCCAACCGTGAGATGCTATACACTGTTTCGTCTGTCAATCTCGTGCACTTCGAGAGGCCGAGGTTGCGGATGCGAGGGGCATTGCTAATGATGCCCTCGATGGCATCGTCAGAGATGGTGTTGCAGTTGGTGAGGTCGAGTATGCGGAGATGCTCGAAAGTCTTGGGAGGTTTGAGAGGGATGGAGAGTGACATCGGGCCTGTGTAACTACGAGACGGTGTAGAGGATAGCCCATTGTGGGCAAGACCGGCTTGCGATGATCGCCCTTGTGCCGGTGACGTCCCTCGCATGGCTCCGACAGGAGATGCTCCACGGCTTGTTGGAGCAGATTCGCTGCCATGCTGACCCACTGCGCTGTTCAGATGATCTACGTTCGGCGCAGCTAATCTAGTCGAAACAGAAGGGCTCAGATCAAGGGCAGCCGCGGAGCTGGTCAACATCCGAGCAGGAGCAGGGAATCCAGCATCTGTCAGAGGTCCACAATTGGCCAGCCTGAGCTCCCTGACGTGACTCGAGCTGATCCAGATCTGCCGAACAGCGCGATCAGAGATGACAGGGCAGTTGAAGAAGTCGACTTCGAGCAGCATGGGACAGCCCAGGATGAGCGGCAGCACGCCTTCGTCGCCCAGTAGCTCGCAAGAGCAGAACTTCACCCTTCTGAGCAGTGGACAGTTTTCTCCCAGAGCTGCTACTCCCTTTGAGGTGATCTTCTTGCAATTGGTGAAATTGACGCCTTGCAATCGTTTGCAATTCCGAGCCATGACTTCAAGTGTATCATCGGTCAAATTCTTGACATTGGTCAGGTCGATCGACACCAGATTGTTGAGGGAGGACAAGGTGGAGCTCAGCGCCTGATCTGATAGCTCAGAGCATTCTGCGATGGCCAGGCGCTCTAGTCTGACGCACTTGGACATGAAGCCAAAGAGCTGGTCCGTCAGCTCTCCAGCGATGCCCGAGAAGTTGAGTCTTCGGATGAAGGTCACGTAGGGAAAGGTCTGCTCGGGTGACCTGATGGTCTGTATGAGCCTGACGAGGGAGGACAGATGGAAGAAGGCCGGGCGATGCCACAGCAGCTCCACGCCGCAAAGACACCAGGAGCGGCAGACCATGAGGGAGCTCCGTAGGTACGCGTGACCGGTAGTCCGTGTGAGGAGGAACTTAAAGATGTGAAGGAGAATCTCGTGGGGCAGATTGGCAGGCGAGAGCATGTCGGTATTGGCCTGGGGCTGACGCCAGCCTCCGCCTCCTAGAGCAGTAGATGGAGATTGAGGCAGTAGATTCTTGGGCTTGGGCAATTCTGACCTGCTCGACATGGAGCCCCCTCTCCTGTCAGATCCGTGGCGTCTTGCACGATAGGATGGGGAGATATCTCCATATCCCTCATCTGGCCCATCACCAGCATCAGATGGCTGCGAGGCGCTAGAAGGGGATGGGGGCGCATTCTCCCCCGCGTCTTCCATGGGCAGCTGGTTGACGGGGGCCGATGCTAGGGGCGAGCGTCGTACAGCCGGCGAAGATGGACCAGCAGAGGACCTGGACTGGGAAGCCGAGGGTGGCGAGGGTGTGTGTGCGGGATTCAGGTCTGCCATTGCTGGCGAAGTGGCCGGCAAGTGCCGCCGAGAGGTGGCCGCGAGACCTATATGGTGAAGAAGAGGAGCAGGCGATGAGGCAGCAGCAGCAAATTCGAGGGCTTTGCTCCTTCGCTCGCTAACTTGCGACTACCCTGCGCCGTACAGGCAGGGAGGGCAAGGCGAGGCGAGACGTAGGTGGGTCTCTTTGCGTGTTACTACGTCTGCCTGGCGTTGTGAATGACTTGGAGGTGGTAGTGAGGGGTAGTAGCTGGCAGGAGGTTAGATGGGGCAGCTCTTGAAGACGACGGGGGCCGGGTGAACTTGCCCAACCTGACCAGAGGATGGAGCGAGTAGAAGGAGTGGGTGATGATGGTAGAGGTGAGGGAAGAAGGACAAGGTCGTGGTAGAGGTGGTGACGACGATGGTTGTTCGGACAGGGGAGGTTGGTGCTGCTTGGCTTGGCCCGAGTGCAGGTGGCCTGAGACCATCTCGCCTGGCTCCGCTCCGCCCAGTCACTCCACACTGGCATCCAACACCTCCGTGCGCTGGACATACGCACCCACACCCACCCAAAAGTAACACCACCACCATCACCATCACCATTCTCTACCCTTCGCCATGGCACCCCTCATCATAGCATCCGCAGATCAGATACCATCCCTCGCAGATCCGAAAGCCATATCGCCCATACTCTTACGCCTCCTCGAATGTCCCATCTCTCTCCTCCCCGCCCTCTCCTCGCAAACACTCACAGCACTCCAGGATCTACCCCAAGAGGACAAGCCAACGTCCTACGAGGGACTTTTGGACATTGCCAGATTCTGCGTAGAGGAAGAGCCAGGCTGGCAAGACGAAGAGCGCGCAAAGCTAATCGGAGGTCATCCTCGCATCGGCCGGCAGAGTGGGCACATCAGCGAAAGTAGCAAGAAGGAGCAAGGCGCCGGCGCTCAGCAGGATGAAGAGGTGCTAAAGAGTGAGTAGGCTTTGAGGGCTAGATGTTCAACAGGAACAGTCGCAGGTGTGACTCATCATCTCTCGTCTCCATCTCTCGCCAGGGTTGGACAAACTCAATTTCCTCTACGAGCGGCGGTTCCCGTCATTGCGTTTCGTCACATTTGTCGCAGGCAGGCCCAAACCAGCCGTAGCCGATGAGCTACAGGCCCTCTTAGGTAGCGATATCACCGAGTCACCGCCAAAAGATGCTGCTTTTCATCCAGACGATGTCTCTGCTAGCTGGCAGGGCTTCCCAGCAGCTCAGGTCAAGACTGTCGGCAGTGAGGAGTGGGTGGCAGAGTTGAGGAGAGGCGAGGATGCGCTATGGGAGATTGCTGTCGCCCGTGCTACGAAGCTGGCTCAAGAAATCCAGGAAAAAGGCAGCGTCACCATCGAAGTCGATCCGTCGCCTGCTGCCGAGTCAGCATCAAAGAGCCTGGATCCGGATGCCTCTGCTGCCTTCGACGTCCCCTTTCTCTCCCAGGCCACCTTCCGAGCCCTCATCTTTGCCTCTCCCCTCCTACACACCTTTTTCGAATCGGACCTCCCACAATCCTTCCTCTTGCAGCCCGTAGAGCGGCATACATCCACCAAAGACGCTCTCCTCTCCGTCTTCAACGACGTGACCGCCGGTCCTTCTTCCTCCTCTACGGGACCCGGATCAATCCTAGGCGGCTCCACGCCCACCGCGAGACCAACGGGGATCACGCGCGATCGAGTCAAGGGCTTGCTGGGTGGTCTCTTGGGCGAAGTGGCAGACGCAGTAGGTACGCGCTTCCAGCAACAGACCATCTCTGGACCTAAGCCCTCCTTCAACAGGTCCAGAGGCGCGGGAGGTCGACCTCTCTCCCTCGAGGAAGGAGCAAGAGGCGCGCCGGGCACCACCGGCAAGATGGGACTTGTCTCCCCCGCCGCACTCAGCTCACGTATGGATCGCACCAGCCTCTCCGCATCCAATGACGGGGCTGCTTCTGCTGCTGCTGCTGCTGCTGCCGTCGCTGCGAGGGAGAGGGAGAAGGAGCAAGACGCGACCGAGGCGTTGAGATTGGCGCAGGAGGCGCTCAGCCAGCGGGATACGAATCAATTTGTCATTGATGCTCCTGGTGAAGGAGATGGAGATGAGACGGTCGAGAGGGGAGAGGAAGAGGAAGAAGAGGAGGATCTGGTGGATGAAGAGGCTGGTTTGACTGCTGGGGCCGCTGCTGGTGGTGGTGGAGGTCCACAGGGTCGGGTGACGGGGAAAGAGGCACAGCTGGCCAAAGGTGAGTATCTGACATCGACCAGCACACTGCGCTGGCGCAGGTACGGCGACATAGGGAGGAGAACCTGGAACTGACACTCCTCACTCTCCTCATCATCTCGATACAGATCTTCGGTCGGCAGAAGCGCACTAGACTCTCCCTCCCTCTGGCTCCCAATCGCTCTCCAGTACGAAACGGCCCATACCTCGTAGCATTTCAAACCTGTTCCATACGCTCTCTCCTCTTTACCGTGGGCCTTTATAGATGATATACATAAAACCAGCAATGGGCTCACTCGTGCGTGTAGCGAGATGCAGATTGAGGAGCAAAGAAGGGCTATCTGCAATTCCAAAAGAGAAAAAAGGGAAACGGGGAGAAGAATCAAAGAGCTACAAGAGGGGTAAAGAAAGGGGACGACAGGGTTGAACGAGAAGAAGAGAAAGACAGGAAACCTAAGTAAGGTAAGAGGGAAAAGGGAAACGCAACGGAAGGAGCATTCGATAAAGATAGGAAAAGAGAGAAAGACGACGCAAGATTGTTCCGGGTTTACAAGGTAAAAAGGAAAGAGGAAGGGGGTAACGAACGGATCACGAGACAAGATCAAAGGTATGGTCCGACGGACAGGGGTATCACCGCTCCCGCTCCAGCTTCCAGCTTCCAGCTCCGAAATCTCAGCTTCCAATTCTCCTGCTCCTGACCTGCACTTTACTCGAGAGCGACGAGTTTGCTGAAGCTCTTCTTGAACTTAAAGGGCTCCTTGGCCGGCTTTGCCTTGACCGCCGCTGGCTGTGAAGCTGCAGTGGCAGGGGAAGCAGCCGGGCCCTTCTTGGCGGAGGAGGGAGAGGCAAAGCTCAAGATTCGGCCGCCCCGAGAACGAGGAGGGGCAAGTTCCTCTGGTGCGGCTGCCTTCTTCTCCTCGACTTCACGTGCAGCTTCGTTGTCCTCCAAGGCAGAGACTGCCTCGGACTCATCGCCATCTTCTTCTTCTGCTGCTTGCTCCTCTTCTTCCTCGGCCAAAAGATTCGAACCGAGCTCCGATTCCTCTTCGAGTTCTTCTTCTTCGTCATAGTCTGACAAGGGGGAGTCCTCGGCAGCAACGACGGGGGCTACCTTGGTCTTCTTCGAACCAACTGTGTTGGTTCCTCGACGGAGGATGCCAAGAGATCGCTTGCCCTTGAGGCTCTGATCCGCTCCGTCCGCCTCGGACTCAGGACTGGCTACAGCAGCGGCTCGGGCATCTTCACTCTTGGCAGTCTTCGCTGCGTAGCTGGCAGGTACGGCAGGGACAGGAGGGGCCTTTTCGCCCTTCTTTCCCCAGGGCATGAAGCCCCTCTTCTTCTTGCTACCTTCGAGCTGCCTTGCCCACTCCTCGTCTTCCGGAGCGGCTCCAAGGCCTTTGCGGCCTCCCAGCGAGGAGAGAGACCTGAAGCGGCCGGAAGCGAGCGACTTGGTAGACTTGTTGCTGGGTGCCAGGCTGGCAGTCTCACCAACTTGACGGGTGGCGGGCATCGACGCCTGCTTGCGCACTCCCCTCTGCGAAGGGTGGATGGGCACTCGAGCCGCAGACTCAGTGTTGGTACCAGCAGAAGATGCAACGCCGGCCAATTCCGACTCGGCAGCTTCATCCACCGTCACCACTGATGCATCGCGGCCCGAGTCTTGGTCCGGAATGGCAGTGACGGCAGGCGGGGCAAGAAGGGCGGCGGCTGCCTGTCTCTCGGCCCTCTTGCGTCCGTAATTGGTCAGACGACCACCAGAGGGTGGCTCAGGCGAGGTCAGCCTTGGAGTCACTGGTGCAGGGCTGGCAGGGGTAGCAAGCTCAGCAACAGGCTCTGCCTCCTCGTCCTCTTCTGCAATGACCGAAGGAGCTTCGACGGCCGACTCAGCCTCTTCGGAAGCCTCGGTCACATCAGTCTCCACGGCACTGACTACTGACTCGGGAGCACGCGCGGCAGCTTGAGACTTGGTCAGGGCAGCTGGCGAGGATGCAGCATTGTCGAGTGCAGGTGCTGGCGAAGGAGGAGCCGAGGAGCCTCGCCTCAGGAGAGTGAAGAAGCTTCCTCTCTTCGCAGGCGTAAGCTTGCCATTTTTCTCAGGCACTTCGAGAGTCATCGCCACTGGAGTAACAGGTGCGGCCCTCTTCCGGTTGCCGAAGATGCCGGACTTCTTGGGCGTCGCCAATGGCACAACATCAGCTTCTGCCTCCGAGTCGGTCATGTTCTCGGAAGCAGAGGCGCCGTTAGTGGCCAGAGGAGTCACAGGTGTGGCGCTGCTCTTCCTGACCGCGGCTTGGCTTGCAGGTCGAGCTTTGGGAGTGGGAGCGACGGATTCGTCCTCCTCTTCTTCGCTGCTGGACGAGTCCAAGTCTTGGTCGACAACCACAGGAGCGGCAGCACCAATGAGCTTCTGCTCGGTGGCGGCTGCAGCAGCTCTCTTGCGCTCAGCGAGAGTGCGACGAGCGGGTGCTGGCTTGACGACCTCTACCTCAGGCTCCTCTTCGACCGCATTGGGAACAACGACGGGTGCAGCACGGACTGCAGAGTCACTCGTCTTCTTGCTCAGAGACTTCCTGTTTGGGCTCAGCTGCTTCTCCGCAACGAGGTCGGTCATCTTCGACCTGCGACGCTTGCTATCCTTGGTAGGCGAAGAGATGGCGGCCGCTGGGGCGAGGGTTGGAACAGCAGATACGCTCTCTGAAGGCTTCTTCGAAGTCCTCCTGTCCTTCTTGACGATGACAGGAGCGGTTGGTTCGATGACAGGGCCATCAGAGCTCTGAGCAGCTGGACCAACAGCTGCGACTGGAATCTTGGTGCTGTCTCCCTTCTCAACAGGGGCTAGAGCCTTGCCAGCAGTGTACGCGGGCGCGTCCCCCTCGGCTTCACTATCGAACTCGTCGGGAACGGCAGCCTCTACCTTCTTGGAGTCCTCGGCACCAGGGGAACCTCCCCTGGCTAGACCAGAGTAGAGGAAGCCAGCGCTCAAGAGAGCGCCGGCCGAGGCTAGACCAGTCGCAAGCATGCCTTTGGGCTCTGCTGGAGTCTCGGCGTCGACGTCTTCGTTCTTGGGCTCGACACCCTCAAGAGCCGTGACAGCAGGTCGAGCAGCCGTCTCGTCCTCGTCGAGAGCGGTCACTGCGGAAGCAGTGCTCTTCGCACTGATACGTCGACCCAAAGGAGCGGTAGCAATATCACTCATGTTGCTCTCATCGACCTCTGCAACAGCGTCTTTGCGCCGGCTAGAAGACAATGCTCCACTGCGAGAAGCACGGATGTCCCGGCTTGCGCGAGACCCTGGCTCTTCCCGTCGACTGAGCCTCTTGCTAGAGGTTCCGCTGGGTAGATCGCGGACTCGTCCTTGGCCGTTGACGAGGTCGGTCCTTGAGCTCCTTCGGTTCGAGTCGCGTCGGTTCGGCGACATGGCTCCCGGACTGGGTGGCGGGCTGACACCACGGATACGCATGTTGTCCAGAATGAGGCGGCAGGGCTTGTTTGCAGGGTTGGCATTGCGATCGATGAGGTAGAGGTGAGCAGCACCGGTGCCCTTTCGCTCGGCACGAGCGTAGAGACGACGGATTGCGGCAAGCTCGCGAAGCAAGTCTTCATCTGCCAGGCGCTTGTTGCTCTTCTTGGCACCATCGTCAGCAGCTTGGGAGCCACTGCCAGAGTGACTGTACGTCTTCCTGATGTGCTCGTCACCGGGCCAGCCCTCTTCTTCCCACTTGGGAATCCAAGAGCCCCAAGCCTTGGCAACGTACGCCGAGTCCATGCAGATGTGAGCGCAAGCCTTGCCTCGGTACAAGTCATGAACTGCTTGAAGAGCTCGGGTGGTGGCAATGAGCTCAGCGCGACGTCCCGTAGCGGCAACAGTAGGTGCCTTTGGGTTCTGCAGGTGTGATGGCTTGAGTTCGCCTTCTGTCATGGGTTGCTGCACATTCTGAGGGTGTCCAGGTCCGAAGAAGAGAGCGTAGGCGCCGTCAATCTTCGAGTTGGTAATGCCTCCCACGTCCATGGACTGGGCTCCGCAGAAAACAGCAATAGGGTAGCCTCGCTTGCACTGATGGTCGCCCATCTCGCGCGAGGAGAAACGGGAAAGGATGGTGGCCATCTCCGGGTCAACGGGCTCAGCAGGTGGTGCAGCTACAAGGGGGGCAGTTGCCAGGTTCTCGGCAGGAAGGGCAGTCCTGCGTGATGATCTCTTGGGACTTTCGAACGGGTCAGCTGCGTAGGAGCGGCGAGTGTCTGTCGATCCTCTTCGAGACGATTGGTACGAGTCACGGCCTCTTCCTCCTGAGGCGCGGGCGTATGGGACCTGAGGAGGCAAGAGGTAATCTTCCCTGTAGCGATCCGATTGGTAGCGAGAGGATGGGCGATAGTCGTCTTCTCGGTCTTGGATGCCCGACAATGAAAAGCCGCTGTTGATGCTTGGCAAGGGAGGGGCCTCGTCACGCCTCCTGCTCTTGCTGAAGAGTTTGCGGCGTCGACCTGGGGTAGAAGAATCTCCACCTACAGAAGATGCTCCGTAGACTGAGCCGGCACGTCCGGACGAGTAGCGGTTGGAAGCGATTGGGTCGGCGGTGTAGAGCGATTCGGGTCTGCCAGAAGCAAAGGAAGACCTTCTCACTTCTTCCAGATAAGGAGAGTAGGAACGATGAGGTGCCGGTGGCAGCGGAGGAGGGTTCTGGCTCGGACGTTCGCCAAAGAGTTTGACGACAGAGGTGACACCAAGGTCTTCGTAGTCCGAGTTGTGGTTCTTGTAGGGACTTCTCTCGTAGTCGCTCTGTCGGCTGCCAATGTCTCTCCGATGTGCGCTGCTCGAGTTGCGGCGTCTGCTAGGTGTTGTGGGACGTTCGAAGTGCTGAGGTACTTCTGAACTGGCTTTGCCCCGCAAATCGTTGTAGCTGGAGCGGGTAAGATTGACCGAAGGGCGTGGTCGCAGGACACCGAGGAACTGTTCACTGGCGTCTACGACGGGCGAGTGATCTGCGTGACGACGGCGACGGCGTTGGTCTTGGCGGCGGTAGTCCTCGTCGAGCTGCGGTGCAGATGATTTGCGAAGACGAGCTTTCTCAAAGGCTCGGTTGTGCTCTGCGAGTCTTGCCGAAGAGAGAGTCTGGGATTCCTCAGAGTCGTAACCTCTGTCGTAACCTCTGTCGTAGCTTCTGTCGTGTCGGCGCGAGCGAGAGGACGATGTATGCAGATAGTGATCAGGGTCACGAGCGCGATGGCGTGACATGGTGAAGGCCGATGATCGAAGGATCAGTGAGAGAGAGAGTGATGTGGAAGTGGCGTGGCACCAAGGCCAAAGGTGATATAGATGGTCGTCGTGTGAGACAGACGTATGGTGGAGAGGATGTTGACGCCGGTGGTAGTAGGTGATGAAGAAGTATGCGTGTTGCGAAAGGGCCGAGGGATGATGAAGTGGATGTGGATGATAGAAGGGATGTTTGGACGGACGAATCAGTGAGAAGATAGAAGGTCACCCATCGGGAGGCGAGGCGGGGAAGGGGCGAAGAGTGAGAGGGGGGGAAAAGCAAAGTGGTGTATCAGTGTGTTGTTTCCTTGCACCTTGGTTCTGGAATCGTGCGTGACAGTGTGGGGAGAAGATGCGCATGCCAAACGGATGCCTTTGCTGCAGCGCCTCTTGGCCTTGGCTGAAGTGCCGCGGAAGGGCACTGGGCGAGTGTCATGCACTTCTTCCCACACGGCGGAGTGAGGATTGGATACGCGCCTCGAGTGGCCACTGCGATGCGCCTGTCTGGGTGAATGGCATGTCACCCGACTGTCTACCCTTGACTTGTCGTGCACCTCGGCATCGCTGCTGCAGTGCCTCCCATCCTGATCATGGGAACGGTGTGGCTGGCGATGGAACGCTGCGAGCGGGCCAGTGTGTGATGGCTGCAACACAGTTCCCAAATGCCTGCCTGCCTCGGCAATGCACCTTATTCTACGCGCCCTCGGCAGGAGCCGGAGTGGGGACCCGAGCACAATCACCTAACTGATGCACACACTCGTGAAAAGGAGTGCTGCATCCGGACTGAGGCCGCCCACCGTCTGGGTACGAGGCTCCTGGGGCGGACCATGTGGCCGCCATATGCAAGAGCTCATGGGTCTCCCTCTACCGCCCTCGCCATCAATGAGACAGACCGCAAGGAGCGGTTGAAGCGCCGTCGACGAGGCTTGGCGGCCACTTCTTCGCTCACTGCCTCGCCATGCTTCGAATCGCAGTCTCCGCCGCCACCTCGGCCACCTTTCGGATAAAGTGGGCAAGGGTCATGGCGGCAGAGGCTCGGCGATATGAAGATGATGAAGAAGAAGAATTGGAAGAAATGGAAAATCATGGCCGAGAAGATGGCCCACTATGACCTCGTGCCAGCGCCGGGCCTCCCGTACGCATGATCATCGCGGCCCGCGCCGAAGAGTATGCCTACTAAGACTGACTCAGCCTCGTGTCCATCTAGGCCTTTCGAAGCTAAGCTTCCATGCCTGGGGAGGCAAGGCCAAAGCTGCTGCGATGGCGTGTAGCATGACCCGCTAACGATGCAACGAGAGCAGAGGCAGGAACATTGACACTCACCTCTAAGACTTGACAGACAAAGGCGCCGGGAGTGAGCGCTCAGACCTCTTGGGTGTGTGACGAGGTACGGCGGAAGAAGCTGCTCTGTGCCGGAAGTGCAGCGAATGTGACCACTTCGAGGTGAAGATGAGAAGGACCGCAGGAGGGTCAGAGGAGGAAGATCTTGTTCGGATGAGCTAGATGATAAGGATCGGTGACAACGACTAGACGATACGGAATCAGTCGAGACGAATGAAAAGGCAGACGAGAGGGAAAGCGGACCAGGCAACGGATGTGTGGGATGGAAGTTCTCCTCCGCCTCGGACGTTCGATGCGATGCGATGCGATGCAGAGCAGACAGTCAGGCAAAGTGGGCGCGCCCACCGGGGTTGGCAAATGAGGGTGAGTGGTCAGGGTGCAGCTCGGCCCGTTCGGCAGGGGCCGTGCAGGCAGGCCAATCCATCGCCGTCCCACGCCACGCCACGCCCATTTGCCCACGCCCGCCGCGATTTGCGCCACGCTCACCCACCTGCACCCTTGCAGCCCTGGAGAGAGAGAGAGAGCTACCTCCTTTGCCTTCCCTCGCCCACACAGCAGGCGAAACAGAGGGGAAAGCCAACTCCCTCCCTCTGGAAACCTGCGCAGTCTACTCACTCTTGCTCAGCGCAGATATCCTCCGGAGCGCCCCACACTTGCTCAAGCCGCCATCGGCCGAATTGTCAGTCGGAGCGATGCCGATGCCAAGCCCCATCCACGGCCACGGCAATCGCGCCTTTCGTCGGCGAATATTTCAGCTACATGGATAGGCCAGCATGCAGAGTTCAGATGAAAGAGCAATGCGTGGCGATGATAGCAGGCTGTGCTTCCCAAAGATCAGACTGGCATTGCATGTAGCAGGTAGCACACAGCGAGTCGTACAGATGTTAGACGCAAGTCTCGTGAAACAGAATCGATGCTTCCTTCCACAGTGCACGGAGAGACAGAGCCGGATGCGACGACGACCAGATTAGTCCCGATCTGCTTCAGTCTGCTTCGGCGGACCCTTTGCTTCGATCGCTCTGCTCCTGCGCCGCCTCCTGTTGACGTTGAGAAATCGATGTAGTGATCCCGCTATTCGAGGTCTCCATTTCTGGACTCTCCGTCGTGGCGAATCCGGTCATGTCACCTTGCTTTGCCAGCCCTCCTGACACAGAAGTAGCCGAGGAGCCATCGCCGGTAGATGAGCCAGTGCGAGGAGCAGCAGTCGAAGGGAAGCCGCTGGCATCCACACGGAATCTCACCACCATGACGCTCGTATTATCCGTAGAGAAGTTGCTCAGCGCGTGCTGCAACAGGCGCTGCGACATCTCAATAGGATCTTGAACGTCTTTCACCAGATCGACGGCATCTTGATCATCGACGACGTCCCATAGACCATCGCAGGCGACAATGAGGAAAGTGTCATCGTCGGTGAGCGTCGTCTCCGTGGTATACGGAGCACCGACAACAAACTCCTTCATGGCTGAGTCTCCCAATGATCGAGTCACGGCGAGGACGGCTGTGAACAGGTCGGCTCAGTATCAGCTCAAGGGTGTCATTCAATGTACGTGTTCTCATCGCGCACTCACCATTGACACGGTTGTTCATGACGAAACCTCCAGCATCTGTGATTCTCTTTGCTTCTTGCGCATCTGAAGCCTTGTGATCGTACGTCAAGCGCACTGCTTGCCCGCGTCGACTGGTAGCAAGAAGGATAAGAGGGATGCACGATGAGTCAGACTGTTCGCTCTCCGTCGAAGCCAAAAGAGCGTCATACTTACCAAAGAACGGCTCGCGCATCTCCAACATTCGCAGTGTACAGCACTCTCCTAACCTTTGCGCCTGAGATCTGTACCAGGCCATCTGGTCCCGCAATTGCGTCGCTGCCTGGCTCAACATTTGACGATGACTCGCCCTTCGCTGGCGGCTGCTCTTCTTCTTCTTCCACCTCGGCCCCCGAAGAAGTGCCCCTCATTCTCCTTGCAAAAGATTTGAACATGCTCCCGCCGTTGCCGCCCTTGTCAGAGGTCCCACCTCCACCGCTTTCGCTCGAAGGGAGCGAAGCGGTGCCACCAGTACTTGGTGAACTCCCCGCCTCATTGGGAGTCTGATCCTGAGCGCTCGCGGCACCGCCGATCCCACTGAGCCTCCTAGCCGCCACGGGGTGAACGCCGCCGGTGGAAGCAAAGGCTAGTGGCTTCCCTGCCTCGTCTTCGAGTCGCAAGAAGCATGTCACAGCCGTGCATCCGCTGCTAGTCTTCTCCTCGTTGGCCAATTCATACAGTCGAGCGTCGACATTGTGGAAGGTAGTGTTGAGTACGTCGGGCACTGGAGCTGACTTGCCGTCCTGTGAGCTCGTGGCTAGCGCATCGACGAGGTATTCGTGAAAGTGCTTTCCGCACCATTCGGCTGATTGTTTGCCCGCATGACCATCGAAGACGGAGAAGTAGCCTTGGCCATGAACACCACCAAAGTCATAGACGAAGGCGTGTGCGTCCTCCATTGTCCGACGCCAGCGCCGGTTGCGGTCTTCTGACACGCCTACCTTGAACGGCCAGAGGGCCTTGGTAGTGGAGGCGGGGTCCTTCGCCTCCGATGAGGAGGTAGTGGCAGTCTCATTCGTCTGCTGAGCGTGGTCGGCAGCGGGGTGTCGGTTGACGACCTGTGGGCGAGACGAAAGCAGTTGCGGAAGATTGAGAGGGATTGAATCAGCGAATGAGAGCATGGCCAAGGTGAAGCAGCTGAGGGGACGCAGTTAACTTACTCCATGTGTGTTAGAGCCTTCTGCCGTGGACTCGGCCTTTGACTTGGCATTGCCTGATCCATCTCTGTGGCGGATAAGATCAGCGACGTGTAAAAGAAAATGTAGAGCATGTCAGCGCCTCACCTTTGCGAGACCCGTGCAGTCTGGCACAATGTACTCACAGAGCTGTTCTCAAGCCGCCCATGTTGGCGCTCGATGTGTGTGGAGAAGGAGAGGAGCTCGCTGTTAGAGAAGAGATGCGTAGAACCAGCTACGAGATTGACAGAGGCAAAGCAGTGCTCGATTGGAAGAATTCTAGGATCCCTTATGATCTGGGCTTGGCGTTGGGCTGTGCCTGAGGTCAGAGAATGTGTGTGTTGCGGTGCGTGAGGAAGAGTGATTCTGTGAGTGCGAGAAGGTGGAGACCCGGGAGTGAAGATCGTGCGATGGAAGCAAAGGCGACCAGGAGAGCAAGCAGCAAAGTTGCGTTTGCTTCGAGGCTCGAGTGGTGAGGAGGGTGAGGATGGTCGCAGCAAGTGGGCGGGAACTGCCTTCACGTCAGGGTCCTCTACAGCCCCCGGCAACATTGGGCTCGCCGCTGTGTGACTGTCTCCACAAGGGCCACTCGCGCCTGACTGCTTGCCGCCGTCGCGTGGCAGCGGAGCGGGATGAGCAAATGGCAGGCCAATCTCGCCTAGGCTACTCCACAAGGCCCGAGAGACTCTAGGCCTGGAGATGTTCCCACGCTGGGCGAGCAACACCCGAGGTTGCAACGCATCTGCGACCAAGCAACAGTCAGAGACGAAGCGCACCGTCGCATCTCCTTCTTCTACCAGTGCCACTCATGGCCCTAGCGGCCAGCCTCCTGTTAGGCGCGGCCATTCTCTTGGCCCTTGCCGGCCTCTGCTTCTCCTTCCTGATTCTCGTGCGGAACGTCGAAGGCGATCTTCCAAGGGCCCGGACCTGGGCTAGGAAGGTATATTTCGTGAGTAGGCACAGCGAGCTTCGCAAATAGCCGCTACTACCTCTAACCATCTGTGCATTCTCTCACCTCTGCATCGCCAATTCCCAAGGCTTCGGCTCTTCTATCCCTCCTTCTTGCGTACAGAGGCTCCCTCCCTCTTAGCGTGTTGGCCCTCTCGCTCCTCCTTAGCATGACTTTCGTTCTTTCCCTGTCCGGCAAGCCGTCAACCTACCTTCTACTCTTCTCACACCTAGCCCTTCCCCTCATAGCTCACTACTTTCTCCTCTCACACCTCTCGCACCACACTTTTCGCTCCCATCAAGTACATGCCGCCCCTCGTCTTCCTGGAGGGCGCGTCTCTTGGGATATCCCCGATGAGCACGTCGCGGCCGTGCAGGCAGGCGAGCACGAGGTACACTCAGTGGCACAGACGGTGACCTACTTCATCGTCTTTGTGTGGGCGCAGACGTACGTTGCCTGGGCTATGTGGATGGGAGCTGAAGGAAGGCAGAGGTGGGGGTTGCCCTTTGTGTCTTTCGCTACTGAGAGAGAGGGAGGGTCAGAAGGACGTCGGAAGGACAAGTAGCAACTGTGATATCGCAAGAGGCAATTGATACAGAAAACATAGTCATTGGCATCCTGAAAGCGTTCGTTATTGAGCATGGGAAATTCTACAATGCAGTGAGAGTGACCAAGAGAGAGCAAGGAGGCAATGAACGAGAACTGAGACTTGAAGAACAGGCGAAGAGGATGCACAGAGGTAGTGTTGATGCGACTGACCTTTTGGAGGCACTTCGAGAGCTTCTCAGTCTGACCGCCTGGCGTCCCCATCGCCCTCTCCATCGGCCTCCTCATCCTGTCCCACGGGCTCGTAGCCTCCACCAGGCTTCTCTGCGCCTCTTCCGAACATGACCCAGGCGATGATTTGCAGAGCTCCTACCAGAGTGGCAATGATGTTGGGTCCCGCAACGAACTTGTCGCCGAGGGCAATGCCGTAGATGGACCAGATGGACCCATTGACCGTGACTGCGAGGATCAGAGTCGGCACCAAGGAAATGGCGGAGCGAGTCTTCACAACTCTGATCAGCTGCAGCAGCGGGAAGAGGAAGAAGCAGTACTGATAGAGGTTGAAGGTGATTCCTGCAAAGTCAAAAGCGGAATAAGAGAGGCGGGAGAGGTCAGAAGGAACAAGGATGAGCGCCCGTCCGATGTGCCCTGGGTCGCCTACTCACCCATCCACCAGATGGCCCAGTCCACCTTCCACACCATCCACAAGCCCAAGTTAACCACAAGCCAAGAAATGCCAACTCCAATGATAGCCATAGCCTTGTTGACCGACGCGACATCTTCGAAATCCTTTGCTCGGAAGAGAGCCAGCATGCAGAAGCCTTGCACAAGCGTAGCGGGCCCATTGGATGTGTAAAGGTACGGATTGCCCATGGCCAGCGCATAAGCGAACGTGTGACATGCGCTGGAGAACATGATCACCACGGGAGTAGGATCTGTAGGTCCAATCTTGCGCTCGGTAAAAACGGGGATGAAGGTGGGAAGGGTGGAGAGGGCCATGATGTTGGCTAGAACCACCCCGATAAGCGGGAAGAGCTGCGAGTGCAGGAGGTCATCTGGGTCGATGAGGCCTTGCGTGGTGATGGGTATGGTAGCGTCCATCGCGACGGTTCGGAAAGGGGAGTTTGCAGTGGGAGGAGGAAGAAATCTTGTAGGCGTATAGGGGTGCGGGCGCTAGGAGTGGTTTGACTGGAACAGACCACTGTCTACGATGACAGACGCGCGATCAATAGACTTGTACAGACTTGGGGGAGAGGGTGCTTTCGTTCTTTTGGGTCCCAGTGGCGGTGTTGGAGCCAGATAAGAATTGAAGAATCGAAGAGGAGATTTCCCACCCCCTTTGTTGACGGTCAAGCGTGAAGCAACAATTACGAATTGAGTTCAGTAAGCAGTGGTGTTGAAGCGTCCCGCCTCCACCCCATCCCCACAATGTCCGCTGCTTCCGATCCGACCGATGCCGGAACGGCGGCTTCCGTCGGGGACTTTCAGGCGGCCACACACCGCATTCTAGTTCCTGCTCAGCCAGCACCAACGATACCTTTTCCCACTCCATTCCTTCATCTCCTTCACGATGGCGCCTTCCGGCTCCTCCAGCGCACCCGTAGAGTCTCGCTGGTCGAAATGGAGCAAGTCCGCCTTCGATACTTCCATCGTCGTGTCAGACTGGGCTGCCGGCTATGCTAACGCCGCCTCAGCAAAGGTCGGCGGTGAGCGGTTCTGGCCCAAATCCAACGATATGGTAGAGGAGATAGAGAAGTGCGCAAGGATACTCCGTGCCTTCACTGTAGAGGGTCTAGAGACGCAGCAGAAAGAGGAAGAGGCGGAAGTGATTGTAGATGCCAAGGGAAACAAGGTCAAGAAGAGGAGGAAGGTTCTGAAGAAGATTCCGCCCCAGGCTATCAAGAAGGCCAAAGGTATCGTCATCTACTCGGCTATGCGGTCTGGTATCGCTCCTTTTGGTGGGGCAGGAGGAACCGGTCTAGTCCTTGCAAGGCTGCCCGACGGGAGCTGGTCTGCGCCAGCCAGCGTCAGTCCTAACAATCTCAGCGTTGGGCTATTGCTTGGCCTGGACATCTTTGACGTCATCTTGCTCCTGAATACCGAAAAGGCAATGGAGTCTTTCTACTCGCACAAAGTCACTCTCGGAGCAGAGACGGCCGTAGCAGCAGGTCCAGTAGGATCAGGCGCTAGCATGGAATCGGGTTGGGAGAGGGCTCCTGTCTATTCATATGTCAAGTCTAGGGGATTTTATGCCGGAGTGGAGGCCATCGCGCAAGTCTTTTTGAGCAGATTTGACGAGAACGAACGGTAGGTGATTGAACTGGCAAGCTGTGTCGCTGGTAGAAGGTCCGCAGTGCTCATGCGTCTTGCTCGTCTGCCTCAGCTTCTACTATTGGCCTGGTATCAAGGGAGAAGATGTTCTCAAGGGAAAGGTCAAGAGCCCGCCGAGCGTCTTCCCGCTGCACAATGCAGTGAGTAAAGATCTCTTTGTAAGACTGATGCCCCCCTCGCTATCTTGTTGACTTGGCCCCATTCTCTTTTCGTCTCACAGCTCTCGGATGCAGAGTCCGGGCGAGCTCAGGGTGGCAAGCTGGAGCGCACAGTCTATGATATCGTCAAGATCCCAAAGTCAGATCTCATGGCTCGTCTTTCACGCCCTGACTCGGGTGATGTGACGCCAGAAGGCGAAGATATGCTTCAGGACGGCGAGCGGTTACGTCTGCCTCCCACGCCGGCCGAGCTCGACGCCTTGGAAGCTGCTGGCATCCCGGACGAGGAAGACATCAGGCTAGCCCAGAAGGAGAGGGAGGATGTGTACAAGCTGCCACCTCCCCCGATGCATTCAAAGGTGAAGACGTACTGGGATCAACACCCTAACAAGCGCTCCCTAAGGCCTACCCATCAGCTTACGCTCGGGGGCTCTGCAGGTGCGAGAGCGAGGGCGAAGGCCGGTGATCTGACGCTCAGTCCCTGGGAAGTACCACTGCCTATGTCACCGCCCAATGGCGCAGGAGAGACAGACATCATGCCGCCCGCCTACCGAGACGATGTCATGCGAGGTGACGACGTGGAAGGAGATGGACCCGCGCAGTACGCCCTTGACGTCAAGGAAGAGAAGGGGAAGGAAGTTCAAATGTTGCCTCCCCCCACTCGGAAAGCCGTAACTCGCAAGCCTGTGGGGAAGGCAGCGGAAGCCGGATCACTGAGCCCTGATGGCGTTTCAAAGGTAGAAGGATCGGCAGAGGAGATTCCGTCGACATCACCAGACCTCGGTCAGCAGTCCTCTACGCTCGCACAAGCAGAAGCATCGCACGCCGTCGCACTCGACATTGAGAACGAGTCAGCAGCGGACGCCATCATGCATGATGCCTTGGAGGGATCACCGGTAGCGGCAGTTCATAAGGACAGTGAGCAGCTGCCAAGCGCTGCTCCCGCTCTCGGCGGTGAACTCAACGGGAGCTCCCACCTCAATCTGAAGACCAGCGGGCTACTCTTGGATCCCACAGGCAATAGTGCTGGCGCTGGAAGTGGTGGTGGCAGTGCAAATCTCTCGCGCCAATCGAGCACCAGCTCCATTCTCCCTCCCCCGCAGCGTCCTTCCAGAGCAAGAGAAAGGGCCGCAGGGGGTGCAGCAGGGACCGGGTCTACGACGTAGAGAATGACGATGGAAGGTGTGGCCGGAGACCGAAGCGGGAAAGCGAAGCTAGGGAACCCGAGATCTAGACGACAGACGATGATAAGAGGACATAGTGTACATATCAATACCAATGATGAGGACGCAGCGAGTCCCCGAAAGAAGCAAGATAATAGATTGTGGTCAGAATCTCTCGATCATGCACTCGGCTCCGCTATCAATGAACCTTTCATGATCAGGCAAATTTGGTACATACAGCTCCTCATCTAGTGGCTTGTGTGCTAGACGTACAACGCGAGCGTCGCGAGAAGTGTCTGGCGGGCGCGCATGAGACGCGGCACTTTGCTCGCCTGCCTTGCTGAGAAGAAGCGAGGCGCGTCGCGATCTTAAATTGACGTGTGTGTCTGACCTGGAACTCCTCCATTGCGCTTGCCTTCTTGGCCCTTACCCGCCCCTCCCTTTCCCCCTTACCACTTCCATCCTCCGGCATCTCCTGAAACACGCACCTACGCTCACTTCCACGACATCACGACAGAAGATTGCAAGAGAGTACAGTTGTGATCTCCTACCTGTCCTCCCCTCTTCGGACCTCTTCACATAATGGCCAGCTACGAATTGCCCGTGATACAGGATGATCTCGACAGAGATCGTACCCGTATCTTTCACGAGTTCTTGAGTGACGAGGTGAGTCATCAACAGCTCACGCTTCACTGTCCTGTGCTGTGGACTTACTGAGCATCCTCTCGCCTCTTTCACTCCTTATCTACAGAGCGGCCCTGTCAATCACCGTGACGCCATCAAGACCTTGATCCGTCTAAAGCAGCAGCGTCTCAGCGTTTCCCTCGATATCCTGCGGTCCTACAACCGAGAATTTGCCACTGCCCTCTTGCACGAGCCCAATGAATATCTGCCAGCATTCGACCGAGCTCTGAGGGGCCTGGTCGAGGAGTTGCACAACCCTATCAAGGAGAGTCAGTGGTTCCGCGAGACTGCCTTCTATGTCGGTCTCAAGGGCAGCTTTGGTGAGAATGCTGTCAGCCCGAGGACATTGCGAAGTATCCATCTCGGAAGGATGGTTGCGCTCGAAGGAATTGTTACCAAGTGTGAGTCGATCACGAAGGCAGTCACATTGCAATTTGACCCCTCTCTGACCTACGTCCAGCCGCGATCTCCCAATACAGGCTCACTCGTCCGCCCAAAGGTTGTAAAGTCGGTTCACTACTGTGAAGCTACCGACCAGTTCCACTACAGGGAATACCGAGATGCCACCATGCTCGGTAATGCTGTTCCCTCGACCTCCGCATACCCTATCGAGGACGAAAACAAGAACCGCCTCGTCACCGAGTTTGGCCTCAGCACTTTCCGTGACCATCAGACTATCGCCATTCAGGAAATGCCCGAGAGAGCTCCTCCTGGACAACTTCCTCGCAGTGTCGAGATTGTAATGGACGAGGACCTAGTCGACAGCTGCAAGCCGGGAGACCGAGTTCAACTTGTCGGCATGTATCGCAGCATGGGTAACAGAGTCGGACAGAGTCAGACCTCAACATTTCGCACAATCATGATCGGCAATTCGATCCACCTCCTGAGCTCCAAGTCAGGCGGCGGTCTCGCGTCTACGCCCCTCACTGACCTTGACATCCGACACATCAACAAGATTGCAAAGCGTCGCAATGTCTTCCAGCTCCTTTCTCAATCCCTCGCTCCCTCAATCTACGGTCATGACTACATCAAGAAGGCTATCCTCCTCCTGCTTCTCGGAGGCGTGGAGAAGAATCTGCCCAACGGCACACATATTCGTGGAGACATCAATATGCTGATGGTTGGTGATCCCTCGACGGCCAAGAGTCAGATGCTTCGATTCGTGCTGCATACCGCACCTCTTGCTATTGCAACCACCGGTCGAGGATCCTCGGGAGTCGGTCTGACCGCGGCCGTCACAACAGACCGCGAGACTGGAGAGCGGCGTCTTGAGGCGGGTGCCATGGTCTTGGCTGATCGCGGAGTCGTCTGCATTGATGAGTTTGACAAGATGGGTGAAACTGATCGAGTCGCCATTCACGAAGTCATGGAGCAGCAAACGGTCACAATTGCCAAGGCTGGTATCCACACATCTCTCAACGCACGGTGCAGTGTCGTGGCTGCCGCCAACCCTATCTATGGCCAATACGACCCTCACAAGGACCCTCACAAGAACATCGCTCTGCCGGACTCCCTGCTGTCCCGTTTCGATCTGCTCTTCGTAGTGACCGATGACGTTGACGAAGTGCGGGACCGAGCTATCTCAGAGCACGTCTTGCGAATGCATCGGTACCTGCAGCCGGGGCTGGAAGAGGGTGAGCCTCAAAAGGACTCCTTGGACCAGAACCTCTCTGTTGGAGGCAATGATGATGCTGAAAAGGACGACAGCGCTCCTCGCGATGAGGGACCATGGGAGAAGTTCAATCCGCTCCTCCACGCGGGCATCACCCCAAGCGTGTCTTCCTCGTCCTCGAAGCAGCCCGAGAAGCAAGTACTCTCCCTCGCTTTCATCAAAAAGTACATCTCGTACGCCAAGGCTCGTGTCACGCCGGTGCTGACAAAGGGAGCTGCAGAGTGGATCGTCAACGTCTACTCCAACCTGCGGAACGATGAGCTCTCCGGCAATCAGAGGAAGACTTCGCCATTGACCGCTCGTACCCTCGAGACGCTCATCCGACTGGCCACTGCACATGCCAAGTCGCGCCTGAGTGCAAAGGTGGAGGAGCGTGATGCAATGGTCGCCGAGGAGATCTTGCGCTTTGCCCTATTCAAGGAGGTCGTCAAGGTCCGACGAGGTGGTCGCGACGGTAAGAGGAGGAAGACGGACCGCGGCAGCAGGAGTCCGGACAGCGATGAGGAGAGCGGAAGCGAGGCTGAAGAGCCAGAGGCAGACAAGCGAATGGAGATGCCTGCTTACGCAGGTACCGGAGCTTACTCGACAAGAGCCGCCAGGAGAGACGACCCCTCTTCACCTTCACCTGAAGTTGAGATGAATGCCGACCCCAATGGAGAGAGACTTTCTGCTACTCCGCAGGCACCACCAACAGCGGCAGCAGCTCCAGCAGCGGCTGCCCCGCCCCCTGCTGCTCTAGCACCACCACCGCCTGCCCCTGCCTCGTCATCGCAATTGACAGAGGAGCGTCTCGCCCATTTCAGAGAGGTCCTGTCCACCCTCCTCTCACCGGAGGGCGCACTGGCAGAGGAGGACGAGATCACCATCGAGTCACTCTTGCCCATCGTCAATGGCGGAATGAGGGCGGAAGATCTGTTCTCACATATTGAAGTGACGCAAGCCCTGGAGAGGATGAATGAGAGCTCCGAGGTGATGTTCAGCAACGGCGTCGTCTACCGAATCTGAAGGGCTGACGAAGGAATGAAGGAAGATGATCGTCACCGCTCGCCTTGTACTGTAATGCTGCCTGTTCCATTCCCTGTCTTAGCTCGCTCATATCGTAAATGAAATCATACCTATGGACTCCAGTCGCGTATATTCTGTCTGTGGTCTCGGTCCCGCCACGTGGTTCCGACAGTCGGAAGCAAAAGTTCGAGGTTCCGTCCTTCCGTCGCGGCCCCAGACCTGACCTCATCCCTCGGCCACTTCTTCCTCCCTTCCCGTCTGACCATCGCTTCCTCGTCCTGACTTCAGGGCGACCAAGTACTATCACTGCATCCATTGCACATCGTAGAGCTTCTTGTTCGGCTGGTCTCTGTAGTGCATAGCTGAGCTTCTTGGCTTTGGTCGCCTTTCCGATCCCCTACCTCAGGGCTCACCTTCTTTCTCATCCCCTTGCCGGAACGCGCTTGGCAGGCCAGCGCCGCTCAGTCGCTTCACATCTACCTCAACAGAGCCCACAGCTCGGATCTACTTTACCATCAATCATAACATCGCATCATGGGTGTCCCAGCGCTCTTCCGGTGGCTGTCGAAGAAGTACCCTAAGATCGTCACTTCCGTGGAAGAGGAGGATCCAAAGGTCATCCCAGGCAAGGATGGCGCAGAGGTCGAGCTGCCCATCGATATGTCTGGCAGGAATCCAAACGGGGAGGAGTTTGACTGCTTATACCTAGACATGAACGGTATCGTCCATCCATGTACACATCCGGAAGGCAAGGTGAGTCTAGTGAAGGTGAAGGCTCCGCATAGAGGAGCTACTGACGGAATCCCTCGCCCCACGGAATTGCAGCCGGCGCCAGAGACCGAGGAGGATATGATGCTCGAAGTCTTTGCCTATACAGAGAGAGTCGTGAACATGGTGCGCCCTCGGAAGCTTTTGATGATGGCAATCGATGGAGTCGCTCCCCGTGCCAAGATGAATCAGCAACGCTCGCGTAGATTCCGCGCTGCTCAAGAGGCTAGGGAGAAGGAAGAGGAGAAGGTCGCAGCCTTGGAAGAGTGGAAATCCATGGGCCTGCCAGTGACGGACGAGGCTGCTCACTCCAAAAAGGCTTGGGATTCGAATGCCATCACTCCCGGTACGCCGTTCATGGACCTCCTGGCTGCCTCGCTCCGGTATTGGGTTGCGAAGAAGCTCAGCGAGGATCCAGGGTGGAAAGGACTGTCCGTCATAATTTCTGATGCCAGTGTACCGGGGGAAGGTGAGCATAAGATCATGGATCATATCCGGCGGCAACGAGTCCATCCGGATCATGACCCCAACACCAAGCACGTCATCTATGGATTGGATGCCGACCTGATCATGCTTTCCCTGGCTACACACGAGCCTTACTTCAAGGTTCTCAGAGAAGACGTCTTTGCGCAGGATAACAAGCCTAAGACGTGCAATCGTTGTGGGAGAGAAGGGCACTTTGCTGCCAACTGTATCGGCAAGCCTAAGGAAGAGGGCAAAAAGCCTCTTGACCCGGCTAGCGATCCTGAGGCACGGAATCAGTCATTAGGAAAGAAGCTGGAGAAGAAGCCTTTCATCTTCCTTGATGTCTCCGTGCTGCGAGAGTACCTCGAAGTCGAGCTCAACGTACCAGGTATCACGTTTCCCTTTGATCTTGAGCGAGCCATCGACGATTGGGTCTTCCTCATCTTCTTCGTTGGAAATGACTTCTTGCCTCATCTACCCTCACTAGAGATTCGGGAGGGTGCGATTGATATGCTCATCAAGATTTGGAAGCAGAACTTGCCGAAGGTCGGGTCTTGGCTCACAAAACACGGTCAGGCTGAACTGTCGCACGTACAGGTGATCATGGACGGTATCGCATCGCAAGAAGCGGAGATCTTCAGGAAGAGGCAAGAACAGGAAGAGAGGCAAGAGGACCGGAATAAGAGGAGAAAGGCAGAGGACGTTCATCGACAGAGGGCGGAGATGAAGGCTCGTGGCGAGACGCCCCCTCCGATGGAAGGCGAGACGAGGATGGTGGAAGTCACGATGAGTCAGCCTCCTGTGCTGAACAACAACGCAAAGAAGACGGAGTCTAGCAACGGAGCTAACGCTTTGCAATCTATGGCGCTTCCTGCTAAGCCTGCAGTCACTGCCTCCGGCCCTGCCAAGAATGGCGACGAAGCGCCTGGGCCAGTGGACCATCGAGCACGAGCGCTTGCAGCGCTTACCTCGGGAAATGATGCCGAGATCTTGAAAGCTCAAGCATCGATACGGCTGGCAAATCTTTCTTCTGCCGAAATGCTGAAAGCGGAGCTGGCTGGTCAGAATCAGAAGAAGAGCAAGAAGTCGAAGAAGAGCGGCAAAAGCGGCAAAGAATTGAAAAGTGAGCTAGAGAAGATTGGAGATGGCGAGGAGAACATATATGTCAAAGCCGAGGAAGCTGAAAGCGCGGCGCAGGTGGCGGCCGACGGACAGAAAGGGGTCAACAAGTTAGAGGAGGAAGACGCCAAGATCACTGAAGCGCAGGACGATCTCATTGAGGACATCAAGCCCATCATCAAGCCGGAGGGTGGCAAAGCTAGCCCTGGGCCGCAAATCGACCCTGCTAACTCTGATATGCAGCAGGATGCTGACAAGGATAGCCTGGCATCAGATGTGAATGGCGCAAACACAAGCAAAGTATCACTGAAGCGGAGAAGAGATTCGATAGATGACGAAAAGCCTCCGACCGAGATCAAGCGCAGAAGCGATTCGGTAGAGCCTGACGAGGGCGAGGGCGAGGAAGATGAGGTTGCTGCACCCGAAGAGGATGATGAAGGAGTCGAGACTGTCGATCCAGTCGTGACGACCAACGTCTCTCGGACTATCAATCCTGATGGAACGGTCTCCTACGAAGACACTGTCCGTCTCTTTGAGCCCGGCTACCACGAACGGTACTACCGCCAAAAGTTTGGAGTAGAGCTTTCCGACACAGAGTTCAGGAGGCAGATCGTCAAACACTACGTGGAGGGTCTCTGCTGGGTGTTAGCCTACTACTATCAAGGCTGCCCCAGCTGGACATGGTACTATCCGTACCACTTCTCGCCGTTTGCAGCAGACTTCACTGATCTGGAGAGTCTGGATATCAAGTTCAACCTGGGCACTCCATTCAGGCCTTACGACCAATTGATGGGCGTTCTACCTGCCGACTCCCGTATTCACTTGCCAGACCCCTTCCACCCTCTGATGACCGACCCGGATACTTCGGATATCATCGACTTCTATCCATCATCCTTCGAGATCGATATGAACGGCAAGAAGATGGCATGGCAAGGCGTAGCTCTCTTGCCCTTCATCGATGAGACACGTCTCCTTACCGCGCTAGAGACACCGTACTCTCAATTGAGCGATGAGGAACACAGGAGAAATGCATTTGGTGACAATGCCTTCTTTGCTTCCGACGAGTCCCCTCTCTACGAGGAGCTCTGCTCTGTCTACAGAAGAAGCAAAAAAGGCAAGAAAGGGGACGAGGAAGGCGGTAAGCGCGAGCTCGACACCGCTCTATCCGGTGGCCTCTCAGGCTATCTCAGGCCTGATCCGACTTGCATCCCAGGCTCTTCCTATACGTCGCCCCTCACCACGGTCGGTCTAGACGACATCGTCGTCAATCGTTCCATCTCGGTTCTGTACGACTTCCCAGAGCAGCGAAAACCTCATCGCTCTATCCTTCTGAAGGGTAGTCAACCGCCGAAGCGGACGCTGACGGAGGAGGATCGCGAATTTACGCGCCGCGGCGGCCATGAGAACTCGAGAGGTAGAGGTAGGGGTCGTGGCGGCGGGTTCGGAGGCGGTGGTGGTGGTAGAGGTGGATACGGCGGCGGTCGAGGTGGCATGAGCAATGGCGGGCCCCCAGGGGGCGGCTCGCATTACACTCCTGGCGGCAACTTTGCTTCTTCAGGACCAGCTGCGATGCGACTTGGAGCTGGACCCGTACAGTATCCGCCACAGCCAGTCGGTACCCACTCTAGGTTCGATGGGGGAGGGAATGCCTATGGTGGCGGTCAAGGAGGTTATGGAGGCGGTGGTGGTGGCTACCCAGCTCACCCTCCCCCCACGTCAAGCTACGGCGGATACGGCGCAAGTGCTGCGGGGTATGGCGCTCCTCCTCCCCAGGCTGGGGGCTATGGAGGAAGCTCCTATGGAGGCTATGGCGGGTATGGCGCCAGTGCCGCACCACCTGCTCACCATGCTGCACCTGCAGGCGCGTATGGAGGCGCTGCAGGCGGCTATGGAGGATACGGCTCCTCGACTCCTAGCGCTGCGCAGGCCTATGGAGGCGGAGGAGGGTATGGCGGATATGGCCAGAGCTCCTATGGTGGCGCTGGCGGTGGGGCTGGTGCCGGTGCCAACCCATATGGAGGAGCCTACGGCTCTGCTGCCAACGGCCACGGAGGCGGGTATGGAGCGGCACAGAGTGGATATGGCGGGTATGGTGGCTACGGAGGCGGACAGGGTGGCGGATCGGCAGGGTATGGGAATTACAATTACCCGCCGCCCTCTGCTCGCGGTGGCGCTGGCGGTGCATCGAACCAGTATCCTGGGTATGGAGGCAATGGAAGGGGAAGAGGAAGGGGTCGATGAGACTCCGACAAGCTCCTCTTTGCTGCTTCCCTATCTCTCACTCGTCACACACTCCACGTTGATCCTCTGCTTGTTTGCGACAATGATTGCAAAATATAATGTACAATTTGGCAAGCTCCACAGCATATTGTCTATTGATTGGAAGTAGAAGGGGGAAGAATCTGGACAGGCTCTCACCACTGAACAGCCAAACCATTCACCGCTCCTTCCTCCTCGACGGCGCGATAGTCTGTCCGCATCAGACCTCCCTCCCCCTTGCCCTGACTACGAAGAAAGCTCAACACTTCGCGCGTGAGCCCATCCAGCTCTTCTTTACGCTTTCTTTGCTCATCGTCTATGTCCGTCTCCATTCCTACGGCAGAGGGAGTTGCGGTAGTCGAAGCGAGCAGTGCTTGGGTACGACTGCGCGAATTCGCCGCACCAGCCAGCTTCTTAGCCGGAGCAGAGGAGTGCAATGTCGAAGTGGAACCCGCAGTCGACCAGTAGGCCTCCTCTACCCTCTTGACCCACTCCTTACTCGTTCCCTGCCAACCAGAAGTCATGGGCGGCTCTCCATCTCCTGTAGAAAGAGGCGTGGTAGCCCCTGTACCTGTAGCTGTGTCCACAGGGGTGGAGAAGCCAGAGGCAGAACGAATGTCGCTGAATGCCGAAGAGGAAGGGGGAGCGGGATGCTCTTGTGCACGGGGGTAACCCTCCGGGTCTAGATCCATCGCAAGGGAGTCGAGCTTCGGACGCAGGACGTCGCCGATAGTGACACTGTCGCTCTTGCTGCCATTGCCAGTGCCTGGCGTATCGACTTGCGCTTCGGTACTTTCAACGATGCCGCTCGAGGTGAGCATCGAGACTCCACTCGCCTTGCCTGCCTCACCCGTGGTGGGAGGTCGGATTTGCCCACCTCCGTTGACGCAGCCCGAGGGACAGGCCATGACTTCGATATAGTCATAGCCGTGGGCTTGCTCTTCCTCCTCGGGTGTGGAAGCGACAGGGACCGCTGCCATATCAGAATCGTCGCCATTGACCAATGCAGATGACGCTGAGCCATTCGAAACATCTCCATCGCGGGCTTTGCGCACAATTCCTCCTCGCGCTACACCTCTGCCTCGAAGCCCACCACCACGCATCACCCTCCCACGTCCTGCCCTCCCCCTTCCCGCTCGACCAGCACCCTCGCTCGTGTCCGCCCCAGTCAATGTCCCCGCAGCGCCGCTCTTGCGACTCTTGACGCCGACCTGTCGCTGAACCTTCCTGACCAAGTTCTGCAAGTTGCGGAATCCGTAGCAATGAGCGCCTCTGAAAAGGATACCCCCTCTATTGGAGCCGGAAGAAGGGGCACGCAGTGTGTACTCGGTATAGTCACTGGTGCGAATGATCTTGAAGTCGACGTGAGGCGGGGAGGGAGATGCTATTGTGAGGTCTGGGTGCGTAGAAAGATACTCCCTCCAGACCTCTTGCATGAGGCTGAAGAGATAGCCGCCAGACGAGCTTCCCGGCGAATTTTCGTGTAGCAGAGAAGGGAGCAGCTGCGACGCAAAGTCTTCGACCTCTACTTGTTGTGTGATGTCAAAGCCTTCCTCGAGCATCAGGCGATCCAGCTCTCCAGTGGTGATGACGCAGTCTACATCTCTGGTGCCGAGCAGCTCATCGTAAAAGTCTGGTCGGGAAGCTTCGAGCTTCTTGTCATAGCAGGGCATGATGGTCACGTGGTAGATACCTCGTTGTCCACTCCCTCCTCCCTCGCCTCTCTGAGCCGGTGCGGGAAGTTGCGTGCTCAACCACTTCTTGACCAGACTTCCGGCCACCTGCTGAGGACTCTTCGTTCTGCCTACCAGGGGAAGCAGCTCTCCGTGCGTCTTCTCAGCATAGCATACCCAGCCCGGACAGGCACTCGCGAGCATGGGAAGCTGTGCTAGCTCGTCTGGGTGGCTCTTGGTGTGCTCTCGCCGTTGAAAGAATTCCTGCGCATGCTCTTGCAAGGCCAAGTGGCGCGGGAAAGTCGTATCTAGCACGACGTCAAATGCGAAGTGAGATCGAAGGAAGTGTGTGATGCGTGAGATTATGACTGGCAGCGGAACGTATGCTTGTGATGCGGTGGAGCTTGATGGTAGAGAAGAATCTTGAAGCGAATAGCGTGCTGACAATGATGCCAGAGATTGTGGCGAGATAGAGGCTACGAGCAGCTTGCGCTCTTCCGGCGTTGCGGACTGGGCAGTCAAAGAGACAAAGTAGTGGAGTCAGGTACTGTGAATACACTCATATCACCCAGCCTCTCAGCATCCACTCACCATGTTCTCCTCTACCACTCTCCTGATCTCCTCCAGACTCTGCATGCCAATCAGGACGCTCTCTGCACTGGTCACACACCCGCTGCAAGCCAGACAGTCGTTCAGCGAAATTTCTGCCGCTTCCAGCTTGGTTCTCGCCCTCGGCTTTGATTGTGACGAGGACGGGGCTGCCCCACCAGGTGCCGAGTCCCCATTGGTCTCATACACGCCTGATGACTCGACTGCAATCTGGGTCGAGGCTGCGTGTGGGTCCTCTTCGGGGATGAAGGAGGCGTCGGGTGCATCTTTACCCTCTACTGGCTTGATACATGCTTGCGAGGGGCCGAGGTAGTCGTTGAGATCAGTGAGGGTCAGAGCCCCAGAGAAGGCCATGGCGGGTCAGTCTTCCGAGGAGGGTGAGGTGGCCAGAGGGTCAAGCAGGGCCCTTCGCCCGTGAGGGGGTTGGGCTCCAAATGAGACAATCGCCCGCGCAGTAGCTGCGTCTTGCTTTCCTGAAGAGAGCCTGGTCTGTACCCTCCTTTGCCTCTGGTGAGTGTATGATGGAGGCAGTGTCTGATGCTGATGTGTGAAGCTTTGCAAGTGTCCGGAGATAGGTGAGGTATTCGTGGAAAGAAGCGTCTTTCAATATTGGCCAAGTCTGCATTTCTCAGCCACGCCCGCCTCGCCACTTCCGCTTTGCCCTGCCTCTCCACCTCTGCCTCGGAGGTAAGCAGGCACTCCAGCTACTTGGCTAATCATGTCCTCCTGACACCTCGTCTCACCACACCTCGTAGCTCAGCATGACAGGCAAAGGTGACCTCACCTATCGAGACGCTCCGCCTCCCACCGTTCACCCAGATCTCAGCTATTGGGCTGACCTCTTCCCCGGCAAGCCGCAATGGACGCCCTCCACTGCCCTTCCGCCCGGCTCACTCGCGGGCAATAAGGCAATTGTCACCGGCGGCTACAATGGCATCGGCATCGAGACCGTCGACGCTCTCCTCAGAGCTTCTTCGGACGTTTGGATCTTCGGACGCAGTCAGTCGAAGTGGCAAGACGGGATCCAACAACTCAAGCAAAGAGAGGGCATCAAATTCACACTCCAGAATGAGCCTAGACAACAAGGGGTGAGCCAACTGTCTTTCGCACAGATGGATTTGGGGGATCTGCACAGCGTCAAGACAGCTGCGGAAATGTACCTTGAAGCCGAGTCAAAGCTACATATGCTCTTCTGCTCGGCTGGGGTGATGATGCCTCCTTACGGCTCTCTCACCTCGCATTCCCATGAGCTGCAGTTGGGTACCAACGTCCTTGGCCATCACTACCTGATCAAGCTCCTCCTTCCCACCCTCCTCGCTTCCAAGAGCGCCACGTTCACGCCGCGGATCTGTCTGACGTCTTCTGCAGGTCACGTACTTAGCCCCACGAGAGCTGGCCGAGCCTTTTCTCCTGATGATCCCTTTTGCGAGAAGGCAATGAGCAATTGGTTGCCCGGCAACCTCAAATCGCTGATGCAGTATGGGAACAGTAAAATGGGAAATGTTCTCCAGGCCGGCAAATTACACCGGACTTACTTCTTGGGAGAAGGAGGTGACGACGAGGCAGGTGGTCGCCTCATTGTCACCTCTGTGCACCCAGGAGTCCTGATGACCGATCTACCGCGCCATCTGTCTCCAGAAAAGCCCACGCTGTCAGATCGGGTGATGACTGCACTGGCGTACAGCATTGTATTTCCCGTGATCGGCTATGCGCCCTCCTTTGGCGCGCTGAACCAGCTGTATGCGTGTACCTTGCCCGATCAAGAGGCCTTCCGCGTCGGCCTGAGCGGCAGCTACGTGAGCCCTTGGTGCAGGCTGGGCAGGGCAATGAGGAAGAGCGAGGACAAGTCGACGCAGGACGATCTGTGGGACTGGTGCGAAGGCGAGGTGGAGCGGCTGACGGGGACCAAGCGAGGCATCTAGTCGGAGAAGCATGAGGGCAAAGGCAAGCAGCACCTTAAGTGGCTGCTCACTGCAGCGTGCGTGCGTGCGTATGTAGGACGCACCGATCTGCGTGTGATCTAGATCAGCCCCTACCTACCTTATCTCGTCTGCGATTCGCTGCACAGAGGCATGACAGATCTGGCCACTCTATTTCCTCATCCTTGGCTTGTCCAATTTGATCTTCTAGACCTCAAGTAGACTGGTCTACGTCACGCTCCTCTTCATCTCCATGAGCTTGCGGGCCAGGTCGTCCGAAAGTCTGCCTCCTTGTCTGTGCGATCGTGATGTGGTTGTCCGAATGTCCGGCAGGCGCGTTGGGGTCGGGCGATGGAGCAGAGGCAGAAAATGGGGAGGGGCAGCGATGACACCCGAGAATCGGCTGGCAGGAAGGCAAGCAAGGCACAGCACCTCGACAGCTGACGCACACGCAGGGCCCACCGATGGACAGAGGGGAGCCGAGGAGGGGCAGCCCTGTGCTCTCTGCCTGGGCGGCATCTCACCCAGTCATTTCAACCGCCGCTGCTGTCTGGACGGCGACGACAGGCATTGCGTCGCAGACAGCCATCTCACCGCCCGCGCCGGCCATGTCTTGCGGCCCAGTCTTGCCTTTCTTCGCTTCTTCCTGGCGGAGCTTCCCACGACAGGCAGCCTGGCACCACAAGAGGGGCAGGACAGCAGTCGAGGGCCACAAGCAACCCAAACGCACACACGCACACGCTCACTCACTCACACACGCACACACAGGCCAGGCCATTGCGAGGGTTTCCCAGCCAGCTACCATTGCCCTTCCCACCTCGTCGCTCGATCCTCACCCCTCCGTTCGGAAACAATTCATTGCAGCACAAAGACGATTCTCTTCAAGTCACGTTATCCTCGAACAAAGGCCTCTGCGCTTCGTCATTCCTCCGTCACGAACCTAGACACGAGCCACCACGAGCCCCCGCCGCCGCCCCTTCCTGCCCAGCCATTCCCGCCTCTGCACCGCGCAGAAACCACACTTCCGAGCAGAGCACCAGTGTCTCTTCTTATTCCCGCTGCCTTTCCCTCCCCCTCCCTTTCCCCACTCCTCGCCTTCCCCCGTCCTCAACACTCCACGTCAGCCGGCCACACCTCGGCTACCATCTGTTCCTGTTAGACTAGAATCGTCCTGCATCTCAAAATCACCCATCGCCGAATCCTACTCTCGGGCCCCCAGGACGAGAAAAAGCGCGACCAAGAGCGCGCCTAGACACCCAAGCGACCCCCTTCTTCTTCTTCTTCCTCTTCCTCCTCCTCTTCCTCGTCCCTCCTTCCCTTCCGTCCGGTTCGTTGTCTTCGTTCTCGCTTCGATTCTGCTGCTTCCCTCCACCCCCTTCGACGTCGCTCAGCATGTCGCATGACGGTGCATACGGCGCGCGGGCATCGGCGGCCCCTGCTCCCGGAGGCCCAGGTAACGCGCAAGGCGCCAACGAATTCGCCAGGGCTCCCCAGTACTCGTCTCAAGATAACACTTTCGGAGGCGCAGGTGGTGGCAGTCATCAACAAGGTAGCGGCGGTGCCAGCGCTCCACACCACTGGTCTCCCCAGGCATCGCCATATGGAACTGGTGCCGGCTACGCTGCCAACCAATTCGCCGCACCCCCAGCCCCACAACACCACGGATACCCTTCCTCTACGGCTTCACCCTATGGTGCTGGCGTAGGCGGCGGCGCTGGAGGACAAGTAGGTGGGCCTTATCAGTCCCACTCCAGCCCTTATTCCTTCTCGGTGCCTCAACACCAGCAACACCCTCACCATCGACCGGGGCCTTATCCTTCGTACACCAACCACGAGTCCGGACCGCCCGCCTCCAATGGTGCTCCCAACTTCTCACAGCACGCTGCTCCTGGCCTCTCTGCCCACACTGGAGCTGCAGGAGGTGCTATGGGAGCCTCGCCAACGTATCACTCGCCGGGTATCGCTGGAATGATGTCTGGCATGGCCTCTCATGGGGCTGCCGCTAGTGGGCACCAGGGAAGCTACGCTCCTCACTATGGCGGCTCGGCTCTGCCTCCTGGAGGACCCATCTCTTCATCTGCTCCACAGTCGGTCAGTATCTCACAATGCCAGCAGATTGATAGAGCCGGTAGAATACACGAGAGAGCTACCAGCTGACCTTCTCATTCTCCCTTTGCCATGCACTCAATCCATACCCTTTGCTTTCCCTTCCCTTGGCTTCTTCGTACTCTTCCTGAACGCCTCCAGCAGCAGTCAATGGGCGCTCCTGGCTACCCTTCGGCACCACAATACAGCACTCAACTTCCGCTGGCTGGACGCCATCGGGTGACCACGACATTATGGGAAGACGAAGGCACGCTCTGCTTCCAAGTCGATGCTCGAGGCGTCTGCGTTGCCAGGCGACATGGTGAGTTTGGCTTTGCTTGAACAAGGGAGGCGACGACGCGACTGTATGCTTGTCGTCTTCTTTGGGTGCTTGCCCGTATGTGCGTTGCTGGTCCTTCCTGCCCAGCCGTGCGGCCCACGCCCTGCGCATGCGATGTCGGCGTTTTTCTTTTGCGGGAACGCGCATGAAGAAGACACTGCCGCCGCGCCGCACTGCAGGCCTCTGCAGTCCGCCCGCAGACGCGCATCTGTCAGGTTTCGGTCATCGCGGATGCCCAACAGCAAACGGGGTGGCTCTGATGCATGCTCGTGGTACCTGGGTCGTCTCGCGATGGCAGGCCTTTGGAATTGCCTGCTTCGCTGAACATGCTCGAGGGCCATCAAGTGCGGCAGTGGAAGCTGACCCGACCCCCTCCATTTCTGCGTATGCTTTACCAATGTCCAGACAACAGCATGATCAACGGCACAAAGTTGCTCAATGTATGTGGTATGTCACGTGGTAAGCGAGACGGTATCTTGAAGAACGAAAAGGAGCGAATTGTCGTCAAGGTCGGTGCTATGCACCTCAAGGGCGTCTGGTGAGTACAAGGATGCCGCACAGTACGTTGCATTGCAATCCGGGCATCTGACACGACGCTCACCCCTTTCCTCTCAAGGATCACTTTCCAACGAGGCAAGCAGCTTGCAGAGCAGAACGGCATCGCCGATGTTCTCTACCCGCTTTTCGAGCCCAACATCCAGTCCTTCCTGTACCACCCTGACAACTATCCTAGGACTGCGGCTGTAATGGCAGCAGCACAGGAGAGACAAGCTGCCAGGAAGTCAGGAGGTATGCCCAGCCAGGGCCCAGCTTCGGGCCTAGACATGGGTGGAGGACCTCCAGCGACCTCAATGGTCGGCAGTAGCAGTCAGGACACCGACTACCCTGGAGCTCAGGCCAGCTGGAACACTCCCCACCATGCTCAACAACAGCACCACTACCGTCCCGTCGGCAATGGCACCAACTACATCTCCTCGGCTCCTGCCACTGCCGCCCACTCTCCTGCCCACCACAATCACTCTGGCTACAACACGCCAGGCGGTGGTCTGATGCAGAGCCACGGTAGCCAGCAAGCAGGCACCCCACTGTCCAATCACGGCAGCGTGATGCGCTCCAGCTTGGGAAGCAACAACGGCACCATTCCCAATGATCGTCGTCACTCCAACCAGCTGGACGTCAGCGGCGGCAACTCGATGGATCACCCTGCCCACTCGTCCAACCCTTACGCCCTCTCGAGCAACCATTCATCGATGGATAACGGACTGCCCTCGTCTGCATCTTCTTCTACCAACTCCAATGGCCCTCCCACGGCGGGCACACTTCAGTCCTTGCCCGGCATCGGGAGTGTAGGGCAGAGGAGGACCCTCTCTTCCACCTCTTACAAGCGTGGTTACGGCGACGAAGACGGCAGCGCAGCAGGCGGTCCCAATGGTTCTTCTTCCTACGAAAGCACCGGTGGTGGACACAGTGGTGACTTTTACGGCCAGGGAGGACCTGGAGGACCAGGTAGCGAGAGGAGCTACAAGCGTCCCCGGGAAAGTGGCATTGCTCGTGGAGGCAATGGGATGAAGCATGAAGGACAGGACGAGTCGTACGATACGAGTGGAGAGTACGCTGGTGGTGCGCCTGGCGCGGGGATGGGCAGTGCGGCCGCGAGCGTCAATGGAGATAAGAGGGGGAGCGGACCGTGAGCGGGAGCGAATGCGGGAGGAGGAGTAAGTGAGGGTTGGGAATTTCATGAGAGGCGGGTTCAGGCCAGGCAAAAGAGAGGCGAAGTAAAATAGATCGCACTCTTACGGTTCCTTTGGAGAACAGGAAGAGCAGGAGCAGGACGAGGACAAAAAAACCCGAATCGCCATCTCCCTCCCCATCCTCCCTTCATCCGTAGCGGAGCATAGTGTAGCAACTTTAGACGAAGAAAAAGGATGAAGGTCAAGGCGAAGAAATTGGAAAAAAAGGAAGGCAAAGACAAGGAGATGAAGATGAAGATGAGATTTCAATCACAAAGCAGACGCAGGAAGCAAGCGCAGCACACAGCACGCAGCACGTACTAAGCTAAGCTAGGCTAAGCTAAGGCGATTGGTTCTAAAAGAGAGAGAGAGGGAGGGGGAGGGGGGTTTCAAGGGCGGCCGACCTTTCTTCATCCATTCCTATTCCCCATCATATCTTCGAACTCACTCACTCTCACTCTCACTCTCACCTTTACCTGCTGTCCCTCCATCCCTCCTTTCTTTTTTTTAATGAACAATGAAGAATGAAGAATGAAGAATGAAGAATGAAGAATGAAGAATTGAAAGCAAGATCAAATCCGACGATTACGACTGACCCGGCTGTGACCCGCGCTGTGAGATATCTTTGAGCTCTGGGCTCGTGTGGTGTCGTGTCGTGTCGTGTTACAGAGGAGGCATATGGTCCTTCCTCCTTCCTCGGAGTGGGACTCGGACTGGGACTTTTGAGTGCTGCGATTCTAGCTCATGGACATGGATGGATGGATGGATGAATGGACAGATGCAAGAGACATGGATGGATGTACGAACGAAAGTGAATGGGCGCTCATGCGTAAATTGATGTGATGTATGCAGGAGATGAGGTGTTGGTGAGATCAAGTGCTGTACTACGCTGTGCTGTGTTGTGTTGTGATGCTATGCTGTATGAACAAGGAAATGATGGGAATGATGCTTGCTTGCTTGCTTGACTCTGCCTTTGCTCTCTATTCTTTCTTTACCCTGTTGCTATTCACGTTCCGCCTCCTCACCTCACCTCACCTCACCTCTCCCTCTTCTTCTTCTTCATTCCACTCATCCAACCTTTACGACCTGAAGCGCTACCAAAGGAAGTTGTAGGCAAGGCAGAGCCCTTTGTACTACCATTTCCGCTGACGATGGCGGGAGAAGCACGTACTCCATTGTCCTCACCATCTTCGTCTTCAGTGGAGCGCTGCCGCTTCCCGCTGCCGCTAGAGGGAGAGCTGGTGGGACTACCATTGGTACTGCCATTGGCGGTAGTGCTCATCAATCGCTGCAAGAGGTGCTTCTTCTCTCCTCCCCCTACCACTTCTCCTAGCCCACTGGCGCTCGTGCTTGGAGAAGCAGGCGAAAAGTTCCTAAATATGGGCTTGGACTGGGCGTACGGAGATTGGACGACGCCCGAGTGCTTCGAAGCCGCAGATGCTGCAGGGGAGGCAATACGGGACAATGAAGAGGACGAGGAGGAAGAAGAGGAGCGCTGCTGCTCCTGCTGCTGGTGTAGTAGTGCCTTTTGCCTTCGCTCTAGCTTCCGACGCTGTTTCTTCGATAGGGGAGTAGGGGCTGCTGTGCGAGGTTGAGAGCGCAGGGATTCGTCTGCACCTCCCTCAGCATCTTCAGCGTCGCTCTCTTCGTCGATGGCCGGCGCAGCAGCTCCAAGCAGAGTCGTCTCTCCTACATCTTCTTCCTCATCTTGTGCTTGTGCAAGTGCGAGTGGAAGGGATCGAGAGGATGCAGAGGAGGCGAGTCCGTGGAAGGAGGCTGGAGAGACTGCCTGTGTGAGGAGAGTGCTAGTGCTAGTGCTGCTACCTGCAAGCTTCTTCTTCGGTGTCATCGACGCTCCGATGTCGGCGGTCGCATTGGCGTCGGCAGTCTCCCCCGAACCGTGAGCAGAGCCGTTGATCTTGGGGCCGTTGGCGAGGGAGAATCGAGACACAGACGGCCCACTGGCGCTGGGCGAGCGGCTCGAGGCCTGTGCAGGAAGGTCCTGCTTCGTCTTCTTGTGGATGAGCGGTGGCGACATGTTCGTTTCGCGCTCACGCTGCATACCCGCCGTTGCCTCAGACGATGCCCCCGCCGTCGCGCCATTTACGATCCCTTCCAGCTGACTCTTAGCGTCCTTGACATAAAAGAGCATGTAAGCGCTCTTGGAGCTGTGAGCAGCCGGGCTCTGCCGTTGGGGTGAGACGAAGTCGTCATTCATGTCGCACCAGACGCCCGCGGGAGATTTGACTTCTGCGACATAGTGGCCCGAGTGCGGCCCGCCGCCGTGATGATGCACGACTGCGTAGAGGGAGTAGGTAGGGCCGGGTTGCTTGTTTGAGGTCCAGGAAGGGGAGATTTTGAATTTCTGTAGAGCGGTCATGGGGGAATATCATCAAATCAGAAGTCTGCTGCCGCAATTCTTCACCCAAGCTGCGTTACTCACATCGGGGAACGCAATTGCTCTCGACAGCTTGCTGCCAGTGAATGTAAACCTCTTCAGATGCACAGTGAGTACCTCTGGACACTTATCCAGTGTGAATTGCTTCCGCGCCACGACCAATCGCTTGCACTTCTCGCACTTGTACTTTTCCGACCCCCGCAACTCGTCAATTTGCGTGAAGTTGCTCATAGCTTGACCGAGATTATCGCAGCCCCGAATGTCTAGCGAAAGGTCTAGGATAGGGTCGAATGTATCTGAGTTGTGTTGGCAGGAGAGGCACGTCACTCTTGAGAGTAGCTTCCCGCCGAAGATCTTCTGTATGAAGGTGGTCTCTTTCAGCGCAGACTGCTTCACAGCCGGCGAGGCCGAGGCGAGACATGCTTGCTGAACAGATTCTAGTAGTAACCGTAGCCATTCGTGCGCATCTTCCTGCCGTCCTGTATGAAATGTCCTTGCGACGATTCTGAGGTTCTTAATGAACTCCACGGGCGTCGTCACGCCCCCTACACCTTTGCCATTGGCTGTGAGAGCCCTCTCTGTCAAGCTCTGCAGAGCCTTTACGGGGTCGAATCCCTGAATAGTCCCGCCAAAGCGGCCTTTGAGCTGGTAAGTATCCCGGGTGAGCAGAAGATGTGCAAGGGGAGGAGTATGCAGGAGCGCCTGCATTGTGCTGTTCATGTAACATGTGTTGCCTCTGTTGTGTAGACCTGCGCCGGCCCGCTTGAGTCCTCCAGGGAATTGCAAGGGGACCTTTCCAGGGAATAGATCGGCATCCTTACCGCTGCTCGCAGGCGACTTGTCTTGTCTCTGTAGCGGCCGCGGCTGAGCGGGAGACGGCGAGGGAGCGGACGAGGAGGTCTTGCCGGCAGGCAACCGGCTGGGCCCAGCAACAGGTCCGGCTGGCTCTTCCTCATTGATGGCCCGATATTTGACAGAGGCGGAGGGGAGCTGCGATGCTTCCCACTGTAGAGGTTCCTTGAGGTACTTTGCTAGCAGCGCTTCCATTCCCATCTGGGAGCTGAGACCTCCTTCTAGCGTCTTGGAAGCAGCTGCCTGGACCCCCTCTTTGTGCTTCCTGGCTGGGCTGCTAGAACCATTGGGGATCGTGTGCAGGGATTCACGGGAGGATGACTTCGGAGAGGTCGGCTTCCACACGCCGCGGTCCACATGGACTATGGGAGCCGATGCCACCTTTATTGTACCGGGCATACTGCTCCTATAGGTACGAGGATGTGGCTTGGCCGAAAGGCGGGACAGGGGAAAGCGGGATGAAGTCGTCGTCGTCGTCGTCTTTCAGCTGCTCTGTCCGCGCTAGAGGGGATGCAAGACGGCACGAAGCGACGGCGTCTGGGCAGCGGGAGGGAGAGCTGTGTCTCAGCGTGGTATCAAGGAGCGTAGCAGAGGTATGGAAAAAAGGGGAGAGGAGGTATATGCCGTAGCAGAACAAGTGGAAGAAGAAGGTAGGGTGCAGCGGGGAGTAGGTCCGATTGTACCGCCTCGCCTCTACGCGCCTGTCTCTGCCTGCGATCGAAAAATTTGAGTGCAGGGCGGGCGGAGGATCAACAGGCGTCACATGCAGAGACGCAGGCAGGGCGCACACGCACACGCACACGCCCACACACACACACACACACACACACACACGCGGCGCCAAAAGTAACACACAGACGCCGCCCATTGGCCAATCTGCCCCGCCATCTCACCCTGCACCCCAACACCAGAGTACCACCCCCTCCCTACCCTCACCGTACCATAGCATAGCACCGCACGCTGATCAGAGCTTGGGTTCGCTCCCACTCTGGCATCATGATGCGCTCACGCTCACGGTCGCCTTCCAAATCTACCATGGCGCCCTCTGCTAGCTCGTCGCGCCCCGCATCAAGAATGTCAACATCACGCCCACCTTCCCGAGCAGACGGCTACCGGAACAGTGTAGTTCAGCCCCGAGACGATGTGGGACCCTCGAGCTCACGTGCGCCAGAGTCCATCACACGGGCAGAATTCTGGGATGTGGTCATGGAGGACGAGACAGAGGAAGGCAATGGTGAGGGCAGAGGAATGACCCATGGACGCAACAGAGTTGTCCATCTAGCCAAGTACTGACCAACGATCACACTCGCCATACCCTGCAGTTATTCTCCCTTACCTTGGCAATCTCATCACGGATCAGTCTGGCCTCAGTGAAGATGCAGAAGCTGACATCGCGGGAGAAGCAGCAGGGATCCCTCGTTCCGGCAGCTCCGGCAGCATTCAAGCAATCTCGTCTCGCATGATCTTAAGCTCTTCCGATCCATCCTCTTCAGCTGGCGTCGATCCAGGTAACCCAGCCAAATTCGAAGCGCAGATACGTGAGCTGGTAGAGACGGAGAGATCTTACGTCCGCCGCCTAGACGCCTTGTACAATCGGTATGCTAAACCTCTGAGACAAAAAGCTAGGAATCGCGAAGGTGCTATCATCCCTCTGTATGAGGCACAGAGGTTGTTTGGAAACGTCGGAGAATTGCTAGGGGCCAATACGGCATTTCTGAGGGAGCTGGACGAATTGATGGAGGCGGACAGCTCGATGGAGACGCTCAAGTCACATATCGGACGAGTATTTTACAAACATGTGAGTAGAGAGAGTGCAAGAGACTGGGGATTGCAGGAATTGACCATCCTACTGTCTTATCGATAACAGATGGCCTGCTTTGGATGCTACAATGATTACTTCGGCAACTTCGAAAAGGCAAAGCACATCGAGCAGAGCATGACCAGGAACAACAAGCTGTTCCGAGACTTCTCTGACGCAATGAAAATGACATCGCCCAATCTCGGCAACGTCTCTATCCGAGAGCTCATCATGGAACCCGTGCAGAGGATTCCGCGTTACAAGATGCTCCTTGATGGTTTGATCAAGTCCATGCCTAGCGCTTACCTTCATCAGAAGGCTAGACTGGAGGATGCCGTAGCCCTGTGCGGTCGAATCGCTAGTTGCGAAATTGATGAGAAGACCCAGAGAGCGGCAGTGCTCTGGAGCTTCGGCAGAAATATCCACGGATTTCCGGTAAGTGGTGTGAAGACTGAGGTGCACCTTCTCGTGGTGAGACTGACCTCTGAAAGTACCGTTTCACAGGCCAGCCTCTTTTCAATCCATCGCAAGTTCATCGATGCCATCGATGTGGAAGACTTCCCGGTCGAGAACTATGCTGTTCCTTCAGCGATGTTCTCGCCTACCTCTGCAGCCGCATCGTCTCGCTCAATACATTGCACCCTCTTCCTCTTCGACGATACTCTGCTCGTAGCAAAGCGAAGCAATCCCTCTTCGAGTGGACGTTATATGCTCAGTCTGGACGACCTCAATAGGCTGGCAGACGAGATGAAGACATTTACGGAGAGGAGTAGCAACGCTGTCCAGTACAGCAAGAAGGCCGAGCTCGGCTTCAGGGGCGTTTCTGACATCATGGATGTGCAAGCAGTGGACCTTGGAGGTTCGGATCTGCAGCTATACTTCAAAAGGCCTCCATCCCACATTCAACACGACAAATGGACTGGCCGCCCATTGAGACAATACGTGACTCTACCCGACGGCCAGATCTCAACGCCTGCCCGTCTCGAGAAGATGCGCTTCTTGGAAAATCTCTGGCGAGCTCAGGCACTCTTCAAGACCAAAGAGGCTCGGAGTCAGGTCCGAACAACTACAGTGGCAGCAGTCTGTCCTTCCTCGGGCACCGATTCGCCTTCCATGGAGGAAGCAGAGCCACGTCGTATCGTCTACTGGAACGTGTATGAAAGTCGATCGAAGTGGGCTGCAGAGCCTCACAAATCGAGTGTCGCATTGCAGGTAGATCTCAGCCAGGGCGCGGAGGCCCTGCCGCTATCGGCAGAAGGTCTGGCCCCTCAAGCGTCTTTACGAGTGCTCACGGTCGATCAGGAGTACGCTGAATGCTCATATTCGTTGATGACCCGAGATCGGCCACTAGACGATGACGTGTACGTGCTGTCAATGAGCGATCTGGGCTCCCGGATGAGACGCCTTCAGGAAAGCACATCGCAGCACGATGAGCAAGCTGCTCTGCACAACTTCCGTCCGGGTGGCTCACCGACGACGCCGACTAGTCATCGAGGAAGGATGGTCGCTGGGCTAGAACAACTCAGCAGACAGCTGTTCACGCCAGGCAGTCTTCGGAGTGCCGACGTCTTTGGCACTCCTCGTAGGAAAGGCAGTATTCTGAGCAAGAGCAGTGTCGCGACGTCATTCACCAGTGACCTCTTCGCTTCTACTGGCAGGAGTGTCTCGACCGCTGCGACCAGTGTCAACAGCAGAGACATGCTAAGTAGTGCGGCAGGCGATGTAGGCTACAAGCCAGGATCCGGAATTGGCAGCGCGAATGATACGCCGACTGCGTTGAGTCCAAGGCGGAGCAGAGCTCAGTCTGCTGGTCCAGAGGAGAGCTTGTCACGGCCAATAGGAACGACGTCGGCGTCTGCGCGGCCTGCTAGCCAGCTGATCTACAAGAGTGCCATCACCATCGTTGATCCTCATCCGACGAAGTCTCAAAGCGTCGACTCTCCTTCACAGGCCCTGTCTCCTCGTACGATGGTTTCTAGCCGGCCAACAGGGCCACGAGCCATAGGAGCTTCACCGAGCTCTATGACAGTGTCAGCTGCAACGATGACGACAAGTCGCAAGAGGTTGGCTCCTCGTCCTGATCCAAGTACGATTCCTTATACTCCGACGCGCCGGGTGACCTCTTCGAAGAGGATCGCGCCAGAGGACGACTCGCCTTCGCCAAGTCAAAGAGCGTCCAAAAGGACTGCGCCCCCCTCTCCTCCACAAGAAAAGCCGATGCCACTGTTGCCTCGTGACGCAAATATCAATGGCAACGGCAGTGGAGTCAACGGGTGCACATCGCCCACGAAGCTGGTCGAGAGGAGCACATCGGGGATCAAAGCACGGGTGCGTCGTAACCTCTCTCGAATGGACGACATGGACAAGGAAGCGGCTGGGCGGCTTGCAGAGCTTGCGGACGAGCTGGGAGAGCTGCACGGAGCCGCCACTCAGCTGGAAAGCCCACTCCTCGGAGAGCTTGTCCAGAGACTAGAAGCCTGGCTAGGCGAGGCCTCGCAGAGGGGCGCAGGTGTCAGAGCTACGCTGGACAGAGTTGCCGGAGATGTAGAGGGTCTACTGAAGAAGATCGAGGAGGTCGAAGCGGACAAGAGCAGAGTGGAGAAGTCTGCAGTTGTGTCTACGACGGAAATAGAGAGCTTAGAGAAGGAGGCGGCGGAGGCAAAGGTCCTCAAGTTTAGGTGCGAGGCTCTGCAGAGGAAGTGCGAGCTGCTCACTACGCTCGAGGGCGATGGTCGATTGGAAAATGGGGAGCTTCACAAGGTGAGTCAGGACCAAACAAGGTACCGCGTGGCAGCATCGAGTTGTCAAAGAACCACCGACTGACGAGTCGACCATGCTTCTTTCCCCCTCCCCACTCGCTTCCCACTGCCCCTGACAGGCCTTCAACGAAGAGCTAGACCGCATGTACGAAGATGCTCACCTCTCCACGAACGACGAAGTGATCCTCGCGCTGCGCAACGAAGTGCGCACAAGCAAGGCGCGGCGCAACGAAGCCGAGGCCAAGAGTCGAGACCTCGAAAGGAAATTGAGACTGCAGAGTGGAGAATTGGAGGCTTACAAGAAGACGCTGGCTGAGAATGGACTCTTGTAGAAGAAGCGAGGGGGAGGAGTTCGTGCTCTACCTCGCGAATTCGGACATTGCTGCTGCTGCTGCTGCTCTGCGAGAGGGCAGGCAGGTCTTTCATTCCTTTCTTTTGCAGATACTTTCTTTGCCTGCCTTGTACAATGCGATACCCAAATTGTTTTGCAGTGACGTTTCTGTCTAGGAGTATGCCGTGTGATGTTGATGATATTGTGATGCTAGTGATACAAATGATGGGTAGCCGCCGATGGCGCCGTCGATCGTCTCTGCCGGCCGATATGACAGAGAATCTCTGTCCCTCTCCTGTCCCTCTCCCTCTCCTGTCCCTCTCCCTCTCCTCTCCATCCCCAATTGCCATTCCCTCTCCTCTCCAACCCCAATCCTCTCCCCTTTCTTCTCCCGACTGAAGTCTTGCGCAGAGCAACTTTCCTCCTTTACTTGTTCTTACTAAACTTGTACTGGAACCTCTTGCGTGTAGGAGCAAATTCGCCCAGCTTGTGACCTACCATCTCCTCGGTAATGGAGATGGGGAGGTGTTGCTTGCCATTGTGAATTAGGAAGCGGAGCCTGCGAGGGAAGAGAGCGAGCAAGCGAGCGAGCGAGCAAGCGAGGCATGAGTCTCACTCGTCGCTTTCAAACCTGGTACCTGGTCTTAGCTCGCCATCATAGGCAGATGGTAGAGACTTACCCGACGTAATTTGGCAGAATGGTGCAAGAGCGAGCATTTGTCCGGATGGGCGTGTTATCCCTCAGGGCGGCTGCGAGGTTGGGCAGAGCGACAAAGAAGGGACCTTTCCAGGCTGAGCGCGAGGCCACCGCGAGGGTTGGGAGCATGACTGGCCTTCGAAAGAGAAGAGGGAGGGGGAGGGAACTCTACAAAGTGTGAAGATGGTACAGGGCGGGTCAAACCTACGATGAGTTAATGGCGAGCAGTGGGTGACTTGCAGATGGTCCGACATTCTTGCCTGCCTGCCCTGCGCGCGAGGTGCCGATCCGATTTCTCATGCAACCACAGATCCACCCTCGCTGCTCCAACTCTTCGCGCCGCCTCGGCTCCCCTCACCTCACCTCACCGCCTTCAATCTCGTACCCACACGACTTCTCACTCCTCGGCTGGACTTGCTGCAATGTCAAAGAAGGGTCCACAAGGAGTTGCTCAGCTGGTCAAGCTGCTCGTACCGGCAGGAAAGGCCTCGGCTCAACCTCCCGTCGGACCGGCGTTGGGGGCAAAGGGAGTCAAGGCAATGGACTTTGCAAAGGCCTTGTGAGTCGAAGCTCGGATACAAGAAAGAGGCTAGTAACAATTGCGTAGAGTCTGACATTCTGTGAGCTTCCTTCGATGAATTTCTCCTGCAGTAATGAGCAGACGGCCCACCTTGAGCCGGGATTGCCAACACCGACGCTAGTGAACATCGCAGCAGATCGTACCTTTACTTTTGAGATCCGAAGTAAGTCCTGCCTCTCGAGCCTGGGCGTCTCTAATAATCTCTTCGCCGCACTTTTGCTCACTTTGTACTTTCTCTTTCCCTTTGCTCTCTCTCTCTTGTCTACTCGCAGCCCCACCCACATCTCTTCTCCTAAAGCGAGCAGCAGGTATCACCACGGGCGCAGGCAGGCCAGGCTCATCAGGTGCAGACGGAATTGCGGGTACGGTGAGCGTGAAGCACATCTACGAGATTGCAAAGATCAAGATGAAGGATGTGCCGGGAATTGATGAGGAGAAGGTAAGTCCAACAAAGCTGGGTAGAAGAGTGGCAGGCGGAAAGAGGGGGCAGACGCATGGAACTGACATTTGACTACCCTCTTCTCTTCTCTGGGCGACCTCTTTCCAGATGTGTAAGGTGATAGCTGGAAGCGCTCGTAGCATGGGCATCCGAATCGTCAGATGAAAGCGCATTTGCTTTCGAAGCACCAACTCAGATCTAGCCGCCTTCCTCAGCTTCCGAACATCCTCTATTGTACATTAGCCATTCACTACCTCTGCAAATCATTGTCGCATCTCTGATCACTGCCTTGGACGCCCTCTTTGCGACTTAAGAAGCTTGCGCTGTCACTGTACTAATGCTATAGAGTCTGTATGCATTGTAAAGCGTCCTCAAATCCTATGTCGGAGCGAGCGAGCTACTACCCGATCTCTGCTGAGCTCGAGGTCCTACCGTCCAGCCCTCACAGCACTCTTTCTGTATTCCATGCACTATTCGTCGCGAATTCTTTCGGTGCGGTCGGATTTGTCTAATAGGGACGTGAAGCGTAGGTGGGCAGATGGATTAGCTCCTCTGCTTCCCTTCCCTATCCGCAAAGATGGGGTGAAATGAGCCCCTCCCTTGGTCGTGCTGTCTGCTTTGCCTACTCACTGCTTGCCCTCTCATTGACCCTGTTAATCTCTCATCGCGCTTCATCATCATCGACTCGAATTCATCGATGCTATGTCTGATTGGCTGTAGAAGGGGTGAGGGAGAGGAATGGAGCAAGGGATTCAGCGTCAGCTGCTGGGCTCTCAAAGTCCTTGTGTGTCATGGACATCCTCTGAACTGACCTTTCCATCGTTGCGGTACCTCGCCAGTGCATTGTAGCCAGTTCCGGTGACGAAGAACATGACTCCTACGAGTCCCATTGGGATGAGTGCTTCGTATGCTGTTCAAGGCATGGGCAGGGAGAAGGGGGGCGATGAGAGTGGCAGTGTGAGCTGACAGTGCCTGCTTTTCACTTGCTAGTGCTCTACTACTCACGGACAGGCATGGTGGGGGGTGAGCGACTGGCTGGGGCGCGGTGGTAGAGTGGGATGAGGTGGGATTACAATTGCCGATGAGGATGATCCTGGATTCCTGGATTGGCGTGCGCCTGGTCCGAAGGGACGCTGTGGGCGTGGCCCGAGGGGCAGACGATGGCCGCGCGCGTGGGCGGGGGAGGGGGTGCCTGGGTGCTGCTCCAGGCCGGGGCGGGGGCAAATGCACGCACGACGCAGGATACGCTGTCCGCCTCCCAGTCGCCTGCCGCCTGGCGCCGTGGGAGGAACCCCAGCCTGTGGCCTCGCCTCGCCTGACAGATCTCACCGTCCAAATCGCCCTTCACCACGGTCCTAGACATCGACGTCCTGGGCCAGGTTCATCGGCACACACTCACCCCTGCCACATCGTACAAGCTACCTGGACAATACTACGTTCGCGTCTACGCCAACCACTTTGCTCACACGGACCCCTTTTGCTGCTACCCACGACGCGACCCCTCGAACCACTCCTTCCCATCACCGTCGCAGCACCATTCCTCCTCCTCCACTACCCACTTTTCTCGACCAGGATCTCTGCTCGCCATCACACTGGCACATCTGTGGATCCTCTGCTGGTTCCCCACGCCGAGGCAAGACCTTCTCTGCCAACGCAGCTACCCGGCACTCGGCTGATGCATCCCTGAAGGGTAGCTCATAAAGCAATCGCGGTTACCACCACAACGGCCCGCACCGAGCTCAAATAACCTCACCACGATTGAGGCACGTCATCGCGACCTTGGCTCGCCTACACCTAAGAACCTCGTTGCAATTCTGGCAACGACGTCCAGGTGCTCACACGTCCCATCTCCTAGAGCCCACTTGGGCTGCCCGCTCCGCTCGCTTGACCGGACGCGCCTTATCCAGTGTAGGACCGCACATCGCCGCTGCTGCAGTCCTCACCATCTCCGCGAGGACGGGGAAGAATGTCAACTCCTGGCCTCGCAACGGGACAAGGATCAGGTCCCAGCCTCCAGCCACCCCTTCACGACCCTTTGGCTTCTTCCAACAAGGTGACGGGAGCAGGGCTACCACGCAAGCGGGGCGCATCGGCCACGCCTGATGGCATCGCAGATAAGAGGAACAGACCCGATGATAGCAGGCCGGGACAAGGTGCTACAGACTCAGGAATGGGAAGCCCAAGCAATTCACGCGGAGATAGGCTGATGAACGAGCGCCTTTGGGGCGAAGAAGCTACAAAGTGAGTCGGGACTGAGCTGCGAAAATCAGCACATGTGTCTTGGGGGTGACAGTGCTGACATACTTCTGCTGCGACGTCGCCTCTGCCAATCCCGCCTCCGCTAACTCCTTCAGACTGGACGTGTATGTCTGGGACTATCTCACAAGAAGAGGGTTCAATGGAGCCGCAAAGACACTAGTCTCCGAGGCTCAGATGAACGAGCCGCCAGACGTACCGCTGAAGACTCCCCAAGGACTCTTGTTCGAGTGAGTGCAGCACGTCGGATTGCCAGAATGGAAGATTCCACTACTTGCGCATGCTGATCCTGCTGGACGCCTGCATCTCGCCCATCTTCCACCCTCGTAGGTACTGGGCTATCTTCTGGGATGTAGTGAGTGTAGACACTTCGATAAAGGCCGTTGTGAAGGTGTCACTCACACCACCCTATGCCTCATCTTTTCGCCCACAGTTCGCTGCTCGTTCGGGACGTGGCACTCCAGATGCTCGGGCTTATCTTGACTTTGAAGAACAACGTCAGACACAACGGCAAAGCGATAGCAACAGGCGTGGCGAGGCCGGAGAGGCTGCCGGTGTTGGAGTAGGCTCCTCGACCGAGATCGGTCGTTTCCCCTCGATGGTCATGGGCAATGGCTCCGGCACTCAGACCGACGGCTTAGCGGCTCCCGCTGCCCTCGCTGTTCAGCAGAGGGCGGCAATGGCCAACACGTTCAACAATGGCGCAGCACCAGGAGCAGCTCAACCCATGGGACCCGCAATCACCATTGCAAACCTACCACAGCAGCAACAGCAGCAGATCCTGCTACAGGTCGCTCGCCAACGCGGAATTCCCATCGAAGAAGTGCGGCAGTACAGTCCGGCAATGCGCCAGTCTTTACTCAACTCTGCCATGCAGCAGTCGCAGCAGCAAAACCAACAGCATTTGCAAGGTCAGCCGCCACAAAATGCTCAGACACAGCAGCAGTCACAACAATTACAGCACGGGCAGCCGATCATATTTGCTCCCGGAGGTCCTGGAAGTCAACCTATGAGAATTGCCCCCGGCCATCCTCAATATGAGCAAGTCTTTCAGAGCAGACTGGCCCAGCAAAAGGCTCTACAGGCCCAACTGGGAAATCGACCACCTTCTCGAGGCCCTCAGGTAGGTGGCCCTCCGGCAGCTTTGACAGCTCAGGGTCCCAATAGAGTCAGCATGCTCCCACCAGGAGCTATCGGCTCGCCGGCAGCTGCATTACAGCCTGCGACTCCTAGTGCTGGTCCTGCCCAAGTGGGAACGCCAGGCGCAGGCGGGGTGCAAGATGCTGGAAGGCAGCAGTTGGCCCCACAGATGCAACAGCAGCAGCAGCCGGTAGGCGGCGCGTTCCAAGGAGCAGGAGGACCACTGCAACAGCCGCAACAGCAGCAGCAGCAACCTTCGACTCCTGGAGGCGGCACGGCTCCCCTCGGCACTGCAAGGGCGGAGCTCCCGCCTCAGGCCATGTTGCCAGAGCATCTTCGGAACAAGCCTGTTCTCAATGCAGCGCAGCACAGTGCTCTGATCTCTCAACTCCAGCAACTGCATGAGAATATACGCCAGGAAGGGTCAAAAGCTCAATTCGCCCCGAATCAGATGATGGCGCAGCAATTCTTCCAGAATGCGAGCTCGCTGCAAGCAAAGGCACAGCATCTTCAAGAAATTCTCAAAGTTCAGCCTCTACTGCAGCAAGCTGCCGCCTCCTTTGCACAGCAGCAGGCACAAGCGAGGAATGCAGGGTCTACGCCCGGGGGACCTGGTGCCACAGCCAATTCGGGTCAAATGAACCCACCTTCAACTACGCCGCTGATGCAGAATGGCGTGCTGATTCCTCAGCAACGGACTCAGTTGTTGTCCCAGCAGCAGCAACAGCAGCAAGGATTGTCCGGCCGTCAGGACGTTCCTGGCATGAACGGACAGCTACAAGTCGGTCAGGTGGGACATCAGCGACCGCAGACGGGCGATCAACAGTCACAAATGGGAACGCAGATGTCGGGCGGTCAGCAACAGCAGACGCCGTTCCAGCAAGGGATGGCAGGCGGCCCTCATCAGGGCGGTGGCACGGGAGATTACACTTCCGTCGAGCAACCACGCTCTCATGCTGTGCAGTTCACCGGTAACCCTTTCGGTCGACCCGGAGGTATGCAGGGCCAGCCTACGGGCCCACAGCAGTTCGGTATGAACCGTGGGTTGGGCAACAACGAGGACCAATCCCATCATGCTATGCAGCAATACGGTACCCATGGCGCAGCGGGCCTCGGACGCCCAGCTTTGGCGCGATCCGCATCAAATGCAATGGGCGCCGGGCCTTCAACCTCCAGTCCTAGCCCCAGAAATCCATCTGTCGGCAATGGCTTGCAGGGAAACAATGCCAAGCCCCCGGCCTCTGCAAATTCTCCCGCTGCAATGATCCCCAGTACCCCCAAGCAAGCTGCTGCCGAAGTGAAGAAAAAGAAAGAGCCAAACAAGGCAAATCGAAAGAACTCGAAAGCTGTCAAGACACCTCAGCTGGGCCACGCTCTTGTTCCGTCGGGCAACGGCGGGGATGCTTCGACACCCGGTGGTGGCGGTCAAGGGGCAAGCGCCGGCGGTGGCAGTGGCGGTGCGCCGCAGACGCCTTCCAGCAACCAACCGACACCGAGAGTGGAGCATCAACAAATCAACAAGGCACAACAACCGCCCCCAAGTCGCAGTGGTACCGGTGGCGGTGGAAACGAAAGTGGCAGCGGAGATATCAATGGCAGCGCCAACCATTCCATGGACTCGCAACAGCCTTCTGGTCTGACCAGCTCTGCCTCGATGACAAACTTCGACGCATTTGCTCCATCTTTGGACGGGCTAGGCGTATCCGGAGCGGGCGTCGGAGCTGGCTCGACTAGCAACGCCGATGCCTCAAATCAGAGGGGAAGCACAGACGCTGGCCTGAGCAATGAAGACTTCTCGAGCCTCTTTGCCTCGAATGAGTTCTTTGACTTTGATGCTGGAGGATCGAGTAGTGGAGGAGGGCCCAATGGAGGCAATGGCGGAACTGGCAACTTCGATTGGGATATTAGCAGTCTTTCGGGAATGTTTGGAAACGAAATGGCTGGTGGATCTTGAGCTGCGATGGGATAAGGAAGACGAAAAGGTGTCCCACAAGGATGCGATTACCTTTTAAGAGGTTGCACACAAGTGCAGATGCTACGTTTGGACGACATCGATGCATTACGATGTTGACGCCTACCCAAAAACAACAGGGGCTTCATACACGCTGTTTCCCCCCACCCCTGGCCCTCTACTACGGCTCGTTAGTCCGCCCCGTTCCCCCATTCTTTCATGTTGTACCGCTAGCAGTGCTAGGAAGAAAGTCCACGTCACTTCCCCTTTCCCCCCCCCCTCCTCTCTGTATCTCCCTCTTCTTCGCTCCTTCGCTCCTTCTACCTACCACCTTGAAGGCTTCTTCTTTCATCTTGCGCTACCCTCCCCTTGCCTATCTTGCTTGCTGGCTTGCGCTGCACCGCGCTGCGCTGCGCTGCGATGTTCCTTTGCTTTTTTCTTCCTCGCTTCTCTTACGTCACTATATCGTTTTGTGCTACCAGTCTGACTTGTTTCTTTGGTTCAACGTGGTACAGACGGAGAGAGGGAGGAGGAGGGAGCATCGATATCGGCACTGCGAGGGGATTGGACTGCTGTGCGATGAGATTCTGTGCTGTGCGTCTACACCTGCTTATGGACTGAGCTATCCGAGTATGACTGAGCATGACCGCGTCTTGTCCTATGCTCAGTGCTGAGTTCCTGGCTGAGCGGGCGGGCGAAGCGAATATTTCTGCCGATTTGGAAGCGAGTCAGAAGTCGGACTGCAAGTCCGAGGTCGGAGTCGGATCGGAAAATTGCTTGCTTGCAGGTGGCTTTCGATTGATGCTTTGCCCCTGCAGCTTGCCAAGACCCAAGGCCCATCATCAATCAGTGAGTGCTTTTTCTTTCCTTTTGGGCCAAGCGGATTGACACTGACTGGCTCTTGACTCGATTCGATCCGATGTAATTTGAGTCGCAGAAGGGTGGAGGGAAGTGCGGAGAGTGGGAAGCTCAGCCATGCGCCATGCCTCGCTCAGTTCTTCCTGCTCGACGGTGAACAAGTGACAGTCTATTCGTCGATTTGAGAGATGAGGAAGGAGTGCTCAGTCGAGTCATCCTCATCAGTCTTTCTACCGCGTAAGGCGATGAGATTGAGTGCACAATGCTTGGCACGGTCGGACCTCTCCTTCAAGGCTGTTATGACAGATGTGTGACTGATCTGAAATCCGGAAAGACGTAGTGATGAAGTTGCTGGTGAGGAATGTATAAGGTCCAGAGAAGCATGTATTCTAATTTCCTTCACTCGCTTGTAAACACCTCACACACATCGTCCGCGACTTGCTTCCTCCCTATCGACCATATTGCTTCCACCAAAATGTCTTCGACAAACACCAGCAACAACCCCAATCCCTCTCCTCCTTCCCCCTCTACTTCTTGCTCTCGGACAGAGGCCAAGAAGAAGTTCACCTCGCCCCTGCAAGGCCTCTTTCGCACGAAGAAGAGTCCCTCTCCCCCTGCGACGCAGCAGAAGAATGCCCCACGTTCCTCCCTCGATTCTGAAGTGACACTGCTCGACACCAAGAAAAGCTCCAAATCCAAGTCTGAGGTTCGTACCACTGAGAGTGAGAGCGAGATCGAAATCGAAATCGAGAGGAAGGACAGATACAGCAGGCGCTGTGGCAGTGGCAGCGGCAGCGGCACTCGCAATCGTACGGCAGAGGTGCCGACTATGGCGGGCTGGGGACTCGAGGTAGGCTGGGGCCTGCTGGCTCGTGGAGCAGCAGAAGATCTCTGCATCCCCACGTACGGGTCCGTTTATGCGCACACCTTTGTCCTGGGTAGAGCGACAGTGGGACTGACTACAACTCGTTCCTCTTACGACAATGCTTTATCTCCCTCAACATCATCATCTTCCTCACCTTCGTCGGCTATGCGCGATTTGCAGGAGGAGAAGAAGGACTACAAGGCACCGCGCCCACCTATGAATTTCCACTGAGAGGATCAGGTCGTACAAGACTACCTCGACTTCCAGGAAGATCCTTCATCGATCTCATGACCGCCAACAGCAGCTCCGACTTGGAGCAGCTCGTCTACGATGCCGTACTTCTAGAGGCCTCGTGAAACTGTTCGCAACGTGAACAGCTCGGCTCCTACTGGGGCGCACCATTGGTGTACCACAGTCATGCCCCACACATGGATCGGCCAGTCGCCGTCGTGGCCGCGAGAGAGGCAGCTGCTTCTGCTCAGTCTCTTTCTCAAGCCTCACCACGCTTGGTCAATCACCTCGTTGCGATACTGCGTACTTGGCAGGGCCTTACTCTTGCAAATGTTTTCCATCGACGCAGTATCGATCTTAGCGTTGGGACGCCTGTCCTGTGTGTGTCGCTATAGTATATAGCAATGGAACCCTTTGAGCTTAGCTCTGATAATCTCTGTGCTCCGAGTTTCGGCAGGGATACCATGAGTTGGAAACGGCAGAAGATATATCTCCCCACTCGGCCTTCCTCTAATTTCATCAATCGATCCCGACAGTCCGAGCCCAGGCGGGTCCGTTCCCGAATTAGTGACTCTGTTCCCCGCATTGTTCATGTGCGGAACATGTATTGCGCAGGCTCAGCCCTATTCTCGTCGATTACATTCGTCTCTCTCTCTCTCTCTCTTTCTCCGCTTTGCGTTCGGGTCTGCCGGCCGAAGGAGTGAGAACCCGTACTGTTGCGTGACTCATTTTCCTTCGGGCTAAGCTCAACCCTTTTCCATTGTCAGTGCTCAGTTCAAGTCTGTTGGTCCGACCAAGAAGCGAGATCTGATCGGCGCGCGCGTCTGTCGTGCAGGTGTCAGATGCAGTGCCTGACTGGGAGACGCTTGACGCTTGCTCGCTTCTGAGAAGATGCCGCTGATGCCGCCGAGCAACGTGACGACGGAAGCAGGAAGGGGGAGAACAGACCGAGCGAGCGGTAGACTAAGCGACAGAGGGTTGAGTCATAGCGGGGCTGTTTGCAGTGGGGAGTCATAGGGGACGTGAGAGGGGTACAAGAAGGAGTGTGATACTTTGGGGATCAGAACATCCCCCACTTCAGCTCATTACTGCATTTCTGTTGAATAACACCAACTACGACAATCGTCAGCATCACCACCACCACCATTACTCTCCCCCTCTGTCAAGAACCTACTACCGCTACTACTACCTCCACCATGAGCACCAACACTACCATGACCACCATGACTGGTCCCACCGTAGAGGCCTCTCAGCCCATCGTTACCAACCCAAGTCCACCCTACGAGATGCCAAAGAAGTCCTTTGCCCTCCGTAAGCTCATCCCTCAGAAGCTCACTTCTCCACCTTCCTACGACGAAGTATATGGAGAGGCATACCAGTATGTCCCGTCTACAACGACAATAGAGACTCAAGTCACTACGACTACCAGTTCGAGTCCTGGGCAGAGCTACGGGCCAGTAGTAACGCCCTTTGTCAAGTCAAAGAAGAGCAGCAAGCCCTCCGAAACCATCGTCCGTCGTGAAATCAACTGGGCCGGCTGGCAGTCGCTCTTGCCTGGCGTCAAGAGCGGGAACAGGTCCTCCAGGCCAAAGTCGTACTCCTGGGAAGCCGCTGCACTTGCGCGTGTGTGAACGAGACGGGGAAGTTCTACCACTTTCGCGACAAGATCGCATCTCCTTACCTAGGTTGCAAGACCTGACTGCGACCCATCGCACAATGTCAGACTGAATAGTAGCTGGCACCGGCTCCTCGCAGAGCGAGGTACCACCCTCGTGCTTCCTCGATACCGAGGCTCTCCTTGACTCAGAAGCTCAAACACAGCAGTCAAGATTCGTAGACCATGCATCAAGCCATGCAAGCAGCAAGCTCCCTTCCACGTGCTCAACGAGCTCGGTGACCTTCTCGAAGGGTAGGAGAGCAGCCGACATTGCAAGGCCACTAAAGGAGGATTCATAGCTCGCTTGCGTTCCTCTTGACCGCCTTTCATCCCGTTCAGGAGCCTCATTCCGCCAGCTAGCTATCGAATCGCATTGTCCTGTAGTGTATCCCCAGTGACCGTGTAATAAATTATGATCTGGCAATGTACCTGTTGTGCTAGTCTTCGAGTTCGCCCATGGCAGGTCCCGGTCCTGGTCCCTTTGCGTCGTGCCCCTTCTCCTGCTTGCTGACTTCGACCTCCCCACCTACGAGCGCACTGCGCTTCTCGTCCTCGACCCCCGTTCCTGTCATCGTCGTCGGCTTGTCGGCAGACTCACTTTGTCCCTGTCGCGATGTCGCCTCCTCACTAGTGCTCAAATCCGCACTCCCACTCCCACTTTCATCTACATCCTCTTCTTCACTCCATTCGTCTTCCTCTTCGGCGCTTCGTCGCTTCAATGGCTCCAGCGGTAGATCAGCAATGCAAGGAGCCGCTTTCCTCGAGAGGAGACTTCCGTCTATGAACCCTTTGAGGGTCGGGATTGCTACTGTGAACCAGACGAGTAGAGTGATGATCACGAGGATTGTGTATACGATCTTGAGCGCGAGGGAGGAGAGGACGAGGGCGAGACGACCGGTGCAAATTGCGAGGGAGCCGAGGGGGAAGGTTGCGCCCCACCCTGGGAATGAGATCAGAGGAAGAGGTTGGTAGGTCAGCGCCTAGTCGCAGTCTTTGATCCGCTTCCAGCCGCTCTATGCTGCACTCACAGCCCATATTGAACGTCAGCTTACCCCTCCTCGTCTCCCGTACGACAGTCATAATGCCAAGGGCCATCCACCACATCCCAAAGGCCCACAGCATCAGAGCGCCGAGCAGCCCAGCGGCAAACAAAGCTTGCCCAACGGGAAAGCCCAACTGGCTGGCACCTGCGTATGTCAGCTGATTGCCCACGGAAGAGGCCTCAGAGGATGGTAGGGCGGAAATAGTTGGGAAGAGCCGGTAGGCTACGAGACCCAAGTGGAGAAGAGCTTCTCCCCCTTGACCTGCTGGACCAAGAGGGAGGAAGACGCTGATGATCACCTCCCTAGGAGGCTGTTTGAAGAGAAGGACTGGGTTGCCAAAGGAGAAAGAGGCATCAGCGTTAGAGTGATGACTTCTGCAAGACAGGCTTGCTTACTTACGCCGTTGAAAGTACAGCACCAGAATCAGTAGCGCCAGGGGCAAGCCGACGCCCAGGACTAGATAACTGACGATGACAATGGTAAATGCGTAGGTTGGGTACACATCCATGAGAGCCTCGGCGATTACCGCTCCGACAGCTGCTACCGTGATGGGAGGAACGATTGGAAGCAGCAATGCGGCAGTTGTGGACGAGAACGAGTGGCTCTGATACGTCGTGACCATGAATGGAACCCCTACGGCGGTCATCAGGGAGATGACTGTAGCAATCCACCAGAGCACAGAAGCTGCCATGGCGTAGCTGTGGCCTAGTCCAAATTCCACTGTTCCCAGCTGAGCGATGTTGGAGATGATGACAATCATACCCATGGGAAAGGTGCCGAGGAACATGCTCTTCTGAGGATGTTTGATGGTCAAGGGGAGTACTTGAGGGAAGAGGATGTAGCGCGTGAGGAAAGCGGCGGTGAAGAGGAGAAAGCTGAGAAGGGAGGATGACAGAACAACCCAATCATATCAGTACCGCAATAGCGACCTTCCACTCTGACCCAGGCTCACATTACGATATCTGCCAGGAGATACACCAAGGCGACCCATCTGAAACCACTGTGTGTTGCAGACCATGGCAGAAGGTTGACCAGTGTAGCGATCACACCCGTTCCCATCGTCACCGCGAACCAAGACGGAGTGAAATGCAGCACTCTTTCTCGGATACCGCGGGCTGCCCGAGTCGCAGTATCAGGATGCGGATCAGGCCGCCGTTTTGGGCGTGTCCTGACAGGCTCTCCTTTCTTCGGCCCAGGTGAGGCTGCATCGCCCCCTCTTTGCATGCGCCGCCTGGGTGTCTTGCGAGGCGCAAAGTCACCTTGGAGAAAGAGACGCTCTTCTTGATCTTCCGTAGTCAGATTGGGTACATCTCGTCTTTGCGGAGCGGATGACCCGGGCAAGGATGAGGCGGGGCTGTCGTCAAGACCATTGCCGACATGATGGTGGTGGTGGTGAGAGATGTGGGTGGGCGCAGGCAGAGCAACGCCCTCCATGGCATCTAGTCCTGCTGGAACGTAGCCACTACGTGATCCAGAGTGATCCATACGAGGACGCAATGGTAGAGCGAGGAGGGTACGATGCCCCGGAAGATGCGGGAGTGAGGCTGACTGGGGTGACCGGCGTACGAGGGGCAACGGAAAGGGCGGAAATGAATTTGGCGATGCGTCGGTGCTTGTTTGCGCCACGCGAGCAGCACAAAGCAACAACCGAGGCCGCCGCCGCTCCCGCTCCGCCTCGCGCCCGAAATTCGCGCAGGTGTTGGACTCGATACAAGTCAAACATACCATCATACAATACCCCTGTGTGCATCGTCCTGTGTGACCTTGACACTCCTCGCATCTCTCCTTCTCTCTGCTCGCTGCCATACCGGACACGATATCAGCTTACCGCGGGTCGTCATTGGCAGCTAGCCTGCACGCCCTGCCACGTGCCTGCACACTTCCAAGTGCATCACAGGGCTGGAGAGGGGTAGCCTGCTCTGACCTACAATGGACCGTCATGAGGGCATATATAAGCCAGGCGAGTCGTCAAAGTCTGTCAACTCTCAGTCACAGGGTGGAAGTACTCCACGAGTCGGGCCACAACATCAGCTCTCACCCAAATCCAACGCCGACAACAGCGGGGTAGAGGCAGATTCGAGCATCGTCTCCGGAAGATCCAGCGGCGACTATTCCTACGATGACGAAGATGACGATATACCCGATTCCGAGCTCAACGAGCTGGAGACTTCCATGAGGCAAAGCCAGAGCATTGATGACTTTGCCCGCCTCATCACCGAATTCCGTCAAGAGAGGAGGAGGAGAAGCCTTGAGCCTCGCTCGCCTCAAATGCAGCGGCGGAGTCAGCAGCTAGAGGTACCCAATGGCACCCCAGGAGGTAGCAGCTTCCTCGGTCATCTCTTGCAAAATGACTCGAGGAAGAGTAGGAAAGGCGATGCAAGACGGAGAAGCAGGACTCTAAGTCAAGCAGGGAGTGAAGAGGGAGGGGCTAGTCCAAGGAGAAGCTTGGACGTTTCAGATGCAATCAGTGTAGCAAGCAGCAGAAGAGATTCATGGAGGCCGTCAGATCGCTGTACCTGCTGCTGTGGCCTGGAAAGCTGCGAGCGTGCGACGAGAGCAACTACAGAGTGGGCGGACATGGAGCAGGATCTCAAGCTTGCAGCTGGTGAGTGGGAGTCCGCGATGAAGCTCAATAGCCTAAGGATGTACTGATCCCCCTTTTTTTTTGCCTCACTACTGCCTTCAGAAATCGGACAGGCACTGCTACGGCGCAATGATGTCCTTGCAGAGACAGCGACAGCTCAAGATACTCGGCATGCTAGCCAAGTAGACTCACTGATGAGGCGGCTCACGAAGAGCATCAAAGAATCCGACGCAATGAGTAAAGAGCTCGAGCAGACGAGTATGAATCTAGAAGCAGCAGATAGCAGCAATAGAGCTCTGCTCTCCGAGCTGGAAGAAAGTCGGAGAGACCTGGCAAAGATCAAGACAGAGAGAGCCAGGCTGGTAGCCATGGAGGAGCGCTCCCAGAAGATCTCAAAGTGGCTTGAGGATGCTCGACAAGAAGTGCAAGTCGAAAGAAGGAAAACCGCTGCTGCAGAGGCTAGGGCCAAACGCTCAGCAGAAAAGGTAGCAAGTCTGAGTGAGAGCATTAAGCAAGCTGCAAGCGCTTCCAAGACCGAGGCGAGCAGCATGGAGGCCTTAATGAGGGCAAGGGCTCGATTGAGGCAAGAGACTCTGGATGCTACTTCCGAATCATCTCAAGCGCAGCAGGATGATACCCTCAAGACGCTTGAGGGGTTGGCTATGGAGAACGAGGCTCTGCAACGTCAGGTGGAGCAGACGACGCTACTGCTCCAGGTCGCGAATGAAGAGATCTCGACGATGCGCGAGGCAGAGCCCACACGCCCGACTCATACCCGCACAATGAGCAGGAGGCACAGGTCCTATGGCTTTAGCGACGCATACAGAGGACCCTCCTCTGGTGCTACGCACAAGACCGGCGAAGGCGGCTCCGAGGAAGGCGATGAGGAAGTTCACTCTCGTCTCATCCACTCTCCCCAGCCGACTACTCCAAATATGGCGGAGGAGCTTTGCGGCGAAGGTGAAGAACTGTTCGCCAGCCAGCAAGCTGCCCGTCGTTCCCTGTCAATGCCACCGCGAGCACCTAGCCGCGGGTCTGCTATCAGCGTCCCGCCTTTCGAGAACCCGGCAGCCGATCAGAGATACAGTCCTCGACCTCCTCACGCCCTCCTTCTCTCTCCCAACCTACCGCATAGCGAGCTGCCTCCTTCCGGAAGGATAACGCCGACTTCCTCGAGCTCGGAAGCCCAGAGGATTCGAGCGGCCTACATGGCTAGCGCAGCCGGAGCGTCCTCCACGACTTCAGTCGAGGAGACCGTTGCATCTGCCTCACAGCCTTCGCAGCCGAGACGAGAGACTCGGACAAATCAGCTGGTTACGCTTCTTGATTACGTTCAAAGACTCGTCAGCCGTCTCAGCAATGCGGACGTCGACACAATGGCGAAGCGATTGCAGCGGCAGCATCTCGCCGGAGACGTGGGTCATCTATCCAGGGTGACAATCAATGCAATCACAAGGGACGCCGAAGGCATGAGGGAGCACTTCAGGAAGCTTATTGAGGCAGAAGCTCGAAGTGCCCAGGCTACGCTTGGCAAAGACGATGTCTCGCTCCATTCAGCCGGCGATAACGCGGCCGCGGTGGAATCACTCGTGTCGAGGAAGGAATTCTTCGCTCTGATCAAGCTGCTGCGAGACACGCTTTTCGAGGCTGCTAAGCTTCGCAATGCGATCAACGAGGTGCAACTGGCTCCTGGCAATGCGGCGAAGATCCTGCAAGAGCAGCTCGGCGCAGCCACTCCTCAAGAGGACAAGGGAATGGGAGCATGGCTAGGTGGATTGCTGAGGGGTGTAGCAGGAGGTGCGGTGCCGGCCTCCGCGGGGAGTGGAAGCGCAGTCACTGCACCAGGTACAAATCCTGCCCCAGTGGTATCTCCAGGCCCTGCTCCCAGTGCTTCCGCCGTCGGTGCAGCAGGCAGTAGACCCGCTCTCGGCCGTGCCGTCAGTCGTGGAGGAAGCTCTGCACCCAATCCTGGCGCAGCTCGACCTGCTTCAAGGGCTTCCGCTGCCGTGCTCTCATCAACTGTTGCTGTAGAGTACAAGGTCACGCGAGCGTCTAGTGCTGCCCCTCACACCCATAGCATGGACTCATCTGGCCTCGAGACTCATTCTCCACAACAGCCGTCTCCTGCTCCGGTAGGAGGAGCAGAAGCCCGACCACAGGTCGGCCGTGCTGGCAGCGGACTGTCCAAAATGCAAAGCCGTAATCTGAACGGTCTCTTTGCTGGAGCGCCTGCCGATGGTTGGGCCATGGTCAACCCGAGATTATCTGCTGTGCCGGCGCGGTACAACAGTCAGCAGCCGGCAACGTCTACTTTGGGAGGCATGAGGCCCATGCAGGGTGTACAGGACATACATCGACCCTTGTCGAGAATCGTCGACGATGATGAGGTTAGCATCCGCCAGAGCAAGCCAGCCTGGGAAGGTGACGCAGCTGCTGGTGGCTCGGACGACGAACAAAGCGGGACCAAAGCAGTGGTGCGACCCAAAGGTCTTCGACCGAGGGGTCTGTCGGACAGCTCTATTCGCTCCACATTCATTGACCACGAGAATGACTCGAAGAACCCGATGGACAGCCGCAATGTTGGTCTGGGCATCGCCTCTGCAACAAGCAAGCGGACATCCCCGGCTGCGAGGATCATGAATCGCTCGACGTTGGCATTGCAGCCAGCAGCCGTGATAGATTCCTCCGCCAGTCTGGAAGCTGCTCTTGGGAAGCCAAGTAGTCAGGCTGATCCCCAAGCTCAACAGCGCACTCGCAGTGGCGGAGGTGGATTCCTTGCAGGGCTTGGAAGTACTTTGGGCTTGACAAGGCAGCCATCGCATTCAGCATTGAGCCGTGCCGCTGCTACTGCTCCGACTGCGACGACAGCCTTGCCTGCCACTGCATCGTCATCCAAGCAAGACATGCTCGAGATACCGACTCCAGCCCTCTCCAGCGTAAGCGCCGTGGCCGTGCCTGCTCGTCCGTCAAAGGAGCGCAGCGCCACTGGCCCTCTGCTCTCGCCTTACGGCACATCTCCCGCTGCTGCTGCAATGGCAGCTGCCATTTCCCCATCTGGGAGGAGCGCGAGTGGATCAACGGCTTCTTCCTCTGCAGTGGGTCGAGAGACAAGCTCCGATAGGGATCGGGACCGAGAGCGGGATCGCGATCGACCTCTGGCGAGCGTGTTGGCCTACAGTCGCATGATGGGAAGTGGTTCTTCGAAGTGGGGTGGCGAATGAGCGGCACAGTGATCCTTTCATATCTTCCTATCTTTATGCCAAATTCTGATCCCAACTGGGGCATCTCGACGTTGCTTGCTGTGCTCGTACCATACCTTATAATAATTCCAGAGCATCTTGGCGTCATACGCGCCACGCTCCCGCCAGAAGTTGCTCCACCGCGCGCTGGCTGAGAAACCCAGCAAGAATTTGACCAGGTCGGGGCCTCTGCGCCTTTTTCTCGCCGAAGGACAGAGGACGGCAGGCTATCGCTCACCCGCCTGCACTTTCACCTTCCCCAACCCAACCACGATCACACTTGCGTTTCCTTCTTGTCCTTCATACCAAGCTCGAAACCATCACATCAGGACACAGAGAACCCTCCTTTTGATATCGAGGAACACTCTGCTCCCTGACCTACCTTTCCTGGTGTCCACCTCTTGACTGAGATTGAGTCGCCCCACTAGCATACATCACAGCACTACGCAGCTCGCTACCTATACAGCGAGACGTCCTATTCTATCCTCATCCTACTGCTCATAACACTGCAGCATGCCCGTCTCTGCTTCCAAGGCTAAGCGTCAGGCGTGAGTAGACCACATCGTCCCATTCTGCTTGTTTGCTCCTGTAGGGACTGACGAACCTAGCTCCACTTGCTCCACCTACAGTGACAAGGCCGCCAAGAAGGCCGAGAAGGGATCCACTACCAATGGATCCTCTACCACAAAGACTTCCTCCACCGCTCTCACCACACCAAATGACAGCGGTGATGAGGATGGCGGTGAGCTCGACATGAAGAAGCTCGCCATCGCTACCGACAGGAACGCCTCGGGTGTGATCACTTCGGACGCCCAGAGTCGTGATATCCACATCGACTCCTTCACAATGTCCTTCCACGGACGTCTGCTGATCGATGGAGCCGAGATCGCTCTCAACTACGGTCAGAGGTACGGTCTGCTGGGTGAGAACGGTTCCGGAAAGACGACTTTCCTGGAAGCGCTTGCACACCGAGACGTAGAGATCCCTAAGCACGTGGACATCTACCTGGTCCGTGGAGAGGCTGAGCCTACTGAGATCAACGCTCTCGACTACATCATCAAGTCGGCCCGAGAGAAGGTGGCCCGTCTGGAGAAGGAGATTGAAGACATGTCGGTTGCTGACGAGGTTGACGAGCTGGGTCTCGAGCTCAAGTACGAAGAGCTCGAGGACCTGGACCCCTCGACCTTCGAGGCAAAGGCCGGAGCTATCCTGCACGGTCTTGGTTTCAGCAAGGAGATGATGGCCAAGCCCACAAAGGACATGTCCGGTGGTTGGAGGATGCGAGTGTCTCTTGCACGAGCACTGTTCATCAAGCCCCACTTGCTCCTGCTCGATGAGCCCACCAACCACTTGGACTTGGAAGCCGTCGTGTGGCTGGAGGCCTATCTGTCCACCTACAACCGTATTCTCGTCTTCACCTCGCACTCTGCCGACTTCATGGACACAGTCTGCACATACATTCTGGACCTGACCCCTCAGAAGAAGTTCTTGACATACGGTGGTAACTACTCCACTTATGTCCGAACCAAGACGGAGAACGAGACGAACCAGATGAAGGCATACGCCAAGCAGCAAGAAGAAATCCAGCACATCAAGAAGTTCATCGCCTCTGCCGGTACATACGCCAACTTGGTCAAGCAGGCCAAGAGTAAGCAGAAGATCATAGACAAGATGGAGGCTGCTGGTCTCATTGAGCCCGTCAGTCAACCCAAGGCTCTGCGCTTCAACTTCGAGGACGTGCGTAAGCTCCCCCCGCCCATTATTGCATTCAATGACGTTGGATTCTCATACTCTGGCGATAAGAAGGACTTCCTTTACAAGGACCTGTCCTTTGGTATCGACATGGACTCTCGTATCGCAGTAGTGGGCCAGAACGGTACCGGAAAGTCGACTCTGCTAAACCTGATCACAGGAGCTTTGATGCCAGTGGCTGGATCAGTGCAACGCCATGCCGGTCTGAAGATTGGAAAGTACTCTCAGCACTCGGCCGACCAGCTGCCATACGACAAGTCGCCCATTGAGTACATGCAGTCCAAGTTCATGGAGAAGCATCCAGGCAAGGACATCCAGTTCTGGAGGGGTCAGATTGGCCGATTCGGTCTCACTGGTGCCCACCAGACTTCGGCAATCAAGACTCTCAGTGATGGTCTGAGGAACCGAGTCGTCTTTGCTGCCCTCGCCGTGGAAGCTCCCGATATCCTGCTGCTCGACGAGCCTACCAACCACTTGGACATGGGCTCCATCGATGCCCTGGCTTTGGCCATCAAGGAGTTCACGGGAGGAGTGGTGATCGTATCCCACGACTTCCGACTGATCTCACAAGTAGCCGAGTCCCTCTGGGAGGTCAAGGACAAGAAGATCATCGATCTGAGCAAGCAGGAGGTGACGATTGAGAACTACAAGAAGATGCTGCAGAAGAATTCCGAGGCTGCCATTGAGAGGGCGAAGCTGATGAAGTAGTCGGCGAAGGAGGAGAAGTGATTCGCAGCATTGGCATTGTATCTCTATAGGCAGGAGACTGGGAGGTGGAGGGATGATTCATAGAAGTGTTTCCTGTTTTCTCTTCTCTCTTTTGTTTCCGGCTCTTGGTTGTGTGCACACAATTACCATCCTTTCATCCACGTCCACATGCACACGTCTAGTGTTTTCTGCCCTCGACTGTCATGTCTGACTCACGTCTGTGACCGCAATCGCCGTCTTCACACTGACTTGTTCCGGCTGAATGTATCGAGGAAAGGCAGGCAGACGGCTGAGCACCACATCACTTTTGCTGCGTGGGAAGACCGGCGCGTATTTGCTAGCATATGCGTTGCTGGGACAAAGAGGTGCCTATGGGCTCGATGAGGTTGCTTTGCTCCCGGACAGCAATCAGGTACCAGGGGTGGACTCGGATAGAGCGGGTAGTAAAGTGCGGGCGGATGACGACAGCAGGCGGAGGTGACGGCAATCGTGATGATGGCTTTTAATTATTGTTCCAAGGAAGAAAGGAAGAGAGAGCTGATACACCTGACAAGAGAGACAGTGGCAGCATCTTGCTCCTATCTCTCCTTGTCCTTGTGCTTCTCCCTCTTCGCGGTCCCCGCCTTCATGTCCACAATCAGTCTCACACTCCTGGCCACTGCGAGGGGATGAGATGATGCTGCATGATGAGGCCACTGTCAGGGACTATGCGATCAAAGACCCAGGAGAAGCCCGATCTCGAATTCAAATGCAAGGCAAGTCGGACGACGATGCTCGGTCAGTCCTCGCTTGGGAAATCCTGGCAGATATGGCACCAACTCTATTCAACTTCTGGCCCACGTCTCCAAACGGTGCTGGGACGCTGGGTCTTCTCGTACGTCAGGAAGCGGAGCGTCCGATTCCTCAGACTGGGGACAGGACAAGCGAGGCGACAGAGGTTAGTGACGGCTGTAAGAGGACTGAGAGCCTGAGAGTCCGCTGTCGACGTTCGAAGACTAGGCTTTGGGCCGGGTGTAAGCCGAAGTTCAGGGGTCGAAGTCTTAGCAGCAACAGGATAACGAGGAGGAGGAGGAGAAGGAGCAGCAGCAGCAGCAGCGCTCTCGCCCGAACCCTGTTGCTATCGCTCCCTCGGCTCGACCCCAGACGGAACCTTGACTGTGCTTCGGAAGGAGCAAGTGGCGGAGTGGCGGGGCTCTGGAGACCCTGCAGCAGACGCAGCCGTGAGTCCAGCCTTTACCAGGCTCCTCAGCGCCCCTGGCCCCGGAAGTCCGTGTGGTCAGCAGATGACGAAAGACTCCAAGACGATGGTCGCACCACGGCACAGCAGACTGGAGCACTTGCCGATGGATTTTGGATATCCGTCGCAATCAATCAGACAGCATCAGACAGAGGGGGTGCCGCCCACTTGGAATCCACAGCGGCACGCCTCGAAGAGGAGGAGCACCACTTCAAGCGGCGCTTCGCAAGAGAAAAATGCGGAGGCGGAGGATGTGATAATCGCTCAATTCCTCCTGGCGAGGTGAAGCTCTTTCCGCTCGCCAAGCAGACGCACCGGATGCACACCCTGCCGCCGCCATCCGTCACCGGCGACGAGTGTAAGAAGTCAGGGATTGCTGCATCCATGAGTAGGTGTTTGGACGTAGTGGCAACTCGCGCCAGCAGCAGCAGCAGCGGTGGGTGCACCAGAGTCTGCAATCTTGAGCCATGGGAAGGGAGTCAGTCCTTTGAGTCGCGGCTCAGACGCCAAAGTGGATCAGGTGCACCAACGGGAAAAATCGTCTGGGAAACGGACTTTCAAACGCACGGCCGTGGGCAGCAGCGGGGAAGCAAGAGTGACCTTCATTCGATGCACGCCTGCAGCAACAGCATCTCGACCAAGGCGGAAAGGTACCTCCGCCCAACTCCATCCACGCCTCGGCCACTGCTAACCCCCCAGGCGGCACCATCGCTTTTCCCATCGTCGCCTACGACGTCTTCGGATACCACTCTCCTTGCTCCAACATCACCCGCCTCCTCCTCGTCGTCGTCATCGTCATCCTCTCCGCCTTCTTCTCTTGCATCCAGTCGAGCATCGCAAGTTTGTTCTGACGCCTGCCTTTCCGCTGACGCTAATCCACCTGCCGAGAACGGCAGCCTACCCGCCGCCGGTTACCAAAGTCCCCTCACCTCCCACACCTCTTGGCACTTTCTGGAGGCGCCCAGGCTTCCCCCTCGACACGATCACTTACGCGAGGCTCCAAGCTGCCATCCACTTCCTCTGTGTTGCTCTCTCCAACATCAAATCCTTTACTTCCGAATCTGTCCGGCTTTCCCTTTGCGCCAAAGGCACCCGTGTCACCTTCACAAGCTACACCGCCTATTCGCACTCCCACGCTCCCCACACACTCTCTCCAGCCGAACGGGATTACCCAACTGCCCTGCAGAGAAAGAAGCATTGCTTTCTCACAGTCCCACTTGGAACACATCATCATCACCAGTCTCGAACATCCCATCACCCTGCACCAGCCAGTGGTGTGGCGATTCGAGTAACCTAGTGCTCCCTGCACCTTATCGCCCTGCTACTGGTCACACCCAAAGGGCCTCGCCGTCTTGCACGGCCACCTCGCTCGGCATGGACGACCAAGATGACTCGCACGATCATCATCTTGTTGCCCCTTCTCGTTCATCCTCTCAATCTCGAGGCTCATCTCCCGTGACCATCAGAGGGTCAGATCATCCGCGGTCTTCACCCACGGAAAGCGGTGATCTCCCTCACCACTCGTCGGAAGACATCTTCCTGACCCCGAGAGCGCAATCCCCCTTTTTCCCTACGAGTCTCAGTGGACTTCCTGGGCAGCAACAGCAGCAGCAGCATACACTCGATCAGCATCAGCAGCATACGACTGAAAGTCCTCCACCTCCTCCATCTGGCCCTCACACTCCACCCCCTGCGAGAGAAGTCCTTGCCCAGCAGGCTTCTCCAATGCAGGCATCCGCCAGCACCACGGGCCCCCTTCTCACCACTCCGTCTCCATCTAGAGGCTCGTTGAATTATACCAGAAAAAAGCTTGGTGGCGGTCGGCGCAGCAGCACTCGTATCTACAGCGACGCACTGGAGGAAGCACCGGTCACCTCCAATGCCGACTCGACGCCGCCGGCCTCCATACCAGTCAGGCTAGCGTCTGTACCCATGGCCTCTCCAGAGGTGGCGGCATCCCCCACTGCGCCTCCCCTGCTGGAAGCAGCTGCATGGACAGACCAGCTACGGAAGAGTCTGATAGCAGAAGGACTCCCAGAGACGGCCATGACAGCCGAGCAGGATCTTCGGCAGGAGCTTCGAACCCTTGTAGTCCCGACGAGATCTAGCAGTAGCCATGGCGATTTGGCAAGTGAATTTAGGGAGCCTTTGCTAGCCTCCTCTCCCTCTACTGCTGCTGCAGCAGGAGTGGAGATGTCGTCGAGCATATCTGCGTCGCACGTCAGTGACATTTCACGGACGCCCTCCACTTCTACAGCTGGCTCTACTGGCTCGATGGCAAAGAGCCACGCCTCGACAGAAACCGCGCCTTCCTCCGTCCTCAGCGATGACGATTCTGATACAGCAGAGGGCGCTGATGCAACTGAGCGCAATCACAGTAATAGCAGTAGCGCTAGTAAGGCGACGGTAGGAGCTTTGGCCGACTCGACGACATTGATCGCAGACGAGAAGTACGTTCAGTCCAAGCTGCGGAGGTATCACGCCCTCGTTGAGCTAGTCGAGACGGAGCGGTCGTACACAAATGATCTTGCGATACTAGTGCTCGTCTATCTGGAAGCTCTGCCGTCTCAGCCCTTCTTCGAGGATCACCCAGCTCGCATAGATACTGTGGTTCGCAATACTCCGGAGCTGCTGGCCGTGCACAGCGAAATTGTAGCCCAGCTGGAAAGCATCTTGGAGAGGGAAGGCATAGCTGTCCAAGATCCAGGAAGCGACACAGACAAGGCATTGAGCAAAGGTGTGGACAATGCAATCGTCGCTGTCGGCGACATCTTTGCTACCATCGACCAGCAATTACTGCCCTACCACGACTTCTGCGCTCGTCATGCTGAGGCTTTGTCTGTCATCAGAGAGGCAGAGAAGAGGCACAATGGTGAGGACTTTGCGCAATTCGAAAGGATGTGCTCCAATGTGACGAGAAGTCGGCCAGGATCGCTGTCTTCAAAGAACTCTTCGACGACAGAAGTACACAGGTTGTCGAGAGCTCCCTCTTTCACCACAATGACACCGACTGGCCCGGGTCTAAGAGGACAGTCATCCCTGTCTACGATTACGCCCATCACTTCGGTTTCGCCTGCTACTTCAGAGACTGGCAGCGTACCACCTACTCCTGTACTCCCAGACTTCCCGACCTCTCGTCAAGGCGGGCGGCTCAATTTCCAGGATCTGCTCATCAAGCCCGTACAGCGGCTTTGCCTCTACCCACTCGTCCTCCACACCCTTCTCAAGCATACCGGACCCGACGACGCAGGAAAGGAGGAGCTTGAAGCTGCATTGGCGACGGTGAGACGAGTCGCTGATGAGGTTGATGAGGCAGGAAAGCGTCGAGAACACTTCCTGCTGGCTGAGCTCGTTGCCTCAAGGGTGGAAGCGAAAGGTCAAGTTACTCGCAATCTTCTATCCAGCTATGGCAGAGTCTACCTCTCCGGAACACTCGACGTGCTCTACCACCATTCTACGTACGCAACGCTAGTGGCGCCGCTGCGCTTCCGCTTCCTGGGCTTGTTTCTGTACCACGGATGGTTGCTTATCACAAAAGTGATGAAGTCGGGCTCTTACGAGCCGCGTTATTGGTTCCCTCTCTACAGTGCTCAGTTGAGCTCGGTGGAAGAGGAGGAAGGAGTGTTGCCGCACGCATTTCGTCTCACTGTTGGTGAAGAGCACCACTTTGAGTTGGCGGCTTCGAGCTCTCGTGAAAGGGCCTTGTGGGTCGATGCTCTCTCGACGGCGATTTCCACTGCCCCAAGCGTCCCCGAGTCGAGCTCATCGTCGCCTTCAAGCTTCCCGAGCAACTTCCCTTCGAACCTGTACAATCCTGGCCTAGGCTTCGACGCTCCGGGATCACCAGGCTCGGGGCGCGTAGTCGAGGTTGCTTCACGGCCGCAAGTAGCTTCTGTGCTTGGGGCAAGCGATGGAAAATCCGGCAACGAGGACCCGCTCAATAACTTTCTCGTGCGTCACATCTCGAGTCCTGGCTCCTCCGATGTCATCGTCCGCTATGCATCTCTCGCTCAGCGTGCTGTGGTCGACAAGGGAATGGTCTTTTCCGACAGTGTGCTGGCTGCACGAGCCATAACGCACAAAGATGGCACCTTCACGCCAGGTGGATCGCTTACCCGGACTGGGCCGCAGCCAACTCAGGTTTCCAGTCCGACTACTGCGCCAGTTCTTGCATCGTGGCAAGCGGCTACCAGCACTCCACAATCCTCACTCGGAGCCGCCGTCGGTGCCGCTATGGGCTTGGCTCGTGCTGCAAAGCGTTCGTCGACCAAGAGCTCTACGAACGTTTTTGAAGCTGCAGCTCAGCAGTATCTGGCACAGGAGGAGACGAGAATGGCAGAAGAGTCGAAGACGGGAGCTAGAGATGGCTCTAGGACACCTGGCGAAGATGGTCTACCGATGCAGCGCTCGATGTTAGGAGACGCGGCCGCATCACCGATCAAGCTGGGTCATCGCCGCAAGAGGTCCAGCTTCGGCGGCCGAAACGGGCTTAGACCCATGTCGACCATCTTCCCGGACTTTGAGCTTGCGGTGCGTACATCTGATACCGCTGCTTCGCCCTCTATGGAGGGAGGCCTGCTGCTCGGATCGCCCATCACTTCCACTGCTTCGCCTCTGGAAGAATCTGCTCTACTGCCTGCCTCACCGACTTCATTGGAACCGCCTGCACCTCAGAGTGGCTTTGCCAGGAAGCGACCAGGGAGCGTATATGGTTCTTCCCTTCGCGATGCCTTCTCACGAAAAAGTCGATCTCACAGCGTAGACCTTAGCACAGCGGCTGCGTCCCAGACCACCTTACCGCAATCACCAAGTCGCCCAGAATTCCTGCCATTGTCGGCGCAATCGTCTCCAAGCCGAGCTGACCAGCAAGGGCAGCCTGCTGGTCAGATGACTAGGAATTCTTCGATCAGAAGAGCCTTCACAAATGCTACTTCAGGCTCCAGGAGGGAGAGGGCATCGAGTGCGGGAGCAGAAGCACTCCTTGCGCCCGCGATTGGGGTGACTCCTGCATCCTCCCCTGGTAAACAGGATCAAGTCGCGAGAGCTCCAACGCTGCCCCTCGATGTGGCCTCCTTGGGCGCTGTAACGCCTGGCAAGCGACGCACCAGTGGCAACTTTGGCTCTACTCTGGGTATCATGGGCCCGCCCTTTGGCAACATTAGAAGATCCTTTGCCGGGTTCAGAAACGGCGGCAGTCGAGACAGCAGCCGGAGGAGTAGTATCGCGGACACGTCTAGCGATGCGAGTGGTAGTATTAGCAGTGCTAGCGGGGTGCCGGGTCTGCTGTCCAGCCTAGGCGATCAAGCTGAGCAGACTTCGCCAGCTCGGGGATCTCTGACGGTAGCGGATGGTACAACTGGGCCTATGTCGAATGGAGATTCGCGGTCGTCTTTGGCGCCGTCGGAGAATGACGCTATCCTCTCCTCACTCGAGCGACTGCAGCGCTCGCAGACGCAAGCGAACCCTCCCGTTGACCGACCCACGGCAATGCCTCGCACACGATCAACGCCTCTGCACAAGAAGACGTCGTTGTCCAGCCTGCGAAGGCGAGGGTCCTCGAGGGATCCATCTACGACGCCTACCAATTCGCGCGATCCCACCACAGCTTTGGCTTCTTACCAGGCTTCGGGCAACGTCTTCTCCAACGGCGGCAATTCATCAGGATCTTCCTCGTCAGCCTCTTCTTCGTCTGGATCGGGTTCATCCCTCGCGAGGTCTTTGAGTAAGAGGCTCTTTGCCAGCTCCTCGAAACTCTCTGGCACCTACAGCATGAGCAAAGGCGCCAGTATATCTGTCCCAGGGGGAGATTCGCCAGGAAAACCCGAGGTTCCGCCGGCCCTCGCTGAGGAAGAGGGTGAGATAGCCACGCCGGACAGCGCTTGGTCTTTCCGTACTGCCAATGCTAGCCAACCTGGCCCACGTCCTGCTGCCACGGACGTCTCTCCCAACACTACGCCCATGAACGAATGAGCGGACCGCGCTTGCCTCCTGAGCTCTCTACTGCAAAACGTCAGCGATGCCTTCTCTCCGCGCACGCTGTTTCAAGCATCAACCATCTTTGCATCTCCTCTCGAAGATCATGGCAAGACTCGCCCTGATCTCACCACCCAACACAGTTTCCTATATTCTCCCTTGCCCTGCCGCAGACAAAGTCGTCCTTGCGTGCGTGGGCTACTCCCGACTTGCTCGACCGCCAGCTCTCCGTCTAGTATCATGTCTCATCTGTCCGCCTCACGCTTCGTCTCATCTCTCTCTCCCGGATTCAGTCTCATTTCCCGTTGCATTCCATCCTGATATCCAGTGCCATCGCATGCCATAATTCATAGTCCCTTGTACGTGTACATCTGTCTCACGGTGTGAGTGTGTGCTTGTGAGAGGATGACTGATGACACAGGGTACGGATGATTGGTCGATGGTGGGCAGGCGTGGGTGGGCAGGCAGTGCGCGGACGCGCGTCGTTGCTCCACTCGGCCAGGCGACGGATGCCAGGAGTGCAGGGCCGTGGGGTGATGTTCGTTGGTACAGAACAACTACGCTCGCTCTCTACGTTGGTCGCATCTCAGATACCAAGTAACAGCATAGGAGAACATCGCTGCGGCATCCCTTCAGCAGTAAGATACATACCAAGGTCTGTCTCCAGACTTCTCCGCATTCCGACCTCCCACCATGGCCTCGTCATCCTCATCCTCCAGCGCCTCCCTCAGCTCGCAACACGCCCAACTGCTCCGCTCCTTCAGCTCCCTCTCCTCCACGAGTCCCTCTGCCGCCGATCTCAAATCTCTCTCGCTCCAACTCACCAAGCTCAAGATTGCTCTCACGCAGGCTGGTCTACTTGTGCCTACGAAGGACGCCAAGAAGGACGATCTGGTCCTGGCGAGAGACGTGCTCGAAGTGGGGGCTTTTTGGAGCATTAGGGCAAAGGATGTCAAGAGCTTTGATAGGTACATTGATCTATTGAGGGTATTCTATACCGACCTTGGGTGAGTAGATTGGAGTCATTGACGCCAGTGTCCTGACAGCGACCGAGCTGACGCTTTCACCTGACATTACGCTGCTTTTGCTCGTATCTCAGCTCGCTCTTGCCAGCCTCGTCCAACCAACCTCCTCTGCTAGGTCTGTCCCTTCTACGACTCCTCTCATCCAACGCAATCGCCTCCTTCCACACCACCCTCGAGACGCTTCCACCAGCGCTCGTCGCCGACTCTCCCTATCTCCAACACCCGGTCAACCTAGAAAGATGGCTCATGGAAGGCTCCTACAGTAAAGTCTGGCGTTCCCGCGATCAAGTTCCACAGGAGGAGTACAGATTCTTTGTGGATGGTCTCATGGAGACGATTCGACATGAGATTGCCAGCTGTGAGGAAAAGGCGTATGATAGTTTGCCATTGAATGATGCGGCGACGCTGCTCTTCTTTGATCGGATGCAGCAGGTGTCTGATTTTGCCAATGAGGTAAGTGGGCGCTGTAAATGGGAGAGCGAGCAAGCGAAGGCTATAGTAAGTGTCTGAGAGCAGCTAGTACAAGCGATGCTCATCCGACTTCCCCCTTCCTTTCCTTCGACTAACCTACAAAGCGAGGCTGGCAGATCAATCCAAGCACCCAGACGGTCCACTTTGGCAAGAAAGCATCAGCAGCAGCAGCCGGGACGTACGTGCCAGCAGGAGGAGCAGGCGGCAAGTTGAGCGCATCGGGGGGACCATTGGCAGATGAGGGTGATCCCATTCCCAAGCGAGCCATGATCGCTTCGAATCTGTCTTTTGCGAGGGAGCTGGAAAGTATCGTGTAGAGGCCCTTTGGAGGTGCCCGGACACGGAAGGGACCTTGGGTCTAATGGCAAATGGCATTAATTTTAGAAAGAGACGTCTACATTGACAAGGCTCTGTAATTAGGCATTCGGCTGCAACTACTTTGACCGCCCTTCCATTCGATCCCTGTCAGAGGTAGCCAAACCTTCTTCTCACTTCCTTAGCTGGTCCTTTGCGCATCTCAGAGCTCTGTTGCACACCTCACATGAAGTTGAGCGCGGCGGTGAGCTTATCAGCCGGATCATCGTCCAGCCTAGCCATTTCAATCTCGCTCAAGAGCTTCTTGATGCCAATGTTGAGTCGAGGTGCTGCACCAGCCCCGCCTTCTCCATCGATTTCATTCTCGCCCAGCCCAGCACTGTGCAGGAGCTGCAGGCAGCGCTGGTGTTCATTCTCCCCTGCAAAGAGGGCCGTTTCCCGCAGAACGTGGTCGACGGAGCGGAGCGAGGTGATGGCGGGTACGCGAATGTTGGCGAGGAAAGCCTGGGAGAGGTCCATGTCCTGCAACATGGGTGCGTTAGAAGAGGTGGCGAGAATGAGGAGCCTCCTGTCCTTGGGTGGGCGCTTGCCCAGCAGAACACTCAGCGCCTGCAGCACTGGATTCGAGAAGCGTGGACCGATGGGCACCCACTCTACTAGCTTCTCGATGGCGTCGATGACGATGATACTCAGGGGAGACTTGTACGAATCGTTGAAGACCTTGTTGACATAGGCAATCTTTTGTGCCTCGCCCATGCCCACCATGTTCTCGGGGGAGACGAGCTTGATAAAGGGGAACCCGGAGGAGAGGGCAATCGTCGCCGCAAGAGCCGTCTTACCGCTGCCGGGAGGACCATGTAGCAAAGCGGTGACGAGCGGGGTGCGCTTGGAAGTACGCACTTGCTCCACGCGCAACTGACCGTCACGCAGGATGACATCGATGTGAGGTGCAAAGTGCATGATGCCATTCTGCACTACCTGCTGCAGCTCTCCTTCGCTCACACCAAAGGCTGGAGTCACCTCGTCCAGGGCGAGGAAGTAGTCGGCGCGGGTCACCTTTGTCTCGTTGACATTGTCAGAAAGGGTAGCATCCGTTCCTCCCTTGACGGAACGCTGCATGGCCCAAGAGGAAGCGCTCTTGACCAGACCGGCAATCTCTGCTCCAGAGAAGTTCTTCGTGAGTGAGGCCAGCTCGTCCAGATCGACGTCAGGGTCGAGCATGCCAGATTTCCTTGATGCGGCCGTCTGGATGGCGAGAATCTGACGACGACCTTTTTCGTCTGGCAGATTGATCTCCATGTGCACTTCCAGTCGACCCGGTCGAAGTAGAGCCTCGTCGATCATATCCAAACGGTTCGTCATACCGATCAAAAGAATATTGTTCAGCTGATCTACACCGTCCAGCTTCGAAAGCAGCTGATTGACGACTGAATCTCCTACTCCTGTACCACCTCCAGTTGAGCCACGCTGCTTGCAGATGGCGTCGAGTTCGTCGAAGATGATGATGTGCAGACCGCTCTCATCGCCCTTTTCCTTGTACTCCTTTTCTGCATCGGCAAAGAGTTTACGAACATTCTCTTCACTTGCTCCGACGAATTTGTTGAGGATCTCAGGACCATTGACAATCTTCGGCTCTCGGGCATTGAGCATCTTTCCAATCTGTCGGGCCATTAGCGTCTTTCCGGTTCCAGGAGGACCGTACAGCAGGATACCCTTCACGTGCTGAATCCCCATCTTTTGGACTAATCCTAGAGGGTAGATCCTCGAGACGAATGCACGACGGAAGATGGCGGAGAACTCGGCGTCGAGACCTCCGATGCCCATGTCTTCGAACTTGAAGTTGGGCTGGAGGATGGCATTCGGAGGGGCTTTCTTCCCACTGGCCTTCAGACGGATCTTGGAGTCTCGAGCTTTGGCAATGTTGACTTCGGTCTGAGTGATCAGAATACCCTTGTCGAGGCCTCCATAGGCAGCTTCGCCATTGGTCGAGCTCTGCGAGTCAACCTGCCCTGCTTCGATGACGTTTACGCCAGTGACGAGAGCCCGGATGTTGTAGCCATGGAATTCGAAGACCAGCAGTTGACCTCTTGTGAACATGTGAGACTCGAAGGCCTAATTGGGGACAGAGAGTACACGAAGATTGAGTGATGCTCGAAGACTGACAAGTTCATTTCCCCTTGACTCTGCTGCTATACTCACTCTGAGGAAGGTGCGGGCCATCTCTTCAGAATCGAATTGTTCTGATGCCTCCATTGCGGCATTGATGAACGAGACCTGAACGAGGAAGATGGAAGCAGGCGTGAGCCTCAAAGTGAATCCTCTACCTCCTGTTTCGATTGTCGCTCGAATACTCACTTCCAGGTCAAGGCCCCCAAGGTAGATGCCTGGCCCCATTGCCAAGGGGTCGTAAACCTCAGCTTGGACATAATGATGGCCCGTGGCGCTCAAACCAGCCCATTGCCGTTGTGCCGCTGCTGTACCAATACTGCCAGGCTGGATCTGTCCTGTAGGATCAACACTGAGAGGATCGTGGAATTAATGGAAGGTGATGGCGGTGAGCAAGGCGGTAGAGCTCTTTAGCAGTGCTTTCGCTTCAGTACTCACGCAGCTGTGAATACGTATTTGCCATCGATCAAGATGTACTGCGTGCCACGCCACTCTTGACCATTCACTGCGACACAGTTGCTGAGAATGAGCGGCTCCGGACACTTTACTACAAGGTAGCTCTGCGGGGTCGCAGCAGAGTGATGAGCCTTCTCATCCTGATCTGGCCTCGGCGGCGGCTGTGGTCGCGACCTAGACGAGCCGGTAGATGGGGAGCCATAAGCGGCCCTCCCGGGAGGAGGTGCTCCAAAGCCGGCTCCTCCACCGCCGTAGCCAGCTCCGCCCGCGGTGCCAGCTGAGCGATAGACATCCCTACTGGGTGGGGCTGCTGCGCCAGAAGAGCTGCCATATGCGCCAGGCGTCGAGGAGGTGTATGCGGCTCGACCTGCTCCGGCTCCGGCGCCTCCTCTCATGAAACCAGCCATGGCAGGCTAGTGAAGCGGACTGAGGGTATGAAAGAAGTGGATGTATGCGTCGCCTGAATCAAATGGCAGTGATGGTTTGATTGTGAACCCTACGCCATGGCTGTTGCTGGTGTTGCCTTCTGGTCCTCCACGGCGGCTGCCTCTGGCTGGCGCGGGGCGAGTCGAGTGGAGCAGGGCCGTGGAGCGGGTGGCTTCCGGCCCGTTGGCTGCCTGCCTGCCCTGCGTTCATCATCATCATCGTCTTCGTCGTCGTCCCTTTTGTCCTTCATCCTTGCTCTCTGCACACCGTACACTCCCGTCCATCTTCTCCTCCCTACTTGGACTCCCCTCGCTCATGGTGGCCTCGAACCGCAGCCTCGCAGCGTCTGTGCGGCTCGCATCAGCCTCATCATCAGCATCCTCCTCTTCTTCCATTGCAAGGACGCGGAAGCTCGCACGCTCCTACGCTACCAAGCCTCCTTCCTCTTCGTCGCCTCCTACCTCGTCTGCTCCTCAACCTCCGCCAGCTTCCACTGCCTACGAAAAGCAGCGGAGATCAGAGTGGCTTGTAGTCGGCGTATCCGGTTCCGTAGCAGCAGCAGGGGCATACTATTGGTACCAAAGGCGCAACAGGCCTGCCGAAGCCACGATTCCGCCCTTGCCAGAACAGCCTGTGACCAGATTCGCAATTCCAGTCAGAGGTCCTACAGGGGAGAGGATGCAAAAGATTGTCACTGCACTGTCTCCCGCGGAAGCGGACAGAAAGCTCAAGGATCAGGAGAGGTCCATATTGGTGGCAGACGAGATTCCAGGTAATCATAGCTTGGTGTATCGCTATGACACCAACAGTGTTGGCAGCAATGATCCCATCGAAGATAGAAGAGCAGAAGCTGTCGTGGATAGTAACAGAGGGGCAGTGGAGGGAAGCTCGGGGCAGAAAACGTCATCATCATCTGCCGCGATCTCTGCCACACCAGCGAGGGGGGATCTGGCGTTCTTTGCCGTCATGGACGGTCACTCGGGGTTCCATACATCGACGTACCTTTCCCAAGTGAGTGTGAGAGTCGGTCTCAGGAGCAGCGGCAAGGAGGGAGACTGACAATCCCAACATATTCACCCTGCGTCTCTGCCAGAAACTGATTGCTTTCGTCGCCCTCGAGCTGGACAAAGTCTTCCGAGAGACTGGGGAGTACGGAAAGATCGCAGAAGCAAAGGGTGCCATGCCTTCCAAGCTGTGGAGAGCTCTAGGCTACGGCAGCGATTCCACTGGCTCTTCAGGCTTGGACGGAGATCCTGCCATCATTCGCCGTGCCATCACAAAGGCATTCGTGGGGCTGGACAAGGAGATCTGCAACACACCATTAGAGCTGCTGAAGGAGTACGAGCTCTCGAGGGCTGCTGGCGCAACTACGTCTGCCTCTGGCAGCGGCTCAGAGAGCAGCCATTCCCTCTCCGCTCTAGCGCACAGTATCTTCCCAACTCCCGGCTCATCGCAAGCTCAGTCTCCCCTCACCGCAACACCCAAATCAGCATATGAGTTGATGCTACCTGCCCTGTCGGGTAGTTGTGCCCTCTTCACATACATCGACAGTCTGCGAAACGACATCTACGTCGCTTGCACGGGCGACAGTAGAGCCATTGCCGGCTGGTTCAACCCGAAGGATGGAAAGTGGACCGTGGAGGCGCTGTCGATTGACCAGACCGGCAGGAACTTGTCAGAGGTCAAGAGGATGCAAGGCGACCATCCACACTCAGAAGCTGACAATGTCATCATGAGAGGTCGAGTCTTGGGCAGCCTCGAGCCGACGAGGGCGTTCGGAGATGCGAGATACAAGTGGACAAAAAATACGCAGGAGAGGCTCTACAAAGCCTTCCTACCGCCGGGCAATCCTTCTGCGCGGCCACCACCCAGGAATCTCCTCACACCTCCCTATGTGACTGCTCGACCTGAAGTGGAGTGGCGACGTCTTCCGGTCGCACAGGGCGAGAAGCAGCTCAAATTCGTCGTCATGGCCACAGATGGACTTTGGGATATGCTCAGCAACGAGGAAGTTGGTACCCTCGTGGCTGGCCATCTCGCCGAGTTGAAGGGTGCGATTGGAGCTTCAGAGCTTGAGAGTCGCTTTCTCGCATCCTCGTCGGTGATCAGTGGAGCTGCGAGCGGCATCGGATCCATTGCCTCTTCCGTCGGAGCAGCCGTCTCCTCTGCCGTCACCAGCTCCAGCTCCTCCACTCCAGCCTCACCAGCACAGCAGTCCAACCCACCTCCCAAGGCACAGCAACAGCGGCACCAAGGCCATCATCCGCTGAGCAGATCCGCCGAGAATCACTTTGTCTTCCAAGACTCTAATCTGGCTACCCACCTTGTGCGCAACGCCCTTGGTGGGGCGGATCAAAATCGGGTGGGTGGGCTACTGGCAATTCCTGCGCCTGATGCGAGGAGGTTCAGGGATGATATCACTGTCAAGTGAGTATGCGGGGAGAGAAGCTGCATTGAGAAGAGAGCAGTCAGAGCTGACCAAGAGACCAACCCTGGCTTGTCGTACCGTCTGCACAGTGTGATTCTACTGAAAGAGCCCAAGGCTACAAAAGTCGCAGATCTCGCCTCGACCTCGGCGCCCAAGTCGAAGCTTTAGCGTCTCTTTGACTCATCGTAGCATATCTCAAAAATCTCAATGTATTCAAAAAAGTAGTGTAAGGTTGCTTGGTCACCCAATGGACATCGTACGTCTAGTCTACATTACAGAGCGCAAATGCCGAGTGCGGCCTATCGTCTCCCACCTAGCGTGCCCTCCTGATCTCCCATAGCCGATAGGTCGTCCTGAGTCCCTTTCTCCGCTCTGTGTCTATTCCTCCGCCTCCACCATCGAAGCCGCCCTTGGGACCGAAATTGTCGTACCCCACCTGGTCCCGCTCCCATACGATCCTTAGCCTCTCCTCCTCTTCCTCCTCACCTTCGCCTACCTCGGTGGCATCGCGCCCCACGTCACCCTTGTACTGGCGACTGCGAGGGAACGCCTCATAGACTGCCTGCACTTCCCGCGCGTGTGTCCTTCTGAGCGGCGAGATGAGGTAGAGGACCCCTCCTGGTGCGAGGTGTCGGTGCGCAACGGATCGGATCCAGCTTGGGTGGAGGGGGTCGTACACGCAATCGCAGGCGATGAGGAGGTCGTAACGCTCCGAGGGGGAGAGGCTGGGAATGCTGGAGGAGTGCCGAGAATTTCCAGAGGAGGGGAGAGAGGGAAGGGTCTGGGCTGTTGAGGAGTAAAGTTGTTTCGCGGGCGAGGACGCAGGAGTGGAGAGGGAGTCGTGCACCTCTTGCCAATCGAGTCTGGAGATGCTCACCGCGACGGACTCTTCTGTTGCTTTGCTCTTCCACTCTTCCTCATTGAGGAGTGCATTGATCCGCAGGTTCTCCAGAACGTGAGGATGATAGTCCGTTAGGTCCACCTGTACGCTCCTCCCCAGCTCATGAGCAAGAGCAGTAAGCGCCAAACCCACCAGCCCCGTGCCCGCTCCAAGCTCTAGCACCTTCCTCGGCAATCTCCTCGTCTCTTGTGAAGAGCTGGAGAACTTATAGAGGAGGAACTGGGAAAGAAGAGGTGCAGCACCCCACGTCCGATTGCCCAGAGCGTCGGACGTGATAGCCGAGTCCTGGATCAGCACTTGCACAGGACCAAAGTGGAAGCGGGTCCGCTCTGGTTCGGAAGCTGGGAGGGCGAGAGATCCTGACGTTCTTCAGTCACCGAAGGCAATGAGTGATTGATCAAGCGGAAGATCACTCACCAGGATTGCCACACAAGGCAGCGAGTACCTCTGCTGCCTTTTCCTGCAGATCAGTCCCTTCGCTCAAGGAAGAAGAAGAGATGATCCTTGTGAGCCAGGTCTGGGCGAAGCGAGACTCGATAGTGTCTGCAGATGCTGGCGAGTCGGAGCCATCGCTGTGATCCTGCTCCTCCTCTTCCTTTGTGCTGAGGTTCACTGGTTGACATTGGCCGCTCCCTTCGAGATGCTCGAGGGAAAGACGTACTACGCGTTCCTGACCTAGACCAATGGCTCGTGCCAACTTTTCAAGGCAGGTTCGGATCACCTCGCTAGCCGGCAGTGGACGCAGAGGAGGCAAGTCGCGGGTGGGCAGAAAGATTAAGGATGCAGAGCTCGTGCTTCCATCGCCGCGGTCACCGTTCATGCGGACTGGACGCTAGACCTGAGTGTCAAGTTGAAGAAGAGGTGCAGCAGTGGAAGGATCTTCGACGGGAAGCACGGCTGGCTTGCGCCAAGAAAAGTGATCGAGCGCCCCGTGCACTGACGGAAAGAGCGGAGATCAGGGCCAAGGGACGTCGAAGTGCGGTGCCTGCGTCCTTCAGCTTCATTCATTGCTTCCATCCGTGGCCTTGCCGAATTGCGGCAATCTCGTGGTCCCTCTGTAGCAAGTCTACCGCACATAGACGAACAGTCGCTCAAGCAAGGTACTGCGACCATGGTACGCGCTTCCTTTCAGTCGGACAGTACTGCCTCTGACGCGACATTGGACGAGAAGGACCCATCAGAGCCCTATCGCGGTCACGAAGAGCGCGATGACGCCGGCCATGTGACGTCGTCCAACTATCGCTTCAGAGATTCCGTGGAGTTCATCGGACAGGAAGAGGAGGAGGAGCAGGTAGGATTGATGCAGCTTGATCGCAGAAGACAGAGAGTGAGTCTGCGTCGGCCTCTGACTGGCAGGGCTCCCTACTGACTTATCTCTCAACGCCAGTCATCACAACGGATACCCCTCTCGTCACGGAAGCCAGAGCGCAAGCTGCGTCGCTTATTGAGGGAACACGAGGCTCTCATCATCATCATCTTCTCCTCGATTCTCGCCCTTCCACTCCTCGTCGCGCTATACGCCTGGCTGGTATCGGCATCACATTTGCCCATCGCCGCATCGACAGATGTGATCGTCAGCCCGCCCTCAGGGTTCCTCCCAGACAACAAAGTCTCCATCAGTGCGGCACGGAAGTATGCAGCTTCTTCCGATGACGCAGAAGGCCACTATGGCCTCCGCCAGGCGCCCGGATTTGCCTTCAATGAAGCAGTACCCGGATGGGCTACCCCTGAGGAGGCGGATCAGGTCTTACGACTCGCCAAAGGAACGACCAAGAAGGCGCTGGAAAGCCAGGGGTGGACGACACTGAAGCCCAAAAGCATGGATGTCATTTTCAACGGAACGCTGGATACTGTCAGCATAGATCTGGCCTGGAGTGCCGAAGACAAAGACGATGGCGTCTTTATGCGCAAAGATCCTGCCACGTCGGACATCATCTTCCAAGACGTGACGCATGCCCGTTTGCAGATGACCGGCCAGGGCAGTGTAGCGCCAGGGGGCGGGCAAGTCACCTTTGTCCGCGGTAAGGACGTGCAGGACAAGACCGGCAAACAGCTCGCATGGGACACCTTCGTCGTCTCCCCGGACCTTTCGCACGTCATGTTCTTTTCCGACACGATGCGAGTCTACCGACACTCGAGACAGTCCAATGTCTGGATCCACAATGTCGAGGAGAAGCGGACATGGCCGATAGGTGACGGTCCTTCGAAGCCTCCAGCGATTGCACATGCTGCATGGATCCCATCTACCTCGTTCAGCTTAGCATACGTGAAAGACAACAACTTGTATGTCGCTCTCGACCCTGATCGTGGTGAAGCAACTCGGATCACATCGGACGGTACTGCCACGATCTTCAACGCCGTGACAGATTGGGTGTATGAAGAGGAAGTATTCGAGAGTAACCACGCCCTTTGGTTCTCCCCAGGAGGGACTAAGCTCGCCTATCTGCGCTTTGACGAGACAGAAGTCCCCGTATACGATTTCCCGATTTACAATCCAGACCCCAGTACTGCTGGGGCGACCACTCCCTACCTGAACTCAATCAAGCTCAAGTACCCCAAGCCTGGCTTCAAGAATCCCATCGTCAGCGCTCATCTCCTTGATCTGAAGAAATTGGCAGACTTGACTGCCCAGTCGACTAGTATCAACATTGAGGTGGCCAAATATCACTTGAAGTCTCCCTTGCCTGTGAGCGAGATTGCTGATGAGAAGAAGGTAGATGAAGCGCTTTTCGCCGCAGAGGATGCGAAAGACAGGCTCGTCACAGAGGTAGCCTGGCTTGATGATGACTCGCTCTTCATCAGAGAGACGGACAGAGGCAGCGACCACCTGCGTGGCATCGTCTTCGATACCGCAAAGGTAGGAGGAGGGCAAGAGATGGTGGGGACTGTTGTCCGCAGAATTGATGCGAAAGACAAGAGTTGGGTTCCGTTCGGTCAAGACATCGCAGCGCTTGGTGTGAAAGATCTCGCGGCGAAGTCTACTGCGTACCTAGACCTCATCGAGAACAGCCAAGGATTTAAGCATCTGGCATACTACCCCAACGCAACTTCATCGGCGCCGATCTTCTTGACCTTCGGGACCTGGGAAGCTGACAAGCTGCTACACGCCGACGTCAAGCGCAACAAGGCCTACATATCTGCGGCGTACCCTCTGCCTCACCATCGCCACATCTTTGCCGTCGATCTACCCGACATCAAGCAAGGCAAGAGTGCTCTGAGCTCCTTTCGACCCCACTTCAAAGACATCAATGCTGCCCATCCAGAGGCCTCCTTCGATGCGACCTTCGACCCGAAGGGAGCCTACTACCTGCTTCGTGAAGCAGGCCCCAGAGTCCCCACCGCTCGAGTGATCGGGGTGGACGATGCTTCCTTCGACTGGATCGTCGAAGATAACGCAGCGGCAGTGAAGACGTCCGCTCAGTATACCCAGGCACATTATGTCTACTATAATGTCACGCTGCCCAACGGCGTCACCACCTCGGTCAAAGAGATTCGTCCATACGACTTTGATGCCAGCGGCGAGACGCGCTACCCCGTCCTCCTGAACGTCTATGGTGGGCCCGACTCGCAGCAGGTCACACACACCTACAGCCCTCAAGAGTGGCACCAGTCTCTGGTGAACGAGCTCGGGTACGTCGTAGCCATTGTCGACGGACGTGGTACGGGATACCGTGGAGCAGCTTACAGAGACGGCGTAGCGAAGCAGCTGGGCAGTATAGAGATTGACGACCTGCTCGCCACGGCAGACAAGATTCGGCGGCTGCCATACGTCGACGAGAAGAGGCTCGGGCTATGGGGCTGGTCCTACGGCGGGTACTTTACCAACAAAGTCCTCGAGCGAGACTCGGGGCTGATCACACTGGGCATCTCCGTGGCTCCGGTGACCAAGTGGACCTTCTACGACTCCATCTACACCGAGCGTTACATGAAGACGCTCGAGTCCAACCAGGCAGGCTACGAAAAGTCGGATGTGCACGTCACTGATGGTTTCAAGCATGCCCACTATCTCCTGGCGCAGGGCAGCGGTGACGAGAATGTCCACTTTGAGAATTCAGCGCATCTCCTGGACCTCCTCACTGCGCAGAAGGTGAGGGGATTCTGGTTCAGGATGTTCACCGACTCTGCGCATGGCATCTCTACGCGTGGGGCGTATAGGGAGCTGCACGAGTACCTGACAGATTTCCTCAAGACGAAGTGGGGTGCGGGAGGGAAGAGGCGGTTCGAGGGCAAGGGTGGAAGAAAGGGTCTGGTGGCTGAGCATGTACAAAGGAGAGGAGTGGAGGAAAGAGAGGAGGAGGATGGGGGACAGCTCGGGGAGAGGGATTGGGAGTCAGAGGCGAAGAGAATATTCAGGCAGGCGCAGGACGAAGCCCTTGTGCGTCGTCTAGCTCGACGGGGCCGCAAAGGAGCAGACTTGTAGATTAATGAAGGTCACCTTTGGACTGTATATCTATCCATCTTCACGCATAGATGGGCACAGCCTCACGTGTGCGGCTTCGTCGCTGTCATGTCGCTGGTCCAGTCAAGAGCCGTGATCTTTGCGATTCGTTCATTCCCTGGTAGTGTACAATACTGTGCATTGCTGCAGCGCAGTGCTACGAGTCTACATCCACTCCTCTTTCCCTCAAAAAGTCCTTTGCGTTCTTGATATCCTGCCCAGCGGAAGTCGAGGGGAGAGCCGATCATACGAGTCAGCTACTGCAATGCCCATCACTGAGTCAATGTAGCCGTCCTTCCTGTCACCTCTCCAAGTACTCACCACCATCAAACTCTCGTAGGCTTCGGGTACGTCGTTGAAGTTGAACAGGGCCCAACCTACCTGCCACAAGAGATAGGAGCCAAAGGAGACGAGTGTCCACCAGGGTACCTGTGAAAGAAGGACAGAACAGAATATTCGGGAGAGGAAGTAGCTCGTCAGCTCTCTTGCCGCTCCAGCTCGCAATAAACTAGCCCTCGCCGAGGCACATCTGAGATCACTCACCACAGGCAGCAGGTCCTCCTTGACTTCCCGTGACACGCCAGGCAGCGGCAGCAGATTGAACAGGAGGGCGGTGTAGATGAGCGAGGCAACTGCGCTGTACGCCAGAAAGGCAGTGAAGCGCGACATGTCTGTCTGCTTTGAGGAAAGAGGATCGGCGAAGGGGACGATGGTGATGCTGGTGATGCAGGCCAGGTGTTGGCCAGGTGTTGTTCAGGCCTCGCCTCGCCTCCCTTCCCGTGAGTGTGGGTAGGGAGACCAGATCGGACCGGAAGCAGAGGAGGGAGGAGTGGAGAGACGAAGGGTCTGATTTTCGGACCCGCGCCTGGGGAAGCGCACGCCTGTGTGTCCGTCTGTGCTTTGGGCAAGTGGAATTACGACGCTTCGTCTTGGCTGCTCGCTTGAGTGCACCTCGTATCCAATCCTTCCCTGGTATCATTGTCCATCTTCGTTCTCTTCCCATCGCTCAGTATCTTCAAGAAGAAGAGGGAGAGCAATTCAAGATGCAGGCAGTCGACTTCAATAGACTCAAGGAGGGAGAGGTGGATCTAGGAGTGAGTAGTTGGCTGGCTGGCAGGCAGACCCCTACCCCTCGAGCGGACCACTAACGAGGCTTATGGACTTTGAATTGAACAGACATCGATTATGGCAGTGGCATACGATGAAGGAGTGATCATGGGAGCAGATTCGAGGACAACCATGGGCAGCTATATCGTGAGTCTTCCCGACCTCTAGCCCGGTCAGCCTGCTGTCACTTCGAAAGAGGGCGGAAGTACTCACCAGTCCGATCTCCTCTCTCCAACTCTCAAATCACCAGGCCAACCGAGTGACAGACAAGTTGACACACATCTCCGATCGCATCTACTGTTGTCGAAGGTGAGCCGAGTAGAAGCTGCTGCCGCTGCCATTACCCATGTCGAGGCAAATGCTGACCACCTGCCCTCTCCTCCCCTCGAAACTGTACAGTGGGTCAGCGGCAGACACTCAGGCAGTGGCAGACATGATCACCTACTATCTGGAAATGTATTCTGTAGAAGAGAACCACCTCGTTCCCGTGGCAACCGCTGCGGCGCTATTCCAGCAGGTGGTGTATGCCAACAAGGACAAGCTGAGCGCAGGAATCATCGTGGCGGGATGGGATGACAAGAAGGGTGGGAGTGTCTACAATGTGCCACTGGGCGGAGGAACATTCCAGCAGCCATGGGCTATCGGAGGTGAGTCAACATAGTGTCAGAGTGAGGCGCCAGAACAACTCTTCGCTGACATCGATGATGCCCCTCCCCGCTTTCTCCTATGGCAGGTTCCGGCTCGACATACATCTACGGTTTCTGCGACTCCACCTGGAGGCCTGGGTGGGGTCGGGAACAGACGATCGAGTTTGTCAAGAACGCCCTCAGTTTAGCCATGCACCGTGATGGATCTTCGGGAGGCACGATTCGAATGGTCGACATTACAAAGAAGGGTGTGGAAAGGCATTTCATCCCAGGCGTGAGTTTGCTTCCGTCAAAGTTGGAGTGCTACAGAGGTACTGATGTTCCTCCTTCTTCGACTTCTTGCTCCGCTTCCAGAACGAGCTACCAGAATTGTCGGCTAAGCTGGTGTAGAGGGTCGAGCAATGCCAATCTTCCTCGGGCATCAGATTTAGCTATTTTCGATCATGTGAAACCGAGAGCACTTTGTGGTGAAGGAGTGACAGATGGTATTTGTACGTGCTGGACGAGCTGTCACCACTTGTGGTAGTTTGATGGAGGCGAGGGACCGCTCGAAGACGACATGAGTCTGTCGAGTCAGATCCACGGCCTTTGATCTCGCGAGGAGCTTTCACCCTGCCTTTCTCCCCAATCAGGTTGCGCCCGCCCCATTTCCATCGGCAGGCTTGCTCATCTCGCCTCCCTCCATCTTGTATGGTCTGCGGCCAATTTCGATGAACTTGGCCTCTCCACTCGTCTCCCAATGATCCGCACCCTCTACGACCTTGTAGTCCGGGTCAAGGTATGTCTTGCGGAACTCCTCCTTTGCCTCAGTGTCGATGCCCATCTTCTCCTTGCGCTGAGCTAGGAGATCCTTGTCCCCGCGGGGACCTGGGTGGGCAGCGGTGGTTGAGGTCATTAGAACTGGGGGACCGAGGGGGAGCTTCTGGTCTAGTGGATGCCAGGTGTGACTGATAGAGGTAGGAGGGGGACCAGAAGAAGGCTCAGAGAATGCTCCGCACACTTAAGGTCGCCATCCACCTCCGCCTTGCAGCTCACATTGTCTTGCCGTATGTCTTGTACAGCTCACTCAGCGGACCCTTTTCCACCTCATCGGGCATTCCTGCAGCCACTCCAGGCACGTAATTGGAGGCCAGCTTGGCGGCTGCTCCAGCGGGCGAGGCGACGGCTATTGCGCAAAGCAAGCCCGAGGCTACCTCGTGCTTGTGAGAATGCCAGAAGTGACGTTCTTCCATGGGTAGAGTCTCGAAGAGCCGCTCCGAAATGACGTACTCTATGCCGATCAGCCTGGCTCCCGGCTGATCTGAGTCATAGATGATGCACTGGTCGATGGATCACAGATGTCAGACTGAAGTGGCTCGCAGCGTCACAGCAGCTGCAGATAGTCTGCCTGTACCTACCTGGTGCATCTCAGGATTGGTATGGGCGCAATAGTGGAATGCCTCTACCACCTGTATTCGATCATGCGATGGTACATGGTAGGCGTGAAGGCATTGGTGAATCTGATTAATGGGAGCGAATGTTGTGTGAGAGCTGATGATCGCAATGTATTGCGCGAGTAGGGGAGAGGGTGAGGAGCGTCAGATATTGTCTCGGTGTATGCTGCAGTCGAGGCATACCCACACACCTCATTTTTGTTGATCGTTCCTGGGGCCTTAGAACAGGGACTAGATGAAGATCATGCGAGGACGAGGAGCAAACGAAAGCGACAGACGACAATAGGAGCGAGGTCGAGGGAGGCAGGACAATGGTCAGTGGCCCCCGCGTCGGTGTCTTGCCGTTGTGTCGTTCGTCGTCCGTCTTCTCGCACAGACAATCAGGGTCCAGACGGCAATTCCCGCGCCAGGACAGCTCCACATGGCCAGATGGCTCTTCCCGTCGCTTTGAGGCAATCACCTTCTCACCGCTTCCGCAATTCACCCACCTAATCATTCGTAGACATCACACCCACCCATCACCATGTCTCCTTCGTCTCTCCCAGTCATCATCGTCACTGGCGCATCTCGCGGCATCGGGCTCAGCACAGTACAATACCTTCTCAACTCTTCAGCCCTCTCCAGTCCTTCGGTGCCAAAGTGCAACGTAGTGACCCTCTCCCGCTCTCTTCCCGAAGGACTTTCCAGTCTGCAAAAGAATCACAAAGACCAGCTGGAGTGCGTTCAGGGAGATGTACTCGACGAGAGTGTCCACGATAGGCTGGTCAGGACGGCCGTCGACAAGTGGGGAAGGTTGGACGGACTGATCCTCAATGCTGGAGTCATCGAGTTCGGCACCGTAGCAGGCGGAAAGGTGAGCAGTGACAGCAGTGGCACCCTTGGCCAAATAACGCCCTGCCCCACCAATGGACCTGTATTCACCAATGTCCGTCCCTCTTTACGTCTTGCTAGCCTTCGTCCTTTGCCAACCAGATTGCCATCAACCTCTCTTCTCTCTTCACCACTCTCCACTATGCCCTGCCACCGCTCCGCTCCTCGCCTACCGGCCTCGGACGAGTAGTCTTTGTCTCTTCCGGTGCGGCTATGGGCAACTACGCAGCTTGGGGGCCTTACAATGCCTCCAAAGCTGGGCTGAACGCCCTGGCTCGCACAGTGGCCAATGAGGAGAAGGGCAAAGTGGCTGTCTTTTCTATCCGACCCGGTGTGGTGGATACGGAGATGCAGGCGCAGATCCGCGACCACGGCACCAGCATGGGTATGGACGATGCTGCTGTCGAGAAGTTCACAAGCATGCATGCCAAGGGAGAGTTGGTCAAGGCAGAGGATCCAAGCCATGTCCTTGCTGCACTCGTAACAAAGGGAGGGCTGGATGAGCCTAAGACGAAGGAAGGAAAGGGTATTGGCAGGGAAGGCGCCTTTGTCAGCTGGGACGAAGATGTGCTCAAAGAGTACAGAAGAGCCTAGAAGGGGCCTCCGCTGTCATCAGATGTCCCTCAGCAATGCAGACCTCACAGTGAAGGTTCTCCACCTTGCCCACTCTTCGCGACCTTTGAGATGCTTAGTCAGCAAAATCAACCTCATTGGTCACGGAAGCACGGCCTATGCCTCCAATTCTTCCTACCCCGCTCTCGACCCTTACAATACCCGCCACTGTAGTCGCACTCACTGCTGAGATTTGATCTTCAGCCAGCATCGCTCGGTCCTATTAGACTTACCGCTCCTGCTCGACGCTGCTGAATCTAGCCGGTGACGCTGCACTTCTCTTCCCCACCCGCCACCACAATGTCTTGGTACTCGCCCCGTATGCCCTCGGGCGGCAGTGCCTCCTTGACCGCCTCCTCTTCTGTCACGACTTCGCTGAGCAAAGGACCACCACCGCCACCGGAGACGCCTTCGCAAGTGAGAGATCTGGGAGTTGGCGTGTGCTATGATCTCGGGGCTTTCAGAGGTGAGCTTGGCAGGAATTCAAAGGCGATGAGACAGCCTTCTCGCGTCTGTGTGTAGTGCTGACTTCTTGCTTCGTTCGCTTGGCTCGTATGCTCTGCTAGAACTGATGAGGCAGTATCGACTACTAGACGATGGAGTCACCACCCGTCTCAACCGGACAATAGCCAAATCGCGCTCTTCTGGTCAAACGCACTCCCCGTCTCTCCTCTACTCCCCCACCACCTTCTCTTCCTCCTCCTCCTCCTCTCCCAATCAGGGTTCCTCATCCTCCAACCCCCTCTCTAGCTCAGGGTCGAGCTCGCTCGGAGCAGGAACTCGCTTCTCCTCGAGCTCAGCTGCTGATCTAGGCACGACGACCTACGTCGCCTCGGACGAGGCCTGTGGAGCCTTCTGGAAGGAGCTCACGGGGTACTGGAAGGGACGGCAGGACGTGATTCGATACTGCATCGACGTTGTGGACAAAGGCGCTGGCGGAAGTGGTACTTCCACCTCGTCCTCTTCACCGAAACAGATTGGAGGGTCGAGCATCTTCGGAAAGGCAGGCAGGGACGACCGAGAGCTAGATGCAGACTATCAGGCGAGCAGACCTCCCACTTCTGCCGCTTCGAGAATGAACGAAGCGCCATCGGCCTTTCCGGGATGGGACGATCGAGGCTCGAGGGCCGAGCAGTCCGATGCAGCACTAGTGAGTGATCCTGGCATCTCCTTGTCTCCTCTGCCTCAATTGACTGACTCCCTGAATGTCTCTTCGTCCTCCTTCTCTCTGCAAAAGCGTCGTCAACTGCACAACGAGCTCAGCATCGACAGTATTATCCGCAATCGATCCCTGCAAGCATTTAAATCGCGATGCACCCTCTTCCGCTTACCTGTTGATGCGAGTGAAGAGGAGAGGAAATTTTGGCAGGGGGAGAGATGAGATGGGATGGGATGTAAAGGGGGAAGGAAGGGGGCTGCCTCGCTCGCTTGTATTGGCTTGGTCTTATCAAGTTGGATGAGCTACAGAGGGACTTTGGAAGTGGTTACAAATGCAGAGTGGAACGAGGAACCTTCAATGACACTACTTGTACAATGGCAATCCATCACTTTACCCCTGACACCAGATGTCGCATCGGGCAAAGTCTCTTCAGGCCTGTCCTGTCTCACACGCGGCCTCACTGCATCCTCCTCCTCCTGGCAACCAGTCTCACGTACCTTGTCTGACACGTCCATGTCCATGTCCACATCCATGGTTGAGGAAGCTGGAAATGAGAAAGGATACATTGGGTATTGGGTATTGGTTCGAAGTGATATAGTTGACAATGGGTATACTTGGGTATTGGATACGGGTATGGGGTATGGGGGACGGGTAATGAGTAATTGGTGAAGGAGATTAATGAGGTACATAAGACAGCATCCAGTAAGATTCCCCGAGGCCGGGCAAGACCGTCGGCAGTAGCGAGGGAGCGAGCGACCGACAGTGAGATCGCTTCCATCTGCTCAAGTTACAGTCTCCCTCTCCCTCGCCTCCTCTTCTCTGGGATCGACCTGCGCCTGGGGAGGCGCTGAAGTGCCGCCAAAGGTAATCCAGCTTCCCAAGCCCCAACCTCGAGCAGACTTTCCAACTGCAACTGCGTCTGTTGAGTCGACGACAGGTTCGTTATCCATAGTGCTCTTCGTTGCCAAGGCCATCGTCCCGTCGGAAGGTGGTTGAGACGAAAGGACAGCTCTCGACGAGGGCGAGGGCGAGGATGCAGTCGCAGGCGACAAGCTAGGGACTGCACTTGCTCGAGCGATCCGCCCGCCCGGGCCTGTATAGGAGAAGGCAAAAGGTCCCGAAGCCGAAACAGTTCGCCTCTGTGAAGGGCTTGGACGTCTTTGCGGTATGATGCCCGAGGTTGAGACAGATGTGCTGGCCATCGGCGCTTCCATGTAAGAGGGGGATGTGATACTCGGGGAATAGGCAGTGGATAGCCCTGGTGACCAGAGTGAAGATGAAGATGTGGCGCTGGTTGAGCTGCGTGTAGAGACGACTGCGGGAGCTGAGGGATGACTGCGATGCAATTGCTGTCGCCTGCTCAGCAGCGTGGACGTTGGCGAGCTGCTCCTCGATGATGTGCGCGTGCCCATCGTTGGAACTTCTGCAGAGTACGACGAACGCCGTGAAGGCCCAGGCGAGGATGGAGAGGTCGAGCTGGAGGGACTTGGCGAATCTGGCGCATCGAGCGCACGAGCCCTTGAGGAGTCTTCGTCATCCAGGAGCTCCTCCATCTGCTCGCCAGATACGTCGGGTAACGCTGGAGAGGAGGCAGACCTGGCTGTCTGGAACGATGCGGCCGTGATAGTGGAGACGCCACTGCTGCTCCGCACCGAGAGATGGCTGGAGCTCCCTGCCCGTTGAGGAGAGTAGGGAGTTGAAGGAAAGCCAAAGGGGCTTGCTGCGCTCGATGGTCTTCTCGGCCCTTCCGCAGCAGTCGAAGTCGAAGTCGACCGTTGAGGCGATGCAGTGGACGACACAGCGGACAAAGAGGCGAGCATGCTTTGTGCGTCCCTCCTTCCTCCCAGGCTCGGGCGATCGCTCCCACTTGATCCTGCGCCTGCATCGCTACCTCCTCCGTTGCTCCTGACCTTGTGTTGTCCTAGCATCTTCTCCAACCTCCTCGCAGCAGACTTGCCCATCGTCACTCCCTGGTCCTGAGGTGCCTCGACGATGCCCTTGACGCCGCCCTCGAGGCTGCTGCTACTCAGTTGCGCAGCTGCTTCCACCGTCGGATCTCCTGTTGCAGTACCTAGCTTCCAACCTCCCGTCGAGGTTGAACAGGAGGGGTTGCGCCTTGGTCCCCGGGGGAAAGACGCTAATGTCGAACCCTTCAGTAGGGTCTGCAACTCGCAGGTGCGCTGCTCTACGTACTCGGTCATCTGCCGATTGGCCTCTAGCTGCGTCAGCAGCTCCACTTCCCTCTTGCCCATGAGTAGCTCCGAGGCATTCTCATCCACTCTAAATTGTGCCAGCTGTTTCCGATCAGAGAGAGTTCTTTGTAGTGCTTCTTGAGCAGATTGGAGGGCGAGAGAGGAGGATGCGAGGATTGCATCCAGAATCGCGTCTTCCTCGTCCTCGTCCTCGTCCTCCTCCTCTCCATCCTGCCGAGCTTGACTGCGTCCGTCCGTCTCCTCATTATGCAGCGTAGAAGTAGCAGTCCATATGCTCCATCTGTCAGGCTCCGTCCCAGCTTTTGCAATGGGCTCAGGCTTGAGACTTCTCACAGACACCTCCTCGTCCTGCTTCTCTTCCCCTGCTGAGCCTGGTGATGAGGGCGAGCGCGAGACCGATCCAGAGCGCGGATCACGCATATTCAGAGCCAGTCGGTGGAAAATCCAGCTAGTGTCCGTATGGAGCCTTTTGCTGCGAGAGAGAAAGAGAAAGAGAGAGAGAAAGGCTACCTCTTTCCTCGGGCTGGGGACATCTCGCCGGCTGACCGCGTCGGATGTCGTCTGGTCTTGTCTCTTTCTTTGCGTCTTTGTGATGCAGGGGCCCGGACCGATGACCGATGACCGACAGCCGATAGCCGATAGCCGATGAATACGGAAGCAGCGGGTCAGTGGAGTAATGTAGTGACGTGTAGCGTAGCGGTCGAGTCGAGTCGAGTAGTGTAGCGTAAGATAGACTAGATGGAGAGAGGAGCAGGCTGTGGAGATGGTTGCCCTGACAGACGGAAAGGAGGCAGATCTCTTGGCTCATTGCCCCGAATTGTGCATCCGCCTCACACGCCACGAGGGAGACGGGCGGAAAAGAGACGCGGGGCGGACAGATCATCCGGGCAAAAGAGGCACGTCTCCTCACTCACGACTTCAAGGCCAACGACGGGCATATGCTTGAATCTTTCATAGAGAAGAGAATGTGTGTATGCGAAAGTAAGAAAAGACAGACAGAGACGCGAACAAGCGCAAAGACAGAAAGGATAGGCAAACCCAGAATGTACAAACGCCAGGGCGGCCCTTGGCGCTTCAGATGAGGGGCATGCAAGAGGTAATCACACCTGACCCACGACTGAGCAGCTAGCTACCACCAGACCCATTTCCCCAACTAGCTCGACCGCGGTGGCCTTCGATAACCACCTTCAGTTGGCAGCCAAGATACGTCTAGAGTGCCGCTACATTTGCAGGGCAGCACTCTTAGTGCTCAATGACGGAGAGGTTACCGCTGATGAGCTTGTTCTCCAGGATGGATCCGTCGGGAATGGTGATATGCGACCCCTCATTGGCCACGATGATCACTGTACCCCTCAGCTGCACACCCCGACCAAAGACGACGTCTCCGCTCACGGTGAGGTGATCCAGCTCAATGATGATGGGGATGGACTTGAATCTCCTCTGGTAGTTTGACACCTTCTTGAATGTGTCTCCCAACTTCACCACGGGCGTCTGGCCAAACAGACGCTTCTCGGACATCATCAGGGAGCCGTGCTGCAGGTGGTACAGATCCGACTGGATCAAGAGCAGATCCGAGCATGCCTTGACCGGCAGGAAACGGGATCGGGGCACATTCACACCCTTGGCACCACGGAAGTGCTTGATGGCAGCAGCACAGGCAGTCTCCAGCTGGATGACGGCCTCGCCTGATCCGAGCTCCTTGTTGTTGACAATGATCTCCAGGTCGAGCTCGTCATTGGAAATGACCCGCTTGATGGCCTTGAGGTTGATCCAGAGGGAGTTGCAGTTGAAGATCTGGAACTTCTTGATGCTCTTGAAGTCCTCGATGTGCTCCTTTGGCACCTGGGCCACTTCCAGCAGACGAATCGTACCCTCGTAGTCGATCAGTGTTCCACCCTTGACATCCGCCTTGGTCTTGTCAGTGACCTCGGAGATGAACTCGGCTTGCGAGTCGATCATGTGCTGGAAGATGTTCAGGTCGACAGTGGCGCCCAGGTTGTCAACGTTGGATACGAAGATGTACTCCTTTCCGGCAGCAATCAGTCGGTCCAAGAGACCAGAGTTGTGCATGGCGTCAAACAAGTCTCCGTGTCCAGGAGGGTACCAGAGAGCCTTGTCGCTGGTAGCGCTGCGAGGGCAGGGGAGGAGAGACTCCTTGCTCACACGGGGATACCTCGACTGGTTGAAGGTGAGGATCTCGATGTTGTGGTTGGCATACTTCTGGATGACACGAGCTGTGTCGTCGTCGGTGTTGAAGGAGTTCATGAGGATAAAGGGGACGTTGACATTGTGGGACGAGTTGAGGTGCTCGATTTGGCGCACCGACAGGTCCAGGAAGGTCATACCGTCGCGGACTTCAATGACCGACTTGGGTCCAGTGCAGCCCATGGTGGTACCCAGACCACCGTTGAGCTTCAGCACAGCAAGCTTGTTCAGGATGGAAGGGTCCTTTGCGTTCTGCAGCTGAGCGTAAGGAGTGACCTGCTCGGCAGAGGGGGACTTGACCTTGTCCCAGTCACTGCATGGGAGAGGAAGCGCATGAGGAGGAGTGAGATTAGATGCTCTGGGAGGCTTGCACCACTCTTGCAATGCTGATTACTCACAGCCTCTCGCCCTTTGCCTTTTCCGAGAGGTATCGATTGAAGAGACCGAAGAAAGAGCTCATCTCGGCATCAAATGCCTATGAGGTGGGCGGGCAGCAGGAAGGGAGAGCAGAGCATTAGTCTCGCAGCAAAAACGGTTTGCGGCATCACCTCTCCACAGACGTGACCTCAGACTCACCTTCCTTGCGATGGGGTCTTCAATTTCGGCGACCATCTTGTTGAGCTCGTTCCTCATTGCCTTTGCAGCAACTCCAGTGGTGGCCGACTTGAAGTCGATGTGGGAGGCTCCTCGGGTACGAGGGTTAGCCTTGATCTGGGCGGAGCCAGGCGTTGAGAGAGAGGATGCCATATCTGGTGAAAGAATGTAGGAGGGGTGATCTGATCAGTTCTGAGCTCGTAATGGGAGGAGGGTGAAGCGGTGCAGTAGGGCATCAAGGAGGGAGGCAGGACTGGCTGCAAGAAGAGCTTATATGCTGTGGAATGCGTCGGCCTGGCCAAGTACGGAAGCCGAGCAATTTGCTTCCAAGGCCTCGCAACTCCCACGCCCATTGTCTTGCAGGTATAGCAGAGGGCTCATGTGCGACTGTCTCCCCCCAGAGTCTAATCCCCACTGGCTGATCACCTGTCGGTTGTGCCCCAATTTCTTGCCGCGTTGAGCATTCCGGGATACTCACCTGTGACGAGTGATGTAGGCGACAAGGTAAAGGTCTAGGGAGCAAAGAAGGGCGTGTGGCAGGTGCCTTTGAGGCGTAGGTATGGAAAGGTGGAGAGAAGAGAAGAGGGGTGGGGGACGGAGGATGATCGGAAGGTAGGTTGGCAAAGGTGGGAAGATGGGGCCATCGGGAAGTCAAACAGAGACACACACGGGTAGCAGGAGCACGAGGGGAGGCCAGGCGTGCGCCCACAGTCCACTGTTGGTTGGTCTGGCTGTCGGGGAAGAAGCGGACAGGCAGGGCACGCCGACAGCAGACGCACTGCAGCCACCACGGCCACATCGCCCACCACCTTCCGCCCACGAATCTCCGCGCCTGGGTGGCAGCAGTGCACTGCGCTCCCTCACCTGGGCCGCCGGGCAACCTGCCAGCCCCAGCCACTGGATCAGTACGGCCATCCATGCAAGCCCACGCTCATTTGTGGCGAGGGCCATCCGAGGGGGCTGGGCGGGGCCACCTGGAGAGTGATTCGGCGAGATTGATCCTCTGCAAGAAGCACGCACCCGCTCATCAATTCCACCGCGTAGAGCCTGGTCGCGGAAGAAGCCAACGACACTCCGTAAAGGCGCTCGCTGCATTACAGGATGAAATGGAAGATCCCTGCAGCCAGACTGAGACATGGACAAAAATTTCAATACAATGGCACACACCACGCCCCTCCCTATCTCGATTGACTGGAAACCCAGGCCCCCAACCAAGCCACTGTTCACACAAGGGCAGCGGCTGCACGGTTCCCCATTGAGACGGACTTGTTCATCATAGGGCCAGTAAGTAAATACATTTCATCGCCACTCTCGCAGATAAGGGTGGTCAACAAAGACATGCAGCCTCACACAAGTCAGCCCCAGCTCGAGCCTCGTGTGACAATATCGGAAGGCAGGCCAGAGGGATTGAGAATAGTGAAGACATCATCATCATCTCCTCCCATTGTATCCATCTCTCCCCGTCTTCCACTCGCACATTGTTGATTTGCCTCTACCGAAATGTAGAGGAGTACACAACACATGCACGCAGGACATTTAGATCTTGGTGACCTTGAGTCCGTCCTTCCACAGGATGAAGAAGGGAGTCACACCGTCCTCACGGTAGTTGACAAGGGCAACCATGCTGAGAAATGAGCAGGACAGGCAATGATGTCAGGTTTCCTTCTCTCGTCACGAGTGCAGACCCCCTTGCATTCACACCCATTTACTCACCCGTCCAGGTTCATGCTCTCTCCAACGTAGAAGTCGTAGTCCTTGAAGTTGCCCACGATCTTCTTGGCAAACTCGGCAGCCTTCTTCTCGAACACTGGCACACGCTCAGGGTCCTCCTTGGCGAGGCTCTCCTTGATGGCCTTCATGTACGACTGTTCATCGGAAGACAAGGCAGAGGCGTCAGCGTTTGCTATTGATTGGCGGCACGTGGGCAGCATTTCTGCGCTTGGGCGTAATCATTTGAGTCCCGAGAGAGTCTTGGGCACGCTGACTGCTCCAAACAGAGTGCCTCGTGTACTGTCGCAGACCTGCCGGTTGCTGCTGCTCGACTATGCCTGCTTCTGCTTCTGCTTCCCGCCCCCCTGACCCTGCTTCCCCGCATTCACGCCCTTCTCCTTGTCTCCATAGCTGCGTTTGCTGCAACGCATGAGCATCATGAGTTATCAACTCACCTTAAGGTGGGTGAGGTAGCCCTTCTTGTCAAAGGTAGTCGACTGCAGACGGAAAGAGTGGACAATGTTGATGACCTGGGTACCACCGTTCTCAAGGGCCTCGGCCTGCTCCTCGGCAGAGGGGTTGCCTCCAATGTCAACGTCGCCCTCGGAGATGACAATTTGTTGAGCGTCGAGCTCGTAGACAATGTCGTCAACCTCCTTGTAGTCGTAGGCGTCCGAGCCCATCTCGTCGCCGGAGATCTTGTCGATGAAGAGCTAATTTGATGCAACAAGGAGAACGGGACGGGAGCATGTATAGTAAGGGGAGAAGTCAGCTGGCTCTGTTCCATGTAATAGCCCTCCGAACTGCTCTGCGAGCAGCAGCCATGAGCTCACCTTCATGATGTATTAGGAGGTGATATGGGGAGGGATGGGAAGGACAATGAGGTTGTTTAGCGGAACGAAAGGCGGGGCAAAGCAGAAGGAACGAGGAGGGGCAGCTGGCTCGCGTAGGAAAATTCACGCTGGGCGAGGCTTGAATCTCGGCTCCGGTTTGGATTGTAGTTTCGGACTCCGAATGGTGTTGGACTTCCACAACACCGGAAAGCCAAGCAACACTTGAACTTCATATCAGTCGCATAGGAGCAGATCAATAGCAGGGTCGTCCGTCTTCGCCAGTATGGTCCTCACATCCGCCATCGGAGGATCCAAGGTGAACTCTACATATGGTAAGAGCAAGAATCTTCGCTTTGGTGGTCCGAGGAAGACTGTTAATGCTGTCGTGCTTAGCAGCGATTCCGAGGACGATTCCGATAGCAGCAATGAAGTCGAGAACGCACGGAAGAAGGTATTCCCAAAGAAGACGCCATCTTCTGTCCAAGTTGTCCCGCAGTCTGGCCCTCTGATCAGCAAGAAAGCGCCGAACCATGCCATTGCCGACGACAAAACATCATCTGCGGGGAAAACACGGCCACAACCTGCTGACGAAGGCAAGCTCAAACCGACGGCTTCTTCTTCACGCCCAGTCTCTCAGCCATCAACCTCTCACCAGTCTAGGCCAAAGGCGATACTAGCAGAGCATCACAGACTTCTGCTAACCCAACCTGGTCTGACCACCAAAGCAAAGCTCACCCTGGCAGATGCTCCACTTCCCTCATCATCTCCCCTCTCTTCTCCTCCTCCGCTACCTCGCCCAGGAAAGAGCGTCGCGGCCCCTGATGGTGCCCATGTCACAAGCTCGCTTCATCATCCCAGTCGAAAAGCTGGTCTTGTGGCCCAGGCACGTGTCCAGACGCTGTTATCACACGAGGCAGAGGATGTAAGCAGCTCAACCAATCGTTTGCGGGCTGAGGTCAAAGCCCGGAAACCTGTTGGTTCAAAAGAGTTGGTCGAGAAGAGCTCTCCAGACCACTCAGTCAAGGTCATGGCCAAGGATTTGGAAGGACTGGAAATGAGCAAGGAGAGCAAAGTGTTTGACAAGGGTCTAGAAGCGCTACTATCCACATGTGCCCAAAGGGCGCCACTTGATTTCACTAAGGCTATTGGTCGCCTGAGACGCGATGCTGATGGAGGGATCAGGCTGATCGAAAAGGCAGGCGAAGCTTCATACAGCGAGGTCTTCCGCTTGCATGACGAAAATCCACCTTCTTCGTCTGCCTCATCACGAACGACATCGGTGCTCAAGGTCATCCCTCTCGAGACTCGCAGACCAGCGGGCTCTGCCCGAGAACGAGAGCGCAAAAAAGGCCGGACGAGCAGCAGTGGCCCCTCACCGAGTAGCACTGCGCGAGGGGAGGAAGTGATAGCATCGTTGCCTTTGGATGTCAAGCGCGAGGTCGACATCACAAACCGATTGGCAGCTCTGACGGAATCTTCCGGTACACGAGGCGGCGAATTCGTCACTCTACTCTCTGCTCAGGTGGTCACAGGTGTGTACCCCACCATCCTGCTAGACGCTTGGGATCGATATGACACCAGGATGGGCGGCTCCGAGAACATTCGTCCTTCAGACGCAGAGGGCGCGGAAAATCAATTGTATTGCCTTCTCCATCTCTCCGACGGAGGTGAAGACGTCGAATCCGTGTCCCTCACCAGCTGGACACAAGCCCTGACGATCTTTGCACAGACGGTCGACCTCCTTGCACGAGGCGAGGAAGAAGTCCAATTCGAGCACCGCGACCTGCACTGGGGCAATGTCCTCGTCGAGAAGCTGGCAGCACCAGAGGACGACGAGCCGCAGCTTATCGCTCTCTGTTGGCCCGATCTCCTCGAGGCAGACAAGTCTCGTCTGCGCACAACGATCATCGACTATACACTCTCTCGAGCACAGCTCACCTCTTCGACTCTTGCGACGTGCGACCTGTATTCTCAGAAGAGCCTCTTCCGCGGAGACGCAGAGGAAGACTATCAGTTCGAGGTGTATAGACTCATGAGAAGCCACGTCCGTAGTGCTGCTCGACAAGTCGCAGGTGAAGATGCAGACGAGAAAAAGGGCTTCTATCCTGGTACGAATGTCATCTGGTGCCACTACCTGGTCCGGAAACTCCTCGAGGAGAAGAACTTAAAGGACCCTCTCCTGCCCACGCACACCACTGCGAAGAGGACATCTTCTGTGCGAGGACGCCCTACCGGCCCCACTGCTGGCTCGCGCTCTAGGTGCAAGGAAGCGGAGCGCATTGCGCATACCCGATTGCTGGCTCTAGAGAAAGTGCTGAAAGAGGCAGTGGAGAGCTTGAGACAGGGGCTCGACACTTCCAGCAGGAGGCGGGGGGACGGTCCAGTGCTGGGAAGCAGTGTGCAGTTGCGCAAGTACCTCGAAAAGGAGTGGTCAAAGAGATGAATGACTGTATACCCTGATGCTGTAATACCCAATGTGACAATGTACATCGACATAATTCCTTGTCAGAGAGATTGCCTCAGCCAGCGCGCGGCAGCATCTCTCAGCTCGTCGTCTTCCTCTATGACATCTGCCACAATCTTCCGAGTCTCCTCCAGACCTTCCTCTTGCGCCTCATGCACATCTTCCTCTACAGCGTTCTGGCCCTGTGAAGCTGCCCTTGCCAAGCGCGGCCGCTCCGTAAGCGCATCGTACCTCTTGCTCTTGAGAGCAGAGAAGAAGTGCGTCCAGAAATCCCTCGCGTCTTCTCCGCCGACGCTGACGCCCTCGCTGACTTCAAGCTGTAGCACCTCAATCTCCTCCACTAGGCCATGTCTACAAGTGAGTGAGATTCTCGCAGCCGTGAGCCCACCTCGCTCTCGTAGTATACGCGCGATTTGCTCGTCGGTTGTGCCCGCGCGCAGCGAGAGCTCGAGGGAGAATTCGGGACATTGTCCAAAGGCCCAGTCCCATTGGCCGAGCTCCTCTTCGAGCTGAAGCCGCTTGCTCTCTTGCGATATGGGGTGAGAGGCATCAATTGCCTCCCACATAATCTGGTTTCCCCTTCCAGGTGCAGATGCAGAAGATTCGGCTCCCTCGTCCTCAATTTCTCTTCCTGCCTTATCATCATATGTTCGCCAGAACTCTGCGACGACCGCCCTCACAAAGTGGTCATGAGTCAATGAGCCCTCGCTGGCCACAGAAGGGTAGGCGTCAGTGAGGTTGACCACTTGGGATCGGACACTCTCCACGCCTTTGGACTTGACGCTACTAGAAGCGAGCTTGGTGTTTCGGAGCGACGAGCCTAGATCGGCCAGATTGGTGGAGAGGAGCATCGTGCCGTGATGATAAGCTCTGTGTGTGAGGATCTTAAATGCAGAACCCGAAATTTTGCGTTCTGACCAGACTTGGCTCTGTTGGGTCGATGGTGACGAAGAGGATGAGGAGACGTGGGAAGAGGCCGTAGTCGACTGCGAAAGCGCTGCGTTGCCGGAGGTGTGGGAAGAGTCTCCGTTGCGCACCGCGACGCGGACGACGAGGTCGTTCCTCTCGTTGACGTAAACTCCTTCTGGATGTCCATGGCCCAAGGGATACTCCGAAGCTGAAGATGACACTTCTTGATTTGAAGTCCCATGAAGAGTCTGCAGGCCAATGTCAGGGCCATTCAAGGCTCGTGCTATGAGTTCTGCATGTGTGCGCCGAGCAAAGGTCATACGAGGGACATGAAAGGAAAAGTTTGTGTTGCCATGATCCTGGATGTATTAAAGCAAGTCAGCAGCCGGCAGGGTAGCAACTGCGTGCTCTAGGAATAACTGCACTCACATGAAATACGGCCCCTCCTCCACTCCTACGCCGCACGAGCATCAAGCCTCTCTTTCTCATCTCCTCGATGTTCAGCTCCTTCCAGTGGTTCTGATTTCTTCCGATGACGATGCAGGGGTCATTTCGGTAGATGAAGCAGACGGGCGCGTTGTGGGGTTTGGTTCTCAGGAGATGCTCCTCGAGGGAGAGGTTGAAGAGGGGGGATAGGGACGTGGATACGTAGGCCTGAGGGAATAGCAGATGAAGGACGCGAGGGATCGTCAGTAGCGAGACTATGGTATGTAGCTTGCATTATTCTCACCTCAGCTCTACCGTATCTGGGCACCGCTACCTCAGCCCCATCCGAGGAAACAGACCTGAGCTGTGTGCCATTACGTCGAACATTTGCGATGTGAAAGGCGCGTCCGATACGTTCATAATACCGTAGATGTGCCGCGGCACCAATGCTGACGAAGCTGCTACCTGTAGATCTCAGGAGACCGCGTATGGGTAGCGGTGAGGCGAGCATCCAGCATTGATACCAGAGCAGTATCGTTTCTTCCTTGGACACCTTGCTTCGCCTCTTCTTCGCCCTGAGCCTGCACGTCAAGGTCAAAGCGCAGTCGGAGTCCAGCGGCAATCGCATCGGGGTGGCGAGCCGAGGTGGAGGCGGCAAGACCCTGACGTTCACTCCATGATGCTTCCTCACACTCGACGCTTCTGCCCACTCCTTCTTCGCAACATACTTCTCTAGACTTCTGCTATCATGTCCTTCAATTACGACCACTACAAGCCTCAGAGCCTCTTCTCTCTCGAAGGAAGAACCGCCATCGTCACCGGTGGCGGTACCGGCATCGGACTTGCTCAGGCTCAAGGTCTGGCAGCAGCTGGTGCAAAGGTGTACCTCCTCTCACGCAGGGGAGAATTGCTGGAAGAGGTGGTCAAAAAGTACAACTTTGCCGGTGTTCTCGAGGGAGATGTGACTAGCAAGGACTCGATCGAGGATGCCGTGCGCCAGTACAGCGAGAAGGAGCAGTGGTTGGATATCCTCGTCTCCAATGCAGGTGGCCCAGGGCCTACCCACTTTGGCGCAGACACCTCTTCACCCGACGGAGAGACAGATCCAGCCAAGAAGCACGAGCCTGTGGATGCACAGACATACAAGGACCGCATTTTGAAGGACAACTCCTTTGAGAATTGGGACGACATCTTCCGGCTCAACTCCCACTCGCTCCTCTTCCTCTCCGTGGCTTTCCTTCCCCTCCTCGCAAAGGGAAGCGAGAGGGGACAGCAGCAGCAGAGGAAGTACACGTCCACCATCATTGCCACTACCAGTATCTCTGCATTTGTCAAGCAGAGTCAGATGCACTTTGCCTATAATGCGTCCAAGGCTAGCGCAGCTCATCTGGTGGAGCTGATTTCGTATGAGCTGACCTACTCGACCAAGGCAAAGGTTAGGGTCAATTCGGTCGCGCCTGGCGTGTTCCCAAGTCAAATGACGACCGACTTCTCCCGCGACCCAAAAACATCAAAGTCTCGCGATGCTCTGGAGGAGAAGCTTCCCACGATGGCAATCCCTGCAGGCAGGCATGGTGAAGACGAGGAGATGGCAGGAGTACTCCAATTCTTGGCGGCAAATGAGTACATGCATGGCCAGATCGTGGCACTAGATGGTGGGTTTATGATGTCTGAACCCTGAGCTCGATAGAGTGGCTGGATAGAAATAGAATGTAATCGAGATAGAAATAGAATGTATTCGAGATTGCAAGTGTATGTGCATGGGATGAAGGAAGCACGAATACTGATACAAATCGAGAAAGTGGTATCATGGCTCCTCGCCAGCTCCCTGCCATTGAAGTCTCTTCTGGCTGCCACCGCCACGTCTCATATCCTGCCACCATTGAAGAGGTAGTTGAGCTCCTCCTTTGACAGCTTGGTACTGCCCTTCTTCAGCTTGGTACCCTCCAAAGCAGCACTAGCCAGGGCCCGCTTCTTCTCCTGTAGGGCAATGATCCTCTCCTCGACGCTGCCGCTGATGGCCAAGACGTAGGCGGTCACATCCCGTGTCTGACCCATCCTATGCGCTCGATCGATGGCCTGATCCTGCGTCGTGGGATTCCACCAGACGTCGGTGAAGATGACCCGCGAGGCGCTCGTCACATTGATTCCCACTGCAGCTGCCTTGAGAGACATGACTGCGACCTTGATCGATGGCTTCTCGGCGAACTTCTGCAGTACCACGGCTCGCTCCGTAGAGGTCATCGAGCCGTCGTAGCGCACATGCTCGAATCCCTCGGCATCCAGAGCGTAGCCAATGAGGTCCATGAAGGTGGTGAATTGGCTGAAGACAATCGTCTTTTCGTCTCCCAAGTCTCGGATCTGCTTCAGGATTTTCAGCATCATGCGAATCTTGGTGCTGCCCTCTGCCGTCCAGTCAATACGGCTGGTTCTGACGGCTTCCACACATTCCTCGCACATCTCGGGTGAAGGTTCGCTCGGCTTCACCTTGATTTGTGCGTGGCACCTCTGGCAGGAGACGGTCGTCAGGGCTGTACTGGACAGCAGGTCTGCCAGCTCATCAAGTGGATCAACCTCTGCAGTGACTTGACCGGGCTCGCCAGTGGCTGCCTTCTTCTTCGGGACGGGTGGGGCAATGTCTTCGACGTCCACCTTGCGTGTGATCGAGAAGGGATGATCTGCAGCTTGCCTAAGTCTGAGCAAGATGACGAGCATGCCGATGTAAGAGTCTTGCTGTTCTTCAGCATTCTTCTTTGCCTTGGCTTCCCACGAGGCGTAGAACTCCCTCTCTGCATCGTTGTCGAAGGGCTCGGAGACGGTCTCGACAGTCCGCTTGGGTAGAGTGATCAACGGCTTGCCCTCGAAGAGCGCGTCCTTCTGTCTCCTCAACAGGATGGCATTGGTCACAACTAGCAACCTCTTCATGCCCCAATTGACGCTGTTCTGATTTGCAGACGCGATGGGCTTCGAGATCTTGTCCTTGAAGTGGCGTAGTTCGTTGAAAGGCGGAATGTCGAGGAAGTGGATCAAGGAGAAGAAGTCCAGAGCTGTGTTCTGGATTGGGGTACCAGTGAGACACCACTTGCTGTGAGCCCGCTCGCTCATAGCGAAGCAAGCTTGCGCCGCTTTCGTGGTGTGGTTCTTGATTGTATGAGCCTCATCGAGTACCACACGCAGCCACCGCATCCTGAGCAGGACGGGGTCTTTATCGTCGAGTTCTGCAGCAGCGGTGTTGTACGATGTAATCACGACGTCGTAGCTCTTGAACTTGGCAGAGTTGCTGGCCTTTGTGGGTCCATGGTGAATCATGACTTTCAAGTCAGCGTTGCTCCGGTTGCGTATCTCGCTCTCCCATTGCTTCATCACCGCCACTGGAGCTACGATGAGAGTCGTTCGGCTCTTGACCTCGACCTTCTCTCGGGGAATTCCTTTCGAGTCGTCCTGATGATTGTTGTCCTCGCCTTGCTCAGCTAGGGCCTTTTTCTTCCTTTGTGCCTTCGCCTTAGCCACGTCGGCTTCCTTCACGACGTAGTTCACTGTTGCGTCCTCGTTACTGGGGTGGTTGCTTACAATGAGAGCCAGCGTTTGAATTGTCTGACAGAGGAGGATCAAAATAATTCAATGAATATATATTCCATCTAGGTGCTTGGTCGCACTGCGTAGGTCTGACTTACCTTGCCAAGACCCATGTCGTCGGCCAGTATTCCTCCTTTGTGCCTACCACTTTCCCTCTGTTGCATCCACTTGACACCTTGTACCTGATAGGGTTTAAGGGTCACTGTCATACCCTCGATCTTTGCATCATCTGCATCGTAATCGACCTCTAGATCTTGAGCCAGAAGTCCTTCCAGTGCTGCAAGTGGGGTCTGGCCAGTGCCTCTGGGTATATCGCCCATTGCAGCGGCAGCCTGATCGATCTCTCTCGTAGAGGACGAATAAGAGCCCAATTCAGGCGGCGGCAGAGCGGCCGATGCTGACCATGCTGCATGGGGAGGGTTCTGTCTGGAATCAACCTTGGCGAAGGGCGGCAGCGTACTTGCAGCCATGGGGCCGGTCGGCTGGGCAGCCCGAGGCGGTATGTACAACATCTTCGTCTTGGGACGGTTGTCGATCTTATATTTGCTGCCGTTAGGTGCAGGGCTCCCCGACGCCGGCGTAGTGTAAGAGGTTGAAGCTGAAGAGCTAGACGTCGAAGCTACACTTTGCGACCGCCGAGGATTATCTCCTTCGCCATCGCTCTTGGTCAGGTCTATCGCTGTCATGGCGCTTGCACTAGCTAGCGAGGCTGCTTCTTCGGCCATCAGTCGTCTTCTAGCGCTCTCCATGACGATGTCTTCTAGGCGAGGGAGATGTGCTGGAGATTATTGGACGCAGCAGGGTTGGGTGAGGTAGGGAGGGAAGTGCAGCGGCAGAGTACTAGGTATTGACCTGCAGGTACCACTGTGCCCCAGCATTAGCACCTCCGCCTTTCGCACTGGTATTAGGTCCGGGCAGAGACGATGTGGCGGCTACAATCGAGCAGGCTATGCGATTACGGCTGTGACGTACCGGTCCGAAGTGTTGCTCTCGGTCGCGCCGCCCTGCCTTGGTGTTGCTCTTTCCGTCCCGTCACGGGCCATCCTTCTCCCCATTTCACCATTCCTTTCTCGCCATCCTTTAATACCCTGATCGCTCTCTTCATCGGCGCAGACGTCAAGGTCGTAGAAGCCATGCCATGTCGTTGCTCAACGCTGGCCTCAAATTGGCAATGTAAGTTCCGTGGCCCTCTGTTGATGAGGTACAATTACGCGTCTAGACTACTACTAATCCGTCTGATCTGTCCTTGTTGGCTGACTCAATCTACTCTTAGCTCATCGTTGAACCTGCTGGATATCTACAAGGCTCTAGTGGCAACGGGTAGTGCCATTGTACCCTTTTCGGACCTAGGTCAGAGTGAAAGCGTCGTGAACAAGATCGTACGTGATGGCCTCGGTACGCCCGTCAAGGCCCCGCACACCAAGTTCAGAGTGGGCAGCGCCTACAGGAGGGAGCAATTGAAGAGGGCATTGGGCCTGGCTGTCGTTTGGGTGAGGAGCAACGAGTATTGTTATTGCTGCGACCAGCAAGTAGCAGCAGCGTCTGACCCGACTCCATCCTCACGCTATCAGACCGTCTACCAGACCATCGAGCCGATCGCAGACTCCGTTGCGTCATTTGTTATTCCCTTCTACGGCAGTCTCAAAACTTTATTCCTACTTTGGATCTTCCTTGGCAGAGCCTCGGTAAGTGGGGTACCTCATACCTGCCTTTTGTACCTGACCTGCGCTGACGTCCCCATCCACGACGATTTCTAGGCATCTACTCGCCTGATGCAATCCTTCATACAGCCCGTGCTTCGACCGTATGAGAGCACCATCGATGCGCTCTTCGCCGTATGTCTCTCTTTCTTCTTCAACGTGGTCTTCTTGTCCTCTCTGCCAATAGCTCACATGCTCATATGGCTCAAGAAGGGTCCGCTTCGGCTACTGAGAAACATTGACTGGAGATGGCCGTGGCTGGAGGGGAATACAAGTGGTGTTGTGAAACACGAAAGGACAGCTGGGCCAGTGCCGAGAGCAGTGGTCGCCCAGCGCGTCCCGCCTCCTACTTCAAGGAAGGCCAGTCGTCAGTCACCAATCGTGCGGAATAGACAAAGTGACGACTCTGGTGGCAGCGACGGAGGCCAGACCACTGAATCAGTGAAGGCTCATCGGCTTACGGGCCCTGCCCGTCGGCCTACAGCCGAGACTGGCGCCTCGCAAACGAAGGGACGCTCAGCGAGCGGCAGTGCCCCAATATCGTCTCTCCCGAAATCAAGGGTAGTCAGCGGGCCGGCTGCTGCTGGTCATTCTGCAGCAGCAGTCCGATCAAATTCGGGGCCCTCTACAACATTGCCGCAATCGAAGACAATGAACTTCACTGCGCCGACAAGCCGCCAAACGGAGTCACTTGCTCTAGCGAAGAAAAGTGAAATATTGAACAGACTTCCTGCGGTCCCCCAAGGCTTTTCTCAGGGTGTCGATGGGGGCTTTGCCTTCATCCCTCCTGCTACTCCGCCAGCTCGCCAGCAGAACCCCTCCTTGCGGCCTCACTTGGACGCCCCCATCACAGCAGCACACTTGTTCTCGCCCGTGTTTCCTGGCAGCTTTGCTCCTAAACCTGAGGCGGCGACGCCCTTGAGGATGCCGGAAGATGCGAAGAGCTCGAGCAAGCCCGTAGCTTCCGCCACATCCACACCGAAGAGAAAGGTCAAGAGTAGTACAGCCGCAAGATTAAGCGCAAAGCCCATCAGCAATAAGTCAGCTGACAGTAAGATCAAGGCGGACAGAAGGAGGCGACAAGCTTCAACGCCCGTAGAGCATCGAGAAAAAGCGGGCGAAGACCTCTTTCTGCGCATTTCAGAGACATCTTCTGAGGAAGAGAATGAGGATGCGCCTTATATCATTGAGCCACCAGATCATTCGTCACCGGCTAAGCGCAAAATTCTACGCCCTTCTACTTCCATGGTATTACCGTCCTCAAGAAGTAAACGTCAGAAGCTAGACGTCTTGGCCGACACAGTGGAGTACAATGGCAAAAGTCAGACGTCAGAGATCACAAGACGATCTCGTGGCGCCAGTGCCGGGCCATCGTCCGGCATCAGGAGCAGAGCTACTAGCGTCGCTCCTTCAGAGAGCGAATCAGTTGCCCTTCCTGAAGCAGAGGAAGCCCCAACCAAGCGTCCGCTGCGCACGTCAGTCAGCTCCAGGAGCCTTCGCCAACCTCCCTCACGGGTCGTCGTGAAGACTTCAGAGGAAGAGGAGCGAACAGCAAAGCCAACCAGCAAACCGCCTGTCTCTGGATTGAGAAGAGCCGGCAAAGCAGTAAACGGCGCAAAAGCGGGTAGCGCAACAGGTTCCAAAAGCAGAAGTCTGCGCAAATGAGTGGCTTTGGATACAGCAAGCGCAATTGCAAGCAACATCGCATACATTGTATTGATACAAACGTAGAACGTCCCTGGTGTCCTTTGTCATATGAAGCATTTTGACGTCTCCACACAATCTTTTTTCGCGCATCAAGGGATGACCTTTCCCGCCCTCGTCGCCTTTGCAGCTTCACTTTGTGCCTCGTCCTTCAGGTAGCGCTGGTAAATCGGGACGTAGTGCTCCCTGTCTGAGGTCGTCTTGAGCACTGTGGGGTGCGATTGGACACTGGCGACGGCCAAAAAGCGATGACAGTGTCAGCAATTCTTCACTCGGGGCCAGCAGTACAGAGCAAGTCAGTAGACTTACGCTTTGGCCCATTTGACGTATGCTTGCCCACACTCTGCCTCTGTCGCAGGCCCGCCGCGATGCTCGTCGAGGACTGATGAAGATGGGCCGAGAAGGTATAGAACGTCAGTAAGGCCGCGTCCAAATCTCAGCTCGCTACAGCTCTGCCAAGTGTAGCGATACCAGACTCACCCCACTGTCTCACAGCCCACGGCGCTAGAGCAATATCGACTCCGTCCAGCTCCTTCCCTCCCACGAAGGGCCCCTTGCTAGAATCGATGAAGGTGCCAAATTCTCGGCAGGCATCGTACATTTCCTTTCTCGCCGCCTTTTGTCCCTCTACGTCCTGACTCTGTACGCAGCGGAAGTAGGCCGGAATGATCTTCTTCGTCACCAGGTCCATCTGAATCCTCGCTACAGCCTTCTGCTCAGCACGCTCTGGCAGGAGCCTCTTACTCTGGGGGAATTTATCCTCGAGGAACTCATTGAGGATGTGGGATTCGTAAATGTTGACCCCGTCGGATCGGATGGCCGGAACGAGACCCTTGGGATTGATCTTCAGGTATTCGTCTTTGTGATACGGGTTGATCTCCTCGTAGTAGTACGGAATCCCCTTCTCTTCGAGGGCAAGCCAGACACGTTGGACGTAAGGGCAGAACCAGCCCGAGTAGAAGGTCAAGGCGGCATTGTTCTTGTCCTTGTGAGCTGCGACCGTCTTGGCAGCTGCGCCTGTGGCTTCTGGATGAATCTGAGCGTCAGGAATAGGCATCTTGTATGCTCGACGTAGGGGTAGGTGGGTAGAACGAACTGTTTGGTAAGGCCGAGGTGGAGGAAGGCCGCTACCGCCGTACGGAAGTGTTGGTCGGAGTTTGATCACGACTGATCTGTGTGTGTGCGTCTCCACATCTCCTTCATCTCGCGTGGGCGCCTCGTCTCCTCTTCCGCACCTTCCCATCTCCAGCCGCCTGATCTCGCTTTCATTTCACCTTCTATTCTCGACGTATCACATCCTCGGACGATCGTCCTTCTCTGCGCCCTCTCCTTCCTGAGTGGCAGACCCGGGTCTCATCTCAGGTGCGACGAGCTTGTCCTGGCCTGGCCTCATACTCTCGGAGAGCCCCTGACCAGCAGGGGTCCTGGCATAGATGGACCCGAATTTGCAAAAGGCCTTGCTGGACCGCGTCTATGATAAGCGAAAGGCAGCTACTCTCGACCTCGAGAGACAAGTGCGCGAGGCTTTAGGCAAGGGTGATCGAGGTCGAGTCAATCTCATCGTCCAGCAGCTCTGCACGCTACTGTCTCCGACGTCTCCTCAGAATGTGAACGCTCGCAATGGTGGTCTGATCGGCCTAGCCGGGATCTCCATTGCCCTTGGTATGGACATTGCTCCTTATTTGGAGCAGATCGTTCCCCCTGTCCTGGCCTGCTTCACAGATCCAGACAGCAAGATTAGGTACTTTGCCTGCGAGAGCTTCTACAACATAACAAAGGTCTGCAAGGGAGAGATTCTGATCTACTTCAATGAAATCTTCGATGCTCTGTCAAAGCTCGCAGCAGATTCGGAAGTCTCTGTCAAGAATGGCGCGGAGTTACTTGACCGTCTCTTGAAAGACATTGTCTGCGAGACAGCCCCTCAATACGTGTCTCACTATCAGGATCTACCCCACATCCGGGCAAGGCAAGATGCTGCTGCAGGCTATAGCGGTGGAAGCGCGGAGCTCGACGTTGCCCGTGAGAAGGCTCATGCTGCATCGCATGGAGACATGACACATACGCAGGGCGGAGACGAGGAGCAAACGGCGGCCAACCGGACCTTCTCTCTGGCACGGTTCGTCCCTCTTCTCGCTGAGCGGATGTACGTACTGTCTCCTTTCACCCGCAATTACCTCGTCAGCTGGATCACCGTTCTTGACTCTGTTCCGGATCTGGAGCTTGTCAGCTATCTCCCCAGCTTCCTCGACGGACTGCTCAAATACCTAAGCGATCCAAACACAGATGTCAGACTTGCTACAGCGAATGTACTCGCAGAATTTCTGCGAGAGATGCGTGAAGCAGCTGAAAGCTCTGCTGCTCGGGAAGAGATCGAAGCGAGGAAACAAGAGAAGCTACGGGCAGCGGACGAGGCTAATGGTGCAGGAAAGCAAGACGAAGAAAATGCACAGCCTCAGCCAGACGATGAGGGACACGCGAAGGGCAATGCTGGCCCTGGCCAGGAGGAAGAGTCTGAGGAGGTATGGGCCATCGGCAGAGAGGTTCGCATCGATTATGCTTCCATCATGGAAGTCCTCATAGATCATATTACCTTTCCTGACGAGGAGATCCAAGCTACCACCCTTCAGTGGGTGGCTGAGCTACTTCTAGTCGTAAAGGACGTCGTTGTCCCCTTTGCCCCACGCCTCATTCCGGCGGCTCTCCCAAATCTGGCGCATCATAGTCCGGCTATTCAGACGGCAGCTAATGAGACGAATTACAATCTCTATCAAGTCATTCAAGAGCTACCGGCGCCTGTGGCATCAACAGCCAACGTCAGTACAAGCCCTCGCACAATCGCTTCAACCGCGACCACTGAAGGGAAAGCCGCTGCAGGCACGTCTAAGAGTGGCCTTACAGGATCTTCTTCTCTTCCAAAAGTTGCCCAGCCGCCATCTCCCCCGACATCTCCGCGTCTGTCGTCCACAGCGACTTTCGCGGAGACAATGACGAGTGAGGGTCAGAATGAAGAACAGCCTGCACTATCAGATCCATTCGACTATCAAACGACCGTGAACATGCTGGCTCTTCAGCTCCTGGACCAGCATGAAGAGACGAGAGTGACCGCCTTGGAGTGGCTGATCATGCTGCATCAGAAAGCGCCACAACGGATTCTTACCATGCATGACGGTACCTTCCCAGCGCTACTGAAGACGCTGTCCGATCCATCAGAAGAGGTCATCCGTTGTGACTTGCGACTCCTTGCGCAAATCAGTAGCGCATCGGAGGATCTCTACTTCTCCTCCTTCATGGCGAATCTCTTGAGTCTCTTTAGCACGGATCGGCGACTTCTGGAAACTCGCGGGAGCTTGATTATCAGGCAATTGTGCGCCTCCTTGCACACCGAGCGTATCTTCCGGACGCTTTCAGAATTGCTGGAAAAGGACGAGGATCTCGAATTTGCTGGCATCATGGTGCAGAATCTCAACATCATCCTGATTACTTCTCCGGAGCTGGCTGACTTCCGGCGGAGACTCAAGAACGTCGATTCCAAGGACGGACAGCAGCTCTTTGTCAGCCTATACAGATCATGGTGCCACAACGCCGTGGCGACGTTTAGCTTGTGTCTTCTCTCGCAAGCCTACGAGCACGCCAGCAATCTGCTACAGATCTTTGCCGATCTAGAGATCACGGTGGCCATGCTGATCCAAATCGACAAGCTGGTGCAGCTGTTGGAGTCCCCCATCTTCACCTCCTTGAGGCTCCAGCTATTAGATCCCGACAAGAATCCATTCCTTCTGAAGTCGCTCTATGGACTTCTCATGCTTCTTCCGCAAAGTTCAGCCTTTGCAACCCTTCGTAATCGTCTCTCCGCCGTGAGCAGTATGGGGTCGGTGGCGAGGTCGACGTATGCCCAGACGGCGAGGAGCAAGCTGAGCACTCGCGATGAGATCAAGTGGCCGGAGCTCTTAACGCACTTTAGGCAAACCCAGCTGAGGCATGAGAGGGCGAGACGATCGGCTGCCGCTGCTGCTGCCGGAGGTGCGACGGGGAATGAGAGCCTGGTGCCTGGGATGGCGGGAAACACTCAAGGAGGTAGTGGCGGCGGCAAAGGAGGCAAGGACGGCGCTAGCGTGTCGCCATCTACGTCTGGCAGTCGTTTGGCTGTTGGTGGCGGTGGTAGTGGTGGATCGGCTGCAATGAAGAGACGCATAGGTGGTAGCGGTTCAGGAGGTCCAGGTCAACGTGCAGGCTCAGTTGGTATCACTGTTACTGGCGGCAGCGGTGGGGTCGCGGCGGGTTCAAGATTGTCAACGGCAACGGCTTCAGCGACGATCCCGGAGCGGATTAGCAGCTCCAATGGAGCTGGAGGCGGCATCGGTATGGGTGGCAGCGCGAGGCCCACTTCTCCGGTGACCTTGACAAAGGGCAGCGGTCGCCCTACACAGCCAAATGCCAGTGCCAGTAATTCCGCTCCGAGGATATCGAGCGGGAAGGGGCGGCAGTAGAGTCACCTTGTCGTTGAGCCGATGGAATGCAACGTCCAACTGTCATCGGCTCATTTACGACTGTCGCGTGTCAGGCGGCTATGCAGATTCCCGCCCCAGCCGCGGCTCATTGTACCTGTCAAAGGTTGCGGTCAGACGTGGGAGCGCAAGATGTGCGTGCTTCTAGCAGCCGCGGGCCTTTGCACCTGTCAGATGGCTATGCACTCCAGACATCGTTCTGCGAGCCGCGCGCCTTTGTATTTGTTAAATCTAGAGGTAAAACTGAAAGGCCCGCAGAAACTCTCATGTGATCGTCTCGAACAGTGCTTTGGTCCGGTCTACCCGGCCCGATGACGGAGCTTTTTTCCCACGTGCTCGCCGCGATGGTCGATTGTCTGAGAGATCTTTCAGAGATTTGAGAGATTTGAGATGCTCAGGATCTCTATTCCGCCCAAGCGCTGGGCACGAGCGGGCCCCCTGAGGCATGGGTCCTCACTGGATCTGCGGTGCGGAAGCTGAGGATCTCCGGCTGCCGCCGCGGCACAGATGTGCATCTTTGCGCTTCGGGGCTTGCTGAGGACTGTGTATCAATCAGAGAACGCAGCCCCAGTCGTGCCTGTCTCGGCCTATGAGTGAGATATGGTCATCCCGTTCGGGCCTTTATCGGCCGTTTTCAAATACTGGCGCGGGGACGGGCATACTGGATGCACCGGTATGACAGCGGGGTGGTCCGTCCATTATGCACGCAGGAGGCGCATGGACGACGAGGTCCGCCGAGCGCAGACCGACAGCGGCCGGGTGGGTCAGACAGCTGGTCACTCTCACGCCACACACCAGTACCACCGGGCCATTCCCGGGAAACAGTGCGTACTTCTCTGCCGAAGTAGCCGGGGAGCTTTTCTTTTGCTAAACTCAGCTTCGCTTCGCCAGCCGAAGCACTTCAACCACCGCCCAGGGCATCCTCCCTTACGCCCCTGCCCCGCCTGCCCGCTGCAGACAGCCAAGGCGGATGATCGGGCAAGGAAGCGGAGCGCCAGGCAGCCTCATCGGGACCCTGTCTGTGGCAAGGACACTTGTGGCAAATAAGACCGTCTCTACGCACTCTTGCACGGTTGCATCAATCGTTCCACTTCCTCTTCCTCGGTGCCTCTGTCCACCTTTACGGCAGTAGGCGGGGATGAGGGGAGATGCTGCCTTCGGGAAACCCAAATGCACCGCCACCCTTTCAGCAGCTGACTTTTGCGGAAGTCGCATGAACGCAGTCTCTCTCTCCCGTGCAGCGGACACCAAGGAGTCGGGCAGCGCAGAAAGGTGAAGGTGATCTCGTTCAACCTCGGCGGCACGGCGCCGACGAGCCCCATGCCTTGCTCGACCTCGGTAAGGCGCTGTGCAGAGAGAAACTCGTAGGTAGTGCAAAGCGAGAGGACCGACTTCGGATGAGCGCAAGCTGCAGTTGCAATGGTCTCGCATGCCTAGGGAGTATGTATGTGTCTGCTGTCAATCCGGACCCAAGAAGGAGGGGCTGGGGGCGCTCAGACGCGGCATCCGAACGGAGCAGCGGCGGCGCATTGACATCGGAGGTGGGGACAGCAATTTGGCTCTGGCGCAGTAGGACCTTGCCGACGCCTCCTCAGCCCCCGCACCCACCGTCCTCCGCCGAGCCGTGGTGGATTCAACAACGCCGAGCTATTTATGCGCTTCACTACAGCTTGCGGCCCCTCGCCTCGCTTGGCACTTAGCTTGAGCCTGCAGCAGGAGGGAGACGACGAGGAGAAGGCGGAGGAGAGGGCGGAGGAGGCAACGGCTGCATCACGGAAGGCGCCCGAGTAATCACACATGCACTCTTCCCCCGCCACCCTCCACCGTCCTCTGCCTCCGCTCCGCCCGTCCCTATCCCCCGACCATCCATGCCCTTTTTCCCCCGGCCTCTGGTCCCTCTACAGACGCGAGAATAGACGCAGAAGCTGGTTGCGCATAATGGCCCGACGTTCAGATCAGCCTCCCACCGGGGGAAGACTCTCTTAGTGTCTTCAGGCTAGTCTCAGGCAGCCGGGTGCAGCAATAGCACGGCGCGACCTTCTCATACATCCCTTAATGGCCCGCCGTTGCCTCTACGACACTAAGCCAACTCCCGTTGTTTCGCAGCCCCATCTCATTTCATCTTATATCTCTTCGAATCCTTACCTGCGCAGCAATTCCAGCTTGCGTTTCTCTCGCCTCTTCCGCTTCGCGACCTCCTTCCAATAGCTCGTCTCTGTCTCGCTCACCGATTTGTGGTCACTCATACCAGCCGCAGAGACTAGCAGCTTCTTCTTGCAAAAGATCGTACAGCTCCACTCGCAATGTCAAGGGTTGCAAGATATATTTCCCGTCAATCCGATTAGCTCAATTCGGTCGCCACTGCAGTCGCTAGTGGACGAGTCCACGGACTCCCCACATGGCCGGCAGTACAGGGTCGTCATCTTCGTCTCAGCGGTCAACACAGCAGACGGAGGACCCTTCTCAAGATCGACTACCTTCATTCTCTACACTCTTCGGAAGAGAAACTGTTGGACTACCAGATGCGCAACACTCGTCTGGCCAATTCTCTCGCCCCTCTTTCGCACCATTTCCTTCCCCATCATCGCCTCATCCAGCATATCAGCAAGATGCTAGACAGTCCCGTCGCTTTCGTGGCGAGCGACCGCGGTCACCATCCTCTTCATACGCCCCGCCATCTCTGAGCCTACCTGCTATCGATCACCTCGGTCGTGGCAGAGCATCCGAGGAGCCGCCTGCGACCCAGTATCCCAAGCCAAGTCCAAGAAAACGATCCATTGACGATGAAGATTCCGTGTCCGCGTCCACGTCGACGCCAGCGCAGCTACCCGGTCTACGGGGCTTGTCGCTACTCAATCATGGGAGCACTGCCCGACAGCCTATACCAGCTCTATCAGAATCAAGCCAGCATCACACAGAGAGCCAGCATGTGAGTGATACAATGATGTGAACTTCGCGAAGAAGGCTAGAAGCGCCTTTGTGATGGATGGATGGGCACATACGGATGTTGAGCATTGCGCTCTTCTCACGTCACTGACACTCTTTGACTCTACCTCGACTGGGAAACCTCTTCACAGCTTCTGGACATCTTCTATCACTTGCGCTCCGAAAACAGAGCACGGGGAATCCGACCAGGTGCAGGAGAAGTAGTGCCCTCGGCTAGACTCATCGAGCAAGGCGATGTTGCTGCTATCTCTCACTTCATTGATAATGAGTTCCTCGCCATTGCGGCTCGCGAAGGAGAGCACGTTTCTGCTCGCGTTGCGGCATCCTATGGTCTTCAGGCACCCTGCTCGCGAGATTCCCCGCAACGAGCCAGGCCGACAAGTCAACATGCTGCGTCGACTGCAACCTCTACTGGGTATACCAGTCCCAAGCCCACGCCTCGCCTTCCATTCCAGAGCAGTACTTCCCGCTCCCCTGGACTTCTAGGTCCGGCCCCACTTGGTCATCCCTCGCATCCTCATCATCCCAGCCACGCTTTGGTCTCGGGCCACTCTTCCTCCCTTCCTCCCTCCTCTTCCTGGCCTTCCAACATGAGAAGCTCTCTCGAAAGAAGGCAGACGGTCAGCGGAAGTCCTGGTGACAATGCAGGCACAGCATGGGGTTCCTATCAGCACAGCAGTCTAGTTGATGGATCGTCATCCTCGAGGTCTAGCAGTGGACATCTCGCAAGTGGGAATTACGGACTAGACAGCGGCAGTTCTGACTCGTTGAACAATCCCTTGCGGGCGGCCATGGTGGGTAGCGCGTCTACCCGCCGCTCGAAAGCACGACGGAGGGTGACAAAGCGCGAAGGCGAAGTCCCAGCCTGCTTAGGATGCGGCCGTCTGAGCACAGCAGAGTGGAGACGAGGCCCCACTGGCCCGAGGACGCTGTGCAATGCCTGTGGACTGCTCTTTGCGAAGATGAGCCGAGTCAGAAAGAATGCAGACGGGCCAAGCGGAGGCCCATCTGGCGCCTCCGGTGGTGACGGATGGCCATCACTGGACGAGCTGAGAGCAGCGGTAGGAAGTTCAAGCAAGGGCCCCTCAGGGCTGAGCCCAGCTTCATTGGCTTCTTCCGCTGGCCCCAGCTCTGCCATCCACCACTTCGTCGAGGGACACGACAGCCATGGCTACTCTCAATCACACTCCCACGCTCGCACCCACTCGCATACACAGACATCACAGTCTCAGCCTCCTTCGGACTGGCGGCATAGCGCATCAGGTTCAGGCTCGGCTTCTGGCGATTCTGCAGGCTTCCAACAGCATCACCAGCACCATGCCAGCCGCTACGGCCCTGATCCTCCCGCTTTTTCTTCTGGTCAAGAACAGCGACCCATCTCCTCTGGGCGTTCCGCGTCCCCGAACAGTCCGTCACGAGCCCTGCCGAAGCAGCTTTCAGCACCACAACCCATGGCAAACAGAGAAGACCATCACGATTATCAAGCAAAGAGCTATCCTATACCACCCAGGGCGGAAATCGAACGGCGCGGCGCAGAGAGTCAAGGCAAAACTTCTCCTCGAGAAAGACGCTGAGGGCATCTTCGAGGAGGGGACCAGGTGGTAGTTTGTGTCTCTATTACCGTCTTCATCGGTCTTTCTTTGTCACTGTGGAATTCACTTCGTCTTAATCATGTACTGTACGTAGCAGAATGCGAACGCAACATCATCATGTCACTCAATACACGACGTTGACTCAACCTCGTATAGAGGATTTGACTAGACTACAGGTCAGGCGCTTGTTCCAATGCACAAGGATAGTATTCAATGAGCCAAGCGACGTCACAATATTGCATTGCCACCTAGGCTTCTAACAGTGGTATAATATTCGAATTAATCCCCCTCCACTCTAGGATGCCGTCGTGTTGTTCGTCGACGAGCTCGTAGTGCTACCACTGCCCCCACCCAGCTGGTTCAATCCATTCTTGATCTCCTGCAGACCATTCTGGGCTACCGAGTCGTGGTCCTGCGTCGTCTGTCCAGATCCACCAGTGGTAGAGGACTGGCGCGCAGCTTGCTCGTCGCTGGAGCCACCGGCGAGAGCCTCACCTCCCTGGTCGAGGAAGGAGTTGATGTTGCCACGGATGGTCTCGCCTGCGCCGTGAGCGGTGTTGAAGATGCTAGAGAAGAAAGCGGTAGGTGATGAGAATTGAGCGGATTAGTCTTCGGGTCTGACTGAGAGCGCAGGCTGTGGGAGTGCTTCGTAATACTCACCCCTTGATGGCATTTCCTGCTCCCTCGCCGGCCGAGTTGCCAGTGGTGCTTCCAGAGTTTGTGGACGACATAATGTGTGCAAAAGAATGTGGGTAAGGCGTGAATGCAGAAGTGTGGTGGTAGACAATGTGTTGGTGTTGGATGGATGATGGCCAAGTGCCTACTGAGACCTGTGAATGCGGATTAAGTATTCCCCGGCACACGCCCTCCACCCGCCGACAGGTGACGTCGCTCCGCTTTGCCGGCGGCGGCGAGTCGGTCGCATGCGTGTCTGCGTGGGGTGCCTGCGTGCGCGCGAATCCCGGCCATGAGGAAAGGGTCCACTGGGCTGGCTGTGGTACAAGCCCTTCGACAAGGGCGAGGAGAGAAAGTGTAGATCCGCACAAAGGCAGTCGCAGCTGATGGACCTTCAGCAGACACGAAGTGGACGCAGTCCCATATCTCGACTCAGAAGTCGCTGCCAATCGCCGTCGCCTTCCGGAGCCGGGTGTGTGGGTGGTGTTGGACTCGTTCCGCTCCGCTGCTCGCGCCTCTCCGCCTGGTGTGGCCCCTGCCCTCGAATCTACAATCAGCGTGCGCCCAGATCGTCTGTCTGTCTGTCTGCCTGTCTGCCTGCCTGCCTTGTATGCTGAGTATTGTCCCATCCTCTCCATCTCATCTCCCCGCTGCTGCACTGGACGACGTCTACTGCCAACCTCGAGCGCCTGTGCTGCTGCTCCCTGGATGCATCTCCCCAGACACACCCTCTCCTCGCAGATCGTCGCACCAGCCTTTGTAAGCGCTACCTTTACCCCTTCCTACGGGCCACCTTCAGCAGATCCATCCTCCTCTGCATATACAGACTCGGCGTATGCGTCCACTTCAACATCTTCATCGTACGGGACAGCACATGCTGCCAGCTATTCACACAACAGCGGTATAGGAAGCGGTAGCGCTGCCCCCAAGAGCCACCTTTTCGCCTGCGCTACCCGCTCAGGATTCTTGGTAGCCCAGACATGTCCCCTGAAGGTCGTCGCTAGCAAGAGTAAGTCAGAATGCAACGAGACGCACCCAATTCCTCTTGGTCTCACGCACTGATTCTAATTCCTGTCCCGCGTGCCCATTGTTTCCCCGATAGGCTTCCCAGCAAGCCAAGGAGGTCTGGCCATTGCTGCCACCATCGATGACACTTCCCTCGTAGTGCTCGTCGGAGGTGGTAGAGTGCCACGCTTCGCACCCAACAAGGTCGTCATCTGGGACGAGAGTGCCACGGTGTCCTCTGATCGGAAGATAGGAGGCTCAGAAGGAACGGACATGGCAGATCAAGAGGAAGAGGATGGGGATGGTAGATCGGTGGCAGCTTCGACCGTCTTTGATGCTGGCTCCACCTTTGGAGGCGGTGAGATGCGAAGTCGGCCGCCAGACTTGGCCACAGAGAGAGCAGGCGAGCCAGCGCTAGATGATCTTGACTCCGAGGCCCGCCCAGCAAGCTCCAGCTCTGAAGGACGAGATCATGCAGACACTAATCATCCCTCGGACAGAGGTCACCCGATGCAAGAGTCTCGCCTTGGCTTGGCTGGCTTGGACTCGTCTCTTCTCAGAGAGGGGACAGAGACATCAGGTCAAGAGCATGAAAGCTTGGCCTCCTCAAATGCATCCCTGACAGCTTCCATGACGGGTTCGATCTCTGCTACCACTGAGGGTCTCGAAGATCCCTTTGCAGCCCAAGGAGACGAAGCGACACCAAAGAGGACTCCGAGCCCTCCATCGATAGAACAGCCTACTATGAGCGCGAGCCCGAGCTCGAGTGCATCACCTCGGCGCTTTTTGCGCGCTAGCCGTCCCCAAAATGTAGCAGAGGAGAATCGACAGTCGCGCAGCACCACTCGTATCACCGGCAGAGACGTCATGGAACTCGAATTCGGCGAAGCCGTTCAATCAGTCATCGTCAGGTCTTTCGATGTACCTCTGACGGCAAAGTCCCGAGATGAGCCACTCGCAAGTCAAGGCAGGAGGACCTTCAAAATGGCACTTCTAGTGGTCGTGCTGAGGACCAAAGCTGTTGTCTTTGAGCTTGGAGAGCACATCTCAATGGCGCGTCAGGAGCCATCTGAAGAAGACGGCGTGAGCAGGCCGTCTTCGTGGGGAATTCTCTACAGGACTACCATAGGAATCCTTGATGATGGAAGAGGACTCGTGGATCTGGTAGGCCTGCCTGGCAAACGGTCTGCCCTCCTCACTCTCTCCGGACGTCAGCCAGGGCATGTCCAGCTTGTCATTCTTTCGCTTCTCAGCCCCAAGCAGCCGGCTTCGGCTACAACGGCAGGAGCACCTATCTCATCATCTGGCGTGCTAGCCTCGTCCATTATTGCAGCTCATTCTGCATCTCTTGTGTCTCTGACCCTCTCAGCATGCGGCTCCCTGCTTGCTACTGCCTCCAAAAAGGGTACGCTAGTGAGGGTGTGGTCCACGACGGGAACAACAGTAGGAGCTGGCAAGCCCCGCACGACGATCAAGGCCGTGCTGCAGATGGAGCTGAGAAGAGGAACGGAGCAGGCAGTGATCCTCAGCATGGCATTCGCGCCGGACCGCTCAGTACTAGCGGCAGCGAGCGACAAGGGCACGATCCACTTCTTCAACCTGCGCAGCGAAGCAGTCGGAGGGAGGGCTTCGCCCCACGCTCGAAGCGGCAGCGGTGATGCGTACTCGTCAAGAACGCCCTCCACCGGAGCAGCGCCCTCTTCGCCTGGCAGTGGCAGCGGTTTTGGCCTGTCCAACTCAGCGGCCAAATACCTTCCCTCGGGAATCAATCAACTCGCCTCGCAGATTCCCTCTTCACTCCTGCCAAGCTACCTGAAGAGTACCTGGTCTACTGCCCAATTCCGCATCAAGCTGCGTACCTTTGCCGCGTATAGCTCGGAGGAGCGAGCCACGAGGAAGAGTAGCTCGCGCAAAGGCAAGGGAAGAGCTCCTCCGGCTGCAGGCAGTGGCGGTGATGGGGGTAGTGCTAGGGGTGGCGAGGCTTTGTACTACAGCGACGATGTCCCTGCGGGTGGGGCAGGGGCTTCGAGGAGCACAGAGGGCGCCTGGGCCACTCTCAAAGGGCGCATTGAGGATATTAGACGCTGGGAACCTGCCTTGGACGAGCGCGTCTTCCTCAGCTGGGTTTGGGTACCCGATCCCGTGCAAGCGGATGCCAAGTTGAGCGCAAAGCCGACAACACACAAGGGAAGAGATCATCGAATTTCACCATCGGCAGGTGCAGAGGTCCGCACTGGTGGTGCACAATCGCCATCGATGCCGCCTCGTCCCGCTCCCAAGGGTCAGTACCAGCTCATCGCCCTCACCACGTCTGGTGGGTGGTACCGCATTTCTCTTCAAGATCAAGGTCAAGGACAAGGGCAGGCGGGAAGCAGCGCTGCAGAGGATGCAGGGGATACGGTTCTGAACATGTACCGGCAGTCCTCTTCTTCCTCTTCCTCCTCCGCCTCTTCTGCTGATGCTGCTGCTGCTGCTGCGCGAGTAGGAGGAGGAGGAGGAGGAGGAGGAGGAGGGGCGACTCAAACGGGCAGGGAAGCAAAAGAAGGCACCAAGCTCGAGGAGTACCGCACTTTTGGCTCCAAGGAGGAGCAGTGGGATACGCGTGGTGGGTGGGGCGAGTGAGCGACTGCGTCAGTGCGTCAGTGCGTCAGTGTGGCAGCGAGGGAGCGAGGGAGGGGAGGGAGCGAGTTTCTTTTAGGGAAGGAGGAACGACTGGAGCGAGGGCTGCTCCGGGTTGCGGTGCACTTTGTAGACTTTGTGGGATACGATGCATTATGATATGACATGATATGACATGACATGACATGACATGACATGACACACATATGTTGTGGAATTGACACACGAACGCCATGAGTGAGTGAATGACTGAGTGAGTGAGTGATGGAGTTTCGCATTGCATTGGACTTGACAGGAATGGTTGATTGGATGGATGGATGGATAGATGGATGAAGTGTGATGCTACAAAGAGGGGGAAAGATGCAGGGGGTGGGGAAGAGATGTCGTCTGAAAGGAAAGAAAGAAGGGAAAAGGGGGTAAATAGACGCTACGAAGGAAGAAGAACGAGTGAAGAGGAGAAAGAAGGAGCGAAAGAAAGAAATGGGGTAGGGCTACTTTGTGGGAAGAAAGGAGATACGTCGAGATAGGTCGCGCATTGTGCATGATATGGATCCATAGAGAAAAGTCCTTTTTGTTTTTGGTAAAAGCGAAGCGAAGTGGTAAATCAGCAAGCAGATGCCGAGGGTGGCATGACGGGAGTGAAGACGGCCGCGCGCTGGGACTGCTTCATCGTCGTCGTCGTCATAGGCACCGTCGACATCTGACTTTGGCCTGTCTTTTCATCAACAGCTTGCAGTACAGGTGAACCTTGTGCGGTTGACGTGCCTGAAGGAGTTGGTGAGCCAACAAAGGTGCCGCTGTCGGTACTACTGCTGCTGCTACTGCTGATGCTGATGCTACTGCTGAGATCAGCAGAATCGTCGCTACGTGGTGGAGGGCGACTCTGTGTCACGTCTGCTGGCTGGGCGCTAGATGAAGAGAAATCACCTGCAGCAGCCTCTTCTTCAGCTTTTGCTGCAGCAGGAGGCAGCGGAGCGGGCTGCACCGCCGGAAAGACTTCCAAGGCCGGGACCTCGAGGGCTTCAGCTTTACGCCATGCCTCTTTGAAGGTGATGCCTGCGCGCTTCTCGATTTGACTGAGCCATTGGGCCGTTACGATCCATTGGGCTGGACTCCAATACCTCCAGCTTGCCCAGCGGAAGAAAAGGCCGACTTGATCGCGACGGTAGGCGGAAAAGTCGCCTGTTGGAGTACGAGTAAAAGCAGAGGAGAGTCAGAAAACTGGCTCTGATTCGCTGCGTCGCGACACCATCGCCTCTACTCACCATTCATATTCTCCCTCACGTTCTGCAGCATGTCGGTCTTGTCGGTGAGAATGGCCTTTACGCCCCATCGAGTCGCCTCAATCATCTCGTCTTTCCTGTTGACAGTCCAGACAAAGACGTCCTTGTCGTCCCTCTTAGCAGCTTCTAGAAAGGCCTGTCCGTCAGCCGCCACGAGGGAAGGAAACCACATGGAAAATCCATCGCAGTGTTTCCAAAAGTACGTCGTGGCCAGCCAGGGAGAGCCGCCGATATGGATGCGGCGCATCGTTGGCACGTGCTTCAGAGCAGCGTCTAGGAAGACGGGGTGCCAGAGACCTAGAATGAGACGCGGGCCAAGGTCGGAGGCATAGTCTGGGTAGGACTGCACGACGGCCTTCATCAGGCGGAACAGACGGTCGGGCTCATTCTCGGGTTTGATGTCGATCTGTGAAAGGCCGATGGAGGAAGGGATGAGTCAGAAGCCGTTCAAAACCACTCCTGCCTGGCGCTGACAGTGCATACTCACATTGAGCTTCACATGCTTGTTTTCTGGCCTCATCAGCAGATCACAGACGTCGCGGAAAGTAGGAAGGCGCTGTTGAGGCTTCGCGGTGGTCCTGACGTGCTCGATGCAGTCCTTCCATGGCTGTGTCCTGATAAGACCTTTGCCGTTGGTGGTCCTCTCCAGTGACGGGTCGTGAAACATAACGATGACGTCGTCCGAAGTGACGTGCACATCTGTTGGTTGTAGAAAGACCGATGGAATGAAGCGCGTGCAGATTGTGGACACGGATGTTGGAGTTGCGGTAGCGGAGGTGTGTTGCGAGGAGTCCGGATTGAGACAGAATGTGGGTATCGTGGTAGAGGAGGGGAAGAAGACGCGACTGGGTTAGGAGTGGCAAAGGGCGACGACCGACCGCGGCCTCGAAGGAGCCCCAATCAAGAGGCTCGTCGAGGTAGAGCGGATCCCCTCTCCTTCTCCCTCCTTCTCATCCCACCACAGCATGTATACCAGCCCTCGGTCCTCCTTGATTACTGAACTCGTCCGTCTGTGATGACGCCCCTGGGCTCCTAAACGGCCCTCAAGGGTCACTCCCCTTAACGCTACGGTGACATGGAGCCTGGCAGCCTGCGCTCAGCGGACACTAACCGGACTCTATGCCCTCTGAACCATCTCTCACTGCTCTATCGAAGGAAGCAATGGTGTTCTCCGGGAAAGCGGCCGAAGCTCCTCGATGTCCCCTGTAGTTGTGAAGCACAAGAGAAGAGGAGGGGAAACAGCAAGGTGAGCGGACTGAACGAAAGTGGTCAAGTATTGAAGCTCGGAGCTAGAGCGCGTACTCACCAGCACTCGGGCATAGGCGGTGATAGTCCTTCAATCTTGAAAGACTTTGTTAGAGGACGCATGATGGGATGGGATGTGTGGAAGAGGTGACGATGATGATGATGGTGGTGGGAGTGGGTAGCGAATAGGTATGGTAAGATGAGGAGTGGGAGGTGTGGGACTGTCAGCTCAGGTGTTGCTTAGCGGTGGCCACGACGATGGCGTCGTGGGGCAAGGTGGTGGTGGGTGGGGATACAAGGGATCACCCATCCAAACAGCCGCTACCAACATCCCTGGAATGGGTCGTGCCCTGTGCCTCGTCCAGGATGTACAGGGCAGAAGTGAGGGCAGGCTATCGAACGTGGCTCGCTACCGCCCTGGGCACGCGGAGCTAAGGCACGCCTGCCTGCCTGCCTGCCTGCCTTACCCCACAATGCCTCCCACGACGGCGACCTGATGCTTGGCGAGATGCTTCTGCCGACGATGGATCATCCTCGCCTCGTCTCGCCTGGCCTGGCCCTGGCAGGCTGCACTGCAAAGGGCAACGAGCAAACGGCAAAACACTCCCGCAAACTCACCTCTGCAAAGTGCACGGGTGGAGGTGTACCGCTAGCGAACGTGCGTCGCTTACTCGAGGTCCGTGCTAATTCCAATCCAGCTTCTAGCCAGGGACGAAGGGCAGTGTAGAGTGGCGCGGGTAGAGAGGTAGCTAGGTTGTTGATCAAGATGGACGTGCCAATCTCGAGGTAGTGGGTTGGCATTGGGGCTTTGGTCCTGAGAAGAAGGAGACGAGGTGAGAGGGGTCCGGAGTGGGAGGTATCAGAGGAAGAAGAGCTCAGAGGGGAACAGGGTCGCTTACGAGGCTGACTCGTCAAGCTTCGCTACCTTTGGAGATGCTGGTCTCGTAGCAGAGGTGTAGTCCTGCTATTGGGATCCAGACAGAGGGGAGAAGGGAAGAGTATGGCGAGGTTGTACAGAGGAAACCATGAGCCCACAGTTGGATGACAGACTAACTGTTGATGCAGAGAGCCCCTCTTGTGTGACCAATTTCGGCGAGTCCTTGGGTGGAGCAGAGCTGCGTAACAAAATTGACCCGGTCCCCCTCCTGTCGTCTATCAGTATCAGCAGGGCACGTTGCATGTCCCACGTTGACATCTTGAAATTTCCACGAAGCTCTCGCCGTCGGCACCAAACCCCTGGGGCGCCATGCCATGCCGGGCCGGGGGGGGGGGGGGGGGGGGGGGGTCCTCCTCCTCCACTCCTTGGCTCTCACACTCCTCTAGTCCCTACAAGGCGTGGAAGGGCCCACCTGCTTCCGAAATCTCGCAGGCGCTGACCAGGGCTCGACGACGGTCCATCGGCTTAAGCCATCCGAACTCAGCCGGGCCGGCCGGGACAGGAGCAGTCAGGGTCCGGGTGGCGGCTATTCGAATGGTCAAGGCGCAAAGAGCTTCTAGTCGCCGAGGGGCGCTCCCGACTCATCTACTTCTAGGGCGTAGGTAGACTAGGCAAGGCATTCAATCTCTCCTTCGCTCGCTCACCCAAGCAATGGCCTATCACAAGTCAAGTAGACGCGTCAAGCGAAGAGACCGTGGGAGTGAACACTGCGTCATTGAGAATCTATCGAACAGATGAAGAGACACTGCCAAGAGGGTGATCTACTCCGTCGACTAAAGGACAGTATAGGCGTGATGGGATATGACCAGAAGGGAGAAAGGCAGTACTGAAGAACATAGACTCGATGACACGTGGCCAACGGCACAAATCGCGGCTACTGTCGAACGCAGCTCCAGGCCACCGAAGACGGATACCGAAGCTTTGCCTATTTACTCGCCCTAGAAGGCACTTCCAGGACCTGCACCTCGGAGATGCTCTGGCTGAGGACGATAATCAGCAAAGGGCGCATCGGCGTCATAGTGTGGCTGCGCCATCTCCTCGAGTTCATTGTGGCTCACACCACCATGGTACTGGCGGTGGTGAGCATCGTCTTCGACGGGAGAGCGGCCAGAGGTGTGTCCGGTTGCCGCTGTAGTCAAATTAGTACTGTACATCGATTCCTGGCAAGTGCAGTGGCTCGCAAAGCTCCCCATCGAGTCGCTCCTCTTCAAGATCTGGCGGGATGACCCAGCAGCTCCACTCGCACCTTGCTGGTCCTGCTGGTGGCCAGACAAAGGCCGCAAGCTGTACCCGCCGTGGTAGTCACGAGGGGATTCCTGCCCGCCATTCCAGCCCCCGTTGGCCGAACGAGCACCGTCTCGTGCGGCAGTTTGGTTGTTGGCTTCGTTCTGGTTCATCTGCGCTCGAATTGCCTTGATGGACAGTCCTGAAGTGGGCACTCCTGCGCCGCCATGAGGTGGTGACGCCTGTGGCACACTCAGGGGGTCGTTAGACCGGGCATGAGGCGATGTGGAGCCTTGCCCTGGTTTGCCAAGTGTGGAGGTAGCCGAAGCATAGCCTTCCTGTCCAGTGAAGGGGTACGAGTTACCCGAAGCTCCATATGTATATGGCTTGTCTGCCATTGGGTGATCGCCTCCTGGAACAAAGCGGTCAAAGCGGTCTACCTCTGGTCCATTGGGGCAAGCAGGACTCCATGTATCGGCTGCTCCAGGGGACATCTGAGTCAGCGTGACGTCGTAGTCGACCAGGACCTCTTCGTTGCAGTCGAACCTGATGCCCTCTAGACCAGCACCTCGGGAAGTAGTTCCTCGCGTGGTGATTTGACCTTTGGAATCAGTCCAATTCGACACTCCTGCTGAGGAAGGTCGCGGCCCTCCTGTGAAGTTGCTGGGCATGCCGGTGTAGCCAGTGGTTGTGGTACGGCCGTATCCATGAGCAGCATCTTGCTCCGCTGTGCAGGAAAAGAGAACAACCTCAGCTGGTCAGCACAGAGACACCCTTGACAGTTCCTTTGACCACCATGGCCTACCTACTCACCAATGATCAAATTCATGCCGATCATCACCTCGACGACGATGGTCAATGGCAGCAGAGTTGGCAATTGTCCACTGAAGAAGACGAAGATGAAGAATTCTGCCAAGTTCAAGCCACCCACAATGGCAATGTAGTGCAGATTATTGACAAAGAGAAGCTTGCCGATCCTCTGTAGTCCAGATGGACCCCTGACGCATCTGATCAGTCGCCAAGAGGTGCAGATGACAAGGGTGCTGTCGAAGAGGAAGCTGTACAGCAGAAACCAGATACCAAGCTTTTGGTACCAGGGCCTGGCATTTGCCTCTATGATGTCTTCGTCTAGGTAGGAGCAGTATCCGTCCACGACCGTCTTCATCTGTGCGCACAACGTCGAGGATCAGATCGGTCAGCAAAGTGGAGTTCTGCAAAGTCTAGCAAGTATCACTTCCAGCTCACCTTGATCTGGAATTGGGCGGTAGCCATGGCGGCAGTAAGCTGTACGGTGAGTCCAAGAAGCAACCAAATGCCCACTCGATAGCGCCGCTGGAAAATGACGTAGCATCGCCTGTGCGTGGGGGGTTTCGGAGCAAAAGGCGAGAAGAACGCGAGAGCAAAGGAGCGGATCAGTCCACTGCGCCGACTCTTCCCAAGCTTTTGCTCTGAGGAAAGCTTACCAGGCAAGAGTCGTGCTGATCAGAGTAGTGCAGAAGAAGAGGAGCATCTGGTAGATCCAGCTAAGAGCTTTACAGCCAGTGACATCGACCCATCCCGAGGTTAGATTTGTGATGGCATCGGAGATGATCGAGAGTAGTGAGAGGTACTTGGTCAAGAGGAAGAGGATCTCGGCGATGTTGATCTTGCCCCTGTTGACCATACGGACGTACATGCGCACCTCTCCCGGCAGCACACGTACGCTCTCGAAGAAGATGAGTACTTGACATGCTATGATAGGATAGTTGCTGAGTACCTGCGCACATGTATAGGCCGATTTCGGATTATCACACTGGCCTAGACGCGTCTGACTTGGAGCATCTTCCACTCACGATATAGCTCAGATATGCCGTCGTCAGGGCTGGTTCGGGCGCCATAGTGACAGTATTCCTCGACGTCTGCTCAGGCTTCTTTTCCTACTAGGCTCGATTCGAGATGTCTACTACACAGAAGGGGAGATAGCGATAGAGACGTCCGAATGGGTACGGGAGTGATAGGGGGCGAAGGAAGGGCAGGGCATCGTTGCCCAAGCGAGATTGAAGCCCATCTGGCCCCCAAGAAGTAGTGCGGGTATACGGAGCTTTGCTTCCTCCCTCTACCCCCATCCGGGCCCTGATCATCGTCTGGGCTAGTGAGCAAGGTAGCCAAGGGGTTTAATTGCCATCGGCAAACACTTAGTCTCCTCAGGCCCGGGCTTCCGGCCCCCCGGGCTCTCGTTGCCTTCCGCGTCCGCCTGCCAGGCACAGGTACCGCCGGAAAGAGCGGCTACGAGGTGTGTCATGATCGCCGCCGCCGCCTGCTTCATTGCCGCCGACACTGCGCGCGTGACTGTGCCCATCGCCTCGAGGATCGATCGAGGAAGATCGGCAAAGAAGTGCAGTGAAGAAGGTCCCTCGGCGCTAAACTCCTTCAAGGATATACCGGGTAATAGTTGGTTTCCCTGGAACAGGCTTACCGCCAGCAGAGCAGAGGTGCTCATATAACCCCAAATGCTTTCTGACCTTCGAACCCTTTCGCTCCCCCGCTCCCATCCCCCCATCTTTGCCCCTGCCCCTTTCCCCCATTAAGCCGTTCCCCGTCTCCCCTGCCAGCCATACTCTCCGGCGATCCCCTTCCCATAAGACAAACTTCAAGCTCTTCAGCACGATTCTTCACAACTATCACAATTCGATCAACCCATCCTTTCCCTTCAACATGATTGCCCTCCGCGCCATCCTACTCCTGGCAGCCCTGCTCTCCGTCCACATCGCCACCGCTCGAGCCATCAACCCAACCGAATCGCAGTCCAACGCCAAGAGATTCGGCGTAGGCATTCCTGTAGGCGACGATGCAGTCGCAGTTGGCCAAACTCCCAATCAGGGGAGCAGCGAGGTGCACCGTCGTTTTTCCTTTAGCAACGGAGGCGCGCGACTTCCTGGCAATGTCAAGACAGGTGGTGACCAAATTGGTATCGCTGGACGTGGTGAGAAGCCCGCACGACGATTCTCCCTAGGTGGACTGACGGGTAAGACGCACATCCCCGTCGAGATTGGTATTGCCGATCGGGACACTGCAGAGCAGCCTGGAGCTGAGCGCCGCGTCTTTGTCAGTGCCTCTCAGGACGACTTCTGGCACGGTGCCGTTGCGGACGGACACTCAGGTTCTGGAAAAGTGCACAAGGAGGGGCTCTTCTCTTTCGCCGGAGTCGGCGCTGGTGTAGGCATCGCAAGCACTTCAATCGAGCGTGCTCACCTCGAGGTAGAGGAGGAAGGCAGTGTGGAGCAGGAGAAGCGCTTCTCCTTTTCTGGAGGTGGATCTAGAGTGGGCATTGCTGGTGCGGCAGAGGAGAATGAGAAGCGATTCTCTTTTGCTGGGATGGGCGGACGAGTGGGTATTGCAGGTATTGCCGAGAAGCGTGCTGCTGCTGCTGCTGCTGCTGCCGAGGATGCAAGCGCAAAACGTGCTGCTGCACCTCATCCACTGAACTAGTCTCTCAGACTGCCTTACGCCTCGATGACTCTGCGCCATGTGCAGCAGCAGCCTTTCTCTCCTCTCCATCTTTGCGCTTCTCTTGCTCACTTCAGTCTGAAGTGGCTATACCTCTCTTTCGTATTCGATTCTACCCCATGTAGGGCTCATTTGCTTCGAAGGTGCTGCTGCAGATCAGCATACTTTCGCAGCCCCGCCTCTTCAAGAGACCAGTGAACGAAGCTCGCTCTTCCTCCCCATTTCATCACCTGCTCATTAATCAAATACCAACTTATCTATGCTGTGACGAGTGAGACATTCATTGAGATCGATGATATTCGGACCGAATTGTTCTGTCGCGGACGACGTCGTCTATAATAGTATGCTCGATGCCGTCTCTCAGTCCCGCTTGGTGAAGAGGTAGTGGCCCACGCCCCACTCTTCTCCTCCGTTCGTAGCTATGGTAGGAGTGACGATAGAGTGAAGTGAGTAAACCCATCATGGTCTCTGCATCTTTCACCCGCGACTCACCAAAAAATTCAGCGCAGGCAAGGTAGAAGACTCTGAATCTGTAGAAGGTCTTCTCGCCTTCTGCCTCGTCTACACCCTTCTTCTTCGCGTCCGCCCTCAGCCCAGCGATGCTCTTGCCACCCTTATTTCCCTTATCCTGCTTCTTGAGCCAGTCCTCACATGTACGCGCATAGTGGTTCCCATTGAGCCACCAGATCTTCTCCAGGACGACCTTTTGCTGAAAGTGCAAGAAGAGATCGTGCGAGGGCATCGTTCCGCCTGAAAAGAAGTTCTGCGCCATCCAACCATCGGACTCCTCAAAATGGTAAGGCGTCGTCTTGTGACAGAAGATGTGGATGAAGAGGAGAGAGGGGTCCGAGGGGTTGTCCTTGGGCGAAGACTTGAGCCACGAGGACACCTTGGAGAAGAGGAGCGAGTAGTTCTTCATGTGCTCAAACATCTCTATGCTGAGAATACGGTCGAACTTGATGTCGGCAAAGTCGTACAATTTGACGTCTCCTGTGAAAACTTCCAGGTTCTTCAGGCCACGAGCCTTTGCCGTCGAGTCGATGTAGATCTTCTGAGTCTTGCTATTCGAGAGAGACTTGACCCGGCTGTTGGGGTACCGTTCTGCCAAGTAGAGCGAGAGACTTCCCCAGCCACAACCCAGGTCCAGGACGTCTTGTCCGTCTTTTAGCTTGGCCTTTGTGCAGTACGAGTCGAGCATGGCTTCTTCTGCCTGATCCAGCGTCTCCTTTCCAGTGGGATAGAGGCAGCAGGAGTACTTTGCCCTTTTGCCTAGACAGCTCAACATGAAGTCGGTATCCACCTCGTAATGCTGCTCATTGGCCTTTTCAGTCTCAATGGCAATCTCATTGGTCTTGAGACTGTCGATGTACTCGATTTTGTTCTCAATGTCTTTGGAGTAGGTGCCGCTGGAGAGTGACCTTATCCTCTGGGCATTGAGGGCTCGAATGGCTCTGCGCTGGAAGATGTGAGGAAGGCAACGAGGATAAGAGGGCTATGTGAGACTCTGAAGAGGACAAGGGGGGAGTGGGGTATACACTTGCCTACACACAAGGGTGAAATCGGGGATGTAGCCCCTGTCAAGAGCGGCTGTTAGAGAGGGGAGCGCAGTCTGATGTGAGCTCAAGCTCTAGTCCAACAAGCAATGCAACACAGCTGAAGGCCTCACCGTAAGCGTAGTCCATGCTTGCAAGGTGGGTAGGGTGGTGGTAGAAGGTGTAGCTTGTTGGAGGGGGAGTGGACCTTTGGTAGGAAGAAGTGGGTTGCCATTGTCCCCCCCAGTCGCGCTTCCGCTTCCGCTGCAGCCACGCCTGGACCCTGGTGTGGATGCGGTGCTGACCAAGGCGTGTGGAGTGGAATCACGCTCAGCTCGATGCTCAGCCTCGGGCCGCACATCATCGGGCAGACCGAGGCGAAAATAGAACGCAGCGAGGGCGATGCAGCCTCCTCGGCTCTGGGCCGAGATAGAGTGAAGATCCATCCGCAATCTCCCACCTCTTCCACCCACGCTTCTCATCGCCACATCGCTAGACCACGCCATGACAGAACAACCAACAACAGCTGAAGAAGGCGTCGGCAGTGGCAGCGCAGCAGAGGGACAAGGAGGGGGAATACTAGCCAGCGTCACCGGAGCTCTATCAACAGCCGGCGCCTCCATCTCCTCCACTGCTACATCCGCATATCAACAAGCACCCGACCTCGGCGTCACCAGTACCGTCAACAAATTAAGCGGAGCAGCTGCCGCCGCTACTAGCACCAAACCAGAAGAAGAGAAGGCAGCTCCAAGTGAAAGTGATCCGGCTGTATACCCCAATGGAGACGTCACCGGCGACGTCAAGGGCGAGGTGAATGGTGAAGACGAGGAGGATCTAGATGGGCCGGGGGCTCTGAGGAAGAGGCGTGAACAGAGGATACAGCAGTCCAAGGAAGCAGGTCGTGAGTAGCAAGGCAACAGACAGGACCAGAGATGGCATGACTTCGCATCACTCTACTGATTCCCACTCCAACTCTTCTTCTCCTCACACAGCATCCTGTGAATCCCGCCTAGGCAAACTGCAGTCCGAAGTTGGAATCGAAGATGGTATCCCCACTTCGGCTGGCGCAGGCACGACCCACCCCCAGGATACGACTGTCCAGCAGGCCACTACCAAGAACACTACCCGTAACCAGGCTAATGTCCCCGCTGACTTCGAGCAGGTCGATTCTCCTTCGCAATTCGCTGGGGGAAAGGCAGAGAAGATCTCCGAGGGTGGTGGTGAGAGTGCAACTCAGCAAGGGCAGAGTACAGCAGAGCAGGATAGTGCCGAGACGACGAATCAGGATGGTGGCAGCGCGGGGAAGCGTTCCCTGGGCCAGAAGATCAAGGATGGCTTCAAGGGAGAGGCAAAGGTGCTCAGTGGACATGTCAAGCGCGATCAAGAGCAGGTACAAGCTGGCAAGGCCATCAGAAAGGGCGAGGCTTGAGGAGAAGAGGAGTCTTCGCCAAAATATAGCGATCGACAAGAACATCCGTCAAAGACGATGCTCCATACATAGACTTCGAGACGAAGCAACTTTTGCACTCGCAACCCACCTCTTCACACCGCCTTCCTCGGATTTTCTGGACCCCACTTTTTCTTCACCAGAGAGTATGTCTTCCCTTCCCTGCCACTGCTACCATCGCAGCGATACCTCTTCCCTCATTCCCTCCGTGTATGCATTCAGTCCCACCTCAGACTCGCTCGTCCTCTTCCCACTATTCCCTTCTTCTTCGCTTCTGGACGCGGACGCAAGCAAGCATCTTATCGGAGCGCAACGACTTCACTCCAGCTTCACTTCCATTTTCAATGTCAATAGAGTTTTTCACATTTTCTCTTTCTGAGCTTTTGACGAGACGCAGCGCAGCGCGATTTGCGAGATCAGTTGGGGGCCCATACAGGTTACGAGACGGGGTATGTGTAGATGCAAAGGGTATAAGAGTCATGTAACGAGGAACAAAGACAGGACAGAATAGCGCAGGACAGTATGGTGCACTGAGCCAACCCTGAGTAGCCGTTGGTACGCCAGCTGAGCCTGTGTGGGTATAATGTTGAGATGAGAGGGAGCAACAAGGCACGGAGTTGAAGAGGTCAAGGTGCAAAGGCTACTCCTGGTCACCTCGCCCTGCTCCTCTGTGACAACGACCTCTCCCTCCTCCTCTCCCGCCTCCTCTGTGGGCGCCACCCCTCTCAGGACCTCCATGGAAGCCACCTCTGCCTCTTCCTCCGTGGCACCCACCTCTTACTTCCACGCCATCGCCGCCTCCGCCTCTGCCGCCGCGGTGGCATCTACCACCGACATGGCCGCCGTCGACCCCTCTCGCGTGTGCTCCTCTCTTGCAGTCCTCAGATCCCTCCTCCAATAGCCAGCTCGCAGCAGTAGGCAGGACGATGAGTCTTCCTGTTGCTCCTCCTTCCTCACCGCTCTGAACGGCAGGTGCACCGCCGCTCATCCCGATGCTTGCTTGGTCGAAATCGAAGATACCATAGGCGGCGCATCGATCCACTAATGCGTCGGGATTGACGCGCTCCAGGTAGCGAATCTCTTCTTCTGCGTGGCCCGATTCCAGATGCCGTGGAGGTGGGTAGGCGATGGCTAGAGCCATGCGAGGAGAGTCTGCCGCCGGCGAAGGAGGAGTGGAGGTCGAGGGAGGTAGAAGCTGCAGATAGTAGAGGGCGCAGAGGAGGGTCTCGCGGATGAAGATGGGACAATCTTGAAGGCTGGAGGCTCCCGAGCGATTGAGTGCCTCAGCGCCCGGACGGATGGCAGCCAGCTCTTCGAGAGAATTCTTCTCCTCTTTGCTCGCTCTCATTGTCTGCGCTTCGACTGGCGACATGCGAGCCCCTTCCGGCTGAATGATCAATCCAGGTGTAAGGTCGATGCCAACAGCAGGGGAAGACCGCGGGCGCGAGACTGAAGAGGTGGCAGAGGGACATCTGTACCAGGAGGATCTGCGTGAAGGTGTCTGGACACTCTGAGGAGCAGGAGAATGGGTCACATCCGCCTGGCGACCCTGTACCATCCTCTCCTCGATGAAGCGAGCTGCTTTCCTTGCTGCTAGACCAAGCCGATCCTCCTTGGTCTTGAGGACGTCCAAAGTACGACAGGCTACAAGAGGGTCAAATAGAAAATGTTGAGAGTCAGCGCCTACGCTGTGATATGCTTGGCCCCGATTGACTGGGCTCACCTTCATCTGGAATGACAACCCTGGTCTTGCCTTCCTTGAGCCACTCATGCACGCTGCGCAATGAGTAGATCAGGACACTAGCATCCACGACCACGAGCAGCTCAGCTCTACTTTGCGGCATTTCCTCGCTAGTAGCGACCGTCTTGTATTTCTCAGCTCTCCTCTGGAAAGGACAGCCAGACTTCTTGCCCGGCTCCCTGCCCATATGAGGACCTCCGCCTCTCCCATCACGACCTTTGTGCTTTCCGCCTAGATGAAAGTTCTTCCGATCTAGCTTGGCTACATCCTCTTCGAGACACTGTACTCTATGCTGGAGGAAGAGTGCGCCCATAGCCTTGCAGATAGCATTCTGCCGGTCCGCGGGTGGAGAAGGGGTCCGGTGTGAAGTGGAGACTGCAGAGGGAGAGAGGAAGCCAATGGAGGATGAGGACCGAGAAGGTGATGACAACCTGGCCTTCTCATCGAGAAGAGACATGTCTATTGACCTCTTCCCTGGATGAGTGATGGTGGCAAAGGTAGGGAAGGGCGCGTATTTCAGGAGGGAGGAGGAAGCCGACGGCTCTGATTGCAATCGCCGGATGGACTCAGCTTCCGCCGAGACTCAGCACTGAGCACGGCCTTAAAGCGCACCTGGGTCCACTGCATCGGTACATCTCCTATGCATTCGCGCATCCACTGAACTCTTACCGCTACTCGTGCAGCGGTAAAGCAGCCTGCCAGGGCATGGACAGTTTCTTGGCCTGGGCTTCTCCTTGTGCCATCCGGTCTGGACCCTTACTGCTCAGACTGAAGGTGAGGGGGAGCGGGTATGCCTTGGAATCGGAACGGAAGACGGAAAGGGAGGTGGCGTGGAGTGCCGTCGCCTGCTGCCACCCCCTGGATGCATGCACGTCACATTCTCGTTGGCTTGACCGCGAGACGCCTCCTTGCAGTTTTGTGTTTATCCCTTGGTACGCCTTGCTTGCTTGCCTTGCCGCCCTGGGCTGCCCCGACCTTCCTCTTCTAGAAGGTGACCTGGTGCGGCAACGGCCATGCACGATCGCTCCGAAGATGCATCTGCAACCACCTCTGACCCAATCACACTCGGCAGAAAGGGGGACAGGACGACGAGGAGGAGGGGTGAGAAGCATGGATGGCAGGCACCTCCGACGCGCCTTGCTCTGTCTGGTTTGATCCGTGTCGCGCCCCTTCTCACAATCTCGATGATCCGACTTTGGACCACCCCCTCCCTCCCTTTCTTCACCACCATCTCCATTGTAGTGAAGGCGACCACGCTAGATCGTATACCCCATCGCCGCTCACGCTCCTTCAGGGACAGGTCCCTTTTCCTCCGTCTCCTTCCCCTCCTCCTTGCTCCATCTCTAGCGACTCTCGGGCAGGCCTGTCAGCTCCCTAGCTCCTTCCTCGACCTCTTCTCGATCTCTCTTCTATCCTCACCTCCTCTGCTTTCGGCTTCACTACCGAGACTGCTTCGCCTCTTCTAGAAGCTACCCGTCCCGGAGTAGCAGAAGGGCTGTTCGCGCTCCCACTTCCATCGAAGGAGCTCCCTTGCTCAGCCTCGTACACTCTCTCCACGATGCTTTGGACAGGCGCCAAAGGCAGTCGTGCCTCGTCGTCCAGGATCGTTGTGTCTTGTCTGGCTGCTTTGCTTTCCACTGCGGCCCCTTCCTTCGCCGATGTGGCAGTAGGTACACCTCTCGATCAGCAGTACCCAAACGTAGCGCACCTCAGTCAAGACTTCTCTTGGACATTTCCCGAGTCGACCTTCAATAGCTCCACTGGGGCCCAGATTACCTACACTACTTCCACTCTACCAAGCTGGGTGACTTTCGATGGCACTACGCGTACCTTCTCAGGGACACCCTCTGCCGACGAAGACCTGGGCACAACGAAGGTGACGGTCACTGCAAGCGATGGATCCTCCATGTCTGCTCGCAGCGCCTTTGGTCTCCTCGTCACTAGTGATCCTGCGCCGATCCTTTCATACTCTCTACAGTCTCAGCTGCCGGTCGCGAGCTCGCTTGGAAAGTCTCAGATTCTTGCAGGCAACAAGCTGCACATTCCCTTCGGCTGGTCCTTCTCTGTCGGATGGCGGGGATCGACGTTCTACCTCCCCAGCAACAACACCGTCTACACGTACGCGACCATCAACGGCTACGAAGCCCTTCCCAGCTGGCTGATGTACAGCTCCGACACTTACGCCATGTGGGGCATCGCTCCCAATACTCCGCAATCAGAGGGTACGGAGTTCGTCTTTGTTCTATCAGGTGCAAACGAGCTCGGTTATGCTGGAACCCAGACGAACCTCACTATCGTCCTGGGTGAGGGAAAGCTGAGCCTCTCCACGAGCGCAACAAAGTACGGATCGCCTCTGCAGACGGTCAATGCTACTGTTGGAATCGAGCTCGAGTACACTATTCCCACTGATATCATCGCCGTTGATGGCCAAGGGACTCGCTCATCTCAACAGCTGAATATGACTGCTGATACCAGCGAAGCCGGGTCTTGGCTGTCATTTGACAGCACCACTCGTACACTCAGCGGCACTCCGCCCTCGGACGTCATCATGAACTCCCCTGAGGCTACAACCGTTGACGTTTCAGTCACAGCCACAGACTCTCTAGGAGAGAGCCTGACATTCACCGTGCCTCTCGCCATCTACCCTGCCATCTTCTCCAACGACACACTGCCCAATGTCTACGTTGAAGCAGGTCAGCCATTTGCAGCTTCGCTGAGCAACTACATTCGCAACAGCGATCAGGCCAACATTACTGCCTCCTTCAGCCCTTCCAACGCTAGCTCATGGATCGGTTACGATGCTGACACCCTTGTCCTGTCCGGCACTGCGCCCGACAATCTCACCGCCGAAGCGAAAGTCGCTGTGACTTTGACCAATCTGGCTCGGACCGAGGGCGACAGCGCCGGTAGCCTCGCGAGAAGGGATACGCCCTCTAACCAGGCTGTTTTCTACGTTGCGCTGAATGGCACCGATGCAGGAAGCCCGGATGCGACTGGTGGAAATATCCCTGCAGGTGACGGTACTGGTCCGGTAGCAGAGAAGCGGAAGAGAGTCATTGCCGGGGCGGTGATCGGTACTATTGTTGGCTTGCTCTTGATTGCGCTCCTCGTCTTCCTCTGTCTTCGCCGGCGCAAGAGGCGAGAGGCAGAAGGCAGAGCGCCCGGCTCCTCCATTGCTACAAAATCGCCAGCTCTGTCGTCTTCGGACGAGAGGACACTTCGCGATGAAACTTCGCCCGCCTTCATTGCTGCACCCTTCAAGAAGATGATGAGCAAGGAGGGAGCTAGTCCGGCGACCCTGTACGGGGGCTCTCCTTTCCTTCACGCTGATGGAAAGACGCTACACCATGAGCAAGCAGTCGCCAACGACGGAAGCGAGCTTCGTGGTATTCTGATCACCAGTGATCGATATGCCCGTCAGTCCGAAGAGCAGGCAGCCAGATATGCCGCTGTAGGTGCAGGCGCTGCGGCTGCTGGGCCGTATGACGAAGACGTGTATGGTGACCATGCGTACGAACAACAGCCGGAGAGACCTCAGCAGCACGGTATGATGTCTGCCCTGGTGGGCGGCGGTGCCAAGAAGCGGCAACAACACGGAGGCCCCACGGTGGAAGAGGAGGAGGAAGCTGCGCGGATAGCGGCGGGTATGCAGCACGGTCGCTCGCAGTCGACTGGTCTCGGGTTGACGGGTGTGGGCATGGATGCTTCTGGCAGCAATGAAGATGACCCTTATCGGCAGAGAAATGCGCACGCTCGCTCTAGGATGAGCCTTCGTAGCTCGGTCAGCAGGGAGAGTTGGGAAGACGACCTCTTCTACGACGACAACGCACGCGATTCTCGTGCAGCCACTGCCGGCTCATTCGATGGGGTCGCTCACAGTCGCACAACGTCCATCAAGGCCCTGACTGGCATTGCCGAGGAGAATGAGGTCCCTCGCCGTCGAGGAGATGGACGAGTCTCGTCAAGGCAAAGTCATATGCGCCATCGTAGCGCACACATCAAGACCTCGCCCACTTTTGCTGCTACTGCTGCATTTGCTGCGCCAGCCAGCGACGAGTCCGCAGAGTATGACAGGAGCTACGGTGGTGATCATCGCATCGTCATTAATGGCGCTGAGGACGGCGAAGGGCTTCAGCATGGAAGTACCAATGACTTCGTCATTGGCACTGCTCAGCGTGTCGATGTCAGAGAGCTGGGTCGCAACGGCTCCGTCACGGCTCGCACACCTCAACTGAAACACAGTCACGGCCGAAACGAGAGCATGCACGCTGATGCTCAGCCGTCACCGTCTGGTGCCTTTGAGGATGCGGAAGACGAGGCCCAGCCCCTGCCACAAGGTGCTTGGTCAGCGCCTCAAGGCCGAGGCAACAGGGACAGCGCATTTTCCACGATGACAACGGACAGCAACATGTTGGCGCTGAGTCCGTACATCTCCTACCCGGAACCAGGAGACAATGCTGACGCCATGAGCGTTAGCGTCTATTCGCCGCGTCCTCCCTCGATGTTCGGCGGTGCATCCATTGCATCTAATGTTCGTCCTGAAGACACGCTGCGGGCTGTGGAGTACTCCAGGAAGCCGGGTCCCCCATCGCCCCTCCTTTTCCCGCCATCTCAAGCTCATCTGCGCCCAGCAAACAGGGCTTCTTCCCCTACAGGACCAGCACCCGTCGTGCCTCCTCTTCGACCACAGTCTGCGATTGTCCCCGAGGAGCTAGAAGCGACCGTAGCGCTTGGCGAAAGGATTCGCATCAAGCTTACTCCACCAGGGGGACCCTCAATGCGAGGTGCAGCCGGCTCAGCCGGTACTCGAGCCGGTCAGAAGGGCAAATACGTACCTCTGCTCGACAACGTGATGATGAAAGCCCACGGTACCTGGCCACTTTGGCTCAGCGAATGGGTGTTTTGGGACCCCAATATGTTCGAGCTTTCTGGAGAGGTGCCCCTCGACTTCCACTTGGCCGAAGTCACAATCGCCCTCGTACATCGCAGGCCGGTCACTACCTACGCCCGTCCTGGTAGTCCCAAGAGGCTAGGTGGCCACAGGAGGCAGGACAGCAATGACATGACTGTCGAGGATGAGGTGGTCGCCAGGCTGACCCTCATCATCCAGCATCCTCACGGGGGCGCCTACGATAACAATGTGCCTCTTCAACGCGGAGTCACTGGAGCGGCCTTCTGATCTCGAGCGGATGAACGTGGTAGATTATCAGGTCTTCGTCTCGGAGGTAGCGGTCATGTTGGAAGTAGCTCTAGCAAAGTTCAGCGATATATAGGTCTCCTTCAGATGGAGCTCCTCTCTCCTCTCTTCTCTGGTCACCGTAATTTCTCAGATTGTCTCAATCTCGTCTCGTCGTGTCTCTTGTATCTATATGCCACGGATGCCTCATCGTCTCTTTTTGCCCTGTCTCTCTTGTCTCTACCTCTTTACTGTTGCTCCTTCTCTATGTTGTACTCCTTTCGCCTGTTGCGACTCGCTGGAGCGGAATCTCATCGGACATTTGCTACATACTTTCAAACGCCGGACTGTGCTTCCGCGAATCGGACACACGGCACGGGCTGACGATGTGCGGAAGTCCAAGGGTTCAGCCAGCAAGAAAGACATTGGGGGCCGGGGCGGGGCGGGCTCTGGAGCACCTCTTCAATCGGCGCAGATGTGCGGAGTGTGTGGAGAGAACAGTTTCCAAACTTGGCAAGACTGAGATTGGCTGTACCGAGGGCGCTTGTAGCCTGGCGATCTCCATACTGGGCTGCAGATACGAGACCTGATTCAGATGCCGTATGCCTTCATCGTACCAGAAGACGGGCAACCTCTGTCTCTTGTGCCGCTGCTGCTTCTCGGTGGAGAGAAGCTAAAACGGCGAGATCTCGGAGCAACGCGTGGCGTCGGATCGGCGTCTGTCAAATGTCCGACGTCGCAGGTGACAGGCACTAGAGCAGAGCGCATGGTTTTGCCGAGGGTGTCCCACGTGGCGGCCAAGAAAGTCGTTCAACTCAGCCCACCGCATGCGTCCAAAATCCCTCGAGGGATTCGCATCTCGTTCGCCTACCAGCCTCTATCAGGCCCGCTTTGGGCATGGTCAACGCACAATGCTGCCCCTCTATCGCGATTCGATGCGGGTATGGCTTGGCTAAGCTTTACGTTGTCACAGCGACGTGGGTCTGTCTTAAATACATATCTCGACTCAGAGCAGCAACTCGTTCCCCACTAGCATCTCTCCCTACCACATACATCTCTCGATCTCTATAATTGCCTCGCATACACGACCGCTGCTCATCAGTACTGGTACTGTAAGCTCCCTCTGCTCAGTGGCCATGACGCAGATCCTTACTCGACCTACCACTCTCGAATCGGCTGCGACTGAACAAGCTCTTGGACTCGAGCGACGTCACATGCTAGAACGTACCAGGCCTACCGACGCGTCTACCCCGAGCCTGCGTGAGCTGTTCCAGCAGCAGCAACATCAACTCGACCTCGTCGCTGCAGCTTCGGCGGCTGCAGCTGCCTCTTCGACGATGTCAAACGCCACTACCAATGGCAAGAGCCAGGGTAACCGTGGTAGCCAGAGGTTCAGCCTGTTGCGCTTCAACAAGGCTAGTCCAAGCACAGCTGCCCCTCCCGCTCACTTCCGCTACGTCAAGGCCAAGAACAGCAATGTGGCAGGTGCAGCACCAGAAGGCATGAGTGTGCCCTTCACCTCCCCTGCTGCTATGTCGGGTTCAGCGCCTGTCACACCTCCCACACCTACGAGCACATTCTCATCCGTCGATGGCTCCTCGCCAGACACCCCACCACTTTCCCTTAGCTCTACTTCCTCACCTGCTCTGTCCACTCAGAGTCCTGCACTGCCCATCACCATGGCTAAGGTCTCGTCTCCACCTGAGCAGAGCGTGTTCGAATGGTCCCCCAACAATTCGCCAAAGCATCTCAGGTCCTACATGACTGAGTTCCTAGGAGCCGGATCTGCACACGCCAACGCCAAGACGTCGGCACGAAGCAGACCAAACACTCTCTCTGCTCAGCCCAAGACTAGTCCGGCGCCAGCAGTGAAGAAGGAGGAGTCGGCCTCCGGCTTCGACACTGCCAAGAGCCGCAATCGCAAAGGGAGTGTCTCGGCCATTTTCCTCCCCGGCGATCTGCCCGCAGATTTCCTGGCAGCATCGAGGGACATGGAAGTGGTTGCAAGGAGAACTCGAAGGATGTCCTCTGTGGACACCACCGGAGGTAGCGATCTGGAAAGCTGGACGCCTGCTCGCAGCAACTTGAACGCCATCCCGCCAACTCCTCCGCTCAGACCAAAGTCTACTGCTCGCACCGTCTCTTCAGCTTCGACGCTGACCCTCAGGGATAGCAACATTCCCTTGCCCGTCTTCGGCGGCACCACCCTGCGAGAGCTGAGGAGGCGCAACACAACGCGCAAGCCTGATGGCCTGAAGGTCATCGTCACACAACGGAGCCCTAGCGGAATGTCAGAGAGCACAATCACAGCGCCCACTGTACCCCTGACTATTACTGCGTCGTCTTCCGACAACGCCATGGTGGACGGCCGATCAGCTGGCTACCGCGCTCTCTCACCCACGGTACCTTCTCGCGGTGGATCTCTCTACCTCACCAAAGGACGCGAGAGCAAGAGTCGTTCGCCAAACGTGCCAGCATTCCCTGCACGTCGCGACAATCTTTCGCAGCAGTCAGACACCGACAGAGACTTCTCTCGCGTGGGTGATGGCTTGCTCTTCTCTTCGTTGGATGCAGGACTTGCACCAGCTGCGCAAGTTTCGCTTCCTCGTTTCTCCAAGTTCTTCGACCTCAGCAGCGAGATCATGGAGAGTCTCCAGAGCGCCCAATCCCCTTCTACGGTTTCTCAGTCGCTTCGTCCCCGAGCTAGCACTGTCTCCTCGGGCTGCAGCGAGTACGGTGGCTTCGCCATTACGACCTCTTCTCCCATCAAGAGTAGGAAGAACAGCATCATCGCCCTGCCCGATGCGGACTGGGAAGGTAGCTCGCGAGCCTCGATGATGCTTATGAGGAACAGTGCCACTGCCCTGCGCCCACGACGCGGATCTATTCTGCAGCGACTGAAGCTGGAGGCGACAATGTTCCAAGCACCCGGAGGAGCACGTGAGGGAGAAGGAGGAAGGAATCGTTCTGACTCCGTGCCTTCTGTCTACTCGATGGCTTCTGCCGAGGGACAATCGGTAGCCGAGGAGGCGGAAGGGGAAGCGATCGGGCTAACGCAGGACGAGGAGGAGCCAGTCTACTCCGCTCCCATCTTCCACCTGCCCGAATGGCAAGGCACAGCCGAAAACCCCTCGGGGCGAAGGTTGAGTCTCTATGCCACCCCTATCACCGACGCGACCTATCGAGCTGGTCTGCGACACTCGCGTCCTTCCTTGGCCTCCATCTGGAACTGGGACGAAGAGATGGCCCGGAGTGTGCAACGCGAACCGCGCGAATCGCGCTTCACCCAGGTCACAACTGCTGAGAATTTCGCTCTCTCGACGTCTTGAGCCGAGAAGGGCTCCACATTGGACCCACTGCCTGCGCCTTTTTTTGCGGCGCTGAGCGGCATCAAGGCCGTCGTGTAGAGCGGCCATTGGAGGAGGGAAGAGGCTGAGAGGAGGGAAGTTTAAGCTAGATCACTTGTATTCTACTGTCCATAGCAACGCGCCCTCTACACTAATGTATCAATACCTCACACATACACACACACTCCCCAAACCGTCTGTCTGCCGATTGAGCGTGTCTGCTTGCTTGAAAAAAAAAAGTCTGAGTGTCACAAGACAGGCGATCGCGCTGCGTGCTCGAACGTGCCGTTCATCCGCTCGGTCCTCCGCTGTAGGACGCTATCTTTCCCTCTGATGGCACCTATCACGCACAACTCGGACAAGCCACCAATTCCGGTAAGCAGACTCTCTAAGGTGACATTGGTAAAAAGGCAATTCAAATGTACATTGCGCGGACGAATTCGACATGTAGGGTACGGTGACAATGTGACGACGTGACGATGCGATGCAGTGCGCTGGTATAGGTGACGTGTATGCAGTTACGGGGGGTGACGGAGGTGACGCGAGGCGACTGAATGGAATGGAACTCAACTCGAGCTGCACCGGCAGCGAGGTGACTAGAAAGGATGATGGGACCAGGTGACCGTATACGATGACGGCGTTGGCAGGTGACTTTGAACTCCTATGGAAGAATGCATGTTCCGGGACTTGAAGCCTCTCTGTGATACATCGAGTTGTTGCAGATTGGTGATCTGCATGGTGGCTTCCTCCATGTGGCAGGGGAAGCTATGATTGGGGGATGTACAAGCGCTAACTTCTTGTAGCTAAGCCTATGTCATTCAACCTGGGTAGTGATGCGTCCAAAGATCAAGGGTTTGAGACGACGAATGGGTAGATTGATGGTGCGACCAGTGCCGAGGATTTGGACACTGCACTCCTCGTCATTGATTCGCTGAACTTCGCCTTCGATGCGAGATCCAGTCATCTCGAATACAACGGCATCGCCCTGTGAGTGGGACCACGATGAGAGAGTGAGGTCCTGATGGTCAGCTTCGGCTGCTTTTGAATATCTGCACTTGTCGCTCACGGTACTCACCACTTTGAACGTCGTCTGTTCATACGAAGGGGAGATCCTGCCACCACTGCTACCAGATGAAGTCCGAGCAGACGAAATGCTGCCTTGTGACGACGCGCTCGAGCCCTGTGCGCCAGTTGGTGTGGTGAGGAATAGTCGAGGTGTACACAGCGTTCTTGCCGAATCCAAAGGTGCGTACGTGGGCGGATTTAGAGTCGACATCGCGTATGGCAAGGTGAAATCAGGGCAGACCTGCAGCCGAGGAGGCGGAGACGGAGTGAGATCCGATAGGAAGCGAGGTGAAGCGAGGAAGGGGTGCCGGATCGCCTAGCGACTAAAGGTAGTGAGAGGGCCCGGTTCGCTCCTTGTCGCGAGTGCGGGTAATAGAGCTACTCTGGATGAACTAGAGTGAGTGAGATGAGGGAGTGAGATCTGAAGAGAGATCCATCTTGCGGGCCCACGGAAGCCATGAGTATATAGCATTGGCTCCATCCTCATGACTGGAATTTCGGATGGACGGAAGCGCCTTCTTCGACGGCAACACCGGGCAGCTCACCGGCGGCAGTGGCAACGACTCCCCCCCAGACCAAGGCCTCAGGGTCTAGGTCCGTAGTGCACAAGACTCGATTCACTCTCCGTGCATTTCACTCCCCTTGACTCCGCCCAGGCGTGCAGATGTCATCTCCGACGCGACTGGCGACGCAGACGATTGCTCTGCTCGCAGCACACTTGCCCGAGGCCAGACCCATTTTGGCGTCGAGTCCGGACCGAGGTTCGTTGCAAGCAGAAACCGGTGCCGAGGCCCTGCCAGCAGGCTTTGCATGACTGCTGTACCAGCGGGCTTTGGGTTTCCTTCGAATCTTCGTTCAGAGGAAGCACGACACGACACCTCGGACAGGTCTTCTGGTAGCTTTTAAGGGCCTGGCCTGAAAATGATATTGCTACGTGGCAGTCAGACTCTGACCATTAAGAGGATGTCCACTCAGCAGACATGCGTAGCGGTGTTGACCCGCCCTTGCGGCTACCGTCTCTCTTCACCACCTGACCAGCTTTTCCAAGCCGTCGGACATGCTCACTAACACTCCGCTTGAAACCACGCCTTGCTCTGGACCTGGTCGACCCCCCCCTTCTTGACAGTGCCGGTGGGGCGCAGGGCCCAGATACTCAGCCTCAATTCTTGATTCTTTTCAAACCACGCCTTGCTCTACCCTGATCCGTCTTCTCGTCGGCGTTGGTATCAGCCCCGCCCCGCGTTGTTTGCCACTACAGCAAGCCACTGAATGGGCTGCTTGGAGAGAGGAGATCAGTCCATGGTCGAGCTCCTGGCGGATGCGAAAATCGGCATGATCGGATGGATAGTGCACCGCTTGCACTCGTCCTTCGAGTTCTCAGAATCGAAGCATAGCCACGCGCAAAGCCCAAGGCCAGGCTGAAGGTTGTCTTGAAAGCAAGAAATCTGCTTCTTACCAATATTCAAGCATGGCGTCGAGGCGCCAAGCACTGCCAAGGTTGACTTGGCAACCAAATGGAAAAAAGAGCAAAAAAGGGAGCGCATGGAGGAGAGGAGGGCAGACAGGCCGAGCGGGGGGAATTCAAGGCAGGCAGGCAGACAGGCCAAAGATCTCGCTCATCCCTTCCTCCGTGTCTCATTCAACTACAGCTACCAGACAGGGCTCCAGTGAGGTTCAGCTTGTCCACCGGGCATTTTTCAACCTTCCCGCCCGATGACGGGAACCGGTAAATGGATGAGCATCAAGTGGGTGGGGTGGCATCATGCGGGCCAGGGCCAGGATCGGCGATCTTCTTCTGGCCCGTTAATGGCCCGGAGAATCAGCTGAGCGGCGCGGGCAACGGAAGAGTGGTAGGCGAAACGGTGTTGAAGCTATCAAGAGTGACTGGACGAACGATAAGGACGGGAAGAACATAGCAGTGCAGGATCTGACCGACTTCCAGAGTAGCCTGGCACTCCCGACTAAAGTGTGACTTGTCAGGAGATGGTACAGCCAGCAAAAGAAGGCTAGATCCGGGCGAGGACGAGATGAACCTCTAGCAAGCCCGTCACACCCATATGCTCTCTACCACTGTCCCCAAAAGTCGCTCATTTTGCTCCCTAGGTTGGAGATCCACACCTTCATTCCTCACAAGTCTTGTAAAGAGACTTATATGAGAAAAGGTTGGGCTACTATTGTATTTGTGTCTATGAACACAGGATGTAGTGTGACGATGTGACAGGACAAGCAAGGTGACTGACTGGTGACATATGAAACGGGCTCCGAAGCGACGAAGGCAGAGTGGCACAGAAAGACTATATACGATGAGAGCAGAGGCGGGCACAGGAAGACTATATACGATGTGCGAACGGGTGACCGAAGTGCGGAAATCGACAAGGGAATGATGAAGGCCCAGCAGGTGACTTGGAGAAGGTGACGTAAGAGGCAGATGTGACGTGCGTGACTTGATGACAGAGGCTCGAATAAGTAGACACCCAAATGTGTCTTCCCTTAAGAAGGGCAGCAGCAGCTAGACTGCTTGCAATTGATGGTTGTATGCTCTTCATGTCGAAGGCCAGCTTCGAAGGAGTGTGAGTGTGTGCTGATGATGCTAGTATAGATGTGCTGACGCCGTAGTGTCCTTGCGATCACTCGACGCTGGTAGTGAATCGTCCAAAGACGAGTGGCTTGAGACGTCGCATGGGCAGTGTGACGGAGCATCGTGTACCGATGATCTGTACATAGCAGTCCTGCTGAGTGATCTGCTGCACTAGCCCTTCGATGCGCGAGCCAGTCATCTCGAAGACGACGCTATCGCCCTGATCAGCCGGAAGAATAGGAGCGGGGAGGTCAGCTGAACTGTCTCTGACGCTAGAGTGAGAAGATGCAATTCATACTCACAACTTGGAACATGACGTCTGGCAGAGGCGAGGTAGGCGAAGTAGGTGATCCGCTTAGAGACGAGCGAGCCGAGCGGGACGAGAGGTTATCGTCTGGGGAAGACGGGGGGCTCGTTGCGCTGCTCTTATTCTGTGTATTCACTGAACTGAGCTGGACCGGAAGCGGGACCGCTGGCGGCGAGGTGTGCCCCAGCTTGTAGCTTTGCGTGCTCGTGATTGGCGCGGGTGTCAGCTAAAATTCGCAGCTGACGGCGTCGTGGATGAGGAGGTGGTTGAAGGCGTGGGTCTCGACACGCAGCAGCAGTAGCAAATCTGATCCACTTTGAGGATGTGTGGACGTTTGGAAGTGTTCAGGTAGGATTGAGATGAGATAGATATACACGAGGACGAGGCAGACTGGGCGACGAGGATGCAAGGATGAGATGAAGAGTGAAATAGGTGGTGATGCTGTCTTCACCCAGCTGGCATACCCTTGACGCAAATTGCTGAGTATCGGCTTCGGGCCGTTTTGAGCACAGGAAACGGGAGGGCGGGCTTTGCGGGGGTGTGAGTCTGTGTTTTTGTTTCTCCGCCGAGGGCAAATGCCTGAGTGCCAGCCAAATCTTTTTTCCCTCTTTCTCGGCCGAAGGCGCATCGGCGTGCAGGCAGGGAGCAGCCAGCCGGTGGGCGTGCCGCGCCTGGGAGGGGGGCCAGGTCTCACAGCCACGTGAAGAGGGTGAGCATCTATTCTCAGCTTACTCTCAGCTTAGCCCGCCCCGCCAAGGCCACTCCCCCGACTCGACGCCCAGACCTTGAAAGGGGCGTCCAATTTGAATCTTCTGACGCCCTCGAGGACCCCATTGACACTGCCTGGACGTTTCCACCTTTACACATACTACCACTCTGGACTGCCTAGACCGGGTGCCTCTGGCTCTTTCTCACTATGAGTCAGAGTCTCGACCCAGATCGCAGCCCATCTCTGAGACTGAAGCTTCTTGCCCCATCCATCGCTTTCTGGGCCGAAGCGCTGGGTTCGATACCAACATTGGGACTCAGCACTCCGATCGCAACCCCCCTCCCCCCTTCTTGCTCATCCCTTGGCGATCAGGCGCGCCCCCCCATTCGCCCGTGCAGCCTGGATTCGCACACCGAGACTGCGCCCAGATCCATTTCGGCACACCTCAATCTGACTCCGATTGAGCTTCCTCTGCCGTCGCACTGCTTGGCTGCGTCGCACACTCACGCCTGCGATTCCGATCGCCACGGTCGCGCTGAGTCGACATCGTCGGCGCCCTCGCGCCCCACAGGGTGCCCGTCCTTTACCTCTTGTCTCGGCCTGTCAGCTGGACTCCTCAGACCGAAACCGAGCTAAGAGATGTTACAGTGTCCTGTAACGAGTCGCTTCGCGTTACCCATCGCATCGTCTATGGATCATTGCCCGCTTTGACCGTTGTGGAATCTGCTTACTCTGCTAGCATCTCACACGGGACGAGATCTGATGTATCGCCGCCCTAGGAGGGGTGGCCGTCGTGTAATCAGCGTCTCGATATGCGAGATACGGTCGGCTTGCAACGCGCTCGGACCTCTCACAACGACCTCGATCATCTTCGCACGCTTTGTCCCCTGTGTGTTAAACCCAATTTTGCCTCTCCCCCGCCTTTGCTCGGCCATCAGCTGACATGCCTCACTTTGGCACCACGCCTTGCCTCGAGTAGACTCAGATTCAATTCATTTCGTGCAATGAGCAAACAGCCGTTTCGCACTCCTCACCAAGGGAGGTAGCGACCGATTGCAATTGCAATCACCGTCGTCGGAGGGGGTCCGAGTGTGAAACTCAATCTTGCACCACCACTATTTGGCCGTCCCGTCTGGTCTGGTCTGGTCTCGCAGAGCCCGTCAGCCACGAATATCCCATGCACGTCTCTTGATTGTGTTCGATCTCAGGTATGCAGGCACCACGCAGTGATGTCGGGCAAATCAGTATCGATCGAGTGATCAGATCAGCGTCTTCGGCTACCGCTCGGCGTCTCTGGCCAAGATGAAGTACGTCTCTGGGCCCAGTGGGGAGAAGCACCTGCCTCTGCACATTCCAAATCACAATCAGCCCGGCGTACCGAGCTGAGTGCATCCCAACCAAACGGCAGCTTCAATCTCTTTCTCGTGAAGTGCAGAAGGTTCAACATACATCTGGCCAGCCAGAGCTTTGCAAGCTCAAACGAAGCAAGGCTACGTCTAGGCGAGGTAAGGATCTATGCATACCTCGCCTCGTATTCGCACTGCACTTACGCAACTTCCTGAGTAGGAGCGGGCTTTGCTCGCTCAGACCCTCGCAGGTATTGATTGTACAAAAGAGGGGGCCAGAAGGCGGAGTGCATGGATACAGTAGCGACTCAGAGGTGGGGTCTAGTTGGGGTCCAGATCTCCCTCGAGGTCTGGGTCTAGGTCTAAGGGCGGGGCAAAGGCGGGGTGGAGCAAAGGGGGGGGGGGAGCGGGGCGTCAAACGCGTTATTTTCCATTGACAATCTCCGGCCCAATTTGATCCAAATCTCATTACATTGCAGTCCCTTGCTCGCCCGTCTCCACTGCACTGCACTGCACTACACTACACTCCTGTCTAGACTCTCTTCTGTCATGTCAAGGAATGCTCCACCGCCTGCTCACGCCCCCGCAATTCAGTCGGGAGTCGGCTATCTTTGCTTTTCAAAGTCAGGAAAAGGACAGGGGGTGGAGGCCAATAAAGGCGTAGCAATGGCAATGAATGTCGGCTGTTGAACAAGACTCATGAGCCTGAGCCTGAGCCTGGAGTCTGATCGAGACTCCGTCGCTCTTTATCCCCATTGGAAGAGCAAAGGCCGCTTTGGACTGAAGTTGCGTCCTGAGTCCCCGCTCGGCTGTTGCTGCTTGGTATGCCGGTGAATGGTACCGCTGACGCTTAGCTCTCAACAAGCCGGTGGGTGCAGTAGCCGAAGCTGGACCGTGTACGAGATCGAGATCGAGATCCAGGCGTCACAAAAGGCTTGTCTCTCGCGTTCCAAGCGGGCGCGGGAAGAGGGCAGGCTGTGGCTGTTTGGGACGACATCTCATTCACCCATGTTGCCAATTCGAATAGGTCACCCTTTCACTCCGACAGGGGGCGAGTGTCACTTTATTGCCCGCAAAGACGGTGTTTGCAGACGACAGGACGAAGGAGTGGAGTGGCAACGCCTTTTCTGGCAGTGCCTTTGGTCTCAGAATGCCAAGCGCCTCTTCCCCTTCCACTGGTAGAGATCATTCCGCTCCGACCGTGCCTGGCTGAGATTGCGCGTATCTCCGCCGGCGTAAAGCCAGCAGACCCTTACGGTGTGGGTCCCTCGCCTGGTTTCGCTGTCCACGCGAAGGATCCTCGTCAGAGTCTCGAGCATGTCTCCGCAAGCGCTCTGAAGATACAGGGGGCGTAGCTTTCTAGAATCCGTAAGTTCTGGAGGCTTCCTTGTCGCCTGTCGGACGCTTGAAGGGGTACGGCGAGCGTGGAGGTGCGGAGACCTCGGGGAAATAAGAGACAGCATTCCTGAGCCCCTAGAGGGACCTTTACCGTCGCTTGCCAGGCGTGAAGGCTGGGTATCCTGAAGTGACCGCGGAGCCTGCACTGCTAAGCCTTTTTAGGAAGGCAAGCACGGGGTGGCTGCTGCTTCCGGTGGTACCAGAGGGGTCTCATCAAGCTAGCCTGACAGTGTCGTGCCGCATATGGTTTGTAGACCGCTCCATTTGAGGCTGAGAGCCATTTCTTGCCTTCTTCCAGAGAAGAGATCATTCCCACTGTACGGTGCCACTAGCCCATCGCTCAGCAATGAGGTTGAGCTTGTGGTACTCTGTCCTCATCTCTCTATATCTCTTGGTGAAGAGGGCATCTGCGTCTTGATCCCTTCTTTGAGTGGGCAGGGACGTTGTGGAAGACTATAGCGGATGCGTGGGCAAGGACAGGTTCAGTCATCTTCTTGGACAGCAAGACATGCGAAAGATAACGCTCTATCCTCACATTTGGCGTGGTCCCCTCGATGTCGAGCGGCAGTCCATCCACAAATGCGCTGGCAAGCGCTTCGGACTGCTGATGAAGCCTCGAAGCATCATGTACCAATTGCGAATGCATTGAAGATGGGGCAAAGCGCTGCCAGAGAGGAGGAGATGGATGACTAGAGTGAGCTGCCATGCAAGGGCCAAGATGCGCTTCAACGCGTCCTCTTTGTCTTCTGCAGACGTACCTTGTATGCCTCCTTCATCTCTGCTTCTGCTCTTGGCCATTGCTGTTCCGCTGCTACTGCTCGGTCGTGGTAGTGTTGGGTCTCTGCACGCAGCGCTTCGAGTCCAGGCTGAAGGGCGAGATTGCGAGCTGATAGACGACCAGAAAGGAAGCATGAGACCCCTCTTACCTTCGGGCATTCAGCTGATATTGTCTCGCCTACTCACCTGCTTTGGCTTCACTCTCCTTGAGCAGTCTTGCGTGCTCATCGAACAATGCCCTCACCTCGGGCAGCGAATCGACAAAGGCCTCTAGGTAGGCATCACTGGCATCTAGACCTTGCTGCGCTGCTCGCTGCTGTGCCTGCTGCTGATGCTCTGGCCGCCCGAGTAGCTCTTCCAAGTCCTCCCTCGAGAGGCCGATGGTCGATGGAAAGTCCCTGTAGAGGATCGAGTCCACTTGAGATGCCATCTGTCTTCTGGGATGAGTATGTGCTGCGTTGTGGGGCGAGGGGGAGTGGAGAAGTGAGATTGGCACCATGGCCCGTCCGCTTCCCCACCTCCGCTTCCGATTTCTTGCGCGGCCTCGGGTAGATGAGAGTCAAAGCTTGGCGAGGCGGTGGGCAGAGGATCGTCTGATTACTAGTGATACGCAGCATCAGTCCCAGCCAGGCAAGCAAGTAGGCTGGCGTCACGTCTTTACCCTTCTCCTTCGTCTCCTTTCTTCCTTGTCCTCCTCCTTCTCTTCCCATATCTTGCTGTTCAGAGTCCGGCGCGGATGCCTGCAGACCATGGCGCCCAGTCTGCCTCGGGCGGCTCAAATGGAAAGGGCAAAGCTGATGCCTCTCTAAAGCCTCCCAAAGCCCACGACTTTGCCCGCACTTCCTCCTCCTCCTCTACAGATCATCGTCAAGAGAGCGCAGGCGTGGGCAGTCAAGAGGCAGAGGCCACTGCAAAGCCTCGTAGGCCAGGAGGACTACGGCAGCAGAACACCTCCCAGGGATCGGTGGATTCGGCTCGTAGCTTTGCTGGGGATGCGGCAGAGACGTACCAAGAGGCTCGGCATGCCTTTGGCGAGGGAAGGGCCAGTCCCTACTTCATGGCCGTCGTGGCGTTTCTCTGCAGTCTATCGCAAGGACTGCCGCTGGCGAGCATGTTCAAGGTGTATACCTTTCTAACGTGCGAGATATATGATGATATCAGCGCAGGCGATGGAGAAGGATCGTCAGTAGGCAAGCCAGGAGTTCATCACCGCTTCACCAGCTCAATGGTCAGGGCTGTCGAGAGCGGTGTGCAGACACTAGGGATCACTATCCCACCTGCGCCTGAGCTCCCGCATCCTCCACAATGCAGCGATCCCAGAGTCCAGAAGACCACATCCGCCTACGCCGCGGCCATGGCCACCGTGGGAGCTCTGGTAGCCCTGCTCCTGCTGGACAAGGTGACGAAAGTCTCTCGCCACTTTGGTCGGAAGCCTATTATGCTGCTGCCTCAGCTGCTGATTGCTTTGGCCTTCTCGGGATTCCGAATCTCGGTAGCCCTCCCACAGTACGCAGGCATGTCACTCCTCTTTGTCGCAGTCGTCATTCTCGAAGCCAGTGCGGGCGCTCCTCTTCGCATCTCCATTCAAAATTACGTAGTGGATACGACTACCGACTCACAACGAGCAGCCGCTCTGAGCTTCATCGAGGGCTTTGGGCAAATAGGAGCCTTCCCCTCTTCCACCATTGGAGGATTCCTAGCAGCCGTGACGGGTCAATTCTTCGCGCCCTTTTACGCAAGTATAGCCGTCGCGCTCTTCTCCTTTGTCTTCATCCTCATCCTCGTTCCAGAGAGCAAGAAGCATCGTCATCATACCCTGATAGATGATTGGGAGCACAGTGCCGAAGCGGACGAGAGGCATGCAGAGCAAGAGCGGCGGAGAGAGGCTATGCGACGTCAGAGCTACCAGTCTACTGGCGAGGCCAACGAGTCGTACATTAGTACCGAGACGAATAATTCGACGATGCCGACTGGGTGGAGACACTACCTGCGCAAGATCAATTTCCTCCAACCCCTCGGCATCTTCTGGCCTGCCAGACACCACTCGGGCCCCAAGCGTGGCAGGCTCGACTGGCGTCTGCTGAACCTAGCCGCCATCGTCGTCTTCGAGGAGACGTTCCAGGTGTTTCTGGTTCCCACGCTCCTCCTCTTCAATTCAGACGTCTTTGGATTTGATGTGTTGCAGAATGGATACCTGGTATCCCTCCTGCAGGGTACACGCGCCCTTTACCTCACAGCCATCTTCCCGCCGACAGTAGCTGCTGCTAGAAGATGGATCTCGGCGAGGGTACAGAGGAGGAAGAGCGCATTGAAGAACCAACAGAGGCGCTCACAGGCAAGTGAGACGTCACCCCTCCTTGGTAATGGCAGTGGCGGCAGCGGTACAGGCGAGCTGGGCGAAGGAGAAGGAGAAGGAGAAGGAGAAGCTCTCAACGGTTCTCAATTCACCTCTACCACTGTTGCGAAACAGGAGCAACGCGGCAAGCTGGACATTGTCCTAATGGTCCTCTCCTACAGTCTCGCCACTGCTTCCTTTCTCCTCTTCTCCCTCTCCCGTCGTATAGGCACTACCCCCTGGTTCGCCCTAGCCCTAGCCATAATCGGTACCCAACTCTCCTCGGGGGCAACCAATGTCCGTACAGCCCTAGTGGTCAACAGTGTCTCTGAAGAGGAGCAATCTCGCGCCCTTGCAGCCAATCAGGTGTTGTGCACCCTGGTGTATGCGTGCGTACCACTGCTCACATCACTGGTGTATGGAGCGGGAATCCAGAGGGGGGTACCAGAAGCAGTGTGGATCTTCAAGGCGGCATTTGCTGCAATGGCTGCACTGGGCAGCTTGGGACTCTTTGTTACGCATAGGGGTACGTCGGCTCGAGCCTGAACGTGACGAAGCAGATGAACGAGTAAAGGGATCGGGGCGGCAGTCTAGAGAGCTCGGTCGGAGAAGAGCAGCGACTCCTTGTACCCCTTCTTGATCAGCCCATCCGCCAATCAATCGATCGATCGATCACTCTCAAGTGAATGAACAAGGAGGGCCACTAATGGATATTATGTGCAAGGTCAGCGAAAAGACAGTGTAGTGTGTGTGGGGGAGTGGGCGATTGCCTTCGTGCCAAGATCTCATTGGTGGTAGAGAGAGAGGCTCGAGGCGAGTGATTGGGGGAAATGTCGAGCTGAAGGCGGCCGAGTTGAGACGAGGGAGAGAGGAAGAGAACAAAAGTCGAGACGATGGAGGGAGGACTTTGTACAAGTGAACAACGACGAAAAAACGGGAAAAGAGGGTTTGTAGAGAGAGACAAGGTGAAGTGGCGCTGAGGCTGAGGCTGACAATGGAGAAGAGGGGGAGAGAGGAGGCCAGGTGAAGAGCGAACGTCGCAAGAGTAGAACGAAGGACAGAAAGAGTTCTTGAGGGACGAAGAATGTCCGCTACTGAGGGAGGCATGTCGTGAGATGCTGTAGAAGCTACCGGTGCTATTTGACAACTTTCATATCGTGGTTCGAGTGGAGGGGTCAGCCGTTTTTGAAGAGCAGACGAGCTAGAGGAGGGAGTATTTGCCGGCAAACGCTCCAACGTTGTGACCCTGGCTCTGCTGTGCCGCCTTTAGATCCGGCTCCCACCGCCAACAGCGGCCGGAGGAGGCGCCCTCTTGAGCTCCTTTGCCCAAGCCTCCTGCTCCTGCCAGTGGCTATTGACAGGAAAGACGAATGGCAGTGCAATAAAGGCGAGCATCGTAGCGCCGATGGACCCAAGCAAAAGACAGTAGGCAATAATCGTATGGGTGGGAGTGGCAAAAGATTTTGCCTTTGCCTCGGTGGGATCATCATCGGACGAGTCGACATTGTTGAGGTCGGGGTAGCGGACGTCAAAGTCCCGGTAGAAGATGTGTTCCATCGAGACGTTATTGGACATCATTGGGTAGTCCTGATGAGATACTCCAGCCACGTAGTTTGCAGTGTGATTTGCGGGCCAGGTACCACTGCTCGCAGTCTCGACGCTGAGGATGAATTCGGAGCCTCTGTCCAGATGGTTTCCACCTTGTAGCAGAGCTTCACAGTGCGTGTCTCCGGCTCCATTGTCCATCAGTCCGAGTGCATAGATCAATTTCCGACCCAGGAAGCGAGTGATGACGCCAGCCTTGTCGCTACGCACCTCGGATCGACCGTAGGGCGTGACGCTGCCATTGAGTCCGTAGGCCCATTCGTTGCCTCCCTGACAAGAGGCGTTGGCGTAAGGCCTGGCGTCCTCGATCCAAGCATAGGAACCTGGGTTGCCCAGCCAATATCTCAGATTGTTGTCGTAGGCCTTGGTCTTCTTCAGGAGCGAGTAACGTTGCAGCATCTGACCACCCATGGAGTGACCGACCATGACGACTTGGTTGAGGTTAGGGAACTGATTCTTGTCGAAGAGCATGTCGGCAAAGGCGTCCAGTGCCTCGTATGAGGTGATCCGGTCAGAGATGGCCGGCGAACGAGAGCGCCCACCAGACTGCCATTGAGTACCGTGGAAGACGAGCTCGTTATTCTGCGCCGCACCTGCTGTCTGGTCGAAGTTGTTCAGCCAAGCAGGGCCAATGATGATGACCTCGTCTGAAGTGACGCCCCATTCTGGGAAGAGTGTCTGCTGCACAGTCAGGGCGTTTCGGATGAGATTGGTGTACTTCCAACTGTCACGCGGTTTACCAGGCATGACGAGAATCCCTCTCTTGATACTGGCAGCATTGTAGTTGGCTGTGATGTAGGCCGGCTGAATGGCACCATCTCTGATCTCGATGGTCCTGTTGAGTGTGAAGCCTTCGAGGTCCGGTAGCGCCTGCCATCCACCGTCGGCAGAGCCAGAAGCGGCAGCATTGGCAACGAAAGGAATCGACGAGGTCCATGGATAGGCATTTGCCTGATCTGCGTCTTCAGCTTCAATGTACTTGGTACCGATGTAGCCGTTGCTGCTGTTACCGGCGATGTAGGGCAATTGTAAAGCGGCTCTTGCAGCTCTTGCTGGGTCGGTAGAGCACTGTGCCACGATGGCATCACGGGCTGGATCGGGGACGTAGTCGTAGGTGGTAGTGGAGTCCTGGGCTTGTGCGTTGAGAGGCCGTGTTGCGAGGCCGATGGCTACGACGGCTGGTAGTAACGACGCTAGGCGTGAGGCCGTGTGAGATGTGGTGAGCCTCATGGTATCTTGGTGGGAAGGGGATAAGGAGGAGACGAGGGAAGGAGCTGAGCGAAGGGTGGTAGCAAATCGGAATTGAAGGGGCGCCCAGGCGGTGCACTGCTTTTGCGAAGAGGATGTGTGTGGCAAGTGACAAGGGTTGAGATGCTGATGCTGGTCAATGCTTCTTTGGAAACAAGGTGCGAGGTGCAAAGTGTCGATAGAGTGCCTCTGTATGCACTGCTGCTCTTGGGTCCACTAGGGGTATCTTGAATGGTGGGATGGAATTGCTAAGGGATTGAGGTCCAAGGGCGTCGACTTGTGATGATGGGGATTAATGAGGTCAACCCTCGCTTGACCGTGGAAGACTTTGTGCGCCTGAATTCAGCCAAGCATCCACGATCAGAGGCAGACCGGGGGAGCCACACACGCCAAGCCTTGGCTGCCTGCATCTGCCTGGTGGGCCTGGGCGGGGGCCACCATCCAACACCTCTCTCCCTTTGCTCCCGGGTTGATTGTGCCCCGTGTGTGGAAGTGTCTGCTCCCTTCCGTCGGTCGCGGCCCCTGTCCTTCGGTTCTGCGAGGTGCATCTGTCCACCCACTCCGCTACAAGTCCGACCCAGGCTTGGCGTTGCTTCCTCGTCTTGGCAGCCTCGCAGCTGACAGCTCGGGATGCGTCACGTGCCTCCGATCAATCCCAAGCCCCACTCGGAGCCGAATCCCCTCGACCACTGGACCGACCTGAGCTGGTCCGAGCTCACAGTCGCACTTGCTTCTTCCGTCTCATCGTACAATCGCCTCTCCGCTTCAAGAACCCCACAATGACCTCTCTCGCCCCCATCTCCGAGCCCTTTGACCTACTCCGTCTCTCCCTCTCCGAAAAGGTCTTTGTCAAGCTCCGTGGTGATCGCGAGCTTCGCGGTACCCTCCACGCTTACGATGGACATGGAAATCTAGTCCTCGCAAATGTAGAAGAGACGATTTGGATGATCTACGATGAGAATGAAGAGGTGGCAGAGGGACAGGAGAGGAAATTGAGCAGTGTAACAAGGAATAGCGAGATGCTCTTTGTGAGGGGAGATGGTGTGATTCTGGTGAGTAACATTGAGTCAGATGGACGTAATCTTGGAAGTAGCGTTCAGAAGGGGGTTTCAAGAAGACGAGGCCGGCAGAGATGCCTGCTCCGTCGAAACATCTTCGTCTGCTTCAAGTGGGAGCCCGACTGACATACTTCTCCCCTCTGCTGTCCCCGCGGCTGTCTCCTATCCTCTACAGATTTCACCACCCTCAAAGTCATAATCTTGCACAAGCGCAAGCTAAATCCTAGCCAATGCAGAGATCACACGTCGTTCTCCTTCGCACCACACTATTGTACATTAGTCCACATCCACTCTCCTTACGGCTTCTCACACATACAGTGGTCAGAGCCACCTCAGGCAATCCATACCCGCATCACGCGCAGTCAGTAGCACAGAAGAAGAAGAAGGCGAACGATACGATTTCTGTAATAGCAAGACGGAAGCAATAGAGTAGTGTAGGGCTGCAGTAGGCAAAGCCCGTACAGGGTCTGAAGAGTAACACTTCGAGGTAGAGAACGTCCAGCTCAGATGCTGAACGCCATGTTCAGATCGATGGGGTGAGAGCTCGACACTGCGTGCAGAAGAGGGAGAGCGAAGTGGAGCAACGGTCAGAGCTAGATTGTGGGCAGGAGTGATGGAGTTTGATACTCACTCTGAGGCTTCTGGCTATACTTCGCCGCCAACTCATCACGACATGCATTGAGAAGCTGCACATAGCTAATCTGACTGTTGCCGACTTGCTGCATGACCGTGATGAATGCCCAACTCATTGCTCCCGTGGCCTTTCCAGCCTCGACTGCGTCGGCAGACGTCTGTGAGTCCTTGCAGCCAGAGAACATCACTACGTCCGCAGGGCTCGACTTTGTCCGCTTGGTAATGTCCTCGGCGGATTCGCTGTTCTTGGCCTCGGTAAAGGTACCCATCAGACCCTTGAGCATACCGCCTACATCTCCTCGTGCGTAGTTCATAGCTGCACCCATGAGACCCTTGCCAACCTCGGCAACGACGTTGGGTTCCTGTATTTGAAAAAGGACGAGATGTGGTCAGAACACATTTAAAGATTGGATCTCGTCTGTTCGCTTCTCACCTTGATCTTTCCACTAGTTGAGTATACATAAGGAAGATCCAGCACAGTTCCCGAATGGCACGAGTCGAAGATGGCCGTCAACCTGCAGCCCATCGGGAGGGGTCGCACCATGATCGAATGGAGCTCATCGTCCTCCATCTGGCCCGCCGAAGCGTAGTCCACGGGCAAAATCGTCTCGTTCATGCCGTCGGCTTCGTCACCCTGTGTAGCCTTGGCTTGACCACCATGCCCACTGTATTCGAAGAAGAGGGCGTCTCCAGGTTGGGCTCCACGAACAAGCCAGTGCATAGCGGCTGTGATGTTCTGGCGCGTAGGGATGGAGCGTGGATCCCGCGAAGCATCCGTCAGGACTACCATGTCCTCCTCCTTGTATCCTCGACTCATGATGAACCTCTTGATATTGTCCACGTCGTTCCAGCATCCTCGCAGTGCAGCTTTCGACCCGACGTAGTTGATACCGATGAGAAGAGCCTTGCGCTTACCATTCATCTGCGAGTACTGAAATTGTTGACCTGCGGGGCAGTGTCGAGGGGAAGACAATGGATCGCCTTCGTCAGCCTCTGACACTCTCGGACGGGCATTCGTCACTCGTCACTCACCATTGGCGCTCTGTACCCCCTGCGGACGACTGTGGACGGGCATGTTGGAGTACGCAGCAGGTGCTCCCGTCCTTGGTCCTCCATAACCTCCTCCGCCTCCTCCGCCATATTGTCCCTGAGGCTGGCCACCATACTGTCCAGGAGGAGGACCTCCGTACTGTCCGGGAGGCGGCCCATAACCCTGAGGTGGTCCGTATCCCTGCTGAGGTGGAGGCGGGCCATAGCCGTACTGCTGAGGAGGAGGAGCACCACTGGAGGCGCGGAGGAGAACAGGTCGGCGGAGAGATCAGTCAACCGGGTTCCGAGATCTGTTTGTGCACGTTCAGAGTCCTCGCTCGCGCTTCGGCGACTCGACTGCTACTTACTATCCTGGGGCTCCATACCCCTGTGGAGGTTGGGGGAATCCTCCGCCGTGTCCACCATGGCGTCCATTCTGTCCCGGGTATGACATGACTGTTGAGCGAAAGTGACGAGTGTGTTGATGTTTCTCGGTGAGGTGAGGGGTGAGATTGGGTATCGGGGGAAGAGGGTCGTGGGAGGATCAAGAGTGCAGTCAGGCTCAATGTCCATCTGCTCCGCTCCACTTGACTTTGAGCGCCTCGTCTCACTCGCCGTCGGGCAAAGTGGCAGTGCGCTTGAACGCCGTTCCGCGACCTCGGCATGAAAGCAGCCGTACGACCATGAGCAACGGGCGAGCGACCATGGAGCAGAGTAGCAGGCGCGACGCAAATGAAGACAACATACAAACATGTATTGTGACACCGATATTGACTGGCGCTCAATGCGAACCAAACTCCAATCCAAGAGGCAGACTGCTCACGCCGTCTTCTTATACACATCCTCTTCGACCAGGTACTTTGCCAGATCCTCTGACACCGTGTCACCCTGTCTCAGCTTCCTCAGCTTCTCCTTACCACTCACTCCGTCTTCCAGCAGAATACTGCGTACAAGCGTAGAGCTCACACCCCTTGCCTCCTTCGGTAAATCGAACATGGTCACGCTCCCCTTTTCCACCCAAGGCCGTACCAGATCCGAGCCCAGAAATTTATCTTCCTCTTTGCGCAGACTAGCAGCTGACTGTTCTGCGTCGTCTGATCGGTCGGGTGCAGAGCCGCCGACGACTCGACGGGCGGCGACGAAAGTTGTGCCTTCCTGATTGAAGAAGAGGTCGCAGGAGCGGGCGAAGCTCTCTGGAGAGGGGTAGTACTTGAGGGCAAAGTAGCGGATGATGGTGTCCCCTGCAAAAGAATGTAACGTCAGCTTCCTCTGTTGTGCCTTCGGCAAAACAAAACGAACGCAGCTACTCACATCCCACGACCCAGTGCAATCTCGGTCTCGCTCGGTGTACAAGACCGGCCCCATTGCTCTGACCCCGTCCGCCTTCTGTCTGCTCTTTGAAGAAGCTATGCAGCAGTGTGCTCTTATCCTTCATCAAGGGCTCCTCGACGACTACAACGGCTACATTGGGCTCCTTGGACCCTTCACTGCTCAACTTGCGCTCCAAGTCCTTGGCCAAGAGGTACATCATGCTCAACCGCTGCTCAGGCGATGCGTCTCCTGCTTTCCCTGAACCTTTGTCTGCATTCTTCGAGGAGAGCAGCAGCAGATGGGCGTCGTAGTGTTTCCGGCTTGAGGAAGGTGGTGCAGATCGAGATAGAAAAGGTGAAGAGGAGACGAGGCTGAGGTGAGCTAGGTGAGGTGGGTTGAAGGAAGAGTCCAGCACGGCAATATCGAGATCCTGATCCGGTGTGGGATCCGCAGAGCGAGAACTTTCTGCCATGCCGCTCTTGTCACCCGTTGATGTCGAATCATAATTGTTGAGGTATGGCCAGGAATTTCTTGTCGAGTAGATCAGATGGACGGGCTTGGGCTGTTGTGTGCAGCGAGCAAACGCCTCGAGGCGAGAAGCGATCTGCGATCGTACCGAGGCGGGTATCGTGGACATCTACGACAGCGGATCGTGGTGCGAGAAGAGGTCTAGAAAGCCAGCAGAGACAGCAGCAGATGTAGAAGGTACGTAAAGCAAGTGACTTGACTCTGCAAGCTACCTCTGCGACTAGTAAAGGGAGAAGGAACGTACTGATGTATATGTAGCGCTTGAGCCAAAGGGACGTGCTTGCCTCCACTCCCACTTCCGCAACCACCCAATCTCAGAAGATTCTGTCACACCGAGCACATCCGACCACGCTAGGTGACTCTATCTTACGATTGCAGTGCAGTACAAAAACGAAGCAAAAACTGTCCTTTGACGCAAATTACGAAACATCTGCCTCACGCCTTCGCAGGGCTCTTCGTGTGACTCGGCTTGCGAGGCGAAGAGTGTCCCTTTCCTTTACCGCCTTTACCTCCTACCACCCCTCCTCCATTAGCCCCTTTAGCCCCCGAACCTGCAGCAGGTCCTGTAGGCGCGTTTCGTGGTGGGCTCACAGGTGTGCTGACCGGTGTCTTCTCATTTGGAGCAGGCCCGCTGCCCTTGACACCAACAATGCCTTTTGCCAACCTGGCAAAAGCACCCCCTTCGCTCAACTGGGGCTTCGGTCGCTCGGTGCGTCTAGCGGGAGGAGGACCCTGTACCATATCATGGAGCCAAGCTCCACCGCCAGGGCCGGAGGCTCCTCGACCTCGAGGCCCCTTCCCTCCCGCAGCTTCAGATGCATGATGCCCTCCCGGACTAGGCCCACTACCAGGCAGAAGCTCCCTCCTGGGGGGAGCGCCCGCGCCTCGTGGGCCTGTGGGAGGCGCATTGTCACCAGATGATGCAGCAATGCCTGCAATTTTGATGCCTCCTAATCTCGACTGAAGATCGCTAGCTGGAGATGGGGCGTCCGAGCGCAGTTCGCCTCTCTTGCCCCAACCAGCAGGCTTCTTTTGCTTTGGTCCTTGAGCGTGCGTAGATGCACCACTCTTGTCTGCCGGTAACATCGGCGCAGAGGCAGAAGAAGTCATTGCTGAGACGCCTGTAGGGACTGCTTCGGTCTCAGGGAGCGCTGGGGAGCTCGTTGATTGTGCCAGTGTAACACCCCAGCCGTCGAGATCTGGTAGCTCGTCGTCGTCATCTTCTTCGTCTGCCCAGTCGAAGTGAGGCATGGGGGAAGAGGCAGGTTGACAAGCTGAAGACTCGCCAACAAAGGGGTCGGAGGAATCGACTGAACCTCCTGCAGTTGAGATAGGAGACAGAGTTCCACCTTCGGTTAATGGCTCAGCGCTGGCGGACGACGAAGCCGACGCCGAGTCGCTTGTGACTGCTGCTGCAGGAGAGTCATCGACAGATCTGCCCGCCGCGACCTGGCTTGTGAGACCCTTTGTAGATTGTCCGCCGAAAGCGTCGACAGTCTGTAGGACAGGAGTGGCAACTCCGGTCGAACCCGGAGAGAGAGGGTCTGCAACCGTAGGAGGAGCCAATGCAGACGAGGCTGCTGGGGCATTGGGCGGTTTCTGCCCTGTCGCTGTTGCTGCGATCTTGCCATTCGCCTTCTTCTTGCTTTGTTTAGCAGTGAACAGATTTGAGGGCGCCGCTGCAGCCGCCTCGCCCGGCAAAGATTTTGCGTCAGGCGCTAGTGACATTCGAGAAAGCAGGCTTGCAGCTGAGCCACCTTGGTCTGCCTCGCCATGCTGGAGGGTGGGGCTTTGTGGCTCAGGATCAGCCCACCGACTAGCTCCGCTACCTCTGGCCGTTGTGGAATCGCCCTTCTTCGCAGCATTTGCCCGGTCTGCTGTCATCCCAATTTTCTGCGAGATCTGTGTGGCACTGGCGTTGCGGCCTCCTGCTTTGCTCGGAGAAGATGGATCGATTTCTGGTGTCAGAATCGAGGACGACGCAGACGGTCCAGCCGATTGCTCAATGTCTTGGGCGGTCAACGAAAGTGAGTCATCTTCGTCGGTGGTCGAAGACATGTCGAACTCGAGTAGCTTCGTACGGCTACTTGGCGTGCCCGGGCCTCTCGCTTCACCTCTGCTGATTGCAGGAGAAGGAGCTCCCCCAAAGTATGCGGACGTACTTTGTTTAGTGGGCGTGAGACCCAAACCAAGCCCCCGAGGCGCTCTGTCCGGACTGCCCTCTTGCAGGGGAGGAGAAAGAGGCGGCATTGCAGGCGCTCGGCGTCTCTCCACTATGGATGAGCGCGTAGGCGTAGCAGTAGTGCTCTCATCATGGCCATGCTTCAATGGTGTTTCAGGTAGAGGTGCCGTCGCAGCAAGCGGCGTGCGAGCAGTAGATGGCGATGTGAGAGCTACGTGAACGGAACGGCTGCCTGGAGAACGTCCGCCGGCATCGGGGTCCAGCTCCATCAGCCTCTTGCGGGCCGGCGTCATGGGTGGCGATCCGCTTGGATAGGGACTGGCAGAGGAATTGCTGGCAGAGTCCATATCAAGGCGCTCCAGAAGGGGACGACTATGCCCGCTGGGCTGAGCATCTATGTATGATGTTCCTTCTCCTCTTGTGGAGGATGTATTCCGAGGAACAGCAATTGGAGTTGAGACATTTGTTGGCGTTGAGGCTGAATCCGAAGAGGCATCGAGCTGAAGGCCAAGACCACAATCTCCCCTGGAGATGGGATCAGTCGAAGAAGGAAACCCCTCAAGGGCAGGTTTAGAATCCTCGACCGTAGCATATATGCTCGCAGCTGAGCCTTTGCCGATTGCCATTGTGCCAAGTGTGTCAAGTCCAGCGAGTGAACAAGTAGGTTCAGGCAGGATGCATCAGCTGGGGCCGATAAGAAGCAGCCAGCAATGCTAGAGAGCGGACGTGTACGAGCAAGAGAGAAACGAGATGAAGCAGAGACGAAGGAGGGTAGCTTATTGTCAGGGAAGGTGAAGATGGAGCAGGCCGCAGGACGTCCTGACTGCACAGCAGACGCCGCAGATGGAGATGAGATGCAGGAAGAAGGAAAAGAAGGATTCGGAAGGCTGGATGAGTGAGGACGCAATCAGTGGTAGTATGATCAGTAGAGGGAAAGAGTGGAGATGCTGCTCTCTCCCGCATGGTGTTATTCCCCCGCCGCCTTCCCGCTCCGACTGTTCGTGGGGCGTCTGTGCACTGCAACACAATTGCTTCCGGTTCCGCAACTTCGGCTGATTCTCGATCCGTACCTCACCACCTCCTTCTCACCTGCTCACCTCAAACCGGCGAGTCAATATGCCTCCTTCACCTGATGATGCGGAACTCGATGGACCCATTGCCTCGACCTCTGCCGCTGTCCAAGGAGAAACATCACAAGAAGGCTACATGTACACCCACGAGTTGAGCCAGATGGTGAGCGTGGTACGGAAGAGGATGAGTTCTAGTGAAAGATTGTACTGACTGCTGCAGGCCGCTCTCCCAAACTCTGACCCCATCAGATGTTCGTCTTCGCACATGTGGTGGATCCGAGTAAGCCTGTTCTACACCTACTGGAAGACATTGTCCGCCATCAAGTGGTACAAATGATCATCCAAGCCCGCAACCTTTCCGTCATGCGACGCTCTCGTCACCTCTCCACCGAAGACCTCATCTTTCTGGTTCGCTACGACCGAGCCAAAGTCAATCGACTCCGCACTTACCTTTCTTGGAAGGACGTGAGGAAGAATGCAAAAGACGATGGTGGTGGTGGAGCAGGGGGCGAGGTAGACCTCAACGCTGCAGTCGAAGACGCGGATGCGGCCAAAGCTCAGGGCGGCATCAGCCGCAAACTCAAAGTCAAGCTGCCTTGGGAGATCAGCACCATCTATTCTGACTGCATCGTATCAGGTGCGGGAGCAAGCTTGGAGCAATCACAGAGTGGAGGTGGCGGGCTCAATTCCGACTTGCCTCCGGAGCTGGAAGCCGCTGCTGCAAAAGTCCAGCAGCCCACTGTAGACGAAGAGCTGGACGAGGATGACCAAGAAGCCATGAAAGAGAGCCTGATGAGACTCAGAGAGGCGGATCAAGTCACACTCAAGATGACGAGGGAGGAGTACGAGCATTACTCCGACTGTAGGACTGCAAGCTTTACCTTCAGGAAAGGCAAGAGGTTTCGGGACTTTCTCGGCTCATCCAATTACCTCGATATGAAACCCAATGACGATATCGTCGACATCTTGGGCTTCCTCGCATACGAAGTCGTAAGGGAGATTACAATAGGAGCAAAGCAAGTCTGGGAGCAGGAGAGAGCGGTGTTGAGGCGCGGAGAGCGCCGAGAGCCAAAGCCGAAGAAGATCAAGAGGACGCACGAGAAGAGTGCGGCAGCGACGGAAGCAGAACCAAAGGTTCCAGCAGAAGAGGCTGATGATCCTACCCAGGGTAGCAGTAGCGGCCAGAAGGAAGAAGAGAAAGACGAGGAGTCTACCGCACCAGCCAAGGCCAGTCAGTCTGAAGCCAAGTCTGGCGCGACGAAATCTGAAAAAGGCAGGACTGGATCGCCGCTTCGAGCAACAAGGGCATCGGACGACTCTGCGAGTGATGGCGGAGAGGTAGACATCGAGCAACTCTATTCGGCGGGCAAGGGACAGACGGATGGCGATGAAGCGTCTTCAGTTGATCCCGCCTCCTTCTGCGGGCTCTTCAGCTTGGCTAGTGCCGACGTTGGCGACGGAGATGGGCCTTTGGTCACAGCTACATCACACAAGTCAGCGCATGATACCTCGGCTGCCTCTCCTTCGAAACGTCCCCTGGCTTCCGATCATGGCAAAGATGCCGATGGGAAGGAAACAGCAGATGGAGGCACAGAACCTGACGATGAAGGCGACGACGAAGACGAAGAAGAGAAGGAGACGAGTCCAGATCTGCTAGTCCACCACATCCGCGAGTCCTTTGCGAGGATGGAGCGACAGAAGACGCAGCCTTCTCTCAGTGCTGGAGTACGCGTGTCGGGTCCCTTTGGTGGCCTGCGCAAGACCAAGGTCTTTGTACTGTAGGCTGCCTCCCTGAAAGCTTATCAGCGCGGGACCCTACCTGACGCCGGCCCATGGGTGCAGCCCCTGTTCCGACGCGCGTCGGGTCCTGGGGGCCCGAAATTGCCCTGGATGCGATCCTCCTGACCCGGGAGCAACATCAGGCACAGGGCCAACAGGTCCTTGGATTTCCATCCACCTCTTCATACCAATCCATTTACTTCTACCATTCCTCAGCTACTCTTGTCATCGACTGATTGCCTCGCAAGTACACGCTGCCCTCGTCATGTCGTGCGCTCCTGCCTGCTTTCCCTCGACGCCTGCGAGTTGTGCATCCGTGGGTGCCCTCTGTGGTAGTCTTGCCCCAAACGCGGCCAATGAAGCTCAACGGGAGGCGAGTACATCCCAGGACTTCAAGGGCTTCGCAAAGCCTATGCTATCAGCAAGAGGAGCCAAGCATGCCGCCAGCGTGACGCCCTTCTGTGAGTACGGTGCGAGGCCCTGTTGCGTTGTCGAGTCACACAGAGGCGGGGACTGACGTGGCCCGTGCACCTTGTTGATATCTCTGTCCCAGGGACCGTGTTTGACTCTATGCTGCGAGACGTGTACTGCGCCCAGAAGAATCCAAATGGTATTATCAACATGGGCATCGCAAACAACTCGCTCATGCAGGACGAGCTCCTCGAGGTGAGTGGAGATGCCCGCCAATGCCAGGTGGCAGCCTAAGGAGAAGCGGGCTGACTCACACCGTACTGTCACGATAGTACTTTTCCTCACACCTCGCACTCGACCCTACAGACCTCACTTATGGCACATCGCTGCACGGCTCCATTCGCCTTTTCGACGCTCTGTGCACTCACTTCAACCGCAAAGCATTTGCACCTGTGCTGCCGGTCAAGCCCGATCATATCCTTACTGGACCTGGGTGTGGCCCGCTTCTGGACCAGCTCTTCGAGCACCTCGCGGCGCCGGGAGAAGCCTGTCTAGCTGCAGCTCCTTATTACAATGGTTTTGACGCCGACCTCATGACTAGGGCAGGAGTGAAATGCATTCCCGTCTTTGCAGCGGTCGGCGACGGGACTGAGAAGGAGAATTTTACAGGTGCGGCAGCTCTGCGAGGATTCGATGAAGCACTAGCGGAGCACAATGCAGCAGGCAGCACAGTGCGAGCTATCCTCGTGTGCAATCCTCACAACCCGGTCGGCAAGTGCTACAACCGCCAAGCACTCGTGGAATACGGCAAATTCGCCCAAGTCCACGATCTCCACCTCGTCTTCGACGAAATCTACGCAATGTCGACGTTCCCGACCTCTGACGACGGAGCTCCACAGCCTTTCATCTCTGCACTCAACATCGACTGGGCTACCGAAGCAGGCTGCGACCCCCGTCGTATCCATATTCTCACTTCTGCCAGCAAAGACTTTGGTCTGAATGGGTTCCGCGTCGGCACTTTCATTTCGCAGTACAACGCCGAGCTCATGGCCGCAATGAAGGTCACCACCAAGCTCTACATGGTCTCCTCCCCAGCCGACGCCCTCTTCAGCTCCTTACTCGTCGATCAAGACTTCTACCCGCGATTCGTAGAGACAAACCAGGCCCGTCTGAGCAGGGCCTACGAAAAGGTCAAAGGGTGGTGCGTACGCCACGCCATCCCCTACAAGCCTAGCAATGCAGGTCATTTCCTTCTCGTGGACCTCGCACGCTTCCTACCTCGGGAAATGGGCGGGCATGAGCTGGTAGATGAAACGCAGAGAGAGACGGCCCTCTGGTCCCTTGTGCTCAAGGAGAGATTGTGCATCACACCTGGCTCGAACTACCATCATCCTCAGGTGGGTTGGTTTAGGATCACGTTCAGTCTGCAGGATCAGGTCCTCACAAAGGGGCTGCAGAGGCTGGAGAAGGCGCTCGGACTGCCGGAATGCGCGGCTGAGGATATGTTCGAGAGCGAGACAGAGGATCTAAAGGCCTCTGCCCCTGCCGCTGCCGCTGCCACCACTACTCAGAGTAGCGACAAGAAGCCATCAGACAGACTTCAGTCTCCCAATCTTGCCAAGCCGGATCGCTCGGCCCTCGTGACGGCGCTCTGCGGCCCTCCTTCTGCTGCTACTTCAAAATCCAGCTGCCCTCTTCCCCTCGCATCACAAGCCGCGGCGCACGTAGTCGAAGACTACGAGCTGCTGAGGGAGCTCAGCCTTGAGTCTCAGAGAGGCGCGACGAAGGCTTTGGGGTGTATGTGTTGAAGTGAGGCGGTCATCGGGGGGAGCAGAGGGATCAGCGAGGACGAGGGCACGAGGAATTGATATACCCAGATACGACTTCAAGTTGTAGAGCTTGGACGTCTCTCGAGAAGAGAGATGCACTCCACATATTGCTCCTCTCGTGTCCACCTCTCGACGCGCTGTCCTCTGAAATATCATACATAGTCACCAGAGAATACTTTGATTTGAGTCCAACCGGCCTATCGCTTGCATGAAGAAAAGTATATGCATTGCCCCCAGACAGACAGACAGCCAGGCAGACAGGCAGACATCGCTCGCACGATGGGAAGAATTCTCCTCCCTTCCCTTCCCATCCCGACCTTACGACATCCGACATCTGACATTCGACAGCTGACATCTAACAGTCGTACGTCTCGGCAGCGCAAGGTAGCTCCTGTCCCAGTCCGAGTCCCAGTCCCAGTCCGAGTCCAAGTCGAAGTCTAGCCTAGCCTAGCCTAGTCCTGGCCTTTAAGCGGAAAAGGGCGCGAGCCTAGCCTGAGATTTTTCACTGGATGTGCGCAGGTGGTACTCCCCGTTTTGGGTGATATATCGGACCCAGGCTGGATAAAAGTTGGAGGATGGAGGAGCGAGAGGGGGAAAGAAGTGTCAGTCTCCTCAAGTGTCCTCTTCAAACTCCTTGCCCAAATGTTTCAAACTCCCTCCCCCTCCCCCTCCTCCCCCTTTCTACTCTACTCACGTAAAGCCTGATATCCACTCTTCTCCGAAACCTTCAAGTACCTCACGCTAATCCCGCTAATCGAGTAGTACGAGATATCAAACGTGACTGAAATGGGTGCTCTCCTCTCCAGCACCTCTTCGTTCCTCACGCTAGGCAGTCCAAAATGAGCTCTCATCAAGAATTCCTTTCCACCTCCAAGTTGCTTGATCTTCCAGATCATGGAAGACGTCTCGGGAGCATAGCTCACGGAGCCGACGGCGGCGCGGAACTTGGGAGAATCGGCGTCCTCTGGGACGGGAATGTGGATCTCGACATTGTTGGCCGTGGAGCGTCGTTTGAATTGCGCCTTGACCTGCGAAGACAGAGGGACGAAAGAGGCATGGCAGGAGGTGGTAGTCAGGAACAGCGAGCTGGGAGCTGTTTAGCTGTTGACGTCCTTACTCACCTTGACCATGAATTCAATCCTGCTCCCCTCGTGCCTCTCCACGACTGCCTCTGCCCAGATCAGCGGCTTGACCTGTGTACTCAGCCTGTAGCTCATCAATTCAAATTCTCCGTCTGGAGGGATAAAGGAGATGGTTCGGTCGTTTTCGAAACGTGCTAGACGGACACATTGGTGGAACTTGACGTCTTCCATCTCAATGGCTTTGCCTCTTGATGCTGTGAGCAGGGGAGCGAGGGGTTCCGATTCAGAGGGATCACTCGGCTCGACTTTGTGCACTCTCATCTACTCACCTCTCCCTGTATTCTCGAACATGACCTTGTCATTCAACCCGAGCCTCAGTTCCGGCATACCGCTCAAGTAGCACTTCATCTTGATTGCTCCCAAAATTTCGCTCCTGACCACGTTTCCATTAGCATTGACCAGAAGATTGACCGACTCCACCACGTCCAAGAAGACTTCATTCTTGCGATAACGAATTCCTTCCGACCGCCACGATACAGCATTGGTCACTGCCATTGGTGGTCTGGCTTGAATTTCAAGCTTGTGCGATTCTTGAGTAATATACTCTTGCAAAATCTTACTCTCCGTCGTCTGTGGGTAACCGAAATCCATCATCTCATCTAGTAGCTCATAGATGATTACAAAGTTATCTCTGATACTCTCCTCTTCGAGCTCTTTAAAGTACTCTTCTAGCACAGAGGCGAGCTTGTGTAGAAAGAGGAGGATCTCTGCTGCATTTGAGTTACGGCGGGAGAGGGCGACGAGATAGAGGTTGTTGTGCCGAATGAAGAGGTAGTTGACTGCTTCGTGGGTGAAACAAGGAGCGACGGCGCTTCCCCCGGATTCTTCCTCCATGTCAAGCAGTAGAGGAAGGAACCGCTCTACGGCAGCTACGGGAACGTCATCGCGAAAGGTGCGTTGGATGAGGGATTTGCCCTTGATGTCGATGATGGCAAGAATGGAAGCCATTATGGATAGAGACCGATCCCCGAGGAGGATGAACTTCTTTGGCTAGAGGTCGAAGCCGTCACAGCTCGCAGGCGGTGACGAAGCGACTTGTGGTCTATGCGTGGAAAGCCAAGTGCAGGCAGAAGCTGGTCCTGATGATGGGATGAGATCGTGCCAAGCGTAGCCTTGAGAAGATGCAGATTGCCAAGAGGTAGGCTGCTTCAGACAAGCACGCGAGTACTATCACAGCTTCGCCCCAAGTGCTGTAGGACGATGAGGTTTGGGTATCAGACACGGCGAGGAGGAGTGAGTGAGTGGAGCTGGATCCAACGCAACGCAACGCAACACGACGCACTGCCTCTCTACCCCGACCCCGACCCCCCGCTTCCCGCCGCCGGAGACGATGTCGGAATGGAAGCAGCCGCGCTTCGCGTCTACGAGGAGTTGCCGTGGGTTCGCTTTCTTTGCCCACGTACGACTAGCGTCGCTTACCAAGACGTGCGCAGTGGGAGAGAGTGGAAGGACGGCCTTTCAAGACAATTAGTACACAGAAAGACGAGATGATTCGTGTGACGGGAGCTATAGATTCGATTTTCGGGCTGGTCTCCTCTCCGCCTTGACCCTCGCATAAAGATGACACGCAACGCACAAAGACCTTCTCTCTCTCTCTCTCAATTGAACACATCTCTCACGCTCTCTCTCTTTCTTACTTGTCCTCCTCCTCTTCTTCCTCTTCCTTTCCACTCTCCCCGCCCAATCCATAGATGAGCACAGTAAGCAGCCCCAACGCAGCAGTAATCGCGCATCCCACCACGCTTCCCACAGCCGCAGGTGTCCATCCTGTGACGAGCGGTGGAACTTCCACCGCGAGCGACCCAAAGTCAGTGGTAGAGTTGAGTCCTCCCGCATTGCCCGTGGTGGAGATTCCCATTGCGTTGCATGCATCTGTAGCGTACGAGGGGAGGGTGAGACGCGATTGTGCTACCGAGGGGGCTTCGACGAAGATGGCTGCTAGACCAGAGCTGAGATGCGGTTGAATGTGGCAGTGGAAGAGCCACTGCCCTGGGTTGTCTGCTACGAAACGGATCGTGGCGGACCCGCCAGCAGGGACCATGACGGTGTCCCTCCTCATTGGGTTGGTTGCCACAGCGGTAGGGTCGTACGGTGGGTTCTCCATTGCGTCTGCCGAATCAGTTACTAGAGCCTTGTGCACCATCCAAAATTGATGGCCGTGGAGGTGGAAAGGATGGAAGCCCGCATCCCAATTGAAGATGGTCACTTCGATGATGTCCATATGGTTGTAGACGAAGGCATTTGTAGAAGGGCCGTACACTTGAGGGTACAGAGCTACGTCTCCCATCGAGAGGAGAGTGTTGATGCTGGGGGTTTGTGGGAAGATGAAGGAGATGTTGTTGAAGGCGGCATAGTTCTCACCATTGCTGCGAGTGTCGAACCAGACATTCATGTCCTTGAACGTGTCGGCCGGGGGTGCATTTGAGGGGTAGAAGGGCACCAGGACCGTATCATCGAACATGGCATAGTCGCGCGTCTCTTCTTCGGCCACGGGCGTATTGGCATCGGTGCTGTACTCGAAAGTCGAGGTAATGTTGAGCTGAAGTGTGTCAGGAACTGTGTCGAACATTTCCGGGTCCATGTTGGCGTGGATTTTGAAATTCTCCAAGGCATCATCATTGGCCGTGACAAGGACCGAGTATCGCTGGGCGACGCTCACCACCACCTCGTCGATGGGGTACTCTTGGGTGTCGACTCCATCTGCTTCAATGATTCTCATCTGATGACCATCGATCCAGAAGTGGAACATGGCCAGACTGCTCATGTTGATGATACGCAGCCTGTACGTCTTACCAGGTGTGACTGGGATAGAAGTATTGTCGTTGAAGCCTGGCAGCCAAGATGCTCCTCCTGCCACATTGGGAGTGTGGGCAAAGTACATGAGGGCAGAGTCTGGAATTGGCTCCGCACCGGTGGGGTTCGTCGTTGAGAGGAACGACTTCATCTGGACGGCGTACTCGTCATGGTACCAGTCAGTCAGCACGACGGTGTAGTCTTCGTCGTAGGCATGTGCCTCCGTCTCGGGGTGGATGATATTCGCTGTCTTCAAGCCGTCGACGTATTGCTGAAGAAGGGGTACAGGTAGCAATTAGGGAACCATTCAGCGAACTCTGGACGAACAATTTGCTCAAAATGCATTGACTCACGCCAGCGAGATGTCCGTGGCACCAGTATGTGCCCGACTGCAATTCTGTTCCATTGGGTGAACTCGGAGAATTGATGATCTCGTACGTGTACGTCGATCCATCTGGTATGGGACATTGGGTGACATAAGTAGCTCCATCTGACCATCCCGTATTGTTGAAGAACATTCCATGACTGTGTAGTGTGGTGGGTGTGCCATCTCCAAAGTCATTATTCACGTGAATGCGTACTACATCAGTCGAGTTGACATTGATAATGGGAGGAGGCCAGCTGCCATTGACACCAATGACGCGACGTGTGTAGAGGCCGTCGAGGTTGAGGTCTGGGACCCAAGCGACGTTCCAGTATTGGTCTACCTCGGCGGCTTGCGCTGCGAGGGGTGCCAGGAGAAGGGCGGTGAGCGCAAGCGTCGCGGCTCGGACGGAGATCATCTTGCCGTCTTTGGAAGGGTGAGCTGTTGTAAGGTAGGGCGTACGAATAGGTTGGTTGAAGAGAGGACAAGGGGATGATGTATGGTATAAGTGGGTCAAGTGCTAGCGAGCATAAAGGCAAAGGGGATCCTAGGTGAGAAGGGTGTGATCAAAGGGGGAAGGCAAGGCAGGGCAAGGTCGTGGGGACCAGCCGGCCATGGAAAAATGGAGGGCGAGCAGCCAGGCGGAAGAACGCGGGAAGGCGATAAGGGGCGATATGGGCTGATATCCCAGAGGGCAAAAAACCCCTCGCGCACCCGCCTAGGCCCAGGGCAAGGAAGATCAGCGGGGAGAGCAGGGGCGGCAAGTGATGAACCTCACCTCACCTCGCCTCACCTCAGCACACCACACTACGCCCCTCTGCTGGAGACTGCCCCTTTAGCCATGCCACCAGCCTCACCCTCCTTGCTTGGCCTAGTCGCCGTCTGCAAAGCCTAGCATGGTTCCAAGCTGGGCAAGAAGGAGGGGCCCGCAAGGTGGGGAGCGGGCATCTCGGCGTCGAGGCCGGGTAGAGGTGCAGCTCCCAGCCAGCCACCGGCCTGCACTCCGATGCTCCCTTGCCTAGGCAGAGGAACAGAGGCTGCTACGCCACCACATGTCAGGCACACACTCACTCGCATACATCTCGCCCCTCTTCCCCCTGCTTGGGTAGGGAAAAAAGGCCGGACGGGTGCTCACTCCTAAAGCCACACACACACACGCAATGTACCGTCCCGCACCTCATCTCGCCTCGCCTCGCCTCGCCTCGCCTAGCAGAACTCCTCTTGTCGCCCAATCTTACTCTGCTCTGCTCTCCTCTGCTCTCCTCTCCTTGCTCATCCCGCTCTGAGCTTCGGGAGGGGCGTGTGGCATCGCAATCGTCCCACTAGGTCCGCCAGCCCACCAGCCTATACGACCTTCGGGGTCTCGCTTGAGCGGAGTAGAGAGCACAAGCCTGTCACGGGGTACCTCTGGGCGTAGCTTTTCCTACAGATCTCCCCCCTCTTTCTTATCTGAGTATATCTGAGCACGCCCACACAGGATGCCAAGCGTTTCTGATGTGATGCTGAGGGGCGCAATGCAGCGCCTTCTGATCTAATGCTGAGGATGGATGTAGGAAATACAAATACAAGTACAACATGCAAGAAAGGCCCGGAGTCCAGGAGTATAGGCAGTGATTATCCTTATCACACGACTGACATCGGCGAGCAGAGACGAGGAGCAGACGTTTTTGCTCACTTTTGCACCTCGTGATCGGCCAGGAGCTAGAGAAAGAGGAAGAACGGAGAGGGACGCAGTCGGGCAGAAAGGGCATCAGTTCTCCACTGCGAAGAAGTCTCCTGCCTTTTGGCCCGTTGCCATTCCGCCTCATCATCCGCAAACCACTCACCATGTTAGGAATACCATTCCTGATCTGATACACGTGACCGCAATTGGGACAGGTCATTGATCCTTCCACGACGTGAATCTCTAAAAGGACGTGGTGTAGACGCCGTAGCAATTCTTCTGGCAGCTCATCTTCCACTTCTGGTCCCTTCTCTGGCAGCGAGTCGTCGCCGAGCTAATGAGAGGAGAGGTGGAGGAAAGGGCAGAGAGAAGAGGAGTCAGTAGGTGGATTGAGTAGCCTGCCGTACAGGCTTGATTAAGCGGTATTGCTAGGCTGCAGGCAAGGTCCCTTAGCAATCGTAGCTGCGAGCAGTCAGGCTTCCTCTGCCTCTACGTGCTGCATTCTGCTCATATGCTCCTTGAAATCACAGCTCCCCAAACCACTTGCCAAGCACTCTCTGCTCCGCTTCAACTCACGCTTCTACATGTGTCTACCAATCCCTTCCATTCGATTTTGCCTCCCCCGATGAGTCCCTTGAGGAATCCCTCGTTGAAGTCTGTCTGGACCACCTCCAGATGAACATCCTTGAGCGCCAGAGGGAAATTGAGAGACGTGGTGAGGCAAGTACGAGCAGCACATGCCAGGAGATTATGTGTGAGGAGCCGCATGGTGAAGGGGAGCTACGGAGTACGATGGGGACACGGAACGAGGTGAGGAGCGTAAAAGGTGGTGCACCCGAGGCAGGAATCCTCGTCTCAAAAAATGTCGGATCGGGGGCGGAAAGAAGTGGTGGAAGGGGGCGTGGCAGCAATTGCGCGCAAGGCAAGGCGGGGGGGCCGGGCCACACACGACGCACACGCAGACACGACGACGACCAAGGCGCAACGCAGCCAAGGGCAACGGCGGACAAGTAACACTCACAGGCAGGCAATTCTCCCTTGCTCATCCTTCTTACCCATACCATCGTCCTCATCCTCAACCCCTCCCCTTGCACTACGTCTATCGCAGTTGATCTGCAAGTAGACTAACAGGGCAACCCAAGCGCATCCCCTCGCCCAACCCCTGCCAAGAGATGTCGCAATACAAGTACGACGAGGAAGGTGGACAATTCCTCACCTTTGTCCTCACCTTCCTCCTCCTCGTACTCGTACCCCTCACCTGGTCCTTGCTCAGCGGACTGACGCAGAGAAGTGAGTTGAACTTGGCTGTAGCATGGAAGATCATGCTTGCAGAGATGGCAGATCGAAGGCGATGAGGCTGCCTTGTACAAGGACAGAAGCCAGCAGCCCCTTTCTGGCAAAGTGGCAGGGCTTCAGTAAGAATGACAGGCTGATCAGGTTGATTCGTGGTTTCTGGTCGACAGCTCGCAGTCAGGGATGGTTCGACGCTCGGGGGCAGAAGGTGTCAGCCATCAAGCGCATCAATCGGCGGTCCATCACCAACCCTCGGATAGGAAAGAAGTGAGTACTGCGCCCCTTGCCCTCTTGGCAAAGCAGCAATCTTGCCTCGTCGCTTGCTGACAAGCCTTGACCTGTCGCTGCCTTTACTACAGACTCCTCTTCGTCGTCGTGGGCTGGGCCTGCGCTGCATTCGTAGCAAAGAGGGTATCCAACGCCGCTGCAAACTCCCAACATTCCGTCTATGACCCATTCACCATCCTCGGCATCGCAGCCAATGCAGCGCCCAAGGAAATCAAAAAGCACTACAAGAAGCTCAGCATCAAATTTCACCCCGACAAGATCCGTCTTAGCGGCAATCAGACCAAAGAGTCGGTCGAGGCCCATTACATTGAGCTCACAAAGGCGTACAAGGCGCTCACAGATGATACCATTCGCAAGAACTTTGAGCTCTACGGCCATCCCGATGGTCGTCAGGAGATGAGCATGGGAATCGCTCTTCCCACTTGGGTCGTTGCCGGACAGAACAACATTTGGGTCTTGGGCGCTTACGGACTCGTCTTTGGCATTCTGCTCCCTTACATGGTTGCCCGATGGTGGTATGGCTCGAGAGCTCGCACTAAGGACGGGCTCATTCTTTCCACCGCTCAAACCTTCTTCCAACATCTCAAGGAAGACACTCCAGCCCCAAGGCTCATTGCTTTGCTCTCCATCTCAGAAGACTTCGAAGACAAGAAGCTGGATAAGAGAGGCAAAGATGCTAATGAAGCGGCACTACAGGAGATGGAGAACGAGGTCCGATCCAGACTCAAAGCTCACGGTCCACAGTGGGAGCTGACACCGTCTGTAAGTGTGCAAATGCGAGCTGCCGAATGTGCTTTCACCTTTCTCTTGCCCTTTGCTAATGACCTTTTCGACCTCGCCACGTCACTGTGTTTCCCTTCCAGTTCCGTTCCCAATCGATTCGCAAAGCGCTCGTGCTGCTCTATGCCCACCTCTTCCGGATTGAGAGCAAGTCTGCCCAACTGACAAAGGAGCGCTACCTTGCTGCCGCAAAAGCCGAGCGATTGCTCAATGGAATGCTCTCAATTGCTCTGGCGCACAACTGGCTTGACCTCACCAATCTTATCATGGACACCATCCAGTGCTTCGTTCAGGCAGTGCCCATCAGCGAGGATCGTAACGTCGCAGAGCTGCTGCAGCTCGGCGGTCTCAAGCTGAACACTGCCAAGAGCATCGTGGCCAAGAGCGACTTGGGCAGGGAAGGTATTCAGGGCCTGTTCAAGGTACCAGACTCGGAGAGGAAGGAGCTGGTTGGTGCCAAGGAGATCGGAGATCAGCAGTACGATCATATCGTGAAAGTCGCGGGCGAGTGGCCTCGTATCGAGTTCGTCGATGCCTTCTTTAAGGGTGAGTGAGGTCTATTGCGATCCCGGCCTAGTATTCGGCTCTGACTGACACATCCTCTGACCCGCGACCTCCAGTCTCTGGCGAGAGGCTTGTCACTGGAGGAGCCATTGTCCAATTCGTCGTCAAGGTGCGAACTCTCCCACCCAAGCGCGATGAGACACTTCTGTCCAACGGCGTTCGCCCCGGTTCTGTAAACGTCGATCTTGACGATGACGTTCGCTCAGGCGTGGAAGACGATGAAGAGGTGACGAACGCTCTGGGAGGCAAGGTGTCAGCGGAGGCCCTTTCCACCGAAGGCAAGCAAGTCGTGGGCGTCAGTCGCGCACCCCACTTCCCTCTGGAGCGCAAGCCGCACTGGTGGATCTACCTCGGCGACGCCAAGCAAGACCGCATCATCGTCCAGCCCTCTAAGCTGACCGACGTAGGACCAGACAAGACTCGCTCCTTTACCATCCAATTCCAAGCTCCTCCCAATGCGGGCATGTACACTTTCATCGCGCAGATCAAGTCCGATTCTTACCTAGGTTCAGACGCTCAACGCTTTGTCAAGTTGCGCGTAGAGGATTCGGAAGTGTTGGATGGAGCGGACGGAGAGTGGGAGGATGAAGAAGACGATATTAGCGAGCCTGACGAGGATACGCTTGCTGGTCAGATGGCCATGATGCGGGGTGGCAAGGTGAAGCCTTCGCCTGTACACCGGAAACGGGGCGAGAGTGATGATGATGATGATGAGGATGAGGATGCAGAGAGTGGGACGGATGAGGAGGCGGATGAGGATGAGGTGACGGATTCGGATACCGATGAGGAGTAGGTGTCGATGCACAGATGAGCGACACTGCAGCAAATTTGTGCACTGCATCTTTTCACCAAAATGATCACGACAGTATTCTCCTATCAGACTGGCGGGTGGCTCTAGTGCGAGAATGCGAAGGTCTTTCGTACTACAAGAGTTCAGGACCGGTATGATTACAGTCACCGAAAAGCTAGACCCACCGACTCGCGAGGCAACACGCCGTCTCTAAGCAGCGGCAATCGCCCTCCCCTGGGATGCTCCCCCTCCAGCACCCCCAGCACCCGCACTACCACCACTCCTCTGCGCCAACCTCCTCTTTGCAAAGCGGGCCAGATCAATCCTCTCTGGCAGCCATTCACCATTATTGATGATGAGCACCTTCATCCTCTCATGATATCTCAAGTCTGGTAGCAATTTTGGTGTGATGAGGAAATACTGCGAGGCATTGGCTCGACAGGTGACTTGAACCATTTGATCATGTACGGCTCGTTCTGCTCTTTGGTCCATCCCTTGGTTGATCTCATCCACGAGGGAAAAGGGAGAGCGGGAGAGTTCGGTGAGGGACATTAGGTAGAGGATGGTAGACAGGGAACGCTCCCCACCTGATTGCCTCTGCCCCGTCAGGAGCTGCAGCTGCTCCGTATCTCGGAACTTGACGAGGATGTCCATTCCCCACTTTTCATAGTGGTCGCCTTGCTCCGAAATGCGAATCTCGCCCGCACAGCCGATACGGTCAAAGGCGGCAGAGAACTTTTCGCTGACCTTGGCTCCAAGGGCTTGAAGTGCGGGGAGCCATTGCGATTTGATGCGTTCGATCTTCGTCTCGCGTCGAGCAACCTCGCGACGTTGATTTGCAATCGAGTCGCCCAGCTCAGCAATGAGCTCGGCGCGCTTCTTGAATGCTTCAATCACACCTGGTGCCACACCTGTAGACAGGTCCAAAGAGCCCTGCAGCGTAGCCAGCTCTCCCTCGAGCTCGGCAAGATTCATAGACGTCTCATCCCCCATCTCCTCTTGACGACGGTGGAACTTCTGCTGGATCTCATACGGCGCATCGTCGTGCTTCGCCTGAGCCCGGTTCTGCATCTGCGTAGCCAACTGCTTGCTCGCGGCGAATTCCTCAAGAGCCTCTTTGAGGGCGCGCTCTGCCTCCTTGAATTCGCCGAGTTTGGAAGTGTAGAGGTCCTTCCAGGCTTGGTAGTTGACCTGGTGCTGCACCTCAACTAAGGTGGCGACGTCGAGGTCGATGCGGTGCTTTGTCTGAATTTCCAGAAGCGACTTCATATCCCGCACTAGCTTGACGCGCTTGTCCGTCTTGCGATGCACCTCGGCCATCAGCCGCTTGCGCTCTGCCTCTTGTGATGGCTTATTGTGCTCAGCATTCAGCCTGCTCTTCTTGTTGCCTGGTCCATGAGAAAGGGAATGACGGCCAAAAGGCAACGCTATCAGACAAACAATCCTTGTCCTTGCTTTTGTCGCAGTCAGACTCACCTAGGTCAATCTTCGCCTTCTCCCAATCTCTGCGAGGCTGCACCGCATCCATCTTTTGCCTATCCAGATCCTCTTTCCTCGATCTGAGATCATCAGCCTTCTCCTCTTCGCGCTTGATCTGCTCCTGCAGCTCGCCAATGCTCTCCTCTGCATCCTTGGTCTTTTGCGCAATCTCTTGAATGACTCGCTCCAGATTCTCCTTCTCAGCAGTATTGACACTCTGTGTGAGACTCCTGGCGGCCTTGATGTCTCTCGAAAGGGTGATGGGCAGCTTTCGGCCGTAGTCTGAGAATTGAATGGTGTGGTTCGTATGGCCCACGATGTAGCGCTTGATTTGACGAGACTGCTCGACCTGGTTGACGTCCACGCTATCCGTCAGAGCAACTGGGATGGTGTGGATATTTGCACTACCGCAGAGGTAAGCCATGACGCTCTCAGGACCGTCGACCATGTCCGAGATGTAGGCATTGAAGCCGAGCTGTCGAATTTGCTCCGTAGAGAGAGGCCTTGCCGCCTCAAATTGCTCCATGTTGCGCCCACCCTCCATTTCGGCCACGTTGATCCTCAGCTTCTGCTTATCAACCAGCTCTCTCGTCAGCCGATCATAGTCTGCACGAGTCTGACAAACGAACGTCCGAAGGGTAGCCCAATTGATGCAGCTCTCAACCTGAGACGCGTACTTGCTGTCTTTCACAGTGACCTCCATGACGACGGGCTCGAACACCTTCTTCTGGAAGAGATTCTGGTTTGCTCGAAGCCATTGCACAGCCTTCCAGGCTGGCTCGTCAGCTTTGTGAAGCATCTCGAGCTTGCGGGCACGAACGTCATCAAGCCGCCGGAGTTTCCGCAGGGTTTCATCGTGGGTATTTTGAAGCTGCCGGTTCTCCAGCCCAATGTCGTCGATCTGGGCAGTCAGATCTCCTCTGCGATCGTCGGCTCCTCGGATCTCCTGCCGAATCTCACGCAGGGCTCGATCGAAGACGCTCAAGTCGTACTCTTGGGGTTCATCAGCCACCTTTGCTTCGAGCTCGGCGACTACTGCCCTGAGCTTACTGATGAGCTTGTGGTGCTCCTGCTCGCGTGCTTTGAGGTTGGACATGGTGTCTTGCAGCTCGGTCGTATCGCTTTCCAGCTGCTCCATTTGTCTCACCGCAGACGTCAGGTCTTTGTTGACCTTATTCAGTGACTCGGTAGCTTTGATCCGATTCCCTTCGAGCTTGCTTCGCTTCGCCTTCATCGACTCAACTTTGAGTCGAAGAGGCTCGTGGATCTGCCGAAGCTCTTCCAGGTCAGCCTTGCGGTCATTTCTGACAGCCTTGGCCTCACTGTAGGCTGTCTTGGCATTGTGGTACTCCGCAAAGGGGATCAGCAAATTCAATAGAGCAATCTCTTCCTCGATCTGCTTTCTCTGCTCGTAGCGTTCGACGTCCCTACCGAGGACCTCGTTCCTCTGCTCGAGATTATTCTGCTCCTCTTGGTCACGATCGAGCTGACCCTGGACCTCCCGGAATTCTGCGCCCAGCTCGATCAGCTGTTCATGCCAAGAGCTGAGATTGGGGTTGCCGGCGGCCCTCTGAGTCTCGACGAGGAGCTTCGGCGGGTCCATCCGAGCAAAGTCGGCCACCTTTTCTTGCGGTAGGAAACAGCATAGGTTGTCCACGTTGATGTCAAAGCGGCCCACGGCGTCGTTGACAGCTCTAGCAGTCGAAGTCCTACCATTGAGGCGCCATTCACTCGAATTGTTCTTCCTAGAGATTAGCCTCTTGATGGTGACGTTCTCCTCCCCAGCCAAGCCCTTGAGCTCAATCTCAATCCACCCATCTTGGTAGCCTTGCTTGACGAAGCTGGCAATGTCCTTGGCACGACCGAGAACGGCAGGCTTCCAGCCCAGACCGAGAGCGATGGCGCAGACGATCGTCGACTTGCCGGTACCGTTAGGCCCAATGATCATATTGAGGTAAGGACCGGGCCGGAATTCTGTCGAATCGTAGGTGACGAAATTCTTGAGCGCTACTCTGACGATCGATCCCGGTAGGAAGCTGAGGGAGAACACAAAGTGAGCAAAGAAGTCAGTGGACAGAGAGGGAGCGCAATTTCCTCCGGTCTCAACTCACCCTTCCCGATCACGATCCCCATGAGCAACTTCAAAGTCACGAGCACCATTAGCTGCCATCTTTTCCGCCTTGATCTTCGGCTTCTTCTCTTCATCATCCTCTTCCTCCTCATCTGCCCCACCATCATCTTGAGACATTCGTGGCCTCTTGCTACGTTGAGTTGACCCCTCCCCTGCACCTTCTTCGGCATCTTCCTCTGATCCATGCCGGGAGCGAGTCCTGCGTCGTCCATTAGCTATAGGCCTGACCGGTGACGAAGGGCTGGGCAAGCGGGAGCTGGAAGCTTCACCCTGTGTCTGCTGTTCGTACTGCTCCCGCTTCACATCCAGTTCATCGAATTCTGACGAAGAGTTAGCGTGGCCATTCGCCCGGGAGCGGCCATTGGTCAATGGTCGTGCATCGCTCTGTATGCGCCTCGGAGGTGGGGCGGCGTCTGAAGAAGAGGACAAAGCGGCACCGCGATGCTGAGCGGCACTGTGAGTGCGGCGCTCAGACATGGCTGCTACAGCACCCGCAGAGTTGACCGCTATGCGACGACGATGGTGATGATGATGGTGGCGATGCTTGGTGGGAGGGAGGAGAGATAGGAGATGCCATCAAAGGAACACTCTGGCCTTTGAGCGTGGGGCGCCGATTGGACGCGTCTCGCGGAAAGAGGCGCAGAGGCAAAAGCCACGGTCCAGCTTCAAGCTTCCTCCACCGCCGGCAGCTGTCTACCGCCCTACTCCGGCCACATGCTCTACAGTCTCATGACATCTTCGTTGAAGGAGAGCAGCAGCAGCAGCAGCGGTACCCTTGATGAGCGCTACTGGTCGGCTCTCGGAGCATGGCTGGACGTGGAGCGCAGCTCGCTCCCCTCTCTGCGGGCACAAGTCCAATCGCAGCCTCTACAGTTTCTCACTCAGAACATCCCCCGGCTGCCCGAGCATCTCCTCCGTCCTCAAGCCGCGCTCACCACACCACAGCAGAGGGCAAATATTTCTCTCATTCGGCAGCGAAGGAGATGTCATGCCGAGCTCAGGAAGCCCGAAGAGCTGGAAGTGAGAGGAAGCCGCCGCAGACTGGGACGACTTTGGAAGGTCATAGTGGGCAAGCAGACTGAGCCGGCGGTGAAGAAGGAGAAGGCAGACGAAGACGAAGACTTGGATCCTGCTTTTCCGGGTGTGCCAGATCTGAGCAACTTGCCGAACGTCGGGGCCAATGGGGTCAAGCTGCCTCGGTACGGCCCTCTCCACCAAGGCGAGCTATTTACCAATCCCAGACTGGCCAGACTGTTGGACGAGCAGGATGAAGAGGAGGCACAACTCAGCGCGGCAGAGCAAGAGGAAGAGGAAGAGGAGGAAGAAGACGATGTAGAAGACGATGAAGAGATGGGCAATGGCGCAGAGGTTGATGAGGAAGACGTCGAGGCGTTCAGGATCGCAGTGCTGGACCGCTTCATACGGGGTGACGTGAGTTGCGCCTGAGGACAAGAGAGCTACTGACCTTGAGGAGCGGTGATACTGAAGCGTAGCCCTCCCATTGAACGTTAGCCAACTTTAAATCCTTCTATCTACGCCGCCATCGATTTTGATGAATCTCTCGACCCAGCATCGGCCAACGAGGATGGTGCAGGCAGTCGGGAGGGTCTTGCCTTCGACGTCTCCCGTGGAACCGCTGCTCAAGCCGCCCTCGAAAGAGAGCGACTGGACGAAGACAGCTACTTCGACGATGAGGACGAGAGCTGAGGTCAAAGCATTGTGTGCTACTTTCAATTTCTTTCGCAGTCCAATGTACTATACACAAATGTAAATCAAAATCCCATGATCCATATAGCCCTACTGGTACAGTCTCTTCTAGCTTCTCAGGAAGTGGTTGATGAACTGACCTGCGGCGCAGAGGGGACGTCGTACCGCCTTGAGATGTTCTGGGCATAGGGATTCTCATCACCGATGAAGATCTTCAGCCGCTCTAGCCTCCTGTCCCTCAGCTTGTTTTTAGGCAGCATTCCCGAGACTGCTGCGCGGATGATCTGGCATCAGGGAGGATGGAGTGGAAGGAAAGGAGCGAGTAGCATCAGAGGCCGCTCGATACTTCCGTCGTCATGGGGCAACTTGCCGACTCACCTCTTCGGGCTTCTTGTTCATCCTTTGCTGGTAGCTCTCCACCTTCAACCCACCGGGATACATGGAATGCCTATAGTACATCTTCTGCTCTGCCTTCTTTCCGGTGACCATGATTCGATCCGCCTGTGTCACCACGACGTAGTCTCCTGCTTGATCGTTGGACTGTGTGTAGATGCCGCGGGGCTTGTGCTTGCCCATGAGTAGAGTGGCGATGCGGACCGAGAGGGGACCAAGGGTTTGGGATTGGGCGGAGAGGTGGTGCCAGTGCCTGGCAAAGGTGACGGCGGGCTGAAAGGAGCAGCGTAGGGTGAGAGAGAGCGATGTCAGCAACCCGGCTTAATCGATCATACAGTCCTACCCTTGCTACTCACATTGGACATCTCTGCAGCTACGAGGACGATGACGATGAGGTCTGGTTGCAACGATCAGTGAGTAGCAGTCATCTCTCGCCTGCCTTGCTTCCTTCCGTCTGGCCCTGTCGCACTTTTTGATGCGACTCGCGCAGTGCGCCGCCGCCTTGCAGCCTCGGCCATCACTTCTTCCCGTCAGCCCAGGCATCCATCACCACCTCCATCCTTTCCCGTACCGCACTCATCGTCAGCAGCAGCAGCGCCTTCCCCTCTGCTCACCTCGCCTGCCAAAAGTATGTCACTCTTCGCCTCCCCATCTTCTTCTTCGGTGGCATCCGCTTCCATCCCGCGTCGGCAGCTCTGGTCAGCGCTCACCGCCTCTTCCTCGCGAGCCTTGAGCACCACTCCCTCGCGACAGGCAAAGCCCAGGAGGAATACCGGCAAGAATCCTTTCGATCTCGCACCCTGGGAGGCCTTTCAGCACGATGATGTGCCCACACTCGGACATGAGGTGCTGAACAGAGGGAGGGAACTGTTGAGGTATGCTAGAACAGTGGAGCACGAGCTGCCCAACCTTGAGAGTGAGTGTGCAGGCGGAGGAGGGAGGACGGACCCCTTGCTATGCACTTCGTCTGACGCTCTCCTACGGATGCTCCTCCTGTCACTAGAGCTCCGCCAGCCCTATAACCCCCCTCCTTCCTCCAGTGTCCTCACTTTCCGGTCCATGCACTACCAAGGTGCTCCTCACCCCGCCAACCGCAAATCCGTCTTAACCGTCTCCCTCCCAGACCTTTACGCCCACTCCCTCTTCACCTCCCTTCCCGATGACTCCACCCGCATTCGTACCCTCCGCAAGCTCCTCCATCTTGCTGGACCGAGATGGAATCCCGGAAAGGGCCCCATGGCAGAACCTCTCAGACTCGACGGAAAGTACGGAGAGGATGTGACTGTTAGAGGAGAGATTAAGATTAGCTGTGAAAAGTTCCCGACGGAGAGGCAGAACATGAAGTGGTGTAGTGATGTGTTTGATGAGATGATCAAGGAGGCACAGGTGAGCAAGCAGAGAACGGTGACGGACAGACAGTAGAGGTAGAGAAGGTCACCGCGCTCACACTAGTCAATCTGCATTTGTCGGTACCTCCGCTCAGCGACTCGACGATGGTATCGCTGATCTGCCCATCGACGTCAGACATGCACTCAGCCGTGAGACCAAGAAGGCTCACCACGGTAGGAGGAGACAGGCGACCATTGCCGATTGGCCCGCATCTTGGGCCACTCCGGTGAAGGCGTCGCAGGGTGAAGGGACATCGTAGCGATGCTGATGGTTGTGCATGAAGGAATAGATCTCCAGTGTCTACCTTTCTATCAGCAACACATTTTCGCAATGTTCATCATTTTGCCTGAATTGTCCCCAATCGTGATGAAGAGTATCTAGATTGACCAATGAAAAGCGAAATACAAAGAGGTACGGGGGAGCGCTGCCGCAACCTGTCTAGAAGCTCGCTGGCCTCTTGAGCGCAGACAGCAGCGAGGTCACCGTTGTACGCTGTGTAGATAATGTCGAAGATGCAGCCATGCTGGGTAGACGGTCGGGAAAGGGAAGGCAGACGGGGATGGTAGAGGTCAGCGAGACGTTCTCAGCGATTGAAAAGACTACTGCTCCACCGACCGGACGAGTCATGGAGCCTCTGACTGCGCTCCGCGAGAGCTTCTGCTATCCTTTGCGTCCTGTCTGCCACCCTTGCTCTGATTTCTCGCTACTGCAGTTCTTTTGTCATTCCATACCCCGTACCTATGGACTCACCTGCTCGACCCAACCAAGCTGGCATACCCCCTCCTCTCAATCCGGTTCAATTTCCTCGCCGTTAGACCATTCGAACTGGTCCTCTGTCCCCTCACAGGCAAGCCCTGCTGGTGTCGCTTCCCCTTGTAGCTCCCCACATTACGGTGATGAGCGATATTGGCCTGCATTGCCCTTCGCAGATCCGACTCTAGTAGGAGAGAACGTAGCGGATCGCTCGATGGCGATGCGCGCTGCGAAGGTGGGAGAGAAGTGCTGCTGCTGCTACTACTACTGGAAGAAGAGGCCGAGCTAGAAGTGGAAGTAGACGTCTCCTTTCCCTTTTGGCCAATGAGTGGACTCCGGGTGATCTTGCCTTGCTGTGCGGGGATACTGCCGGGACTGCTCAGGTAGGCGCTCATCTGCGTCACTTGTCCATCCGTCAGCTCGCCAACCTTGGCGGCTTCGTGCAGCTGAAGTCTGGCACATAGTCGGGATGCGAGAGTGTGTGAGAGACCATAGAAGGCTGTGAGAGCAATCTTTTCGATGTCATAGGAGAGTGGGCGGGAGAGAAGAGAGAAAGAGGAACTGTCAGCGGTAGAATGGGCGGATGCTCCTTTGCCGCTTAGGTAGCCTACTTACCGAGACCTTCTGACTGTCCGGGAGCTGACGACCGAGAAGGAACATGGTCGGTGGCTCTTGTGAGGGAAGACTTCGAAGAAGAGATTCTCTAGAGTAATGTCTGTTGAAGCAATTGTATCGTAGCGAGGACTAGCGTGGTGTGTGGTGTGAGGCCGACGCTGCGAGGTGGAAGTGAGATCGACGGACGCATGGACGGACTGGGAGGAATATCTGGCCAGGGTCGGAAGATCTGCCAGTCACGTGCAGCAGCGACACCACCACCTTACTCCAGACGACGCTCCAATCGACTGGTCAGCTCTTCTTCAAGAGTATCTTTGAGATGAACAATGCAGCAGGATGTGAGCCTCAATCATCTTTACTTCGTCGAGACGACGCCTTCGCGCTTCGAGGGCGGACATGCGACGCGGGTGGGCTCAGCCCAGTTGAGGGTAGAACGCTTCCCGTTCCTCAAGTGCAGAACAGGTCGGCTACGTTTGGGAATACATGAAGAGCTGATATTGACGACCGTCTCAGAAGTAGGTGTGAAATTGTATGAAGTAGCTTGCTCAATGTCAATCGCCTCGCGCTGCGTGATAGTCCAGCACGTCGTCTGCCATCACTGTTCCGCCGCCTTCGCCTTCCTCCCCCTTCAGCTGTCTTCACCGCCGTCTCCCTGACGCCAGCGACTACGACTCCATGGCTCCATTCCCCAGCCCCGGCTTCTTTTCATCCTCGTCTCCCATTTCCCGGAGGTAGAGGACATTGTTGCACCGAATCATCACCTCTCCCAGCATGCCCTGCGAGACGCCTTCTGCGTTAAACTCTTCTGTGTTTGCTAGCTGTGAGAGTGGGAGCGATGGAGATGAAAGAGTTGCATGTGGACGATCCTTGTCAGCAATCCAATGAATAGCATACGGGACGTCACTTCCACAGCAGAAGGGATGTAGGTATAATTACGGCGTGCAGATGCATCCGCCCATCGTACCAATCGACCTGTCCTGTACTCTCATCCAACTCACCTGAAAGTTCATGTAGTTGTCCGTCGAGACCAAGAATCCCCTGTACTCCATACCCCACTTGAGCCGCACTGCGACTGGCTTGCCAGTCTGTTGTTGCAGGAAGGGCTTGGGGTTCACCGGCTGGAAGGACATGCCGGGCGATTAGGTTGAGATGGTTTGGAGCGCGAGTGAAGGGGATGGGATGTAGAAGGGTCGCTGGAAGCTCGAGTGATGCCGTACGGACAATGTCTAGAAACCAGGTAGAGTGTTTGGAGGAAGGCGGTACAATGGCTAGACAAGGAACAGTGAACCTCAGTCGGGTGGATCCAAGGTTGGTGGGTAGACGGAAAGGCCAATGCTCGTTCCGTTCCGCTGGTCCTCCCCTTGGCGTCAATGCTCCTGCACTTGGAAGATCTGAGCGGCGACAAAAAATTCTGCCTTGAGCACAGACGCACTGCTACACTCCCGCACGGCTCGCTTATCGATGACGACAGGTGCAGACAATGGTGGCAGAGACGTGACCATCAGAGAGCTGTACAGTGAATGCATTTCCGTAGTGGTAGATGGTCTAACCTTCTTCCATTCTTGACCATCTGTTGAGAGTCCTGTCTTTGATTCCTCCGTCGTCACCATGTCCTCCGAGGGTCGTGCCCCGCTCCTGCCCACAACCTCCATTCCGCGGGAAGATCTGGATTCAACCCCACGAGCAGCCCGTACAGCCAGCTCCTCCTCTACCTCTCGCCCTCAAGCAACCCCACGTCGTCCATCTCGCCTGCAGTCAATCCTGAACACCACGCGCGATGAAGCTCGTGCTCCTCCCTCGGCTGGCTCACCACGTCTGCCTGCCCAGCCCCTCTCCCCTTCGTATGACGGACTCCTCCACAACCCACGCTGGACCGTGCGGCCTGGTAAGCCCAACCTCTGGGCCAGAACACGCAAGGCGTACCACGAGGAGCTAGCAGAATTCCTCGGTACGGCACTGATCCTCATACTGGGTGCTGGAGTAGAGTGTCAGGGGAGGCTGCACTTTGATCTTGCTGGACACGATTATAGTGCGGGGGATTATAATAGTGGAAGATTTGGATGGGCAGTGGGTGTTGCGTTGGGCGTGTGGATTGCTGGGGGAGTCAGTGGAGCTCATTTGAATCCGACAGTGACGAGTGAGTACACGGAGAGCATACAGCGACGTAGAAGGGGCTGTAAAGCCAGCGGGGAGTAGCTGCTCAACATCATCAACCGTACGCGATCCCACCCGTACACCTTCCCACAGTCTCTCTGTGGTTCTTCAGAGGCTTCCCAGCAAGGCGTGTCATCCCGTACATCCTCGCCCAGATCCTCGGTGGCTTCTTTGGCTCGGCCCTCGCCTACAGCAACTACCACCACTCCATCTCCGTCAGAGAGGGCTCCACTTCCTCCCGTACCGTCATTGGACCCAATTCCACTGCAGGTCTCTTTGTCACATTCCCACAGAGCTACCTGGACGGGGATTGGCTAGCGGCAGCGTGGAGTGAGGCATTGGCCAGCGCCGTGTTAGTCTGCGCTGTGTTTGCACTGAGCGATAAAGGCGGGTTGGGCGTGCCGAAGGGGATCATGCGTAAGTAATGAGGAGTAGGGAGGGGAGAACAGTCCCACAGAGCCCAGAGCTGATCCATACCTCTCCTTGTCCGCTTCTCTCTGGCCTGCAGCAATTGCCATGTTCCTCACACTGCTGGGTATCGGGTCAGCTCTAGGCATCAACACAGGGTGAGTCTACCGATTTGGAGCCGCCGCCCACTCTCAGACTGACCAGTCTCCCTCCTCCCTCCTCTGATTAGCTACGCGATCAACTTCGCCCGTGACTTTGGTCCCCGTCTCTTCCTCTCCCTCATGGGCTACCCTTCCACCGTCTTTACCCACAACAACTACTGGTGTCTTTGGGGACCCGGACTCGCATCCATCATTGGAGGCTTAGTAGGGGGAGGAATGTACGACGTGTGTGTTTATACGGGGGAGGATTCACCGGTGAATAGAATTGGGAGGGGACAGGGGGGAGAGATTGCGCTTGAGACTGAGGAGGAAGAAGAGGAGTGAGAGGGAGAATAGGAAGGGGATCTACGGGACTGTGTGAGGGAGGGAGGACGAGGAGCGATCTTATGACAGAATTGCTACGCCAGTCGGACGTATCACAAAATGAACAGAGGCGACGATGCAAGCGACATTCAATTTGTTTTTGGCAATGACACAGACACGATAGTACTACACGAAGACTGGGCGACTAGAAACCTGACCCTTCCATACTTTTGAAAGGCTTGCACAAGGATTCCTACGACCGTTGTGCAGGGAGGTACTTGTTAGGGTTCAAGATCCTCTTTGGGTCAAACAGATCCTTTACCTTCTGCATATACGCCACGCTAGTCTTGCTCTTTGTGTACCCAATCTTCTCTGCCTTCATGACTCCCAGTCCATGCTCGGCAGAGATGGAGCCATTTTGCTTGGCAGTCCACTCGTAGATGTAGGGCTCGATGAGCGCCTCAGTCTCCGGAGTGTAGCGGTCGGCGACGATGTTGATGTGCAGATTGCCATCTCCGATATGCCCGTACCCCACAACAGTCTTGATCGTCTTGTCCTTTCCAATGACTCCCCTCTCCTCGAATCGTGCTCGCATGTCCAGCACCAACTCATTCATCTTGGGGATAGGCATGCTCAAATCGTACTTGTACACTGAGCCGTACTTGCCTGCTGCCTCGGGAATGGACTCACGCAGAGCCCAGAGAGAGCCTACTTGCGTCTCGTCCTGAGCCATGACACCGTCAGTGATGGAGCCGCCTTCCATGAGCTCCTCCAGGAGCCCACTGAGCTTCTCGTCGTCGTGGTCCTTGTTGCTCCCGCTTGTCTCGATGAGGACGTAGAAGGGATGGCGAGCTTCAAAGGGATCCTTTACTCCAGCCGTGGCATGCCCTTGTACGAGCTCAAAGGCGTCCTGATCGAAGAATTCAAAGGCCGACAGGATCTCTCCACAGTGGCTCTTGACCTTGCCAAAGACGTTTTGCACTGCCTCGAAGGAGTCGAGGGCAAATACGGCCACGTTCTGCGCCGAGGGTCTGCGGGGTGTGACAATGGACACGCCGGTGATAATGCCAATGGAGCCTTCGCTGCCGATGAAGAGCTGCTTGAGATCGAAGCCCGTGTTGTCCTTGCGCAGGGTACTTAGTCCATCGAGGATCTCACCGTTGGGGAGCACCACCTCGAGTCCGAGGACATTGCCGTGCAGGGAGCCATACCTGAGGAACCTCAATCCTCCTGCATTGGTTGCTACATTACCACCAATGTGGCAAGAGCCCTTGGCTCCAAGGTCCAACGGCATCATGTATCCCTTGGGAGCGATGTGATTGTCGAGCACCTCGAGAATGCATCCCGCATCGCACACGAGGGTGCCCGACACTTCGTCAAATTCGCGAATGGAGTTGAGGTTGGCAGTACTGATGATCACCTCGTCCTCCACCGGCACACTTCCTCCTACCAAGCCCGTGTTGCCTCCCTGGGGTACCACTGCGATCCTCTTCTCGTAGCAGTACTTCATGACATCTGCTAGCTCCTGGGTCGTCTTGGGCTTGAGGACACATTGCGAGTGGCCCTTGTACTTGTTCATCCAATCCTGGTTGAAACCGTCCAGCTCATCGGCTTGTACGGGCTTGACGCCGCTGGAAGATTCAGATGGAGTGATGGTGGTGATAATGGAAGTCGAGGGTGAAGACATGAGAGAAGCAAAGGCGGTAATGTCCTCGCCGGAGAGCTTCGCATAGGGCGTGTGGGTGGCCTCGGTGGCGAGGCTGCGAGAGAGGGATAGTGGAGAGGTGGGGACGAGCATCTGTGGGCGCTGCGCCCAATGTGTCCGACTTTGGTTCCTGGTGTTGCTGTTAGTTGCCCTAGATGGCGCTGCTGCGAGTGTGGTGAGGGTACGAGTGGCCCTGGGAGCCGATGCTTCTGCATTGCGGAGGCAGGCCACGGCGGCTCGTCGTGTAGCAGGGAGGGTCATGAGTGGCGGGGCTGGAGAGAGGGGTAGAGTGTTTGCGGGGGCAGGGGGTAAGAAGGATGTGTAGGAGGGGCGATCCTCTTATCTTAGCTGGCGGTATCTGGCTATATAAGGTCCCTTGACGGCGATGGAAGGTCGCTTTGGGGCAGATGGCAATCGGTGATGGTGACTCTGTGAGATCGGTGAGGGGCCGAGCGGGGCTGCAGTCAATGGCTTGCAGGGCTCAAGGCACATCGGAGCGGAGGCGGCCATCGACGGAAAGAGACCGAAATCTCGGATCAGACGGCGGAAGGGAACACAGACGCAGGCAGACGAGGGAAATTATTGAGCACTTCTTCGCATCAGAGGCAGGGCCACTCATATCACACCCATCCTCACCAACGAGACATCATGGTCGAGGCTACAGCAATGACCGCAGAAGCACCACAACAGGGACAGGTCGCAAGCACGTCCTCCACGCCCACCGCCTCTTCTTCCTCTCCTTCCTCTTCGGGACCCGCCATCGATCAATTGGTGCTGGATGCAGGCCCCCTCCTCGCCCAATTGCCCCTCCGCGGCCTGGCAAAGAAGTACTACGTGCCTCCCTCGGTCATGCTCGAACTCAAGGACAAGCACGCCCGAGACCACCTTGAGTTCCTCAGAATCTCCGGGATGGATCTCGAAGTGCGCGAGGCGGGACCCGAGGCCTTGGCAAGGGTTATCGAATTTGCAAAGCAGACGGGAGATTATGCTGTGCTCAGCAGACCTGACTTGAGCGTCCTGGCCTTGGCCTATGCGCTCGAGGTGGAGAGACACGGCACTTGGAGGATACGTAGCAAGCTGGGAGGCAAGACTGGACAGCAGGAGCACGAGGCTCAGAGACTGGCAGAGGCCAAGAAAATCGACCCCGAGTCCTCTGTCCGAGCCGAACCGACTGCTACGCCAGTGGAAGCAGGGCAAACAACAGAGACTGCAGCAGGCGACAGTGGCGGGGAGGAGGAAGAGGAGCTGGAGAATGATGGCGGCGAAGCGGCGGATGAAGAAGAGATTGCCGCTGCCATTGCCAGACTTGACCTGGAGAGAGCGCAGCCTGAATCTCAGGACAGCTCTCACCGGGCTGATCTAGGCGAAAGTACATCCACCTCAGAAGCCGCTCCCCAGCAAGCTTCAACATCACGCCGGAGCTCCACCTCGTCCTCCAAGTCTCAAGATGACGAGGAAGGATGGACCACTGTCCCCTCTTCTTCGCGGCATCGCCAAGAAGAAATAGCGGCAGACTATGGAGGGAGCGATGGAGAAGGCGAGTGGGTCACCTCGGATAACATCCTCACACAAAAGCACCGTGATCTGGGACTGGTCACAGACGAGGCAATGACTGCCATGCGAGGCGAGCCAGCACCATCTCATCCTGGCAAGCGCGGCGGCGGCAAGAAGGGCAAAGGCAAGGGCAAAAGCCGGATGACCGTGGCTACTATGACGGCTGATTATGCCGTGCAGAATGTACTGCTACAGATGGGCATGGCGCTGGTCAGCACAGAAGGACTGAGGATCGACAAGGTCAGAAGCTGGGTGTTGAGATGCCATGCCTGCTTCAAGATCTGCAAAGACTCGGAAAAGAAGTTCTGTCCCTCGTGTGGTAACCCTACCCTGATCCGGACATCGGTCACCTCTGCTGCTCCCGTTTCTTCGTCTTCTGCGACTACGAACAATGGTCTGCAGCTACATCTGAAGAAGAACTTCCAGTTCCGCACAAGAGGTACCAAGACTTCGCTTCCCCTGCCCAAGGCCGGCTCTACGACTTCGCTCAAGGACCCACGCAATGCCAATCTGATCTTGCGCGAGGACCAGCCGGAATGGCAACGGGCGCTGAATCAGGAGAGAATCCGTAAGCAAAAAGAGCAGAAGGCTCTGGAGAGGCAGTTGGAAAAGGGCAAGGATACATTGAGTGCCCGGTACGAGGATCCGGACTGGTTGCCTGGGCTGCTGAGCGGCGGTGGAGGAAAGGAGATGGGCGGGCTGCCAGATGTGGGCTTTGGCAGGAGGAATAACAATCAGGCAAAGCATGGCAGGAGAAGGAAGTGAGGTTATACTTGTATCGATATCTCTCCACCGTCGTGGCGCTTTCCACAAATCTCAACCAGCTAGCACCCGATACATTGAGCTGTGACGACAGGTGTGTCTTCTGGCTCGGGTGCCTGAATCGACTACGTGCGGAAACGCGTACGCGTCCATTTGAGTGGGCGGTGGCGGCGGAGCGCGAAAGCCAAAAGGCGAAAGTGTGCGTCTCCTTCCTTTCGCATCTCCTCGTCCTCGATAAGTGGCAGCATCCTCCTCGTCCTCGTCCTCCTCCTCTCCTGAACCATCCTACCATTGGAGGTGCTTGTTGGGCCGATTTTGGTCGCTGTCATCGGCGCTCAACATGGCATCGACGCTGGCATGGCCGCGGACGCCCTCTACTCCCTCCTCGTCGGCCTCCTCTTCTTCCTCACGCCTACCTACCAATGCCTTGTCCTCCTCGCCGCCACCCCACCCAGCATCCTCTTTCGAAGCTCTGCTACGGACGCCACCCCCTTCTTCTTCCTCGTATGCTGCCGCACAAGGAGTCTATACCCCACCATCATCCCCGCCTCTCCCTCCCCTACAACCTACGCCGACATCGTCTCGGACATTACACCTTCGCTCCCCTCATAAGCCAGTAGCCCATCCTGCTCGATCAACTGTTCCTCTGCCAGCTTCTTCTCCTTCCTCCTCGCGGAGGAAGCAGCAGCTGATCGTCAAGGGCAATGTCACACCCTCGCGCGCCTCTGCCTTTTTCCACCCAAGACCACAACGTCGAGATGCGCAAGGCCCCTCGTGCACTCCTTCCTCCACCCGAGGGTACTATGCCTCACTGACGGCCTCCAGTCCTTCAAGCCATACTTCGGCGCGAAGAGGAGTGAAGAGGCAAAGGAGGCCAGAGGAAAGCATACCGGAGTCGCCTAGTAGTAGTCGGCGCGGGAGGAGGGATCGAATGATGCTCGAGGGAGAAAGTGCAAGGCACTGGGATGACTCGTCTGATGATGACGATGAGGCAGGGCAGATGGGAGATCGGAGGTTGTTTGATTGGGGAGCCTCAGATGACGAAGATTTGATGTCCTTGGCGACGTCTGCACCTCGTTCGATGACGAGGAGAGGACCTACTTCGCCATCCATAGGTTCAGCAGCTCGTAGGGCAGGTCTGCCAACTTCACAGCCTTCGCGGACACGGCGACAACAGCGGACATTTGGTCTTGACGATGAAGCCACGCCCTCCCCTCGTAAGCCAGTACCGATGGCCATGAGAGGCAGTCAAGCTGGTGTTGACCTTGCCAGCGCCATGGCTACGCTGCGATGTGGGGCAGGAGCCGGAGCCGGAAGGGGAATGAGTGCGATGAACGCTATACGCAATCGAGGTGAGTATGTCTGTGGGATGTCATCGGCGAGATGATTGTATTCCTGACGATTGCATTCCTGACCTCGAACCTACACTCTACTCTCCAGTGTCTCATGTCCCCGCCTACCAAAAGTATCGGTCACACCCGGATCACTCCATCTATACCCTGCCGTCTTTGGCAAATGGCGGAGAGACACTAAATCAACCTCTGGCCTGCGCCTACTCGTACTCTTCACGCTCCTACACTTCATCTCGGCAATGGCTAGCTGTGGGGGACAACGAGGGAGTCCTCTCTCTGCTGGACACCTCTCGCGACCAGACATTGTCAACATATCGCTCGATCCACGATGGCCCGGCAGTTGACAGGCCCACCTGGCAAGCGACCATCGGCAGTCTCTTCTCCGTCTCTTGGCGTTTTGACGATGCGTACTTGGCCAGTAGTGGCTCAGACTACACCACAAAAATCTGGGACACATCAACGCTATCATGTGTGCACTCGTTCGTAGGCTCCAGGGGCACCTCGAGAGCCATTGAGTGGGACCCGCACTCTGGCGGCAATCTGCTCGCAAGTGGCGGTAGGGACGGTGCGATCCACGTATACGACTTGCGGATGGCGCAGAAGGAGGCGGTTATCTCCACTGACAGCACAATAGCCGACGACGCAGACAAGCTTGAGCCGACATCGCCTCTACTCTCCCTCTGGTCTGCCCATGCTCCATCGCCGGCACTCACTGCTGCTGGCTTCCGCGCTAGATCCAATACGACGGCAAAGGGCGTGACGAGTCTCATCTACCACCCACATCGTCCACATGCCCTCTTCACAGCCGGCTGCGCCGACGCGACGATCAAGCTGTGGGATCTCAGGTTCGCCGTGGACAGCGGGGCGGAGCAGCACCGTCAACAGCAGCAGAGGGGAAGCGAGGGTGTCAAGAAGGCTGGCAGCAAAGTTGCAGGAGAGCGAATTCCCTTTGCTGACCTCAGCGCTCTGACGAACACCACCAGCACGTCGACCTCGTCGAGTAGTTCCTCCGCCAAGCGCAAGATCCGCAAGCCGCGCAAAGCCCGTCCGGGCGACCCTTCCTTCGTGCTCTCCTCGACGGTCAATGCCAACCCAGAAGACGCTTCCAATGGCGGTACGGGCTTGGCGTCAGACCCACTGGAGATCAAGCCTCTGTACGAGAGTGGCGACCTAAGTCTTAGCGTGGGCAAAGGGTGGAATGCCCGATCCCACGGGATCAGCTGTCTTGCACAAGGAGGAGGGAAGATCTTTGCTGCAGCGACCGACGGGAGGATCTACTCGCTGCCTCTCTCTTCCCTCTCCCCTTCTTCCTCCTCTTCCTCTCCTCTAGGAAGCTCCCTCCCTCCCGCATCGGCGTCATTTGCAAACGAGGAAGAGCCCACAGTCCTCTACCATTCAACTCAGCTGGGAAATTCCCTCTACAATCGACTGGCACTCTGTCCCGATGAGAGAACACTGGCCATTGGGTGTAACAATGGAAGTGTGGTGCTCTGGGATACAAAGGCGAGGAGCGCTGCCGTGCTTGGCTCTGATTCTGGTTCTCGTTCTGGCTCAGGCTCGAGGGGTGGTGCGACAGCGGCGAGGAGAGATAGAGGAGAGGATAGTGAAGAGGAAGAGGACGAGGAAGAAGAGAACAGCAACCCCTTTTCCCGCCACGGTCTCCGTCGCCACCCCGGTCTCGCCACCTCCAGCTTTCTCCCCTCCAGTGGACGTGGCAGCACCGACAGTGGCAGTGGCAGTGGCAGTGGCAACAGTATCGAAGGGCATCGTCTCAACTGTGAGATCAATGCCCTGGACTGGTGCTTTGACGCTTATGCTGGTTGGAGACTGGCGACTTGTGGGGATGATATGACCGTTAGGGTTTGGGAGGGGGAGATGTTTGGGTGAGGATAGGAGATGGGGAACGTTACATTCAGGAGATGGAAGTGGAAATCTATCACTACTACTACCATCCATATTTCGCCTGAACGCTTGCTATTGATATGATATGATATACTCAATGAGGGAAGGGAAAGCATCCCCCGATCCTTCATTCTAGTCTATTTGCTTCCCCAGGCCTTGCCCACACCATGTCTCCTCAATTGCCCTCCAATAGCTCCCCCCATCTTATGCTTCATCTTCCACTCCTGATGTTTTACATTATTCGCCAAGATCTTATCCTGTCTATACCCAATCTCTTTCGCCTCTACACTACTCTCTGCAGCTTTAAGTCTGCAAGGTCTACTACCAATGTATTTCCCCTCCATCTCCTTCCAAGCTTTCAGGTAGTCTTCGGGATCAGCAAAGGAGACGAATCCATATCCTCGCGATTTCTCATCATGTTTACGCCGTACGACTTTAGCTTTGGAGAAGGAAGGCCATTTTTGAAATGCGCGAGCGAGGATAGCATCATTGACATCGTTTCCCAGATCACCCACAAAGAGACGCTTGTGTGCTGGATTCCACTCTAGCAGCGTAGGGTCCTCGTATGCCCCTTCGGGACCGGACTTGAGAACCGTCTTGCGCTTCTCTCCACGCTTGAGAGTGCCAGAGAGGGGATTTCCAGAGGCGTCCTTGGGACCAGCAGAGGCAGTGGACTTCTTCTCCCGGATGGGACCTGTAGAGGAAGAAGGGGGCCCGGCTGCAGAGGTGTAGGCGGACGTGGCGGTGGATATGGGCTGGAAGGTGGATGCGGATGATGAGGCGGGATAGGGAGCGGCGCTTGCTGGGGCTGCTGCTGCACCGGCGCCCCCTTGTTGTGGGTAGCCATAGGTGGCGTAGTAGCCGTTGTAGTCAAATGCCCAGTTGTTGGCTGCAGGATCCCAATAGCTGCAAAGGGTGGCACAGGAGGTGGGGCAGGGTCAGCATCGAGAGACTAGAGGTGGGGAGTCTGACCATTGCAGGCCGGTCTGAACTCACTAGAAGGGCGCGTAGGGGTCTGCAGACGTCGACGAGGATGCAGCGGCTTGCTGACCGCCGTAGGGAGCAGACATGCTGAGGTGGTGGAGTTGGTTGTGGTGGTAGCGGAAGGAACGAATCGATGGAAGGCTGCAGCTGCACAGACACGGAAGGGGAGGAGAAAGTGGGCGAGGCCAGGATGTCGGAACGGAAGGTGGACCGCCAGTGTGACGGGTGCATGTGTGCGTGTGCTTGTCTGGCCAGTGCGAGGACGCCGGAGAAGCAACGCAGTACCACCAGCACCATCCTTGGGACCATACTACCTGCTTCTCCTCTTCCTCTACCATCATCATTGCTACCACTTCCCGCAGCTGGCTTGACCCTCGTTGCACACAATGTCCGACCCGCTGTCTCTCTCTCTCGACCTCCTCCGGAGACTTCCCCCTTCCTCCATCTCCCAAAACCTCGACACCCTCGTCTCCCTCTTCCCCGCCCTCGCAGACGACCTCTACTCCTCCGTAGACCAACCCTTGCGCGTAAAGATTGACAAGTCTGCACAGGGGGCAGGGAGAGAGTACCTTGCTTGTGATTACAATAGGGATGGCGATTCGTGGAGAAGCCCTTGGAGTGGAGAGTATGACCCCCCTTTGGAGGATGGGACGAAGCCTAGTAAGGGGTTGAGAGACTTGGAGATTCGAATGGGTGGAGCAATGGAGACCTACAAGCAGCTGTGAGTCGCAGGATGGGAGAGAGGTAGACCCTTCAAGTACACGTTCGATGACTTGACACTTCTGATCTTGCCCCACCACAGCTACTACGATACGGCGTTGTCCTCGGTGTACCTCTGGGACCTCGACGACGGGGCATTTGCAGGTGTGGTCCTCTTCAAGAAAGGTGAGCGAGCGAGCGAGCGAGCGAGAGGCCTCGCCAACACAGGTCTCCCAACATCTGACCGTATACATTTCCCTCTTCTGCCTCCAGACATTGACCCCACCACCTCCTCTGACCCAAAGAAGTCCGGCACCATTGGCCTATGGGACTCTTTGCACGTATTTGAAGCCGCACCAGATCGCGCAGGACGGAGCGCCTCGTACAAGTTGACCAGCACCGTCATGCTCTCTCTCGGTCGGCAAGAAGGGAGCAATGCCACCGCCTCTGGCTCCTCGTCATCAACCCCGAGCGCTGAAGGCCAGCCGACACTTGGAAACGTCTCCCTCTCCGGCTCCCTCACGCGCCAATCGGCCATTGAAGCTCCCCTTCTACCACCCACCTCCTCCTCCTCCGGTCCAGGCAATTCTCCCTACTCTCCTTCGCACATCGCCAACATTGGTAAATTGATCGAAGACGCCGAGGGCAAGATGCGAGCGCAACTCTTGGAAGTCTACTTTGGGAAGACGAAGGATATATTGGGATATGTGCGCAGTGGTGAGGATTTGGAGAGTAAGAGGAGGGAGGAGGGGGTAAGGAGGGAGTTGATGGGATTGTGGAAGAAGTGAGTGTGGGGAGTAGGAGTGACCATGAGACGTGGGTAGATGTGAAGATTGTGGAGATACACGAGATGGGACAGCACAAGTTCTGATGTGCAGTCCAATAGCAATGATAATGAACAACGAACACAGTACAAGGACAATTGATCTGGCTCAGCTCGTCTACGAGAAGTCCTCGCTCGCTTACTCGCCCACACAATCCGCCCCTTCCTTCATGAAGCGGATTGTAATCGACTTGCGCTCCTGCCGAGGAATGAAGAGCGCTTTCCCCCCTCCTCTTGCCCTCTCTGTAGAACCTTGACCCTCCCCTTGACCCTTTTCCTCTCCCTCGAGCTCACACTCGCCCTCCCCTCCATCCTCTCCGTCCCGCTCAACCCAATCGCCCCAGCTCTCCTCAATCCCGTGCTCCCATTCCCAGCGCGCCTCTCCACTCAGCACGAGCACGGAGCGCGCAGGAAGGTAGAGGTGGTGTGTGTGTGAGTATGATTCTGGTTGGGGGTGGGGTGGCTCTCGCTCTCGCTCTCCGTCCTGAAGAGGTCGAGGTCGAGTTCGAGTTCGATGACGAGGCCGGAAGCGCATCCCGATCCCTGCGCTGAGAGAGCAGAGGACGATGCCGTCTGCGAAGCGATGTGGGAGATCTATGTGCGAAGCGAGACCTTGCGGAGGGTGGTACCTATTGAGGATCAATTGACGACTTTGCAGATGGGGAGGTGGACGGGGATGTGGGCTTGGATGTGGTTGTGGCTGTGGCTGTGAGCCGGAGGTGGGTATTGAAGGGGAGGGAAAGGTGCTGGAGGAGCACTCGGGGAAGAGCATCTCCCACACTTCTTGCGGAAGAGCAGCAGCCGCAGTGGTACTTCTACGACTGCTACTACCCTCCGTATCGGTACCAGCACAACTCCCTCTTGCATCCTCATCCTGAGCCTGAGCCTGAGCCTGAGCATGCCCCTTCAGCAGCCCGCCTAAAGCCAGAACGAGCTCGTCCGCCCACTTCGGCAAGCCAGTACTCCACCCATGCGCCCATTCTTGCCCGTCAGTGGCAGTGCCGGCGGATCGAGGTCGTGCCCGTCCAAAGAGCATAGCTTGATTCCTCTCTGCTCCTCCTCCTCCTCCTCCTCCTCCTCCTTCTCTTTCCTGCTCCCTGGCTATGCGAGGATCGGGCAGGATAGATAAAGGAGAGAAGTACCCTTCCCTGTCAATCACCCTCAGCAGCTCTCTCTCTAGCTCCAAAGAGAGGAGAGAGGGGAACAAGTACAGTCCGGGGATGGGAGGACATGTTCGTGCGTAGGTGGAAGTTGTGGCCAAAGAGGGGGCAGGTGGTGAGGGTGAGGGCGACCGGGAGGAGAAGAGGGAGCCATGACTTGAGGCAGAATTTGAGGAGGATGTGGATCGAGAGCAAGAGCGAGAGCGAGAGGGGCCAGCCTCGTACTCCCGCGGGAGCTGGTCCGCTTCCTCCTCTCCATCGCCTGCGGACACGGACGGTAGGTCGTGTTGCTCCCTCCCGGCTGGGTGCTCCGAGCTCTCTTGTGCGTGTGTGAGCAGAATCTTCGATCCTCGTCCCGCTGCCTCTCCCTCTCCCCCTCGAAGTATCAAACTCGCCAGGTATCCCTCCTGCCTGGCATCACTCCTCCTCCCTTCTGCTTCCTCTACCAGCATCGAACTTCTCCTTCTCTTCATCTTGCTCCTCCCTCTTTTCCACCGTCGATCATTCCTCGTATCTCCTCGTCTGGCGAGCGAATAGAGTAGAGCCGCAAGAGACGTACAGCCGATTGGCGCAGATGCAGAGGGCGAGCTTGAAGACCTGTGACTTGCAGGAATTTGTTGCAGAGAGAACGGAAGGAAGGAGTCGTCGCGGCCACACTAAACGTTTAGAAGAAAGCGGGAATCACGAGTGCCTCAGATCAGATTGCTCGACAGACAGCACCACCAAGTGAGATGTTCGTCACTCCTCTTGATCTGCCATTCAACACCGTCTGTTTGGCAACAACGCTCGATCTCGCAAGATGCACACAATTGGATACGATACTGGCTTTGTTTTGTATTCCGCGAAGCCGGCGACTCTGGCAATTCTTCAATCTACAATGAGCGAGTGTGCTCTCGCCAGCCCACACCCATCGACGACGGTGGACTCGCTACAATGCCGAACTTTCCTCGCCCTCACGCTCTCCTTCCCCGCTTAAACGCTCTCCTGTAGGAGAGCATTCAGCCTCCTGACCTTTCCGGCAACGGACAGGTCCACGGATCGGTCCCCAAAGTCGACGACGAGTCCACCCTGGATGGAAGGGTTGACCTTGTGGTTGAACTTGATCTTCTGTCCACCAGAAGCCTTGGCTACGCCTGAAGAAGAGAGGGCCTGCTCCAGTCGCTGAGAGTGGGACTTGTCGAGGGGCTGCGGGGGAAAGCAGGCGGGGAAATCCTGTCAGCAATCCTCGCACATACAGGGCGGTATATAGTTGGAGCTTGCCTTTGCTCCCGTCTTTCTCTGTACTCACAGCAGCGCTAGTGATGGTGACCTCTACCTCTCCCCTGTGAGCGGCCATGAGCCTAAAGAATTCCTCTACAACCTTCTCCGCATCTCCCAACCTTCCATTCTCGGCCAGCACCTCGAACAAGTTGCGAGTGATGGTGTCCGACTTGTTTCCAATGAGCTGTTCCAGCCCGGCGACCTTGTCCTTGTTGGACAGGGTGGGGTTGGAGATGAACGTCTGCAGCTTGGCGGCGTCCTTTGCATTGGGGCCAAGGTTGGCCTGCACGGCCTGCAGGTCCTTCTCTACGGCTTGGAGGGTCCTCTCGCTCTTGCCAAGGGCGGCAACGTAGGCAGATGAGGCGTACTTGCCTGCAAGTGGAGAGGAGGCAGAGGAGTAGGCGTTGGAAGGATGAGCGGGAGGTTCAGGGAATCAGAATCCTTGGGGCAGCGCCGTATGGGACAACCGTCTACTTTGACTTCAGACTCACCTGGCAGACCGTTGAGGAGAATGGGAGGCTTGACAGCAGCCTGAGAAGCGTAGCCTCGGGTGGACTGCAGGATGAGCGGACAGGTGTATTATTGGAAGGAGTTAGCTTCTGGGCGAGGGATGCTGATCTTCCATCTACGATCATCTCCCCCCAGGCAAGCGCTGTAATGGCGGTCCTGCTCGGAATGGAAGAGGTGTCACTGACCTGCTGGAGTGCCTTTGAGAAGATGCGTGCGACCATTGTGATGTGTGGAGTAGCAAGGGTATGAGTGGTGGTGTAGACGTGAGCGACGATGGAGCGAAGGGCGACGAGAAGGCCGTCCGCCCCTCCGCCTGCTTCGCCCGAAGCCAGCCAGGAGCGGAGGCAGGCAGGCGGGCGAGGCAGCCCAGGCTGGACGAGGGCCGCGCGCGGAAGGGACTCGCTCGCTCACCCAGCCAGGGCCTCAGCCACCCGCCCGGCCAAGGACTTCTACGTCGGACGAGCGGAGCCGCGTGGGCCTATCTCCTCGACGCACCTACCCAATCCTTCCTGGCACCTCTTACTCGATACCCTCGCACTCAGCAATCATACAGGCAACAACGCCCAAGGAACATCTGCTGTACACGCAACCTCGGACTCAACCTACCTCTTCCCGCCCACTCTTTACCAATACCTCAAGATGCCAGGCGAAGGTGCGTTGCAAAAGAGGGACGAGCAGCAGCAGCAGCAGCAGCACGGCGCGTGAATCAGCCCATGCGGAAGAGGAAGGATCGCGGAGGTAGGGGAATGAAAGGGGTGGGCATGGCACGTCTGGGACTACGGCAACCGAGAGTGCGACCAATAAGCTCCGCCGACGATGATCAAAGGTGCCAAGCGTCCTGCGGGGGAGTCGAAGCGCTACACAAGCCGTATCTCGAGCGCGGGTGCTGAGCCAGCGAGATCGGAGCCAGGCGGACCTCACCGTGTCTGGGACGAGCCTATGTCAAAGCCTTGGGCGGGCCTCAGAAGCTCATTGGAGAGGCCTGGATCATACATGCCAGGCTACAGATGCTCTGAGATCAGCAATGCAACACAAGATTGAGGCAGTGAGCTGACAGTCTGCTCCCCCTCCATCTACCTCCACAGGCTGGCTCTTCCTATTTGCCGTGCTGGTAGCAGCCGCGCTCCTCTTCACCATGGTCTTCTACGTGAGTACAAGCATCAGCAGTCTGACTTTGTCCATCTTCGCAGACTCAAGCTGACATTGATCGTTCCCCCTCACACCATTGCACTCTCCCACCCTCTCAGATCATCATGTTCTCTGATCTCGAATGCGACTACATCAACCCCATCGACCTATGCAACAAGCTCAACCAGGTGAGGATCGACGCGGCGGTCATAAATGAGAAGGAAGAGACAGAGTGTGATGAGCGTGGCCAGCTTCGCGCCATCAAGCATGGGCTAGCTTGAAGGCGGGAGTCTGGAGGTGACGGAGAGGCCGGAGTCTAGAACGCTGCTCTCATTGTCGATGCAGGCCTTCTGGCTTGTGGTCTGGACAATCCTAGCAGACAGATAAGATCGGGTATGCTGACGCTCCTTACTCTTTCCTATCAGTTCACTCTCCCCGAATACATTGCCCACGCCGTCCTCACCACGCTGTTCCTCTTGACTGGGCAATGGGTGGCATTCCTGCTCAATACACAGCTAGTGGCGTACAATGTCAACAAGTACGTATAGTGCGACGAGACGGCGCTGAAGATGGCCAGAGTGTTGACATTTCCATTGCTTCTCCCATGTCTCTCTTGCAGAGTGATGAACAAGAACCACTTACTGGACGCGACAGAAATCTTCCGCACGCTAAGTGGGCACAAGAAGGAGTGCTTCTTCAAGCTGGGCTTCTACCTATTGAGCTTCTTCTATTACCTGTATAGGTGAGTACTGCAGTTTGACATTGGAGCGTTGCCGAACAAGCCCGTTCTGACCAGCACGCCGGTGATTTGCCCTGACCAGAATGATCGTTGCGCTGATCGCGTACGCCTAAGGAGAAGATCCAAGCTCGGGATTGTCACGAAGGCTCGCTCTTATTCTCGCTCTTTCCCACTCATCGAGCTTCAGTCCCTCCGCCATTGTCGTATCCCACCCGCGTTGGTCGGTCGCCAGTTGTTTCCTCCACTCTTCTCCTCTCTCCCTGTCCTCCACATCTCCCATCCTCCCCCTCTCCGCGTCTGCTCTTCCAAGTTCGCAGACACTAGCATTGATGAAACTTTTTCAGAGGATTTGGCCTGACGTGGCATGGCATTGCTGCTGTGAGCAATGGTGACATGATTGTAGAGGAGGACTGGAAGCGTCGCGAGAAGGAGACCAGTACGGGAGAGAGCTGACGGAGACACGAGGAGGTCACCATCTTTCCAGGAATACTCAGAGTTGGTGTGGGCGCAACAGAGTACACACAGCATTGCTACATTCGTTTTGCCTTGTGCATACAAGTCAAAGAAAGGAACATGCGAAGGAAAGAGGTGTACAGGGGTGTAGGCCTGCGAGGTCGTTGATGCTTGCTTAGTCATCCATCGGAAAGAGAGTCGGAAAGAGGTTGTGTGTGAGTGTTGCTCTTACTCATTCCTTCCTTCCGACTAGCTGCCCTGCCTCTTCGCCCTTGTCAGCACGATTCTCTGTCACCATGGCGTCCCTCGCAAGTGCAGGCTCGTCACTGGTTAGAACTGTACTGTACCCATCTACATCATCGGCGCAACATGTCTGCCAAAGGCGTGCCCTGCACATCTCTTTGCGGCAGTGCAGTCATGAGAATCCCCTGGTGAGTAATGATCACTGCCTATCCCAGCCTGCCAAGAAGCCTTCGCTGAACCCTCACCCCTTCTTCACCCTGCCTCATTATGTTCTTCAGGGTCTTCCCCGCAGTTCCGATCCACCTCGTCCACCCAAAATGCCCCAGCGCTCCCGTGGTGGCCCACCTGCAAAGCGCTCCCTCCCCTCTGTCCGTCGTGTCCTCGCAGTGAGCAGCTGTAAAGGCGGCGTAGGCAAAAGTACCGTTGCTGCCAATCTCGCCTTGTCTCTCCTACGCTCACCACCCGAGGGAGCGAGTAGACCGCCTAGAGTCGGGTTGTTGGATTTGGACATTTTTGGACCTTCTGTGCCGAAGTTGCTTGGATTGGATAGGGGGGAGATGGGAGCGGAGGTTACGAAGGGTGAGTATTGGCATTGGCAGGGTATTCCCCTGGGTCAAGATATCTCACGGTGGAAAGTTTGCAGTACTGAAGCCTTCCTAGTCTCCCCTACGATCCTCAACGTACAGCCGGCGCCCTCATTCCGCTCACAAATCATTCACTTCCAACAATGAGCATGTCCTACCTCCTCCCACCGGAGCAAGCCTCCTCGCCCATCGTCTGGCGCGGTCTGATGGTACAAAAGGCCGTACAGCAGCTCCTCTTCGACGTGGACTGGCGAAGTGGTGCAAGACCTCAGTATGAAGGAGAAGAAGGTGCTCAGGAGGGGCAGCTACCAGAGCGCGAGCAGGGAGAAGAACTGGACGTACTCGTCATTGATATGCCGCCTGGAACGGGGGATGTGGCTCTCACCCTCACGCAATTGGTCAAGATCGATGGAGCTGTGGTGGTCAGTACGCCACAGGAGGTGGCACTGGAGGATACGAGAAAGGGCGTGGAGATGTTTAGCAAGGTCGGCGTGGAGGTGAGTCAGGGTCAAAAAGTCAGGGCTGACTGTGGCATTAGAGGATGAAAGGTATTGACATTTCTCCACCTGCTCCCAATCTGCACTTCTATGCAATAGACCACCGGTCTGATCCTCAACATGGCGCACTACATCCCTCCTCCACCCCTCCCACAAGATCCACTCCCACTCTTTGGTCCACCCGAACCCTTCCTGAAGCTAGCCGCTTCGCTCCAGCTGCCCGTCCTGGGTCAGATCCCACTGGAGCCAGCCGTCAGTGCAGGAGGCGACAGTGGTTGGCCCGTGGCTGTGCGTGGGGAAGAGGCAGGAGGGGCAACCCGTAAAGTCTTTTTGGACGTGGCGCGCAAAGTCTGGGAGTCCCTCTTGAAGAGCAAGAGCCAGCAATGAGACGAGGACCAATTCCTCTTTTCCCACCGGTCGATCTAAGTAGCCATTGCTGCGCCCTCTCCCCCTCTCTCCGCTCCAGACTCTGCTGCATCTGTGCCTCCGACGCCATTGGGTAGCTGCGTGCCATTCACCTCGGCCTTTCTGCCCTTGCCAGCTGGATTGCCGCTCAAACGGCTACGCAATTGAGCGTACTTGGCCCTCTGCTGCACACTGACACTCGGTGAAACCTTGTCCAGCGCCTCGAGGAAGTGCGTCTCGGTGATGACCACCTGCAGACCGCCACCAAGGCCTCCTTCAGCCAAGCCCCGAGCAGGCTCGAAGTGCTGACCATCGATACTGGTGCCATTGAGCTTCTGCCTGCTGCTGCGCAGAGCTTCCTTGAGCGCGCCCACGGCCGCTTCTCTTGCCAGATTGGCAAGATCCGCTCCGGAGAAGCCCTGCATCCTAGCATCCTCAGCAAGTCGACCCAACATGGCCTCATCGCCTCCCGCACCGTTCCTCTGCAGGGGCATCTTGGCAGTAATCGTCTTGAGAATCTCTCCTCGCTCCTCCTTTGTAGGCAAGTCGACATAGAGGAGCTTGTCAAGCCTGCCTGGACGACACATTGCCGGGTCGATCATGTCCGGTCGATTGGTAGCGCCAATGACGTAGACTTGTCCGCGGGACTCGAGACCATCCAGCTCGGTCAGGAGGGTATTGACCACGCGGGAGGAAGATTCAGAGAGAGAATCGTCTCGCCTTGGAACCAGGGCGTCGAGTTCGTCGAAGAAGATGACGCAGGGGGAGGAGGTACGAGCTCGAGAAAAGACTTGACGTACTGCTCGTTCCGATTCTCCAACGTACTGTCAGAGCGGGAAGAGAGAAAGGGAAAGTGGGAGACAATGGCAGGGGAATGGTCAGTGCTCATGCTCATGTAAATACACAATCTGCAGCTTGCTCTCTCGAATCTGCCTTGCTCACCTTGTTCAACAGCTCTGGTCCTTTCACCGAGATGAAGTTTGCCCTACTCTCATTCGCAACCGCCTTTGCCAAGAGGGTCTTACCACACCCAGGTGGACCCCACAGCAGGACACCACTGCTAGCCTGTACTCCCACGCTGGCGAACAGGTCCGGTCGACGAATAGGCTCCACAATGGCCATGTTCAGCTCCTCTCTCGTGGCATGCAGCGCCCCAACGTCACCCCATGATACGTCTGGCACTGTTGCGAACCCTTCGCGCTTGGAAGAGGGTTGAACAGTGGGTAGTGCGGCGAGGAAATCGCCATTTGTAATTGAGAGTGGGGCGAGTTGCTCTTCTGTTAGTGGATTGGGGTGAGAGAGGAGAAAGGCTGCAATGGGGGATTGGGAAAGGGCGGGTGGGAGAGGATCCAAAGAGCGGGTGGGCCGAGGAGGGAGAGCAACAGCGCCGTTCACCTGTGACTCTGTCGTTGTCGCTGGCGTTGCCGGTGTCGCTGGTGTCGCTGTCGTCGTCGTCGAAGTGTCCTTTGCTTCTTGCTCTGGATTGTTGCCATTGGTCATCGGAGCCTCTGCCTCTCCTTCGCCCATCTCGACGTCCGCATTGCTTGCCTCTCCTGCTGCGACTTCGCCTCCTCCTCCATCCAGTAGCCCGAGCTGCACCGGCATTTGTCCAAACTCGCTAAAGATCCTCTTGACAGCCAGAATTCCCGCCGCCCCCGTCAAGGCATTGAGATCTGCACCCACGTATCCCGGAGTAGCTTTAGCGAGTGCCTTGAAGTCAAAGTCTCCGCTCAACCTCAGCTTCTTTGCCAGGACCCGCAAGATCTGCTCCCTCCCCGCCTCGTCCGGCACGCCCAGGGCAATCTCGTGATCGAACCTCCCCGCCCTGCGCAGAGCAGCATCGATTGCGTCTGGTCGATTGGTAGCTCCGATGACCATGACGGCTTTACCGCCAGTCTTGTCCCAGCTCAAGTCGTCGAGACAGGTAAGGAGTTGAGCGACAATCCGGCGCTCCATCTCCCTACCCGCCGTCTCGCGCTTGGGGGTGATAGAGTCGATCTCATCGATGAAGAGGATGCAGGGGGCGATACGAGCCGCTTCTTCAAATGTCTGACGTAGCGTCGCTTCGGACTCGCCAGAGGTACCGCTGACGATGGAAGGAGCAGAGATGGACAGGAAGGGCACATCACAGTAGTTGGCAATCGCACCAGCTAGCATCGTCTTTCCACAACCGGGCGGACCGTGCAGGAGCACACCCCGCGGAGGAGTCATGCCGATGTAGTGGTACACTCCTCCATGGCGAAGAGGTAGAGCTATGAGCTCCAGGACCTTTTCGATGGAAGAGGCAATCCCGCCCAGATCCGCCAGGGAAGTCGAGGGGGGAGCGTACTTTTCTGCAATTGCAGAAGGATCGGTGAGAGCTTTACGGGAGCGCTTGGAAGAGGCAGAGGTGGATGTAGGGGTCCGAGCTTCTTTGCGCTTGCCGGAGGTGGAAGAGGAAGAGGCGAGGGGAGTAGCCGAGGTCGAAGCTCTTGCTAGGGTAGCTGGGGATGCTTCGCGTGTGCGAGGAGTAGACGAAGAAGGGCCCTGCTCGGCCGCGGTGTCGAGCCCATCTATTGACCCACTGGCAGAAGCCATGACGCCGTTCACTCCTTGTCCTTCGGCTGCTGAGGCTTCCTGTCCAGTAGCGGCTCCTCCATCCGGTCCTACCTCGAGGGCTCGAAGGGCTGCAGCTGCTGCGCTACCGGGCGGAGGTGGGGTAGCAGGCAAGGGCGAGTTGAGGCTGATCTTGTTGCCGCGCCGTGTGGAGTGGTGCTGTGACCATGCTCCAGTAATGGAGCGATTCATTCCGCTAGACCTCACAAGGAAAGGAAAAGGAACAGACAAGCCAGAGGAATGCTGGAAGAGGTCGTGGTGTATTGGTAGAGTAGTGCAGTGGGTGGTATCGTCTCGCTCTCCCGCCAGTCCGCTTTCCGCTTTGACTCAAATTTTTCTTGCCGGAACGGAAGCAGGCCGTGTCGCGACGACGCCTCGTCACGGCACCTCCATGTTGACCCTCTTGCAGCACCTCTTCCTCACTGCGTCTTGCAGATTACAAGAAGATGAAAGCGCTGCTGCAATGCCCCTTGTGATATCTTTCGACTAGTATAAAGTTAGCGACGAGAGGACCAGCCTTCGTCGTGTACTCTGAGGTGCATGTAGGTCACTCCTTTAAAGTGCTGATGCAGAATTCAGGCACGGAGCGCCTGGCGCCAGGGTGGGAAAGCGCAGACAACGTTGGACATAGGTCAAGTGAGCTGAGGGGTGGGCAGGGACGATATTCCAGACGTTTATGCTGACGCCCTCAAAGATCTGAGTGTTCCAATGATGATGGTGTGTCAAAGGTCAAGGTCGAGCTCATGAAGGACTACACATAGGTTTTGCCCATACTCTCGCGACCACCCTTGCACAGTGCTTCGACGCTCTACTTGCCGCCCCTGACAACCCCACTCGCCTTGACCACTGCGTCCTCTCCAAAGATTCCAATGACTGCAAAGGCCGTGTAGAGGAGCATGAGGGGGTATCCCACGAGGAATCGCTGCTCATTGAGATGCAGTACTGATGCAAAGATGCCTGAGGACGAGTATGACGACCAGAAGATGAAAAAGGGCGTAATGATGGGTAGCAGAGAAGCTCTGTAGAGTAGTAGGAGGGCGAGCCAGTGGGGAGTCAGCATCGTCAAACGAGGCTGTCGCGATTTGCAGCGAACTTCGTCACTCACCCTCCAAATGCTCTTGCCAAGACCCCCAACGAGGCTAGCCCACATAGCGGCAGCAAGCAATATCCCAACACGCTCATTACTCGGTAGGCGTCGATGCCATCCTCTGACATTGCATTCAGCAGCAAGTAGATCGAGAGGGAGCCTAGCAGAGCCACTCCGTAGATGTATCCGAAGTGCGACTTACCCGCCTGAAGAATGATTCGAGGTCGAGACCAGACCGGCAGAGATGTGTCAGTCTTCGGCGAGGGGGCTACTGTCGAGTGCCTTGACACTCACCAAAAATAGGAGGATACCAAAGACGAAGCAGAACAGCAGCGGCCCTGCCAAATCTGTATCATCCATCATGTGCGAGTCCCTTTGGTGATTGGGCGAGTACCGATGTAGCGGATTCAGTACGACGAGACTTTTGCCCACGATATGAGGGAGATTGACTCCCAGCTCTTCCATCAGCGAAGGCTCATCAGGAAAGCCTCCCGTGCCAAAAGCAGACCAAAAGGACATCTGGGAAGACATGTAGCTCCTCTCCGCTGCAGAAGGAGCCGCACCACCCCCAGCACCGAATGCTCCAGCAGCGGAAGAGGATCCTCCGCCTGCAGCGGACATGTTGCCTTCTAGCGAGGAGCGACTGTAGCCTGCCGTTGACGATGGGCCTGAACCTTGGGATTGTCCGCCGGCGGAATAGAATTGAAGGTTGGAGGAAGAGGGGGCAGAGTATGGATCGGAGCCGTAGGAGGCATTGTAGCCCGATTGAGGTGGGAAGAGTGCAGCCATGGTGGAGGAGTCCAGAGGGGAGAGATACGGTAGCCTTGGTGTAGGGCGGAGGGTGATGGTGATGGTGACGGTGGTGGTGGTATTGGAAGGATTGGACGGCGGTAGCTGGCAGCTGCTCCACTCGGGCCACCCGCCAGAGAGCAACACACGCTTCCCTCGCGCAGGCCATGGCTGCAGCAGGGCGCTTCCACTCTTTCGCAGTAGACGGTCACCATTCCACTCCTTCCTCCTCCCTTGGGCGTCCACACAACCTCATCCCCTACACCTCGAGGCAATGCTGCCATGACAGTCTGCAAATTCTACCTGCAAGATCGTTGCGCCTTTGGCAATTCGTGCAAATTCGAACACCCAGCAGACAAGCGCGCAGCAGCCAATCTCGCCGGCAGCGGTCCTTCGTCGTCTGGGGGAGGAGGATTCGGAGCTGGCAATTCTGCCTTTGGCAGTGGAGGATCTTTAGCTGGTCGCTTTGGAGCAGCAGCGCCTCCTCCCACTTTTGGAGGAAGCTCTGCCTTTGGCGCAGCAGCAGGCCGTAGCAGCATCGGCAGTGGAAGCGGCAGCGGCAGTGGCAGCGCCTTTGGATCGTTCGGAGGGGGGCCATCAGCCTTTGGGGGTGGGAACAACAGCGCCTCGTCGCCATCGGCATTCGGATCAGGCACTCAGCGGTCAGCCTTTGGAGGAAATGCGAGCACTTCTAGCCCCTCGGCGTTTGGCCAATCGGGTGCCTCACAGTCCTCTGCTTTTGGCGCCCCTCAACAGGAGAGTGCATTCGGCGCTGCCAGCTCACCTCAGCCCGGCGCTCAGAGCAGCCAAGTCCCCTCGCACGTCGCTCCAGGTCAAGTGAATCTCTCTCAGCAGACAATAGAAGAGGACCTACGACTAAATCGTCCCTTGTGGCGCTCCTCAGTCTTCGGTCCAGCCAAGTATGAGCCGAATCTGATTGCTGGTTGTGATTTCTCGCAGGACGAGCTGAGGGTGGAAGCGCTGCAGGCCATCTCAGCTGGAGGCAATGCGGTACAGGAGTACGTCAAGAAGGAGGAAGAGGCGTTTGGGAGAGGTGACGGAGCAGTTCAGCAGGCATTGGGGGACAAGGCACAAGCTGTGCGGCAAGCAGAATCAAATCGGGCACAAGCACTGGCTGCCTTGAAAGGAGGAGCGCAGACAACGAGTACACCTTCGGCATTTGGTGGCACACCCAGCGGACCTTCTGCCTTTGGAGCATCAACCACACCTGGACCATCTGCATTCGGCGGCAGTGCAAGTCAACCAAGCGCATCTGCAACTCCCTCTGCCTTTGGATCAGGATCAGGTGTAGGGACATTCGGTCAATCGACGACTACGGCCTTTGGCAGTCCCTCGGCCTTTGGCAGCCCTTCCGCCTTTGGACAGCAGTCTGCCTTTGGCTCTTCTTCTTCTACCGGCAATACCAGCGCATTCGGTAAGCCACAGGCCTTCGGCACTGCTGCTGCCCCATCAGCGTTTGGGAGCAACACTGGCGGTAGCGCGTTTGGTGCTCCTCACGCAACTCAGTCAGGCTTTGCCTCTTTCGGCTCAAGCTCAACGAGCAACCCTTCTCAACCAACCACAACAGCATTCGGACAGAGCGCTGCCGCCACTCCATCTGCATTCGGTCAACCCTCCGCTTTCGGTTCCGGCGCCGGTGTCGGGACCTCGCAGCAAGCAGGTAGCAGTGCCTTGGGTCAGCAAGCTGCTACTTCGAGTGCATTTGGTGCATCAGCGACATTCGGATCTGGTACGGGGGCGAGTTTCGGGTCCCAATCTCAGCCTCAGTCTGGGGGATTCGGCACAGGCGCATTTGGCAGCAGCGCTACCTCTGCAACACCCTCCCCTTTCGGCTCAGCTGCTGCTGCTGCTGGTGGTGGTGGTGGTACTGGTGGTGGTGGAGCCTCCGGAGGGTTCGGAGCAGGCAGCACTGCTCGAACTTCCGCATCGTCAACAAGTGCCAGCCGGGACCCATATGCATCTCTAGCTCCCAAGGAAGAAGATCTACCGGAAAAGGTGCGGAGCTTGTTCAGATTGGACCAATTCGAGTGGGGTGCAGTGCCCGGGGTGGAGCCTCCGTTGTCAGTGAGATGAAATGAGATGAGATAAGACGAGACGAGACAAGACGAGACAAGAGGGGGCGATTGCCAATGTGCAGTGGAGTGCAGTACAGAGAATGATCATGTATAATACAACTTCTATTCCGTTTCCGTTTGATTCCAGCTTGTACGACGTGTTCTGTACTCCACTCTTTCAGCACGATCACCCTAGCTTAGCCAAAGTACCTCACTTTCCCTTTCTCTCCACCACTCGCCCTCCGTCCTGATACCGTCATCGTCGCACTACACTCCCCTCTCCCCTCCCCCCTGTCCCCCTCTTATCCTCATCCTCATCTCCCATCCCTCGCAATTGCCGCCCAGAAATTCGTATCAGGTTCGCATCCCACTTGGAGTAAATCCGCCAGGAGCGTATTCCAACTTTGGGATGGCTCAATGACCGCCGAGGGAGTTTGAGCCGTTGCCGCTGCTGCTGCTGCTGCTGCTGCTGCTGCTGCTGCTGTTGCTGCTTGGGATGGAGGAAGGAGGGCTTGCTGCTGCTGCTGCTGCTGTTGCTGCTGCTGCTGTGATGGGAGGGCCTGATCTAGCTGAGAAGACGGAGCAGTAGCGGTAGTACTACTCATCTCTCCTACACTCCCGCCAGCATTGTTCCATTCGTTGCCCTGTTGCCATCCAGCAATATCTAGATTGGTAGCAGTATGCGAAGCACTTTCCATCTGGTGCAGCCCCTCCGCTCGCTGCTGCTGCTGCTGCTGCCGTTGTCTTCCAGTGAGGAAACCAGCTAGATCATCAGAGAGATTGTTGAGCCACTCGTCGGCGTGTGAAGTCGCGGTGGTGATGCTCATGGGCGAGGTGCCGCTGTGCAGGGCCGCGTGCTCCGTGAGTGGAGAGATGGACGGAGCAGTGGCTGAGTGGGTATCGTCGTAGCTGGAGCTGTTGTTTCCTTGCGTACCTGCGTGAAGCGTGGGGTTCTTGACAGCCTCGACACCTTTACGTCCAGCTGCTGCGCCTCTCGCTTGAGCTGCCTTCTTTCGACTGCCTCCACTGAGGGTACTACCTCCTCCAACGAGCGGTAGGTGATGCTCTGCAACCGATGCTTCACGCGAGTCTACCTTATCAGTAGTCCGACCATCATGCGTCGTACTCGTCAAGCGCTCTTCCGTCTTCATCTGCAGCGCTTCCAGTAGCTCAAGCTTGCCAGCCCATACAACGTCGCTCCGATCGGGTCGTGCTCGTCTCAAGATCGAAATTGCTCTCCTCACGTCGTCCCAAGCGCCGAGAGCGCTCACGCTGGAAGGCTCTTGAAGGGTGTGGAGACACTGGCAGACAGCGGCGTTGAAGCAGTGGTGCCAGAAGAAGTTCATTGCCTTGCTCAAAGTAGGCGTCGACTCTAGCACCGACTGCGCCACATCGATGAGGGAGCGACTTGACTCTGAGACTGCTACTACCGAACGCGCATAGGGAGAATCGAGGATGTCGGACTCTCTACTGCGATCATTTGACTTTTTGCTCCTCAGAGCACGAACAAACCATGGCCGGTGGAGGTGTAGGAGAGACTGACTGATGTTGGCGATGGCCGTGTTGCCCTGCAGGAAGACTTGGACGTCGCTTTCAGCCGCCTGCTTGTGAAGGAAGTCGTACGACTCGCTGCTGTCTTCTGCATCCTGGACCGCCTCGAGAGAAGCTCTACCAGCGGTGGACCGGAATCGCGTCGGCAATCGACCCCAAAGTCGTCTCAGTGAGCGATCCAGAGCTAGGACATCAGAGTATGCGGGCGAATCAGTACGCTGCCCTAGGTCAAGAATGCGATTGAGGATTCGCGCAGTCTCGTACTTGATCTCGTGAAACGTATTGGTCAAGCTCGTCTTGGCAAGGCCACGAGTGGGGAAGGGCGTGTCGCAGTGCTGGTCTTGTACACTGCATGGGCGGCCGTAGGCCAACGACCGGAAGGCATCGTGGCAGTAGAGCTCCCAAAAGGCTTGATGCCGGCTTTGCAATTCCTCGTCAGAGAGCTGACAACCCCGCAGGGCCGACCCTCGATGAAGACCTAGAGTCACTGCGGTCCTCATTGCCATTCCCACCAGAGGAAAGAAGCTGTCGGCTTTCGAGCCATTTGCGCGATTGCAGAGGTACTGGCCCAGAATTTGCATCGTTTGTACCTGCTCGAGACAAGGGGAATCTGAGAGGTTGGCTAAAGCACACGCAGCCCAGGAATGCTGGTAGTACAGGTCGCATGTTCTATTGAGCTCTGCCTGCCGCAACGGAGAGTGACCGACATCAAAGAGTGTACCGACGCAAAGCACACTGTAGAGAAGAGCAAGTCGAAGAGGACGGCGGCTCCCTGGGGTTTCGGTACCTCCGTAGAATTCCTGCCAAAGTGAAGCTAGCGAGGGCAAGGGATCGTAGAGCCAAGCTGCATTCTTTCGATAGATCTCAAAGGCCCTTCTGGCGTCTCGCAAGCCAGGCAAACTTGCACCAAGCTGCTGAACGATGACATCAGATCCATAAGGCGATGGCATCCCAGGGAATACAAGAAAAGATGCAGGTTCTCTGAGGATCTGCTCTCGACAAGCTCTCTTGGCGCTGCCTGACATCCCGCCCCTTTGAGACGATGAGGCTTGGCTGCCTTCGGGACTGAAGGACGGTCGCTTCATGTGTGACGCAGGAGAAAGCTCTCCACGAGCTGCTGTCATTTGGGACGCATCTCCATTGAGGCCACGTAGAGGCGGCAGCGCCAAGGATGGACTCGCTCGACCAGCAAAAAGCTGTGCAAGATTGTAGCTGTGAGATTGAGGTCCATAGAAGCTGTAGCTGCCTTGTGCGTTCTCTATCAGCAAGCCAGCATCAACGCTTGCTCTACGTGAAGATGGAATTGAGGTGTCCGTCGCTGCAGGATTGGCATCTTGGGTGGCAGGCTTGGAGCCAGTGTGTATATGAGCAGAGGAATTGCCGGTGAGGGACCGGCTGGGAGGCGAGGCAGACTTGGCATGGGCAAGAGACGCAGAGCGATGTGCCGAAGTGGGAGCTGATGGCAGAAGGGACTGTTGACTAGAGCTCCACCGGTCGGCATGGGGACGACCGAGGGCTTGATCGGCCAAGAAGAGGATCCCGGTAGAACCTTGTGCTTGAGGGGACGTGAGGTGAGAGCGAGAGGGCAGAGCGACTCGACTACGAGATTGAGATCGGTCCTCATCGTGCTGCTGATGGCGATGTAGGCTTCGAGCACGCTCCAAGCTGTCATGCGCTAAAGACGGTCGAAGAGAGGAGCCAGACGCGGTAGCTTCGCCATTTGTCTCTGCTTCGATGCCGTCATCCGGGGAGTGGGAGTCGGAAACGCCGGCAGCTGCCCATACAGGTTCCGGCGCAGGACGAGTGATGTCCTGAGGCTGTCGAGGCTGACCTGCAGCTTTTCGCTTCTTGTACGGCCTTGTGGAGAGTTGTCCGTCGGGACAGAGGTGGGAGAGGTTGCGCTGGCGGCAGGAGTGGCAAGGCCAAGGAGCTCTGCTGCACTTTAGCTTCAGCCGTGAGCACTCGCTACAGGGCTTTACCTTGTGCTGTGAGGCTGCTTGCCCAGAGGAGTCTTGCTGACTGTTGGGCATGCAAGCGCCCCTTGTAATGTGTCGAGTGCCGGGGCTGAAATGAAGAAAAGGCAGCGGTAGAAGGGCAAGACGCGGGACGATGCCTTGCCGGACAGCCGGAACTCCAGCCCCACACGCCCGGAGTTTCATTTCGGATCAGAGCCTCGGGAAAGGTTCATCATTTGGAAGGCAAAAGGCGAGAGGATGTAGTAGGATCTGTACGATACTGAAGGAGAGCCGTGAAAGAATTCGATCAAGCAGAATGTGAGATACTCGTCTATTGTAGCACGTAGCGCGTCACTGTCGCCAAAGTATGCGACTGTTTACATGTCCTCAATGAAGATCTTGACCACCGGTCTACCATCCTCGCCCTTGCCCTTTGCAAACGTCTGGAAAGCCTCGACAGCATTCGCAAGCGGAAAGGTATGCGAAATGACACTCTCGATACTGCCTCTCTTGCTTGACCCAGCCGCCAGAGAGCCACCTGGCGAGAGCATCTGAATGGCGCCGGTATAGATGCCGGCATATCGGAAGACTCCTAGAATGTCGACCTCTCTCAGGGCAGCAGCGCCAATTGGCAATGTCTGTACAGGAGTCCCCATACCAATGAGCACGATCCTTCCACCAGCCCTGGCAGCAAAGATACCAGCTTGGACGCAGGAAGGCACACCAGAGCATTCGAAGACGGCGTCGAATCCTGCGCTCGGAGGTGCAGCAGAGCCATTCACTTCACCTGTGCTTGCCGCGGTTGGGATCTTGAAGGCGTCCAAAAGACTTGCTGCTGTAGCCTGAGCAGCGGCGATTGTTTGCTCATCCTCCTGCATTCTTCTCAAGCGTGCATCGGTCTCTACACTACCGCTCGCAGCAGGGGCCCCGCGCGGCAGCAGGTATGTCTCGTCTGCCCAACCATTGTCCACGGCAAACTTCAGGCGATTGGCATCGATGTCTACCGCTGCTACATATCTTGCACCCAGAGCCTTTGCAGCCGCACATGCCAGAAGGCCGACTGCGCCCGCTCCAGTGATCAGGACAGACTCCCCAGCCTTGAGGTTAGCTCGGCGGAACCCTTGCAATACCACGGCCAGAGGTTCCACGAGGGCTGCTGAGCGGAAGGAGACGTCAGATGGGAGTCTGCGGGGAAGAGGTAGGCGGACAGTGAGGCATGAGTGGGAGGTCCTGTCGCGGCCAGCATCATGGCCTTCGGAGCTCACTCACAGGTGCACAGCCCAGTAAGGCCAGTTGAGGTACTTTTGAAGGGTGCCGTCGAGGTGCGGAAAGGTCTTGGCAGAGCTTGCGAATCTCATGCCGGAGCAGAGATTGTATCTGCCCTCCTTGCAGCGGTCGCAACTTCTACACTGAATTCCCGCCTCTACGGCTACCCGGGCGCCGACAGTCAGATTACTTCCTGTCGGAACCTCTGAGCCGATTGCAACGATTTCTCCCTGCAGGGCCGTGGGTGACGACAGGAAGACGCTTTGGTTAGCTGCTAGTACCTCTTAGCTCCAACACAACCAGTCTCTCCCGGACTTACCGCACTCTCGTGCCCTAGCGCCATGGGAGCTTGCAGCGCAAAGGATCCATTCCGCCCATGAGCAAAGTAATGTGCATCACTTCCACACAAGCCTGTGGCACGAATGCGAATCTGTACCTCTCCAGGACCTGGTGCTGTTCTTTGTCTCTCTTCCTGCAGCGAGGTCCGGGGGGTGAGGTGTCGTGTGAGCACAAGGGTCGCCTGTCGCTCTTCTGTTGCAGTCACTTACAATGCGAAGGTCCTTGGCGCCATGGAGCACGGCTGCGATGTTGGTCGATTCTGTGGAAGTGCTCATTGTGCCGTCTGGTAGAGAAGTGTTTGAAGTGATGAGTCAAAGGAGAAGATGTGTCGAGTGGGAGTGTTGGAGTAAAGAGGTGCGAGCGAGCGAGGGAGCCGTGGCTGCTGCAATGCGGGGTAAACCCCAGCGTGGTTGCTTCTTGTCCCCTTTGCCGATTCTGTCCCCCTTTTTGGTCGGCGCGAATTGACCGAAGCGGGCCTTACCCGGTCCCTGGCACTTCCGTTCTTCCCGTCACGTCGACGCTCTTCGGAGTTGGAAACCAGGCAGCAACGACTTTTCCGAAAAGTGCAGCCGCCGCCTCCCCGGAGAATGGTAATTCCAGCCGGTCTGCTGTGGGGAAACAAAGGCGGGGTGGTGGTGGTGGTGGTGGTACAAGTTGCTGCACTGGCACTCGTACGTCCCTCCGTCGTGATACTCAACCACTCAACCCTCCACCATCATGTCCTTCTCATACCCACCTCAAGGAAAGACCGCCATCATGTGAGGACCCCGGCTGACAGGCTACTCATGAGGCAAGCAATCCCATTGACGATTTCCCCTTTCCCGCTTCTCTACCCATTAGCACCGGTGGCTCGTCAGGGGTGAGCATCAAGGAGCCACTGAGATTGTAGCGAAGAAATGTCGCTCACACTGCACTCCGTAACCTCTTCAGATTGGTCTATCGTGCGCCAAGGCTCTCGTCGCAGCAGGATGGAATGTAGTCGTGTCCGGCCGACGTGAAGCTGCTCTACAAACAGCAGTCCAGGAGATCGAGGCGACCTCCAATTCGGCCACGGCTTCCGGTAAAGCTGCCTACCTGGCAGGCGATGCTTCCAAGGAGCAAGACGTCATCGACCTATTCGACTTTACCGTCAAGACGTTTGGCACCGTCTCCCTCGTCTTTTGCAATGCTGGCATTAGTCCCCCAGCTACCCTGATTGAGGATTCCAACTTTGCAGACTGGCAAGCAGCGGTCAACACAAATCTGTCTTGTGAGAAGCCGGAGCTATGGTAGCCCTGGAATGTGCGCAATGGATACACGAGACTGACGTTCATTCTCTTTCTGGCTCTACAGCGACCTTCCTTTGCTCTCGCGAGGCCTTCCGAAAGATGAAGGACAATGGCGGAGGGTGAGTCGGCGTGAACAGCACCCACTTCTGGAGGTCACTGACTCGGGTTGACACTCTCTTTGGTTCGTAGGAGGATCATCATCAATGGAAGCATCAGCGCTCATGTGCCTCGGCCAGACTCAGCAGCCTGTGAGTAGATCTCAAAGAGACACAAGGTATCTCTAGCTGGACCTGACGCCCTCTGACGCTGCCCCCTCGATCTTCTCTCAGACACGGCCTCGAAGCACGGCGTGACCGGATTGACCAAAAGTCTGGCCCTAGACGGCAGAAAGGTGAGTCTGTCACGCGGCAGAAAAAATGCCGCAAACCCCACCGCACCAGCCCCAACTGACTCGTCCCCCTTTTGCGCTCTCAGTACAACATTTCCCTCTCTCAGATCGACATCGGCAATGCCTCTTCAGACATGACGACCAAGATGACTACGGGACCAGGCGTGAAGCAGGCCGATGGATCCTTCAAGCACGAGCCCGTCATCTCCAGGGATATTGTAGCTGCAGAGGTCAGGAGCATCGCCGAGCTGCCATTGGAGGTCAGCAAACTCTGGGTCACCATTCTTGCCTCGGGAATGCCGAGCATGGTGGGAAGGGGCTAGTCAGAATTCAATTGGTACCTAGCGTCATCCTCATCCTTTCTCGTCGTCAAGGTCATTGTCACACATGAGCGAAGCGGAAGTGAAAGTTTTGGTATTGAGCTATGATGCCGTGAGAGTACCATCTAGCGTGTTGTAGACTCTTCCAGATAGCCCATTAGTAGCCATTGACTGTGTCTACCAAGCCTTCAAAGGCACCCTTTCCATCCAACAGTGCCTTTGCATTCCTAGCGAACCTTGCCGCAAGCAGAGGTGCAATCATGTCTGGCGTGTCAGCCGTGTGAGGGGTGATGATCAGATTGCCCTTCTGGTCAGGCTCGAGCTCCTTGTCGAAAGAAGCACCAGAGTCCCTCTGCAGACTCCACAGTGGGTGATCTGCTGGCAGCGGCTCGGGGGCTGTCACATCGAGGCCTGCACCGGCGAAGCTGCCCTTGCGGAGAGAGGCGGTGAGGGCATCGGTGTCCACTAGCTCTCCTCGGGCGACATTGACCAGCACTGCATTCTGAGGGAGTAGCGCGAGCTCCTTTTCGCCGATCATGTTGCGGGTGTCGGGTGTAAGCGCAGCGGCAATGACCAGCACATCAGTCTCGGGCAAGACGGAATGGAGCTCCTTGAAGGACCTGACGATGAGGTTCTCGCCGTCCTTGAAGCTCGAAGGTACGGCAGAGGGGTCCAGAGGCTCGGCCTTGCGTCGCAGCACAGTCACCTTTACGTTAAAGGGCTCGAGCAAGGAGATGAGGGAGAGGGAGATGCCTCCTGCTCCTACGAGGGTCACCCGCTGGCCAAAGAGGGAGATACCAGAGGGAGTGCCCCAAGAGGTAGCTCGGACGCGCTTCGGTAGATTGCGTAGGAGGGATAGCGTCAGCATGAGAGCATGCTCTGCTACGGGTTGTCCGAATGAGCCCTGCCAAAGAACGAGGAGGAGAAGTAAGGTCAGCGTATAGTCAATGGGCGTACCTTTGGGCTCAGGTAAGATTCTTGTTGCTCACCTTTGCACTCGTCCAGACCTTCTTTCCGTGTCTCTCAAAAAGGGGTACGATGTTGTTGATACCGGCCTGGCACAGCTGTACCCAGCCAATCTGTGGGTTGTCATCGAGGATCTTGCCCAACCTCTCAGCAGCGGGCGGACCTCTCACGTCAAGCCAGACAATGGCGCGCGTATCCTTGGAGAGCTCCTCGACCTTTGCACCGGGGACATTGTCGAGGATGTTCTTGACGTGGTAGGAGTAGAAGGGGTCATCGGTGGGCAGAATGGCAATGGATCCTGGAGGTGGTAGGAGGTCCTTTGGCACAGCAGCCTCGGACGCCAGGATGGATCGGTGTGCAGTCTTTGTGTTGGACGAGGCCATATTGATGGTAGAGAGCAAGGGGAATTCTCTGAGGCTGAGTGGACGTCTTTGTCAAGTACAGTCGTGGTTTGTAAAGGTAGATGCAGAAAGACCACTTGCTGGAATGATGGGTGTGTGCGAGCAGTGGAGCCCCGCCGGTCCTTGTGGTCAGGGCGGGATTGCCGAACTTTTCGGCGGGCGGCAGCCAGAACGCCGCGCAGACGCCGGTCACACGTCGGCTTGCGTGTCAAGATGTTCCGGTCCGAGCGACACGGGCCACTTGAGCTTTGGTTGCCGGAGCCGCTCCTCCACCAAAGCAGACCAGACGATGCGGGTAGACTTGAGACACCCAGTCCTTCTTGGCTGGAAGGGAGGAGAGGCTGGGAGTCTACAAGGTACACGGAGCCACGCATAGGGGCTGTGGGTTTCGACTTCCGACGGGCAGCAGCCGCCGGTTCGCTTGTCCACCTCTCCAGAGGAGAACCCCTTCTCCCCTCACCCCCACATCAACACTTTCGGTCGATGTCCGTAGGCCCAGGGCAGTCGGCACCTCCCAGCTCTCTGATACGCACGTCCCTTGTGCATCAGGGTTTGTCACAGCACTGCACTCATGTCGGAGACCATTTCTGGAAAGAGGTCGCAAAAAGAGCCAGAGGCTGTACCCAGTACCTCTACAGACTCTCGTCCAGATTACACATTCTCCTTCCGGCCTGTACAGGTCACGGCATCCCCGAAGAAGAGGTACGACATGAGCCTCGTCCCTGATGCTCTGATTGATACTTTGTTGGAGCAGCGAGGCCTTACACCCGAAGTTGGTCCATCAGTCTCTATGCGCTCCACTACCCCAGAGACCACATCTTCTCCTGCTGCCAGAGAGACAATCACTGAAGGTGCCCCGCAAATGGAGTTGGACATCAAAAGAGATGCTACGAATTTTCGCTATCCCGGAATATACGAAATGTACACAAACGCAACCGTCGACGCATCTGCAAAGGCGGTCATGGCATCATCACAAGTACGCGGAGCGTTCCGCCTTCTGAATGAAGACCTGGACGAAGGGAAGCGAGAGTCTGTTTTGGTGAAGAACATCTGCGACCTGAGCGCATCAGTACGGCGTGAGCTTGGTGCAGAGGGATCAGACTATGGTGAAGTGACAGCACTGGAGAAGTACCGGATGCGCAAGGTGAGATGGCCAACCCCCCTTGGGCATGTCGAATTCTGCTGATCAGGAGATCCCTTCAGCCACTGTCCATGATCCAAGGACAGGTAAGGGCGAACGTCGTGATAGACAAAGTGGACATCGTCATCCCTCGCTCAAAGAAGGCAATGGCCATTAAGACTGTACCAAGCGACCCCCTTGAGGCTACAATCGAGTGTTGCTGGTCAAACGCTCTGTCTTTCATTGAAGCGAAGGTGGAGAAGGCATGCGACTTGAGAGATGAACTCAGCCTGCAGTGTCTGCGCTACACAGTGAGTGACGACCTGTCACGACAGGGTCCTGAAATTCACTCGCTGATGCTGACGCCTTCGAGGCTGGTCGATAACCGTCAGCGCAAGATCTTCCAATATCAGGCTCCCTGCTCACATGTCCACTTTGTGACCTGGTGTGCGAACCTGGTGCGGCTCTGGGTTGTCAACGCGTCTCTCTATGGCTGCTCCCGAGGCTTCGACACTAGAGATCCAGAGGACCAATTGGAAATCGTCAAAATTCTACGTTTCGTGAATCTGGAGCAATACTCGACACAGCTCTGCGGTCACTGGGACGTCAAGACCATCAAACAACTCAGTCTCGAACCCGATACTGTCGCTCCCGGTAACCCCCTTTGCATTAATCTCGCAGGTCATCTGCAAGACCTCAATGTACGCCCCGGGCCCTTTAGAACACGGACTGCGGTCCTCGTCGAGCAAACTGAAGCAGCACAAAAACACATGCTCAAAGTCTCTTGGCAGGATCCACATCTGAGATTACATGAATTGGCGATGATGCGCGGTGTCGCAAGCTTCAGCGATGAATCCAAATTACCTTACGCGGCGGTTCCGCTTGGTCTGGCATTGATCGAGCCTCATGACTTCCAGACCGACAACTCGGCGCCTCTGGAGAAGATAGGTACCCTACCACCTCACTTCACGACTCGCGTCGTTTGCGCTCTCGTCTACAAACATCATCTCGGAGACTTGATCGGCAGACAAGTTCTCCCACATGATCTCGTACATATCCATGTCGAGCTTGCACGGCAGCTTTTGAGTCTGGCAAAGCACGGCTATCATTATCGAGACCTGAATGAAGGCAATGTCCGCCTTCTACGGGGCTCAATCAACACTCTTCTCCTGATAGACTTGGGCAACGTGCGAAGAGATTTGAGTCCGCGAGGGAAATCAGGCTCAACCGATGCGGAAGCCATTATCGAAAGAGCCAGGGACGATACACGCTCCGCGAATGAATACTTTCTGCCTACCTGCTTTGTCGATGCCAAGAAAGCGATCAAAAAGTGGAATTCTGAGGTGACAAGATCAAAAGTCGTCTTCAAGAGCGCTGTTGACAGTGACGCCAGCGATGGCCTTCAACTCGGACTGTTGAGAGTCTCAGAGAGGCTCTCAGACCTTCACCAGGCTTTACGAAGCCAAGCCAAGTACAGTCATCGTTACATAGATGACCTTGAGAGCGCGACATATCAGCATTTCTGGCGCGTGAGTGCACCATGCCTTCCGATTAACTGCTCGAGTCTTGAATTGATACATTCTCCTTCCACTTTCCTTCGCATGTCCCTCGTTGCTGCAGACGGCTCGCAACGCTGATCCGACAAATCTAAAGCTGGCAAAGCTACGCGAAGCTTTCGAGACCGTCGAGAAGAAGAAGGAGATATGGGACGACGAGACTGAGTGGATCAATGTAAGGAGCACCGGCAATTGCGTTCTGTGAGTGGACACTCACTAAGTTTGAACCTGTCCCTTTGATCGCTTGCAGGCTCTTAATACGCACTGCCCGGATGCGACCTTAGAATGGGCGTCTCTGATGAAGTCTTTGCGGAACACTATTTTCAGCGCTCGAAACAGGCTCACTCCAATCCTTGCAGAGAACTTTGACAGCGAATTCGACCTCGATGCGGTGCGTGTAGACCTGCTAACACGCCAATCGGATGTCAAGATGGACGTCGAAAGGACTCTCTTTGAGATCTTTGACAACAAGGGATTACTCAAAGAGACTGGCCTGCACGAGATTGAGATAGTCTGTTTTGAAGAGTGTATCAATTTGCTGGAAGATGCAGAGATCAGAATGGAGGCGCAGGCGACCTCACAAGGACGACTTAGACGCCCTGAAGCGCCAGCCTGATCGACGGTGGAGCTGCACAACCCAAAGCACCTTGTCCTGTAATGGAGCATACAACAAGCCAATGTACCAATCTCCTTCATCTACCTATCAATTCACTCAGCCCATGCTCGCTTTCGCATACCTTGTCCTTGCCCAACAGCCGCGGTGTAGTATTATTGAACTTGAGCAGCGCCGCCCCCCGCCCCGCCCGGCCCGACCCCACACGTGGGCTAGTTCACACCGCTTTCTTGGCGTCGGCGGTTGTTCGGGGTCCAAAGGGTGCGCTTTGGACACTTTGCCGAAATGTCCTCGCCGAAGGGCAGCCAGACACACCCGGCGGCCCAACGCGGGGTGGAGCGCATACACCCACCCACCTTGTTGAACTCCTGTCATCCTTGCGCACCTTCTTCCAAACCCACAACACCAACACTCAGCTGTGCTAACCATTGCCGTCCACTAAGATGAGCGCATCTCCCTCTGGTCTCAACCTCTTCTCCCTCGGCGGCAAGGTCGCTCTCGTCACCGGCGGCACAAGGGGCATTGTGAGTAGCGAGCACCTTCTTTACCGGCGTCCAAGCGAGGCTGACTGAATGGTACTGACCATTCTTCTCTCCCCCTTTCCAACACACAAGGGTGCTGCCTGTGCCCTCGCCCTCGCCCAAGCCGGAGCCACAGTCTGCCTCGCAGTGCGTCCCTCCTCGACTCCACTCTCGGAGCACCCCGCCCTAGCTCCACTCAAGAAGGCCGTTCCCGAGCTGCAGCACGTCGCAGTAGAGTGCGATCTGTCCGACTTGGCCAGCGTCAGGACGACATTCGAGAGGGCACTCGCTGCTACTGGGGGAAAGATTGACATCTTGGTCAATTGTGGTGGGATCCAGAGGAGGAGTCCTGCTACTGATTTCCCAGAGTCTGACTGGGACGAGGTGAGTGGCCCGAACGACCATCGAGCGAGTGAGCGAGCGACCTTAGTCGACTGAATGGCTCTGTTCGCTTTGGCTCCATACAGGTCCTCGATGTCAACCTGAAGGCGGTGTGGCTGCTCAGTCAAGCAGCAGGAAAGCACATGGTCCCGCGCGGAGCGGGCAAGATCGTCAACTTTGGTTCTCTCCTGACCTTCCAGGGAGGCATTACGGTGAGTGCAAATTCGGTGCAAGCGTAGCATCAACAGCAAAGTCAGCCAACTGAAGCTCGAAGTCCCTCCATGCCCCTCCAGGTGCCTGCCTACGCTGCTTCCAAGGGCGCTGTGGGTCAATTGATCAAGGCACTTTCCAACGAGTGGGCCAGGCACAACATTCAGGTCAATGGCATTGCTCCTGGATACATTGCCACAGACATGGTGCGTTTCAGCTCCTGTATGAAAGATGTTACCATCTCCCTCTCTAACGTCTGCTTTGATCCTTCACCCTTGCCCCATGTAATCACAGAACGAGAAGCTGCTAGCCGACGAGACGCGTCTGCGGCAGATCTCGGAGCGGATCCCAGCAGGCCGATGGGGTACACCTCAGGACTTTGCAGGACCTCTACTCTTCCTGTGTAGTGATGCTAGCGCCTACGTCTCGGGAGAGATGCTCGTTGTAGATGGAGTGAGTGGACATGATGAGTTGCCAGAGCGGCGGCCGCGGACTCTTTCACTGACACACGCACCTCTTTTGGCCTCACCAGGGCTGGATGGGGCGCTGAAGCAGCGACACAGGGACACATGTACACGTGAACTCAATACATTTCTATAGACACAAGGAACAGAAAGAGAAAGAGAGGGAGTGACACTGGGGCCGGTGACATTTCGAGGTAATGGCCCAAACAATCTGCTCCTTTCAATCACTACCATCGACCATGACGCAGGCTTCCCAGAGCTCCTGCTCGCAGAAGAGGAGCAATCGGTACATCTCCCTACTGTCCCTCACCCTTTCTTGTCCCTCCTGGTGCGACTCTCCATCAGCATCGTGCACAGTGACTTTTCCCGCCCAGCAAAAGTTCGCAACACCTCTACCGCCGGGGACGATGACTTTACCGATGAGGGTGCGGCGCACGGGGTCGTAGACGTGGAGGCCGTCCCCGCTGCCCACCCATAGGTTGCCCTGACGATCAGGATGGAGCCCGTCGGGGATCGGACTCTCAGAGTGGGCGAGGAGAGACCTCTCGCCAATGGCCAGTGGCAATGCGACTCCTTCTGACCCTGGGTCGCGGCTCAGAGGTTCAATGGGGTATGTGTATATGCATGCTGGCCTGCTCTCGTCGACCTTGAACTCTCCCATGGCCTCGTTGGGCTCCATGAAGAAGCGGCCGGTGTCTGTTGTGGCCAAGAGTCCCCTGCCAGAGGTTGGGTCTGATGGGTCTGGGATAAACGTGACGCCATTGGCTGAGCGGGAGGGTACAGAGACGTTCTGTCAGTATCAGTTGGATATTCATCACACTTCTTGCTCTGCTCTGCTCTGCTCTGCTCACGCTTGTCGTAGTTGTCGTCGATCATTGTTACTCGACTGGTACTGGGGTCCCAAGCATAGAGAGCATTGGGTGCATACACTTGCTCCCCCGACTTGAAGCTCTGTCCCACTCCATAGTCGGGATCGGTGAAGAAGACGACGCCGCTCTGCTGATGCACGACGACATCGTTGAGGCTAGAAAAAGGCTTGCCGTCGTAGTTGTCTACGAGTACGCCTGCAGTCTTGAGACCAGGTGCTGCTGCGTTGGGAAGCGTGACTACGAGACTCGATGAGACTGGGCGAGCGCCCTCGCCGTCTAGATCATCGCGGCCCTGCTCGCACCACAAGACGGCTTCTTGACCCTCGTGAGTCCAATTGGTTCCGCCATTGGGCATTGCCAAGCCTTCGGGCAAGTCATGGATCGTTCTGACCTGTCTTGCAAGGCTCTGCTGAACCCCCTCGTCAGTAAGTTCGAGACTGGCTAGCACACCGGACCCTCGAGGTGATGGAACAGCATCCAGTGGAATTGATGTGATGGTCGCTCGCTGTCTGGCATGCTTGCTGGGGATCCTATTGCTGGACACGTATACGGTGTTGCTCTCACGTAGGTACACTCCGGCCTCGTGGAAGATGGGATGACCGTCGCTGGATGTGAGCAGGTGACGAAGTGTTGGGGATGGACCTAGGTTCACGAGGCGTACTTGAGTGTCAGAGTGGACCTTGTACCATCGAGCTCTCTCTCTCCCTGTCTTGCGCTACTCACCGATCAGCTTCCGGAAAGCGTCGTCATAGATCTGAAAGCCGGCAGTACTGCCATCGCTGTTGGCTTCGAGGCCGTCGAGGCTGTCCTTGGTCCTTCCTGACATGGTATGCGCTGGTGACGGTTGTGAGTAGCGTGGGGGAAAGGCGGGGTGTGATCATGAGACCCTCTCTTGAGCACCACACCTTCAAGTGGTTTTCGGCGACGGCAGTCATCGCCCTGTGGGGGGATTGACTTTGCCGAAGGACGCGGGATTGTTTGCGGAGATGCGGCTGTCGACGCCACTGGGCCGATGCGGATTTCGGAAAATGTTGCATTTCGGAGCAACGCAACGCGGGGGACTCGAACGGACTCGCAGCTCGCTGAGAAGCAGAGGACTTCCTTGGCCAGGACACTTTCAATTGGGATCTGTGGAGCCGGGGCAAGACGGACATGGCTACAGCAGACAAGAAAGTGAAGCAACAGGTGAATCGGAACAGAGATCGCAGTCGGAACGACGCCAGGCGTCAGTGGCACGGCTTGGCTGGCTCTGGCCGGCCCGCTGGCTGGGACACACATGTGTGCAACCTGATTGGCTTGCGAAGATTGCGAGGAGCATAGCGAGCCTGCGGCCGGCCGACGCCGATGTTGACGGATCTTCACATGGAGAGTCCACCAAGCCTTTACTTCATTCGGGAGCAGGCCAAGGTCACAGATATCGGAAGCATGGCAGCAATTGCTTGGAGGAATGGAGGCGAGCTGCCGCTTTGCTGCTAGGACCATCGCGCGCTGCTTCAGGCACGTTCGTCTGCCTTCACCTTTCTCGTTCAAATATGAGCCCTTCTCTTCCCTTCCCTTCCCTTCCCTTTCCTTCCATTACAATCCCTCCAACTCTCGCTGGTACATAACAATGCCCAACGAGGGAGAGCCACGTCTCGTCCTTGTCCTCCCGGAAGACGGGCCTTGGCCCCTACGACTTGAAACCTCCATCTCATTCGCCCCTCAGCAGGGGTCGAGTGGCCTAGATGCTAACGAACAAGCCCGCACACTACGCACTGCTACCAACAGAGGTAGTGCAGAGCAGGGGTTGAGTGGCCTAGATGCTAACGAACAAGCCCGCACACTAGGCACTGCTACCGTCAGAGGTAGTGCAGAGCAGGGGTTGAGTGGCCTAGATGCTAACGAACAAGCCCGCACACTAGGCACTGCTACCGTCAGAGGTAGTGCAGAGCAGGGGTTGAGTGGCCTAGATGCTAACGAACAAGCCCGCAAACTAGGCACTGCTACCGTCAGAGGTAGGACAGAGCAAGCCTTCGCCCCGGCGAAAAGACCGCGATCTTCTACCAATCATGAGGAGTCCCATACCCGCAATGACCTGTTTCTGGAAATCGAGGACGACGAGGACGAGGAAGTTGCAGACCTCCCAGTGGCACCAAGAGACAGCGCATATGCTGCGGATCTGGCAAGGCCAGCACGCACCTCCAGCACCGGAGTCAGAGCTGGGCCTCGGGTCTCATTCCACGACGATCCTGCCAACGAGCAGTACTCACGCGGTTATGAAGCCAGAGCTGAGCTTCCCAGGTACCCCTCCTTCACCGCCGAAGCTTTCAAGGAACGCTTCTCGTCTATCATGAGCGCCAGAGCTGGGCCTTCAAGCCATCGTGCCTCCAGCGCCGATGCGTTGAGCAACGAGGAGCATTCGCCCATCGCTGCAGCCAGAGCCTGGACCTCGTACGGTGCAGTCTGGGATTCGATCGAAACCCGGATGAAGAGCGACAGGGTGGCGAAGCTGGTAGGAGTCGTACTCGAGCGAGAGGACGTACGAAAGTGCGGCATCAAGACTACGGCGAAGGATGGGGAACACTGCCTTCAATTCAAGATCAAGTACGAGCCTGACTTACAGGCGATAGACCGATTGACGTCGGAAGAAGCGGCCGAGCTTCGAGGTACTAAGATCTGCTTCAAGATCTGGCAAGGCGACACGGCGCTGACCGACTGGCTGCCTCTTCGCAGATGCAAGCCAACGCCTGCCCTCCAGTACTTGTACTGCGAGGCGATGAAGGCATTGTGTGAAGTCGGCGCGGCTACAAAGGAGACTGTCAAGAAGCCCGCCCTGAAGCAAGGGAAAGACAATGGTGCAGCAAACACCCTTGACAAATTTTTTCGGCTCTAGGCTTCTCTTCTGGTGAGTTGCTGCCTCTGACTGAGTTGAATTAGACCGAGCTCATGTCAGGCACTGTGCCCTTGTCGCTGCGACAGGAAATCCACAAGGGCTCTGGCGGCGACGTACGCGAAGGAGAGTACCCTGAACGTTGGGGTACAGAAAGACTTCTGCATTCTAATCGCACGCGTACAAATTTGCGAGATCCTCAAGAGTTTTGAGATCTACGCTCAACAGCAGTCGGCCGTCAAGGCCGCTTGGCTCAGGCTTCTGGAGGGCGAGATCTTCCTGAGTTGCTTCAGGGAGTGCTTTTCGCGAGCAATGGATGCCAGACACTCTAACACCGTGACCGCGTCGATGTGTGCTACGTGGATCATGGATCAAGTTCCTACGATGTCGCTACAAGATGAATTGCGCTCGGTGAGTCAGTCGTACATTTGACGTGGTCTGAGCACACACCGAGAGAAGTCTGTGGAGCTGAAGCTCTGGTATATCCATTACGCCGCCCTCTCCCAATCTTATCTTCTCTCGATGCATCGATGCTCGGGTCGACTTGGAAAACTCAGGTGACGAAGATGCTGCTGTCGATGCCACTGGGCCGATGCGGATTTCGGCAAGTCTTTACGCCCATTCCGAGAAAAGGTGGCAGAAATGCGGGGCACACTCAGCCACGCAGCCCCCCTCGCCCCGCCTTTACGCCCGCAATGGCCCGCGACGAGGCAGACCCCGCAAGCCATCGCCGCCGGCCGATGTCGTCTTTGCTGTTCGACGTGCTGTCCACCTGACCAACAGGGTACAGCATTACCACCACCAGCTGTCATTCTCATTTCGGCAGACACCCCCATCGGCATCCTCACGGCAGCACACAGCAGCGTGAGGATAGCAAGTAGCGGACAGCAGGGCCTTGCCACCCCCTTGTCCTTAGTCAGAGGGGTCACAGCGGCCTCATCCCTTACTCAATCGCCGTCGAGGCCCAAACGGACAGTCCACAGACTGTCTTGTGGGGCAACGCTGCTGTCCATCGGAGGGTCGCAGTGTCAAAGGGGCCCCGCTCGATTTCGGAAACGCCCCGCCCCTTGCTAGCAGCGGAGCGCCATCGACCCCACATATACCCCCTGCTACATATACAAACAGGCTCCCGAGACGTGGTCCCCCTGTCTTCATCAAGCCTCTGTCTGTCTGACTCCTCCTCCGAAAGGTCTCCCAGCCTCAGTCCCCATCTCTTCTTTCCTCAGCTCCTCCCTTCTCGGTTGCTCCTCCTCCTCCTCCTCCTTTCTGACGATTATGCCACTCACTAATCCTCACCGGGTGTCTTCGGGAGGCATTGGGTACGATGTGGGACTCAAAGGCAACGCCCTGCTCGCCGTCGTCACTGCTTGTTGTGCTACTGGCTTCTTCCTCGTCGGGTGAGTGAAAGAGTAGGAGCGCAGCATACCAGATGCCCGGTCTCACTCCCCCTCCGTACTCTGTACTCACATACAAACCTCCATCATTCTCCGCTCACTTCCTACACTAGCTACGACAATGGTGTCATGGGCGGTGTCATTGGCACAACTTATTTCGTCGACTACTTCAACAACCCCGACGCCAACATGACGGGTAACATCGTTTCCCTCTACGAGATCGGGTGCCTCGTTGGAGCTCTGTCCACTTTTGTCATCGGCTCGGTCCTCGGTCGTCGTCTCTCCATCATCGTCGGGACTCTTTGGATGATTGTTGGAGCCATCCTTCAAGCTGCTGCCACTAGCACAGGTATGCTCATTGCCGGTCGAGTCATCACTGGCGTGGGCATGGGCATCATCAACGCGACTGTGCCGGTGCTGCAAGCCGAATGCTCACCGGCAATGTCTCGAGGCAAGCTAGTAGCCATCGACCTCGTCGTGCTCAATTGCGGCATCGTATTGTCGTACTGGATCGATTATCTCTTCAACTTCGGCGGAAGTCTGACCGGCAACGTCACTTGGAGGGCACCTCTGGCTCTGCAGCTCGTCTTCATCGTAGTCATCCTCATCCTGGCTCTGATCTTGCCCGACACTCCTCGATGGTATGCATCACGAGGCAGGAAGGAAGAGACTCTTTCTGTTCTCGCCCGACTCCGCAACAAGCCCACCACCGACGTAGCAGTTCAAGCTGAGTTCAATGACATTCTGCAGACCATTGAGCACGAGGCTGCTTCCCAACAGAAGGGCTTCTTGTCCCTCATCAAGCCCGGAGAGGGATGGAAGGACGACAGCATCCGATCTCGCCGACGACTCGGTCTCGCTTGTTTCATTCAGGTAAGTGTTAGCACGCTCGCCGTCAAATGGGCGCAGTACACACGCTCGACGCTCCCATGCTTATCGCCCTTGACTCTCTCTCGTGTCCGCATTCCAGGCTGCACAACAACTTGGAGGTATCAACGCCCTCATCTACTACAGTTCGACCCTCTTCTCGGTATCCCTCGGCTTCGGCTCCAGGGACTCGGCTCTCTTGGCTGGAGGTCTGAACATGGTGTTGATCCTCGGAGCCGTCATCTCCATCTTCCTCGTCGACCGTCTGGGCAGGCGACCGCTGTTGCTCTCCTGCATCAGCGGCATGTCTCTGGTCTTTGTCTGCCAGACCGTCTTCGTCAAGAGGATTGCAGAGGGCATCGCAAGTGCTGCCGTTGGCAACGCCGCGGTGGCTATGCTTTTCCTATTTGAGCTCTTCTTCTCCGTCGGCTTCCAAGCTACTGTCTGGATGATCCCCTCTGAAGTCCTGCCGCTGAGCATCCGAACGCAAGGGTCCGCCTTGTCTACAGCCAGCAACTGGGTGAGCAAGCAGAGGCGCAGCGCTCTTGGTGAAAGGCAAGACATCTCAACTTACACTGTCACATTCCTTTTCTACCACCACACAGATCTGTAACTTTGCCGTCGTCAAGTTCACTCCCTCGGCGCTTCAAAACATCACCTGGCGGACGTACATCATCTTTGCCATCATGAATGCCGCCTGGGTCCCCGTCATCTTCTTCTTCCTTCCCGAGACTGCGCAAAAGTCTCTCGAGCAAGTAGATGAGCTCTTTTCCAAGGACGGTTGGCAGCTGGACCACAAGCCTGGTCAGACTGGAGAGAAGATTGCTCAGCAGATGGAGAGTAGGAGGGGAAGCCTGGAGGCGGGAAGGGCGAGGGAGGAGAGCTCGGACATCGATAGCAAGACCGATGGCGTGCAGTATACCACGACGAATGTTTAGAGAGTTGCGATAGAGGTCCAGAATGCACCGTCGTCCTTCATCGAAGCAAGTATGTACGTAGTTCCCCACCCACCCCATCTTTTCACTGTTTTGGACCGGCCTCGTCTCCTGTCTCTCTTGATCTTGTCGGCCGTGTCACTCTGTATTGCGAAACGAAAGTAGAGGGGAGATATTGATTCTTATAATCACGAAATTGATTAAGTACCACCATGAGATAGTAACTCGAAATGTGCATTGCCAAGCTTAGGTCTGAAGTAGAAGTCGATGGCAATCGATGCGGGAGGAAAAGAGATTCTTGCGCCGAGGAGGCGTGGGTATACAATGGAGGACGATTGACATACAATCCTTCCGAAAGGACGGTGAGCCATGATGTGACATGCTGAAAAGGGAGTTGAACACTTGAAAGGAACTGCAGCGCTCTGCTCTCAGTCGCTCGAAGCGCAACCTCTACAGCCTGTTGAAGTGGCAAAGGATACAAGATCAGCCTGCGTGAACTACCGCTCTGAACCTCTGCGTGCTGTCCGCTCTCTTCTCCATACTCACCACAGTGTGTACACTCGACCAATTGCCCTGCCTTCATCTGACTCTTGGGAACTCGACAGATGCAAGAAGATCCGACATTGTTCATGTCTCGCGACTGGATGCAGCGCACACAGCAGAGCTTCTCGTAGCCTTGGCGCTTCCATTTAGCTATTAGACTGGAGGAGGGGGAGGGGGAGAGGAGGGGGGTCAGTGGCTGATGAGCCATAAAGCGCCAGTGATGGGGATGCCCCAGCTTGCTTCACCACTCGCTTGCGAGGATACTCCATTGCTAATGAGGGCCGTGCTGGTGAGTTGCCTTCGCTTTTGGGACAGCTCGACCGGACCTGCTCCGAGAGCATAGCCTTGATACTCACTTTGCGTCTGCATACCCTTCCTTTAAGAGCCAGTCATATAGCTCCCTACTAATAGCCTCCCTCTTGTAGTACAAGTCATAGATATACCTACTCCGTGTATGGCTAATTCTCATGATTGGCCACAATGCCTCTACTTTCCGCTTGCCCTCGGTACTCTCTGATTCGGCGTCTCGCATCTTGCGCGTGTACTCGTCGAGGATGGACTCGATCTCCTCGAAGCCCTCGGGCGGAGGCTTAGTCCGGGAAGTGCGGATTTTGGGCATCTTGGATGTGTGGTATGTGTGGAGACAGTGGATCCAATGGAGAGGAGAATTGATCGGAATGACGGGAAAGAGGCAGTCCAGATTGACTTTACGGGATTTCAGCGTGTGTGGAGTCGGAGCGACGCGAGCAGATCTTCCTGCCTTGCGCATCCCACCATGGTGCATCTCGTATGATCATCACCAGACCATTGCTCCGGATCTCGAGTTATACGACGTCGAGGATGGCTTCCTCCTCAGCTTCCACATCGGTACTGCCACCTCTGCCGCCTCCCGGCTTCGCCTCGCTCAAGGCTTCGCCGGGGCAGATTCTCCTGCCCCTCACCATTTCGAACAAGTGTGGTCAGAGCTTCCGGTGGAGGGCAGTCAAGGTCCGTGACTCACAACGGCAGCCCGTACAGGATGTCAAAGTCGAGCCGAACGGTTTCTCCCTACCTTCTGCTTCTCGTATCAAGACTGAGCCAGGGCTGGAAGAGGTGAACGGCCCGAGCTCTGTCAGGCCTCCCTCCTCTGGACCGACACATCTAGAGTGGACAGAGTATTCATTCTGCCTCCCTGATCGAGTCGTTCTCGTGAGGCAAGATGAAGAGAGGGGCTATATCTATCATCGGACCCTCCTTCCTCCTGGTGTACCCTCAGAGACCTCATCAGCTGTTGCTAGCGAAGAGACGTCCCTCTGGCTCTCCTCCTACCTCAATCTCTCCGTCCCGCTTGAAGAGCTCTACGAGGAATGGTCCGCCCGCGATCCCATCTTTGCTCGCTTTGCTCAAAAGTTTCAAGGGGTGAGAATGCTCCGGCAAGATCCCTGGGAGTGTCTCTGCTCCTTCATCTGCTCCTCCAACAACAACATCGCCAGGATTGGCGGAATGGTGCAGAACCTTTGTACCCATTTCAGTCCGAAATTGTTGGAGCATACGTATGGCTCGGACGTCTTGTCCAGCCCCGTCAAGAAGGAAGAAGATGCAGAAGAGACATCCGAGCTGCTACCTATGACCATTGACTACCACCCCTTCCCGTCGCCTCATGTCCTTGCCCAAGACGGTGTCGAGGAGAAGCTCAGACAGCTAGGGTTTGGCTACCGGGCCAAGTACATTCATCAGACGGCCAAGATGCTATGCGAAGAGCATACACGGCTAGTTCAGACTGATGAGCATGGAGTTGCTGCCACCATGAGGGAGATCAGAGAGGCCGCTGCTCCCGAGGTCCCGAAAGCGGGCACGCCTCCTATTGCCCAAGCCTCTGATCTGGATTCACCCTCGACAAGTCAGCACTCTGTACACTCCTACCTTGCTTCTCTGCGGAAAATGTCCTACACCGAGGCTCGCACGCATCTGCTCCGCTGTCAGGGCGTTGGGCCTAAAGTGGCGGACTGCATCCTCCTGATGTCTCTCGATCAGCCATCTTCGATCCCCGTCGATCGTCACGTGTTTCAGTTTGCAGCTAGGCACTACCACCTCCGGAGCAAGGAGCAAATCAAGTACGACAGAATCGTTGAGTTCTTCCGAGCTCTGTGGGGAGAGTGGGCTGGATGGGCGCACACCATCCTATTCGTCGGCGATTTGCGAAGCTTCAAGGAATACGACGGCGGGGTCAAGAAGGAAGAAGAGGCAGGGGAAGATGGCCTCTGGCAAAGTACTAGCTTGGTCAGCCGCGACGAAGATCAGACCTCGGTGACTCCACTGGTCAAAGTTGAGGAGGAAGTGTCTACCATCATCGAAGAAGAAGATGCCCGGCGGCTACAAGAGTCCAAGGCGGTCAATGGCCGAGCGGCCAAAGGTGGGCGCAATGTGCGGGTGGACTCCTCGTTGAGGGCGCTGAAGCCCGGAAGCCCAGCGGGACGGAAGAGAAAGGCAACGGCGGCGGGGGCAGAGGGGGAGGAGACTCTGACTCTGGCGGAGCGGGTAAAGGCAAGGAGCAACAGATGAGGCGGGCGGTAATTGCGTCCATCCTCGCTACCCGCCCGCGGCACTCACGGCATGGCCCGCTGCTGACCATGTGCCCTGGCAGAGACCTTCGATGCCTTCAGGGCGCCCCTTTGCTGCCACGGTGATGTGTAATGGATACCGATGACGTCCAAAACCCTTGCCCTGCGGACTCCCGGAGGTACAGTCGACGGCCAGCAAGCGCTCACGGCTCTTGACCAGGGGACCTCATCTCGTCGCTTCTTCCTAGTCAGTCGAGATCGCCCCCTTGACAGCCATTGCACGCCGTTCCGTGACCTCCGCATTGGCTTCGGCTATGTCTCGAATGCATCGTCATCGTTGCTCCACCGGACCACTCTCAATCCATTTCCTGCCGCTGTGGACGGGCGCCAATGGATTCTGGCTGCCCATGTCGCCCTCGATTCTTGATGCAGACTCGTCCTTCTTCCCCATCGGTCGTGTCTCTTCCTTGTCTCTTGATTCCGACTCGCATCAAAGAGTCTCTAGGCAAACAGCTATGAGCCACAATGCACCTCAGCGCAGCCTCCGACTAGGAGGCATTGGCTACCCATCCTACGAGAGTGACGAGACCGCCAGCCTCATCGCAGCCAACGGTCGGACTCCATCTGGATGTCAGGAGACAAAGGAAAAGGCGCAAAAGGCGAGGCAAAGCAAAGTCATCGTGGTGATTGACGCGGGTGAGTTAGGAGGAAGCTCGACGGCATGTTGACAAGCCGCGGTCCCGCAAACGCTCGCAGATGCTGACAGATACTCCCCCATTGCTCCCCTCCATTGCTCCCCTCCATTGCTCCCCTCCATTCGTCACCTAGGATCTCCTCAATCTCGATCGGTCATCGAGTCGCTCTCCACGTACAATGAAGAGGAGAAGCAGCGTCTGCGTAACATCTTGGCTCAGGAGCTTCTCAATCCCGCACCACCCTTTGAGACGCCCTCGGAGGAAGGGCGCGGGACGGACTACGTCACCGGAAAGCAGACGTCACCGTCTACGACGACAGCCCTACCGAGCTCAGGGGCCACAAGCGATACAGAAGATCCTCACATTGGCAAGTCGTCCACCCCAGGGCCCGGTTCCGCCCACTCTCGGCGCTACTCGGATCATCTGCCCCCTTCATTGACGGCGCCAGTGGTGAAGCCGATGATCTCCAATGTACCCAACGACTTCTCCACCACCACTGTACACATCGACTCTGATGGGGTAGTCCATCCCGTTGGCCTAAGACCGATCACGATGATGAATCTGGAGAGCAAGACCTTCCACCGCATTGAGGACGAAAAGGCAGCAAGGCGACTCGAAGAGAAGGAGAAGGCAAAGTCGAGCCCAAAGGTCAAGACTCTCGAGACTGGCTTGGACGCAATTACCGAGGGCGTTGCACATACTGGCCATCGCACCGTCGAAGGCGAGATCGATAACTTCGATGAATCTCTGCAGGCACAAGATGTGGCTGCCTCTGGTCGGGCGGCCCCCACAGAAGAAGTCATCTCGTCTAGGGAAGCCCGAGCCCAGGCGCTCTACGATGCGATCGAACGCCTCGTCGAACAACGCTTCATTCCTCCATGGCAAGTTCACGCCCTCTTCGATGTGGATACACCCCCTGAATTCTTACCCCTTCGAGACAATGACGAGTGCATGTTCGATGACTGGATCCATTCCAGGGTCGGCGTCGACCTGAGCAGCACAGACGCCGTTGAGCAAGTCCTGCGGGACATCAAGAGCAAAAGCGATGCAGGCATTCATGGCCTATTCGTGAGCTACCTTACCGACTACCATCATGGTCTCCCTTGCGAAGCACGAAGCGGCAGTGGGACCGATCAAAGGATGCAAAGTCTGTACAACGTGGCTAGAGAAGTGGGCGTCAAGCACTTCATTGGCTCCTTTCTTGCGGATCTAGTTCAAGATGAGGATCGCAACGCAGAGGCACCTCCAAATGGTCTACCTGCATCGCTAGTCGATAGCTGGACTGACAGAAGATACCTTCACAAGAGCTTTGCGGAGAGCGATGATGCGGCTGCGCCACCCATCAAGTACATAACTACCTTATCCTCTTGCTTGACCTTCACCTCTCTCCTCTCCTCTCGTATCATCTCCTTCAACCGACCAGAGTCGCCACCAGCGAAGCTGTTCATCCTCACCTCTCATCTCCCTCTGGACTGCCTCATGCCCTTTTCCCATAAAAAGGACGTGGGTCCTGCAGCCCTTCTGGCCTTTCTCGCCCCAGAAGAATACAACGGGCGAGACCTATCTCTCATAAGCGATCTGATTCGCCCACGATTGATAGCGGCACAGTGCGATCAGATGATCTACCACTCCAAAGCGCGAGTCACCTGTTTGGAAAAAGACGAGGCGGCTTTCCTGACCGAGGACAAGGAGTGGTTCTACCAGAGGGGGTGGGAACACTGTTGGGAGCTTCTTCGCTGGTGGCTTCAGCGGGCAAAGGATCTTGATGAGACTAGCTTGCGGGCAAAGACGCAGTGGAGGCTGACTGCCTGGAGGCACTTTTCCGTCGAAAATAGTAAGTGGCAGTGAGCAGTGCCTCCTTCACAGCATTGAGTCAATCAAGTCGACGCAGCGCCACTAGCAATCAGCTCTACTGACGCTTCCTCTCCTCTCCTCTCCTCTCCTCTCCTTCCCACCCCCTACCCGGCTTACTCTTTTTGCAGCGGACACCATTCTCCCCAATTGGCAGCAATCTCTCGTGACGCACCCCAACCACCTAGACGCAAACGAGGCGCCAACACGCTTCGACCGTCCACCAGTGCAGCAGGATCAACTCGATGCACTCAACATTTTCACCGATTCCATGGGTCACAATTTCCATGATGTGCCAGTGGGAAAGGCACGTGGCTCTGCAGAGGCAGAGGGAGAGGGGGAAGAGGTGTAGGAGGGCGTCGCTGTGTATTGGGATGACGCTAGGTGTTGGGCGTGCAGGCCGAGCTGGCGGTCGCTGGCTGCTGGATGTGACCTGCTTTGTGCTTCTCATTGTAGCTTCTTTCTCTCCCAACGGTAGTCAATATATCATCAGGCTCGCCTCGGGCGGGCATCAGTGTGGTTATGTCTATGTGCGTGTTGTGTGTGTGTGAAGCATGGTGATGTAATAAAGCCAGATGAAAAAATGAAGGAAAATGAGAAATACATCGCCCAAAGGGGCCGAAATGATGAAAGAATGAAAGGAGCAGGTAGGGCACCTTCCCTCCTTGCCGGTGACCCATTCGACATTCGACGGAGAGGGACCTCTCTAACGACTCCTGTGAGTACCATTCTTCCTCTTGCCGGCCAAGAGCCACTTTGGCTTCTTCTCCTTGATGGCCCTGTCACTCTCCGAGGCCTTGGCATTCCTGTTCCTCTCCCTCAGACTGAGATCGTTTAGATCCCTCACCTTGCTCTGCAGCTCCGCACGTGGCAGACCCTGCAGTTGACGGTTCTGCGTGGGTTTCCTGACCAGGCCGGCCTTTGCGGATGGGTGACCTCCGGACTTGGTCGTACTGCCCAGACCGGCAGTGGCGAGTTGCACACGCGTAGCGCCCGAGGGCGTCTTGAGCTTCTTGGCCGAGCGGGAAGTGGTGTCGACGTCCATTGACTCATCGGCGTCCTCCCAGGCGGCAGAGTCTTCAGCGTCATCTTCATCGTCCATCTCGGCATCCTCATCGTCGTCGTCTTCGTCCCGCCTAGCTCGCTTGCCCGTAGCAGCCTGCATGCCCTTGGCCTTAGCCAGCAGCTGAGCCCTAGCCTCGATGGAGCTGGGGTCAATACCAATTGCCTTGAGGTTCTCGCTCATGTCACTCAGCATCCTTGTCTGCATCTTGCGAGGGATCAGAGCGCGGTGCTTGACCTTGTTCTTGGCCTGACTCAGCGTCTTGGACTGCAGCTGCCTGGCCCTGATGGCCTCGGCGGCCTCTCGTACCTCACGCTCCTCCTCGTCCTCTTCTTCCTCGCTGCCCTCGAGCTCATCGTAGAAGCCATCCGCCTCGAGCCTCTCCTCTTCCCTCTCTAAAGCATCAAGCTTCTCCAGAATGTCTGGGTCGACGAAGTCTGCAATGTTCTTTCCACCCTGAATCTCAGGGATGACGTCGTACTTCCAGTCATCATTGTCCAGGATGTAATTCTTCTTGAAGTCGATCGAATGGACACCAGCACCTCCGTGCTCCTCCTGGATGTCTCGCTCAGTCTTGCGTCGCTCCGGGTCCGCCTTGTCGAACTTCTTCCTGTCGGCAGCAACCACCACTGGCTTGCGCTCGATGTCGTCTCGCTTCTGAGGCTGAGCAACGTGCAGACGGTTGAGGATGGCATTGGCCTTGGGTCCCTTGGTCTTCTGCTCCACCCTCATCTCCAGCAAGGCATCACATGCCTTGTTCCGGGCCTCCATGATTCCTTCCTCTGTATATGTGCTCATCTCGCAAAGCATCACCGAGGAGTCGGGGTCTTCCACCAGGCTTCGCACCAGAGCGGCACGAGAGGGCTCTAGATCCTCCAGGCGCATCGCATCTGACTTGTTGAGTGCTAGTATGGTGGGCTTGTTAGCAAAAAGGGGCTTGATCGACTGGTACAGCTGCACCTGAGCCTCAATGGTGTAGCCACACTGCTCAGACAGGTCCATGAAGTATAGGATGGCTGACCGCAGGTGGGCGAGAGCAGTGATGGACTGCATCTCAATGGTGTTCATCTCCTCCAGAGGATGGTCGAGGATACCTGGGGTGTCCACCACTTGCCATCGCAGGTACTTGTAGTCCATGTGGCCGACGAAGAGCGACTTTGTGGTAAAAGCGTAAGGCTGTACGTCTACATCTGCCCTAGTGACCTTGTTGATGAAAGAAGACTTGCCTACGTTGGGGTATCCACAGATAAGAAGAGTACGAGTCGAGGGATCAATGGAGGGGAGACGGGAAATGTGCTGACGGACCTGCTCGAGGTAGGCCAGAGGGTCCTTCTGCCGGCGAATGATGGTAGCCATCCTAAGCGAGAAGAGAGGGGAAAGGATTCATTGAACTTTGTCAGTTGCTCATTCCGCAAAGCTTCTCCTTATACCAATCGACAGTGAACTCACCTTCCCATGGCAGACCTCTTGAGCTGCTTACACCTGTACAGACTGTCACCGAACTTGATGAGCCTGACGTAGTCTTTCGCCACTTGTTCGGAGAGATGCCTGGCGGTATTGATCTGTCCCAGCGCGAGCTTGTAGTGGTTCTTGTCGTAGAGGACGTTCATCAGCGACGAGGTAAAGGGATGGAGGTTGTCCAAGATGGGGAACTCTTGCAGCATGCCATCGAACTTCTCTGTGATGATGTCCTTGAGGAACATGACTTTCCTCATGTAGAATGCACGGATACGTGTGATCTTGAAGCCCGGGTGGATGACTGTGGGCGTCTTTCGTTGCGTCTTTGACAGGACGATGTCGAGGAAGTCGTTGGCCGATGGCACCGGGGCGATCGAGGGCTTGAATACAGCAGACATGATGGGCAACGGTAAAGGAGAGGGGCCAAGAAGTGAAAGGGATGAGATGCGAAGAGTCTATTCTCCTCGATTCGACGGCCTGGTGGCAGCGTGTGGCTCGCCTGTGACTTGTAGGCGATGGAAGCCGACAGCTGACGTTGAGACAGCGAGGCGCAGGAAGGTGTGAAGGAGGAGGGGGAGGGGGATACCGACAATCGCTCGCTGTGAGCCTGCGACTGACTTGCTTGGTATGATGAATGGTGAGGGAGTCGAGGCGAGGACAATTGGCAGCAGCTCCTTCTCCTCGTCGCCTTCAGTCCGCTGCTACTCCTCAAAGGAAATTCAAAATTTGTGGCCTCGCAGGGGATGGCAGCAGCGGAGATTCAACTCCAGGGTCACTGCTGATTCCGTTCCGATGTTGCGCGCGTTCCACCCCGCCAGAGACGCACACACACACACACACACACACACGCCTCGCTCAAGCCAGCGTAGTCGGGACAAGCAGGCGCACACGCACGCAGGCCAGGCAGCTCACCCCCCCCGCAAGCTCATCTTCCCAACCAACACCTTCGCAACACTGCTATCTGCCTTCCTCGTACCGCCTCTTCTCCCCCATCCTCACAGGCGCGGAGACGTAGAAGACGGCGAGACTCTCACAAGGCCAACCCACGCCCACCGAGCAGCTCTACATCATCACCCGCCCTCACCTTTCCTGGCGAGCGAGAGAAGCCCCCTTCTTACTGCCCCATTCCCCTTGCTGCCATGCTTCTTGACATCAATCGCAAGCTCTTTGCTCGCTCCGAGCGAGTCAAGGCGGTAGACTTCCACCCTACCGAGCCATGGCTCTTGGCTGGTCTGTACTCTGGATCCGTGAACATCTGGAACTATGAGACCGGTCAGTTGGTCAAGACCTTCGAGGTAGCCGAGGTGCCCGTCCGCTGCGTAAAGTTCATTGCGAGGAACAATTGGTTCGTCGCAGGATCAGACGACTTCCACGTCAGATGCTTCAACTACAATACACATGACAAGGTCGCAAGCTTCGAGGCTCACCCCGACTACATCAGGTGTATGGCCGTGCATCCCACCGCACCCTACGTTCTCACCGGAAGCGACGACATGACCATTCGGCTTTGGGACTTTGACCGCGAGTGGAAGCACGTTCAGACCTTCGTTGGCCACACTCACTTCATCATGAACCTCGCCTTCAACCCAAAAGACTCGAACACCTTTGCCTCGTCGTGTCTCGACCGTACTGTCAAGATCTGGACTCTGGGATCGAATCAGGCCAACTTCACCCTAGACGCTCACGACAAGGGAGTCAACTACGTAGAGTACTACCATGGAGGAGAGAAGCCGTATCTCCTGACCTGCGGTGATGATAGGACGATCAAAATTTGGGACTATATCTCCAAGAGCTGCGTACAGACCCTGACAGGACACGTGTCCAACGTGTCCTATGCTATCTTCCACCCTACCCTACCCCTCATCGTGAGCGGTTCGGAAGACGGGACAGTGAAGATCTGGCATTCGAATACCTATAGGCTGGAGAGTACGCTGGATTATGGCCTTGAGAGGGCATGGTGTGTCGCCTACAGAAAGAAGGGCAACGATGTAGGATTCGGTTTCGATCACGGAGCAGTGGTGGTGAAATTGGGCAAAGAGGAGCCAAGCGTCTCGATGGATGTCAGCGGAAAGGTGGTCTGGACCAAGGGTACCGAGGTATCCACTGCCAATCTCGGAGCCATTGAAGGTGAGTAAACGATGCATCGCAACGGCAAGCTCCGATCGAGGGCTGACGCTACGCATCTCTCCTTCTTGCAGCTTCTTCCCTCACCGACGGTCAGCGTGTAGCTACCTCTTCACGTGAGATGGGCAACACCGAGGTCTTTGCCCAATCTCTTCAGCATTCGCCCAACGGCCGCTTCGTCACAGTCTGTGGAGACGGAGAATTTATCATCTACACAGCTCTGGCGTGGAGAAACAAGGCCTTCGGCCCGGGACTCAGTTTTGCTTGGGCCAATGACAGCAACACCTACGCTGTGCGCGAGGCTGCAGGGAACATCAAGGTGTTCCGAAACTTCAAAGAGAGGCCGGGGCTGATTACAACCGGCTTCAAGGCTGAGGACGTCAAGGGCGGTACATTGCTCGGTGTGGTAGGACCAGGCTTTGTGTCTTTCTACGACTGGGAAACGGGTGCTTTGATCAGGAGGATCGATGTGGAAGCCAAGGACGTGAGTAGGGGAAAGCGCTCAGAGACCATACGGTTGCTCACTGATACTGACAAAGCTCTCGCACTGGCGCTCTCTCCCTTGTAGATTTACTGGTCTGGTACAAATGAGCTTGTGGCCATCACGAGCGACGACTCCTTCTACGTCCTGCGCTTCGACCGAGCCGCCTATGATGCTCACCTCGAATCAGGCGAGCCCTTTGATGACGAGGGAGTGGAGTCTTCTTTCGACGTCGTGGTTGAGATCTCGGAGTCCGTGCGTACGGCCAAGTGGACTGGAGAGTGCTTCCTCTACACCAACTCCAACAACAGGGTGCAATACCTCGTTGGAGAATCTACACATACCATCAACCACACCGACAGTGAACTCTACCTCCTTGGCTACCTGCCAAGCCATGGAAGAGTGTATCTGGTGGACAAGGACGTCACAGTGTACTCGTATGCGCTGAGCTTGGCCGTCGTCGAGTACCAGACAGCTGTGTTGAGGGGAGACTTCGATGAGGCCGCGGAGATCCTGGGGAGGGTGCCGGCAGAGCAGAGGAACAAGATTGCGAGGTTCTTGGAGACACAAGGTGAGTGGTCTCTGCTGCAGGAACAAGATGCGCCCGTTCCGTCACGCTGACGTCGATCTTGACACCACATCCCTTTCAGATCAATCCCGTCTGGCTTTGGAAGTGTCCACAGATCCCGATCACCAGTTCGACCTGGCCGTCTCCCTCGACGACTTCGACACTGCTCTTTCTCTCGTGCGCTCGGGACCCAAGGTCGGTTCAGAGCCCCGCTGGCGCACCTTGGGAGACAAGGCTTTGGCCCGTTGGAACATCTCTCTGGCCGAGGAGTGCTTTGAGAAGGCAGGAGATCTGTCTGCTCTTCTGCTTCTGGCTACCAGCAAAGGAGACCGTGACCTGCTGGCTCGCCTAGCTTCGCAAGCGTCTGAAAAGGGCCTGACTAACATTGCCTTTGCTGCCTACCTTCAGCTGGGTAACACAAGTGGATGTATCTCCCTCTTACTTTCTGCTGAGCGCTACTCGGAAGCAGCTCTGTTTGCACGGACGTACGCTCCCTCACAAGCTGGAGGCATCGTGAAGCAGTGGAAAACGTCATTGGCGGCCAACAAGAGGGCAAAGCAGCGAGCAATTGCAAAGAGTCTGGCCGATCCGATCACTGATCCGGACATGTTCGAAGAGGGATGGGGAGAGGCTCTGAGTCTTGAGCGGGAGGTAAGCGTAGCAGCGGAGGGCGGATTGAGCAACGGCAATGGAGACGCAGGGGATGACATTGGCAAGAAGGTGGTGCCAGATGAGGCAGTCAAGGTGAATGGCGCCGCAGCGGAAGCATGATGGGATTAATCTTTGAGTATGCTCGTCTGCAATGGCAATTACTACTATATGCTTGCTGACGCCTGTTTGCGCCCTGAGCACGATCGATCTTGCCCACCGTCGGAACGATGGACGATGGACGTGCATGCATGTGCCGATGCGGATCCCTGCGTCTGACGTGGGTCGCCGGATGGACGAGGTGGCAGAGTCAGTGAGCGTACTTACGGCCTCTTCATCCTGTCTCCCCCTTTACCGTTGCTCCTCTTCCTCCTTGCTTCAGTACCCAAGACTTCACCATCGTCCCTTTCCCATCTCTGCCCCTTTGTCGCTCTTTCCATCTCCATTGCCCCACTTCACTGCTCTTCACGTACGCACACATTCCCTACAGCGCTCCGACGCTCCGTCCACTTTTCTCTATCCTCCACCCGCAAACAACACAAGCATCTCAGAGCCGCGCTCTAGGCACTACCCTACCATGAGGTCTTTCGTCACCAAGGTAGCCCTGCTTAGCGCCACGCTAGCAAGGCTTCTCCCCGCCGGCCGAGCTATGCCCTTTGTACCGCCCTTCTGGAACGAGAGCACCATGTGAGTTCGCTTGAGTGGGTCAGCGTTGCGCTCAGCCTTTGCAATAGTCGCTGACACGCTATTCTTCCGCCTTTTCCCCCCTCCGCCAGTGACCTCAACGACCCAGATGTGACTGTGACCTTCTTGGATGATCCAGGTCACGAGCTCTTCGTCCGGTCTATCGACGATCAGGAGGCAGTCGGCTTTGCCAATCTCACCTTCTACTCTCTCAAGCAAGACGAGGAGCAACAAGCGGAGAGTACCTGTGCCGTCAGTCACATGGCGCGCTATGTGCCTGTGATGAATACGGAGAATGTCCTGGACGAGATCTTCTTGCAATCCTACTTTGGCCAAGGCGCTATCACTGGCGTCGCCAACAATGCCGCCGCCAAGTGCCCACCCTACGATCCTTCTAAATTCACTCGCAAGCCCCTTTCTGCGCAAAATTGGTGGGACCGCCAGAAGAGACTCGACTCAAAGGCTACGAAGAAGCTGGGGGACTCTCCTCTACAGCCGCGAGTACCCAAAGCTCCCCGTTGGGTCAATTACGCATGTTGTGGAGACAAGGATGGCGAAGCTCCACTGCCCACGGCCAAAGAGCTGGGACCCATCAACGTGCTTAACCTCGGTTTCCTTACAATCAGGCGCCCCGAAGGGGATCTTGAGAAGTTCTTTCAGCTCTCAGTAGCCAAACGCAGGCAGTACATTCACTCCATGCATCTGGCCGGCATCTCAGTCATCATGAGCACCTTTGGCGGCGACGACACCCCACCCGTGATGAACCACTTTGATCCTGTCGCGATCGGCAAGCTCCACGGCGAGATTGCCAAGGAGTCCGGCTTCGATGGCATCGACATTGACTGGGAAGACATCGATGCTGCCAATCTGCAATCTCATGCTGCCACTGGCTGGATGGAAGCCTATGTCAATGCAGTGAGATCGGAGATTCCCGTCGGCAAGTATGCCCTCACGGCGGCTCCCGTTGCCCCTTGGTTCACCACGAACACCGACACTTACTGCTCTGGCATGTATCGGACCATCGATCGGAAAGTCGGACATCTGCACGATTGGTGAGTACGGGACAGTCAGAATGGACTCAGCCACTGTTGATCTGACCATAGTCTTGCCCTCGACCACAGGTACAACATTCAATTCTACAATCAAGGACGAGGCACATACAGTACCTGCGCAGACATTTTGACAAAGAGCGACGTAGGCGAAGACTACGTGCATAGCTCCGTCTTTGAGATCCATGAGAAAGGCGGCGTAGACCTGCAGAAGCTGGTGATTGGCAAACCCACCGAAGGCCGAGCCGCTAGCGGGCACATCCCAGCTTCCCTGATCGCAAAGTGCGTAGTGCAAGCCAAGCACAAGGGGTGGAAGGCGGGGGTGATGACCTGGCAGTGGCCTGACTCTGATGCGCAGTGGTGGAAGACGATCCGTGGCAAGGCCTTTGCCGCAAGGGAGAAGAAGGAGTAAGGGGGCCTCTCGCTGATTGCCGATGCCATCGAGGCAGCAGCCGTACGCTGCCTATGGTCGCCCGAGCCGAATGGCAGCCCATATACCAACAGCAAGTACTATTTCAGCCAGCTGCAGGCCTATGAGCCTGATCTCATCGTGGTGGCCCAGGCGGTCAATCACGATCCACATTCGTTTCTCGGACCATAGACTATTACCCAGATCATGTCAATGTCTGTCTTGTTCCTGTCCATGTACGTACTACTAACGAGTAAACAAGACCTTGCCTCGCTCGTTTGAGTCCATCCTCGACCTTCCTCGACCTTGTCGTCGAGGTGGCTAGATGAGCATGTGTGTGTGCGTGTGTGTATCTATCTGTGTGTCTCACCCCACGTCAGACGCAGGCCAGGCGCGATTTCTTGCTCCGCCTTCCGTTGAAATTTTCGGAAAGATTGACTCCACACTTGGCGTGGCTCCCCTTCCGCTCGGCCAGGACCCTACTCCCGCAATCCTCCCCACCATTCTACTCGTTGCATCCTGTATTCCACCTCTGTAGCTCAGAGACAAGCTCAGAGCTTGCAATTGGAGCCCTCTATCTGAGATCACCCGTCTTGTCATACCTTGCTCTGACGAGGATAGCCAGCCCCCGCGATGACTGGCCCAACTGCAGTCACTCCCTCTCCACACGACCTGCCGGCCAATTTCGCCTATCATCCTTCCTACGACGAGGCGATCAGCTACATCGCAGAGTCCGACGATGTTTCAGCACTGGAGAGTAGCCAGGACATCGACTGGCCCACCCTCAAGAATGCCATCAAGGCAAAGATCAGCGACATCCTAGCCGGCTTTCCAGAGAATCCAGAGCCCCTACTGCACCCTGCTGCAGTCAGAAGTACAACAAACGGCTCAAGCGACGCTTCTACCTCGACATCACAAGGTGCAGCTACAGCTCTGGCCTCGCGCTTCTCTAGTGCTGCTTCTACCTCCCGTAACGGTAGGACAGGTCCCGGCTTCGCTGATGACTCCTCCTCATCCGACGAGTCGGATTTGCTCGAGGACTCGAACTCTGCCCTCATCTCTGGACCCAGCGCAGGGGGAGAGGGCGATGACTCTACCAATGGAGTCACATCCACCTTCATGGCCGCCAAGACTCGTCCGCCACCCGAGAGATATGGCAGCTGGGGACGAAGACTCAGCAAGGAAGAGACGGCCAGGGAGAAGTTGATGGTGTTCGGTATGCTCGACGAGTTTGACACGTGAGTGAAGTCGCACTGGAGCGGGCGTTGATCCGAGTGTCCGAACTGACATCTTGTGAACTCCTGCCAGATCACCGCCATTTACCATTCAGCGTCTCTGCGAGCTCTTGCTGTCTCCCCAAAGCTTTGTCCGATCGGGTCCCAAGTTTCTCTCGAGTCTATCAAGAATTCTGGCCATGACTGCCTCGCATGCAGACTTTCCTCCCGTATCGCCAGGTACCGCTCCGACTGTAGCCAATGGCGTTGGAGCATACGACAGGACGAGCGGCATGGTTGGCCCTCCAAGCCCTAACAATGAGCCCATCTTCAGCCCAATTCCCTTCTTGAGAAGGGCGAGCAAGGAGGCAGAGGGCGATGAAGCGGCAGCCCACTTGGAAGGAAGTGTGCCTCCGCTGCACCTAGACAAGGATGAATTGATGGAAGGCTTCAGCAGTACCACTTCCGATCATGCTGCTCCTCTCCTCTCCGGCGCCAGCTTGGGAATGGCAGGCGGTGGGGCTGCAGCGGCAGGCTCGTTCTCCCCTGAGCCTGTGTCTCATGCACCGCCTGTCACACATACCGCTCAGCAACCTCCCATCGACTCTGTCGACCATGCTTCGGCAATGCCTCCTGCGACGACAAGTAGTGCTGGCAGTACAGGGTCGATGCATGTACCACTGGGCGTACCCACTGGCAGAGTGGACGAGCTGGACCAAGTCACCTCCTCGGGAGCAGCTATGCAGAGTACAGGAACATCATTGAATGAAGAACAGGCGACAGATGCGGAAGCGAAGGGGGATGGACGAGAGACGCTGCATCGCATGGATGGGAGCGGCACGGTGCATCCCTTGAGTAGCACCACCACGGTCCCTTCCGCTGGCGAAAGCGAAGAAGAGGCACGGGCGATGAAGCGGTTGAGAAGTCGAGACTCAGAACAGGAGGCAAACGAGGTGCAGGAGTAGCGATGCACACGATCTGTAACAATAGAATTCGTATACCAGGGCGTGAGCGATGGAGAGGTGATACAAGTGTGCGTGTATTAGAGTGACGAAACAAAGGGGGAAGGCCGAAAATACACATGGAGGATCTTTTGACCGCTTGAGTGACTTTCACTTCTTCGTGAGTCCGACCTGTCTATTGGGTCAGGCAGAGAATAGCGCTGATACTGTCGCTTTCGTCCGCACCTTGAGTACTGGCGTCTCCGGGGCGCGTGCACTCAGACGTCTGGTCGCTCTCCTATTGTAGAGAGCGCCTGCCAATTTCTCTCGATCGTCGTGTGGTGGGCTCGATGAGAACTTCGGAAGAGCGACTCCTGGAGTAGTCAACCTCGTAGCATTGGTTGTGGGCCATTGTCGTATTTTAAGGAGATTCGAGGTCGGTCCTGGTGAAGGCAAGGGCGCGAGGACAGAAGGCCTCTTGAAGCTCCCGAAAGACGTGATGTTCAGGAGTCTTCAGCACGTCGATCACATACGACATGATGTCGAGGTCTTCCAGAAAATCGGGCTGGTAGCGTCGTTCCAATGATCGGCTGATGTACCACATTTGTGAGACTGCTACTGCCACGACGGACAAGATAGACAGTGGCGCCTTGAACGTCTCGAGCCCGTGCTCCATGGTATTCGGGTACGTCCTGTCGCCCGAAGCCTCTGTGAGCGCCTGGTACGACCGCGGTGCCTTGCCGTTCAAGATCGTCATAGGACTGAGCTCGAAAAAGTCGATCTGGTACTCGTAGTGAGGCAGGAATACCGTTCCGATCGTCTCCTTCGAGACCAGACTTGTTTGAGGGGCTGCTCCCAGCGAGGCTGCCATGCTCCTTGGGGGCTATCAGCGCCTTGTCTTGCAAGAGCATCCTCAAGCACCTGCACGAATTGTACAAGTTCGGCGCGGGTGGGTCGAACACTTGCTCGTCTGGCTTTGCCGTCAGTGAGGTGCCTGTGGATGTGGTGGCCGCCATTTCGTCCTTTCTCGCAGATTCATTGGCGAGAGCTCCATCAGTTGCAGCCACAATGAGTGGCCATGGCAAGAGGGTTTGAGCTGAACAGAAAATGAGGCATCAAAGTGCGCACTTCGTAGCGATGCGACATCGTAGGCATAGCGAGGGCTTTGACCTTGGTACGATTGCAATTGAAGCACTTCTCCGCTGGCGGCTTCTTGCGACCCGTTAGAACTGGCCAGAAGTTCTTCTCTGCTGGCCCCAGAGGCAGGAAGCTGATCCAGGCCTTCTTGACGAGGAGGCGTTTGTCCACTCCTTTGGCAAGGAGGACCTCAGCTGGATGAGCTTGAATCAGAGCCTCGCGAGCAGTATCCAGCGAATTCATCTTCTTCGGAGCCCAGAGCCTTCCATTGGTAATGCCAGATTTCTTCGTGAGGCATTTGTGGGAGTTCCCTCGTTTGTTCTCCTGTATGACCACCCAACTCGGTCTGATCGATCTCAGGCTTAGGGCTGCTTCGCTCGAAGGTGTCTAAGAGGCTGCCATGCTCGCTGGGCGGGCTATCACTGCGCTCACAATGCTCTGACTTGCGCGAGGGATCGCCTAAGCCTTGCGACATCTCCGACTTGGCCCCTGAATAGTCGTCCCCCGATGTAGACGGAGTCTTGCTTTGTGACGTCCTCGATTTCTTACTGTCTTGCTCACAAAGTGCATTTGCGAGACGGCGACCACGATCACCGACAAGACTGACAGTGGGGCGTAGACCTTCGCAAGATCTCTTTCTAAGGAATTAGGGTACTTGCGTGGCCCTGGCATTTCTGTCAATACCTCGACGCCGGATACACCTTTGGTTGGGCAGATCGTATCTGCTTCCAGATTGAAGATGTCGAATTGATACTCGAAAGACTGCCACTGCCTAAAGCCAGCGTCTACCTTCCGCGACCAATTGTCACTGATGAGCTGGTGCCAGTCCGGCTGCCAGCCAGAGGCAGTGCAATCTAAAGCGACTGCTCTTCTGAATCTCTGCTCCTCTTGCGCGAGCCCAGCTTCCAATGCCCGGACCAGATTATGGAGGTCTTCTCGCGTGGGCCGCAGAAGTGCTCTTCTAGTGTTGCCATCTATGAGGTGCAGATACAGGTTACCCTGGAGTGGAAGGAGGTTTTGCGGCGATATCTTCCCCTTCGTCCGGTCAGAAAGTATCAGTCCCATGACTTGAAGCAGCATGATCTATCAGTGAAGGGCAACATGCACCTCGTCAGAGGGGGATCTCAAAGCTTTTGTATTTTGCGAAGGTGCTTAGAGGTCACCAATCGTCAGTAAAAACTCACAGCTTTCGATAGCACATTAGCATGTTGAGGCTCGCCCGTGACATCGTGAAGTGTAGCGTTGGGTGAGTGTGTGATAGCCTCGAGAGCTGGGGCACCATGATTGGTCTGACTGCATATGACCCGGTCATATTCGTCAGGTAGACTTCTCTTCGTCTCGAGCTCGGTCTTTAAATTGGCTTGATGGTAGGAGTGAATTTCATTGTCGTCTTGACGAGGGTAAGCTCGAGGTACAAGAGTTGCGTCTGACATCTGTCGTAGTGCTTTATTGACGGCACTTGGTGAACGGGCTGTATCTTCAAAGATGGTCAAGCGTCCTGTCCCTGGGGACAATACGACCTTGATGGTCAGACGCTACGCCTGAAAGTATGATCTTGCGAGGCTTGTCAACTGTGTATCAATGATCAGTCTTCAGGTGGTGCACTTGTATCGATGCGTGTGGAGATGCGCAGGAAGGTAGGGAGGAGAGGAGAAGAAAAGAAGAACGGAATCCTACTTTGCTACCGTCGAAGGGCGGTTTGCGCGACAGAGAGACACCCCGAGAGCAACGCACCGCAGCCTTGAGAGCATCTATGTTGAGCCCGGTCGACCCAGGCCGGGTTTTGTCCGTTCCGTTCCGTTCCTTTTTCCCCTTTCCGCGTCTAGATGTGGTGCCCTCGCGTTGAGAAGGCAGCTGCGTGAACGCCAGTCTCCACAAGCCTCCGCCTCGTTGCACTTCATCCTTCGACTTTTGGCCGGCCACTATTCTCCGTTGTGATCGAGCTTTGTGGGGGCGGTAGATTGCGACACCTTGGGAGGAACTCTCCGCAGATCTGCGGCCTTGCCATTTCCACAGCAGATACCGACCTCGGCGGCAAGCATATTCGAATCATTTCCTGAGCATGTCGGAAGCTGTGAAGGCAGCCTTGGCCGCACGTAGGGCAGCTGCGAAGCTATCCTCAGCCAAGTCCGCAGACGATGATGCCCTCATTCAGCCTTTCGGCACGCCAAAGAAGAAAGGAGAAGATCTGACGGCAGGGCAGACAGCACCTAGCATCGATGAGTCGCTTGCTTCGTCCGACCTTTGGATATCCCAACGTGCAGAGGGCGAGCTTCTCTTCAAGAGCTGCTGGACCGGCAGATTGAATCTTTCCTCGCGCCAGCCGGCTTTCAGGACCCTCCCGCTTTCCCTGTTCACCTTGCTGGATGCCGATGCACCTCAATGGTACGAAGATGGGTCGGAAAAGATCGGGGAAAGAAGGGCGTGGTATGAGAGACAAGATCTACAGACGCTGGCGGCCGCAAACGGCGAGCTGCAAGCGGTCGATGATAGGCTGGCCGAGTTTGCCAGCTTGGTTCGTTTAGATGTGAGTGCATGATGTCGCTCTTACCAGAGGAGCGAGGACGGCTGAACTCCCTTTTGCTCTCCCAGATTCACAACAACTGTCTCATATCGTTGCCGCCATCATTCTTTCAGTTCATCAACCTGACTACCCTCAACCTATCGCGGAACGCCTTTACCTCTTTTCCAGTCTGTGTCTGCTCTCTCGACTGCCTGATTGAGCTCGACCTGTCTTACAATAAGCTCGAGACACTCTGGACAGACGCCCAAGTCTCCACTGCGAGAGAACAGCGTCGGGACTGGGACAACGAGAACGCGGACGAGGATGGGGGCATGTGGAGTGGTCTTCTTGCACGCCCCGACAGTCCGACCAAACGGCAACGCCCCGCCGCCCCCGTTGGCCCAGAGCTTTACCAGCCCATGCGATCGTTGCGTTATCTCAGACTTGCACACAATCGCCTGGGTAACGCCACCCTGGGGCTTCCCGTGCCCGAGGGGTCTGGTACGCCCACTCCGTATACGTGGCCGCCCGCTCTGCTGGAATTAGACCTCAGTGACAACTTCATCAGGGGTCCTCTTCCTCTCACTTGGCTGGGACAGCTTAGAGACCTCTCGCAGCTATCTCTCGGTGGCAACCGTATCAACGACAACGTATTTGATCTGAACGGCGACCGACCTATCCAGTCGCGCTCGCCCTTTTCGACACCTTCTCTCTTCCCCACACTACGAGCGCTTGATCTCCAACGATGCGAGATCGATGATCTGCAACACATTGAGCAGATGTTTGGGTCTAATCGCACGATTTTTCCAGACGGACGGACACACATGCTTTCAGCTACATCGATAGAGTCACCTGCTCCCGCCTTCGCCGTACAAGCCAGACAACTTGTACGCATTTCGTCAGTCGATGCAGCCCCTCATGCCGAAGGACCAACAAGACTGCTTGGGCTTGTTTTGGACGGCAATCCGCTGCGAGGCGAGAACTTCAAAAGGAAAGGAGGCACAGGTGGCATAGGAGCAAAAATCAGTCACAATGGCTCCGAGATATCCGTGCAACCAGCCCAACTTGCTGGACGGTCCACCGGTTCAGCAGATGGAGACAGGCCCCCGCACTTCTCCACCGGCCTTCGAGGTCGACGTGGCGACGGAGTCAATCGCACTGGACTGAGCGACTGGGACGGTACCATTCCCTGAAGTGCTCTGAAGGCATGTACCGAAGACGCTACAAGCGCTGATGGCGCAGCTCACCATGACAAGGGGTGAGCGTATAGTCGACGAAAGCAACAGCAGCGCAGTGCTGATTGTGGTCCGAAGGGTAGTAGGACAGTTTCACGCTCGCAGACAAAGCCTTTGCGACAGGCCAGACAGACGCAGTCAGCTTCGCCTCCCTCGCTCGCTCTGCGCCTATCTTGCTGCCGGAAGGAGCAACTCATTTCAGAGATTGCTTACATTTCAGCGATGGCGGCGAGTGAGTGCGACCTCTTTTGCTACGGCTCACCACGACGTGATCACATCCAGGAGTCGCAATCCTTGCTTGATGTAGATGGAAGCTAGACGAATGCCTTGGAGCGCATGTCATCCGCAGCAGCAGACCATGGCGTCGGCTTCACGAAGTGTCGGCACCTTCGACAACAAGACAAGAATAGACATAAGTGGAGCATGAGCTATCAGGGACCGTCTCTGCGACATCTCCTCCCACACTTCGCATATGCGTATATCGCACGTATCGTCTGAAAAACATCTACCGCTCTATAAGAATTCCTTTTCAAAGACATTGAGCCTCTGAGCCGCTTCGTCCTCAGCACCTGCGAGACTGACGATTCGTACTTTTGGTGATATATGGAATGGTGCATGAAGGACATGAGTGCTTTGCCACGACAACTAGACACCTGAAAGCCATCACCACGCTGTCGTTGTCCCAGAGCCGACTCATCCATCCATCCATCCATCCATCCGAGCGCGCCTCCGCTGACACCTAGAGCACCTTCGCAGTCCTGTTCAAGATGCTACAGGACCCGCTCTCGATGGCGCCATCGGCCGCCGCTCGAACCGAAGAGAGAAGGAGGGATGTGCTGAGTGCCTGCTTCTGATCCGAGGCAGGCACTCAGGCCATTGCCCGATCGCCATTGTACCTTTAGCCTTTATCTCTCTTCTCCGAGTCAACTCATGCCTTCGCTTCTTCCCTCCTCTCCATCCCATCCGAAGTGTGTTTGTCGCAAGGTGTTGGTTGGCTATAGTGCCCCGATGATGCGCTCGCTGGCCCATCGTTGCACCATCTGCTTGACTTTGCGGGCTTCGGAAGCAAGGAGGGAGTCTCCTTCTCGCCCGTCCTCGACAATGACAGCGTCAGCAAAGTCGACGAGCCAAACATGAGGCTTGACCGCAGCCCTCAGGAGGCTCAATGGTAACTCCGTGAGCTCAAGTGCGAGAGCAGAATGGCCTACTGTTTCGTCATGCTCTCTTGTTCTGCGTGCTGCGGCTGCAAAAGCCCTGTCACTCAATTGCATCCGGGCCTGAGCTTCCCGTATCACAGGGCGCAAGTCCCAAGCCTCCAATGTCTTTGCGTGCGCGAAGGGATCGCCTGAGCTCGTCGAGGCAATTTGCTTCCACTCAATGAGTATGTTGGCTGTGCTGGCGTCCCCATGGTAGACTCGCTGCGCGTGGAATGCCTCAAAGGCTGCCTCGACCGCGTGACAGACCTCGCGGCCCCACAGATCTTTCTGCTCCTGGAGCAACGTTCCTATCGGCGCAGCACGCAGGTATTGGAGCATCAGCTTGAAAGAGCTGGACCGGGGATATTCGTCGGGGGAGACAAGACCAAATAGCCGCGGTATGAGGATGCCTTGGAGATGTTTGCAGTGCTGGAAGATCCGAATCTCCTGTTCGGTTCTTTTCCGAATGCCTTCGCGGTCCTCCTCGCTCACGGGGGGATCGTCTGCCTCTTCGAATCTAGGCTCAGGCAAAGACGATCCAGACTCTGGCATGAGAGGCACTCTCTGAACCTTCATCAAGGCGAGGCAGTCATTCGCGCCCAATTCAGGTAGGACGCCGAACGCGGGCCGACCTTTTGACTCATGTGATGGGACCCGTGCCACGTGACCTTCGAGATGATCCCTGTCCACCACACAGCGATGAAGACCAGCAAAGGTCCCGCCCAGAATAGGCCCAAAGGTACATACGTAGGACTTTACGAGCGGCAGGCCTTCGGTGCCGCTGTCAGTGGAGTCTTTGCCTGAGTGTGCAAGCTTTCCAGAGCTACCTTTGGCCTCGGGACGTCTAGTCGATGCGATATCATCCTCTCGACGCTTGCGAATGTGCTTCTCCGAGGGGCCACGCTCATCCTGGTCTTCTTCGCGAGACCGAGCAGTCTTTGGCTTTGAGTGCTCAGTCTCTTGCAGACTCTTGGCGGGCTCTTCCAGGCCTTCAAGCACGTGTAAGATCCAGCCCAGCAGGAAGAAGACTGAGTTTGGCATTTGCTCCAATCGAAAGGCTGGAGACACTTGCCCAGAGAGCCCAGCCCTGCTCCCATCGTTTGCCGTTGCACAAGCCTGCTGACCCTCGCGGACATCACAGTATGATCCCGTTGGAGAAAATACGACTTGAGCCTCTCCACGATTCGTCTTGCTCTTTTCCAGCCTGTAGGGGAGCAACAAACGACCCCAGTCTGCCGCCAACAAGCCGTCTTGACAACCGGCCGCCAGTGACTGGGAGCATAATTGGACGAGTGCCTTCAGAACTTCACTCTCGTCGCATACTTTTCCTGTTGCCTGCTGCTGGAAGGGGTCATGACGAGTTCGAACGAGTTCTCCGACATTTTGAGGGCTGCAAAATGGCTTACTGTCGATGGTCGCAAGCACTTGAGCTCCCAAAGTGACGTAGAAGTCAGCGTCCGCAATGGCAGCGGCCTTGGCAATTCTAGAACACGCCTTCAAGCGGAATCCGTCTGCACGGTGTCGGGAGACGATGCGGATCTCGCTATTCAACGACGTTGGCAGCAGTGAAATGAATGGCAGTCCGGTGCGCTGGGCTTCGGCCTCCTTCCACCGACAAGCTTCCTGGCCGAGCTGAATGAGCGTCTCCGTCAAATACAAGGTTCTTCGCTCAAATTGCCAGTTGAAGGGCACTTTTCCCGTCCCTTGATCTACTACTATGGATGCCGCTAGCTTCGGCGGCGCAACAAGTCTGTGTCGCACAATCCGTGCTCGCTCGGGGTCTTCAGCCAAGTAAGCATCTATGACGCTGGAAAGCTCTTCCAATAGTCGAGAAGATCTGGCCCAGATGCTCGTGTGTGAGTCTGTCTCCAGACTGGATGACACGATGGTAGAATCTAAAGCTCGGGCCTTGCTGCCGGATCTAGTATGCGTCAAGGTTGTGTGGGTCTTCGAAAGATCATCTTCTATCGCAACCCAGTATCCAAAAGCTTGGTCGTTGCGACAAGCTGCCATGGGACTTGCAATACGCCCAGGTTCCGGCGACAGCCAAAGCTCCTCAGGACTCCCGGAATTGAGAGTCGTTGCGGTGGACTCGCGGACGGTGAAAGTGCTGCCTGGTGCTGGCACCATGACGAAGACCGCTCCATCAAAGACGATTGAGACCGAGAGATGAATGACGACGTGAGCATTTGTTTGTGCGGAGAGTCGTGGAGAGTTGGTAGGATGTGTTGTTTGTATCTGCGTGTGTGTGTCTTTGAGAGGGAGTGTTTTCGGTACGTGCGGGCGTCGGAACCCAAATGCGCAGCGGGTTGGCTATGAGGGTAGCAGGATGGTATGAGATTGTGGTAAAAAGCAGTGTTAATAGAAGTGGTGGTAAGGAAGACAAGGTGGGTTTTGGCTGCTAGCAGCAATGGCGATACAAGAAGGCAAAGGCACAGACGGAAAGGAAATTAGGGTCGGAGCGGAGGCTGCTTCCACTGCCACTCCGCCCGCCACTCTCGCACGGCCCTAGACAAAACTCTGATTTGATGTCTTTCTTCCGCCTCCTCCCCACACTAGCTCCTCTTCCGCGCTGCCGTCGTCCCATCAATTGTGACGTCTGTAATTGTAACTTCGACTCTCGTAGCCTAGCTCCTGTTTTTCTGCCCCATCAGAGCAGCCTTGGGTATACACCCACGTACCAGCAACCCGTGGCCCGAACAGCAGGGTACGAGCTCAAGTGCGTCCGGATCCCCGTCTTTGCCATCTCCTTTCGTGTTCGAGGCTCTGTCTGGTGTTCTCTGGCGATGGCAACCAGCAAAATCATTCCTGTACTACTCTACGCTAGTCATATGCAACAGCAGCGGATCGGCTTTCTGGATCCGGCTAAACCAACAATAGCGTACTCCCAAGCGGGTAAGCTGATTAGCGGACTCCCAAGCGGGTAAGCTGAGCTTCTCAGCTGGCCTGTTCAGTGCAGCTCAGATGACGGCGGCCCAAGCTTGCAAGAGCTCAGCACATAGTGTGCAAGCTATACCTCTCTCTCAAACTTTTCTCCGGAAGTGGTAGGGCGTACAGCGACGAACCACACGTCGATATTCCATCATGCTCGTCTTTGTACTTGGCGCCACTGGCGGTATAGGCCAAATGCTCTTGCCCGAGCTCGTCCAGCATGGACATCAGGTGCTTGCCCTCGCGAGATCAGACGCGTCTGCCGCAAAGATCAAGACCTTGGGAGCTGACGTGGTACATGGAGATCTTTCGGATGCTAGACTGCTCTCCGACAGTGCCAGCAGGGCCGATGCTGTGATCAATCTAGCCTTCGACGCCTCGAGCCAGGCTGGCATGGTCGAAGCCGCCATGCAAGAAGCCCGCGCCATCGAAACTCTCGGTGCAGCACTCGTGGGTACACAGAAGCCGCTACTGGTATCGAATGGAGCCCTCACCTATGCCTTCTCGGGCTCTGCTGGCCTTATAGACGAGGACTCACCCTGGCCTGTCGGAGGCGAGATGAATCCTCGAGCTTCTGGTCTCAAGGCTGCACAAGCTCTTGCTGCTCGAGATGTCTTTGTCGCGACCTTTTTCTTTCCTCCGTCTTGTCACAGAGCCGGTGAGACGGGCCTGATCCCCATCTTGATGGATCACGCAAGGAAGAATGGATTTGTCCCCTACGTAGGAGACGGCTCTCAACGCTGGCCTGCCACACATCTTCAAGACATTGCTACTTTGTTAAGACTACTCATCGAGGCTCCCGCGGGCCAGCGGCCCTGGATGAACAAGCTCCACCCCATCGCGGAAGGTGGGGTCGCATGGAAGGACATATCTACTGCGATTGGCCAGGCTCTGGACTTACCAACGAGGAGTGTCAGCGCACAAGACGCCACGGATCTCTTTGGGTTTGTCGGCAGGCTCATCAATATTGACGTGCCCGTCAGCTCCACGCAGACAAAGGCAGCCTTCCAATGGCAGCCAAAAGGTCCTTCATTGTGCCAGGACATCGAACAAAACTATTGAGAGGCCAAGGGAAGATGGAGTTGAGCAATGGAGGGAGACGGCTTCTTCCCATCACTCACTTCTAGGAGCCGTTTCCTTGCCAACCTCATGAGATCATGTAGGAGGTCGTCGATGACACGAAGCTTTGATTGAGCGCTCATATCCCCACGGGCTGTCATGTCTGCTTCTTATCTCGCATTATAGCACGAATAGAGTCATGCACCTACGCTGGTAGTTTGGCATATGTGTGATCTCGCATGATGACCACCGAAGGGAAGGTCTTGATGCAAAGCTGGTACTTGTCTTGTGGGGGCCAACGGCGAGAGGAAAGTGGGTGTTGCTGCTCTCGAAAGGGTTGCAGCGTCCGTAAGTGCCTTCTGTGTTTGCGAGTCGTAACTGGAGAATGGTAGCGAGCCAAGTCAAGAATTCGCGAGGCAATGGAAGCACGACGAGGGCAGAGAAGTCGGAACGCAAGTCCCGCAATGTTTCTGTTCGCTTCTGGTGGTGCTTGGCTGGTATTGGTGGTCTCTTTGCGAGGGTCTAGTATCGGGTGGGTGGCTCT